ATGTAGTCTACTAAACGTGCCGCCTTCTAGCTCCCAAGTGCCAACTCCGACGCGTGCTTCCTCCGTGGCCAAACGTATCGACGAGTGGAGCCCAGGACCTGAGCTACAGTGTAGTATGCGTCCAGGGAGTGCGCTCTGCAGTACCATGTGTGGTCCCTATTCATCCTAGTGTATACTGTATGCTCTATAGAAGGTGCCAAACGAGACGGGTACGTCTAAAGCGCCTAGTGGGCCAGGTGGTACTAGACGGTGTTCCCTATTTTTCCTAATGGATGCCATGTTCTCGAACCCTAGAAGACCCGCTGGGGGTGGTGAAGTTATTCCTTCCAGAGCTGTACCGCGGTTTCCCCCCTTTTCAAGCCATGCCACCTCCTGGGTCCTGACAATCCTCCTCGTCGGCCCCGTTTCTGAGCTCCATGCTCTCGTCCTCTCAAGTTGGTCTAGACTGACAGCGTATCTCATGCGGTTGACAACATGGTACTTGATCTACTGTCTTTTGTCTTCAAGATCGAACCCTTTCAGCCGCACCAGCTCGGTTTGGTCGGTTGCTCGTTCTTCCTCCAATTTTTCCTGGTCCTTAAGCAGTTCTTCTCTTGCTCCCGACGCCTTCTTCCACCCTTCAGCCACAAGCCCGGGAGAGAGGAGGGGGGGATAGAGGTTGGGGTGCTCTCCTGCTAATCGTCCGTCGCCTCTGCCCGTCCATCCTTGTGGCGGGGAGTTTTTAGGTCACCTAACAGTTTTGCCATGTTGTTCCGGACCTCTTTCATAGCTGTGTGCAGCAGATAGAGAGTCTTGACTCTTGGCGGCTTCCTCAATGGCTTCCGTTGCAGGAGTCTCCGCTGCCGGGGCTGTTGGTAACTCGGCCAGCCAGCTCTCGCCGATTGCAGAGGCGATCCATAAGCACTTTTCTTCCGCTGTTCTGATCATCCCCGCAATTCCTTCCGCAAGCTGGATACCGGCAGACTGGGCTTCCGTGAGTGTATGCGGAATAATATTCATGGTCGTCGTGGGTGCCTAACACTGGATAACCAGTTCCTTGTCTCCGGTTTGCTGACGTCTATCCAAGATTTCGTCACTGGTCTCGTATCTCTCGTTGTTCTTGGAGACGACGAATTCTGGAACCTAGTTGATTCGCGCGTATATATTCACCAAACTCGTCCAAACTTTATCAAAATGGTGCTCCGTTCTTTCCACCAGCCTCCATAGCCCCCTCCTCCTTACTTATTCGGCGACACCTCGTTATCTGGATAATAGCTTGGATCTGATTTCCCTGGGTCTTGGTTAGGATCGAGCGTATCCTGATGGGGGGATCGGACCATACCGTCCTGAAGTACGAGTGACTCCCCATGATTGCATCAGTAGTGAAATCAAGTCCGTCAGGGAGCGAGTCGTAACGTCTTCCGAGGTAGAACTGCGTCAGCCAAGGCGAAATTCTCCTGCAGACCACAGTCATGATATATTCATGGAGGAATTGCACCGACGGACATCCCTCATCCAGGGTACACTGGCAGCAGCCGACTCTCTCGTTGGCCGGGCGTAGAACGAGACGCGGTCTTTGGGAAACGAGCGTTCTTGTGGTATGTACATACCTGTCCTCTAGATTCCAGAACTGAAATCGCTACTGTCTCGAGAATACAGGAAAGGTTTTGCTGTGAATCGCTGCGAAAACAGACTCCACAAGTTCAATAATCGTAGACCCTTCACGCCGATCCGGTGCAGCGTTCCCTAGTCGGACAAAAAGATTAATCGAGCCGGTCATTAGTCGGTCGTCGGGCCGCGACGGGTACCCGTCAGGAAGCCCCATGTCTAGCCCGGAAGTGATGGGAAAAGCAATGAGCATTCAGCATCAAAAAGCACATGGGCTTTAACCAGGAGGTGTATGCCTGCGAATGTGTGGTAATCACCAGGGCCAGGGCCAGGCCAGACGTGGGTGCTAGAGGCGGTAAAATGATGGTAGACGTAAGATGGTACCAGTGTCACTGCGGCTTCCCGGGCAACAAGGAGGCAGACAAGGAGGCCAAATAGCAGCGGTGAATCCCAGACATAGCGAAGTGAAGCGAATACGACGCTTTCCTAGATGTGGCGAAACCCCTCACTACCAAAGTCCCTGGCAAACCTAACACGAGAAGCAACAGGGAAGAAGTGGCGGGCCGCGAGACTCCAGCTGCGGGGCGGCGGTCAAGCCGAAAAGCAGAAAGTACAAGCTATCGACAAGTCAGCTTGTACTGGATTCAATAGTAGCGGGGAGCAGCACGAATTTGGCAGCCCGGTTCTCCCACCTCAAGTCCGCACACTGACTAACTGGCCAATACCTGTAATCGGCCAAAAACCGCCCTTCCGCTCAATTCTGGCGGTCCCAGTATGTACAAAACCAACAACCCCAGAACACCTGGTCAAGAACTGCTCAGCGTGTAGGATGTAGTTGGAAAGGCAACGGTGAAGACGTTAGGGCAGGTTCACGATACCGTATCTCTTTGTCAACCGGGGTTGCAGCGAGGCGATCCCAACATCCTAAGCGTCCTAGCCACCACGAATGGCGGACGACGAGTCCCCGCACTCGGCGCGGCAGAAAACGAAGATCCCTTATCGGGGCCGGAGATGGTAGGGGCAAGAATGACGGCGTCGTCGAGAGCGTTGAGGGCGGAAAAAGCGAATGCTGGGAAAGAGACCGGGCCACTCCTCATCCTCCCCACTCCGTCCGCCTAGTCACTCAGGCATCAGCTTCAAGATCATAGACAGGGAGAACTTAAGAACCAGGGCGACAAAGAAAATGCAGGACAAAACGAGGGGAGGCGGGCCAGGGTGACCTGGAAAACACAGCCCATAGGCGGCAGGGACGAGGATCTGGGTTTCCTAGTTGAGCTCTTGAGCTCACAGGAGGTTCGGCGGGAAGAGGGACAAGAGCTGAGCCGCTGGGGTAATGGATACCTTCTTTCATTCTTTCTCACTTTCGTGCCAGTGTTGAGTGGCGAGGGCAGGGCGGAGATCAAGAGGGAAGGAATTCGTACCGGTGTCGAGCTCGCGGCCAGCGGTCGGTGAGTGACGAGCCGGTGCCAGCGGCGTGGAAACGGATATAACGTATCTGCCATGATCCAGAGTACCCGAGGTCAACTGCCAGGATGATTAAACAAAGCCATATCGGTCCGTTTGCTGAAAGCCGGATTAGACAGCGGCGTAGGATGGAAATGGAGTGAGTGGGAGTGTGTGTGTGCGTGTGTATAATGTATTGCCATAATCCAACTACCCAAGTAAGTCGCAGGCAACGAACGATTAAACAGTACCAAAAACAAAAAGGGTACCTTCAGGTACCTACCAGTACCGCCGATCGATCTCTCGGTGCCCAGGCTGAACTCCACGGCTATCCCCACGCTCATCCCCAGATTCCCCAGAGCAGCACAGCACCCCATTGCTGACCCGAGGGTACCTTTCCCACCGATCTCGCACACCACCCACTAAATCGGGTCATATCCGACATCAGGCGCCAGACCTCCAGATCTCCAGCCGTCATAGTCATCGTCATCTTCACGGCCATCGTCATCGTCATTGTTGTGGTTGTGGTCGTGTTCGTGGTCATGGTCGTGGTGGTAGTCGTGCGAAGCACAAATCCTATTCCATTCCGTTTCGACCGAATACCGGTACCGGCACATAACTCAACGCCGAGTAACGCAACGCCGAGTAACTCAACGCCGATGACCGCCCTCCTGCCTGCCCGCTTAATCGCCCACCTTCGTCTCCCCTACGTTCACGTGTGCGCACTCGTCGATCCTCCACTCCGTCCCCCCCCCACCCCGTCTCCCCCAGCCCAGCTACGATCCCCCTACGGCATACAGAGAATATTCCCTCCCAGGCTCCCACCGTTGATCCACCCCGCCCCACTCCACTCAACCCCACCCCGAAACCCACCCCGCCCCGAACCCAAAACCCAAAACCTGGGTACGGCCATCTCAATACCCTTATATGTACCCTTTCATTTTCGACGTCCATTGTCTTCCACCCGTCATCTTCCAACCCCGCCATGTGAAACGGCGTAACCTCTGTTCGTCCATTCGTTCATCCACCGGACCCCGGCAGGGCAACGCAAGGCCACGTTTCATCCATAGTATCCAGAGTGCAGGCCGGTACCGGCCACGGGAGACGGGAGAATGCATTCCCCCCGCCGTCCCCCCACCCACACACGCACCCACGTGTGAGCATATCATCACGACCCCTCGGTTTCACTGCCGCCCCACCTACCCCACCATGTGGCAGTGATGCGCGCCCTACGAGTCTACATATAGATACCGGCATATGCATACATACGACACACGCTCGCTAGAGGCCACTGCCGCTGACTACATACCTACATCAGGACCTACATGCTGTTGCTGTTAAACACAGCAACAGCATTTCATCGCAAGTGGCCGCAACCGCCCCTACACATACACAGCCGCACGCGCAAAGTCGACGGTCGAGTAGTGTAGATATACACAGATTTGAATTATATGTACCCAGATAGACACCGTACATCCATATACAATACAATTCCCTCGCCACTCCAAACATCCATCCACCTCCGACCCCATCCCCATACGTTTCCTGCTGGCCATGCAGCTGTGTGGGAAAATCCCTGATTACAAAAACGACAAACCGACAATCATTCATACCTAGCCATATCATGACTTCTATGATATACCCTTTCCTTTCCTTTCCTTCCTTGCTTCCCTTTCCAAGCAGATGGAAAAATAAAAATGCCCTGTACAGTAGTTCGCCCAAAACAGAGAAGAAAAAACATAAATACAACAGCGTAAAAGACAGAGAGAGAAACAGAAAAGCACACACACACAAACACAAACACATATTGCCCGTCTAAAACAGAAAGAAGAAAGAGAAAAAAGGACCCCCAAACGCTATGCAAGATACAAGAAGTAGAAGACCACGCGCGACACACAAAACACGAAACAAGACAAACGCAGAGAGAAAAAGATCCATAGTATCTATTTACCTTTTTGCCCCCTTCATTCTAAGCACACAAATCCTCACATCTCTGGACCTATCCTTCCTCCGCAGTCGCCCCAATAGCGTTATGTACCTAGATGAGGATCCACCCAATTACCAACCCCGCCGCCAAACTAACAAAGGCTCCTCCCATAGTACTGGACTTGCTGGCCGCTCCAGTGTAAAGGACTTCATCGGATCCAGTAACCGAAGGCGATGATGGCGAGGTGGGCGATTGGGTGGACTCCGTAGAGTCAGTACCCTTGTTTTTCGTGCTTCCGGGGGTAGGCTCACTAGAACCGCCTGTCTTCGTAGCAGTGTTGGTGGTGGGAATCAGAACTCCAGTCTTAGTGAGAGCAGGGCGAGAGGTGGACTCGGACGTGGGTGCCGACGATGTGGCGAGCTTGCCAGCATTTCCGGAGCCGCTCTGCGGTCCAGCACCGATCTTTCCTCCTCCCAGAGCCTCGATCGATTCCCAGCTTCCGGTTTTGTCGCTGAAGCGGTAAGCCGTTCCAGTCGAGTAGTCGATGACCTTGATTTCCTTGACCAGCATGTCGTAGGGACCCTCCTTGTAGTTAATCGGACCTCCAGACCACTCTGTTTTACAATTAGACTCTATTTTCTTTCTTCTTCCCCCTATCGAGCTCCAAATCTGGAAGAAAAAAACAAGAAGCAAAGATGGCAAACTTACGAATAGTACCCTCCTCATTGCCTGGGTCGCCAGCAGCCCAAGAGCCCATGCGGACCTGCATAGGGGTCTGGGGATAGTAGTCTCCCTTGACGTCGGCAGGCTTCAAGGTGCGAACGACCTGCCCGTTGATGATCCAATCGAGCTTCTCCTGGGTCCAGTCGAACGAATAGGTGTGGAAGTCGTCCTGGCTGGTGATGGGGTGAACAGCTCCACGGTCGTAGGAGTCGGTGTTTCCCTTTCCGAAGTAGTTCGACTGAGCTTCATCGGGCTTCGAACCGACCCACTCCCAATCAATTTCGTCAAGGTTGTCGGACTGGAGAACGACCGAAGACACGACACCACCACCAGGGGCCGCCTTCATGGTGACATCCAGATGTCCCCACATAATGTAAAAATTGCTGACGATCGTGGGAGCGTCCAGCTTCTTCTCGACACGGAAGATGGCACCATCCGCACCACCATACTTAATCACGTCTTCACCGGCAGTAGTGGTGAAGTCCGGAGCCGCACCACCGTAAACATGGTCGTAAGTTCCAGCAAGTGCCGGATCGTTAGGACAAGCTAAATTCAGGGCGAGTTAGCAGATGACTTGGCGGTGGGTATGTACAGCACAGCGATATATGTGGGGAATAGAGAGGGAGCAGCTTACTCTTCTCCATGGGGTTGCAAGCAGTCCATGTCTGGGCGGTAGCCAACGAAGCGGAGGCCACGAGAACGGCCAACTGAACGAAAGCTGAACGCATTTTGTAGGATGGGATGAGAATTGAACGAGCGAGTGGTTGATTTTGAAGCGGAGCCTGTTGATCTGTAGCGAGTGGGCACAGGTTTCTGCTGAAGGAGTGTTGTATTTTTCTTTCTAACGTTGATTGGCGACAGTGGGAGGAAATGAGGGATAAGTTGTTGTTATGATGGTAGAGAGCGTAGGGTGGTGGTGGTGGTAGTGATGGTGGTGGGTGGTTACAGTATTTGTGGGGGACCGCCGAGGCTGAGAGCTCAATGAGTGTCGTTGGGTTATGTAGCGGGATAGCTGTGAAAGTGAAAGTGAACGAACAACAGCAAGGCAAAACAACAACAACGGACCGTCAGTTCAAGAGGGGAGGGTAAGATTTAAAAGCTCCTGACTCCTGAGACCAAGCCCTTCCCTATCCTTTTCGCGAGCTTTGACCGCTCTACCCTTAGGCGCGTGCGTGCTGCGCCACTGGACCGGGCTTTCCCCTATTTAATCTTGAAGCCATCCGTTGCGCTTAGTTCGGAACTCGCCAAGGGAGGGGAGATTGGATATTCTCTACCAAGATGTCCGGGAGTTCTCTACGTGAACTTGGCACGGGCGGGCTTCGTTTTTCCTGGAGCGGGAGCGGCGGTGAAGAACGGCGTCAAAAAAAGCACGGGGGAAGCTGGTTCGATGGGAGGGACTGCGGGCGAAGGGTACGGAGAGCTCAGTCGCTTCCGGATCGCGACAGGACTTAAGTAGCGGTTCAAAGTGGGGCTGAGATGGCAGCAAGCACGGTGGGGGGGTGATGATGCAGAGAAGACTTCGAGAACAAGACGGCCGAAGACAACGATGGTGGTGATGATGGCGGAGGAGATCTTCCACGTTGACGATCGAAGGTAAAGATAGCCAACCAGCCAGCAATCCATCCATCCAGCCAGCCAGAGGGCGACGTGCGATGTGCGACGTGCGTTGGTCGTGCGGCCAGCCGGGGGGGCGCGGACGCCACACGGCGAAGAAAACAACAGGGAATCGTCAGGGACAGAGGGTTGCGACATGGCTGGGTTTACCGGGTGGGAGGTGCAGCTAGAGTCTAGAGTCTAGAGGAGAGTCTAGATTAGGAGTTGTCTAGTAACAGCATGATTACGGCTGTGCCGGGGTTGGCACCGCTACGAGAGCACTCAGCACTGGTTGGAACCATGGCGGGTGGTAGCTGTGTATCCGACCAACATGACTTTCCCCCCTTCAGCGTTTGGAGGTTGGAACGGCAGCTGAAGAGTCCTCTGGAGTACGTATCTACTAGCAGTAGGGACGTTCTGCAGACTCGACGCACCGCAACTACAACTATCCAGGGGTGTCAGATGGGGTTAGCTGGTTGGTGAGAAGTGGGAGGTTTTGCAACCCAAACTGCGAACTGGAACTACAACTAGAACTACAAAACACGAAATAAAACTATGGAGCGGTGGCGCGGCCGTGCACAATTGAGCGATACTGCAAGAGACAAGCGTTAGAGACAGTGACATGGTTTGTACCCTGTCTTTGACGCTTTCATCCAATCAGCATGTTTGTTGTGATCCAGATTAAATCGAGCTAACTCGCGCTACTCACGAACTTCAGTGGTTGTTGGTAGCGTCGCCGACCCATGTCCACACGATAGCTAGCCTGGTGACCTTCCTCCATTAAGTAGGACCCCTGTCCGTTGCTGTGGTGATAGTTGTAGTTGTGGTGCGTGGAGGAGTTGCAGAACATCCCTAGTAGTAGATGCCCTCTCTCTGGGGAACCCAAGCCGAATGAGGGGAGAAGAACGGGAGAACGGGAGAACGGGAGAACGGGAGAACATGGGCAGGTACGGCCACTCCCTCGTTGGCTGAGCTGACTGGAACGCCCACTCCCCGTTGGCTGAAGCTGACTGGATATCCACCAACACGAGCCGAACGGACCTGACGAACGCTTCTATACTATAGCGAACAGAACCACTTCTATACCATCATACGGTAGTACTCTATCGTTGGTCTACTTCAAACTCATCTGAATCTTTATCTGCTTCAAACACGACATGGGCCTGGCTAGCGGGCAGTCGGTCAGAAAAGTATCAGCCAGACAGCTCGAGCCGTATAGTGCAGATGTACCTATCGTATCATAGTCCTCGTCCTCGTCTCCATCCGAGTCCCGTCCTCGTTCCCGTAGAAACCGCGTAGAAAATCAAAGCCCGGAATCCGAAACGATCCGACGAGACCAGGCGAGACGCGACGATTCTCCAGGTAACTGTCATCTGTAGCACATGCTCTATCATGTCGACGCTGCTGTCCGCTCCCCGCGCGCGCGTATGTACACTGCAAGAAGAAGAAAAGGTCATTCCTGCACACTGCAGCCCCGTTGACGGTTGGACACGAATCCTGGGTACTTGGTTCGAGACGCGTCTCGTCAAGCGGTAGTATGTCATGCAATAACAACATCCATCATCGATCGGTGACGGTCCGCTCCTCTGGTTCCGAGCGCGGAACCTTATGCCCAGATTATGCCCAGGCCCCAGATATGCCCAGATTATGCCCAGGCCCCAGATATGCCCAGATATGCCGAGTCGTGCCCAGTCGTGCCCGGTTTTTCTTCTCGGGCTCGGCGGCCGTGATGCGTCGTCGCCAAAGTTTAAAGGGGAAACACTGCCAAGGCCACCAAGACCCCGGCGATTTTAATCGGTCCGAGATTAACAGCCAAGTTGCTCCCTTTCGGCCCAGCTTTGGACAACCCTCATCTCCAGAGCTATCTACATATCGGTTTCGCGAAGGCCGTTCATCGAGTATCTAGTCTATCCACCTATTTTAGTTCTCTCATCTGGAAGCAAGAAACAACGACGGCGTCTTCCACGACAGCAAGAGCACAAACGAAGCTTCGCCTGAAAGATACGGTACATGCTATCATCATAGCTCCACTCGGGGCCAGACCAGTGACCACCCCCCATGGCGGCACTGGGCAGAGGTCTTGTAACCTGTGCTAACAACACCCCTAAGTCTCTAAGTAGTCGGCTAAGAATTCTCCGGAATCACTGTTGTCCGACGCGGCGACCCGGCGACGCATAGGTCCTGAAGTACTTTTGAGAGTAACATGAATGATAAGGCGTGACGGCACCACGATACTTTGCAATGCTGGCTGCTTCTTGCCCCCCGTTTGCAAAGGAAAAATATGCTACATATCAAACGTCAACTCAAGCCCGTGGGGATGTCTAGATGGAATTCCGGCATCAAGGAACAGGTGGTACCTATCTAACCGAATTCTCCACCTTCTCTCAGCTCTTCCAGGTACCGTGGACGAAGAACAAGTATTTAACCGAATGTCTCCACCTGCTTCGAGCCCTTCCCCTTCCTCCCCTTCTTCGAGTCCTTCCATCTCTTCCAGGAAACCCAAGAACAAGTGGAGTACTCCACACACTAGCACCCAGGGCACTCAGCAGGGACGGTAAAGCCAGGGCCCACACCCAGAGTTAAAAAGGGAGCGAAAAACGAAAGAAAGCAAGAGATAAAAAAAGGGAGCCGAGCCGAGCCGAGCCTTCGTCCGAGCGCTCAGCGAATTGGCAGCCATGAGCGTCGTCACCGCTGCTCTGGCTAACTGGCCAAGCTTCTTGGTGTTTTTGCCATAGGGATCGATTGAGCCATGGGCACTGACCTCCCATCCCCCCAACGAGACCGAGAGACTCGAGTGGCTTGCAAGAGGCGTGCGACTCTATTTGGTAGCGGCCGCTTTGCCGCACCCCGATCGTCGGGTGTGTATCTGAAGGTTTTGTGGAGGAGGAGGAGGAGGAGGGTTCGCTGGGCGTGGAGAAGAGAAAGTCGTCGTCGTCGGTGTTTCGGGCTAGACCGAGTACCTGTACTATCATGCATACCTAGGAGAAGGCTGTGTACAAACATACGCGCATTCGCAAGAACCGGAATGAAAGGCTTGCCGTATGTACACGGTAGCACATACGAGCGGCTCCAACGGCGCAATGCCGTTCGCGCCGTTGTGGCGTAACTACTCCACTCAATTAGGCATACTTTGGTAGCCGCCATTTTACAGCGTTGCGGCTGTTTTCATCATTGAACGCTGAAGTCTGACCCGAGAATGCCGTCTCCAAAGCTCGCCTACTTGACGACTCCCTCCAGCCGCCTGCACGCGCGTCGCTCTGGATCCATTCCGGAAGCCTCGGACGGCAGGATATATATAGTTCCGGTCCGACCCTCGCCGCGACGCCAACTCGCCGAGTCGCCGGCGCCCCAAATTGTGACGTGATGCGCTCGCCTGCGGTGTGGAGTCGGGATGAAAACGGATGCATCTATATTTGTACAATACTGGCAATCAAAACCAGTGCGTCAGTTTGGGCTCAATTGAACTCAATTGTACTCCGTTCTGCTTCTCCGTTCGAACAGGGCGAGTGATTTATCGTGCATCCATGAAGGCCCCCCTACTCATCCCACGTGTCAGAGACGCTAAACACCCCATCTCTGAGCTTTACCTTACCTTAGCAACACTACCGTCACCACCACCCCACCAGACCCCTTCGTCGTCGTCGCAATGTCCTGGCTCAAAAAGTTCCTTCCCATCGGCGAAGAGCGGCGGCAAGGCGTCGCCTTCGGCTTCCAAGTCCTCAAAAACACAAACAAGTTCATCGTCATTGAGCCGTGGTTCGACTTTATCTGTGGCATCAACGGCCGGTTAGTCGTACGTCCCCTCGTCCCCCGTCCGCCGTCCCTGCAGTCTGCACGATACCGTGGGCCTTCATCTTACCGACCCTAGGAAGACGGGAATTCCTATCTGTTCTCAAAGGAAGTGGAAAACTGCGCTGGACGGGATGTCGCATTCATGGTGTGGAGCGCAAAGGTTCGTGACACCTTCTGCACCCCCCGGCCGCACCCCGCTGACCATCTCGCTCCCCAGGGCCAACGAATGCGCGACGTGATGGTGTCCGTCCCATCGACCTCGCTCTCCCTCGGGCTGGTGCTACAATGGTGTCCCGTCTCGACCACGGAGGACATCTGGCACATTCTCGACGTGGCCCCAAACTCCCCCGCGGACTTCGCCGGTCTGCTCCCCTACAGCGACTACATAATCGGCACGCCGGAGGGCATTGTGCGGGGAGAGTCCGGCCTCGGCGAGCTAGTCGAAGACCACATGGACCGGCCTCTGCGCCTATTCGTGTACAACCACGAATACGACGTGACGCGGGAGCTGCACATAACGCCGACGCGGTCGTGGGGCGGCGAGGGAGCTCTCGGTTGCGTCCTCGGCTTTGGCGCGCTGCACCGTGTTCCCGCCCCACTGCACGAGCCCGTCCAGGCCCCCGGTGAAACGCTGTTCTCGAATACCCCCCGCGCCTCTGGCGATGTCGCCCGTGCCGCTATGAACCCAGAGGACGCGGAGGAGGAGGAGCTGTTCCCGCCTACGGAGCCGGGGAACCTCATCACCCCTGCGGCGGTATCCGGCTCGCCCTCGCCCTATCAGTTCACGCCGATGGAGACGCCCGGGTTCCGTGGCGGGGCGCCGGCGGGCGCACATGTGTTTCCGCCGCAGGTCGCCCCTGCGAGGCACAAGCCGAGACATCACCATGCGAGGGACTTTAATCCGAGTATCATGGATGATTACCTCAGGGAGGGAGAGCAGAAGAGTTTGGAGCTGGAGGGCGGCGCAAAGGCGGGCGCTGCGACTGTCAAGCCTGGACTTCCGCCGCCGCCAAAGAGGGCGGGTCCCCCGCCGCCGAGGAAGAGCTCTACGCCGGTTCCTACCAGTCCTCCGCAGCCGCCGCCGGTAAAACGGGAGGGCGAGAACGATGAGCTGGATTGAGCAGATAGTGTGTGGGTGTTTCTGTCGCTTACTTACCGGTGTATATCTCTCATAGCGTTAGACTGGGATTGATGGCATCAGTGATATCTTGTGAGGAAAATCCATTAAAGTAGTGACTAAACGATGGCGATGAAAGTCTAGAATACATGAAATGACATGCACACACACATACAGGAAGATGGAAAGATAGCATACGCAGACAGCCCGAACAGTTCATCCAGCTCAAGCCTTTTCCGTGCCATCCGATGACTCTGCCGTCTCCTCCTCCATGTCTATGGCCATAGCGTCTTCTGAGTCCTCCTCTTCCTCAACTTTAGCTTGGGCTATCACCTTCGCCACTGCCTTCTCGACAGCCTCGATAGCCTCCTCCTCCTCTTCTTCCTTAGATTCAACCTGTTCTAGCACCTTCTTCGCCGCCTTCTCCACCGCCTCGTCCTCTTCCTCTTCCTCAGCTTTAGTCTGCTCGGCCACCTTCTTCGCCGCCTTCTCCACCGCCTCGTCCTCTTCCTCTTCCTCAGCTTTAGTCTGCTCGGCCACCTTCTTCGCCGCCTTCTCCACCGCCTCGTCCTCTTCCTCTTCCTCAGCTTTAGTCTGCTCGGCCACCTTCTTCGCCGCCTTCTCCACCGCCTCGTCCTCTTCCTCTTCCTCAGCTTTAGTCTGCTCGGCCACCTTCTTCGCCGCCTTCTCCACCGCCTCGTCCTCTTCCTCTTCCTCAGCTTTAGTCTGCTCGGCCACCTTCTTCGCCGCCTTCTCCACCGCCTCCTTCTCCGCTTCAGCAGCCGCCTTCGCCGCGTTCTCCGCCTCCACAGCCGCCTCGACCATCGCCTCCTCCTCGTCATCAAAGCCGAACTCATCCTCATCATCCTTCTTCTCCGTCTCCTTCACCTTCTTGTCCTCCACCTTCTTGTCCTCCACCTTCGCAGGCGCCCTCTTAACCCCCACCGGCGTACTCCCGTGCAAACTCCAATCGATCGGTCCCGCCTCACCGTAGCGCGCCTCAAGCCACTCATTCGCCTTCTTGAAGTGTCCGCAATCGAACTACACCCACTATTAGCGCTCACTCTCTCCACGCCCCCTCGCTCCACGTCGGTAGGTAGGTAACTCACCCAACCCCTATGCGCACTCAGCGGGCTCGGATGCACACTCCTCAGCACCAAATGCTTATTCTCATCAATGCCCACCTCCTTCACCCTCTTCTGCGCGTCCGCGCCCCACACCATAAAAACACACCCTCTCCCCTTGGCGAGATGGCTTAGTACGGCGCCCGTAATCTTCTCCCACCCCTTCCCCGCATGCGACGCCGCCTCGCCTCTCCTAACCGTGAGCGCTGCATTAAGCAGCAACACCCCCCTCCTCGCCCAGGGGCTCAAATCCCCGCCCCTCCCAGGCGGCGGCCGGAAATCGGGATAATCCCTCGCCAGCGCTTTGTATATATTGCCCAGCGACGGGGGCGCGGGGGTCGGCGGGGACACGGAAAAGCTCAGCCCCATGGCCTGTCCGGGACCGTGGTACGGGTCCTGGCCCAGCACGACGACGCGCACGGACGGGAGCGGGCACAGGCGCGTCCACGTGTAGATCTGTGGGGCGGGTGGGTAGACGGGACCGCGCTCCGAGGCGAGGAACGCCTTGAGGGAGAGAAATTGTGGGGTTGTGAGGAGAGGGGCCAACAGGCCGAGGTAGCTCGGCCCGATGCTCGAGAGCTCGAGGGAGAGAAGGGTACGCTGCTCAGGCGTGAGGGTGGAGAGCCAGGTGGCTTTGTTGAATTTTGGGAGCGTGGAGGTCGCGATGTCGCCGCTGCCATTAGTCGACGAGGTGCTGGAGCCGGAGTTGGAGCTGCTGGGTGAAGCTGCCGGCCTGAAGAAGGAGGCTATTGAACGCGTCTTTTTGGCTGTACTTGAGGGGGTCGGGGGTGCTTTGCGCTTGAGGTTGCCGGACATGGTGGTGGTGATTGTTGGTAGGTTTTTCGTTGTATGGTGGGGAGAGATGAAGAGGACGGCGAGGTTTAACTACCTGAGTAGGAGGAAGTTACTGGTGTTGAGCAGGCGAATGTTGACAGGTGTGATGTACGGTTGGGGTACTTAGCGTATCAAAAGACGGGACGAATAAATCTGGGGGTGGGGACGGCACGCATTTCAGTCGGGCTGACTGACGTCTTTGGGCTCTTCATTACTCGTGTTGGACGGTCCATGCGTTGCATCACGCGAATCGGGAAAACCAACACGACACGCTCGGACCGCAAGTCTGGCCAACAGTTGCAAAAGCAAACATCGATTGATGTGACACCAATCAAAACTACAATTCGTCAAGCTACATGTGATGTAAAACAGCATAAAGTAATATCGTGAACAGAAGAAGAAACGCCGTTAAAGAAAAAGAGACAACACAGAATAGAACAGTTCAACGCATAAGTAGCCCCATCCAAACCCAGTAATGTAGTACAAGTAAATCCAAGCGTACTGAATAACGTCATTTTGTTAGCTCTTATCCCGCAGCTTTTACAACTCGTTGTGGATCCTCTCGTCTCCGACCACAGCCGAGCTTGCCGCTGCGGCAGCCTCCTTCACCTTCTCGGTGGCCTCCTTCACCTTTTCAGTGGCGGTCTCCGACTTCTCCTCAGCCTTTTCTGAGACCTTACTGGCGGCAGCGGCGGCAGAGCCAAGAACCTCCTCGGCCTCATCGGCGGCAACCTCGGCGGGGGGAGCGACGTAGGCGTCAACCTTGTGGGTACCGTGCTCCTTGACGAAGTTGGCAAGGTCCTCGACGGTGCGGCTTCCAGTGTAGTCAATCGCAGTCTTGGAGCCAGCAGGGAAGAGCTTGATGGTGGGGAAGCCCTGGATCTCGATGGGAACGTCGTTGGCCTGGACACGAATCAGTAAACTTTCACCACGACAGGTCAAGGTGCGGTGAACTCACAGTAGCATCAACCTTGGCGATGATGACCTTGGCGCCAAACTCCTTGTCGTCAAAGTACAGCTTGCCGAGCTCCTCGTACTTAGGAGCGAGGTTCTTGCAGTGTCCACACCAGGGAGCGTAGAACTCGACGAGAACGTCCTTCTCGGCATCCATGACGATGTCCTCGTAGTTGTTGGCAACGATGACGTGGACGGGGCCCTCCTGCTTCTCAGGCACAGGCTCGGACTTGATGCTGGGGTTGATGTTGCCGGCGGAGAAGTCCTCGACGAACTTGGCAAGGGCGGCCTCGGTCATCTCGGTGTCCTGGTCGAAGGGGTACTTCTGGTTCTTGGCGGTCTCCTGGATGGCGAACGCGGGCCACTTCTGCTCGAGGTTCAGGTTCTGGGCGTGAGCGCCGAAAGCAGCAGCATCAATGGTGGCGAAATTGATCTTGCCACGGTACTTCTCGGCGAGGGGCTTGGCTGCCTTGGTGAACTTCTCCTTGTCGGCATCGTTGTCGACGAAGATGTACGCGAGAGGGATGCCAGCGTCCATGTACCCAGCGTACGTCTCCGGACCGACCTCACCGACCAGCGGGGTGCTGGCAACCTTGGCGAACTCCATAACCTTCTCGAGCTCGAACTTGCCATCGTACACAGTCTTGCCCTCGTCGAAGCTCTTGTACAGGACGAGAGCGGGGGTCTTGACACCGGCGGCCTTAGCCAACGCGGCGTCGGAAGTGGCACCGAACAGGTAGCTGTCCCTCAAGGACTCAGCCACCTGGGAGTAGGTGGCGTTGGTGTCCTTATCGTCGGCACCGAAGTAGGCAACCAGGACAACATTATCGGCGGCGATGAAGGTCTCGTGGCTCTCCTTGTCAAGGATGGAGACGGCAGGCAGGGACTGCTTGATCATGTACGAGACGATGGCATCCGACTTGCGCTGGCCGCCGTAGGGGGCGACGTTGTCAGGGCCACGGAACACCTTGACGGTGGGGTAACCCTGGACACCTTGCTTCTCACAGAGCTCAGTCTCGACAGTGCAGCTAGGGGGGGGAAGTATGGTTAGCGCCTTGTTCCAGTGCTTCGGAAAAGCTAGACCACTCACTCAATCTTGGCCAAAGGAATGCCCTTCTCCTTCAGTTTTGTGGCGGCATCCTCGTACTCGGGGGCTAAAGCTTTGCAGTGTCCGCACCAGGGAGCGTAGACTATTTGACTTCTGTCAGTTACGCTACACGGCGAGATGTGAAGCTCAGAGAAGACGGGACAACGCACACTCAGCCAGCACCAACGGGTTCTCTTTTACGAAAGGCTCGAAGGTATCAGTCTTCAGAACATGGACATTCGAGGGCACCTCATCGACGGCAGCGGCAGCAGCCTCCTCAGCGGAGACAGTGTAGGCAAGCAGCGAGAGCGCGACGGCAGAGAGCTCCTTGAAACCCTTCATTGTGATGTGTGGTGGTGGAGGTTTGTGCGTTAAGACGTGGAGTGTAAAGGTTGACGGAGTTCTGAGTTTTCGTCAAGTAGGTTCGTATTGCTCGTGGAGAAAGAGGATGAGGAGGATGAGGAGGATGAGGAGGAGGAGGAAGAGGAGGAGACGTTATTGAAGACTGAGGGGCGGTGGTGGAGTGGAGGAGGGTAGTGGTGTAGGGGGGGTTGATTAGTCGAAAGGTAGAGCTTCTTCGCAGGGACAATGTGTTCTTTTTGAAGCAAGCACTCAGATGTCTCCGGGGGGGTGTGTGTGGCATTCAAAGCATACAAGCTCCTTCATAGCTGGGGGAGCGCGTTGTGGAACGGAGGTTAGGGTTGGCCGTGGGAATTGTGGCCGCTGATTGGCCGACGCGGTCGCACTAAACAGATGTTAACACTTTGTCCAGAAGCCCCGTCGGCCTGTTCTTTTCTCTTTGCACTCTCGCTCGTTCGCCTGTTTCTCCAGAGCTCAGGTACAGGTACTCCCGTATAATTTATTTCGATATTGTGCAGGGCGGAGTGCAGCCCTTACATCCATACACCCTTGGTCCACAAGCGTTGGTGGAAACACGATATCTGTCCTCTCACGAAACCGTCGTGTTTGCGTCGTGTTTGCCCTTCGTGTTTATCCAGCTCAGCTTGGGCTCAGCTCAGATCAGCAGCTGTGGCAATCGGCCGTGATCGCGATTAGTAATGCAGCACCGCCCATGCTGCTGCGAAATCAACATACCGCCAAGGCTTCACGCCCGGCATCCATCAACAGCAGCTGCTGGAAACCGGATATATCGCTGGACTTCGCTACACGGTCCCGTATGTACTACCCAGGTATTTACATTACTCTACAGTAGAGTGCTGTGCTCGCTGCGAATCACCCGAGTCATTCCACGGAAGAACTGGCCAGATCTCTTTTCGGCGTCCGCCGGGTTCTCCAGAGTCCTGGTTGACGTTTGGCCGGTGAACGTGAAATCAACTCCCTTGCGTGCGTGCGCTCCGTCGGATGCTGGATTCGAGAAAGGCCTTAGGAAGTTAGGATAGGTACGTGCTGCACATACATACCGGTACTTAGTCGAACAGAAACGCCCCATTCCACTCGACTACTGGTATGCACATTCGCAGCACTTGAGCCTCGAAAGCCCTCAGTCGAGCCCCCTCTTAGCTCTCTTAGCCCCAAAACCAAAACGCCTTCGAAGTTCGTCCGGTGTTCCGTCCCTACGTCGTCTGTACCTGCATATCTACATAGACTTGCGTACCAACGCCCGCATAACCACGACCCCTCGCCCGCGCCCTCGTGTGACTCCATATCACTCGGCGTTTCGGTATGCATACCCCACCGTTCGTACTTACGGTACATACAGCACTATCGATTAGTCGGCCGCAGATCACTGAGGATACTCTGTCAATATCGGCGGGAACAGTGCAGCCGTTACATTCGTTACGTATGCGCTGCCTTTACATGGAGTAGACATATGCATATCCACTGCCACTTTCTGCATCCAGGTGATCCCGCAACTACTACTAGTAGGTACTTTGGTAGTGTGCAGTACAGGTAAGGAAGTACTCAACCTGGAATGCCGCTTGCGGGAAACACGGAACAATTTGCCCTGCGCTTGTCTGTGCTTGGCTGCGCGAGAGAGACATACAGAGAGAGACGGAGGGAGAATACCAATTTACTATCGCATACGGCCTTTCTGGCTGTTTGGAGTAGACTACTCCTATGCACTACTATATGGTACTGTACATATACCCCGCCCGCGCTTGTCTTCCCTACCCAGGAAGGTAGGTAGTTCGTCCGCATTACCGTGGCCGCATTCCCACGAGTGCGCCGCCGTGACTACCCCGGCGCCCGGCGGCTTCGAAGGTGCAGTCGGATCGAGTGGAGTATGTAGAGTACGGAGGCGGGACAATCTCCGTGGGCTCCGGCTCGCTAGGAGATTTGTTGCCGAACATCCGGGGTTCAATTGAAGGGTTGAAGGGTTGAAACATTGGGCCTTGAGGTTCATCCGGCGTGGCGCCGCTATGTAATTACCCTATGGACAGATATACACATGTACATTCATTGTAATTTGTACATCCATTGTACATCGATTTGTGAGGACACTGGGGAGGCCGATAGCCAGCTACGGAATAGGTATCATACAAGAACTCCTCCCTTCATACGTAGGTCTAGGTACTTGGCGGATGGCAGGATCCCAAAAACCAAAAGTAAAAAGATAAAACAGAAACGAAAGCCCTGCTCCAGCTCCTATATACCAGAGAGGAAAAAACAAAACTCCAGCTACAAGTACCGTAGCCATCGCAAAAAAGAACATGGTAACAACAACAACAACAACAACAACAACAACAACAACTATCTACGTTTACTCATCGCAACCTCCATCTTTCTGACCATGCTCTTGAGCCCCACGCCCTTATCGCAATGCGCCACCAGGTGAGCCTCCATCTTCAGCCTGCACCTCTTGAGGCTATCGGTGATAGGCAGCGCGCCGCCCTCCTCCTGCAGCGGGTTCAAGAGGACCTCAAACACCTCCGCCCACAGGGGCTTCTCCCAGTATCTTTTCAGCGGCGTGGTGATTTTGTAGTTCTTATGCCCGCCGCCGGGGAGGCCGGAGCGTTCAGCGGCGGTCTGGATGTATTTCCCAAAGAGCATAGAGTGTATGACCGCGGCGATGCCGTGATAGTCGACCTGGAAGGTCCACGGCCTTAGCTCCCGCATTTCCGCGCAGTCCTGCTGGTCCGTCTTCCAGTCGGCGATGAACTGGACACTGGGGTGGAACAGTTTCATGTCGATGCCGCGGCCGAAGTCGATGAACGTGACGCCCTTCGCCGACCACCCGCCGGAGCCCGAGGGCTCGTACCGCGATGACCACAGGTTGTCCGCGATCGCGTCGAAGCGCACTAGACAGTTGTCCGCTTTGATGTCGCCGTGGATGAGTAATTGCGCGTGTAGGCTCTCGGTCACCCGCAGAAGCTCGACGGTCAGGAACATCACTAGGAGCTCGTCCATCACGCCGGTTCCGCCAGCCTCGGATCGCGCGTGGTTCACTAGGTCCAAGATGGTGCCCTGGTCGCGGTACTCGAGGAGGAGAAAGCCCTCGTCCTTAAATAAATGCATCTCGTGCGCCTTCACGATGGACTCAACGGCCCTGGTATTCCGCAGTCGTCGCTCCGCCTGCTTGATGATGTAGAACTCCCAAGGATTAGGAGGATGCTCCATCTTGAGCGCCTCGTATTTCTTTCGCCCGGCAAGCTTTAGTTCCGCAAGCTGTCGCTCGAGCTCTTCCTTGCCGAGCCCGTCTTCCTCAGCCTCTTCTTCCAAGTCGGCCACGCTGATATTCTCGACCAGGTAGACGGGGGCGAATGCGCCCTTGCCCAACTCCCTCTTGACTATGTATTGCCTCCCACCTTCATTGACGAAGAACTCGAGCGCCGGGTTCTCCGGGACGCCGCCGGTAGCTCCACCGCCATCCCGCTTCGCCATAGTCTTAGTGAACCGCTTGATCTCCGCAGCACGGCCCGAGTTCGTCGTCGGAAACTCGTAATACCCGTCGTAAGTCTTGAGGGGCGGATCCAGTTTTTGCCATATCAGGGCTCGCATGCCTTCATCCATGGGATTGCAAACCTTGTCGTCGACGACGGGGCCTTGCTCGAGCACTTTCTCCCTCCGCCGCACCACCGCCACAGGCTGCAGCTGCGACTTGGGTTGAAGTGGTAATTGTTTCTGGATCGCCGCCAGAGGCGTCCTCCGGTTTTCGCGCGGCGCCTCGTCAAATGGACTACCACCCATCATGTCATCGTCCTCGTCGTCGTCATCGTCGTCGATGACAGGCATGGCGCCCCGACTGGGAGTTTTCGGCTGCAGCGCCCTGCTACGGCCCAGCGTGCCAGGAAGTGACTCTGTTCTCTCAACGATTGGGGTCATGTACGGCAGGCGGCTCTGCATGTGGGACTGGTCTTTTGCAATATGGTACGGCAGCGTGGGAGGATTGAAATCATCCGGCGGCTCCGGAATCTGCAGCCGCCGCGCTTGCTGCGCTTTGGCCAGGCCAGGCTCGTCGGAGAAGATGGACAGCTTCTGCATTTTGACTACCGGTGCCCGCGGCTCCGGAACCGCAAATGTGTCACCCTCGCCCATGTCTTCGTCTTCGTCTTCGCCCTCGTCCGCGTCCTCGTCGGAGGGCTTGGCCATGTTCTGCGCGAGGTTGAAGTCGGACCAGTCACTGCGGACACTTGCGGCATCGTCGTCGTCGTCATCCTCCTGGTGTACCGTCCTGTTTGTATCAACCATGCTCGTGGTGGTATAATCGCCCTCGCTCTCCTCACCGAAGTCTGTCCCATCGCTCTCCTGACTATCGGGATCCTTTGGTTGCAGTTTCAGTGGTTGGTTGAATATGCCGTAGATTTCGTCTGTCGCCGCTTTTGTATGGAAAGTCATTGTTGGGCTTGAAGACACTGCCGCCGTTGTTGTCTGCCGTCCTTTCCGACGAACTTTGCCTTTATTGGGAGATGGGGATAGTACAGTTTTGATTTTTACTGGAGTTCTGCTTCCCTCCAGCGGTCGCCGCCGCTGGTTCCGCTCCGCTGCCGCCGCCTGCCGATGCTCATTCCAATCAATTCCGTACAAACCTCTGCTCTTCGCTCGCAACTCATCAAATGAATACTCATCCCCTTCTTCTTCCGGTGGGTAAACTAGTTCAAGCACGACGGCTATACGTTCAGGCCGCTTGCCTGGCACTGGCATTGTATTTGACAAGGAAGTAATGTGTGACATTTGAGACTGATACATGCCAAGTCGAGAAATGGTAAATGCCATGGAATTAGTTCTACTCCGGACAACATGAGAAATACCGAATCGCCCAGTTGGATAGAGGAAGAGAAGGAGAGAGAGGGGAGGTGAAGAGAGGTCGAAGGATAACTTACAGTATCTCTGAACACCGTCAACTTGTCAGTTGTAGGCGCCTTTCCATGAGACTTCAATGTTTCCCCAGCCCACGGCTTCGCCTCAATTTCATTCTCCTTCTTGCGGTGGTGAAGAGTCCCGATGTTGTCCCATCCACCAGTCGCTCGCGCAGGGGTCGATTTCTCCGCCGAAGGTGCGTCCGCATCGGAGAAAATCGCCATCTTCATCTTTGCGGGCTTGTTCGCGGCAGATTGGGGCGGCACCTGGGGGTCGGGAGTGCCGCCGAGGCCTCCACTGGCCACCAATCCGCCCAACTGCTTGGCAGCGAGCGCCGGTCTCACCGTCGGCAGGGCGGGGGAGGACGGTTCATCGTCGTTGGGTGGGTTCGCCGCCATCCGCTGCAGGAATTCGTCGTATTTCCGCTGCAGTCGCTTGATAGGATTCGCATTGGCGTCGATTCCCATCTGGTAGATCTCGTCCGCCTGGTTCCTTCTACCTAGAGACTCCAATAGAGCAGCGTACTCCTCGTAGAATAGTGCCAGCCGTTGGCCCACTTCGTTACGTGCTAGGTAGGCATACACTTCTCTTGGGGTGTCCGAGTAGTCCTGAGCATACTGCACCCAGAGCTTGAGGTACCGCGGATCGTTCTTGTATTGATTGTCGTGTATAAACTCCTTTGTCGCACGCTCCAGCAATTGCAAGAGCCCCGAGTCGGCGGAGTGTCCTGACGTGAATGTCTCCACCGTCCAGTTGATGTATCGCAGCCAGACTTCGAGAGGATCGTCGAGTTCCGCAGCAGTCGTGAGTTCCTCCTCGAACTCGTCCTGGCGGGCTCGGTGCTCGGATCGCATTGCGTGAGGCTTGGATGTGAGAGGTGACAAGGAGGCGGCCAGGGCTCGAGCTGACCGTCCGGAACGGATGGGCTGAATGTTTTCCTTGTGCCCTTCGATCAGATCGAAGTTGGTGGTGGGAGCGTCATCGTCCATGGCTCGAATCGACTTTCTGGACGCTTGGGGGAAGCTGTAGGGGTGTGCGTATTCGGATGGGCGATTTGGTTGGGCAGTTGGTGGGTGGTTAGCGGAGAAGACGGGAGGGAAATGCGAATTGCGGGGCGTGTGGGGAGAAGGTGATTGTTGTTGTTGATGTGGATGGTGGCGGTGGTTACAAGTTTTCTTGGCGTGACAGCACTCGAGCCACCAACGTGTGGCGTGGTCGAATCCGCCTCTCTGGCCAGCCACAAACACTACGTTTGTTGATGGTCTGGGTAAGATGTATGTAACTCGACTAGCAACGCGGGGTAGGATCAAAGGCGATTGTAACGGCTATTCTGATATGTCCGTGGAATTCTTTCTTACACAAAGTCGCAACCGTTTTTCGAGGGCGGAGTTAGCTCATACAATATGACTCGCTTTTAGCATAGTTAGAACTTTTCCGCAACGCCATGATAGGTTCACTCGCAGGAAAGGTCGGGCTTGAGGTTGCCATAGTCCAGACAGGCCATATGCGACAATAGATTGATGTCCCCTCTCTCTATAGGTTCATTAGTCGAGGGTTTCAGATCGATGCTGCCGTCAGTGCCGAACAATCGGCGTGGGACCTGGAGGGGATACCGTACATGATGTACGTACTACACGACTTCGATAATGTTTCCGATGTTTTGGAGATGATCAGAGCCGGGATTAGACGGGAATGGTGGCCGGCCGAGTTACATATGCACAGCAAACGGTGCCGAGGAGATATCGTGGGGGATGAATGCCATCTCAAGAAACTTCGATGGTGATGTACGGTAGTTACTCTAGTAGGGAGACGCCCAACCACATCTCACATCAAGCTCACCGGTGGTCCTGGACATCCGAACTTACGCAAAACCCTCTCAAGCCGGCCCAAGCCAAACGAGCCATAGTTAAGCACCGGTCTTTCCTGTTCACCGAGCTCACACTTGGCCCATCGACTCCGGCCAGACTGCAGACCAAACCACCCAACCGGAAAAAATAAAATAAAATACAATAAAATACCATATACCCAAAAAATAACACGACGGGCATCGCGCTTTCCAGATAGGGGCTCTGTCTCACCGTCCCCGGAGGGTCGCCTGCCGTGCCTACCCCAGTTGAGAGATCTGCAGCCGTCGCGGAGAACCTCCCAAGAGCCCAAGCGCATGCACCATGGCTGCTTCATCAGCACAATTTCCTGCTCCGACAATTCCATATCCCCCTTCTTCGTCATCAGGAGAAGAAGAAGACGCCGACGACCCTCTCAGACTCTCTCTACGACAACAGCAACACAGTACTCGAAGCAACAAGCGCGGCACGTACGCTAACAGAGTTCACCCGCCTACACCATCACTGTTGACGACTGCGTCCGCCGATCACGAGACCACCGCCGTCTCCAGTCGCGTTCGACACGCCGGCACCGGAATCGACGTTGAACGGTGGATGAGCGATAGCGAATCCGAGGAGTTGGAAATGGACAGCTATCATGGAAGAGGGGCCGCCGCGAGCGATGACGAGGAGGTCGGCAGGCGAAAGCCTCGGGGGGTTCGGCACCGCGCTGGTGACGAGTCCGAGGAAGCCGCTCTCATCCAGGGAGACATCCTTGATGACGAGGTGACCCGGCAGGAGAAGAAGGAGGCGGATGGGAGGGTCATGCGGGATCTGGCAATCAACCTGATTTTGATCGGACTGTGGTATGGATGCTCTCTTCCACAAAGGGGTGGTGTCTCTGCACACACAGCGTGTTTAACGGATCGCCCATGCTTCTAGGTATCTATTCTCGCTCTTGATATCAGTTGTAAGTCGGCCCCTTCAAGCCAGTCCTCGAGCGGTGCTCACTGTGTTCTAGTACAACAAATGGATGTTCTCACCGGATCACCTGAACTTCCACTTCCCGCTGTTCACGACGTGCGTGCACATGATCGTCCAGTTCTCGCTGTCGTCACTCGTACTATACGCGTTACCACAATTCCGGCCGGTAGGCTTCTTCGGCGAACCAGATGCGCCCGAGGATCTCCCATCGGTTGCCGATGCTGGCGGCTCGGAGAGCAGATTTGCGAGGTGGTTCAGATTCAACAGCTGGGCGCAAGAGCGCAAGAAGGCCCAGCAGGGGGTTATGACAAAGTGGGTCTACATGACCAAGATTGCGCCGTGTGGTGCAGCTACGGGGTTGGATATCGGCCTGGGCAACATGAGCTTGAAGTACATCACTTTGGCCTTCTACAGTACGAATCCCTCTCATGATGGGAAGCTGCATGTGGCTAACGCTTTTCAAAAGCTATGTGCAAATCCTCCTCACTGGCCTTCGTCCTCGTTTTCGCCTTCGCCTTCCGCCTAGAAAAAGTTACGTTGAAGCTCATTGGCATCATCGGCGTGATGACAATCGGCGTAGTAATGATGGTAGCCAGCGAAGCGCAATTCGTGACGATCGGCTTCATCCTCGTGCTGATGGCGTCCGCACTCTCGGGCCTGCGCTGGTCACTGACGCAGATGCTTCTCCTGCACAACCCCGCCACGGGCAACCCCTTCTCGTCGATCTTCTTCCTGGCACCCTGCATGTTCGTCTCGATCCTCGCCGTCGCCATCCCCGTCGAGGGCTTCGGACCACTGTTCGAGCGCTTCGGAGAGCTTGTGGACCAAGAGGGTGTCATCCGCGCCGTCGCAATCGTCGTGTTCCCCGGCGTAATCGCGTTCCTCATGGTATCCAGCGAATTCGCGTATGTGCCCCCCTACTCCCCCCTCCCTGCCCCCCTCGCACTAACCAACCGCTCTCTCAGCCTCCTCAAACGCTCCTCAGTCGTAACACTCAGCATCTGCGGCATCTTCAAAGAAGTGATGACGATCTCTGCGGCCGCCATAATCTTCGACGACCCGCTCACCCCCGTCAACATTTCCGGTCTACTCGTAACGATCGTCTCAATCGCGGCATACAACTACATAAAGATCAGCAAGATGCGGCGCGAAGCCGTCGAGGCGACGCACCGCCGAGATCGCGACAGAGCCGGTGCCGCTGCTGGGGCGGTCGCTCCTACCGGGTACGCCACACACCTGAGCCGACACGAGGCGTACACTGACAATCACGTCGAACCTGCCCTAATGAATCTCACAGCTAAACCTTCTTTGTGCGCGGTAGAAAACGAGACTAGTGGTGGTGCTGGTCAGAGTCAGGGCTTGGGTCAGGGAGGAGTCGGCGTGGGTGAGTCCGCGACGAGCCCCGCTGTCCAGAGGTTTGGCGGGCTCAGTGCGAACGCCTCCGCTACGAACTTGTCGGTGTTTTCGGGGAGTGCGGTTGCGTAACGGGCGCGGGAGCAGGGGGAAGCAGGGGGGAAATGTTCGCTGCTGTACTAAATCTATTTCTTGTGCATTTTGTTCGGAGTTTGGGGGATTTGGATTGGCGGGCTGTTTGGAGGATGGATGGAGGATGGAAAGGATGGTGAATGGATGTGTATACCTGAAAGGGTTATCTTTCTTCGTATTTATCCATGTTACGTGGTAGTAGAGCGTGTAGACATCGAGTTTCTGGACATTCATTCATTCATTCATATTCATTCATTTTTGATATGCGTGTGTATAGTATTTCGCTGTTCGTCTGTTCTATATCATCTAAAAACAACTGTTCCAATCAATCCGTCATCGTTTGGCTGTCTGGCTATCCCACCCACCGTAGTTATGCGTACAAGTATGACCTCGTCAAAGAAAGAAAGAAGAAGAAAAAGGCCCACAGAAAAGAGCTACAGGCGTATTATTACAAACAAGAAGGAAGGAAGGAAGGAAAGAAACGCGATGGAGATCCAAAATCGTGAAATGAAAACGTCCAAGTCCAAGTCCCAGTCCATATACAAATGGGATCAGATACGATACAAACATACATGGCAGCAGAGGATGAGATCATTACATGATCTTGTACACTCGCTTCGCAATCCAATAGCACATGAATCCAAAAACCAGCAGGCCTGCGGTGATACACCAAAACCTGTCCCACATATCCATCATCAGTAATCATTTATTCCCACCTTAATTCCCACAGGGCTCACAGGGCCTTTAGGGAGGGGAGGAAACACACCAGTCAAGATTCTCCACGTTCTGTCCGGGCACCATAACATTCATTCCCCACAGACCCGTGATGATGTTCATTGGCAGAACGATGGTTCCAAGAACCGTCAGTCTGCCAAGCACGTCGGCCGTCTGCTCCTGTCGCTCGTTCATCTTGATGTTGATCTGCGCCAGATAGTTGCTATGACTACGTGAGAGGATCTTTTCCATGTGGTTGAGGTTGGAGACCATGGTTACGATGTGGTCTGTCCGCCGCTTATCTTAGCATCGTTGCATCATGGAAAGAAGAGCCGAGGAGGAGAGGGGAGAGGGAGGGGGGGACTACCTTGAATATCGCCCAAATAAAGCCCAATCTCGCTGCGAGGTGCAACTTGCCACTGCTCATTACAGCGCTTCGCAAAGCCCTTGATAACATCCGCCTTATTTCCCATGAGGCGGTACAGACTCATAACGTTCCGTCTGCTGTCGCCCACCCGCTTCAGCATGTCGCCATCGCTCTTCTGCTCCTCGGGGTCGTCGCCCTTGAGCGATGCTGCGGTGCCCTGCTTCTTCTTTTCCGGCGAGTCGGGCTCGATGTGCATCCGCAGGATGGCGTCATCAATGTCGTCTACTTCCGATTCGAGGGACTGGATCAATGGCTGGAAGGCATCGGTGATGTCATCGATCAGAGCGTAGGAGATCCAGTCGGCGGAGACGGTTATGTAGTCTTTCAACTGGCGGATACGGCGGCGGACATTCGCTGGGTGTGGAGTTTGTGAGAAGTGGAACTGTGTGGGATTGTTAGCGCTTGCATATCGACAGATGATAGGGTGGGATTTATACGCTGATGACGCCGTCTCTAAAAACTACTACGTAAATGTTCACAGGATCCATATAGTCTTCGCTGTTACTATCCTGCTCGAACGTACGATACGACACCAAATAGTAGCTGCGGAACAGCTCGACTTTCTCGCGCGCTTCCTGCATCATAATATCCTCCGAGGTCAACGGATGAATGCCAAAGGCCTTGCTGATGATCTTCATCTCCGCATCCGTTGGGCTAAACACATCTAGCCAGAATGTCGGCCTCGGCCCGAGTCTAGGCAGCGATTGACTTGGTTCCGGCGGGGAGCAATCGGTCCTCGACTCGTCGCCGCCGGTAGTAGTGCTTCCCGCGCGCATTGGCCTTCCCGGGCTCGCATCAAGTTCATCTTCCGATGAGTCCTCAAGCACCCGCGGCTCCGGCCTGAAGAGGTCCGCGAACGACTGCCCTGGCTGCAACAGCTCCGATATCGTATGCGAATGGATTGTGGCAGGCAATTCTTCGTTGAAGTACGTGAATCGGTATGGCAGCTCCTCCTCATCCCTATGCCACGGGGCCCTAACGGGTGGTCTAAGGCGTCCACCCACATAGACAGGCTCCGGCAACTTCTTGGCTCTTATGCCCTCGCTGCGCTCTTCCTTCTCGTCGCGGCTCCACTCTTCCAAGACTGAGAAGTCGGGCCACTCGCGGCGACGGCGGCGGCAATTTGGATAGTCGTCGCCGTTCATCTCGGTAGCCTCGTCCTCGTCGAGCAGGCCGTCGTCGACCGGGAAGCAGACATCTTCCTCTGCGCGGAAGGTGGAAGAGCGCATGCCATTATTCGGGGATTTGGGCGGGGAGCGTGGCGGGTGCGAATCCTCGTCGTCGTCGCCGTCGTGCGTGTCAATATTGATGAGAGTATCCGGCGCATTACCGTTTCGTATTCTCGCGAAATCGTGCTCCTGGAAGCTACGAGCCATGCGAGACGCCTCCAGATGGGGGCTCGACGGAACCGACGGCGGGAAGTTGATGCTGCCGTATTCACGGAAGGGGACGCTAGGGGGCGGCAGCCGCCCGAGTTCTGGATGCTGTGCCCGTCGCGAACTAGACGTCGAAGGTCGCGACTTCTGCGGTCGCGTACCCATGAGAGAAGTCCTCTCGTTGGGCGCACCGATCCGGATCAACGGTCGGGTCTCATTGTCTGAGTTCTCGGAGCTCTGGCCATCGTCTTCCGCGCCATCGTGCGCCGGCCTCTCCTGATACCGTGGGTGTCCGCCTGGCGACCTGACCGAGTCAAACAGTGCTGTAGCAGTGCTAGAACGCCTCGGTCGCATGGACATTTGCTCTCTGTGATCCAGTAACGCGGTACTGTCCATCGACACGCCACTCAAGTTCGGCTGCAAGTAGAACCCCGTGTTCCTACGCGGAGCCGGGGAGTTGAAGGTGTTCGCGCCATCGTCCGAGTTGCGACCGAGTTCCCCCTCGAGGTGTCCGGAGGCAGTGTGTGTACGGCGGTTTCTGCGGCCACGGCGTCGTCGATGGCTGTGTTGTGGGTTCGGTGTGGTTTGCGGGCGCGTAGTCAATGGAGTGACGCCTGGGCGCTGGCGACTGGTGGAGTCGCTGTTGTGCGATTCCGATGACGACGAGGAGGCTGATGACGAGCTGGCGCGGGAGAGGACTGTTGGGGAACGCTGCGCGGACATTTAGAGTGACTCGGAGGACTGATTGCGGGCGGCGGGTGGCAGATGCAGAGCAACACTCAATCACGAGCGATAGCAAGGCGAGTGGGTGGAAACAAGGATGGTGGAGCTGTTGTGTCTCCAAAACCTGGCCGACGCGGTGGGGTAGTAGGAAGGTTGCTAAGATAAGGCACCGGTAACTGGGTTTTCACGTAGGGCTATGAAGAGTTTGAATTCTTGGACAGAAGTTTCATGACCAGGGAGAGTGAACTTACTTGCTATCTCTCTCCTGCTCAGTTGCAGTGGCTCAACGAGCAGCATTCGGTCCAGTCCAGTTCCAGAGCTCATCCATTTAGCCTTGGCGGCGGCAAGGGGAACTGGAGAGTCGGTGAGATCATTGCGTAGTCTTGTGCTGATTAGGTATGGTAGGAGGCGGGGCACGTGATTGGCCATCGCAAGAGTGACCGCAAGATTCTCCTCGTTCGCCTCACTTCGACCACAAAGACCGGATGGCGGGTGCCGTATCTCATCAATGTCGATACCCGCCTTGGCCTATAGGAATAGTTCACGATCTAAAGCAAGTATATGTGTGTCGTATCGCCGTGTCTCATAGAGTAGAGAGCACAACTCTGAATCGCACAGACCTTGCCCAGCACCATCGGTCCGAGCATCTAGAGTATTGGCGTGCTCAGTCAACCCCACTATTTCACTCATCACCTATCACTCGACTGGTGCAGATGGGTTTCTAGTTTCACTGAGTGAGGTTATACATGGAAAGAAGCACGTCTGTCGCGAACTGAGCGATGAAATCATGTTCCAAATCTTGGGCGTATCCTCGCATATAGAGCGGGTGGGAGTCGCTGACCGTGCAACCGATCTTGTCCGGGTAAGATGCCTTGGCAAACATGGTGGCATGGAGGGCATTTTCGACCCGCACCGTCTCGCGCTTGTACTCTCCAATCCCGAGCTTCGAAACGCAATCGCATCCGACATCCCGCCCACCCCGCACAGCTCATCAACATGGATCCCAATAACCCCCGTGAGACCTGGAACCGTTTCCAGTCTGCTCTTCAGCGCGCTCAGAAGTCCGGTGCCGGCGGTAGGGGAGGTGCTCCCAAGGGAGCCATCGGTGGTGGAATCGGCCTGGCGTTGCTCCTCGGTGCCGTTTTCGCCGGAAACAGTGCTCTGTTCAACGGTATGTTAAGTTCTATCCAACCGCCTGGGAATGTACATGATTGCAAATGGCGGCGGATTATGGGTGCTAACGTATGCTCTCTTGTGCAGTTGATGGTGGTCACCGTGCGATCAAGTACACTCGTCTCGGAGGTGTCAAGAAGGAAATCTACAATGAAGGTTTGACATCGCCACTCCAGTCGTTCCCGGGCTCCGTCACCGGCATGCTCGCTGGACTGATAGCACCTACCGGCCCTACATACGAAAAATGTTGCCTGGGGAGCGTGTGGCTAATCTGTGTTTTTCGGTATTTAGGAACTCACTTGATGATTCCATGGTTCGAGACACCCATCACCTACGACGTCCGTGCTAAGCCCCGCAACATCGCCTCGTTGACCGGAACCAAGGGTATGACAGCATCGGCCCCATGAAGCGTCAGCGATCCCCCACTGACGTGCATGAACCCCAGATCTTCAGATGGTCAACATCACCTGCCGTGTGTTGTCCCGTCCCAGAGTGGATGCTCTCCCGGTCATCTACCGTACTCTCGGAACCGACTACGACGAGCGTGTTCTGCCTTCGATCGTGAACGAGGTCCTCAAGGCCGTTGTTGCACAGTTCAATGCTTCGCAGTTGATCACCCAGCGTGAGGCTGTCAGCAGACTGGTCCGGGACAACTTGGTCAAGAGAGCGGCGAGGTTCAACATCATGCTGGACGATGTCTCGTTAACGGTACGCCTACCCGCAATGACCGAACATGACGCATAGCTAAACAAAGCCGTAGCATCTGGCATTCTCGCCCGAGTTCACCGCCGCCGTCGAGGCCAAGCAGGTCGCTCAGCAGGAGGCCCAGCGTGCCGCATTCGTAGTCGACAAGGCCAGGCAGGAGAAGCAGGCCATGATCATCAGAGCCCAGGGAGAATCCCGCTCCGCGGAGCTCATCGGTGACGCGATCAAGAAGTCCAAGAGTTACGTCGAGCTGCGCAAGATCGAGAATGCTCGGGACATCGCGAAGCTGATCCAGGATGCTGGCGGCAAGAACAAGCTGTACCTCGACTCGGAGGGTCTCGGTCTCAACGTGTTCGGAGACGTCCAGAAGAAATAAATAACGCAGCAATAGCGCGGCTACAAAAATGTGTACTCTATTTTGCTCGGTGTGTAGCGGTGGTGGTTGTCTTGTTGTGTTGTCTGCATGAGAGGGGGATGAAAAGCCGTGGCTCTGAGAGCTCTTTGTCTCTTGGCTGGGAGCACTCACTGGGCTTTGTGTGTGCTCCGCTGTGTCTATTTCTGTCTTTCGGAATCTCTCTCTCTCCACCTAGTTCGATTCCATGTACAATAGGGAAAAAAAAGCGTTGGCAATAGAAATCGAAGCTCATGTGAAACATTCGGTGGTGACAGCGGCGCCGTTGGATTTATGGACGCTTGTGTGCGAATACCCATGGAACTGATACTTGTGTACTCGTCACGTGTGTAGCCTAGATGAGCATTCCGAATTTCCGAACAGGTATGTAGATCGCTATTTAACACGACACTCTGCCCTAGTGACGCCTCCTTCTCCCTGACACCGGCAAGCCATAGTTAGCTACCCGGCTCATAGTTAACCCCCGAATCAACCTCCAAGCTTCCTTTCTCTCAAAGTTTCACGAACGAACGGACAAACAGATGCTGTGGACCAGCTCGAGTTATATCTTCTCATTCCCATTCTCAACACAATGATGCAACGACGGATCTCTGTCCTCCTCGTGGTAGCCGTGTTCTTCATCTTCTTCTCCGGCACGTTCCTGTTCGGCGGACGAGCGACACCACCCTCACCACCACCGGTTGTTCACGATGTGACCGACAGCGTTACAGGAGGCGTGAACCACGAAAGCGATACAAAAGTCGTGAACCACGAAAGCGATACAGGAGCTGTGAACCACGACAGCGAAAAGAAACCCACCACACATACGGATAGTAATCTCCACATTACGATCACCGAGACCGGCGGCTCCCACGATGAAGTGATCGCAGCACTCGTTCACGCCTTCGGCTCACAACCTAGCGCGCTGCTGAAACTATACCAGCTTCTTCCGCGCTATGGGATCACCGGCGTGATGCGCGGCTTCGCACTGAGCAACCCGCTCCCCGATCCCAAGTCTCCGGGAGTCTACAGAGATGTAGACTCCCTCCAGCGGCGGCCAGACGTCTTCGTTGCGGGGACCTGCGAGCTGGACCTCGTCTATTTCCAGAAGCAACTAGGCGCGTTGCTAGCAGAGCGGAAGACTTACCTCTTCTGCGTAGTGCACCATGCCGACCGGTGGGCGGCCGAGTCGCGGAATCTGGAGAACCTCATCACCCCCTGGGTCGAAGCCGGCCTCGTCGAGTTCTTGACTCTGAGCCCACACACTGCCACCTTCCTCCAAGAACACAGTATCAGCAAGTGGGCGACCAGGACGCCCGCCAAGATCCGCTCGTTCGTCCCGGTGTTCCCCGTGCCGCTGCCGGAGGAGCCCACGGGCACCGGCACAGACAAGGAGGAGCTATCATTCGCGCTCCAGGGCGACTACGACTCCACGCGCCGCGACTACAACAGCGTGTTCACGAGCCTCAACTCGCTGCTGACGTCCAGCAACTCCGCGCCGGCCGACGACGAAAAGCCCGACCGCAACGTGACCATGCACCTCCTAGGCCACGGCAAGCATCCCGACGTCCCCCTCGAGGTCCGCGAGCACGTCAAGTTCGACGAGGGCCTGGATTACGTTGAGTTCTACTCCATCATCTCGCGCACGTTCGCCTTGCTCCCCGCGTTCGCGAACAATGAGTACCTCGACCGCAAAGCGTCCTCGTCGGTTCCGGCTGCGCTGATCGGTGGGACCCCGCTGGTTGCCACTCAGGCCATCGTCGATGCGTACTCGTACCTCGACCCGGACGTCGTGTGGCTGCAGGGTGCGGAGGAGCTCGACCTCGATGTTGTAGGGAGGATTCTGAATATGGGCCCCAAGGAGCGGCGGAAGAAGAAGGAGCTGGTGAGACAGAAGTGTGCCGCCATGATCCAGCAGAATACCAAAGCGCTCGGGGTGTGGATTGGCGACGCTATGGAGAAGCTCAGAAATGGTGGCAAGAAAGCGGATGTGGTCGCATAGGTTTGATACCTTTGTTTGCTTTGCTTTGCTTTGTGCCGGGGAACGGTGTACTCGTACTTCTTTTTGGGATTGTTTTTGCACTCGTTTTGTGCTTGTTTCTTGGGTTACTTAATACTTGTTATGCTGGGATTTTCGGTGTGTACTTTGGAATTCTTTATAACTAATAAAAGAAACAAACGAATCACACGATGTCATTCATATTATACGAGTGCGAACCCATGCATCATCTTCATCCGGCACAGCTGGTATGGTACGTCCGCCTGTTGCTCGGACTTGTACGAGTAGGTAGCATATCGTGATAAAGGACCCTTTCTTTCAGCGCAAGCATTCCTTTATTCTCTGCTTCAGTGACTCTCGGCTCTGATACTGTTAGCTGACATGTGGAAGCCGGCAACGTGGATGTCAAGGTAAGACTCGAATCAAAGTTGAACGTGTCTATGCAGATGCTATACACTTTGATATAGGCTATTGCCGCTGAAGTTGTGGAGCTTGTGAAGGAATACGCTAAACAACTCCAGTGACAGCCGTTCTCATGATCCATCATCATGGCGGTTTCATTACTCAGACGACCCTTCCAAAACTCAGCCAGACACTCATAACCAAACCGCTACTTTCCCAGCACAGGCGCAATACCTAATACACCCTTTACCGCCGAATATAAAAACTCAGACACCATACCGCAATCACGCCATCACGCCGGCGCCGTACCTCCAAACAACCCCCCCAACTCCGCCCTCGGCCTCAGCGGCGTCCTTGCGCCATTCATGGAAAACACCATAGTCGACGAGGGTGGGCGCCTCGTGGCTACCGTCTGCCTTGGAGTACCAGCCGCCCCCAAAGCCGTCTCATAGGCACTGTGTTGTGAATCCGGGGATGCTGCTGTAGTCAGCCACCGCTCGCTCGTCATCATCTGACGGGGGATATACGCACCTTCACCAGGTCCGTCGAGTCCATCCACCCATGCACCGGGCATATGTGGTTCCCTATCCGGCCGTTTCCGTACCCACGGCCACCACAGAGGTTGCGAGCACCAAATGAGAAGGACCACGGTGCAGAAGGATACTAGAAGGCCGATGACGATGAAGCCGGTCATTTGCGCTATGGTCAGGATGAGTGCGTTGAGGTCGCGCGTGTCGGGCGAGCGGTTGACGGTGATCACGGTGAGGTTGGCGGGAGTGCGTTTGATGTGCGGTGGGGTTACGATGATCGTTGGGATCGGATATGGATCCCCCGCAGCGTTGTGGTGGGAGGTGGAAGTGTAGAACATTGCGGATGTGGCTGTTTGCGCGCCGAGGGCCGCTGCTATGACTGGAGTCGATGTGTACGCCGCATCCATACGTAACGGGACCACAGTCTCCACCAGGTGCTCATCCTGTATCGTGCTCGTGCTCGTGGGAATCGCAGTCTCGGTCACCACCACCGTCTGCGTGACGGTCTCCGCTCCCACGGTCATCTCCCTCCACATCGACACCGTCACACTCTCCGTCGCCGTGGTTGTAGTAGTAGTAGTAGAAACGCTCGTTTTCTTCGGAATAAACCAAACATACGTCTGATCCTCCTTCCTCTGATCAGCGTCACGGGTATGGTATCCCAACGGCCCAAAGAAGCGTCGTTCGCTCTCAGGAAGCTGTCGGACTGCCGTCGTGTATGGGTAGAAGCTCCATGGCGCGATTACATGCGTAAGGGTTGTTGACGGTGGGACGGAGGGAGAGGTGGTTGGGTCCTTCGCTTTGTGGGGCGGGGTGGAGGATGAGTAGTTGGGGATAGAGGTGGGTGACGCATTCGATTGGGAGCGGGCTGCGACGTGGAGAGGGATAAGGAGTGGCAGGAGGGAGAAGATCTTGAGAGGATTCATTACTTGTACGTGCACAGTGGACTCTTCGCAACAAGGTGGGTGACGGAGAGGAGACGGGCAATGGTGATATGGCCAGCCGGAGGAGGTGGGCCTGCCTATGCGGGTGGGTCTCAACTAGACCGGACTTTGTATTGCCAATGGTGGCCCGGCAACGGGAATTTGAGCGTCTAGGTATCATTGCCATCACGTCAAGCAGACCACAGACACCGCCCTGCCCTCAAGCAACGTTTGTATAGTCTCTATATGCATAATTCATCACTCGAAAAACAGGACCTCCAAGGTACACGACAGACATCTACAGCCAGCGAGTCAGACAGCAAGTCAGACAGGCTCAAGCGAACACCAGACACCAGACACCAGACAACAACCAAATTGCACATGAACAAGAACCGATGCATCATATAACGCTTCCCGCTCCCCAGCGCTTACTCAGAGAACCCCAGTGCATTGAGTTGCCTCATGAGCTCACTCATCTTGATAACCTTCTCCAACTGCTCAGGCAGCAGACTCTCGCCATCATCCTTCCTGGTCTTGAGGTCATTCGCCTGCCGGATCTTCTTCCTGATAGCCTTCGCCAGCTTCTCCTTCTCCTCCGGCGTCGCATCGGCCGCATTCCTCGAGCTCGCAGCTGGTGGTGCCGTCTCCTTGACCTCCTCCTTCACATCTTCGTCATCCTCCTTCTTTGCCTTCTTCCTCTCCTTCTTCTTTGCATTCTTGACTCTCGCCGCCTCGAGCTTGGCAGCATCCTGCTTCACCACCGGTTCCGCACCAGGGACACCGCAAGAGCCCCGGTTCTTCCACGCCTCGGCCCGCGAGTTCTTGTAGACCTCAACGTCCTCCGGCGGAAGGTAGCCAGGACGCACACGAATCTCCTTTCTCGTAGAGCCATCGGGTCGAACGGACGCAGGGATCAGTCTTTGTCCATCGGCGACGACGATGCCGGATTTGGTGGGAGGGGTCGAGGAGCGCGAGGGCGTCATTGCGTGTGCGTGCACGATACGGATTCGCAGTGGGTCGAGCCGGTCGGGAGGATTGATGTTTGGGTTCGAGAGCTGTGGTGGGAGCTGTGGGGGAGCTGCTGGCTGCTGGCTGTAGTCTGGGCTTCGCTGGCTAACTAACTTTAATTTTGATCACGCTTGAAACGGCGGTTACCCGGACGGATTGCGATCTGTACATAGTAAACGCACGGTGATAGCGGGTTTCGACATTTAAAGTGCAATGTGCGGTGTCGTCACCCGTAATCGACCTGCTGAGTTCCGCTGATTTCCCGGTCAATCATGATTCATGCTGTTGCACCTACTCTATAGACTCAGTTAGATTTGAGCTCCCGCAAACAAGAACTGTTGGAGGAGAGAAGAGGTTTCGCTTAGACTGTGTTGTAGCTTATTCACCTTCGTATTCGCCGCCAAATACAGAGGTGGATCGCGTGGTTACATCTACTAAGGTCAATCTTATTATGTAATCCCAGACCCGCCACCCACCCCTCCTTCTTGGACTCGACATGGGCATCGGCACGCCATCCAACCAGAACTCCCAGTTTCCGACATACTAGTACCCGACCAAACAATTCTCCCACCTTGAAAGCCATCCGCCACGGATCTCGACATCTGCTCCTGCATATGCTTATGACCTTTCTCTCTATTGCGAAATCGAACTCTCCCAGTCCTAGACAGAGCTGTGCCGTGAGTAGAGCATTATTAACTCACTGTTCCCACGTTCTTTGGTTGACGTGCTGCTAACGAACTGTGCTTAAGCTCGACTCGATAGCTGCCTTTTAGCTGAACGATAAAGCAGCTCCTACACCGCCGCCAGACGAGCCATCGCCATGTACTTCACCGATTCAGAATCCGCTCTCCCTCGCCGGCTGCGGGATGCCCCCAAATCATATGACTATCGATACACCACCGCAGTACAAGTGGCCCTGCTGAAAGACCTTTTCAACTCCCTCGGGTGCCACCGCCGTGACTACATGAACTACTTCTTTCCGAACGGTCTCCCCACCGAGAATACACCCGAGGCGTGGAGTCTATCAGCAGCTCAGGGCGCAACTGAGGGGGCGGAATATAGTGCTGGGGCGAGAGGAAAGCCGTGTGGTCACATATTCAAGAGCGGGGAAGCTACTTATCGGTGCAAGTAGGCAGGCCCCGATAATCGGTTTTGATTTCGTTTTTGCTATTAGTAGTGCTAACCGGGTGCTGGCGGAGCGCGTAGGACCTGCTCACTCGACGATGCGTGTGTTCTCTGCAGCAAGTGCTTCGAGTCCTCGGACCACGACGGCCATACCGTTTTCGTGAGCGTTTCGCCGGGGAACAGTGGATGTTGCGACTGCGGCGACGCCGAAGCGTGGAGGATACCCGTCAAGTGTGCTATTCACACGCCAACCGGCGACACCACGTCACCAATGGAAACCGATGATACCTCTCAACGGCTACCCCCGGAACTCGTTGCCTCCATCCGCAATACAATTGCCAGGGCGCTGGACTATTTGTGCGACGTCATTTCGTGCTCTCCCGAGCAGCTGCGCCTGGCCAAATCAGAAGCGGCGATCCGGAAGGACGAAGCGCACTCCCGGTTGACGTCTAGATATCAGGTTCCCGAGACTGATGATGATGATATGGAGTATGCGCTGGTGCTCTGGAACGACGAGAAGCACACCATCGCAGACGTCCAGAAGCAAGTGTCGAGAGCATGCAGGGAGACGTCGGAATTTGGCAAATTGCGTGCACACGAGGTCAATAACACTGGCCGGTCTGTCCTACGCTATTCTACAAATATTGCACAACTGCTAGACATCTCGCGAATTATTGAGCATATCAAAGTTACCGTTACAATCCGGTCGGCGAGGGATACGTTCCGCGAGCAGATGTGTGGAACCATCATCGAGTGGTTGGACGATATTGCTGGTTGCAGTGTCGGCGGAGATCACAATATCATCCGGACTACGATCTGTGAAGAGCTGTTGAGTCTCTGGCGAGTGGGCTCCAAAGCTTCTAATACCGAAATCGGCCAGCAAGGCATAGATGACCACTCTTATACGGAGGAGCGGATTAATGTCGACGTCCAAATGCAGTACCTGGTACCTATGGAGCTTACTGGTGTCGCGGAGGTGGAAGATGAGGATATGGAAGTTGAGGTGGTGGGGGGTGCCGTTTTCGGTGACGATGATGAGCTTGACGAGGACGACGTTGATATGGTTGGTAGTGGTGGCGGGAATAGTGAGGATGGTAATAGCCTAGGGGATGGTGCATTCACGATTCAGCGGTTACTGCGGGCGGACGAGTTTGATACGCCACGGCCCGTCGATCTCGACGGCACCAACGAACGGCACGCGGCGGATGACCCCGAGAGTGGCGCTCCTCGAATTCCGCACACCCCTCATATTCCACCGCTACATGGCTCCAGAATGAAGGGACCTGCCCCTCCATACTGGACCGAGAAGCCAACTGGATATGCCCGTAGCAATGTTCCCGCGCACGAAGACTTACGGCAACGAGTGCGTCTTGACTGGCTCATCATGTTTGATTTGCGTCTTTGGAAAAAGGCGAGAATCGGTCTACGAGATCTGTACATCAGCACGGTTGTGGCGATTCCTCAGTTCAAGCGGATATTAGGGCTACGCTTTGCTGGGCTCTATCCTGCATTGGCCGAATTGTATCTCATCGCAGACCGAGAGCCGGACCATTCTATCATCAATCTTTCGCTGCAGATGTTGACCACGCCGACAATCACGGCTGAGGTTGTGAAGAGAGCCAATTTCTTGACAACATTGACCGCCATCATATATTCCTTCCTAACCACACGTCAAGTGGGGCTTCCGTCCGAGATCAACCCCGCCGCAACGCTTGCGTTCGAAGGCGGTCCGCTGACGAACCCACTCACCAACCGCCGGATGTATCACTTTTTCCAAGATATGCGATACCTGTTGGGGTCGAAATATGTTCAAGAACAGATCCGCTCCCATCCGCGATACACATTGCAGTTCCTCGATCTTGTTAGGCTTCACCAGGGTATCTGTCCCAATGTGCGAGCAGTGACAGAGCACGTTGAGTACGAAGCTGAGGCCTGGATTAGTGCTTCTCTGGTTACGAAGGAAATTAACAAAATGTCTCGTCAATTCTCTGAAGCGTTTCGCACGGAAGGACCCAAAATTGAGGACTACCTTCGTCGCGCAATCGCCACGGCCGCAAAATATGCCATCGAGAGCTCGTTGGGATTTGAAAAACATCGTTACCGGCAGACCGAGATGAAGTCTGAGCCCGAGTTCAAGCAGGTTGGTGGTTTCGCATTCGACACAGACAGGTGGGGTAAACCGTACACCTACAAGATCGTCCGGTTTTCGGTGGATAAGCAACCAATCAGTTTTCATCACGCGCTGCATTATAGTCTTTCATGGCTCATCGAGGCTGGAAAGAGCATGACGAACGATGAATTGCGCCCCATTCTGCTGCTGAAATGGGAGATGTTTAAGTCACGCTTCACCAAGAGTGACACCGATCTCGAGCCCGAAGATCTTGCAGTCGCCATGTTTGATTACCCACTCCGAGTTTGTGTGTGGCTGGCACAAATGAAGACGAACATGTGGGTGCGGAATGGATACAGTCTCAAGCACCAGATGCAAACATACCGCAGTGTAACGCAGCGCGATCTTACACATCATAGGGATATCTTTCTGTTACAGACGTCTCTGGTGACAGTTAATCCTAGCCGGATGCTTGTAAGCATGATTGACCGCTTCAACCTGAACCATTGGATGGAGGGAAACTATTCTACGCCTACCGGTTACGATGATGCGCAAGTCCTGGATTTGGCGGAAGACTTCCTGCACCTGTTGATTGTGATATTGAGCGACCGGCTGCCACTGATACCGCAGGAAGAGGAGCCTGGCTTGCAGGCACTGAGGATCCGGAGAGAGCTGGTTCACACTCTCTGCTTTAAACCGATGCAATACTCAGATCTTTCACGACAGATTCCCGAGCGTCTGCTGGATAGCGAGACGTTCCAGGAAGTACTTACCGAAGTTGCCAACTATCGTCCACCCGATGGTCTCGCAGACTACGGAACTTTTGAACTGAAGGAAGCCCATCTCGACGAAGTCGACCCGTATATTTCGCACTTCACTAAGAATCAACGCGAAGATATCGAAGTGAAGTATCGAGCAAGGATGGCCAAGAAGCTGGGAAAGCCGGAGACGGAGATCGTTTTCGAGCCTCGCCTACTTCCCATCCGCTCTGGAGTGTTCAAGGACCTCGCGGCTTTCACCAGGACGCCTGTATTCGCTCAAATCATCTACTATTTCCTGGCTTATTCCCTTCATTTCAAGACGTTTACCCCTGCCATTCAAGAAACTCGAGTGGAGATCTTCTTGCAATTGGTCCTGCATCTATGCCAGCTTGCCACTCTTGAAGATACCGCGGAAGAAGGCGCAGCTGATTCCTTTATCCTCCATGCGCTCGAGAAGCAGGCACCCGCCTTTCCGAGCGAGGTCGAGGGAGGTGACAATGGACAGCGGACAATCGCCACGGCTCTTTACCGCCTGGCCGATACGGAGGATTTCAAGGGTTGCCGAGCCAAAATTAACCACATCTTGCGGAGCTTTAAGCAGAAACAGCCTACCGCTTTTGCTACCGTAGCCGCCTGGGCTACTGCGATGGGCGAGAAACTCGAGGTGGACGAGCAAGATTTGCAAGAGGCGGAGATGCAACGGAAAAAGCAGATGGCCATGGAACGCAACGCTAGGATTCTAGCACAAATGAAAGAACAGCAGCAATCGTTCTTGGCCAACACCACATTCAATTTTGGTGATTCCGGTGATGATCTTAGTGATACTGAGAGCGACGCTTCGCCTACGGAGGAGAAGAGGTTGTGGAAGTATCCTACCGGCACCTGCATCCTTTGCCAGGAGGAGATGAATGATTCCAAGCTTTACGGGACACAAGCATTTGTCACCGAAACCAACATACTCAGGCAGACAGACCCTACCGATGCTGATTACGTGTACGAGGTTGCGAAAACGCCCGAGAGTCTAGACCGTGACGCTTCCGCGATACGACCATTTGGAGTTGCGGGTATGAATCGCAAGGTTCACACAAGACTTGCCAAGGATGGGTCAGAGGTGTTTGCTGAGAGACAGGGCTTGGGACGTGGGTTCCCTCAAGACAAGGCAACACAAGGACCCATCGTCACCAGTTGTAACCATCTCATGCACTTCAGTTGCTTTGAGCATTACTGCGAATCCACCCGACGACGCCACCCCTTCCAAATCGCGAGAAACCATCCGGAGCGACTGGAGAAGAAGGAGTTTGTGTGTCCGCTGTGCAAGGCCTTGGGTAATGCATTTCTGCCGATTGTCTGGAAGTCTCAAGAAGAGACGCTCACGGGAGGTGTGTTGCAACCTAGCCAGGCGTTTTCTGAATGGTTGAAGGGACTGGGACCTGCGATCAGCCGACTGGAGAAGGCTGGAGAAGACACTGGTGTGGGCAGAATCCAGGACCTGTTCCGAGAGTACAGCGGCAGCCGCATCGTTCCTCGTATATCCAATATGCTGCAACTCCATCCCTCGGCTTCTAGGCAGGAAACGATGGTTGAGCTACGGACCCGACCGAGCAATGCCAGCGACTCTCCTCTCATAGCCCCTCATCCCACGGCGCCTCGCACTCCACTGGCTCCCCTGGACGAGCTGCAGAAAACGTATTTGCGCTTGCGAGACACATTCTTAGACAACAAGATACAGTCTTCATACCAGAATTCACACATTCAGGCCTCGTGGGCATCCGAATTGACGCAGAGCGACTCGCTAGTACGCACCCTTGGATTCTCCATATCCGCCATCGAAATCGCACAGCGTGGGCTCGCATCCGAATCCGGCTTTACTCTTCTCGACCGGATACCACCCCAGACAATCACGCACCTGCGCATCCTGTCGGAGACGATCTCTTCGTATTTCGCTGTTGGCACCCTTCAATCCTGTGAAGTGGTGGGGACTAGAAAGCTTCATCAATTTGAGGACATGGTGAGGGACCAGCTGCAACGGTTGTTCATTGGCCATCCGCAGTTGTTCGAAGACCACGCGAAAGTCCAGATGGCTATCCGAGTTGGGCCACTGCTGTCATCGGACGCATTCTTGTTCTTGGCTGAATGCTCGGTCTGCTCGGTGCCGGGCTTCTCTTGGGACATACTTCACATCATGCGCCTGTGTTATACTGTGGAGATCGTTAAGGCTGTTATCGTCTTTGGGCGAGACTGCGAGCTTCCAGATATACTACGCGAATGGGAGAGGTCCGAGAGACTTGCTGATATCGAAGGCGAGATTGGCTATACCGAGGCCCAGCTGGATTCGTTGCAGCAATTTGTTAAGTTTGTGGAGAAGTCCCTGGGTAAAACTGTCGGTGGGTTGTCCAGTCATTCCAGCTTCTCCCTTGCGGTATTCCGCCACCTTGTTGGAGCTTACGCCACGCCGTTCCTTCGGAAGTGCATTATCCTCCTACATACTCGGTTCGGCGTTGTCTTCCCGCCTAGTGGCTTCGCCGAGATGACAGAGTCCGAGCAAGTTCGCTTGTGCCGCGTCCTGCGCCTCCCTAGCGTCGACGAGATCTTGGAGACTGCCCTGTCAAAGAATAGCGAGGGAGAGTACCTACAAGGTGTCATCGCCGGCTGGTGCCGGCACCTCACCATCCGCAAGACGTCGGTTACGATGCCTCACCCCGGCATCCTTGAACTTGTCGGCCTGCCAAAGAACTACGACGTCTTGGTCGAAGAGGCCATGAAACGGAGATGTCCGTCCACCGGGAATGAACTCACTGAGCCGAGTGTGTGTCTCTTCTGTGGAGAGATATTCTGTTCTCAGGCGCGTTGCTGTCTTGAGAGGATTGGAAACGAGGAGGAGGGATTCAGGGAGATTGGGGGATGCAACATCCATGTCCGGAAGTGAGTAATCGATCAATGCTATTGCTTGCAGAACTAACTGTGTCGTGTACAGGTGTGGCAAGACGGTGGGCTTGTTTATCAATATCCGCAAATGCGCGCTGCTGCATCTTCACGATTACCACGGGTCTTGGAATGAAGCGCCGTACCTGGATGCACATGGAGAGACGGATGTGGGCTTGAGGTTTGTCCTTACCTTCCTTTATGCCTTTTCTCGTTACTAATTCTCTAGACACCACCGCCAACTCTTCCTGAACCAACGTCGCTACGACGCCCTGCTCCGCAACGTCTGGCTGCAGCACGGCATCCCCTCGGTGATCTCGCGGAAGATGGAGTCAGAGCTGAACACGGGAGGATGGGATTCTTTGTGAGAGGATGACAAGGATTTAAGGTGTATTGGGCGTTGGGCTTTTGTTTCGTTCTTGTTTCTTGATGTTGCGTAGGTGATTGGTAGTATACGTATTGGGATATTACCTTTGCGCGAGGTTGGGGACGGGGGTTTCGATGAGATGAGATGATTGTGCTTCTGAGAGCTTGGTGATGTCGCTACATAAGGGCTGTTCTGTATAGTAAACACGTGAAATACTACCGGGACGTTTACCGGCGTTGTAACTTGTAATTTGTTTGCTACTTGTGACGTGTGTACATGCGTGCACGTCGTGATTACTGAATCCTATGCATACCTTCTGCAAGTTTCCTACGATCAGACAGGTAAGGAATTTCTGCACCCTTACATACGACATCGGAGCTAGGAAGGGGATAGTCTCACCTTCCGTGCGTCAGTCCGTCAGTCTCTACGATTCCGACATATCCGCCCTGTCGTGGACGCTCAGGCGGACTGGACTGTGCATTGCCCGCTGGGGGCGAGTGCTTCGTCAATTATCACTCGATTACCGGCCCAAAGCCGCCGGCGAAGAATTATCTGTATGTGCTAGACAATGATTAGACAAAAGAATGTGAATGTGCTAGTTACGATATGGAAAGATAAAAGAATGTGTATGTGTCTTGTTCAATCACTTTCTCTTGTCGACAGCAACAATAAGCCAAAAAGACGAGAACTTTTCTCGCCACCACACCACAACTTAGCTTTTTTCGGAGACGATTCTTTGAGCAGAGTTCCCCCCGCTTTGCGGCAAACCATAAAGACCCATTAACCCATAGCTTCGACCATTATGGCACGGAGACCTATGATAGTTAGAACAGAGTCCTAACGTTATGTGCACCGATCATCTGCTGATGGCACTCAACGGGACTGTCCAGACCGGCGAGGGGCCGTCTACCGGGAGTCTGTTCACGCTTGAGTAAGCTTATTCGCAGAACATACTTTCCATTCGGACGGCCGTGGGCGGTCTCAAGATACCTAACATGTCCATCATTCACATATTTGGTCCAGTGAGAGAATCGCGAGGAAAGCGAGTGAAAAGGGGGGTATAGTTTATAGTTTATAGAAGAGCAAATACTAACTAAGGTATGTACAAAGCAGCAGAAGAATAACGCACTGATTTTGCGGAATCGCGAGGGAAGGGGAGTGAATGAAGGGTAAAGTTTATAGAAGAGAAATTACTAACAGGTATGTACAAAGCAGCAGAAGAATAGACATCTAACGCACTGATTTCACGGAATCATATATCTAAAGGTAAAGCACGATTGACCACCGGTGATCTTACACTGCCGACAGCGCACTCGGACACTTGTTTCCCGCCACTGAATCTGGCCGCTCACTCTCTCCCCGTGAATCCGGCCGCTCACTTTCTCCCCGTGAATCCGGCCGCTCACTTTCTCCCCGTGAATCTGGCCGGTCACTCCCACCCGCTGAATCCGGCCGGTCACTCCCACCCCATTGACTTCTCCCTGCCCCATCGCGGCCGTTCAACGGCTCTCCTTCTCCACCATCCAATCTCGGCGTGTCCGCCGCAGCAGCGGGCATCGCAAACCCGACCTCATCGCCCTCGTCATCCTCAAACTCTGGCAGCTTCCTCACACTCCTCCTGATCAGATACGCCGCGACGATGCTTCCAGCGAGTAGGACATCCAGTGCCATCGCGCCGGCCCACGCACCCTTCATCTGCCTACAAATCCCCCCGACCCTCCCAATCCACTGCTCGTAGTTCCCCGCGCTCTGCTGGCCATCGGCATAGCTATCGCCGACGGCGGGCAGGTCCAGCCCGCCGATCTGCAGTGCGCCGAAGTGCTCAGCGTCGAACCTTGACGTGCCGTTGCCGTCGCCGTCGTAGCGTATCAGCATCAGGCTCGAGATGTGGTGGCCCTTCTCGGCGACCTCGCCGCAGTCCAGCCCGCTCAGTGGCGCGCCAAGGATCACCGCCGCCACGATGAAGAGCACAAGGAATACCCCGTCCAGGAGTACGAACGTCGTGTAACTGTTCCCGCGCCCGAGCATGTGCATGATCGCCGTGGATAGGAAGTAGGCCACCCCCGCGAGACTCATGATCAGAGTGAAGAGTAGCTGGTACGGCGGGATCGCGTCGAGCCGGTCGAGGCTGATCATGAAGTTCGAGAGTAGCGGGAGGATCGAGAATAATACGAGGAGTTGCAGCATTCGTAGCGCGGTGAAGCCGTACCCGGCGGGACTCGTGCGCACGGCCATAACCGGTAATGCGTGTAGGTATCGACGAGTGATTTGCGTCGAACTGGCGGAGTATATAGGTGACGGCGGAGGCGGCAGATCGATGTCAAGGGCAGGTAGGGCAGGACAGGATGGTGGTGGTGGTGGTGCCTTTGTGATGGAATTGTTGCCCGTCCCCGTCCCGCCTTTCATGAGTAGTTATACCTCTATGAGACTACGAGTTCGAGCCACAACTAAGGCGCAGTATGTAGAGTAGAGTAGAGTATGCGCAATCCGCTCTGTGCCAGTCGCTCTATAAATATCCAACGTGGTGGTAGCGGATTCGTGGGCTGGGCTGTGCTCAGCTTTGGTGCCACCTCATTCGCTTGGCTGAAGATATGTCACATTGTCACCCCGCTGGTGCGGGGGCACGAAACTACTTACCGACCAAAGGTGCGGGTCGCAGTCGTCGCAGTCGTCGCAGTCGTCGTCTTCAGCTTTGCGGAATCCATGGCGGATGTTGACTGGCAGCTCGAACACTAGTGGAACCTTAAGGGGCATCGAGTCTCGACTCTCGACCTTACGACGTCGAGTACGTTAATGGGATGGGAGCAGCCCAAGTTCCAAGTAGTTACTGTGTTGACGAATACTGCGGACAGGAAGCTGTGATGTGTTCACGGTCCCCGCGGGCTATGATAGGCGAGCCGTAGTTAACTTATTGTTGTCGTCGTCAATCTGGATCTGCACAGCGATTGAGTCAGGGACGACGCGGGCTAAGCTTGCTTATCAATGGATCAGCAGCTGAGCGGGAAAAGCAAAGACTATCACGGTGTATCACTCGATTTTCTCGTTGTCACCTGGGCTAGAAATTTCGAGATGACGGCTGTCCAAAGTGTCCGTCCCAATGAGCTCAAGCTCAACCACTCCGTCGGACGAGCCCGGCATATTTTCGTGTTTAGGTATCCGTCCATCGTTCCGGATCTTCATACCCCGGATCAGTCACTTGTCAGCATTGGGTTTCGAACTATCTATATAAAAATCGAGGTCTCTTGAAGTGAGCAAGTAACGACTCCAACCCCGAGACTTACCTTACACCTTATAACCATAAAGGCATCCGTGCAAACATAACCACCACCCAAGTGCATTCCTCCCTCTCGATCCCTTCCCAGGGTAGCAAGCTACTCTATCATGGCGTAATTTAGGACCGTCAAACTTTGCGGCCTTGAGGGGACCCTCTAATTCACATAATTCCTACAGGGCAGCAGTCATAGCGTAGCGGAAAAAATGCACCAGCAGCACCAACTCTATCGAAGGAGATACCGTATGGCCTAGCATTGGGTGCTTTAGTGGCGGGACACTGACCGCTTGCTATAAGGTTGATGGTGAGCAGATCATGTCCTGCAACGAAGGGGTAGTGTGGAGGGGAGCATGGAGAGATCAAGCTTCAGAAGGAGGTTAAGTCAAGCTTCAGGAAGTGGGGCCGTTAAGCTTCACACTTAACCCGGTCGATGGAGAACTATAACCATCTGGCCGCAGATCTTTCGCAGTCTCAGCAGTGATGCATAAACCCTTCGAAGGCCATATGGACTATAAAGACACCCCCATTTCCGCCCCCCCCCCCTCCCACCAGACCTCACCAATAACCGCACATCCTGCCTGTCAATCAACTTCAACTCCACCGCCGCAATCGCAATCGCAATCACCGTCACCATCAGCACATCCAGCGTCCTGACTCCTGCCAGTCAATCAACTCCAACTCCACCGCCGCAATCACCATCACCATCACCATAACCATGTCCAGCCTCCTCCCAACGAAACCAAACGAGCAAGTTGCAACAATGGAAGCCTGTGTCGTATACCCCAAGCAGAGCACCGCCGTCGCCTCGGTATCGACGGATATGAGCACGTTCTTTTGGCAAGTGGTGCTTTTCGTGGCGGTTCAGGTTCTCGGCTGGTGGGTCTATGGCGCGTGATTGCGGGTGTTCCGCGGACGGAGGGACTAGAGCTTGAAATGGGAGGAGGAGGGGGTTTTAAGAAATGAGCTTGTTCATTCGGTGGAGGAGGGTTTGTTTTTTAAACTGAATTGGATGGATACATAATGTAAATTTAAATGTAAAGGCCGTGCTTCGGCGCCTTGATGGCAGCCGAGGGCTTAACTAAGTACATAGAGCATAAAGAGTACATGCACATGCCGTCATACTGGCACATTGTACTGAATACAACAAAAATACACACACATACACACATACCTCCTCTATGTACTTCCCCACGATCGATCACCATGACGTAACCTTCCCCACACATTCCGCATATAAACCTCCCTTCCCCATCCCCCAATCCCCCCATCCCCCTATCCCCCTATCCCCCTATCCCCCATCCCCGCTGCCGCCACGAGTAAGCAAGCAAGCAAAGCAACGACTACACACGAACTACAAACCAAACCAAACCTTCCAGCCCAGTCCACACGTACGAGACAAGTCTTCCATGTATTCCTCCAACTCCACGCACCACTCCAAGACCTCGATCGTCACGGACGTCCGTACGGGCGAGGAGCTGCGCGGCGCCGGCGCCGGCATGCAGAAGGCAGGAGCGGGACCGAAGCCGGGGATGGGAAGTCGCGCGGTCGATATGCAGGGAGCAGGCGGGGAGGGGATGAGCATGGGCAAGGCTGAAGGCAGTGCTAGTGGTGGGACGTGTAGGCAGCATGGGAAGAGTGGGTGTGATTGCGAGCCGGGGACTTGTAGGATGGACGGGAAGGGCATGGAGGGAAGTGGAAAGGGGAAGGGGCCTATGAAGGGGGGTTAGTGGGGGGGGGGGGGGGGGGGGAGGGTTAATGGGGGGGACTTGTATACAGAGCTCAATGCGATGTGAATACATATCGTTATGGCTTCAAAACCTCTAGGTACTTTGAACGTCTGGAAATCAGTAATCAACCGTCACTTCGTTTCTTCTCATCACAGTTTCGCCGCCTTGTCATCCCCCTTCACAAGCCCATACCATCATCCCGCCCACACATCGTCCTACCAATCACTCGTCGAATCATAGGAAGCCAGGAAATAGCAGCACGCGGATGTGCTTCGGCCTCAGGCTGGGTGCGCATTCGGAGACATTAGCGATGGAGGTTTATGCGACTGTGAATGTAAGAAGCGGAAACGAGAGTGGTGATGCGGGGAAGCTTGTGCACTGTGCAGCGTCGTACATGATGCGTATGGGGGTACAGGTGTCATCCAGTGACCGGTCATGGTCTCAGAGGTCGCCAGATGGAGTGAATGCGAGGCACTGTCACCCTCAATGGCCACCGCGATCGAACACATGTCACTCGAAACCTCTGGGGAAAAATCATCAGCGCTCAACCCCCCACGATCAAGATATCCCAAAACTTACCGAGCGGTGAACGCGAGCGAGCACAAGAGTCCAGCTTCAGCCTTCGCAGCCAAACCTCTAAAGCGTCAAGGTCAAACACTCCCCAGTGCCCACGCCACCCAACCCAGCCATCGGTTTTCTTCTTTGGAGAGTACTGGTAAGCAGGTGGCAGACAGGTAACTTCATCACGCAGTCAAACACTCCGATACCTAGGTGCCTATCCGTCCGCAAGACTAAATTCTCGCGAGTCGCCACCCGACTCCCAGTCTCCTACAATAGCCCGAATTTCGAAACGCATTCCCGACCGTCCAGACCGTCCAGTGTCCAGTGTCCAGTGTCCAGTGTCCAGTCCTGTCATGTCCCAGCGTCACGTCCTGTGTAGATAGTTATTTCAAGGCAGCCCCTCCGTGTGGCGGACATTCGAAACCGAAACCGCAGGGGCGAAGCCAAGTTCCAAGTTCCAACACAGCCGATCTCCCGCACTACTTGCAGGGCTGCAGCCGCCCATGGGCTAGCACTGCGCACCCGCGAGACGTGATTGGCTCGCGGGATAAGCGCCCGTCATCGGTCGTCACCTATCATCTAGCGGACGCCACAGCGTGCGGATGGGATTATTGGGATGAGTGGTGGTTCCGGAAATACTCTAAACATTATTGAGGAATGAGCAGTGAGTAGTGAGTAGTGGGCACGGGCTGGAAGTGGCTGGGAAGAGGAGCAGGAGCAGGAGCGGGATGAAGGCCTTTATAAGCTGCGCTGCGGCGGTGGAGGAGGTGGAACGATACTTTGTCTTGTTGAACACCTACGTCTACATACAGTCGATTACGGTACTGCGAGGTTGGACGTCTTTCGCATCATCACCTATTCATTAGTCGTAATACCCGAATCTCAGGATCACCACATCGTCATCACCACCATCTTTAGCTAGTAAGCCTCGATAATCCCCCTCATTCCATCCATTCACCTGCTAACCTCCATCTAGCAATCCTTCCCTCGTCACATAATCGAACCGTACCTCACACCCACCAGCACCACCAGCGCCACCAGCATCACCACCACCACCATGCGTCTCCCCCCCCTCTTCACCCTCCTCCCACCCGCGCTCTCTCTCGCCGTGCGCACTCCGACTACCCCAAGCCCAACCTCCACCGACATCGACCCGATCGTGCGTTTCGAAGTATTCACAGCGATGTCCTTCGCGGAAGAGCAATTCGAGTGCGCCACGACGGGGTCATCAACACCCACGGACTCACTAATCGCCGCCCTCGCCGCACTAGACTCCGAAACCCGCGTGCACTGTACCTCCTCTAAGCCCGTGGTGGAAACTATTGCCGGAGGACTGATCACTGTCACTGGCACCGGAGAGAAGGCGTGCTTTGTTGTGGAGACCGCTGTTAATCAGCTTATTGCTAGGTGCGCGTTTGAGGGCAGGGTGGGTGGCACACTGGGGCTGCCCGTGGGTGGGGTCGTGGTGGAAGTGTAGTGGGGTGTAATGTGCGACGGGTGATGGGCGGAGAGGGCGAAGGGCTGTAACGATAGGTGGAAGTGGAACTGTATATATAGAGTAATTACATAATTACAAGATGACTGGAGATACCTCCTTCGCTCCCTCGCTCGCTCCCCGCGCTCGCTTCCGCGGATCCATTCCGCACTTGCGGAGTCTGGGTCCCTCCCTCACTGACGTGACTCCCTCTGCACGTATATCTGTGACGAGTGACGACGACATTGACTTCCGACGGACTGGATCGTTTGTCTTCGCCAATCTGGGATGTGGGATCTGCTTTCCCGCCCTGGCCTGGCTCGGCTCTGGACCTCTGGTTCGAACTTCTTGCATTGCATTGCATTGGGTCGTTGAATCCTATAAGACCATCGTGGTGGGACGAAAGCGAAGGGACGGGACTGGACGGGACAAAACTGCGAGGTGCGTGGTGGGTTAGGTCGCTGAGAAGCGGGCGGGTGATGAGGACGAGGGAGGTAAGCTGCCGTCGGGAAGGGCATTGCTGGATCTGGGCTCGACGGAAGTTGCAATAATCATTGAATCCATCTACCTAAGAAGTACCTGTACAAAGTCTATGTGTGAAACACCAACTGTCGTGAACGCTGCCCCCAGGGGCTGGAACATCCCGCTCCAATCCAATCCAATCGAATCTTCGAGAACCCCAATACCGCACCTCAACGCCGATCCATTCTCCATTCTACAACATACTCTACATACATATGATACACCTATCACCCACCACTGCACTAAATATCCAACGCCTCCCTCAGCTCATACGAGATCCACAGCCTCGCCACGAGCGCTACCAGGGCGACCCCCACGATCCACCCATACGCCAGATACCCGACATTCAACCAGACCGCCCTAGCCCAATCCTGATGTTCCTCGCTATTAGTCCCCAGATTGAACGTCGTATCAGGTCCCGCAAAGATTCCCCCGGCGCAGAGACACGTGCGGTACGCGCCGACCAGCTGTAGGATCGTTCCGCCGATTAGCACGATGAGGACGTTGGTCCAGAGGAGGGTGGTGTGGGCAGCGGCGGCTGCGCGGGCGAGCAGCGGACGCTTGGTGGCGGAGATGAATGCCCTGGGTACGCGGAGCAGGGCGACGAGGAGGGAGAGGAGGGCGTACAGGAGATGGTTGGCGGAGCGACAGCCGAGCGCGACGGTCGGCGTGGTGTACGAGATGTAGGCTGCGGTGAGGCACGGGAAGAGGACGAAGGTCCACGACAGGACCTGGCAGACGGTGTACCGTGCACGTGGGCACGGCCGGCTCCAGTGGTCGGGCCAGAACCGCTGGTGCCGTAGGATCCCACGTGATGGGCGGCAGACGTCAACCCCCCGGTCGAATAGCCATTTGTTCCACTTCAACGCGTTGAAGTACCGGTCTGCGAGTGACAAAGTGCGCACTTCGATCGTGCCTTGGTATTTGATCGCCCGGCTGCCTTCGAATGTGTTCGGGCACGGGCTAGGCAAAGGGAGTTTCTCGGACAGGATCGAGGCCGCGATAAACTCGTAGAGCGACTTTGCGGGCCCGACAGAGCGGTCCCAGCCCATCGACTCGGTCTCGGCAAAGGTGTGGTTCTCGACGACGCCGCGGATGACGACTTCGAGGCTGCTGCGGACGGCTTCGAGGGAGAGGTTGGAGGCCGAACAGTTGCTGAAGACGGAGAGCAGGAGGATCCAGTTGTACCAAATGCCGTATGCAAGGCTGTGCCTATAAACAAATGGTACAGTCAGAGACCGGAATACTGCTAGAGAACGGATATCTTACGCAGTATCATTGTCACCCAGATGTCCGTACGCATCGTAGAAGACAGCGGCCGCCACACCGATATAGAACACCACGGGCAAGGTGACTGACATATGGAACTTCCTGCGGGCGGCGAGCATAGTGCGGCAAGCGGTCTTTGAGTATTCCCTAGCCTTATCGAGCCCGGAGAGGATCTGGAACGTCGCTCTGACGATTGGCGTTTCGATATCGACCTGTTCCGCGAGGAGGACGGTGATAATGAGGGACTGCTCTCTGAACCCATTCTCTGGGCGCTTGAGACACGACACAAGCGTGACATCGTTCATCATAGCGGTCAGGGCGCCATTGAAGGCGCTCGCGGGATCCCCCAGGATCTCCATGTACCCCAGCACGGCGTCGAGCCAGTTGAAGACCAGCTCGTCGAGCCACACGCGCCATCCAGGCAGACGCTTCGGCGGCGGGAGGTACTCGGCGATCGGGCACAGGAAGAGCATCGCTGTGGCGGGTATCACCCATGAGACGAACGGCGTCAGCCACTGGCTCGTCTCGCTGACGAGAATCATCCCGCCCGCACGGCAGTTCTGTTGGCACCAGCTGCGAGTGGTGAGGATCGCGGGCGCAAACCGTCGCAGCGGATCGAGCTCGGATTGGTTGTACGTCGAGTAGCAGGCGTCCCACTGGAGGTCTCGGAGGTCGTCGGGGACCGGGACTCGGGTACAGCACTCGGCCAGATCTGTAGCGGCGTAGGCGACGGCGATGATCTGAAGCAAGAAAATGGCCGTGAGGTAGCCGCGCCGGGGAGGTTCTTTCATTTAGACGGATTGTAAACCTCGGAATCCTCGGAACCCCAGGTCTTATATAATGTTGGCGGCGACCGATATATACCAGTGAGCTGAGGATTGCGTTGTTACATATGATACCATGGAAAATATCACCAGAGCTTATATATCCGCATCTCGATTGCCTCCTGTGATCCGTCCCATCGTCACAGCCCATTGTCTGTCTGTCTGTCCGACGTCCCATATTCCTGCTGCCGCTGCAGTGACAGCGACAGTGACAGTGGCACCGCTCGCACGCCGATCAGAGCTCCAGCGTGAGCAGCCACCGGATCGAAACTCACTTCCAGGCTCCAGTGAACATGTGCGCGCGGGACGTTTGGTGCTAACGGTGCGAAGAGAAACGATATTTGCGTACAAGACTATCCATATACCCCGATCGTATCCCCTGGGCCGTAATTTCAGCATTAGAGTTCCACATGTGTGCGGTGCGTGGGGGTGGGGATCGCATTCGCATTCGCGATTCCAAAATCCAGTCCTACATACCTCCTACATTAGGTAGGTACTCGGAAATAGACCAGCGAATCGTCATCAAAAGTTGACAGGAGCATTTCCGTACCCTGAGGAAGGGTCAGCGGGCCATGCTAATTGCCATCGCTTCTGGAACGTGGACAACGGCTGGTCTGCTGGTGGTGGTGGTGGTGGTGGTGAGGGTGGTGGAGGTGGGGGAGGTGGTAAACGAGATGACGACAGCTCGAGATTTCTAAATTCTGTTCACAGTCCGCCGGTCCGGTGGAACCTGCGGCCTGCCACTATAGTAGTGATAAGCGGAACTCCTTCATCGGATCTCAAGAGTTGTACCAGTCCCAAGGGGCCAAAAGTAAACTTATAGTAGTGGTCAGGCCGGCCGGCCGGTGAAGGATCGATAGTGGAGCGAATACGCTTCGAGCCTGGACATCTGAACATCTGTGTGGAAAGTGTAACTTAAATCATCATTACGACTGTCATGACATGGACAAAACCCTTTCAGATTAACAGGTAAGTGTCTAAAGGGAAACTCTATCTACTCGAAACCGCATTCCGTAGTGTCGTGTGGTTGGCGGGAGCGGGTGGACGAAAACTCAAGACTCAAGACTCAGAGTGGCCGTCCATGTGGCGATGGCACTCTGCGGCGCTATGACACACACGATCGAGGGGACAGCGCGATAGTGCGATTCCGACTCCCGAGCCCTACGAATCGACATCTCGAATCTCGATACTGCTACTGGACTCGACGCTATGCGGAAAACATCACTGGCATTTCCATTCCCGCTTCTTTCCTCCGCAACCTAGGTAGCGAGGCGGCGACAAAAGAGGCAAACAGTTGCGGATGGTGGATGGTGGCACCAGGGACAAAAGGGATCCACGGTATTGGGCAGATTGGGGCCACAAAAATATGCGTGGGGACGTGGGGATGTAGGGACGTACTAGAATCTGGCCTCTGGCCCGACGTCGTGGACGGGCAAAGATGAAGGATGGGGTGCACAGAGGCGTTGGACCTTTGGTGGAAGTCTACGGATAAACCCCTCCACAAAGCGTATATCTGGCAGTTGACAACGAGAGGATGGAGCGGACGGAGATGTCAATCTGGATTTTTGCACTGGGTCGGTGATCAAGGACGGGTCTTCAAGCTGGCATTGATCTGGATTCAATTCCGGCCGCCACCAGATGTTCGTGCTCGCTCCTGCTCTTATCCACACAAGACGCCCCCAAGTTCCCGTCCTGTCGTGTCAAAAAGACAATACACAACCCGCGGTTTCTTTCTAAGCATCGCAAGACGTTAGTCCCATCTTCAACCGACGACGTTTTACGCTGACCCTGCGGGCGCGGCAACAGAGCGCATCTAGGTACCATGGACGGAGAGAGAGAGAGAGAGAGCGGAGCCCGGAAGACACATAGATATGAAAGAGCATCAGAGGATCGTACATGCTGGCATGGAGCCCTTGGGCGGGTATGGGCTGTCGGCGGGCTTGGGGCAAGTGCACCACTTGTCTTCAGGGACGCCGTTCATGACCATCGGGATGTGCATGCCGCATCCGAACCATGTCACGCCGGCTAGGTAGACGCGGTTTCGTTCAGCGGCTGGCTTCTTCGAAGTAACGGTGGGAAGTGGGAATGACGTACAGCAGGCGGAACACGTAGCCTTCTTGCACATTGTGTGTGTGTGTGTGTGGTGGGGGGGGGGGGGGGGTAGTAGCCAAGTGGTTGGGCTCCGGTTTCTTGTCGTATGGGGGACTTGGGAGTCTTGGAGAAGTTTGGCGATGATGGTGATGATGGAGGTGATGATGATAGAGACAGAGACAGAGACGACGACGGTTTATAAGTGGACGACGCGTGGGGGAAAACGCGGGGCCTTTATGGAATAGCTGCCGCGCCGAGTCCGAAAAAGCGCCGGTATATCTACGTGGATTCCCAAGAATGCCCCGCGATGACGGCACGCCCCGTGGGGCGTGGGGCAGCCGCGGGTGGCGACTGAACGAGATGGAATAGATAAGATTCCAGGGCCAGCCGAGCGCATGCGCATCATGTGATACATGGAGTAACTGCTAGTATCGATGCAGTTCGCAGCTTAGGGCTTCGGCTAGCAAATCCCCGAGTCTTCACGAATCACGATCCAATTTCTGACTGCGACGGCTGCAGTTGATCCATCTCGTGTCTGGAATCTAGATCCGTAGGTACTCTACGTGGCGGTGGACGGGGCACTCGCACACTTGCCTACTAGGTGTAGGTACTTGCGTGCCCTCCTTTCGATCGCTCGCCTGCCGAGTGCTGTAGAGCATCTCTCGATCTTTTCTTCAGGAACCGTGAGAACACGATATGTATGTAGGTACCGCAAATGTATGTAGTATGTGCTCGCCGCGAAGGACCAGGGTGGAATCCGAAGCCGAGTTACCGTAATGTGTATACTCACAAATTTCCGGGCGAATCCCATGATCCCAAAATAATCCCATCCCCCTCGTTTCACCGTGTCCATTCATCGCCACGGATCAGCTCCCAGACTTCTCGCCGCGTTTGCCTGTTTGTCCGTCAGCTTTTTTTCTCCCCACTGCGGCTGGGGCCTCGAACGATTCGACGGGACCGCCTCGGGCCAAGTCGTGGGCCCGGTTGCCAGAACGGTGGATCCCTGGCGACTCCTCAGCAAAAAGCCAAAATGTGGCGTGACATTTCGCTGAGTTGCTCCGGTTTATGCCCGCACGCTCTCTGGTTCCCACTGCCAGATGTCCCAATTGCGTTACTACGCCCCCCAATAATCCTTCGCCCGTATCATCTTTCTGACACATTCCGACAGGCTTTTTCCCGTCAACGCCCTCGACTTTTTTCCCATTGGCCGCAGCCCAGACGAGACCCCAGAGGCAGGAAAAGGGGATGCGGATTGTCGACATCCGCTATCACAGGACGCTGAAGTCCCACGCACGGCGAGCAGATCTACGCTGCCTAGAGCATGTACCTACTCATGTACATGCTTACCTGCTATGCTCTACTCGGCGCTCGCATGCCTTTCCCGGGCGGCGAAGCGCCGTTGGCTCGTGGGTCGTTGAGGGATCATTCGAATATCGCCCAAGGCGGAAGATATCAAAAATACATGCCAAAGCACCCATCAAAGTACCAAAGTACCCATCAAAGTACCAAAGTACCCACCCATCCAACCCAGCAAGTTGCAACTGCCCAGTCAGTCACCAGTGCCAACCGGTCCGCCCCACTGGGGCGATCGCGGAAAATGATGGCTTTTGATCGTGTATGGGGAAGAGACCAAGTCCCTGCAGTTGCAGATTTGAGGGAATTTGACACGATGCATCCTTCGCTATCCCACGCCCGCCCCGTTCATTCAACGACCTGAGCGAAGCCCCATCGATCAGGACTAGGCGAAGGGCCAGGCTGCGGCTTGTCAACGGTTAACCCTCCCTCCCTCCCTCCTCCCTCTCTGCTGCGGCTGCCGCTCTGATCCACCACCCCCTCCACCACCACCACTAACCACCTCCACCTCCACCTCCACCTCCTCCTCCCACCCCCGTCTCCTTGCGGCCAAGTCTGCTACCTGCTATAAGAACTGAGGGGGGGCGCTTTACCCGCAGTCTCGCTTTTCTTTTCGGTCCTGCTTTCCAACCGTACCACCCGCCGGAGTTTTATGGAACTCTCAAAATTGGCAGCATCGTGTTCAGCATTCTGTGACTGGGAGCGTTTCCGGGAAGATTTCGGAAGATAATCGGACAGTCTCATTTTTTTCTCTCGACGATTCGATTCAGCAATCATGGAGGGTTTCAACCATTCTCACCACCAAACAACTGCTGCTCGTGTGGATAGTCGGAGATCCAGTAAGTCTCCCTCGTGTGGTTCCGCGGCGGTTGATAGCTTGTGATGCGCGAGCGACGAGGCTTGGCACACAGAGATTTCCCCAGTCCCCGAGACCTTCAAGCTGGGAGGTTGTAGGAGCTTCTCTACCTACCCTCCGTCTGTCACCAACCTTCAATCAAGCTTGGAGGTTGTGTGTGCGCTTTTCTCCCGTGCGGCACCGCGTGTGTGTGGGGGACCCTTGAAGGGCTGCGTTGGCGGGGAACAGAGCAACCACATGAAGCTGGAGAAGCTCAAGAAGCGGATGAAGCAGTTGGACGAAGGAAGCTAACAATCAACCAACAACAGCACCAAAACTATCCCCAATGGTCCTCAACTTCGACGAGCACATGAAGGCGTATTCGAAAGCCGATCAGTACGACAGCAAACCAAATTCCCCAGCTTTCTTTGGGCTCGATGGCTTCGAGCTATCGGGATTCTACCGTCCACCCGTGTGGACCGGGGCGGGCAATGCCGCCGACGGTTTGCTAGGTTGCCAGGCCCCGGCCGCTGACGGTCTCGACCTCGATCCATTCACACTACATCCCCATCCTCGCGAGCCTACCCTTCAGGAACACGAGGAAGGACAACAGCAACAACTACTACTACAACAACAACAGCTACTACAACTACAGCTACAAACATCACCCGAATCAGCACCTCTAGCAAAGGGGAAAACTCCTGCTCGTGGCATCCCGCGCTTCCCACCCGAGATCCACAATGAAATCCTTACCCATGTCCTCGAATCGACCGAGAACACGAACTGCAGCTACTGCCACCTGTTCGAGCTGTCGACGCTCAGCCAGGTGTCGCGCCTCTACCACATGATGGTGCAGCCGTACCTCTACGACACGCTGCACCTCGACTTCACCTCCTCGATCGACAGCAACCTATCGCTGATCCACCACGACGATCAGCGACACATCTGCGCCGCGCACCTCAAGCTAGCGTCGAAGCATCTGCAGCTTGAACAGCGCGTCCCGCTGCTCGTGCGCACGCTAACCTCGCGACCGGACATCGCCTCGCGGGTCCGCAAACTGGTGCTTCCAGCCGGCGGAGTGCAGACGTTCCTCACGTGCGCACTGGAGAAGACGCTCCTGCCGGACTTGATCAGCTGCTGTCCGAACCTGGCAGAGGTCGACGGCGTCGAGAACCTGCTCATCCGCCAGTTCTTCTCGGGCGAGCACTACTGCTTCGACGGCCAGGACCCGCAGCAGCACGGCGTGCTGGCGAAGGCGCTGCACGAGAAGAAGACGCTGCGCAGATGGTGCTGGGCGGGCGGAAACGCCGGCGGCAGTCCCCGCGAGTTTTGGAGCCGCATGTGGGATCGCCATCCGGCCATGGCGGCAACGGACTTCACGGCCATGCATAGACACTGGACGCACCTAGAGACGCTCGAGATCCGCAACGTGTGGAACATCGACGTGCCGACAATACAGAAGATCATCTCGGGCCTCAAGTGCTTACGGAAAGTGGCTCTGGTGGGAGTACGGAAGAAGCGGACCGGTCGGGGCGACGCGGGAACTATCCTTGCGGCCCTCGAGATCCTCCCCAGCTCGGTCAAGGAAGTCGAGCTCGGAAACGTTGCGGAAGAATCGTTCCTGTCGGCGGTGGGCGAGTGGGTGCGCGTCCGGCACACCATCAAGGAGTTCAGCATGCTCGAGGCGCTGAAGGTCACGCACGTGCCGATCACGCCCGCGACACTAGGCGGGTTCTTGAAGGCCATCTCGGTGCGCAAGGTGACGGGGTTCAGGAGCAGACTGTCGTACATCCCGCTGCTGGACTTCACACCGCGCAGCTGCTCGGTCGTGAAGTGTCTCGCGCTCGACAACGTCGGCTTCGAAGACGCATTTGGAAGTGCGATGGATTATACGGAGGATGTGGGCATGGAATTGTGCGGATTGGAGGAGCTGGATTGGCGGATACGAGGGTTCGAGGAGGGACATCTAGCGTCAAGGCTGCGGCGCGGGTGCTTTAGAGATCTGAGACGCCTGGCTGGAGAGGGCTGTGAGGCGGCGGCTGCGGAGAGGGGCATTGGCTTGGTTTGAGTTTGAGTTTGTGCTTGTGCATGGGAATATCTAGAGTAGATACTTCTTAGATGTGCGCGCCTTTTGGCATGCTTTGTATCATTGTTTCGGGATATCCACTGGATTGGGGTTCTTCTTCGTTATTTTTTGTCCTTTTTTTGGTAGCCTTCTTTACAGAATTTTTTTCTACTCTTGTGATATGTACTGTACCGTAGTCGACTCGTCGTATATTACGATAAATATAAACCCATAACTTACATTTCCCACCGGTTGAAGGTTCAACGGTGATCATACGACACTCGCAGGTTAGAGATCCACACAACCGCAACGGCCCCCCATAAGGCCACGGCCCCGGCTGTTCTCAGACCTATGTACCAGAATCACACCACACCAGATATCCGAGCAGATGCGTCAAAGCACGGACATATGTATTCAACGGGTCGACATGGTTAACGCGGGCGGGGTGCGAGCACAGCCCCATCCCATCCCATCCTTCCCATCCCAGAATCCCAGAGAGGAAACTGCGCACATGTGCATTGTGCATTCCGCATTGTGCATTGATTTATGCGCGGGGACATTGTGCGCGGGGAACGGGGCTCGACGAGTTCTCGGCCTTCTCGGCCGTTGCGGCTGTCACGGCCTACCTAGTATGTGCTACTTTATGGTGGGGCCCCGTATTATGTACTCACAGCCCAGTATGGTGGGGCCCCGTTTTATGTGTGTAGAGTCCTCTACAACCTAACTAGAGTAACTACAAGGCACAGGGCGGACGGGGTGCGAGCCTTGCGGGATATACTATTCTACTCTACTTTACTAAAATGTGTCACTATCATTGTGAGGTGTGTGGGTAGCGGGCCTGGGTAACTAAACGAATGGGACGAACCGTGGGTTGGAGTGGAGGGTGGAAGCGCGCGGGGGCAGGGGGGTGTCAGCAGTCTACGAATAATGAATGGGTATCCCAAGCCGCGTATGTAGATATCATTCGCGCTCAAGCGTCTATTCTATCTCAACCCCCGCCAATCCCCAATCCCCAATCCGCAATCTACAACTTCTCCTCCCTCCTCAACCTTCCCATCCTCAGATACTGCAGGGGCGGCTGGACTCTGACCCCCAACTCCTCCGCGCACCTGAGCACAAAATTCGGATCTCTCAAGAACGCTCTAGCGACAAAAACCGCATCGACGCCCATCTCGGCGACAATCTTATTCGCCCAGACGCCATCGGCAATGGCACCAACGGCAGACACGAGGAGCTTCGCGGGCTCGCCGCCCTCCGCCAGCAGCGCCGCCTTAACCTTCTCGGCCATCTGCACCTGGTACGTATTATGCGGCGAGATCTGCTGGTTCTCATGGTTCCCGCCGCTCGAGACATCAAGCAGATCGACGCCGTGGGCGTAGAGCTGTTTCGCGAGGCGGACGGTATCCTCGAGCGTCCAAGCGGTGGGGTACTTCTCCTCGGGCAACCAGTCGGTCCCGCTGACGCGGACCATGAGCGGCATGGAGCTGGGGATCACCTCGCGCACAGCGTCGACAATCTCCAGCAGGATCCGGACGCGGTTCTCGAACGCCCCGCCGTACGCGTCCGTCCGCGTATTGCTGGCGCCGGACATGAACGAGTGCACGAGGTAACCGTGCGCGGCGTGGATCTGCAGGGAGTCGACGCCGGCCTTGACGCAGCGGACGGCGGCAGCGGCGAACGCGGCGACGACGGCGGCGATCTCGGCGGTGGTGAGTTCGCGCGGGAGGGCGTGGTCGGCGCTCCAGCGGATCGGCGAGGCGCCGACGACAGACGAGGGCCAGCCGCCGATCTGCGGGGTTGCTAGGATCGACTTGCCGCGTTCGTGGTCGAGCCAGGGCGCCACGGTGGAGGCTTTGCGGCCGGCGTGTGCAAGCTGCACCGAGAAGTGTTTTGACTGCGAGTGGATGTACGTTGCGACCCGTGCAAGACTCGCGATGTGCGCATCGTCCCAGATGCCCAGGTCCTCCTTCGAGATCCGCCCCTCCTTCGTCACCGCCGCGGCTTCGGACATGATCATTCCTGCGCCGCGCGTGGCGATCGCACCCAGGTGCTGCACGTGGAAGTCGGTAGCGTGCCCGTTGTCGGCGGAGTACATGCACATCGGCGCGCACCAGATACGGTTCGGGAAGGTGCTGCTTCGGATCGTGAGCGGGCGGAAGACTGCAGGGGTTGCTTCGGGGGCCGCGAGGGAGGTCCCCGATGGCACCGTCTGGTGCGGGGTGAAGTACGAGACGCCCGGGGCGGCGGTGTTGGTCGGCTGGTGCATCGTGGTGGGTGGGTGATGGATGGTGAGGGGGCATGTGGTGTGGTGGGGGGCAGGACGTTATATATCCGGCAACTGCGTCAGGATCTACTGTCGGATTGCCGGTTGGGGAGAGTGCCGCGATTATCTACCCCTCCACCGTAGATATGTACCATCCAAATGGGGAAACAGAGCGCATCGTGGGCAGCGATATGTAATCAGTCCGTTCGGATCAGCCCGTCATAACAAAGGTAGGTAGCCTCGACAACCCCACCGCCGCAAATCCGACTCCGATCCACATCCCACATCCTGCTAGAGCTAGAAAGTAGCACCTCCAATAACAAACAGCCTCTCCTCCTCGCCCTTAACCCAGCCAGCGATTCTCTGCGCGCCCTTCGCGATCGCCTCCCGCTTCGCACCCGGACCCGCAACCACGTATAGCTCGAACGCGGGGAGCACCCACGCCAAAGCCTCCTCCTGCTTACGGCTACAAAAGCATACCTTCAGGTGTGCGCTCTTCTGGTGAACACCCGCATGCAACTTGTGGTATAACGTCATGACTCGACGTTTACTGGCCCGCGTAGTGTAGTGGCTTCCCCACGCCGGCATCGTGAACTGTACGTTCTGCCTCGAGCGGTAGAGAAAGTGCCGGATCGGCGTTCCTGGCACGATGTCGGTGGGTACGTATCGTGGGATCGCGGCAGTGATGCTGGACAGCAGTGAGGAGGATTTGAGGCTGCCGATGACGGAGGCTGCCATCTCGCGCATCTCGAAGAAGGCATCTTTGTTGGCCGAGATGAGGACGACGCATATCTCTGGTTCGAAGAAGTTGATGTAGGCATGGAGGAAGCCTTTGGAGTTGAATTTGGGCATGCAGATCGGCGTCCAGTGCTCGTTGCCATCGCGAAAGGTATTCGAGTTGAACAGCATGGAGAATAGCAGCTGGAGATCCGGGGGGTGCAGCGAGTGACGCTTTGGACGGACGACGGACACCAATCTCCCGTCTGCCACGATCAGACCGTAGAGTAGCCCATCGCATCGCGCTTTCAGGAGTATGTTGTTTATCCGTTCTCGGTACGATTTGCGGATTTTGACGCATTCCAGTGCCGAGAGTAGGACCTGTGGTGAACCCCGTGTCATACTATCCACCAAGCCATCCAGGAACACTTCTGTCCCACCAAGCAATCGGCGCAGGTCGAAATTGTAGCGTTGGTTAAACACTTTGGTGAGCTGGGACAGTGTCAAGGTGGAGAGGATTTGTTGATAGAGAGCGTCTAGCTGGGAACGAAGCTGCGCGGGCGTCTCGCCGATAGAGGAAATAGCGACGAGGTAAAGGGGACCAGAGTTTGTAACGGCAAATCTATGTGTACCCGATTCGAATGATTGCAGGGTATCCGAGGAATCTGCGAAGAATGAGATGATGGCCTGGATGACGCCGATGTAGCTGGATATTATGGTCTCGTTCCCGTACCGCGAATAGACGGGCTTTCCTGCTTGCGACAGGATGAAGAAGTGCTTCCGCTTTGCACGCCAACGTACGAGCTGTTCCTCTGCGCAACGTCAGTATCCCTCCTCAGCGCAAAAGTGTAGAGCGAGCGCTATGCGTACCCTCGCCGAGGCCATCGTCATCGTCTCGTAGGTCATTCTCGTTTTCTTCCTCCTCCTCCGTCTCGTCCACCAAATCCTCGATGAAGGTGCTCCCAAACCTCGCCTCATTCTCCTCCAGGATCTCAGAAAGCATGCTCTCGACGTCATGTTCGGCCGTAGTACTGATGGTAGGCGCGTAGCTTTTCACGCTCGTCGAGTCACTAAAAGACGGCGCCGTTGTAACGCTTCCGCTGCCTCCCGTAGATCTGACACCATCCTGTTGTTCGGCGTACACACCCTCCGGTAGCGATATAGCGATGGTAGCTTTGGACTGTAGTCCCGGGGCAGCCCCTACGACGCCCGAAGCACCCGGAACTGCGGCCGACTGAAGCGAAAGTAGCTGCGACGGTGATGTAGTTATCGATGGATGTGGCGACAATGGCGGGTTGAAGTAGTCCTCGTCCATGGTGAGTTCTTCGGAGGAGCTGAGTTCTGCTATTGTGGAAGCTGGAGTTGCTCCGTACAGAGATGCGCGCGGTGTGGGGAGATCATCATTGCTAATGCCGGGATCGAGAGCCAAGTTGTCCTCTTGCGGTAACTGGACTTCGTGCGGGTGTGCGAATGATGCGTCGTCTGACATCGAGTTTCCTCTGAATTGAGCTCAAAGCTCAGCTCGGCCCCGTGAGACTGGTTTGCTGCACCAAACTGCGGGGAGAGGGCGTTAACCATGGAAGGGATTCCGGGTAAGCAAAATAGCGCCGGCAAGTGTCAATCTGGTGTGCACTACGGAGCGACGAAGGCTAACTAGGAGTAGCGCGGCTCAAATCCATAGCTCTCTCGAACACCCATTCGAACTTCGGCAGCAACCCCCAGGACACATCGATCATGCCCACCATCGAAGTCCTACCGCCTCGACCGGGAGCCTCAGCTGGAGCGGGCTGGGCCTACACCACTCTCCCACCAGCGAATTCCGTCTCCGGCGGCCTGCCAGCTTCGACCGGCCGAGGAGCGCGCACGCGCCACTCCAACTTTGAAAACACGGCGGCACGGCAGAGACAGATCAACAGTCGCATATCTGATCTCGAGAAGGACAACTATCGAGATGTGCACATTCCACTACCGAAGAAAGAAACTGGCGCGCGGGGTGGGCTCCCCTGGACGCGGTGGGTGAGTGGCAAGTTGCTAATGCGATGTGGGGATCTACAGCTTCGGCACGCAGTAAAACCACCTCAACCCAGAACGTCCGACGGATCCTGCTCTCGCAAAAGACATTCGTCAACCACCTCGCGGACGAGGAGGCGTTGAACCCGATGGCCGCTAGGCCGAGGAGAGCCAGCAGCGCCGCCGACCCGAATTCGGGAGATGAGATGGAGATCGACGGCGTGGAACGTGATGAACCTGTGCTAGAGGACGGCGAGAGCGGTGGTCTACCGCTGGGATATGCGCGGGCTGTCAGCAGGCCGTCGAAGAGACCTAGCCGGACATTCTGCGAGATTTGCGGCTACTGGGGAACCTATCGCTGCGGCAAGTGTGGCGCGCGGTACTGCGGATTGGAATGTGGCGGAGTGCACCAGGAGACGAGGTGTCAGAAGTTCTATGCGTGAGCGAGTTCGGACTGCTTGTTTGTGTGCGTCTGTTTGTCTTTGGCGTTCTGGGTATATCCATGAAGAAGAAGAAAAGAACGAGAGCTTGCGTGCGACTGGACATGTCTTCGCATCGTATCTGTCGACAGCAGCTTGTCGTCATCGTCACCTGGCGTCAAACACCCTTCCGTGAATGTTGTACATATCATGGCATCAGCAAACAGTAGTTCCTGCGATGCTCACTGGTGGAACGCTGACCCAGCACTCTAATCTGCACAACCATGTGCCCAAGTACTTGCGTGAAATGGATCGGTACGGTATCTGGGTGAAGTCCAGCGGACCGTCCAATGTGCCTGCCCCACCTACTTTCTTGGAGCACTCTATATATTGTACTCCACCCACCCGACCCTGGATGGCTAGATTTTCTCGGGACCGGGGAAGATGTTCCGGTCGTTTTGCTTCGTTCCGATTCCATGATGTGTTTCTTCTTCTCTGCTGGTGATGTCTCCTTCTTTGCTGGTGATATTTGCGGTGCGGCTTTCCTCCTGCCTCCTTGCTATCGTGTCCTATCCCATAGTGCTGTCCGGCCCATAGACCTAGGCCCTTCTTACTTTCTTTCTTTCTTCTCCGCTCGGCCCGCATCCAGTCTAGACATCGACAACGGCCATCCCTCTGAACTCTGATGGCAGCTGGTCGAAGTATCTGGAAACTCAAAAGGTACTTTCTAACGGAAAACTGTCCTGTAAAACGAAGACTTCGAGAACGTAGGTTCTGTGCTCCGTAAAAACGGCCAAAGCCAATTATCTCCCCCCTCCCCATAGCAGTATCCGTACATAGCTCTTTTAGGCGATCATCAAAGCCGCAACCCTTCTATGATCTCCCTACCACAGAATCACACCGCCGTTTCTTCAACCACTCTACCATTTCCGTGCTCTGCCACCCACTGCCCGACCGCCTCCTCCTCCTCCTTCCCTACAGCTTCCCTGTTCCATGCCGGCTGCTGCCGAGAGAAGCAGCATCTCTTCCAGCCTTTCCTCTAAATAGATTCCTAGCACCAAACCCAATCCACATCGACCTTGTAGTCAGCTACTCTAGCGAGAGAAAGACAGAGCGAGAGGTACCATACCAACCCACAATAGCTTCTGCCCCTCCAACTCCTCCCACTCCCCTCCGCAACACTAACCACAACATCCCAACAACAAACAGTACAGTCGCGTCGCCCTCTTCATCCACCGCAATCGTAATCGTCCACTCTTCCGCTCCGCCCACAGCGTAGCACGCTTCCCAGAACTACATCACAAACTACTCTCGTTTCAGCCGCCGAGCTGCTGTAGGCCGAGAGTTCCGGTTGCGCGAGCGAAGCCTACAGCATCGCATAGCTGCCGAGCTCCCCCCAAGCCACCAAAACCACACCCGCTACGCCGAGCACCGTTGTTCGGGTCGGTCTCAGTGCAGACAACTCACTCACGCGCGCCCAGTCAACTCCAGGCCACTGTCCATCACGCATAGACACCATGCCCCCAGTCACCTTTGGCGACGTCTACTACCACGAAGCGTCGGACGATGCTGTCGACGAGGAGGAGGACACAACACGCTTTGGGATGCAGCGACTCAGCCTGCTCGGATCTGGCACCGAAGACAACCTGACGCCGAAGGAAGGAGTAAAGGCGAAACCACTCCTGCAGATGCCCAAGCTGGAGGGAAACCAACGGAAACGGCCCTTGAACTTAGTTGATCTACCGATAGATGTCCTGAAGGATATCGTCAAAGAGGTGAGCAGGTGAAAGAGAGTGAGAGTGAGAGAGAGAGGGAAGAAAAAAGAACACCGGCCCCCCTGTCAACTCGAATGAGGCGGCAACAGCATCCTTCCCCCAGCCCTCCTCCCTTGACGCAGGGCTGACATTGCGATGAAATGCACGGATGAAGGTTACGCACACAAACGACCTCACCAATCTCTGCCTCACTTGCAGATCCCTTCACTCGCTAGCGGTGCCGCAAATATACGCCCGCTTCGATATCGTGTGGCCCGATGCCGCTACGACCGGTGAACGGGTTGGCGTTGACGCCTTGACGCACGGACTGGCTACCCTAACAAATGTCACGAGGAGGGGTAACGATCATGCGCGGTGGGTCAAGAAGTTTTCGCTCGGAAACGGACCGGGGGAGTGGGTGATGGAGTACAACATCAACAAGGAGGGAGGGAAGATGTTGGGAACGCTCGTGAACCTGGGCATTACTCGCATGGAGAGCTTGGAGACCTTCTCCTGGGACATGCCTACCGGTATCCTGCGCGACGTCTTCATGTCGCTGCACGATCTCAATGGAACGCTGAAGAACGTACACGTTCGATTTCACGACAACAGGGAAACCACGACCCCGACCAGCCATGATCCCAGCAGAAAGGTGGAAACGCCGACATTCAAGGGTTTTAAGGGTCTCAGGTCGCTGAGCGTGTTGGACATCGACGAGCGCCAGTATCTGGAAGAGATGGCGTACGCGATTGAAGAGAGCGCCGATAAGCTGAGGGAGCTGAGAGTTGGCCTTGCGGAGCACATGCACCTGACCAATCGATGGATCAAGGATTGGGACGAGTTGGAGCTCACCAATGCCGAAGATGGGAACAACACATCTGTTGGTGGTGGAGTGTTGGGACTGCTGTTTGGGCGCATCGTCAATTGGGGGGAAGGCAGACGGAAACGGAGAAGCAACCGACCTGAAGATGCTGGCACTGGCGCTCCTGCTCCTCCTCCTTCTTCTCCTCCCGTTAATGTGACAGTTGCGGCTATCAGTGCTGCTATTAACGCTACTACTGGCAATACTGCTGTCGCTACCCCGGCGGCTGTTGTTGCAGCAGCGGCGACTGTTAGCAGTGGGGCGGCACCAGCAGTCGTGACCCCAACAAGCGTCCCTAATGCCGCTGTCAGCGGCGTCACTGACGACCAGGCGAATGTAAATATGATTGGTGTTCCCGCACCCAGCAGCGGAGCCCCACCAGCCGCAGCACATAGTGCGGCAGCCCCTCTGGCTCCGGTACAATTACCCTCCCCCACTGCCCCGCCAGCACCCTGGACGCCCTTAGGAGAAGGGCTGCAAGAAATCAAGAGCACAGCAAGGCCTTACAATGCGCAATTTGAGAGCAAGCCCTCGAAGCAGCTTAGGCTAGAGACTCTCGCCCTCGAACGGGTGCCGATATCGATCCCAATGCTGGTTACCGCCAAAGCGATTGACTGGACGTGCCTCTCGAACCTCACGATCGTCAACTGTTATAACCACGACCGGTTCTTCAAAGCCCTGCGACGGAAATTCTCTCCTTGCTTGCCTCCGACGGTACTTCACACCACCGGTATCAACCCTAAGCATGGACACCCTTCGGTAGCCGCGCATCGAGTGAGAGGAATGCACCAGGCTGTGCCTAGCCCGTCGGACTATAAACTCCGGCTGAAGAAGCTGCACACGGATTGTGTCACGCCTGTGTTGATTGCATTCATCAGGGACACACTGCCGCCCAATTCGCTCGAGATCTTGTTCTTGCAGGAGACAGCGAATGACAGCACTGTGACCATGGACATCATCTACAAGGGTGCTATCAGGAGGCATAAGGGTAGCTTGAAAAAGTTGTTGGTCAACTCGAAACACAATGACGATGCCGATGGCATGTTCAAGTGGACATTCAAGAAGGAACATCTGGCTTTCATCAGCAGTGGCAAGATGCCCAACCTTAGAGAGCTTGGGATGGCCCTGGAATACAGTGATTGGGTATGTTATTTTTTTAGCAGCCCTTCTGTATAGGGGGAGCGATCGCTAATAGCCGCGTAGCATTACTTCCTAACCCGTCTACCGCACATGCCGCAACTGCGGTCCCTCTACCTTACATACATCCGCGACACGCCCCACCTCACTGGTTTCGCTCCAAGGGAACTCGCCAACCAAATCGTCAACACCGTCATCCTGCGTCCCGAGGTCGAGCTGTGCTATGTGGGCATCCTGAACAAATGTTTCGAGATTCTGGAAGGCCGAAGCGACGATCCCGATCTTCCCGATCTTCCTGAGCCCCAAGCTCCTGATGGTATAACCGGAGGACCTCCGGCTCCACCCGGGCAAGATTCGGACGACGAGGAGGAGAGTGAGCTTGACGACGAGGACGAGGAGGATGACGACTTGGTCGATGACGATGACGCTGATGATAGCGAGAGCGACGGCGGATATTCCGAGGACGAGAAGCAGAAGACAGGGATCAGGTTGAGGGAGATACTTTTCTATGACGATAAGGTGGAGATATTCAGGGCTAGGAATGCGAGTTTGTGATTCGATACCATTGTGTGGTTGGACTGGAGGTTTGATATTTTGGTATTTTTGCTGCGATTCTTTCCCTCTGCTTCCTGTACCTTTTTTTTTCTCTTTTTCTTTCTAACTTGTGGGAAGGCGTATAATGGGTTGCGATTTGCATTTAAGACCTGGCGGTCTTTGTGGACTTTTTACTCTGTTGTTTTTTCTTTTCTCTTTCTTCCTCACCCTCTTGTTCTATTCTACCTACCCCCCGTCTTACTTGTATGCTTGAACGATAACTATGAGTTTACGTACTTAAGCATTTCCGAGCTGCTTTTGCTCGGTTCCTTGTTTGAGAACGGGATTACGAGTGAATGGCCGGCCGCATGCTTTTGCTTTTACTGGGCATGTGGCATGTTACCGCCTGCTGACTGCTGTTGAATGCTGTCGTTGTTGAAGTTTGCTTTTGTTGCTGGTGTGCTACCTCACCCCCCAGCTCAGAAAAAAGGATTGGTGTATCACTGTATTGTTCTTGTTTCTTGTTCTTGTTGGGCCGGGGGCGAAGTTTTGTTGGGGGTTGGTGGGTATAGAGAACTGCCCTTTTCCGTCGTCGTGGCTTAGGTACTCGTGTCCATACTGGTTGAGTCGATGGTTGTGTTTTTTTTGCTCCTGCTGCTTCTGTTGTGTTTTTTTTTGGTCGCTGTATTTTCAGAGTGCAGAAATGTCATCGATGACTACTGCGATCGAGGGCTGGTCTCTGCATGATTGTGGATGGGATCGATGTGTACCAGCCCAAGTTCCAGAGCCCGCTCTCGCTCCCGCGCCGTCCGATCTCAACCCCGCGATGTCCGCACTGCGTAGGTAATCATAGCCAGCCCATCTCGGACAATACTGGAGTACCTACCTGGTGCCCAGTGGTGCCACAACTATTACAGTCAGGTAAATGCCACCATTCATGTTATTGGCCCGGTCTTTGTATTTGGCAAATTGGTTTTATGCCAGTATTTTGACTTTTCCCTCGTACATACGAATCATTTCTCAATTTGTCTGGCGGATTGTCGGCGGGCGGATCAGTACTTGAGGTTGATTAAGTGCAATACCAAAAGTGGTTAAGATCATTCAGCAGGGTATGTAGCTCCAACTAACTGATTACCAACCGCAGTTCTACCATGTGCTACTAATAGAGCTTCCCTGAACTACGTCTCCTCCGCGATGTACCCGTACCCACCACCACGCGCACCACGATGAAGCTGCGACTACCGACAACCATTTTCCTGACGCTCCTGCTGCAGCTATGCTGCACCTCGGCGCAACACACGTCGAACTGGGCGGTGCTCGTTTCGACCTCTCGGTTCTGGTTCAACTACCGCCACCTAGCGAACGTGCTGTCGATGTACCGCACGGTGAAGCGGCTCGGCATCCCCGACTCGCAGATCATCCTGATGCTTGCGGACGACGTCGCGTGCAATCCGCGCAACATCTTCCCCGCGTCGGTGTTCAACAACGCCGACCGCGGGCTCGACCTGTATGGTGACAATATCGAGGTCGATTACAGGGGCTATGAGGTCACCGTCGAGAATTTCATACGACTTCTGACGGACCGCGTCGAACCTGATACCCCACGCTCGAAAAGACTCCTCACAGATGAGAGGAGCAATATCTTCGTCTACATGACTGGCCATGGCGGGAATGAGTTTCTCAAGTTTCAGGATGCAGAGGAGATCAGCGCCTTCGACATCGCGGATGCGTTCGAGCAGATGTGGGAGAAGAAGCGGTCCGTCTCCCCCCTTCCCCAGCGCGCGTACACAATGCTGACAGTTATCCTGCGTTCCCAGCTACCACCAAATGCTCTTCATGATCGACACGTGCCAAGCGAACACTATGTACAGCAAATTCTACAGCCCGAACATATTAGCGACGGGGTCCAGCAAGCTCGACCAGTCGTCGTACTCGCACCACGCGGACAACGACGTGGGCGTCGCCGTGATCGACCGGTATACCTACTACAACCTCGAGTTCCTCGAGACGAACGTGCAGAACGCGTCGTCGAAACACACCATGAAGGACCTGTTCGACTCGTACGATATGTACAAGATCCACTCCGACCCCGGCGTCCGCACTGACCTCTTCAATCGCGCGCTGGATGAGGTGCTCATCACAGACTTCTTTGGCAATGTCCAGAACGTGGAGGTCGATGGTAGCGGCGAGGAGGAGAAGTGGCAGGTCGATGCGGCGGAGCTGGCGAAGCTCGCGGCGAATATCACTGTGCCGGGCAGGAGGAGCGCGGCGGAGAAGGTGGTCGAGGAGACGAGGGGACCCGCGGTCAAGAAGGTCAAGGCGTTTAAAGTGCAGGAGGAGAAGGGGTGGCAGCAAAGTGTGGTGGGCTTTGCGGCGCTGGGGCTGTGTGCGGCCGTCTGGTTTGGTGGGATGTTGATGCCGAAGTAGTCCTGTATACGGATCTTGCCGTATGTGTTTTTTTGCGAGTGGTATAATATTTGGGCAGGAGTCTTTTTTTTTGCGAGGGAGTTGGAACTTCATAGCATTATGCAGCTCACTTTTGGATACCAGTCTGTACCGTTCCTTTTTCTCGTCTTGTCTTTGTAGAACGATGACGTGGGCGGCAGGGTGTCGGATGCGTAGAATGATAAGGTATCGAGGTAACTAGCATGGGGATAAAGGGAGTGCATACTACGTTTATGAGATGACATGGTGGCGATGGTTGTAGTTGTACTCATCATTGCGGAATCACTCGTCTACCAATGCAGCTCACATCACAACCGCACAGCACACCAAATTCATACACAGTCAATTCAATCCATTCCATTCATCGCAATTCATTCGCATCCGAACCATTCACCCCATCAAAGTCATAGCCATCCTCCATCTCATCTCACCTAAGCGGGAGGTAACTTGCTCTGGGTCCAGTCCACGCAGAAGGTGTTTTGGACGCAGAACGGGTGGCTGGCGGGGCAGCAGTCGACGCCGCACTTCTTCCAGCCGGGGATGCACTCCATCGCGTTGGGGATGCGGTCGACTCTGCCGAAGGGGATGCCGGGGAAGCTGACCGGGGCGGGGGGCGGGGTCAGCGAGAGCAGCCGGCGCGGCGAAGACGATGGCTTGGAGGAAAACACCCACGAGGAGGACGACGATGCTGCTGGGGAACTGCATCTGGTTGTGGTGGAATTGGTTAGTTTGATAGAGGGATGAATATGTGAGGGAGGGGAGAGAGGGGAGGGGGTATTACGATTGTTGTTGTTTGGATGTTGTTTGGATGTTGTCTTGAGGTTGGCTAGGTTGCAGTAGTTTGGTGGAGGAGGGGGAGGAACAGGTGGTTGGTGGAGTGGTGGAGGGGAGGAAGGGGGCTTTTATCGTGGCTGTCGGCCAAATTGTCGGCCAAATTGAAGTCCGTATTTGGGAACGTACATAACACTTGTGTTCAATATGTCATCGGTGATGAAGGTAAGTGTGTTTTGTAGGAAGGGAAGGCAGCGATGGGGGTGTCTTGACCGCTGAGACACAGATCGGGGATCAAAGCATGTTCTCCTGATTGAATATGCATCACCGAACGGTTGTAACTACGACAGGAAGATTGGAACGGCGCATCCATCTGTTGTTTGAGTGCTTCTTAGAGCAGACGTCAGACGCTTGGAACATATTGCCATGATAAGAGGGCATTGTTGATATTCATTGTTCTATGTACCCCTCCGGACCCAGACTCGGGTTCGTTCATGACGACGAATTGAATGGAAACAACCAGCGGCGATCATGGCTCAATTGCAGTGAATTTCCCGGGTGGTGAGGGTATTCGCGCCGAGTATTCGCGCCGGGTACTCAAGATCTACAGCTGCACTAGGGTAGAAATATTGGGGTGACGCTGTTCTGCTGCGGTTCAAGTCGAATCGGAAGGGTTTTTTGTTGTTTATTTTTGAACATCGTGGGTGGATGGGTGGGTCGAGTGACGTTTGCATACCCACCGTGCTCACAAAGGGAGTTGGAACGCTCAAACAATTACGAGACAACAAAACATAAGAGACACTTATGACAAGAGAGTTCGTCATACTGATTGATACCCTTACGAAAGAGCGGCGGATGTGTTCGCGATGGCTGATTGCGGTAGTGGCTCACAGTGTGTCACTCGTGGATTCACCGACTACAGATGATTTCAAGACCTCGATTCGACACCAATTCACAGATACAGAGAAACACATTGCGCAGAACAAATCATAGTCATTATTATCCAGGGTTAATAGTGCCGTTATAAGTCAGAATCCTCTGCTGCCGCCTACAGGCTACAACTCTCCTCCGTCTTTGAGGTTGTCCCATGGCTTCAACCTCCAGCAAGCATTCGCAAAACAGATCGGTGCGCGCTTAGGACAGCAATTGCCGTTGAAGCAGGCAACCCAGCTGGGGTGGCAGGCGACGCCGACATCGGGTGTGGTCTGCGGTTCGATAGCTCCGATAGCTAGAGCGGTGGTAACGCTCACCGAGAGGCTGGCGGCGAAAAGGATTTGGAGTGCGGTAAGCGGACGCATCTGTGGTGGTGAGTTAGGGGGAGAGGATGTGGAAAGGCGATTGGAGTGGGAAATGGAGGGGTCCTACGGTTGTGGTTGCGACTCGGTAGTTGGTGTGTCGATGATAGTGGGATGGATGAAGGAGGCAGTTTTCTGGTTTTCGCCAGATGTAGATATAGGGAGGGAGAAGGTTCAACTTGGACGACTCCCTTCTATTTCCCTCTCGGCTCTCGTCTTTTTATTTGAAGCCTGAGCTAGTGTTGGCGACGGGCGTACGCAGATGCAGGGACTCTCACTCGGCGAAACTCGCATTTGTCATGCCCGTGCTGGCGTTCTACATCAGCACCGTTTTAGCAAGAGGTTTGGCGCATTCTCTGAGCGTGCGTTTCGTGCTGCATGCAGAGAGCAGGATGGTGCCCGCGGTTACCTGCTGCCTGCCGCCTGCCGACCAACCACTACCTAAAGAGTTGTTTTTCAACCGGCTCGTGATTAGTTGGATCCTCAGGTCGGATACGATATCGATGTCTGCCACCGAGTCACTGACATCCCGTCTATATCCAAGAAATGTTGACATTACGTATCACTCGTGCACCGCTCGGCGCTTGTTCACTTCCGGAGTCAATTCCGCCCATCGGGAACTAATTGCACTAGCGAAATCGAATTTGACGTCAAAGTTGCCAAGCGGCGCACGGTTTCTCCCACCCCACCATCAGCTCATCTCCGTCATTCCGTCTCGTCCCCAATTCAAACCACCAAAAACAACCGCAATGGCCTCCCTCCTCCCCGTCTTCCGTCCTGTCCTCCGGACTCTCGTCCGCAGCTCTGTCGCGGCCCCTCGCTTCATCGCCGCTAAGCCCCGCGTCTTCGCCGCCTCTACCCGCCGCTTCGCCGCTCCCTCGTTCGCTAACAAGGAGCAGCCGCGTCTGCGCCTCGGCTCCGATGCCCCGAACTTCACCGTCGCCACCACCCACGGCGAGCTGAACTTCCACGAGTCCCTCCCCCCAGCCCACCCGCATCTCTACCATCATTAACCCACCCACAGCTACATCGGCAACTCATGGTGCATCCTCTTCTCGCACCCCGCGGACTTCACGCCCGTGTGCACGACCGAGCTCGGTGCCTTCGCAAAGATGCGTCCGGAATTCGATGCCCGCAACGTCAAGCTGATCGGGCTCTCCGCCAATGGTCTGGAGCAGCACGAGAAGTGGGTTCAGGACATCGACGAGGTCACCGGCTCCAAGATGCACGCGGGCTCTGACGGGTCATTCCCCGTCATTGCCGACGAGACCCGCGAGGTCGCGTGGCTGTACGATATGGTTGAGCAGAGCCAGATCGAGAATCTCGCTACTGCCTTCACCATCCGCAGTGTTTTCATCATCGACCCTGCCAAGAAGATCAGGTTGATCATGACCTACCCGGCGAGCACCGGACGCAACACCGCAGAGGTTCTCAGGGTCGTGGATTCCCTCCAGACCGCCGACAAGAACGGAATTGCTACGCCCGTCAATTGGCAGGTTGGCGAGGACGTCATTGTCCCCCCTACCGTGACGACCCATGACGCGAAGATGAAGTTCGGCGCCGAGAACGTGAAGGAGCTGAAGCCGTGAGTTTTCTCCCCGAACGTATGAATTGGTGTGGAAGAGTGCTGACATGTGGGGATGGTAGGTACTTGAGGTACACCAGTCTGAAGAAATAGATTTCTTCCCCGCTCGCTCCCATAGATGTCTACACACAGATAGATAAAAGTAGCTGTATCTATACACGGTTAGAACACATTTTTTTCTCTCTGCATATATATCACCTGGCCTTCAAGAACAGTTGATATTTCTTCGCACCAATCGTCTAAACAAACAGCAATCAAACATCTACGCAGGCCCATATTCCACCTCTAACTCATGGGCCGTCCACAGCAACTATTGACCTGTGCAAAACACCCGCTACAGTAAAAGTGCCCACAGTTCGCCTTCTTATCTGCGCCGTCGGTGTCACAGGCAGTACAGCTTTCTCCGCCAGCCGGGGCGGAAGGGGCAGGAGCCTGAGCAGGCGTCGGGGCCGGGGCCTGGGCTGGTACAGAAGCAGGAGCAGGAGCAGGAGCAGGAGTAGGTGCAGGAACTGGTGCAGGGGTAGGGCGGGGAGTGTTGGCAGCCGCGCTTCCACTCGAGCCCAGCAGCCCCTCCATAGCCCTCTTCTGCCTTTCTAGCCAATCCGGCGACCCATCACTGACAAAGTCGATATCCAGGTCTTCGACGGGCTGCGGCGACGGCTGTTGCTCGCTGAGCTGGCGGATCGTCAGGATGGATGCGGCCTCGGCCGCTTCGTGCTCCGAGATCGAGAGGAGCAAAGCCATCTCGAAGTCGGCTTCTTCTTGGGTTTGGGGGCGGGTCATGGTTAGGGTGATGGTGAAAGTGATGATGATGGTGACGGTGATGGTGACGGTGACGGGGAAAGGGTGGGGGTAGGAGATGGGAGTGGAGTGGGGCGGGAGTGTTTTAAGGACCTCGGAGGAGGTTCGATTTGATACCGGATGATACCTATGCGAGATGGAGATGGGGATGGAACTGGAATGGTCTGGGGATGTCACGGCAATCAAGTTGACTGGCATTTCGAGCCACTCCGGTTTCAGCCTTTCACTACCAAACCTGTCCTGACCGGATTGAACCCGTCCTTTCGGAAATCGAAAGACCCGATTTCGTTCGCTTTGTTTGCAACTCGGACGCATCACCACCGTTGACAACCCCGATGCAAAAAGTATGGATATCAACCTTTTTTTATTCCAATAAATGCGCAGATCAACTATTACAAACACGCTAGATACACATAGCCATCCCAACATTTCAAGTCGCCGTCAAAACTTAGGCAGCAGCCAGGCCCGAGCACGGTCCCTCGTACGTCGCGGGGTCCACGAACGTGGCTCCGGGAACATTATCGTACGCCAGTCTCACCAGCGTATTCTCGCCTCGCTTGTACGTCGGCCAACCCAGGGCAGTAAGGCCGCTGGTGGGGTTCTTCGCGAACGTGGCCCAGGCACCCTGGATATACTCTGAGCTCTCACGCTGGGCTTGGGTGGCGGAAGTGCGGTTGTAGGTACCAAACACCTGCGCCAGCTCGGAGCCATGGAAGGCGCCGGGGTCGGGGAAGTTAGGGTTGCCGGTGGGGAAGCTGCCGTGGTACCTGTACTGCCAGGTGGGCACGTACGAGGCGCGGTGCGAAGCCGATCTCGCCGCGGGACAGGTGAACGCCAGCGCGGTGATGTACGCGCCGGGGGTCTCACCGGGGATCTCGTCGTTGTTGGAGCCGATGAGCGTGGGCACGCGGGTCAGCTGCCCGGCGGCGAGGCGCGCCACGGTGTCGCCAAAGATGGTGCCGTTGTCGATGACGGGCGTGAACGAGGCGCCGCTGGTGTTGACGGCGTCGCGCAGGGTGACGGCGGGGACGCGGCGCACGCACGCGAGCGTCGCGGCAGCTGTGGACTTGGTGCAGTTCAGCGTCGCCGTCAGGTTGCCCCACGCTCCCGCGGGGCTGCCGAGAATGCCCTCGGTGATGATGAAGACGGTGCCGGACTGCAGGATCGCGGAGGACACGATCGGGTCCTCGCGCGCGTAGTAGAGGTAGGCGTCCGTGGCCGCCGCGCCGGCGGACTCGCCGAACAAGGTGATCTTCTTGGGGTCGCCGCCGAACGAGGCGATGTTTTTCTGGACCCATTCGACTCCCGCGCGGACGTCGAGGAGGCCTGGGTTCTGCTGGTCGGCCTTGAGCGCGGGTGTGGCGGGGAAACCGAAGACGTTCAGGCGGCTGTGCGGGAGGATCCGTCAGCTGCGGATAGCTTCACGCTGGGAGGGGGAGGAGGCGCTTACTAGTTGATCGTAACGAGAATGATGCCATCCTGGTTTTGGACCATGTTCGTGCCGTTGAAGAGGGGGGTATCGCTACCGCCGAGCACGAATCCGCCGCCGTAGAGGGAGATCATGACGGCGGCGCCGCCCGGAGTTGCGCGGGCTGCCGGAGGAGCCCAGATATTGAGCGACAGCTGTGACGTTCAATGAATGTCAGCGGGGTATTCCACTTCGCGGCCGGGCCGAACAGGAATGCGTACACAGTCCTCGCTCTCGGACGTTGGCGGCGCCAGTTCGATCGGGTTCTCTCCGGTTCCACCACTGAGGTCGACTTGGAAGTTCGAGTTGTAGCACGAAGGGCCGTACGCCTTGGCCACGAAGGGGGAGTTCCATCTCGACTCCTTGACGGGTGGCAGGAAGCGGAGCGGGCCCACGGGGGCTTTAGCGAATGGAATACCAAGGAACTCTCTGACAGCTATTCGGGTAAAGTCAGCACGGCACGGTAGTCGGAGGCTTCTCCATGGCTAGGGGGTCACGAACGTTTATTCGACGACGGCGCAGAATAATGGCCGACGATCGGGCCTGCTGGAGCGGCCACGAACAGGTCCGATGTCGTCCGCTTCTCTGGCAATGCCCATACCGCCGACGACGAGAGCAGGACCAGGGAGGATAGGAATGAGAGATGCATGGTGATGATGGACGACGAGGATGTGTTGTCGACGTTGGCTGGCCCGTTCACCGTTCTTCGCCAGCAGGTCGACCCCCGAGATATATACCTACCAACCTACCTACAGATGTACACAAGGGATGTGGGGGAAGTCGACCTGGGTACGGTACGGAATGTACCACGCCTGACGATGTCGAGCTCAGTCGACATGCTCGCGAGTAGCATGGATCCCATGCGGCGCTGTAACTACTGCACATGTACGCATCATAGGTAACTCGGGAAGTCGGTCTGCGAAGGATGATAATCCCCATGTAGCTACTAGTTAGAACTTACTACATACGGACGCCCCACAACCCTGGCCTGGTGAAGCGTAGATTCGCCCATGAACACGCATTCCCCATGGGCACATATGTACATACACACTCTAGATATTTGCGGGAGGTGGTGGTACGCCTCCTATGATGTACATACATACCGAAAAGAAAGTAACATAAGTCTACCGTAAGCTCGGATATCCACCCAGCCGACGCACTTTGCGGCCTCGTGAGTACTTCGTGAGTCGTGAGTCGTGAGTAGTGATATTATGCCGCTGCCAAGTGCCGATCATGAAGACGTTCATCCGACAGGAAGAGCCATGCGTTCTCCGCAGCCGCCGCAGTATGTAGGTAGGTATTCCATCACTGCTATTGCCAATGCCACCATCGGCGGAGAATCCATGCAGAATTGTGCGTACTGTAGAGTGCGGAGAGTGCGGAGAGTGGGTAGAGTGCGCTATAGACTACTATATCGACTAGGAACTCGTATGGTAGTTCACATTTCGTACCTGCATGGACGGACCATCAACGTTGTGCGCGCATGTGCATGGGGTGGTAGAGTACGGTGTGGTATGGATCGGTAAGAATCGGTATGGCATGGATTGGTATGTGGAATCATGGATTGTTCGGAATATAAACATTTATATATAGGTTAAGTGTATGTGAGACCGTGGAGAGTCGAGAGTCGAGACTAACCGGCCTGATGCCACATGGATTCAAGACCGTGTCACTCTATTAGGGGAGGTATGATACTAACCAGTACTAACCATATATGTACCGTATTTAGTAGCTAAGTAGGTGGATGGGACCGCTCGCGCTTGCGGCTACGGCTGATCCCGCACGGCGACCCGTCACCGATACGCCACCGGTACGCAGTTCCGCAGTTCCGCAGTTCCGCAGTGATCGATCTCGGTGGGAAAATACATACGCTATGGAATTTCCCGAAGCTCTGTGAGACACGGCCACAACTTTCACCGGTGAAGCGGGGTATTGCGGATTGCGCCAGGCCAGCTATCAGAACTCCGAACCGATCATGGCCCCCGAAAAGCCGCGGTCCCACGTCGCTGGTCGGGGAGGAGCTGGCTCGATATCGATCGCCCACATCGTGGCGCTTGTTCTAGAAGCCATTGGTTGGCGTCCCGGAGATGTACACCCGCCGACTCGCCGAGTTGAGACATCGATAACTACCACGTTAGCCACGGCCTGCACAGTGCACCGGAGCCCCGTAACTGTGTATGTATATGCAACATCTGGAAGCTGAGAAACCTATGTATGTACCGTAGTGTGCTCTACTGTAATTAACCTTCGACGCGGCGCACCGAGGCAGGTCGTTGATTGGCGCAGGTGCTAGTGAACTACTTAATTGGTCGGATCCGATCCGTGAAAGCGAGGACCTGGAGGCTGGTGTCGATATGTATGTAGGCTCGATACGGTATATACTAGTAATTAGCCTCGTCTAGCAAGGCTAGTTAACGACCACCAACCACGCCGTCCTTTTCTTGCCACTGTGGCGCGCAAGCTAACGCGGCTTATCATACCGTAGTTACACTGTTACACCACTCTAGCGATCTGCATCGGGCTGTCCGTTGCTGTTTTGCCGCTGCCGCGCCGCCCACCTTCGGCCCCTTCCGTGGGGTGGGGTGGAATGTGGGGGGAAACGTCTATATATATCTGAATTTGCCGAGGGGGGGAGGTGCGGAATAAGCCAGCCAGCCAGTCAGCCTGTGCAGAAAAACCTTGCGAGGATTAACCGAAGTCGATGATCGGGTCGGCTGTGGTGGGCGATGAGGTAGGGTCGGGTATGGACTTTGGACTCATGAGGACTCTGGCCTCTGCAAAATGTCGTCTGGAGGGAGATCTTGAAGCCTGAAGGTACACTAGATAGGTACCTCTAACGTAGGTAAAAGACGGAAAAACTTAGAAGTGGCGCAAAGCCTCATGGCGTCACGGATATACCTAAGGCAAGTACCTGCTTGGGTTTCCGTGACCGTACCCGGGCGGCGGCGGCGGGTATGGAGAACTCATTTCCACACTGCGCACTGTAGAAACCGTTCCTGACGGAATCGAAGCACACAACTTGCGCAACCGCGTGAGGCAGTCATGTCAAGTCAAGTCAAGTCAATCCCACCTTCCAAGTTCCAAGCTCTCGCCACGCCACGCCGTACGATCGATAAGATACCTAGTATAACCAGTCGATTATCTCCGTGTGGCCCGTGTGGGGTCAGAGACCACCGCCACTACCAACCAACCATATTGTGCGGCAATGCGGTTATCACATCCAGTGAGCTGGGCGCGGTGGGCGCGGTGGCGCATGGATCATGGATGGCCGTGACTCTGTGAGTGAGTGATCGCTCATCACGATGTCTCGAAAAGAGAACTTCCCCACATGAACCGATCCATTGCAGCCTGCGAGCAAGTGAATACCGGTAATTTACATACAGGATCCCGTACCTACTACTCTGGAGCGTGCACTGTGCACAAGTCGGTGGGGTTACCTATCATACCTAGTTGAGCGCATTATGTAGGTAGTTGATCCTTGCCCCCGTCTCCCCGCAGGCTGACGGACAGAGGGGGTAGTACATTATACATACTAGGTACATATAACATCTGCCTCGGAGCATCCGCCTCGGAGAATCCGCCCGGGACGTCCACCTTCCAGAGCTGCTACTACTCTACTCAAGTATCATACCGGCACAAGCTGATCGTGATGATCAGTGACGCCTGGTGATCATTGTACTATCAACTTGGCCCCTATATGGTATATTTGAGTCTTGCTGGCGGTTTTGGGACGATATATAGCACGAGACGGCACAGCACAACACGGGACGATTGTGGCTGTCTTGACGATCTAGCTGTACCCGGCTCCCCCGCTGGGGATTGGGGAAAGACTCTACTCTATTCTATACACATAGGTACCTAACCGGCTTATGAGCTTCTAGAAGCCGCAGTGTTTATATCGGTACTTATTGGTATCGGTAGGTACTCGAAGGGCTCAAAGTCGGAAGGGCTCCGTGAATTCCGTCGTTCTGGGATCAAGGATGAGATCAAGGATGAGATCAATGATGGGCTCCGGGCGGGCACGATTGAGTATATACGAGTGTGCAAGTGTGTAAGGAGTACAAAGGTGCATACATGGTGCATTCTATGACCTCGATAGAGATGGGCACCAGGTATCTTTGTACCATCACAACGTTGGCGGTGGAAATGTGGGGTTTACTCATCACCTAGCACTCGATCCCGGTTTTTCTTGCTTTGGCGCGTGAAGCTGAATTAGAGTAATAGGAGCCTGCGGGGAAGCGGAGAGAGTGTGTGCGGGTGTATGTTGCCATGATCTACTTAGCTAGGTATGTCGCATGCAATCAATGGATATGTAATGCGAGCCTGCGGGTTCATGCGGGGTACTCAGTCAACGGCATATAATGTCCATGGGAGGTACGCGAAAATGGACATTGCCCCGCTCCCGATGCGCATCTCGAGATAACGTCTATGGAAATCGCCGGCCTCGTGTTCGGGGTGCCAGGCCCGACGGATATATGTCTAAGGTGCGCTGACAACCCCGTCCCCCCGCCCCCCCGCCCCCCGCCTTTTTTTGTTCTTCTAGTGGATCTCGTATAAATTCAAGGTTTACTCATTCTTTCAGGCTTCATTCAATATCAAAAGTCTCAATCACTCTTCCGGGCCACACTTAACCTCCCAGGTTTATTCACTCTTCCGAGCCACACTCAACCCCCCAACTCTAATTCACTCCCCCAGGGTATATTCGCTTTCACCGGCTGTACCCCCTCTTTCGAAGCCATACCGACCCCCTAGCCTTCCCCACCTTTGCAGGCCTCACTTAGGCCTAGCCCAATTTCTAAGCACTCTCCTGCACTGCAGCTCGCACGCAACTACCTACACTCATCACACAAGGGGGGATAGATTCCCAAAAATCCGGTAGGTATAAATGCTCTTGCTGTGGGTGGTCGGATGATTGAGCCACGTATCGGGACGATTCCGGCGGCTGGCCTCGTCGTCTTCCGGCCTCGGCGGGGAAAACGTATTGAGCTAGGCTTGATGGTTGCTCCAAAGCGATCGTCGGGACTCGACGCGCAGGTGGGTACGTCACTGGTTCGCACTGCGTGAATTGTCGCTCGTTCGAGGAGTCGTATGGACCTCGTTCATTGGCAAAAGTCACATTCACGCTTCCTAGTAGGTCTATTCATTTTTCGGGCTTCATTCAATATCAGAGTCCCATTCACTCTGCCGGCCACACTCAACCTCCCAGCTCCATTCACTCTTTCGGGCTTCATTCATAATAAAAAGTCTCATTCACTCTTCTGGTACGCATACAATCGAATGCAGAGTCGTTATGTCTCAACTCTCATGTAAATACATCAGGGAAAAAAAATTCCTCCATCGGCTGCGTATTTATGCAGCCGACTACCTCTAGAAGGCCGCCGTGAATAGTCGTCAGCATAGTAGACACCGGGCTGTTCTTTTGACGTGCGAAAGCCTTGAGGTCGGTAGAGAACATCGTTCCGTTCTCAAGGACGTGATAGCTATTACCCTAGTCAGTGGCCGTCTTCAACAGGATGGGGAGCGGAGGACACACGCCACAATATCGATGAGCTCGCGGCGCTTGGGCAAATTCTCGAACATCTTTCAGGTACGAAAACGGTCGTCAGGGGGTGCCAATTCAGTAGCGAGTCCAATTTTGATCCCTGGAGGACGTTCATAAACGGTACTAATCTCATCTCATCGCCCGTTGCGGAAACCGACACAGGTAGTCGCAGGAATGAGTCCACGGCGTGCATAATACCATTGCTGAGCGTGATTTCCTGTTCACAACCCCCATAGTCAGTACCCATCTCCGCGGATATGATTGAGCGAAACTCACCGATCACCGGTGGCCCAGGAAATAGTCCGTCAGGACGGAAGCTATTGGGGCCCAGCGACGCGATACTGCCTGGGGCCCACAGGGCCCGGAAACGTCTCGCGGCGGGACTCGCGGCAGAAGTCTCGACCGAGCCCTTGGTTCCTTTCTGCAAGGTGCGGTCAGTAAGTGAGATCAGACCCGTGGGTGGGTGCGGTTTTACCTTCGGGGAGGGAGGAACGGCCGACATTTGCCACCGGGGTGGGCGATGTTCTGTTGTGGAGAACTGTTGCAAGTAAGGCGATGATGGCTATCTTACAATTCGAATGACCAAGTGGTCTTTGATATTTGTTGATGGTTGTAAGTGAAGAGAGGAAAAGAACATTTGAAAGACGAAGACGATCAATTTATAACAGAATCTACGCCAAGCCTCACAGGCAGACGCCCACAAACAATTTTGCCCGACAGCCCCAGCCCTAAGTTTACGTGTGAGGCTCACCTAGGGCTAACCCTTTCCTGTTTCAAAATTGAATCGAGTGAGAGACGGGGAAGTGGGCAAGTCATTCCTCATGAACCACCTCAGTACTTCGATTCTTCGGCATCTTGGCCATCGTGTCCAAACTCACAGCCAGTTTTGCAATCGAGGACGATGTTGACGCTGACGCGGAGCTAGATGAAGACCAGAACCACAAAGGAGGCGGAGGAGGCTTAGTACTATTCTAGATACTTGAATTCACATACGTCGATACGTCCCGCAGTGAAGATGAGGCTCGCCTTCGACAGCAGTGAGAAAACCTACGCCGAGTATACATAAGTGATATGAACGACTGATTGTTTCTTCGGACGCCGAACTTCCTCCTGGAATACATAGTATTGTACATGATAGTTGAAGTAAACACCACTCCACTATTCCCTTCAGATCACGTGTCCAGGCCACCGTGCCTGGTTCTGTAATTCCTCATAGAAAAAAATAGCAATAGAAAACGTGAGATAAGGGTGTACCAGTACAAGAGATGTGTGTAAACAAGCGTAATATTTGAGGACGATAACAGCCCGCACCCCTCCTTCCATCCCTTCCGATTCTAGTTTGTTTACCTACATCACTCGTTACGGCCGTGGCTTAGTTTTGGTACCTCCATTGAATTACCGCAGCATCCATCCATCCATTCCTTCTAGCCAGCCGACCAACCACGAAAGGTGTTGGCCAGTTGCGGGACCGGTGAGTTGCACTGGCATTCTATGGGCATCGCTTCACAATCGAGAGTAGAATCGCTCAAAAGGCTTGCCGTGGGGCGGTTTTTGTGAGGAAAAAGGGAAAAAGCTCGACACAGAAACTATGCGTATCAGCATCAATATCCATATCGATACCGCAGCAATAGTTAATATCTACTCCTTACTCCTTCCCACCAAATCGTAAAGACCTCACTATTATTATTATTCCCCCGCGAATAACCACCGCCCATGGCCTTCGACACCCCATCTCACTCAGCCCCCTCAGCGCCCTCCACCCCCTCCGAGATGCGGCGATGGCACTCCGCCACCTTACCAGATCACGAAAACGACCCCACTATTCCCCCTTACGACCCAACACCAACACCACCACCATCCGCAATCACCGCCTCCTCCACCCTCTCCACAGTCTCTGACTCGCCTCCCACACCCACCACGCCGTACGCCGATATCCTCGCGATCTACACACGGGACCTGACCACAGGCGCACTAACCAGCATCTTTGGCCAGTGCGCCGCACAAATCTCCCTGCGCTGGCGTGTGGAGCTGCGGCCGCAGATCCTGCAAGCCTGTTTCGCACACGGCCAGCGCGACGGTGGGGGTGTGGGTGTGGGTGTGCGGTGCAGGGTCTACGTCTGCGGCTCCGGCTTCGGCTCTGCGGACAGCGGCAGTGACAGTGACAGCGGCGGTGACAGTGACACCCCCGCCTCGGTGCTGCTCGAGATATGGGAGCACCGCGTCCCCGCCGAGTCAGAGGTGCGCGGGGCCGTCAAGTTCCCCGTTCACGGGGAGGCGGGGGCGGAGGCGGAGGAGATGGCGGCGCGGCTGCGGAACGTGTTGGCGCGCGACTACCGGTGTTCGGCGTGTGGGCGCGGGATTTTCGAGCAGACGCCGCGGTTCTATACCGCGCGCCGGCTGAGGGTGCAGTTTCTTCTCACTGATGGGCACGAGCGCGAGCAGGAGCATGAGGATGGGCATGAGCAGGGCCTGCCAGTAGCGGGGGCGGGGGAGGACACGCAGATGCTGCCGGTAGCGGCAGTGGGAGAGCCCGCGGAAGACTCCCCCACGGCGGTGTCGCTGGCGGTAATAATCGGACTGGCGTCGGCGCTCCTCGCACTGCTGCTGCTGCTGTTTGAGATTACGTTGTGGCTGACTCCAAGGGTGTGGTGGATAATCTGCGCCCAGTGCATCCCATAGTCCAGTCCAGTCCGTTTTTCGGAAAACGTCCGACTGGACTGACAGATTCAGTCCGGCTGGCGCCGTGAACTGAACTGGTCAGTCTACGCAACAGCTGGGGTCAGACGGACTGTAGTCGACTGGATGGACTGGGTACTTTGAATGGAAAACTCAGGGTATTATTGTGGTACCAAAAGCTCGACACCGAGACTGTGAATGTTAGCATCAATATTAATACTGCGGCCATATTTACTCTCTACTTCTTAGTCCTTCCCACCAAATCGTGACGGTCTCACTGTTATTTCTGTTATTCCCCCCACGAATCACCACCGCGCATGGCCTCCTCCACCCTATCTCACTCAGCCCCCACCCCCTCCACCCCCCGTCGAGATTCTGACCTGCTGTCGAAACCGATTGCCGACCTGCTGTTGCTACTCTCGTCCGCCGGTATGCTGCCCTATTTTCGCCGATATGCTGAGCTGCTTCCGCCGATATGCTGAGTTGCTTCCGCCGATATGCCGACCTGCTTTTGAACCGATTGCTGACCTGCTGTTGCCACTATCGTTCGCCGATATGCTGACCTGCTTCCGCCGATATGCTGAGTTGCTTCCGTCGATATGCCGACCTGCTTTTGAACCGATTGCTGACCTGCTGTTGTCGCTATCGTTCGCCGATATGCTGACCTGCTTCCGCCGATATGCTGACCTGCTGTTGAAACCGATTGCTGACCTGCTGTTGCCAATGTCGCCCGCCGATTTGCTGACCTGCTTCCGCCGATGTTAACCTGCTTCCGCCGAGATGTTAACCTATTTCCGCCGATATGCTGGCCTGCTGTTGCCAAAGTCGTCCGTCGAGATGCTGACCTGCTGTCCCAATGTCGTCCGCCAATATGCTGACCTATTAACCAGAGTAAAGAGGCCGCGGAGAAGGGAGAAGCTGTTGTCTATAGTATGGCGGCCGTATTAGTGTGAGAAATTTGTAACTTAACTGTTATGAAGGAGCTAGTTATTGAAGGTGAAGTTCGTAGTAGGTAGTAGGAGGAAGCGGAAATTGTTGGGTAGGAAGGAAGGTAGAAGGAGAAAGGTGGAACGAGCAAGGTGGAACGAGCAAGGTGGAACGAGCAAGGTGGAAGGAGAAAGGTGGAGGGGAAAATGCGGAAGAAGAAGGTGGAAGGAAGTGGAAGGTGGAAGGAAGTGGAAGGTGGAAGGAAGTGGAAGGTGGAAGCTGAAGTTGTTGGGTAGGAAGGAAGGAAGGTGTAAGAAGGAAGGTGGAAGGAGAAAGGTGGAAGGTGGAAGGAAGGTGGGAAGAGAAAGGTGAAAGGAGCAAGGCGGAAGGAGTCAGGGCTACACCCTTATTTGCTAGGTAGTGGGTTGATGCACATCTGATAATACCGCCAACGACATGATTGTGTCGTGTTAGATCTACTATCTAGAGGCTTAGAATGGTTGGTGGATAAGTGTGATTGAGAGAGAGAACACCAGTTTATTTCGCAATGGGTGCGAGTGATGCGAGGATATCTATGGCGTTTACTCATCCATTAGATACGCGAGCGATGCAGTGAGGCCACCCGAGTCCCGGCGCTCACCTCACTAAAGCTTCGCACTTGTGTGTATCATACATGGAATATTTACCAAAAGACCGTTGAGATTTCATCATTCATTCCGGACCTTCATGCCAGCGTGATAACCACAGTGGCAACTACATGTAACAAAGCTACCCATCTATAAGACCGAGCCCTAAATCACAATGCCGGTATGATAATACAGTCACGACCCACGCCCCCAAAGCCAAAAGTCAAAAACCAAAAACCCAGGTATAGCCATCACCCAAGAAACATATACACCCAAGAAACGCAAGAAGATTTCAAGAACATGTAGAATACAGTACAATGCAGAGAACAATTCCCCTCCCTGCCGCTCAGTCAGAGATGTAGATAACGTCGTCCTTTTCCCCTTTGACTCTGACTTTGACCGGCTGAGCTCTCCGCGCCTTCACTGGCGCAGCGGCCTTGTGGAACTGGGCCTTGGGGATCTGGACCTTTGGGATCTCAGCCTTAGGCTTTAGGATCTCCACCTTAGGCTTGTGGATGATCTCCCATTTCTCGCCGTGTTCGACCTTCGCTTTCGCTCCGAGCGCAGAGCCGCGGACCAGACGTCTCCTCTTGACGTCTCCTCCCGCCGCCGCAGGCTTATGAAGTTTAAGACCGGGGGTCTCCCTGTCGCGATCAGCGTCAGGTTCGGGTTCAGCTTCAGCTTTAAGTTTCCTAGCGGGAGCGAACGCGCGCGGAAGACGTTTCCAGTTCCACTGCTCAAGGACAGCTTCACGTTCGAGCGGCTTCGGCCTGGAGCACGCAGCAGCAGCAGCAGCAGCAGCGGGCTTGGAGATTTCGGGGCTCAAGAACTTGCTGAACTTGGAGAACTTGGTGCTGATGAACTTTTTCCTGTCGGACTCGGAGTCGGATTCGATCTTGAGATTTTTGATGGATGCAGTGGATGCGGAGGCCTGCACGAGGCGCTTCCTCTTCCTAGTAGTTGTAGGAGCCACCACCCTATCCTCGATCGAGTCACAATCCGACTCCTCGTCCGAATCAGAATCAGAATCAGAATCAGAATCCGCGCCCTCGCTGGGCGCCAGCTCTCTCCAGTCGCCCTGATCATCATCGTCGTCGTCGTCAGACTCGACCACGATGACATCATCGTCGTCGTTTATGATCCAGGTATCCTCATCGTCGCTCTCATCGTCTGGGCGCCCTCTAGCACGTCTCTCCTTCGCCCTGCCCACCGTCAAGAACTCCTCCTTTGTTAGCTTCTCCAGCGACTCCCACGGGTTCTGGTTGGCGCTGGGCTCCCAGCCCTGGTACAGCTTTGTAATCTTTGCGGAGACCATCGCGCGCGCCCGCTTCCGCTCCGTCTCCATGCGCTTGCGAAAGCCTATCTGCCGCGTGCCATCGTTTCCGCGCGTCGTCGACATACGTGCTTCCGCCTCGTGCAGCAGCCGGCTCTCGTAGTCGGTGTGGCTGTGCCGTAGGTGCGCTATAGTCGCGCGGCGCAGCCGCTCCGGTAGACAGATCTTTTGGCTGCGGCCAACGCGGCCGGAGGACTGCAGTAATGTCAGTGGCTGCGCCAGGATACAGCTAACCTAGATGGAATTGCATACTTTTTCAAACGCCCGGTTGACGATAGTCTCGCGCTCTTCTAGCGGCATTTTCTCGAACATCCCGAGCAGACAGAGCGACGCTTCGCGCTTTTCCCGTCTGTCTCTGAGTTCCAGAACATAGCCTACAACAGAGATACCGAGTCAGTCGATTTCCCATCCAACAATGACAAGGTGTGAAGCATAGTTACCGCGGTCTTCCCGTGTCATGAGTTCATGCTCGACAGCCTTAGTGTGCATCTCCCTGGGCACCTGAATTCCGAGGGCCTGGGACAGCTTTCGGACAATGTAGACCTTCCGCCCAGCATCCTTGGTGAGTTTCCGCGCAGTACGGGTGATGTAGACGTTGCCTCTCGGAACAAACTCGTAATCGGCTTCGACCGGACGGGTGGTAAAGCAAGGCTGTAGACCGAAACCCCCAGAGATCAGCAGTTGTCCTGTCCGCCGTCGCTATGGGAAGGTGGAATAGAAGATAAGATAACCCACCTCTTCGCCATTATTCTTCGCCAGAAACTCCGCAATGATGGCGCGTCTCGTGGATTCTCTGGGAACCAGCTGATACCTCCACGCCTCGACGCGGCCATCCAGCTTCTTTTTAGCCTTTCTCGACCTCTTTGGGGGTTTCACGGGCTGCAGATTCAGATTCAGATTCTCCGTGTTCTCGGGGTTTCCCTGCTTCGCCTGCAGCTTCGCCTTCTCCATCCTGCGTTCCTTCACCTTCACCTTCAACCCCTCGCGACCTTTCTGCCTCATGATGTACCTGTGGTACTTCACGATATCGGCGGGCAGCTGGTGTTTCGTCCCCACCGAAGCCCTTCGCTTCTTTTCATACTCCTGCAGCGCTTCCGCGATTGGCAGGTGCGGATACAAATGTTTACAGATGTCGTCCAGTTTACGGTTCTGTCGCATCGAAGTACCGGCACCTCCACCGCCCCCAGGAGGTCGCATTTTTCCTGGTGCTCTGGGTGGTCCCAGTGGTGGAGGCCGTAATGCCTGCGCGGGAGGCGGCTGGGGCTGCGGTGCAGCGTGGTTTCTGAAGGGCGGAGCTAGTGCCGTCGAGATCGATTGCGGCGGCAGTTGACGCGGCGGTGGATTGAAATGTCCGCTGGGTCGGGCCTGTGTCGGTACCGGTACCGGTGCCACCGGTTGCCCCTGTGTAGGCTGCGGTGGATGTGCGCGGCCCGGAAGCGGTCCGGGCCGGGGAGGAAGTGGATTGTTGGGGGCAAATCGATGGCGGAGGCTATTGGTGGCACCGGTAGAGGTGGTCCTGGCCGACGGGGCACTAGGCTTGCGGAGTGGGTTGGGCGGCTGTCTCTGCTGTGACGGAGGTAGGGCCTGCCGTACGGCTGGTTTCGAAGCTTGCAAGGTGGGGGTGAGAGCAGCTACGCTTGTAATGGACGGAATATTGGCAGCAGATGAAGCTTCCACTTTGACAATCGGCGCCTTGCGTGTGGGCGGAACACTGGTCGAAGCTGAAGGTTGCATTTTGACAATCGGCGCTTTACGCGTGGGAGCAGCAGCAGCCACGTTCCGGCTAACGGTCGGAGCCGCACTAATGGTGGCAGGCGCCGGAGGCTCCAATTTGACGGCCCGAAGCTGGGGCGCGGAGGTAATGGCAGCCGCGACATGATTGATCGGCCCGACCTTCGAGACAAGTGCACTAGTGGGGGTAGCGGCCGAAGTAGGCTCCTTCTTCTCGTTCGCAGTGGGGCGTGTAACAGGAGCAACAGGAGCAACAGGAGCAGCGATTTTGTGATTGACCTTTAGAAAGGGCTCCATCCTGAGGGCCGGATCTATGGCCAACGACAAGGAAGCAGGCACCGCTGTGGCAATAGGCATATTTGGCACGCTGGGCATGACAGCATTGTAATTGATCGGTGGATACGGTCCATTCCTGAAAACCGGGGCAGTAGCAGGCAAGAATGCCGGCCCCTCTCCTTTGGTGATCGGTGGATACTGTCCGTTCCTGAAAACTGGGGCACTAGTAGACGGGGGCACCGCACGCCCTCCGGTGATGATCGGTGGATACCGTCCATTCCCGAAAACCGGGGCACTAGTAGCAGACGAGGGTGCCGAAGCCCCTCCGTTGATGATCGGTGGATACGGAGCATTCCTGAAAACCGGGGCACTAGTAGACGAGGATGGCGGCCGCTCATCCTTGAAGATCGGAGCCCGGCAAGTAACAGCAGCAGCAGTAGTAGCAGCAGCAGCAGCAGCAGCAGCAGCAGCAGCAGCATCGGGGAGTTTGCCGACTGGCGAAAGCTTAGGCCAGGGTTCCGGAGCGCCTGCAGACGACGGCTCCGTCTTGACAAACGGGGGAGGCATCGCGGGAGGCGTCTCCTCCATTCGATGGCAGCGCGATCGATCGTCGTGTGAGGATTAGACAAGTGGAGTAACTCGGATCGGTGTGGCAGCGTACGACGTAACTAGACGGAGTTGGTGTTTGCTTTCTTTGTTGAGAGAAAGTGAATGTTGAAGTTGCGGCGGATACAACCCTGTCACGTCGGTGTCCGCAGTTTCTCGTGAAGCTGAACCAGTCTCCGGTTTGTTGTTCGCGTTGCGCTCAACTCACCCACACATCCGGACGCATGCAGGGGACAAGATTCGTCCCAGCGCAGAGTAAGGTCTTTTTTGCCTTCTTTTTTGCCTTCTTTTTGTTAATAATTGATTGCGCGCGATCTAAATACTGTAGATAACAGATCATGGCAATGTACACACACTTAGAGTGAAGCCATGAATGACAGTGAAGAATGAAATCAACTCGAGTGACACATCATGCAAATATCTCGACTCTCCAAGTGCTACGATGTGTTTTTCCATGGTCAATATGTCACAGACAACATGAATAATCACCATCATTTCAGCTCTAAAACCACCGCACTCCCTACCGCACAAAAAACCACCTCGTAAATCCTTCCCATTCCATCTATCGCACCCCCTCACGCCGACGTTGGCACCTCCTCGAACAGATCCGCCAGCAGCACCTCTCCACAGCCCTCCACATCCGGCTTCGCCATAGCATACGTCCCCTCATACGTAGCAATACTCAGCCCCCTCAAAAACGGCGCGACCAGATCCCTCCTAACATCCGCCTCCATTCCCTTAGCGGCGGTCCTCGCGCGCAAAAACCACGGCCTCCTTCCGGCGCCTTGGACTCCCGCACCATCATTCTCGTACGCGCCTCTACCGCCGCTAAGCTCAAGGACGACCTGATCCACCAGTGCCATAGGCGTCCAGTCGTGCGTGTGGTAGACGGCCTCGATGGTGTCTGTGACGAACAGCCACTCGTGCAGCTGGAACTCGTCTGGTGCCAGGACGATAAGTGTGTCGAGGAGCTTGCACGCCTGGAGGATCCCGGCGTCGTTGAAGGTGTGCTCAGGATCGCCGTCGGGCGCGAGCGCGACCAGCGCGTTGTGCAGCTCTGTGTTGATCAGTGGCCACAGGCTGGACATGTGCACGTGGCTGGTTTTCAGCGCCAGTGCGCGCAGGACGAGGTAGACCTCGCCGCGTGTGGCGGAGGAGGGCGAGGAGACCGCGGTCGCTGAGAGCAGCTCGACGAGCTTTTCTTCGATCTCGGTAAGCTTCGGAACGAACGCGTCGTGCTCGTTCGCGAAGATTAGGAAGGCGATGCGTTTGAGGTTTAGCGCCGTGCGACGGTCGGCTTCGAGTCTGGCGCTGCCGGCGCCGACACCGAAGAGGACGCCGGCGGTGGTGGGCGGCGTGATCCGGGAGAGCAGTTCCATCATCCGTTCGCGGTCCGCGAGGAGGTATTGGATCGTCAGGGGAATCCATTTGTCTTTCACCAGGGATGGAGGGTTGAGGAAGAATCTGGGGTCGAGGAAGACGTCCGAGAGCTCTTTCTTCCATGCCTTTTGATTGTTTTGGAGACGTGTGAGCTGGTAAACTAGATCTAGTAGTGTGGGCGATACGTTGTGGGGGAAGGCTTTGGAGCGGAAGATAGGGCCTATCAGGGACGTTGAAATGCTGATGGAAGCGGTGATCACTCGCTCCGGCTCCAACACGACTTTTCGGAGGATGGGTACGATAGAAACGAGGATTGGGACTATGTCGTCGGGGGCCGTTTTGCCTTTGGCGGTGCGGTCGGGCCGGAGCTCGCCATCGAACTCTGCCTTCTCCAAGCTGGAGATCGGAATCGGCGCAGGCAGTTCCAGTGACCGGGAACCGGCAGGTGCCACCGTAAATACAGCCGTCAACATCCTCAAAAACAGGTCCTGTAGCATCGGAACATCAGCACCATCCGGCATCCACCATTTACCCCACTACTTCTCAGAAAAACCTACCCCTAGCTCCTTTCTCATCTTCTTCTGCTCGCCAAAATTGGTATTATCAACCTTTTCGCCGAGAATCGCCGTGAAGCTCAACAAACTCGGCAGAATCTGTCTATGCGGGAACGGATTTGCAAGGACATCCCTCAGGAAGACCATACAATCCGCCCAGATCTCATCCATGGCGTCGTCCTCAAGGCTGCGCGCATACTCGACCAAGAAGACAACCACATCCACATCGCCCAGCTCTGCTGTCAAGGTTGATCTCCTACTCGGATCCAGCGCAGACGGATTCGTCCTCGAGTAGACAGCATTGAAGATGGCCGGGATCGTGTGCTTCGGCCGAGATCCATCCAGCACATTGACGAGTCGGAAGATACTGCCAACGTTCCTTTCGCCGAGAGGCGCCACGCGTCCAGGCCATAGCTCGATCAGCGTCTCGAGACACTCTAGGGTCTCGGCGGCAAACATGTGCTCCAGTATCCTCCTAGCCCGGCCTTTCATGCGCAGACTGGTGTATTGCCAGCTCTCTCTACTAAGCGCATCCAGCGTCTCTCCATTACTGTTAACATCGCCCCAGCTCCAGATGGAATAGCAGATCTTGACCGTATCCTGGAAGCACAGGAGTACAGTGAGCCGATTATTAGCGGCCGCGCTACGGTTTAGCGGGCTCTCGACCGAAAACACGCCCGACACCATGTTCCCGAAGAAGCCCGCACTCGGCGCGTCCGGACTCTTGGGGCCGGTACTCTTCAGCTCTTCCATCAGCAGGCGGTCGTGTGCGGCGGCAAGAATCTGCTCGAGCCCGTTCAACAGCGCGACCAGAGTGCTCTCGGGACTCTTCCCGCAAGATTCGGGAACGTGCAACTTCCCGGTCTCCCGGAACACGGCTTTTAACGACTCGAAGGTGGTCTTGATTTGGTTGCATAGACACTCGACCAACGGTATCAGCATCTGGAATATCACGTCTGAAATCAACGGTAGACATTCGCCGAGGAAGAAGATCCAACTGTCCAATACCGGTCTGCTGCTCGTGCTGGAGAATCCGCCGACCAAACACTTGAGCAGCTGCATAGGCGGAGTAAACTGCGGAGGCGGCGCCAGTTTCTCCACATCAACCGGCGTAGCAGCATTTCGAGGGCCGGCTTTGATCTCCAGATTCCTGCTCAGTAGGCGTAGGTGACCAAGGTGGCTCGTGGGCCTGTTGAGCGACAGTTTGAGGGCTTCGTGCAGCACGTCCAGCATGGAAACCTGCACAAAAGTTTCCTTTGTCTCCATGATCGAGAGGAGGCGGGCCGTCAGGATATCCTCTAGCTCCATATCCGCCAGCGGCTTTGAGTACGGGCTCAAGAGCAACTGGTGGAGCACGCCGAGCGCCATCTTGTGAAGCTTCGACACTCTCTCGGCAGTCCGAGGGTCTGTTGCATCGCCATCGATAGCCCTCAGGGCGACCTTGGCAAAGAACGCATGCAACGTCATGTCTTCGTCGCCGTACTCGCCTGCCTCCTGTCAGTCCGTTTTCACAGCATAGATGCACAGATACCCACATTGTGCGAAGGTTTTCGCCTTGCTCTCATCTCCGTTGATAACCAGCTCGGTCGCCAGTTGCGCCATCATGTTATTGGTCGCGTAACGCAGGATATTCAGCAATGTTTGAAAGTAGTAAGTCGCGATCTCGAGGCAGTCGTCTTCGGCAAACAGTGGTCTCTTCCGCGGCGCACCATCAGCATCTCTCTCACCGGGGTCCCGCAGGAACTGGCATCCAATAAGCTTTTCAACAAAGATCCAAAACAGTCTATCGACGCCATGTGAGTAACGGTATGCATATCGAAGGCCGAGCAGGAGAAGGGGGGGGGGGTCCTACTTATTGATGCTTGGTAGAGTTTGCAACCAGCCTCGGGCGAATATCGACATCTCATTGGCATCGTCCGCAAGAGAATCCATAAAGAGAAACAGCGGTCTCGTCAACATCATATGGTAGGCGCTTCCGCCAAGGCCGCTCACGCTGTGATTCCACAGCACCGCAAAATTCCTCCCTGGCTCGGCGCCATGGGCATATGGACTCGTCATGACAGTGGCAATCGATGCCTCTACCCTGCGGTCTCTGAGCACATTCTGGAGATTCCACAGAGCCTTGATCGACTCCACGTGGAATTTCGGCGCATCCGGTGAAAGATAAAACCACAGCCCGCTCGTGACCGAGGCCACCAGGGAGTCGGTGTCCTGGACGCTGAGATATCCCTTGGAATACATAGCCGAAATCATGTTCGCCATTCCTCTCAGAGCGCCGAAGGGTACAGGGTCAAGTTGCAGTTTCGATATGAAGCTCGAGACAAGGCTCTTTGCATCCGGCCAGTCCGACAGCTTCGGAACCTTGCGTGTGACATTTACAAACAGCCGGCATCGTATGTCGACATCACTGGAGCTTCCCTCCAAAGCTTTCTGCACGACGGAGGCAGTGTCTTTAAAGATCCAGTCGGCCACTTGTGAGGGCTGAAACGGGGCCGTGCTCGTTGAGCCGTCGGTCGACCGGACTTGGTCTCTCCTATAAAACCGCTGGATTGATTTGAGAATATTTTGCGCCGCATCCTCGTCCGAGGAGTTGGATGTTGCTGACGACTTGATCTTTGTCGCTGGAATGAGTTCCCATATTTCCTCGGCAAGTAGGAACCCGTTCCTAGATAGCTCGTATGTAGTATCACGGCTTCTCTCCCCGTCGGCACCCAGGAACCGCAAGACAGCCAGGACCAACATCGGCGCATGCACACGCAACATCTCTTCCTCGCGAACATTGAACGTCCGGATTATGAATCTTACCGTCTGCAGGTGATCGATTGCACTATCGCCGTCTTCAGAAAACGCCGTATTTATTTTTTCTAGCATCTGTCCCCATATTAAGCCTGCCTCTATTCCATCGAAGAACATGCTCGCACTCCGGAACGCCTCGTTGTATGCCTCCTTGCTAGGCGCAATCTTCTCAAACGCCCGTAGACTTTCGATGGCCGGAAGGAACAACTTGGGAGCGACGAGGGAGCCAACTTCCCAGCGATCCATGAGGGATAGGCATATCCTGTAGGGGCGTGCCCGTTCTGCTGGTGTCGCATCAGGCCAATCGAGCATCTTCAATAAACCATCGACCAATGCCTCCAGGCCATAATCTCGGAAGTATGCATGGGCGTTTGCTTCTTCCGGTCCGAGAAACCATGCCCAAAGACGTCTGTTGAGCGACATATCTCTTCGCATCACGACACCTGCCGCCGATGTGACCAGCAACTGTAGATCTGCCTTCGACACCTTTTTCTGCAGGACTAACGACGACAAGGGTATCTCAGTGACCAGAAGATCCAGGAACCCGCGTTGCACCAATAGTTGCTCGTCGCCGAGCCCAGCACAAAATGCGCGAACCAGTAGTCCTGGCTCGGGGCTTATAAGCGCATCCGCATCCGCTTTCCGCTCTTCTTCCGTCTTGCCGTCTCCCTCAGCTCCATCATTCGCCTTCCCGTCCAATTTGGGTATCCGCCGTCCCAGGAACGCCAGTGCTCCCTGTCTGCGCGCCGGTGCCGTTATCGTTGCCAAAAGAACGCACTGCCAGAAATAGGCGTCGTCCTTCACCTCCTTTCGAATGGCATCGATGAGCGCCAGCGTCTTGTCGAAGTATTCCCCTCCCTCTTCGTCGATTCCCGGCAGCAGCGCAAGGATCAACGCCTTCAGCGTTGGCCGGAGCGCAGTCCCGATGGGTAGATAGAACCGCTCCAGGAGATCGAGATAGTGCGGCTTCAGCGTCAACGAGGCGTACGAGAGCACCGGCGTGAGTCCGGGTGTCCACAGCGCAAGATCCGAGCTCAACCCATCGCGGCCGATCAGCGAGAATATGTAGGAGTAGACCTCGATAGTTTTCTGGTGGACTCCCGAGGGGAGGCGTGGGTTGAGGCACTGGGCTAGGCGTTGCGCGACGAGTGATTTGGAGGGTATGAGTGGCAGCGACGGATGCGATTGCAGCGCCTGATGAGTCCAGCACGGTTAGAATCTCCCCACCTCGACCAACCGCCGGAGCTTACTTTCAGCAGGCGTCCCAGGAACGATATGTAGTCAGCCCACTCCTGAAGGTTGTTGCTCTCGAAGAGTGCAAGAGCCCGGTCTATGCTCGCAGAGAAGCGCTTATACTTGGGATCCTTCCGGGTGGGGTCTGAGGGTATCAGCTACTACGGTGATGTTTCGGGGAAGATACGGTGAGCTACCTTCGTCGAGCCGGCGTCGTGGCTGCGGCGACGAGCGGCCGGAGGACAGGGCTGGGGAGTGGCCGCGCGATGCCGGCCCGAGAGACATTGTGGACCCGAAGGTAGAGATGCGGCTGCAAAGAAGGTATCTTTTTGGTTTCGTGACGAGTTTGTAGCTGAGTACTTTCTTCGGTGTTCCTCACGAGCTTCGTGGACGACGGCACTAGCTATGAGGCGGCTCTACGGCGCGACGCGTGTCTCGGACTTCCCCGCCATGCACCTCCTGGGACCTGCTCCCCACCACAAGACCTCGCATTTCCTCATCACACTGTGCGCTCTCTAATCACACGACAGTCAACTATCTGGAGAGAATTCTTCACAACCATTCGACGACGGATAAACCAGCTCCCGAAGTGATTTTCTACATACTCAGAGGCTTCGCAGAAACAGAACCTCTCCTACTCGACTTACAAGCGCTTCCAAATTTGGGCTGTTTCACCAGGCAGCTAACTACCGGTTACCCCAGGTCCCCAGCTCCCATTCGAACCCTGCTCTGCCCTTCGGTTTGGCGACACCAGCGGCAAGACCCTTACTGTAGATTCTCCATTCAACCCAGCACTCCAGACATGACCGATTCTCCGCCAGCTAGCTATTTCCACGCCCGCCGAAGCGCTTCGTTGAAACGGCCGACCCTTCCTCCCGCAAATACTTCTATTCTGAGCGCGCATCGTGAATTCCCCCCAAGCAGGAATGTACCTATATAACAATGCGCCTCCAGCCAGCTCTCCGACTCCCCAAGCCGGTCTTCAATTCACTTCTGCACTCCTAACTACAGCATTCCCGATTCACATCTGATTCGAACCCAGCAAAAATGCCGCTCCTCCCGCCTCCCTATACTACCAAGACCGCCGCGCCCGTCGGCCGCTCCCAATCCACCAAACCCACGTCGCGCTCCCGCTCCCTCAGCGTCCGCGGCCGCTCCCGCGATACTTCGACATCCGTGCCACCGCCGACCAAAAAGCACCGCTTCACGCTCGCCTCGCTGCGCGGGAACTACCAGCCGGAGCTATCGCGGCGGCTCTACCGACTTATCAAGTCGGAGAACCACGTAATCGACTCGTACGAGGCCGCAGGGCACGAGCGACAGTCCATCGCCACGCAACTCAGCGAATGGGGCGAGCAAACGGGCGACGACGCCGTAAACGAGCTCTCGGACAAGCTCGGTGTGCTGCTGTCGGAGCTCGGCGCGCAGGAGGAGGCGTTCGCGCAGAACCTTGAGGAGTACCGCAGCGTGCTGAAGCAGATCCGGAATACTGAGAGCAGTGTGCAGCCCAGCCGTGACCATAAGGCGAAGATCCATGACGAGATACGGAAGCTGCAGTATAAGGACCCGACGAGCACGCGCATCTCGCTGCTCGAGCAGGAACTTGTGCGTGCTGAGGCGGAGAATCTGGTTGCCGAGGCGCAGCTCACGAATGTTACGCGGAGTAAGCTGAAGGAGGCCTTCGCGGCACAATTCGTGGCCGTCATCGAGCGCGCCGATAAGCAAACGATGATTGCGCGGCACGGCCTGCGGATGCTCAACCTCCTCGACGACAGCCCGGTGGTTCCAGGCGAGACCCTCCCGCCATTCGAGTACGAGCGTGAGGCGCGCCAGATCATCCTCGATGCCGAGGAGGAACTCAAGGAGTGGTCGCTGAACATCCAGGAGGAGCTCACGACGAACGCACATGTGGTCGATGGCGGGGTTGTCGACGGACTGGCTGCGGCAAGCGCCTCCAGCTCCGCGTCCGCAACTGTCATCGCTTCCCCCATGCCCACCCCAAGAGTCCCAATGTCGAATCCGCACACACAGTTTCTGGGGAAAAGCGCGGCTCCGCCCGCCCATCTAGTTCATCCTGCGCAGAGACATGTCAGCTTCGGCTCCCAGAGCAGCGGGAGCAGTAGTGGTGGAAGTGGAAGTGGGTACAGCAGTCCGTGGGACGCGCCGTACCCACTGTCGGAGGGCGAGAGATCGGTGGCGGCCGGGAAGGCGGCGCTCAAACAGCAGCAGTCGATGGGCCTCCTGGTGTGAGGAGGGGTTTACGTGCTCAGGAACCTTTCCCGTTGTTTCTCTTTCTCCATCTGGCGTTGGTTTATTCTTTGGGTGTCTTTGTATCATAGATTTCAACTTGCTTAATGTGGTTCTTTTTTGCTCATCTCAAAAACGACCGTGTCTGATCATGACTGCTATGTTCCAACTTACTCTACTACTTGGTGAGAGAGAACATCAATCCATTCCGCATAACTACAGCCTTACAGAATTACACATGGCGAACCAAACCAAACTCTCCTGCTCTCCCGCAGAGGGACAGGGTGGGAAACCCGCTACCACACAGTTCGTTGCGCCACTGCGTACCGAGTCACTTGGGTTATCTGACGACAGTGCTGTGTTAACCATGAGGGGATGACGGTCTGCGACTTCGAAGTGTCGCTGACTGCCGTGTTTCCCTCGCCATCTAGTCTCTAAATGTAGTCCGACGACATAAATATCTATAGCGCCACCGGCGAAACGTGATTCTGTGCCGAGAATTCGGTCAATTTTCAAGTACGAGGGTCGAGAGGCGAGTGATTCAACGTGATTGTCAGTAATACTAGGTACTCTATTCAACGAGGCAATCGTCGATACGAGCTAATGGTGGATGAACCACTACAGACACTGTTCAGCAGGCTCGAACATAATGAAATATGGAAGCAGGTTCACTCGAACCGTGGATTCGTGGAGGCGGAGAGCGCGAGTGACGTGCGATGAGTCTCTGACTCTTTGAACGAGATCGTTTATTTGTATGTAAGGAGAGCAAGCAAAAAAGTAACCGGGCATGAATAGGGGAAGCAGGAAGATATAGGCACCTTGGCACCTCTGAGGGTAATAGGTACGGTTCATGATATTCCTTCCAGAAATCCGTCAATCGGCCTCGCAAGCACCATTGGATGACGCGCAGCTTGGAACCCAGTGGCGGGTTTGACGCTGATATCAATGCTCCCAGTGCTCAGCCTTGTTGGCCTCGGGAAACTCATTCTCGGAGATGCTGTTTTGTGATCAGTTACTAGTGGCCTTGGAAGGGGTAGCCACCTTCTTCTGTACCGGTCACTATGCTTGAGCTATTCGACCCGTGGGCATCCATTCTTCTACGTTCTCACTGCTAGCTAGCTATTCCTGCTTGCAATACTATTCTTCCCAACAAGTAACAACTTGGCTCCTGACCAGAGCACGAGTGATGCAGAATGATTACGCTTGAGCACTCTACATCCTGGCAAGACAAAGGGACAACACCCTTAGGCATCTCATAGGTACTTGGGAATCACATCTTTGTTCATTCAGAACAAGCACGACCATGATCTTATCTACTACATACCTTCCTTATCGGAATCGCCGTACTTCCATCATTCTCCAACCCCATCCATGGACCATCCATGCATCCATTAATCCATCAATCCACTACCCTCAAGACCTAAATTTCTTACAGGGGAGATTCGGTTTATGCATATACTCTCTAATCAATGTATCCACTGCACTCCACGGGTAGCTAGTCGCTTCCATCTGTGGGTTGACCGTAATGCAGCTAAGCTTCTCCTCCACTGTATTGCATGCCGTCAGCCATCATCTCGTCTCAGTCGGAAGGAGGAAGGAGGAAGGAGGATATAGGAGAGAGGGGAACGCACATCCAAAGATCCACATGATGTTATTATAATTGGCGGCGACCAGCACCGCCCAGACGGCATGATCCTCTGGGCGACACATATGCGCCGCGATATAAGCCCTCGCATAGCCGTTCCCCGTCGGTTCCAGGCTGCGCTTGCATCTTCCCGGCGCGAGCTCATCGAAGTGCCTCTCGATGGCGTAGCTTGCTTCTTCTTCTTCTTCTTCCCCCTTTCCCTGGCGCTTTCGCAGCACCGTGTCCATGAGCTTGCTGCGCCGCTCGCTGAGAAGCACGTCGCGGCAGATGTACGGGATGCTGATGTGCACTTGCTTGATGTTTTGGCAGAAACGCCGGAGGAGCGGGCACAGGTGCGGGTGCGCGTGCGATCGCCGGGAGCGCAGGAACTGACGCTGCGAGTGCTCGGCGGAGGCGTTCGAGGCGGAGGCGGTTAGCTGGAAGAAGCGGAGGTTGGGGAGGTTGCGGTGGAGGAGGCGCGATATTCCTGTTTAGTGTTAGCTCGATGGAAGGATGGAACTTTGGGACGGGGTGATAACCTCCATAGGTCAGCCAGGGATTGCTGTCGAGTCGCAACCCCGTGAGATTCATCGCCATCCAGGGCAACGTCGCGCTGAGTATCGAGTCGTTGAATTCTGGGCAGTAGCTCACGTCGAACCAGACAAGCCGTTTCACGCCTTCGACATCGGCAGGACGAATCTGAATGGAGCCTTGCAGTTGTGGTCCCCTGCAGAGTATATCTGTCTCTGACACGGGCTCATGGTCGATGCGCAGGAACTCCAGGTCGGGAAATGAATGTCCACCGAGCAACCCTCGCCAGAACGGCACTGTCGGACGACAGAGGACTCCAAGCTCGGGATCTTGTACTGTACCGCGGCGGCTGGGGATCACTTGGAACGAAGAGGCTGGAAGGCCCGGCCCTGGGTAGGGCAAGGGGGCGGACGTGGCCGAGGCTGAGGAGGCGAAAATGTTCTCGACGCAGTTTGTTATGTATTCGCGGCTGAACTTCTGCTTGTTCGGCGAGCAGAGAAGTAGAAAGTCAACTCGAGGGAAGAACTCTTCGTCGAAGGCGATGATCGGCTGCTCGTGGCAGAACTTATCCATCACCCTTAAGCTGATGGCGACATTCGGACAGTGGCTATAATCGAAGGGAAAAAAGAATCAGTATCTCATCTAATCCCATAGGAGACAGAGCATGTACCAGATAATGACCTGAAGACCTGCGGACAACGATATGGCTTTCGGTCCGTCCGTGTCCTCGCCAATGCTCAATATCAATCGCTTGATATCTTTCGGAGTGCTGCCCCCAAGAGCCCCAATGTTGACCGGGCTCCGGACTGTCCGTACGAGCTTGTGGAGGGTTTCGAGGTTTCCAATCTTGATGTACGAGTAAATCTGCTGATGAAGCAGACGGTAGAACCCAGAGTAGACGAGTGTAAGACATAGAATCGAACGGCGAGAGAGGTTCCTGATGATGCAGGAGCAAACCTCGGGGACTCCAAACAGGCTGGACTCGGTCGTGTCAGCACAGCACGCCAGCAAGACGCGGAGAGAAACAAGCAGACTCAAGTAGTGTGAGAAGGATTGTAGGATTCCGTTTTGAGTAGATATTGTTGTACTCTGCAGTGGTCATGCTGCAGGATATTGGAGTAGATATCCTGTGCTAAGAATAGGGATAATAGATGCCAAGGTTGAACAGCGCTCGGGGCTTGAAGAAGGTCGCTGGTATGCCTGCGAGGAGAGAATGGACCGGTGCCTTCTATGGACTGGCCACGAGTGACTGCAGCAGCACCGGAACTTGCCGACATTCACGTGCAAGAATGCGCCAGAATACGCTAAAATCCGCCGCGTGCTGGATATGGTGTTATACACGTCTCCCTGTACAAGTACACCTCACCACGACCATCGCACGTTACCATATCGCGATTCCACTGCCATAAGCACAAGATATAATACGATGCCTCTCGGAATAGAGAGTAAGCTGTTTCCACCTCATCTTTTATGACGGAGATAATACTGACAGACACTACTAGGAATCAACGTGCGTCGCCGTTCGCCCAATGACCTCATCAACTTCATCACGCCGCTCGAGGACGCAGATAAGGCGATCGCCCAAGACTACCTGGAACGCATTGCGGCCATTGTATATCCCATCATGAAGGATAATGGCCTTGCTGTTATGAAGTACACCTACGCATTTTCCTTCCTCCTCGACGTCGACATCACGCTGACAAAGCTATGAATGTAGCCTGGACGAATTCCCAGCAAACGATGAATTCTGGGGACGAAACTGTGTGTACTCCTCTCCACGGTATCAGGATGGGAAGTATCATTAACCGACTAACCAATAGTCAACGCGGGCGCATGTATCCAGCTTGTTCTAAAACATCCAAAAACCGGACAATGGCTACCGTTCAAGTTTGTACAAGGAGTCATGATCCACGAGCTGGCACACAACAAGCAGATGGTAATCACGGACTGCTCCACTCTTTTCCCCCAGCATTTCTGACATGAAGCCCCACTACAGAACCACTCCTCATCCTTTTGGGCGGTCCGCAACAAATTTGCCCGGCTTCTTGATGCCCTTCACGCGCGCGACTACACGGGCGAAGGCTTTTGGTCCGCGGGGCGTGAACTAGTCAGCGAACAGTATACGCACGACCGGCCACTGGCGGAGTCCGAGATGCCGCAGCACATCTGCGGCGGCACCTACCGTGACAGGACTAAGCACCGGGTCCGGGCGCCAAGGGAAAGGCTGAGCTACGCGGAAACGAAGAGGCGAAGGATAGAGCGCAAGTTTGGGATGGCTGGAGAGGGGAAGAGTCTCGTTGCCGACGTCGACACGGCGGATAGAAAACCGAAGCCGAGGGTGGCTCAGAGTAAGCGTGGCCGCGAATTACGGGCAGCGGCGGCGTTGGCGAGGTTCGAGAAAGTTGAAGATAAGAAAGAGGAGACTAAGGAAGCGGATCGGGATGAGGAAGGTGTTACGAATAGCGAGAGCGAGGACGAGAAGGCTGTCAATGTTGGTGGCGGAAAGTTCATGGTTGCCGTGAGTGGAGAGCAGGATGGAAAAGAGGAGATGGACGAGATGGATCGAGAGCTCATCGGGCTACTGGGGGGGGGTGCCTGTGGTTCAGGAAGCAAACAACCCGCAAAGCCACGTGCCACATCCGCCGGTCAGCCCACAGCGAGGTCGAAAGCCGTGGTGAATCACCACACCCCCATCATCGATCTATCGTCCGACACGGAGGAGGCGAGGCAAACCCAATCTTCATCTCCATCTCCATCCATATCAAACATCAGGCAGCCACCGGCAGATCCCCTGCGTGCAAAGCGCAGCAAACATACCCCAGCTCAACCGGGCACGAATATTTTTCCAACTGCATCGTCAGCAGCCACACCACCACCACCAGTGACCAGTCGTCCGACTGTATCCGCTGATTCACCGCAAACATGTCCTGTGTGCTCCTGCACCAACAGGGCCGGGGCAGCAACCTGCCTAGCGTGCATGAACGTCTTGTTGGATCGCGACGATCTCGCAACATGGAAGTGCTGCAATGTGTCATGTCCGCCGCGGTACCGCAACTCCAAAGATGTGGTCTTCTGCGGTACATGCGGCGAAAGACGACGGTCGGACGGGAATACATCATACGGCTACCTATGTATGTAGAACACTCTGCAGAATGCAGATTGTACTGGTACATGGCAGAATCGGATCCCGAGGCTGTGGGCACTTTTTGCCTTAACGAGGGCCCAGTGATCAGAAGCATATCTAGGGGATAAATGCAGGACTGTGGGTTTTTCGGGCCGACAAGGGCGTAGGTTTTGATTTTGTTTTCGCATGAAGAGCGAATTCGCACTACAGGCCAGCCCTAGGGGACCTCCGAGACGAAAAAAACTGTTGCTATGTAGAGTATCGACCTAGGTAGCCATCCGTGATGCATCATGTCCCACGAGCACGATGGATGGACTGGCTTCAGCTCTCCACGTCATGTCCTTCCAAACACCAACCAACGCACTCAATTCCTCGCCCCGCTGTACGGGTATGTAGTATGTAGTACAATCAGTGCAGCATTTGTACATGCATAACCAACAGCACCCACGCCGCACCACCTACTTATGCCCCCCACCCCATTCCCTTCCCCCCGCCCCCAGTAACTGTTTAACACACAACGGCCAATCCATCCGTCCGACGGCGTCAATCCTCCAAGCCACCCACATGCATGTGCACCTGCACCTGGACCGTGCATTACCCTTCCCTTCCCCCACCCTTCCCCTTCCCGCACCCACCACCTCCATCCGTCCCACCCACCCACTCACCACCGCCTCTATCGTGAATCGTGATTGCTCACGTTTACGGCTCACGAGTCACGACACAATCTCTCCCTGCCGTCCCCGGCGATTCCCTGCCAGCCAGCGCCACACCCCCCGATTCATCCCTGGTCGGAGATTTTCGTCTGTTTGGTGGTATTGCTGAATATTTGTTTTTTCCCTCCCGGCAAATGATGGGGATGGGGAAGGGCATGGGGAGTTTGCTCGCTCGCCTGCAGATGTGATCGGTGAATGGGGGTGCGGGGTGGCGAGGCCTAATGCTCAACGGCTTCGATCGATCGTGATGGTTGTTGTTTGGTGAGGAACCAGGAGGAGGGGTGGGCTTGGATTTTGAGTTGGGCTTGGGCTTGGATACGAGCGACGAAGAAAGCTACGAAGGGGGAGGAAGGAAGAAAGCCACGAAGGGAAGGGACGAATGGAGGCTTAACGGGCGGGAGACTGGAGTTCTAGAATGATGAGTCTCACACTTTCGTTTTTGTTTTCTATTTTAATCATCATATGCATTTTTGTCTCTGGGCTCGGCGAGTTGGCGGCCTCCACCCCTCGCATACCGTATACCTTCTACCGGTATTTCTGATTGCGAGTTCGTGAAGGGGGTTGAGGCTCACTTGGCGCAAGCCCAGTTCCCACCGGAGGATACTCCACCACTCCATCACCACTCCGCTTCACCACGAGTCCGCGATCCCCACGGCCTCCTGCACTCCTCTCCAGCACTCCACCACTCCAGCACTCCCGCCACCGCTTGGCCTCGTTCCCGTGGCCACCGTCCACATACATCGGCAATTCCATGTAATTCCATGCACACCATCGCAACGCCGCCCAAATTCCAATCAGGCCCCCTCTCCCCCCGCCTGGTGGGTTCCTCGAGGCTCCAGACGCGCAAGCGTGGAGCAGCTATGCATCCCACGGGTTGCCATTCGACGGATCAGACGCACATGCGTATACCTATGCGTATGCGTGTCTCCACCGCCGTCTCCGTCGCCGCCGTGGTGTGGTGTGACGCAGGGAGAGCCACGCACGCCCGGCCGGACGATGACTGGTTACTGGTTACTGGTTACGAGTCATGTTACGGGAGCAGATACATCGTACGACGCTGTGGATCTGATCTCGTACTTGCTTACGTACATACAGACGCCGTGATGCACAAACTCTTTGCCCTCACGACTCACGAGCAGGCTTGCATTGATTCTATGACAGTCCCCCGCCCCGGGACCGAAGTGTCGCCGCAGCTGTGCTGTGTGTGCATCTAAAGCAGAAGGAAGGAACGAAGGGAAAAGAAAAGAAACAAACCAGACCCAGACCACGGCAGCTCCCCCGTCCTTGCGCTTGGAAACTGATACGGACGGACGGCGCTGCGTGCTGTTGCATGATGCAGTTATGCAGCTATGCAGTTATGCGGTAATATATGGATGGATGGTGGGATGATGGGATGATACGCAAGAAACGATGGACACTTCGCCGCCGCCGCCGTGGACCAGAGGCACGAGAAAGAAGACGTATGGTGGTGTGTGATCTTGATAAAAGTGCAACTACCGGCCAAAACATGCAATGCAAACATCAAACTCCAGAGCCCATCAGAGTACAGACCACGCGCCCTCTGCCCACCGCAAGATACAGAAGGAAAGAAGGAAAGAAAGAAAGAAAGAAAAACTAAAGATGGAAAGATACCAAGAAACCAAGAAAGCCCCGGCCTGCTATCCACCACCATCAAAACGCCCTGGAAAAGGAAGATGCTGCTGAAGGAGAGGAATAGAGGGGGTGGAGACAAAAACACACTAGGTAATGCCTCGCAAACCAAACCCTCCTCCTCCCCCCACCCACTCCCGACGCCTGAACCAGATCATCCCGCCGGTTCGTCTCGTGGATACATGCGTATGCTCACTGCTCACTCGCGCACGGTCCAATCGCGTAGCCGCATCACATATGACAGGAAGCACGCTAGAGAGCAGATTCCGAACGGAACTACAGTGTCTCAGCCACATAACCTCCGCTGCCGCTACTGCTGCTGTCCACCAGGAAGCCGCTACTAATCCCAACTCCAACTCCAACTCCAACAGCATCCGCTCCATACTGGCAGCCGGAAAACTCCATGCCCATCCCTATCCCTCCAAATCCAAAGTTCGAGCCTCGCCACCCGAACGCGGTGGGGGAAAAGCAATCACCGCCTCCGCCGAACCTGTCGCCTAGCATCAGCATGGATGGCGCTGCGGTTGCAGCCGCAAACCCGGGTGTGATGTCCTTATCGCCGTCCGGCTTGGTGAGGAAGTCGTACCAGCCTTGTCGGTCGACAGGTGAGTCGTCTGGCAGGAATTCACGCAGAAACTCGTCGAGAACTAGCTCTGGCTGTGGTGGTACACCAAAACCTCCAGCTTCGTACCCCGCATATCCCCCGTATTGCTGTTGATGTTGGTGCTGGTGCTGCTGGTGGTGTTGTTGGGGAGGGGAGGACTGTTGCTGGTGCTGGTTCTGGAATTGATACTGGAGCTGGAATCCATCGCGCAGCCCGAACTGGTCGCCGTCTGAGTTGTCCGACACGAAGGGCATCTCCCAGCGGAGGAGTGGAGGCGCTATCAAAGATGCCCATTCTTCGTCCGAAAGCTGAAAAGCTTGTTGCTGTTGTTGCTTTTGCGGCGAAGGCAGGAGTTGTGGAGTGTTCCGGGTCCTTGGTATCGCTTCCGCTGAATCTCTCAACTGATGGTGTCCGCGTCTCTCCCTGCGACGCTTTGGCGACGCTTGTTGGCCGGGCTTGTTTGCTTTTTCTAGCTTCTCCTTTTCCACCTCTGCTACTGCCGCTGCTACTTCTGGTGGTGGTGCTGATTTTGGTGCTGGTGTTCGTGCTGGTGCTGGTGGTGGTACTGCTGGTGCTGCTGCTGGCGGTGGTGAGGCTGCTGGAAGTGGTGAAGCTGCTGGTAGTTTTGACGATGCCTGTGGTGGCGATGGTGCTATGCGAGCCGCCGATGCTCCTGTTGCTACAGCTAGTACCATTTCCTGAAGCTTTGGCGATGCTATTGCAGGCGACTGAGATGCCGTCGATGTCGACGATGCGCTCCACGGCTTCGGGGAACGCTTCGTAACTCGGTTCTGCCTTTGTTGCGGTCGCTGTGGTCGTTTCTGTTGTTTCTGTTGTTTCGATTGTTTCGATTTCTGTTGCGTGGTGGTGGTGGTGGCAGCGGCGGCGGTATTGGAACTCTTCGCATAGATAGTCCAAGGAGCCATCTCGAACGCGGACTGGCGAGAGTGCACCGTTCGTTTCTTCATGTACTTTGGGTCGGGCTGGGGCGGGGGAAGGTAGATGACTCCGGGCATATGCATACAATTCGCGATATCGTCCTGGCACGATTCTTCGGAGCAGGCCACGCAGCACAGGCCGGCCACTTGGTCCCCGGAGAGCTCGGGAAAGGATGATGCGATATCGGCCATGGTTGTAGAGGGTGTCGGGTGGGTGATCGATCGGTTGACGAGGCGGAGGGGATGGTGCAAGCTGTGGTGCCATCGAGGGGAGGCGGGTGGGTTTATATGCGCACGGCCAAAAGCTGCCACGATACCGTGCCGCTCGTGCGATTACCTTTGCACTATGCAGAAGAGAGGCCAATGGTGATATTCACGGAACACACAAATTACAAGTCCATAATAGCTGCCCCTCCATCCCTCCCACCCTCCCCCAGCCGGGCTGCCATGCCACCCCACCAGTCACTTAGTTCCCTTGCCCCCCCCCCCCCCCCCACCCCCCGGCCCCTCGCGTCTGCTGCTCTCTCGCTTATGGCGCCCACTGCCCACTGCCCAGGGAATAGGAATATCACATTGGAGTTCGCAACGGCAATCCGCTCCGGTTGGTTCCAGCTGGATCTCCTCTCTAGCGTGGGTTCGTGTATTCGTGTGCCACCGCCGGCCGATGCAGCCAGGAACGTTGATACGCCTTGAGCACGTGAGGTGTATGTGAGATGTAACCATCTACTAGCTTATCTAAAGCCGGCAGCAAATGGACACTGGACGGTCGAGCAGTGGCCGGGCAATGAGTAAAGAGAAGACAGATGCCTCGCTATGCAACCGTGGACACTGCGGACTGCTATCGTGGGTATTCCGACAACTGTCATTCACACATAGGACATACTTCTACCAGTATGTAGGACCAGCCGGTACATCCTGTAGGTACAGTACCTAGAATATCCACCCCACGAACACCGCGCCTATCACGTCAATCCTGCGTATCCCATGGTCCGTAGTCCGTGGGGGCTGACCATATCAAAACGTCCTTCAGTGAAGAACTCCCGAGTCCCCCCCTTGCTTTCCCTACTTTCCTCTCGGCCCTCTCGCTTCCCTCAAAAGTTTAACTAAGCTGAAAGTATGTAGCTGAAGTAATCATGCAACTTTCAAGTGCATCTTTCTTTCTTTTCTTCCTTTTCTTTCTTTCTTTCTCCCCCGACCCACGTGTGCGTGAGTGTGATCGATTGGGATACAGCCGCTAGGTAGGCCAACAAACGCATACCAGACAAGTAATGTGACATGTCAAGACTCGACCGGCTCTTGCTCTCAATCTCATGATTCATCCATGATCCACTACCTACCAGAGCGGTGGAACCGCAAGCGGCACACATGACCGAAAGGACTCTGGAGTCTGGAGTCTGGAGGCAAAATGGAACACGGTCCGGACTCCGAAATGGGACGGTCGAGGTTTCACTGCCTAGTAGCGTCCCGGACGTCGTGATGTGATGTGGTGGAGGAGGCCAAGTGGATGGGAAGAGGTGGGGGTGAGGGCCGGATGAATGAGGGGAAGAAGAGTAGCCACTCGAATACTGTAGAATATACTAGTAGTTAGCATAGTACTCGGGGATCCAGAAACCGAGTGATAGAAATGATGAGCTTGCATATGTTCGGCATCAAAAGGTGTGGTCCGTGCATATACTAGTAGGTACCGAGCAGAAGCCCATAGTTAAGGACGGACAACTATCGTATACGCCGTATGGATCAAGTTGCCATCATAGCTCGAACGCCCACGTCTGCCATTACCGCCGCTCTTCAAGTGCTATTCCGACAGACCCCGCAATGACCTCCGGCGATGTAGGGCAGGATCGAGTGTTGTGGATATACGATGGGAGAGAGTATACTGAGATAATAGATGATATTGATTGCTTGGAGAAGAGAAAGAAGCTCAGTACAAGACGGGCGTATGGTGATAGCTATGGTGGTGCCAAGCCTGGAATGAGCCAGTCTACCTAGGCCAGAATATAAAGAGGAGCCGGCGACTCGCGAGTGACGCAGAAAGACGAAAAGGAAAGGCAGGGGCTCCGATTGTAGTTCCCATGGCAGGACACAATCCAGCCGGTCCGGTTACCAGGTCAACGTAGAGTAAACATTCCTCGTCTAGGTACTCTAAATCGCATCTACTCTGGCTGTACCTATTTCACTCATTTCATTCTTTCCAGAGCCCTCCCCTCCAACTCCCAGTCCAATCGTCCAGCTACCCGTGATTAGTGAATTCCTTTTCTTTTCTTCCCGATTGTAGCCCGTCATTATCTTCTATCACATACTCACCGGCTGTCACCCTTATCCGCCCAAGGTGCCTGCTGCCCAGGCCACTCGAGACGGGGGGGCTGCGGTCCGGAAACTTCAAACATCTCACATTGATTGGCAAGGGATCCGCAAAGGCACGACTAATCACATACGTCGACCGTGGCTTTGCAGCTTACCGTATTCTCGAACTCATGGGCTGACGGTTTGGCGGGCTGGTGGGCGATTATAGTCGATTCATGTCGGAGAACTCGCATAACATCGAGAGCAGCTCTCAGAGTGCCTCGCCGAGTGCCACGCCGAGCTCGAGGTCCACGACGGGCTCCCTAGCCGCAACTGTGGGTGTCCGTACTTCGACCGTCTCGCCTCCGTCGCTGCTGCAGCGGAGAGGATTCCACTCGTTGTCGGAACACTCGTTGGTGCCTTCTACCGCCACCGCCGCTGCCGTCACTGGCCATAACATACGCTCTCAGACCAGCTCCCCACTGTCACAGAGGAGCCATACGCCGTCATCATCACGAGTGAACGAACACAGAAGACATGGATCGGGATCGAGTAGTGGGGCATCTCAGAGTGCACACGGCAAACGTCGCTCAAGGGACAGGCGCAGTTTGACTACGGGTGAGGAGTACTGGGCCCAGTGGATTCCGGAGACGGGTAGCACGGTGCAGCAATTCCGATCGGATCCCGTTGGGTCGGAATTCTCCATAGGGCCTGTTGAGCTGGGCGAGAGCTCTCCAGGTCCGTCCAGTCGGCCACAGACACCCCAACGCCCGTCTACTAGTCCCCCCGCTACGGAAAGGCGTTCCGCACAGAGTGCATATAGCTTCCCTGCCGACCACGGGACGAGATATCCGTACCCGTTAGTGGCCAGCTCGGAACATTTTGGTGCCCCAGGGCCGTCCAAAGGATCTGAAAGCTCCTATAGGCGATCCGCTCACGCTGGATCCAGCATGTCGGCCGTGATGGAACGGCCAGCGATGCAATCACGAGCATTATACCCGGAGCCGACTACACCTCTCACCCGGCCCGGTCCGTCTCCTCCGGTTTCTGGCCCATCCCGCAGGAATGCATATGCTGTGCCGCCCGTTTCTACTTCCGATCTGCTTCTTGGCCAGTATTCCACCCATTCCGTCCAGGGACTACCACCACTTCCGAATAGTCCGATGGCACAAGGAACGCATTCGCTTCATTCCAGCCATAGTTCGAGGAGCGACTTGAAGTCACAACACAACTTCTCATATCCTCTAGACAGGAACCACTCCAGTCAGTCTGACCACCACGATATGTCCAGAACTACCCCGGAAGCCATGAAAGATCCTCGGCCCTCTACAGCTACCAGTCAGATGGGCGTGGATGGTCAGATTGATCGATCCAGGTATCGGGTGAACAGGAGTAAGAGCAGCTCAACCGACTACTCCACCGAAGCCTTTCGAAGACTACATGGCGGTGTGATACCGAATATAGACTTGGGATCCGGTGGACGTGCGCGTCCTCCTCTCACCAGCCGCACATCATCACATTATTCCAAGTTACCAGACCCAACCATTCCTCCGATTCCGAATACAACGCGGCGGGCCAGCTACAGTAGTGTCACGGGGATCAGTCCGGTTGCCGAGAGATACATCACCGCTTTCTCGAATTCCTCTTCCGAACCGTCGTCCATCTCGAGGGGGATCTCGAACACCCGTCCGTTAACCATCGATACACATTTCACCCAAGCTGATGGTGCTCTGAGCTCACCAAGAGGCCCCGGAAGCGTGCCAGAGTCACCTATAGCCGCACATCAGTTTATAGAGGGTACATTCTTTCCCAATACCCCTGCAGAGCGAAAACGGGTGGACGATTTCGGTTTCCTGAACACGATCGAAGCGTCGGAGCGACCATACACTCCCGACCAGTTTGCGTTCGATGCGGGAATGCTCAATATTGATCCGACTACTACTCGCCACTCCAGCCAAAAGAGTAAGAGAAGCATGGCAAGTTTCGGGACGCAATCGAAGCGATCTACTGGACAGGCATCGATGCCGGCAAATCAGAACCCGACGGGATCGATTGGCAGAAATGTACTGCGGAAGAGGCGCCCAAGCTTGAAACCCCACCGTGCGAATAGCCTAGAAATAGGGCCCGTTGCGGGTGCAGACTCGCGGCCGTCGACCATGGAAAACAGGTGTTTTCTTACGGGAAGCTTGAGAAGCCGCCCGTTGGATGTTGACTACTCCCTTGTTATGCCGCATACCGCGACCACGTCCGCCGGCCCCTCTAGAGGACTTATAATCGATGGTTACAACACTGTGCCGGGAAACATTGGGACACCTCGCAGGTCAAGTAGAGGTTCCGTCTTCAGCGTTCTCAATGGCAAGGGCAATCCGATCTCCGACGGAGAGCCCAGGGATGGCAAAGCATCGGTTAGTAAAACATCGGTTAGTAAAGCATCGGTTGGTAAAGCATCGGTGGGCAGTCTACTGGATGGGTTTGAGTCTTCCAACCCGGTGGGCAGCAGCAGCAAGGGACGACCCAAACGTCGAAACACATTTTCGCACGTGCTGGGCACCAAGTGTACCGCAAGCTCCCCGAACCTCGAGTCAGCGAGCTTCCCCGAACTAGCAAACGTGACTCCCTCGCCTACCGATGCGGCGTCATCCAAGTCTACATACACGGCCAGCCGCGGCCGCCGCCACCTATCCTTCCTCTACAGCAAGGGCAAGCAAGTGCTCCGCGACGTCTGGCACGAAGGCTGGACCGCAGCCCTGGAGGACTTCAGAAACCGCCGGGCAGCGGAGAAGACGCAGCGGTACGGCGTTGCGGGGAAAACGCGGCCGGCCTTCATGAGTGGAGCGCTGCCGGCGGGTTCCACGAGGACCTCGAGGATCGGCAGGAAGCTCGGTGATTGGTCCAGGTTCAAGAGGCGCAGTAAGTCGGCGTCGAGTCATGGCACAACAGATGGGCAGGGTGCGCAGGATGGGCACGGTGGGCAGCGCGGATTCCAGGGCGGATTCCAGGGCGGACACGTCGGGGAGTATTCTGAAGCTTTCGAAATGGAGGCTGCTGCGGTTGCTACTGCCACTGCTACTGACACTGCTACGGCCACTGTTACTGTTACTGCTGTCGAAGCGAGTCCGAGTCCGGCGAGCACGAATAAGAAGTCGGCGTTCACGGAGGTGTTTGAGAGGACGCGCACGATCAGTGCGGAGCTGCGCAGGGAGAGGGATGGCGTGCTGAAGAAGCTGAAGGAGTGCGCGGGATCTGCGGCAGATTAGGTAGTGTTGGTGATGGTTTGCCGGGCTTTTTCACCAGTTTGCGATTGTATGTTTTTGTGGGGGGGGGAGCTGCGTTCGGATCTTGAGTTTGGGCGTTCTGGGGGATTTTACTCCGGTTTATGGTCTGGTCTTTCGTCTGGATTTTTTATACGGCCGTTTTTCATATCATGCCGCCGAGCGGCCTCATCCTGATGGGTAGGTAGGCACTCTGGGTATATACTTCACCAACACAATGCTTAAAAAATTGTACTCTATCACTACGGCATGATTCGTGCTTGTCGTTTCACCTGGTCACACCAGCCGCAGCAGGCAACGTGACAACCCCCGATCTCAAACACCTGGCTGTGCGGAAGTTGCCGATGTGGGACGAGGGAGCCCTGTTTTCTGTCGCGAAACGGATGACGCTGCGGTGCAGGGTACGTGGGCGCAGCATGTTTGGCCCTTGGGACGGTCCGTACCGGTCGGTATTCGCCAGCGCAAGCGGGGTTACATGAAGGTTCCCCATACCACACCGAGTGTCCGGTTGTCTAGCAGTTGGGTGTTGGTCAGTTGGAGTATTTACGGAATGATACCCAGCCAGGTAGCCAGGTAGATACTCTAATTCGTCAACGACCTCGCATGACGATTCTCCAATCGATACCGTATATACCCTCGCCCATAATCATTGGGGGCCAATCATGCAAATAATTAGCCGGACGGATTGCCTGGCAGCGGGTCAGCTTGACGGCTTGACAGCGTGTTGGTCTGTGAAGTCAAATTTCGATATGTAGGCGGTGGGCAGTGGCAGTTGAAGTATGATACATAAGATTTATGTACGATATGATACCTGGCCAGGTAGGAGGTAGGTAGCCAGTGAGATATGGGCGGGTAGACCCGATGCGGTCGTTCAACGTTGTAATGTCCGCTGGTGCTGCTTTTCGTTCGTCCAGGTAGTCGGTCGGTCGGGCTCTTGTTCAGCCCATCAGACATTATCCACCACAGCAGACATTATTATCAACACTGCAGAGATTTTATTGAGGTTGATAGGTCTGGAGTTTACAGGCCTACTTTTCTTTCTTGTTGCTTTGATTTTTTATAGGTAGTCAATCGAACGAGTTCATCAGTTGTTCGTATGTAGAGTACCCGTTGAGGGTACACATCTCACTACTAGTACTCTACTATAATCTGTCGATGCACGAAGCGTGCCGATTTTCCTATCGATACCCACGTCCATTGGGGGGTGCCATCAGGGGGCAATCATTAGCCGGACATCCTGACAGCGGTACGTCCAATCACGCGCTGGATTAAGCTGGAAGACTGGAACCTTTCGGTCGGGTACCGCTACTTCGAGAGTACATCAACGGAGGAAAAAGGAAAAAGGAAGAAGCGAAGGGAGGAAGAGAAGAGAAGAGAGAGGAGGGAGGAGGGAGGGGAGCAAACCTGGCATCCACGCATCCACGCTGCCACGCATCCATGGATTGATACTTAAGCCCATGTCCGCGCCCGCCCTCCCAGGGTTTTTTTGGGTTGCTTTCTTGCTTGCTTTCCCCCACCTTCCTGCTGATTCTCCTTCGACCTCCAACCCGCCTGGATGCTTCGCCCTTCCATCTCGACAGGAACTTGAGCAAAGATCCTGAAAGATCCTGATAGATCCTGACGGACGCTGTCGATAGCATTTTGATCTACATACGCACGCGTCTACTCGAAACAGCGTCCCTGCCTGCGACCGAAGCGGGAACGGGAACTAAACGGAACGGGAACTAAACGAAACCAAACGAAACCTTCAGTTCAGCCCTACATACGTTATATCATACGTAGGACCTTGGCACAGAACATAGTTACGCCCCTATCATCATACCGTACAATCTCACATCCCCCTCACATCACCCCACCTCCCCATCCACGATGTTTTCAAAACGCTACCCCTCCTTCACCAGCCGCAACAACAACCGCAACAACGCCGCCTCAGATCCATTCGCGGACTCATCCATCTCCGACAGCGAAAGCCTACTTCTGCCACCTTCCCAATGCACGCAGTCCACACAGTCCACATCTACACAGTCCACATTCACGCAGCCACCAAGACGAAAGAGCAAGCGAGTGCTGATGCGCGAGCTCGCGCGCGCAGTCGTCCACCCGAGAAAGACGAGGATGGCGAAGAGGCAGGTTAGGGCTGAGAGGGAAAGGGAGTTGGAGGTGGAGAGGATTAGGAATATTAATGACTTTCTGGAGAGTGGGAGGGGTGGACCCAGGTGGGGTGGGTAGGCGTTTGTGAGGATTTTGGGTTTTGGGGTTTGGTATGCATACTGCGGGGTTTTTTGGTATTGCGGGGGTTTTGGTGCTGTGGGATTTTGGGCTGCGGGGTTTGGGGGGATGAAAGGGCTCCTGTAGTTATGTACATATGCATGAAGTATGTACATGTTGGCGATTGTGACTCGTGAGAGGGGGTTTCTCTGCTTCTACTTCAGTTTTCTGGTCCTGTTTTCTGGTTCTGGTTCTGTTTTTGTCGGTGCAAGTTTGTGCCTATGATAGTTGGATTTGACTTCTGTCACTCGTTGGATGGAAAGGGCATGTCCAATTTGTTCGTGCGGAAGAGAACACACCAATGGACCACTATATCATTCTGCATCGCCTTAGTACGCCGGTGCCATGTGTAGTCCTGCCCGCCGTACAGGTTCTACAACACTCCCGACAGCTTGTATGACTGCTACCCCCACCAATTTATTTACTAGAGTAGCATGTATCCGTCCTTCAGACGGCTCCCATGAGGTAACTACAAACGGCTCCCTGCCATCTACAACATCTCCCACATTTCCCCTCCACTACAACATCCCCCCAACAGATTGCAGCACCTCCTCAACGACGCCCCATCCGGCCGGGCCATTCTTCTCAGGACTAACCCTCCAATTCCCGACGGCGCAGCGCACGGCGGGCTTGCCATCCCACACCGTGGGGCTGACATACATGCGGCCAGTATCGTTGATTCGCTCCTTGAGCAGTTGATTCTGCCACTCGTCCTTAGCTCTAAACAGCACGACCATAAACACTCTATTGACAGCCTGCTCCTCGGTGACAACGCCAGCCTCGCGCGGCAGCAGCTCGAACGCAGGGTGCCGGTACACCACGCGCGCGATCTCGCGCGCGTGCAGAACCAGCCGCTTCACGAGCTCGCGGTACCCGCGCGCCCCGTACGCTACCAGTGTGGAGTACACCGGCAGCGCACGGAAGCGCCGCGAGTTCTCAAGGTGTGTGTTGAGTGGGCTTGGCACCAAGGGGCCGCTGCCGTTGGTGATGGGCGGCGCGGCGAGGTATGGCGCTGCGTTGCGGAGGTTCTGCTGAAGGATCTCCGACGTCCGTGTGTAGAAGAAGCCGCAGTCGTATGGCTGGTGGGCGGGTTAGAGTGATGGTTCGTGCATCACGGAAAAATGGAAAATCGGGAGCAGGAGGGGGACCTACAACGTTGAGCAGTTTGTGGCCATCCCCCGCGATCGAGTCCGCGTACTCGATGTCCGCAGCCCACAGTGCGACGTCGGACATGCCGTTGGCGCTGTCCCTCCGCGCGTCCGGCGAGAACACACGGGCAAAGATGCCGAACGCGGCATCAACGTGGATCCACGCGGACCCATAGCGATTGACCAGAGTGCGGATGGCGCGCAGGTTCGACACGAAGCGGCCAGTGTTGACCTCGCCGTAGCCGACGACGAGGATGGAGACGACGCCCTTCCTTGCGCCGTCGGCGAGCGCCTCTCCCAGCAGGACCATGTCGAATTCCCACGGCGTGGCGGCGAGCCCTATGTCCTTGACCTGGTTGCGGCCGATCCCGACCACGGCCGCAGCTTTGGCGACGGAAGAGTGCGCTGCCGCCGAGAGCACCTGGATCCCCATCACTCGCGCTTGCAGACACGCCTCGAGGATCCCCATGTCCGCGATCGAAGCGTCGCTGAAGCCGAAGCCGGCAAAGACCAGTTTGTCGCGCAGCAGCGCCTCCCGCCCGCACATCAGCCCCAGGATGTTCGCCGCCGTGCAGCCGGTGGTGAATGCGCGCCCCTGCCATGTGGTCCGAGACAGCCGGAACAGGTCCAGGAGCATCTCGAGGGCTCGGTTCTCGAGGGTTGTGGCCAGTGTTTCCTGCGGAAGGTGCACCTGCACGTTCTGGTCGACGATGGTGGCCAGGAAATCGCCGAGGAGCGCTGCCGGCGTCGATCCGCCCGTGACGAAGCCATAGTAGTGCGGAGAGATGGAGGAGTCGTTGAAGGCCGGCAGCAGGGACGAGGCGAGGTGGTGAGTCACTCCTGTCAACCCGACGCCATCCTGAGGGAGGTCGTTTAGAAGCCGACTCGTGCCGAGCTCGAGCTCTTTGGAGCTTGGGAGGATGGGTTCGCGGCACGAGTGCGTCGATGGGAGGTAAACTTCCAGCAGGACTCGTTCCAGCTGTGAGATCATGGAGCGAAACTCGTATGCGGTCGGGGCGATCGCAGGCATTTTTTTGGATATTAACCTTTAATTCAGTGAGATTCGGGAAATCAAAAGGAAAAAAAGAAGAGAAGAGAAGGGAGGGCCAGCCTTGATATTTGAACCAGAGGAAGACGACGCGGCCATCTATTGTTCGGTGAATTGGGGGCAGATAATCCCCGTACATGCTCTCAGTAGTAGTTAGTGGCTGTTCTTTGACTCTTTCCCTTTATCCATGCTCGTGACGTGCAAATAAATAGGTGCTTGCCGCCCTCTTCCAGCATGCGGCCCACTAGCTAAGTGAATTATTGACATGCACCACGACCCAAGGGAGCAATCCGATCGTGCGCACGCCAAGGGACAACCGTTACAGTTCCACGCCCACTCGGAGACGCTGTAGAAATGGATCCTGCCTTGAAGTTATGTAGAATAACCATCTGAGTGTGGTGAGGTCATTGGTGGTGATTGGTGATTGGTGCGGGGAGACGAACGGATGTCACATCCACCCCGAAACAACTCATTGCAGTCGGCTCCTGTGAACCATCACAGGTCCTTTTGTCGCCCATGGGAAGGGGCGTTCTCGTGTTGTTCCGTTGGGCGGTTCGAACACGGCTATCTCACGGTTTATCACTCGTGCATACTTATATCAGCCGGACGGGCGCTTGTTTTCCGGCAGGACGTCTGACCTTGCATTAGCCACAGACCAAACGAAAGCTGTCGCCATAGATACGAGTAAAAAAAACCTAGGTACTTCCTGCGCTAAGTACGTTCTGAGTGGTGGCTTCGTCGAAAGTTGGGGAAAAGGGCTGATCGCGAGCTGATGTTGGAATCCACGTACAAAAGTGTCTGTTGATTTAATTGCACCGTGTGTAAGATGTAGGTATGTATGTTATGTACTGCCACCTTCTTCCTCAGTCAGCCCTTCTGCGCATGTCTCACGTAGCCGTCTGAACCGTGACGTACTCGGTACGTGGTACTTGGTACGTAGACGGCCAAATTCATGCGTTCGACTTCATGCATCAACAACCCAGCATCGCGATTGGCGGGGGACGGGATGTATAGATAGGCAGCAGGGCAGGCGCGAGCCTCCGCGGGGGAAGCACAGCGGCTTATGCATAGAGGCAGAGGCTTGAGCTGTCGTGCTGTCGGATCGCGATGAAGGTGCTGCGGTGCTCTTCGAGGTCGTGGAAACAAGTACCTGTGAGCTCTATGCCGGCGTGTTGATGCAGCACATCCAAATTTAGTACTTCGATTCACCGAGGTATTCAATGCCGGTCGATTGTCCGATAGGAAGTATGTGATCGTCAACTCTGTTTGCGGGCGAGCGGTTAATGCCGCCAGTTCTGACTGTGGCTTTGCCTCGAAGCTTCGGATTAGCACTTTCGTGCGTGTACATACATTAGTCTCCCATCACTTACCAAGGTTTTGTGAGGGCTCTGTCGCCAATGCCTCTCCAGGCCGGGAAGCGGCCGGTCCAGTGAAGGAGAACAGACAAGAAGAAAGAGGAAATAGTGGTTGATCGTCTATTCTGTAGATGATGATCGAGAAAGCAGAAGACAAAGAAGAAACCCCGCGGGTGCCAGCTCAAGTCCCCGTCCTCGCTCAGCAGTCAACCCCGCCATGCCCGCGAACGTTTATGCCCACTACTACTAACCGTATTCGCTTCGTCCCGCCGACAGGGGTCCTCCTTCACTTCCTCCTCCACTTCCTTCTCTTCACCGACAGTTTCTCCATCGCTCCGCCACAACGGTTTCTTGGAAAACGAAACCCCCGGCAAGCCAGCTCCAGGCCCGAGACGAAGCGGATTCTTCAACCTTATGCCCTCGATTCACGACGTCGGTTTCGGCAGTGTTTCCGTGTTCCCCAGACAGGCTCTAGCATGTGAAAGACCTGATCTATACTACAATGCTACCTATGTAAGTTTACTCATGCCAAGTTAACCTTGCCTGCTACGGTGAAGTCGCCATGATAGCCTGATAGGTAACCTGAAGATTCGACACAGTCAGGTTGAAAGTCGACGATTGGCGTGTACGGTGCAATCGCCCCATTCGCAAGTTGCACCTACATACGGAGAGCCGATCCGGACGAACTACTATTGCGCCATCAGGTTGAAAGTCGACGAGTGGCGTGCAGTGCACGGTGCAATCGCCGAATTTGCACTTTGCAAGAACGGAATGCCGATGCGGACGAACTAGATATGAACTATTGCGCCACTACAGGAAGATCGTTGGCATTCCAAGTCCAAGAAGAGTGCTCACACTCATATGTGTGTATTGAGTCGAGAGACCACTGGTGCTGACCTCAAATTGTAGATTGATAGTCAAGCCTCGAGCGAATGATTAGTTTCCACAAGAATCCTCGTCGCAAACGATTCAGCCTACTCGCACACACCGAGCTTCTCACCGGGCCGGCGGCATCCAAGCATGCGGCACAATACATCACTCGGAACAGCCACACTGTGGCGTTCGGTTCATCACGGAACAGTCTTCTCCCGGTTGAACCGGCAAGGGTTCCGGTAAGCTTCCAATCTTACTTGTGTCAATCGCTCGCTCTTTCTACGTCTAGAGTAGTTATGGAGGACCGCGCACGATAGTTGAGTCAGTGCGGTCTCGCCGTCGGACCTCGCGCGAGACTTGAGCGAGCAAACGAACAGCCAGACTGCCAACCGATCGGCTATGGCGTGTGAACTGGGAGAGTCGAGTCATGCTGTGCTGTCAAAGGGCAGAATTGGTTCCTTCCTGCTGTGTCACATCGCACTTTCAATTTCGCTTTTTATGCAACCGCCAACCAACCAACAAACAACCGCCAACCATCACAAGCACCCAGAGTGAAGTGCACTTGGAATGCCGGATTTGCGTCGTGCGGCTGGCTCGACTTTCGACTTTCGACTCTCGAGCAGTGGTGTTTGCAAACTCCCCACCGGAAAGCCCGGCTGGGGTTGGCGCTTGAGCCTCGCGTGCATCGAGAGGTTCACTACGTACGGGCTAGAGGCCCCGGAAACGCACTTGCCGACTCGTATGTATCCGATCGAAGGTGCGGAAGTTAGAACGAGTGGGCACTGAGGGTGATAGATCATGGGCGGGATACCGCTTCGAATAGTTGGCGGTATATATGTCCGTTGCTTGCATGGCGTTGGACAAATCGTCGTCGAGACAGCGCACCACCCGTCGTGTTGAATCTTGATTCCATCCACGCCGCAGCGCTGGTTGACCGCCAGATCGTTCCTTCCGTGCCCAACTCGCACGGCATCGGGTGCAGAGCACGCAGTGCTTGCTTGCGTGGCTTCCAGCCAGCGCCAGCTGCATCGTCGCTACGATACCTGGTGTGCGACGGGTTGCCGTGATACGAAATCGTGTCGTTCGGAAACCCGCGTGGACCGTGGTACGGTAACAATGGGGTTTGAAGTTTCGGATGCCTTGACGAATCATGTCCCGCCCGAGGGAGGACCGAGTGAGCACGGCACGGAACCGCACAGCGACGTGTCGGTCAGCTGACTGGACTCCGTAATGCGAGTTTCGGATTCTCCGTCGCGCTGCTGCGTCGTGGTGGTGGTGACAGTGGCGGTCGCACGCGACAGCGACGGCAAAATTATGCGTCGCAAACTAGGGAGTTGCCTCATCTTCAAACAAAGCCACACGGGGAGATGTGCGAGTGAGACGCAACCAGACCAAACCACACATGCCTTTGGTAAGCAGGTAGGTACCTAGTTACATAAGTACCTATTCCGCCAGGCAGGCCTGGGTAGATTCTCAAACCACGCCCGAAGGAATGCGGTGCACACGGGAACGATACAGTCATCTTTTATACCCCGAGAATCTTAAATCTCCACGGATGAAGGAAGGCAAGAAAGACGCCGCTGCCGTCATCGCGTCTGGCGGGGTGTGGGGGTGGGTAGGGGAGGGGGTGGGGGAGAGAGGGCAAAGTTCAAACAGCATAGGTAGCCGCCGAAAAGCAAGCATACGATCGGAAGCCCGCCTACCTATAGCACATACTATGCACAAGGACTATAGGTGCTGGGATTGGTCTTCACGGCCTTTGCAATTTCCCAGCAACATACCTAGGGATCCATGGAAGTTGAAACTTCCCCGGTCCCAGCTCGAGAAGACTGAAGTTGCCTTGGAAGGCGTGCGATGGTTGATACGGGACATAGAGTACACAGATATGATACTCTATACGAAGCCTCCCGTATGTACCTGTCATGCTACCTATAACTGGGTATCGCGCCATCCAGCACGTGGTTTGGACTTTGGTCATGAGTGCTGGAGTGCTGGAGTGCTGGAGTCTGAAGTCTGGAGTCTGGAGTCGGGACTGCCGCCGGTCTTTTCACTATTCGGTCACGTCCGGGTACGACCGAAAAGAAAGAAAAATGAACAGCCAGCCAGTCATTCGCTCTCCAGCCAGAGTGTGTGCATAACTACGCCCGGGTGCGTGCGACCGAAGAGAAAGACAGCCAGTCAGCCAGTCGCTCTCCAGTTAGAGCGTGCGACTGAAGAGAAAGAAAGCCAGCCAGTCGCTCTCCACTGTCTAGACTCCAGCTCGCTAGTTGACTACGGTACTCCACATATCCGCTCAGGGTTCGACTTGCTGGGTGACGATCCGTGAGTTGGCTTCGATCCTCTCTTTCGGCATCGGTCCGGTTCGCGACGGAGGGAGGGACCTCAAGGTACTCTGCTGTGCCAGGTACATACCTACTCAGTTACTACTAGTCATCATTGGCGTGTGTATCAAGGCCTGTGCAGAAATAGGTATGTAATATATATCGATGGGAGGTTTGTACATAAGCAGGAGGTACTTACATCTAGGGACTCTTAGGAAGTACTTACTTTAGGTAGTCTGGCAAGTTTCGCCCCGTGTTCATCAGCAAAACCCCATAGTAGGTACATCCCGACTCCCTTGAACCTTCCCCCAGTCCCAGTCCCAGTGCCGAGTTGCAATTAACTAGTCCGCAAACACCAGGTCGTTCGAACTTCGGAGTCGACTCGACGCAGACGGGAATAACCCAATCAACTAAACAGACCCTGAATCGATGCAGGTACAGATTGCTTTCTCGCACCACTGCGCTGCTGGTGCAGGTGCATCCTCGCATCCTCGCACCCCCACATCGATAGTGCGCCGGTGCTACACAACTCAAAGTGTTGTTGTTGTCCGTCGTCGCAGGATACGGGCGCTTTGCGCAGGTACCGTACTACGGTACCTACACTCGCAGTTTGTGGAACCCGGGAAGAGAAAGAGAGGCTTCGCCAGAGAAAGAATAAACGCCCCCCTGTGAGGCCGTTGGGCACGCTTGCTCCTGGTCCAGACTCTAGGTGGTGCCTACCGTACCTGCCTGCCCGCGACTGCACCGGAGGATTTATTGGATGTCAGCATGCTGTGCTGCGCACACGAGCGTTCGCATATCTGTATCATCTGTATAGTGGGTAGGGTGTGTAGGAGGTAGGTCGACGGCGAGAGCGAGCGAATGGGTATCTATGTCGCCCAGTAAGATTCCTGCGAGCGAACGAGTGAGACTCCTCCACCACTCAGCCCGGCTCCCTACGGTGCACTGCTGCTGATGCGTGTGAACTAGCACCTACCAAAGTTTCTCGTTTGGAATCGGGGATTTGGCAGAGCGTGCGTGATGAGACAGACCCCGTTGCATTTTAACCGATAACAACGGTGGTGGCGGAGGGGGGGCGGTCAAATCTCCTTGCTGGCGTATAGCCGCGGGGCTCCGACTGCGCGATTGGTCGACAAATCCTCCGCTAGCTAGTCGACTTCCTAGCACGACTCGCCTCGGTAGGGAAGGTTTCCAGCGCTGAGCGTTGGTTGGCTGGTTGGACTCTTGGAGACTTGGAGACTTGGGGGGCGCCGCCTCCGTCCCTCCCTCCACCTCCCTCCTAAACGCCGACATCTCGCGATAGGCTTGCTGCATCCCTGCCGACTCCCAGTCCTTTGGGATATGGAGACCACACTACGCTACAGTGCACCTGTTTCGAATAGAATTGAACTACCTGCCTACCTCACTAACGACTCACCAAGTACCTACCTAAACATACCGGAGCTGTCCCTCATTCATGCCCTCCCCGGACAACCCAAGAGTGCTCTAGCAATGCCCTGGATATTGCTGCGGGCTCGGCCGTGCCTGCGTGCGTCTGGAAGCCCGGAGTACCTATACTGCCGGTACCTATAGCATCTACTCGATATTGCGGCGGAGTTGGAGGGGTGGAGTAGAGACCGGGAAGACGGGCAGCCTGGGGGGAGGGTGGAGCGAAGGGACCGAAAGGTGCGAAGGGAGGGATGGCGAGGACTAGAAAACCACGATGATTTCCCACACTTCCTGATTTCCCTCCCTTCTTCCTGAACTACTTCAACCACTCGGATTCTCGACTTCGTTGCCGTTCGTTCCTTCCTTTCTCTCCTCGCCAGTCCTTCTTTTCGCCAGTAGACGCCTTTCTACTATCACATTCTTTTCTCCGCCGTTCAACGCTTGTCCTTGTCCTTGTCCTTCGTTCACGACTGTGTCGCCTGCTCCCCGTTCACCTCAAAACTCAACCACTCCCAACCACTCCATCAATCCTCACCCGATATCTCGGCCTCCAAAAAACCTCTTCTCAAATCCACCACCCCACCCCCCAAACAAACTACCAGAATGCGTTTCACTCACGTCGCTGTTGCAGCCGCCATGGCCACTGCCGTCTCGGCCACCCGCGGTGGGTCGTACGGCAACGCTGGATACGGTGATGCTGGATACGGTGATGTGACCACGACTGCCATCCCCGCCGAGGTCACCCCAGAGACCCCGGCGTACGAGGTCCCCGAGGACACCACCACGTACAAGCCCGTGGAGTCTACTCCGACTTTCGAGACAAAGACTCCTACTTACGGAACTCCTGAGGTGGAGACCCCAGTCGAGGTGCCCGTCGAGAAGCCGAGCACTACCTCTTACAAGGCCGTGCCCACTAAGACTCCTACTTACGGAACTCCCGAGGAGGAGTCCCCGGTGGAGGCGCCCAGCACTTCCTACAAGGCTGTGCCTTCCGTTCCGGCGACCACTAAGACTCCTACCTACGGAACTCCCGAGAAGGAGTCTCCCGTTGAGGAGCCCAGCACTACCTACCAGGACGTGCCCGTGGTTTCCACCAAGATTCCTGGCCAGGCCTACCCGGAGTCCAGCACCACCTACAAGGGCGTGCCTTCGGTCCCCGTGACCACCAAGGTTCCCACCAAGACTCCCAGCTACGGAACTCCCGAGGAGGAGTCTCCCGTTGAGGAGCCCGAGTACCCCGAGTCGAGCACCACCTACAAGGGTGTGCCCGTGGTTTCCACCGAGGTTCCTGGTCAGGCGTACCCTGAGAGCAGCACTACCTACAAGGGCGTGCCTTCTGCTCCCGTGTCCTCTAAGATCCCCACCAAGACTCCCAGCTACGGAACTCCCGATGAGGAGTCGCCGGAGTCGGAGTACCCTGAGTCTAGCACCACCTACAAGGGTGTCCCCGTGGTCTCGACCAAGATTCCTGGAGAGGCTTACCCCGAGAGCAGCACTACCTACAAGGGCGTGCCTTCCGTTCCCGTGTCCTCCAAGATTCCCACCAAGACTCCCTCTTACGGAACTCCCGACGAGGAGACTCCCGATGAGGAGTCGCCGGAGTCGGAGTACCCTGAGTCCAGCACCACCTACAAGGGCGTGCCCGTGGTCTCGACCAAGATTCCTGGAGAGGCTTACCCCGAGAGCAGCACTACCTACAAGGGCGTGCCTTCGGTGCCTGTGTCCTCCAAGATTCCCACCAAGACTCCCAGCTACGGAACTCCCGATGAGGAGTCGCCCGAGGACGAGTACCCCGAGGAGTCCAGCACCACCTACAAGGGCGTGCCCGTGGTCTCCACCAAGGTTCCTGGCGAGGCTTACCCCGAGTCCAGCACCACCTACAAGGGTGTCCCCACCAGTACTCCTTACGAGACCGAGGTCCCCTCTGAGGATGAGGATGTTACCACCACTTTCGTCTACGTTCCGATCAGCTCAAAGACCGGCAGCCCTGCCGAGGTCACCACTGTGGAGCCGGAGTACATCACCACCGTCATCACGACCATGATCGTCACTACCTGCCCCGGAGGTCAGTCCCCATTTCCTTCCTAACTTACCAAAACCGCATGCTAACAGTTTCTCCAGGTTTGACTACTGTCCCTCACACGTACACCACCAGTGTGCCCGTCGTCGCCACTCCCACTCCTTCCATTGGTAGCCCTGCCGAGGTTGGTGAGGGATGCGATGTGCCCTCGACCATCACCAGCACCGTGACCGTTTCCACGTCCACCACCACCATCTACCCCGAGACGACCACTACCGTCTACATTGACGAGGACGAGACCACCACCGGCATCCCCACCTACGCAGTTGAGGATTCGACCAAAATCCCCGGCAGCACCCGCAAGACCTCGACTTCGTACACCACGCTGACCATCCCCACCACGTCGACCGGCATCGCCACCTACGACGTGCCCGCCGGCACCAACACCGTGACCGTCACCCCGATCGAGACGCTCACCATCAGCACCAAGTACAAGGGCGTGCCCGTAGCCTCCACCAAGGTCCCTGCCGAGGCCTACCCCGAGAGCAGCACCACGTACAAGGGTGTTCCCGTCGGCGCCTCCACCTACGTGCCCGAGGCCTCCACCTACGTGCCCGAGGCCTCCACCTACGTGCCCGAGGCCTCCACCTACGTGCCCGAGGTTACTACCTACATCCCTGAGGTTACCACCTACACCCCCGAGCCCACCACCACGTACAAGGGTGTGCCGGTCGATGTCTCGCCCTACCCATCGGCGTACTCGTCGGGCTACGCTGGTAACTCGACCAGCAACAGTACTACCCCCAACTACCCCGTCGAGTCGGTCCCCGTGTACACCGGTGCTGCCTCGCGCCAGGCCGTCGGCCTCGGTCTGCTGAGCATGGTCTTCGCTGGTGTGCTCGGCGCTGCTGCGTTCTTGTAAATCTTGCCTGCTATGTAGACAGCGTAGTTAGTGTCAGATATGTACTTGAAGTATGTAGGTAGCTGGAAGTTGACGAAGTTGATGTCACATCTTTTCATTCTGTCTGTTGTTGATCAATAATCCTGCGAGTAAGGTGTTTGTGTGTTTTGGAAGTGTGGTTTGAGTTTTGTTGAGTTTCTTCGCTTCGATTCGATATACCCTGCTGGTTTTTGGTTACATACTGGCCAGTATTTATTTTTGGTATTTTTTCTGTATTTACTTGACTTGGTTTTTACTACTACAACGTGTCTCTGATGGGAAGAAGATGAAGAGGAAGATGAGGGAGAAGAATTAAGATGGAAGTTATTAAAGTTGCGGGAAACGTTTCGTGAACCCCAAAGTGAATTGCTTCTTGGGAATAAGGGGATACCAGGAGCCTGGCTTACCGGTGCCGTGACTCGCTGAGCGATTAATATGTGTTTTATGTGCTTTTCCCGAGTTCTCACGCATGGAGGAGTTGACTCGACTCGGACTCGGACGGAGATGGGAGTATGGTGTGAGTATGAGTATGGATGGAATGTGCCACTGGCACACATAAATTTTTTATTTATGCAGCGGGGATCCCAAACCCCCCTACTTTTCTAAGCTTGGAATACGGACAAGGGAATCTCACCAGGAAGAAGGAATTGGTACATAGTATACAGCTCGTCAGCTCGTAGATTGCAGTGGAACTCGAAGGGACTCTAGTCAAAATACGAACAAGCTTATAGGGGGAGGGGGGTGTCAATATCACCTGCCAGATTCTTAGCCCAATATCAAGTATCACAGGAATAGAATTGGGTTAATATCTTCAAAACGTCCGCTGCTGGAGGCACTGAGCAGGGGATACCGAGTGATATATGTCTCTCACGGCCAAGCCAGTGAGTGATTCTTCGTGCTAATCACGGGCACTGTCTTGGCACGAGGTGGGGGGTTCAGTCCGCTGTCACGACACGATCGCACGCTGATCTCGTGAGCAGTCCGCCGAGTTCACCTCACCCCCGCCCTCTACCCCCCCACTCCGGTGTTTCGTTTTTCCTTCTTTGCTTGGAACTTGAAACGTCACAAAGTCTTGGAATCTAGGAGCAGAAGCAGCAGCAGCGAAGGCGGCTCTCCCTTACTTGCTTACTTGCTTGTTCTCTTATCATCGACATCCATCACATCACGCTCAAGACAACCAGACCCAACCCAACTCACAGCCACCCGCCCTACCACCCACACACATACACCCGCACACACTCACACACCAGCACGCAAGCACGCACACAAACCCCCCGACCCCCTTTCTCCCCACACACACATCACATTACTCTACCTAGATCATCATCGCTGTCATCGCGTGCCTCTTTCTGGATCTTGCGCGTTAGTTACTGGGATCTTGATCTTGATCGCCACTACTTGCCTGCCTACGCACTCTGACACCTGCTACAAACTACTACCACTACTATATACACACCCGACATACGTCGCTTTACTTTACTTTACACCTCATCGCTCACAAGCAGCCCCCGCGCGCGCCTGCCCGTTCCGTCGCATTCACCTCACATCACATCACCTAGCGGCCCACCTATCGCGGGTCGCTCACACGCAACATGGAGAACGAAGCGTACCTCGAGAACGGGTTCGACCCGAACAGTCTGAAAGTGGCCGAGCTTCGTGGGATCCTGCTGAAGCACGACGTGGACTACCCATCGTCGGCGAAGAAGTCGATTCTCGTGGACCTATTCAACGCCAACGTGGCGACTAAGGCAACGAAGCTGCGCGCCTCGCGCGCGAGAGTCAGCGCGAGCGACGAGGGCATGATCAATGCTGGCTTCACGCCGGAAAAGAACGAGATCGGCGCCACGCCAAGGAGGGTCCGCAGGACGACGAGGGGCGCGACGGAGGATGCGAATGAGGAGGAGGAGGCCAACGCTGGCGCCAGGAGGAGCACTAGGACTCCCTCGAGGAAACGGGTCGATAACGATGTTCAGGACGAGATTGATATGCCCCCGCCGCCGTCGACGGTCAGGAAGACGAGGAAGAGTATCGCGAGGTTCCCGGTCGATGATGTGGTCACGCCCGGGAGACAGATCGCGGCGGAAGATCCCGATACACCGTTCTCCTCCCATAATCCGTTCCAGAAGGGAACGCCGTCGCCGGCTAAGAGTCCCGATCCTGAGAGACGCAGGGTTGGTGTTTTCCTACCCCGCCAAAAGTGAAGCGGTTGTGTTGACGGCTATCTAGACCACTCTCGACACGCAGTCCATCTGCACCAAGAAACCCTTTACTTCGCTCAGGAGGAGAACTGATGGTGTTCCTGCTGCAGATATCCAGGTGTACGAGCAGTTCGACCATCCCATCGAGGCTCGGGTGGTGACGGATGCACTGAGAAAGAGACGGCAATCCTCTCGTCCGCGCCAGTCCACCAACGGTGGCGCGGTCGTCAAACAGGAACGCTTCGAAAGCCCCCCAATGATGGACAGCATGGAGCCCGGCGAAGAGTTTGTTCCTCAGGAAGCTATGGAGCTGGCGCAGGAGCCCGAGCTGCAGCTTGCCAGGAGGAGAAGGCAACGCTCACAGGGGTCCGGCACCAGTGGCAGTGTGGTGTTGGCAATCGTGTCGTTTGCCATGCTCGCCTATGCCGTTTGGTGGAGAGCGGAAAAGCTGGAGGTCGGATACTGCGGGGTTGGCGGTCTGGGTATGTATACCGCTTCGTCGTTGTGGCCGGGCAGCTGCTGATACTGACGGAAGCAGATATGCGTAAACAACAGCCCAGTAACGCTTTTGTCGAGTTGATTCGCCCGGCTTGCGAGCCGTGCCCGCCCCATGCACGGTGTTACCCAGGCATGGAGCTGGACTGCGTGGACGACTACATCAAGGCCAACAGCTATCTTGCTCTGGGCGGTCTCTGGCCGATCCCGCCAGCCTGTGTGCCTGACTCCGAGAAGGAACGCCGAGTGATGATCATGTCGGATGCTGCTCTTGATGTCCTCCGCAGGAGTGGAGCCGAGCAACGCTGCAAGGAAAAGTTCCTGAGCGGAGGAATCGAACTGGAAGGTGTCTCGGAGGGGGAGCTGAGGCAAGTTTTATACAACCGCAAAGCCGTCAGTCCCTTGCTGTGTTATTGCCCGATTCCTCCCCCAAACTTCGCGATACCGGTCACACATTATCAGCGAGTGCTAACCGGTGGTCTGTGGATATAGACGTCTCTGTCAGATCGAGAATTCTCGGAGCTCTGGAGACATGCTCTAGAAGACGTGTCGAACCGCGAGGAGGTGATCGTCGAAACCGACACGTAGGTCCAAATCTGCCCCATTTTCGTGAAGACGAACGCTCTTATCTGACTGTAGGTCTACGACGACTGCTGGCCCCACAGAGACAGCGGCACCACCAAACTCAAATCCACGTCAATTGCAGCTCTCCCGTTCGGCTGTGCGGCCCGGCTCTTCATCGCAGGATCCGTGGCCCGACATCGAGTCGAAATTATTGGTGCGTCCGAAGTCTTGCCTATCTAGGAGGAGCGCTCGCTGACATTGATACTGTGTGGCAGGAGTAATTGTTCTCCTCATTACGGGCGTTGCGCTTCGGCAGAAAATGGCCTCCAGGAAAGTGTACAACACCAAGGTCACCAAGTTGGTTCACATCGCACTATCCCAGCTCGCAGTCAACGCCATCCAGCATCCGGACTACCCCTACATCGCGGTTGCACACCTCCGAGACCAAGTACTGCAGCACGAGTTCAATCCGCATGCTCGCAAGCACTTGTGGAGCGGCGTGGAGCGGGTCGTCGAACAGAATAGCAACGTTCGTGCGGGGGAGAGGGAGGTCCAGGGTGAGATCATGAGGGTGTGGACGTGGATCGGCGGTCAGTTCGTCGAAGGTAAAAATGTTTTTGGTGATGATGCTACCTCCTCCGCTGTCGCCCTGGAGACCGAGTGGCGCCGTGGTTCTAGGCCCGTGGTCTGATGTGTATTTGTTGTTGGTCGATGATGCTTTTTTTCCTTCTTCTTTGTTGTGTGTATTACATACTGCTGTTACCAATATTGAGACTTTATGCTTTTCTTTCTTGCTTGCTTGCTTTAATGCATTTCGAACTAGCACGCGTTAGATGGTTGTTGAGATTGTGTTGTACGCTAAGAAACGATGGTGGTTGTCCCCTGTATGTATGCTCAGAGAGTTGTTGAATGAAAAGATGAGTTCCGAGGTGGTGAATGCTTGATGAACCCGGTGATTTTTTTGCTGCTCGGCTGCCAGCCAATTCGAACCAGCCGAGTGATCCACTGTGCGTCTTATCCAACCCCCACGTCCAATATAACGAAGTGACAGCGCCTTCCCCATCGATGGATGCCTTACTTACGTTTGCCCGGTAAGGCATCTACAAACGGACCATAGTATGATATGCACTCGACAGCACAGCATAGTACAGTACAGCCGTGTAGATATCTGGATTACTATTTACGTACATAATGTAGAGTACTTATACCTTTCCCCCCCCCCACCCCGCGCCGGGAGAAAACTCCGTGCCGCTGCCATCTCACATCTCACGTCTCACGTCATAGCCAGCACCCACTCACGCACTCAGCCCTACGCCGGCCGCGTCAGGCAGGTAGGGGGGATACCCGTCGTCGCCGCCCCCGCTCCCGCCGCTGCCACCGCCGACTTTCACCTCGAAACCGAACGCATCCCCGCGGTCCAGGTACACGACCTTCTCGTCGAGGCCGGCGGCGGTGACGGCGGCCTTAAAGTCCGACAGTGGCGAGAGGAAGACGTCGTAGTCGCTGTTTTTTGGTTAGTGCGGGCTGGAGGGGGGGCAGAGGGGGAGGGGAGGAACAGAGGGAGGGACGTGAGGGGGAGAGACGCACTCGTAGTGGATTGGAATCGTGATCTCAGGGTGGATCAGCCGCATCAGCTCTATTCCCTGTGCGGCGTCCATGGTCACCATTAGCAGTGGGAGGTTGGGGCCGGGGATTGTGGTGCCGCCTATACGTACACACGCACATACGGTCAGCGGGGGGCGGGGAGTGGGGGCGGGATGGAGGGAGGGGAGGGGCGTACCCAAGTGCACGAGCATCAGATCGATACGCTGGTCTTTATACCGCTCCGGTATCTCCCTGAGCTCGTCGACCAGCAGCGTATCACCGGAGATATAGATGCGATAGTCACAGCTCCACGCGGCATCGTACTCGTGTCCCAGCTCCAGCATCCACCCGTTCGTTGGCGGCACGGCGCCCAGCAGGTCATTGACCTTGTCGAGGATATGTGCCGGGCCGGGCGGCACATGTTTCCCTGGCATGGCGGTGACCCTGATAGCCGGTTTATTACTACCCGCCCCGCCGAGGATCGGAATAACGCCGCACTCGAAGGGATCCAGCGGATACACTGCCGTAAAGCTCTCGGCATCAGGCTTATGCGCGAGATGCGCGTGGGCATGCGGCGTAGTGACGATGGGTATATCCCTATGCAGCTCCTCCTCAACCTTGCGGTCGAAGTGGTCTTCGTGGTAGTGCGAGAGGAGGATCACGTCTACCGGCGGCAGCTTGTCGAGAGGGACCGCAGGATCGGTCACTCGCGTCGCGGTCACACCCGGACCCAAGTGCACGTGGTCCCCCGCGTGAAGGAAGTTTGGATCGGTGAGCACACGGAGACCGCTCCATTCTAGGATTGTCGTGGCGGTGCCGATGAAGGTGAGGGTGGCGGTGTTGTGCGAGGACGGAGTGGCGGATTGTAAGCTCTTGGGAGGTGGGAGCGTCGATGGAGCGTGGTGTGAGAGATTGCGCAGAGGGGGCACCCGTGAGTTGGGATCTAGGGCGAGGCGGAATTTGGGAGTCGACATGGCGGGCCAGATGTTTGGAGTGTTTCAGGTTTCGGGGGCCCGAAACGGCTGTTGATATTGAGATTTGGTGATGCTGTATACGCAATTATGACGACAGTTTGGGCTCATCCATCGGTGGGACTAAAACCTGACGAAGTTAGCAACCGTTGCACTTGGGGATAAACTATTAGTCCTCGATTATCCATTAGCGTAAGTACATAGAAATGAATTCCGTTTAGAGCTTCAGAGCATCAGCTTCAATATATGCCCCCAGCACACACCATGGCAATCTCCTACATATACCGGTACCACCGTATACCAAGGGCAAATCTTCAGATGTCAAGGCCGAATACCCAAGTATACTGACCCGAATTACCACCGAGCCATGAGCATTGGGCAGGGTACACATGCACTTTGATTGCAATAAACAAATCCCCCATGTTTCCCTTTCTCCCCATAGGCTTGCAAGTTGTGAGTTGTTCCAGGGGAGATTTCCGCCAGACATCGGTACCGGCCCAGCATCCCTGTTGTAGATCCCGACGGGGACTTTGGTACCAAAATACAGCGAAGACAGGGAATTGGCGGATGTGGAGGTGGATGAATTTCTGGCTTCGATTGATGACTCCATGACTCCGTGGATGGTTGGCTGGATGGAGATATCTCTGGAAATATGTTGTATGCTGTATACTGTAACTAAGGTAATAGTACGGCAACTACCCTTCGCCCGCCAAAAGTTCCATCCACGCCAACGGCAATCACTGGTCAGTGATCATCTGCCGGATATAGGAATCAATACCAAGGACTGCGTATACCTATGGGATACCGTATGGTATACCAACAGAAAATACAGGGTACAGACGAATCCGAACGTTCAGTGAATACCTAGGCAAGTACTCATTGAGCACTGCCCGATCGGATTTCGCCGAGACATAGGTATCCATACTTCGTCAAACCCTCCTCCACAGCATCAGCATCGGTGCTATACCTAGTAGCCAAGGTGTTGGTGTCAGCGTCCGTCCGGAGTCCGGGTCGCCGACTCGCCGTCTCACCGTCTCCACCGGCGCCAATAAGCTCGATGCCGCGGCGCCAGCAAGTTCGGACGGTCACTGTCTCTCATGAACGTGTGGGGCAATCGCGGATCTCGCGGAGACATAGAGTACCTATGTAGGCAGCAAGATCGACGGTCACTAGAAACTTCAAACGGGCGGTAACACTGTTGGTTGGGTAGATATCTTCAGGCAGAAGTACACCACTAGTATATGCTTATCTATATGTAGGTCTTATCACTTGTGAGACACCTCCAACTACCTACACCCATCTTATGCATACTTTGATCCACTGATCCAGCCGGTACGGTACTCTTTAAGTCTGTTAAGACCGAGGTTCAGGTCTTCGCCCGTCCCTTTTGACGCCGGCTACCTATACCTCGGGAGTCGGCCCTCGAAAATGGTGCATCTAGAACCGGGACCGGGATATGCGCAAGATGCTCCCGTGGAGGATAGTTGGCCACCATACCTCCGCGGCCCCGCCTTCTCTACAGACTACTACTAGGTAATAACAATCCAATCTCCGGCGATCGGCCTAATTTTGGAACGTAGAAAGAAGGTTGATACATCCTACTAGACTACTAGTTAAGCTTATCCATCCGGTCTCGACTCTCGACGATATCAGTGGGCACTGGGCAACCACAATACAGCTACCGGTACTGGCAAATCCCACTGGCAAACCCACTGGCTAACCCCCCTGTGGTGGAATAAAATTTGCTTTCGACCGTAATCTAGAGAGAATACCTACCGTATTGTGTCCGAAGCCATGATTTTTGGTATGTAATATTGACTACCGCTATGGAAATCCTCGAGCACTCGTTTTGGCGGGTTCGAATTCCTGTAAAGAAGATACATTATACGGCTTTTCGTTTCATTTCCTTTTCCTCGCTGAAGCATGGATTCAAAACTCAAAACCCAAAGTGCTACAGAAGAAGAAGAAGAAGAAGAAGATATATGAGCAGGCGGTGGTGGTGGTGATCACTGATGGTGAAACCACCATCCTCGCGGTTAAGTCCCCAGCCGAGCCGAGAGAAAAGAAAAGCAAAGAAAATCTGCCAGAAATCGAACCAGAAGCGGAGCGTAAGATATATACACGTTGACAGGCGTTGGTTATGGGCTTGCAGCCTTGCAGGTACATACGGTTTCCGTCGTCGCCTCGAGTGTCTACATGCACTCACTCGTGCACGAGTGAGTGCCTACGGATGCACCTACCTACTAGTAGGCATGGCGAATTACAACTACCATCGAGCCGGGAATCGGTTGTGCGGTTCGATTCGTTGACGGTGCGGGGAATGCAGGATCCATCATCCGGTGGAGGGAGTAGAGGACCCGGCTCAAGACTCCCCCGCTGCTGAAGCGTGTTGAAATTTCATCCAGTCAGCTTATGCTCACTCGGAGGCTCTGGTAAACGATGAGACTCGAGAGGAGAACGGATGTTCCAATCCTCTTCCTTCCTGTGCACACTGCACACAGTGAACACCGACCGGCAAGCATGTACTCCGAAGATGCCCAGGCAGGCAGGCAGGCAAGCAGACAGGCAGGGCATGCATGCATGCATACATGGTATTCAGGCACATGGAAGCCCAGTGTCCACCATGTATGTCTGTAGAGTATGTACGTACATACGTTAAGTGGGGAGCACATCTTGACACCACCCACCCACCACCCAGCAGCCAGATCGGATCTCACTAACCGATCCATCCCCTCTCGTTCTCCTCCTCCTCCTCCTCCGCATCCACTTCCTCCTACTCCTCCTCCTACCCCTCCTACACACTCCTCCTCGGGAAGAAGAAGCAAATTCCCCACCCTCCCTCCGTCCGCGCGAGTCTCGGAACCAAAGCCCGCACGCAGCAAGCTCACTGTCACCGCCCATCTGAGATCTCTCGGGACCTCCCCACAGCCTCCAGGCTAGGCTTACCAAGTTGGAGCATGAACGTACCTACTGTATAGTGAAGGGGGGAGGGGGGGTAAAAAAATACGCTTTTTGGCGTCTCGGGACGGTCAAATAGCGTATAAATACGGTCAAAATACGTATTTTCACCGTATCGATACGCTTTTTTCCGTATCGGCATGGTCACAAAGCGTATTTTTTACCCTCCCCTTCACTATACAGTACTTTCTTAAGTACATAGTACACGGGCGGGAGCCTGGAAGCTGGAGGCCATAATCATATCGTCTTTCGCATTTTCAGATGTCTTTTTTCTTCACGAATCACGCGGAGTACGCTGCTGTGGACCTGTGGTACCATGGATACTATGCACACTCACAATGCACACTCACAATGCACACTCACAATGCACACACTCACCGCAATGATCAGTCGTCATTGAAGTTGGGATACCCGGAAATAGATGCAGAAACGCCTTGCTTGAAGTTTCCTTGTTTGCACGCGGGGATTGGAATACAAATCACGACGCGTGTGATGATTCATGAACAGCTGAGGATGTCAGGGTGTCAGGGACTCAGGGTGATGATTCATGAACGGCTGAGTGCGGTGATTCACGAACCACGAACAGCGGGGTGTGACGATTCGTGAACGGCTGGGTGTGATGATTCATGAACAGCCGAGTGTGCCGACGATGATGTGCAAGGTTCATTGCCTCATTGCCTTGTGGAGTTATGCGGGGATTCGGAAGCTTAAGGGTAGAAAGAGTGGGGAGCGGGGGGGCGGGGGGGCGGGGGCGGGGCGGGTTTAAGCGAGCAAACCGAGCAACCCGAGCAAACCGATTCCGTTTCTCTTCGGAGTTCGGACCTTGAACGCGAGCGTGTCCTGGCGAAGTTTGAGAATGCATCAGGTGCGGTGCGGATCTACCGGTGCCAAAAGGAAGTTAGGAACCGGATCGACGATGTTTTTCGCTGCGCGGATGGCGGTCATCGGCTGAGCTTGATTGGCTTCGCAGGATTGACTTCGATGGTGCGGTCGATTGCCAGTGCTGCCGAGTTGCTCGGTGTCAGCATAAACCAAGGTCCAAACATGGCCGCGGAAAGTTCATGCTCATGCTCATGCTCATGCTCACGGCTATCACGGCGCAGAGCATTGCTGAAGTACTAGTCAATACCTTCTAGTTGGTACCCGCAAGCAGTGAATACGAGAGAACGCCCGAGCCACCCATGAATCATGATCCAGCCTCATACGATATCTGGAAAAAGCTTTTGTCCGACTAAGCTACTGCCTAAAGCCCGAGCGAAGATGCGAGAACCAGTCAGTCGGTGCACCCGACTGCCATCGCCTCGGGCGGCATCTTGATGCGGAGCCCTATGAACAGACGGCGATGGGGGCGAAGGGATGCGCCAACGAGTGGGTGGTTGAATCGGACAAATTGGCGTTCACAGGCGAATGGACGCCGTTCCCCCCAACTACCTACTGCTGTGTTGGGTGCGATGGCGAGCAATTGGCCGTGCCTAGGTACCTCACGACTCACGAGCCAACATGACGCTCGTTGATCGTGTTTGTCCGCAGCTTTCGGAGAGCTTCTTTCTTGACTCATTTCGTCGGACAATCGCAAGCAGTATGTAGATACTCCAGAGTCTCGGTTCTGTCCGTTTCCGTGTCTCTCGAAGTACACAGTTTCTGAGGTTCCTCGGTATTTCGTTTATCTGTGAACCTCGACTGGTGCTTCCGGAATCCGGATGGCCAATAATCGCTTGCTCGATCATGGATCGCTACTCTGCACGAACGAGCCACACTGCAGTCTGCCACAGGCTCGGGGCTGGGGTACCAAGAGTTTCATTGTACCATACATAGCCGGCGCAAGTCTCCGTCGTCGGTGTCGTCCTCTCGTCCCTCCTCAATCCCCACAAGTCCCAGGCCTCCAAACTAGAGTAGCCAGATCTTGGCCGTACATAGGCTCCCGTCGTGTTCGAATCCGGGCAGTCCGTAATCCGGACACATATTGATGTGTCTCAGGTCTGAAAAAAAGTCGATGGCCTCCTCTCCTCTCCTCTCCTCGGCTGCGATTCCCATGCATAGTGTTTGCAGCGCTGCCATCTGACAAGACGTATGGTACATACTTCCTACATATGTTAGGTAGGTACATGGTGACTCCGCAGCCAGCCTGACGGTATGGACATAGTTAGGTCGATGTCTCGACTCTCCGGGGGATCCTCACACGCCGCGACACCTCAAGGAAGGAGACGATGGAGGGGAGAGGGAGAGCAGATGACGGGAGGGGCACAGGAGGTGTTGCTCCGAGATGGATCTTTCTTGGGCCGGCCGACAAGAATCAACAGCCCTGCCAGTAAGAAGTATGTATCAAGTACTGTACTAGTAAGCAGTACACTCCATGGTCTTTATATCCACTCGTAGCCGGCTACCTCCCCTTCTCCTTCTCCTTCTTCTCCTTCTTCTCCTTCTTCTCCTTCTTCTCCTTCTTCTCCTTCTTCTCCTTCTCCGTCTTCTTCCGCCGACTGGCGCAATCGCCCGCTCAAGTGCCCTATGTACATACATTAGGTACGCACGATGCCTTGACCGCCGAAAAGTCCGTGTGCTCTCGATCGTGAAGCCTGTGTCCATCTAGCATTAGTATTTGTGGTTGTTGATAATACCCACACATTGGCACCTATCTCATGTAGATATCACGTTCACTATTCGAACGAAAACCATCAGGATGGATCCCTAACTTCTCCAGGCTTGTTACCCAGAGTCCATGCAAGTAGAGTATCTACCTTTCTTATGGACTTCCTTTACAAGGAGGCCCCACACCTCTCACACAACCACCCCCCATGCTGTAACCACACTCTTGCGCACACTCAAACCACCCCCGCCTCCCCACTCCCACTGCTCCCGCATATATTCGCCGCTGCCGCCAACCAAAAAACTATAACCCACACGCTCAAAGCAACCACCCCTCCTCCCCGGTCCACCACCCCCCCCGCCCCCCCGCCCACCCCCCATCGCTGATCCACCGCTTTCTCGCCTCATCTGTAGCCTAACCTACACCTACCCTACGCTACATACCTACCCTGCCAGACGGGGCCTGTCTTGTCTTTGCTTCACGTTCACCGCTCTCAACTCCCAATTGCCCCTCTCTCCCCCCACCCCCAGTCTCCTGCTGTCTCCAGATCTGTTCGCTCAAGAACCAACAGCCTACCATACACCACCAATACCTCCACCAATACCACCACTACTACCACCCCCCAGCAAAAGCCCCCGTTGCCGCCCCTCGCCGCCCGCCGCCCACAACCCAGTCCTAGTTCCAGCCCCAGCCCCAGTCCCGCTTCCACCTCTGCAGCCAAAAACATCTTACAGCCAAAACATCTTACAGCCTAACCCCCCCACAAAAAACTACACTCCCTTCCAGCCCGCTTTACGAGTTCCTCGAACTCGTCACTATAACCTACCCTTTGACTTGCGATGGCGTGGTAGTGTATCGCGGTCTTGCCGACGAACTCTGCGTCAGCCGAAAGATATCACTTAACTATACCGAACCGAACCCGCCTCCCATTCCAAAAACCTTCGATCCCAAACCATGACGCGACAGGAACGCCTTGAGCGACAGCGGACAAACTCTGCCACTTCCTACCACTCGATGAGTGCGGCACGCTTCGCTTCCGACCCCGTAATTCCTACGCCGTCGTCTCCCGGAAGTGCTGGGAGGAATCCCATCAACGTTCCCCCAAGACCGCGCAAGTGAGTGTGTGCTTTGTTTTGCATCGCGACCTAAATCCCCCCCTCCACCACCATCTCCCCCTCCACCCATCCCCCTCCACCTAAAACGCATCGCTTGTTTGGGACTTTCTCGTAGTTTCTTCTTCTTCTCCCTGGCCTCGATAATCAAACTGGCGCACTGAAAGACTGTCATGGCTGACCTGGTCGATCTCCCATCCAGTGGCAGCAGTAACGGGAGGTTCGATAGAGATCACAATATATCTCCTGGATCGCATGGGGCGTACTCGCAATCCCCTCCATTGTCGTCGCCGAAAGCGTCCGCGTCGTCCAACTTCAGCGACCACCGAAGAGAGCTTGCTGTCCTGCAGAATCCTCAATTCATAATGCGTCAGAATCCGCCGTCCGCGTCCCCGTCACCGATAACCGGGCATCATCCCCTAAGTGGCACACCCAACTTGAACAGCAACATCTTCGACAACAGCCAAGAGCCGTTTGCTTTGTCGCCCCTTCTGCGGCCAGGCACGGCGCCCTCCGTGGGCCCGTCGGATAGCTATTTTCCCGATGAAACGCGCAGACCGTCGGTTGCTTCGGTGGTGACGAATGCTTCTTCAAACGGGTCAAAGTCATCGATGGGGCGTTCTATCTACAAGAAGATCTTCGGAGGGGATGATGCTACAGGAGAGAGTCCAGGCTCGTCCGAATCGTCGTTACCACCAAACGTTACTCCTCGGTCGCAGCATGTTTTCACAAGGCCGGTCACACCGACGATATCCAGGCCACGGACACCAGTGCCTTCTTCGGATGTCGTTCCGTTTCTCTATCAAGATCCAGCGGTGGGTTTGTTTTGGAGCTCTTTCGTCCTGTGTGGCGTTCGGACCGCTGATGTATAGCGTTAGGACATCCGGCGGATAGGCGATGCTCCGGTTCACGATATCCCCATCTCGGACAAAAGGTACGATCCGGAAGATGCGTCGGCTTCAACGTCGTCGTCACATACGCACAGAGGACTACATCTACGTGGCAGGAATAAGAATCGCGACAAGCAGGCCGAGAAGGAGAAGGAGAAGGAGAAGGAGCTACCCCCACGACCGGGAAGCGGCAGGGATTCGGTGTTTGGAGATTACCGTCGAGGGCTTAAGCTTCATCTCGATGGAACAGCATCCTCGCATTCATCCCAGACGCGGCTCATCCGCTCGGGCTCCCCGACGCCATCCATGGCTAGTACCCTATCCGGAAACCCTCCCAGGTCACCGGGAGGAGAGGTCAACGCGAAGACGAAGGGATTCCTGCGGAATAAGATCGACAAACTGATCAAGAAGGATAAGGACAAGGTTTACGAGAGCGAGAAGAATTTCGATGGTGGTGCTTCGAGCCGTGGGCCGCGGTTGCGTGCGAAGGCATCTGAACCGGCGCTCAACACATTCACCTCCTCGCCTGCTGCGATGAAGAGGGGATCCGGTGGACACAACGAATACATAACACCTCGTCTGATGGATTATGCGTCGGTGGAACAGATCAAAACAGCCACCAAACAGGACGGGAGGAAGGAGGGAAAGAAGGAACAGGTTGCCGGGCGCAAGGGGGGGCGGGGCAAGGGCGGACAGGAAGAAGAGACCCCTTTCCGGATAGACACCGACTTTTCGGATATCGATCAGTTCGTGAATCGTGCGGCACCGGCCCCCGATCCCAACTCCTCGTGGCTCGACAATACCGAAACTCAACCGCACGTGGACAATGCCACGTGGGAGCCACCGGAAAGTTGGGCGACCCAGGGTGTAGCACCACCCTCGGCCGAGGCGTCCGAGGCGGAGGAAGAAAACGAATCCGGCCCCGAAGATTCCCAGTATTGCATACGAGTTTTCCGTGCGGATTCCACGTTCGCGACCCTCTCCTGCAAGGTGCAGGCGTCGGTGACGGAAGTCCTCGGTCTCCTCGGACGTAAATCGTTTTTGCAGGACAACCTGGCTAATTACCAGATCGTTATGAGGAAGAATGGTCTTCTCCGGATCCTTGGACCCAACGAACGACCACTTAAAATCCAAAAACGGCTGCTGGAGCAGGTGGGATACACGGAAGAGGACCATTTGGATGAGATTGGCCGTGAAGACCATGGCTATCTGGTTCGGTTCACCTTCATGATGGCTCGAACCGGTTCATATTCCTTGGTATGTCACTTCTTTTTGGTTCATGGCGCAATCGGCGGGAAGAGAAAAGAAAGAAGAAAACTAACGGTTGGATTTGCGATGTTATCAGGATCAAGATTCAGGTCTAAATAAAGTCCAAAAATTCAGTCACGTAGACCTTCAAGGAAGAAACCTGCTCACTATTCCCATCACTCTCTACCACAAGGCGTCCGAGATTATCTCCCTAAACCTGTCGCGCAATCTCTCGCTTAATATCCCCAAGGATTTCATTCAGCAGTGTGTCAACCTCCGCAAGATCGAGTTCACTGGGAACGAGGCCGAACGGTTGCCCGGAAGCATCTCGTCCGCATCGAGACTGACGTATCTTGATATTTCGACCAACCGCCTGGAGGAACTGGAACATGCTGCTTTGGAGGACCATATTGCCTTGGTGGCGCTGAAGATGTCCTGTAATCGCCTATCATCGTTACCTCAGTCGTTTGGGCAGTTCAAAAGTTTACGCAATCTCCACGTTTCGTCGAACCGACTGACCGTATTCCCGGCGTTCATATGTGATCTAGTAACCCTGGTCGAACTGGATATCTCATTCAACGGAATCACGAGCTTCCCCCTCGAGATCGGCCAGCTTTCCGCGCTGGAACGGCTCATCGCCGCGAACAACCGCCTCACCGGCTCTCTGCCACCGACGTTTTCAAATCTCGGATCGTTGAAGGAACTGGACCTGCGCTTCAACTACGAGCTGCAAAACATTGATGTGGTGTCCGAGTTGCCGAGACTGGAAGCCATCGTGGTCTCGCATAACCGTGTCTCCGGATTTCAGCAGTCGTTCCATAAGCTCCGTGCATTGCACCTTAACTCCAATCCCGTCACTCAGTTCAGTCTGACAACGATTCTACCAACACTGAAGTTCCTGAACCTGTCGAACGCAAAGATTGCAGCTATCAACGAGACACTGTTCGACAAGCTGCCGAATCTGGAGAAGTTGTACCTGGATAAGAACCACATCGTCTCCATTCCTCCCCAGATCGCAAAACTGCGCAAGCTCGAGCATCTGAGCTGCAGTAGGAACGAGTTGGCCACGATACCGAAGGAGATCGGCCAGCTATCGGAACTCAAGTATCTCGATCTGCATTACAACAACATCAAGACGCTTCCCGGAGAGATTTGGCAGATGGCCAGTCTGATCACGTTGAATCTTTCTTCCAACATCATCAAGACCTTCCCCCAACCAGTCGCAGGCCCGGCCTTTGGCACAACTTTCAGTGAGAATACCGTCAAGGAGAAGAGTATTCCGGAGAATCCCAACGAAGCGGCGGCAGACGCACTCGAAAGGCCAGAAACCGCGGATCGCAGACCATCACAGCAGTCTGGAGGCTTGTTGACGGCTGCCAACCTGCCCGCGCCACCGAATGGAGTCAAGAACTCGCCGAGCATCTACGGCCAGAGTGGCAGGAAAGCCTCCGTCATTTCCAGGGCAAGCTCCGATACGATGACGATCGCCCCGACGGTTGCCTCCAGGAAGGACTCTTCGTCGTCGGGCAAGCTGGCCAATACCTTCGTGTATAGCTTGAAGTACCTCTATCTGGCAGACAACATCCTCGGAGATGAGTGCTTTGAGGAATTGTCATTGCTCGGCGAACTTCGGGTTCTCAACCTTTCGTACAACGATCTGTACGACATCCCGCCCCGTGCCTTGAGCAGGATGCCATTGCTCAGTGAATTGTACCTTTCTGGCAACGAGATGACGAGCTTGCCGGCGGAAGACCTGGAGCATATTCCTTATCTCAAAGTCCTGCACTTGAACGGGAACAAGTTCCAAACACTGCCCGCGGAGCTCGGGAAGATACGCAAGCTGCTGGTGTTGGATGTTGGAAACAACGCGCTCAAGTACAACATCTCCAATTGGCCGTACGATTGGAATTGGTATGCAACCGCCTTTCTTTCCTTCTTGAGTTTTTTTGGAGGCTTTGTTAACACTGGTTCGCAGGAACTGGAACTTGGATCTCAAGTACCTCAACCTGTCTGGAAACAAGCGACTGGAAATAAAACCTAGTAGGGGCGAGATGGGAGCTTCGCGTGAGAAGAGTATTACGGATTTCAGTCAGATGACGAAGCTTCGCGTCCTGGGTCTCATGGATGTCACCCTCATGAGCAACACGCCCGATCAAACGGAAGACCGCAGAGTGCGACTGTCAGGGTCCATGATAAGATCGATGTCCTACGGCATGGCTGATTCTCTCGGACGGAGCGAGCACCTGTCGCTCATCGATATGGTGGTGCCCGATTTCCGGACTTCTCGGGATGAGTGGCTGGTTGGACTTTTCGACGGACAAGCATTGTCGACAGGAGGTAGCAAGATCTCCAAGTTCCTACACGAGTCACTGGAGTTCTTCTTCAAGGAGGAACTCAACAAACTCAAGGGCGACGAGACACCGGCGACCGCACTGCGCAGAACATTCCTGAACCTCAACAAGGAGCTAGCCTCAACGGCCATGCAGCCTCTCGATGACAAGGGTGCAACCAGACATCCTTCTACTGGTGGTGGAGCGATGCTCGGACCCATCGACTTGAATTCCGGAGGGGTGGCCACTGTCATCTACAATGCCAGCAACAAGCTCTACGTGGCAAACGTGGGTGATGCCACAGCGGTACTGACCCGGACGGATAGCTCGCACCATGTTCTTACCAAGAAGCATGATTCGGGGAATGCCACGGAACTGGAACGTATCCGAGAGGCTGGTGGCTGGGTGTCACGAACGGGAAAACTGAATGATGTTTTGGATACTTCCCGTGCCTTTGGGTACTTTCATCTGATGCCAGCTGTCAATGCGGCTCCCGACATTCAGGAGATGCCATTGGAGGGCCACGAGGAGATGCTGATCCTTGCCAGCAAGGAGCTGTGGGAATATCTTTCGGTGCAAACCGCAGTCGACATCGCGAGGAAAGAAAAGGCCGATCTCATGCGAGCAGCCCACAAACTCAGAGACATCGCCATCGCGTACGGTGCTACCAACAAGATTATGGTGATGGTCCTGGGCATTGGCGACATGAAGAAGCCCAAGCGGAATCCGAAGGCGCATCTGTCGGTGGGTCCCGGTTTCACGGACGATGATTTCCCAACCATCAGGGTTACGCGCAAGCGCGGGAAGGAAACAGACAATTCGGTAGGATATATATTCCGGTTTACCTACTCGTTGAATGTCGCTAACACCAGGTATAGCTCAGTCGACTCGGCGACGAGGTCAGAGCGCCAGACGGCGACCTTGCCATGGTCTTTACGGATATCAAGAACTCGACGGTCATGTGGGAAAATCATTCTGTTGCCATGCGATCCGGTATCAGGATTCACAACGCGGTCATGCGACGCCAGCTACGACAAGTTGGCGGATACGAAGTCAAGACAGAAGGTGATGCATTCATGGTCAGTTTTCCGACGGCTACAGCCGCGCTGCTGTGGTGCTTCAACGTTCAGAGAGACTTGCTCGATCAGGAGTGGCCGGACGAGATTCTCGACTCGGAGAATGGACGCGAGATACAGGATTCCGAAGGCAGGGTCATTTACAAAGGCCTGTCGGTAAGGATGGGTATTCATTGGGGTGCTCCCGTGTGCGAACCCGACCCAATTACCGGACGCATGGATTACTTTGGTCCCATGGTCAACCGCGCCTCCCGTATCAGTTCCGTGGCGGATGGAGGTGAGATCACCGTCAGTTCGGACTTTGTTGCAGAGATCAACAGATGCGTCAGTTGCTATTCGGCCTACCAGCAACGAGGGGAACAGACCACTCAGGCCGCCGAAGAGATCTTTGGCGATGCGGAGCTGGCACGTTCGGTCATCAAGGATCTTAGAGACCTGAGCAACAAGGGATTCCAGATCAAAGAGCTTGGTGAACGGAAACTCAAAGGCCTCGAAAATCCGGAATTTGTCTGTCTCATGTACCCGGCTCAACTTGCGGGCCGGCTCGAGTCGAAGAGCGCGCAGAAGGCGGTTTCTCAGCCGAAACTTAGTGTGAATCCTGAGGAGCTGTGGAAGTTGTGGGAACTCTCGATTCGACTCGAGATGTTGTGTTCCTCCCTCACAGCGGAGATTCCGGGGCATAGGGTGCATCCCACTGATATGATCGCGAAGCTACGTGAGGTCACTCCGGAACTCTTGACGGACCAGATCATGATGCCGGTGTTTGAGCAAATCGTCACGAGGATAGAGAATTGCATGAGCGTCCTGTACATCCGGAGGTTGTTGGTCCCCGAATCCTCGAATCCGTTGGCCAAGCCGACCTCTGCGCCCCTCTGCGATCTCCTTGACCACCTTGAGGCACGACTTGGGGTGAAAATAAGCGGTTCTGCCGCTGCCGCTGCCGCTGTTGCCGCTGCTGACGCCGAGGATTCGGAGCGTCTGGCATTGGAGGATATCTGTACTTCTTCATCCGCCTCGACATCCTCATCTGCCGCTGTATCGCCCACCACTGCTACACGATCGAGCAATTCCCGCAAGTCGTACATACAGCTGAATCTCCCCACCGGCACTGAGCCATCCGGGTCGTCACTCAACATACCGGATTTATAATGGTACATCTTCTTTAATGCTTGTTCCTTGCAAATCAGGGGGGTTTTCTTTTCGGACGGCGTACTGTCCGGGCTAGGACCTTTTTTTTATTTTTATTTCTTTCCTTTTCCTTCACGGGTGTTGAATTTTTCTCTCTCACGGCGCCAAACGGGTTTCTTCCTTGTTTTTCAGTTCAGTTATCTCATGCGGATTTTATCTTATTTTATCTATCTTCCCTTTCCTAATACTTTTTTGTTTTATCTACTATTTTTTATATTTATGTAGCTCTCTCTGCGACTTTCGCTCTCTGCGCTGGCTGGTGTTGTAGTTTTCTTTTCTTTTCTTTTCTTTCCACTTTCTCTTGTACATTCAGCTGCTGCTCCCTTCCAACAACACTCGTATGGCTTCCGTCTTTTCTGCTTGTTCCGTTCCCCACGTGGCTCCGACTCAGCCCACTTGCTTGCCTGTCTGTTCGCTTTTGATGTGTATTGTGTTTTTTTTTCTTACTTGGGCGTAATCAGGAGTTTTTCTTTTTCGTTTTCTTTTCTTGCCTTTCCTTTGCTTTCCTTTACTTTGCCTTTGCCTTTTGTATTACCTCCTCCCCCGAACGAATGGATGGATTGTATGGATTGTATGGATTCAATGGGTTGTATGGATTGTATGGGTTGTATGGGTATCGTGGTATCGCCGCTGAGTCGTTTTCTGTCTTTGTAACCAGCAGGACGGAAGGAGGGACGGAAGGAGGGGGGAAGGTTGGGTGCGTTGGGTACTCGGTAGATGGATGGAAATTTCATGTGGATGATTCTGGATACTTAAGTACTTACATCTTACATCTCACTTACTTGGTTATGGATGTGTGGATGTGTGGATGTGTGAACCTGGGACGGAAATCGCGGTGAGCCAGTTGTGAATTTGGACGTGCGAAAGTGGGTACCTAGTGGCTTGCGTGGTGTGAGATGTAGCATCGACGGCCTATGTACAGGATGGGGCACGCTGTCTGTTTGTCTGGACTTTACTCTGGGGCAGGGGGGTGAAGTACAGCCGTCTGATACCTACCAAGGTAGATAGACGCCATCCTGCGAGTGTCAACATACATACCACCTAGATGTCCATTCAAATAAAGACTGGAAACTAGCAATGCAGAATAGCCCGACGAGCGGCAACTCTTCCAAGCTCAAGCTAGCTTCAACACACATACCTGGGTATATCCATTCAGTTGAAGACTAGAAACTTCAAACGCTGAATGGCTCGACGAGCGGTAACCTTTCCAAGCTCAAGCTTGGAATATCCACCGGCTGGAGCTTAGGTTAGACGGGAGTGCTAAGACATGTGTCTTGGTCCTACTCCGGCTCTGTTCCATGATCCTAGATTCCCAGAAGTTTCTCCGTACGGCTGGTGGGCGAGTGACCTACCATGCCATGTCATGGGCTTCATCAATCTCGTGCATATTCCGTATCAGCCTGTCAAGGTGTGTATGTACTGGTTTTAGGCCAGTCCCCTCCCTTCATCTGCCTGAAGTTTGAACACCAACTGGTGGCCTCTCTGGAGTCTGTAGATTATTGAACAGGTAAGTATACAGTGATCATCAATCATATCTTCATTATAGCACTCATACATAAGTTATAACTCACAATACAAAGCGCCAAACCGCACAACCAACCAGCCAGCCAGCCAACCAGCCAACCAAACAAAACCCCACCCCCACCGAAAAGGCTACAAAACAATAACGAAACGATACCGACCCCCGCCGCTATACCCAAAGACTCCTACAGTTCCCATCCCATCCCACGGTCCCACGTTTACACGATCTCGCCCACCAAGTCCTGCAGCTCCCTCGCATGCCTATACGTCCTCCAGACCTCGGCCGGAACGCCCTTAAACGCCTTCCTGAACCTATCCTCGGAGTTCAACTTCTTCTCCTCCGCCAAATTAACGCCCTCGACAACGCGGATCCAGATGCGCTTCACAGCGTGGGGGCTTTTCCTATACGTGGCGGCATACGACTCGGGGTCCTTCTGTGTGGAGTCGCCAATAAACACCCACTTGCGCTCCGGAAGGTGTTTGAGCAGGCGCGCCAGCTCCTTCTCCTTGTACTGCTGCGTGCCCACCGTGAGCGAGAGCACGAAGCTCTCGAGCTCTTGGAACGTCATCTCCCGCAGAAGGAGCTGTCCTTGCGGGTAGTGAGAGTGCACGAATTGGGTGAGCGTTGGGTATAGGTTGTACGGTGACGCGGACAGGTAGAACCATGCCGGGCGCAAGACGCTGTTAAGGTGCTGGTACAGCTCAGGTGTGTCCGCAACCGCTTCCGCCTCGAGCGCGAATGTGTGCCGCAGAAGCTTGAGCCGGTCTCGCACTTCGGTCACTTTGATCGTGTCGTCGATGTCTGCCGGACGAGTCAGTCAAGTCTGCGAGGAACAAAGGTAGGAGGGAGGAGGAAACAACTCACCCGAAACAACGCCCCACCCGTCCTTCCCCGCGAACCTCGTCCTCATAGCGCCCAGGACCTTCGCCTCATCGATTCCCTGCGGCAGCAGAGCCGTGGAGACCACCTCCTCGCCATCACTATACGGCCCACCTGGCAGGGGTATATCATTGACCGAGACGCCCCCAGCGCCCGAGGGGCCGAGTAGTATCCTCCCCTGGCCCGCAAACTCGACCTCGACGGTCCTGGCCTCCAGGACCAAGTCCAAAAACATCTGCACGCGCTCTGCGATTCGCGCCTCGGCGGCATCCCCCTTCGCCAGCCCCAGCTTCTCGGAGATGTCGGCGACGACCGCGGCCACGTCCCGGCCGCTGTTGGCGAGGAAGTAGGCACCGATGAATTCGGCGGTCCAGCCGGATGGTGAGGACGAGGAGGGATACGCGATGTTGTCGTACAGCCAGAGGACGTCGCTGGACTGTAGCGGCGTCGGCTTGGGCGGGGGGAGGATGTGAAGCTTCCGTAGGAAACCGGAGATCAACGGCGGCCAGTCCAGGAAGGTGAATGCTGTTACGGACTTGGAGAGCGTGTACGCCATGGTGCGGATGTGTGTGGGTGAGTTTTTGGTGTATGTACTTGTGCAGAGAGTGGAAATGCACGGATGGGTGGGGGATATGGGATGATATAGGTAAACTGGTAGCTGGGTAGCTGGGTAGCTGGGATACGATCGGGCGGGGAAGCTGGGGTTGGTTGTTTGGAATTTTAGCCCATATCATTGCCTGTGGCGGGCGATGATGATCTACTGCGGCCTGTCCGCCAGCCAGCCAGCCAGCACCTTGCACGCCCGACTCATCACTGACCGGAATTTCCAGTGTCCACCCTTTGCGTAGGCATGAAACTCGTATGTAGCAGGCTGCACTGTTGCATCGTTGGTTGGTATTCCAAGTGTGATTCGCGGCGTTTCACCCATGAAGCCGGCCAACTCATCTCCCCTACGTTATGGGTCGCGAACTTTCAGACGAATCATCCACCGCCGGCCTAGTCACATACAACTTACAACTGACTGACGTCTGTTTCGCACGCATGATCCAATCATATGGCGCAGCTTTTCCCCATCCCTGTCACCTGTACTCGTGTGTGGGTGGGTGGGTGGATTGGCGGCGGTTTGTACAACCGACGGTGAGGATGGTGATGGTGGTGGTGGTGCCTGGAGCTGTCTGGGAGCTGCGGATGACTGACTAGAGTGTGAAGAGTACTTGGATCCACGAGTAGTGGTTGAGGATGAAGTCACGTTGCGTTGTCGGTTTTGCGAGCAGAATTCAAGGCAGTAGGTGCTCCAGGATCTATCATACATATCATAGAGTACCTGGGTATTGCAGGGCTGCGTGCATACCTACGTAGGCTGCTGACCTGGAAGATCGATCGCCGGGAGCTGGGTGTTGGGTATGGTATGTACTAATTACAGCTGCCGCCTCAAAGAGATGAGGAGGAGGAGGACGTGTGCAATTGAGTGGACGACGGCGGTGGTGCCTCAGCTTTGCCAGCAGCCCTAGAATCTTCATGTTGGCCCCGAAAAGACGAGTGACAGCTTGTTCGGGAGAAAATCACCCGTCTGTGCCGTGCGCCCGCAAAACGAGGTCGGCAGTCAACGTTTAAGGCTGTCCCCGCTCTCTGGAAGCGATGATGAGTCGTCTAAATCAACGGCACGCTAGTGATACCAACGTGGTGATGCCCAAGCTTTTCTTCATGGCAGGTTGTTCAGCTCCCACAGAATGCAAAGGAGCATTGAGCAGAGACTCCATCTCTATCGCTTTTACGATTATTCTACATACCCCACAGCTACGGGACCAGTGAACGCCAAAAGAAAACCAACAGCACGGCGAGCAGCCATCTACTTCCCCTTTCCATACTTCTCCTCGACAATCTTGCCCACAACATCGGCACTGTTCTTATCGCCCTTCTTCTTCTTTCCGCCTCCACGTTTCCGCTTTACGCCACCACCCTTCTTGTCCACGACGTCGTCTTCTTCGTCGTCGTCCGCAAAGTTTCTGCTTCCGCCAAAGCCCATGTCGATGTCATACGAATCACGCTCGTGTGCATCGACGAATGCTTTGCGTCGCTTCTCCCTCTCGCTCTCCTCTTTTGTGGGGACCGCTGCCAGTTTGGATGCTTTTGCGAGAGCTGCGGCAAGCTCGGGGTTGGAGTTGAGGAGGTCGCTGGCGGATGTGGGTGGTTTGTATGTGTCCGAGTCAGTCTCTGCCGGGGATTCGTTGAAATAGTTGATTGTCGGTTGCGATGGGGGCGGTGGTGCTATGCTTTCTTTCGGTGTGCTCGGTGGTGCCATGTTTTCTTTCGGTGCGCTCGGTGGTGCCTCGTGTGTGGCCTCTTCTTTCTTGTGTCGTTTCGACGCCTCGGTGTTGTCGTCGGTGTCGGTATCTTCGTCTTCGTCTCCGAGGCCGGCCAGTGGGTCATAGTCTCCAGCGTCGGCAAAAATATCATCGTCCTCTTCTTCTTCAGGTTGTTGTTTTTGTGGCGGCGGAATCATCCCCATCACCCTGCGTTCCGGTGGAGGAGACAACTCTGCTTTTTGTTTCCGCTCCTTGTCGCTCCGCTTGACTTTCCGCTTCACTTTGCCGTCTGCCCCAACCACAAGCTTCACCTTGGCACCGCCTTCCGTTTGTTCTATCCTCTCCTTTCCCTTCGGCTCTCCAATCTTCTTGAACTTGTCTCCTAAGCTCGGTTGCGCTGCCTCTTTCGCGGCTTGCCGACTCCTCTTCAACTCCGCCAAGATTGCCGCACGTGTCTTTGGTTTCGGCGGCGGCGCCATCTGTCCTTGCTTCTTCTCCTTCTTCCGCTCGATTGTAGCCACCTCTTGTCCGAGAACTTTATCCAGTTTCTCCTCCAGGTCTTCTTCCTCCTCTTCCGCCTCCTCTTGCGTTGGTGTGTCTTTGTCCATGACATTCTCGCCGCGCTTGACTCGCTCCAGCAGCGCAAAGTCGAGACCCTTGACCAGATGTGTGCTACTGACGTCGCCACCGAGCAGCTTCGTCTGCCGCACATACTCTTCGTGGTCGATATGTCCGTCCTTCGCCAGCTGTGCTAGGGCTTCCAGTCGTTGCACGCGCTCGTCCTCGATCTCATCGCTTTCCCGCAGCATCTTTGCGCGGTCCGTGTAGCCTTCGCCGAACTGGGTGCCCTTCGGAGCCGCCGACGACCTGAACTTCTTGGCCGGCTGCTGTGCGGCCCGATGTGCGGCGAGTTGACGCGCAAAGTCGTTGTTGCCGGCTGTCAAAGAGCGCCTGTAACGACACGGTCAGCGAGTGGAACGGTGCATGATCGTGTCAAAGAACCGTACGGCGTCATGGGTATCGAGGATCGCATTCTGGAGCCCAAAGCGGGCGTCGCGGATGGCGGCCCGTTGGTGGAATTGGAGCTCGCAGGTCGCTCCGATCGAGGGGTCTCGAGCAGCTTCCGAAACTGGGCGTTGTTCATCGTGTTGTTCGTGCCGTGGAATGCAGTACGGAATCGCTGGTCGTATGACGGTGATGGTGGTTGTGATGGTTGTGTTCTCGTCGCGAGGATCGTGGCTTTGCTCTAACAACACCCACCTCTAACGAAGTCGCTCAGTCACGTGAGCCAGTCCGGCCAGGGACCACTAGCGCCTCTGCATTGTTGTCTTGGCATTGCTGGCGGCCTACGTTCACTCGCGCACGCATCGAGTTTGCGTGTACTTGACTCTTGCCGCGAGGGTTTTAGTTAGCGACGTTGTCTCGTCTCTTCAGAGCCTTCTCCCTTCCTTCTCCCTTCCTTCCCCCTTCTCTTCTCCTTCTCCCCGACCACAACACTCCACACTCCAAACCTCCAACCCCCCCCCATCCCTCCGACACCTCTCTTTCTGTTTCCCCCCTTCACAGTCATCTTCATCACCCCCATCGATCAAAGATCCTCCTCCACTCCACCAACCTCCTCCATCCCCTTCACCAACCAATCCATCACCACCAATCCAGCCTTTCCCCCGGGTTACAGACAGTGATCTCTGTCAACTTACCCTCACTCGGCCACATACACACATTTGTTGGCTTGCTGGTCCTCCTGAGTCCCCAACCCAAAAGCCACGAAGAAAAAAAGTCATCTTAATACTCTCCCGCCCGCTCCTCCCGCCTTTCCCGACCCCCCGACCGCATCTTCCTGTCTTGACACCTACCACACATTTTACACCTACCACCATCCACCTACCATCTGCACCGATACCACGCTCCCCCCGTCATCTGCACCCATCCACCACCACCACCGAGCGTTTTCTTTCAGGTGTACACAGCAGGACAAGATCGAATATAATTAATTGGACAAATAACAATTCGCGTCTACACTTTCAACTCGTAGTTTGAAGAACCACCAGTTGAGAAAAAAAGAAAAAAGAAAGATAATGTCCTCCCCAAGCGCATCCGGAGCCACTAAGCGTCCGCTCGAGGATTCTTCGTCCCCTAATGTGAAGGATGAACACGACTCCAAGAGGCCCGCCCTCGACAAGTCGGTTCGTGAGGAGAGCTCGCCTTCTCCTTCCCCTGCTGCTGTGGTCAAGTCTGAGCCGGCCCACGAGGAACCCGCTACCGAGACCGAAGGACCGTCGGACGCCACTCCAGACAACACCAAGGATATCGACACTCACGTCCCCGATGCCCCCCAGCAGGCTAGCCAGCACCCTCCGGTTGACGAGAGTCAATGGATCCATATCCGTGCGCTGATTACTTCTGCTGAAGCTGCTACAGTGATCGGAAAGGGTGGTGAGAATGTCACGCAGATTCGCAAGATGGCCGAGGCCAAGTGCACCGTGTCGGATTACCAGCGCGGTGCTGGGGAGCGCATCTTGACCGTCAGTGGCGCTGTCGATGCTGTTGCTAAGGTAATTATCAAGGATCTGCGGAAAGAGACATCTTGTTCGATCAGGGATGGTTGTCGCTAACGAAGTTTAATAGGCGTTTGGCCTGATCATCCGCACTCTCAACAATGAGCCTCTCGACCAGGCGTCTTCTCCCCAGTCCAAGACTTATCCGTTGAGATTGCTAGTCCCCCATATCCTCATTGGCTCGATCATCGGCAAGGCTGGTTCTCGCATTCGCGAGATTCAGGAAGCTTCCGGTGCCAGACTTAATGCGTCCGGATCCACTTTGCCCTTGTCGACTGAGCGTTCCCTAGTTGTGACCGGTGTCGCCGATGCCGTTCACATCGCCACCTACTACATCGCGAACACCCTTGTGGAACAGCTCACCGAGAGGTATGGAGGACCGGCCGCATCGGCGTACGCTACTAGAACCGGCGGACCAGCTGGACCTATTCCCGGGGGAATGCAGGTCATTCCGTACCAGCCGCAGCCTCTCCACGGAAACTACGGCCACCCGGAGACCTACAAGCGCCACACGAACTCTTCGCAGCGTTCGCCGGCCAACCCCTACGGTGTCCCCTACCTCCACGGACAGGCGCCGGCGCCGGCTCCCCAGGCCCCCATCCACTACCCCAACCCCCAGGACGCTGCCGGCTACTCTGGCGCTGGACCTCACCAGCCCGGCCAGACTCACAGTGGACCCGCCCCCCAGGCTGGAGCAGCTGCGAACCCGATGGCTATGCTTCCCGGCCAGCCCCTCACTCAGCAAATCTTTATTCCTAACGACATGGTCGGCGCGATCATCGGCAAGGGAGGCGCAAAGATCAACGAAATACGCCAGCTCTCCGGAAGTGTTATCAAGATTAATGAACCACAGGACAATAGTAATGAACGGTTGGTCACGATCACGGGAACGCAGGAGTGCAACCAGATGGCGCTCTACATGCTGTATTCTAGACTCGGTACGTTGAGAGAATCCTCCGTCGCCCCGTTTTGAAGACTTCATGCTAATATCCACAACAGAGAGCGAAAAGCACCGAATCTAGATGGCTATCTCCACAACCACCTACCTGCCATTAACGCCCGAACTTGGAAATTTCACACACACTTGAGCACTTGTTTGTTTGTTTGTGTTTGTTTGTGTCGTCGATGTTTGCTGTTTTGCTGTTTGTCATGGTTCTTCGGTTGTTTTTTGACAGTTTTCCCTTTTCTACTACTCCCTTAAGGGCGCTGTATTTCTTCAACTTTTTTTTTCTTTTTTTTTCTCGTTCTTTTTTCATCTTCTGGGGTGATATTCTTTTTTTTGTGTGTTTTTGTGTTTTGTAATGATACGAACATCATGTGAATCGGATTGGGGATTTTCGGATACAGTACACTCAACTTACATAAAGAAAAGAAAAAAAACGCTCAACCTCTGCTCTGGATGGAGGGGGGGAAAGTGTTTTCTTGTTTCTTGTGTGCGTTTTTTCTTTGTCGGGTCGTCCGATGTCCAGGAGGAGGAGGAGGAGGAGGAGGTCTTACGCATATTGATGGTTGCTTTTCTTGTGAATGATTGGGATTTGGGTTTTGAGAGTTGTGATGTACTGTCATCGTCGTCATGTCGTGTTGCTCGCTCTTCCTTCCATCCATCCGTGGTCAACTCTTGCTCCGCTCCACTAGGGCTAGAATAGGTATCGTGATGAAGGTGAAGATGCTAGACGGTTTGGTGTAGGTGTGCAGGACCGAGTATCGTAGAGCACCGTATATCTCGAGACCACCGTTCTGCGCCTCCAGCTGTGAGGGCGACTGCTGGAGCTACATACCTCCTACGTACAATAGACCCCGACCCCCCGAAGTCCGGCCCCAACGGCCGCAATAACACTGTCAAACTTTGGCCGCCCGGAGCCGTCGGCTCCAATAAGGTTCTGCTGTGGAGGAGTCGGGGAGGTGAACCTACAAGTCCGAACTCGTCTGTATATAAGAGAGACCTTGCTGCCGCTGGTATTTTTGCTGTAGGTATGTATCGAATGGATTATCTCTTCCTGTCTATCCAAATATTTCAACAAACGCAAAATCAAACCGTGAAACGACAGATTCAAGGCTCGGCTCCGGATCGGATGTTTGCTTGCTGGGAAGGAAAGGAAGGAAAGGAAGCGGATAGATCTTTGTTTTGAGTCTTGACCATGCGGCATTGCTAGCTGCTCTTCCGCTCCCGTTTAGCAAGAGATGTGACATGTCGGGAGGTTTTGAGTGCGAGGTGGAGGTGGAGGTTCCGGGTGAGGTCTTGGGAAAGGTCTTGGGGAAGGTCATGGGGAAGGTCTCGGAAGGGCTGGATTGATAGTACCGAAAATCCGCTCGGTATTGCTGTCCCGATTCCCCAGGAACACTGGAACACTAGAATGTCCGAAAGACTATCCTGTGTATGATACCAAGCTGGCACGGTTATCGTTTCCCGGCGTCCCGCGGTGTCGGCGCGGCTTGCAGTCCCGTCAGAGTTCGGGAGCGTAAACTGATACCTGGGTATCGGAAGATTCGAGCCGTGTCCAAGGCCCAAGGTTTGTTCCGGGTTGCGCGCCGGTACCGGTACCGGTTGTGGTCGCTATGTATTAGGTACTCCGAGAGTGAGTTACGGCGAGTTACGGCTTGATGGAGCGGGCCTCTCCTCTTACCGTCTTACGGGCCGGACCGGAATGGCTGCTCCGGTGGAGACGCCGGGTTTGGTGGTGAAGGAGGAGATGGTGGAGGTGGAGGAGATGCTGGAGGAAGCAAAGCCAACGGTCGTTACAGCACCGCGACTCCCCAAGCTTCACTTCCCGTGCCAAAACAGATCGTGAACATGAATCAAAAAAAACCAGATCGTGAACGTGAATCCAAAATTGGAGCCGATTCTGCAGCGCTGACGCTGTGCTTCTGAGCGCACAGACACAGAGTTGGCAGTCATTCCAGCCAGCCATTCACGGCTGAGCAGTGAGGCCAGCTACCGACCTCAAGTATCGATACATCCGCCTTCCCCGGAAACTTTGACGACGCTCGCACGCTCGCACTGCGTGATAGTTGGTGCGACAGCCCGAAGCGAGGTTCGACATCTGGTCTCGGCTCCCACTCTTAGGAGTCAGCAAATGGATTCTTTACACTCAGTATGGATTCTTCAGGCTTCGTGAGTGATGCATCGCACCTGTCATCATAGAGGTAGCAGGTAGGTACTTAGCGTAGGTACCTACCTGTGTAGAGCATTGGGCTATGCAACACTGCCCACCCACCCAGCGTCAGACATCGATACCTACCTATGTGCCTATGTCCCTATGTAGACGTGCGCAGTACTATAGTGCCTACATAGGTTAAAGAGATACTCATCTACTCACCTATGTACCTATACATACCCAGAATAGGTATATACCCTCACCTAAAGCTAGAGTACTCTATAGGTAAGGTACCCGTCGGATGTCGCGCAGATCATGTCCCAATATAGAAACCTCCGATATCCTTCTTCAAGTGGGTAGTGGGCACCGGTGTGTGTGTGAGTTGTTGGCCTGGCGAACCTGACGGGAATTCGGAGCGTAGGTATGTACTCCATGTACCTGCCTAGGTACTTAGGTGATCCTGCTGCCTGATTCCGGGTCTTTTCTCCATGAGGACTGAAAATTTGTATCATCCGACTGGGGCTCTGGGAGATTGGTGATGCATAGAGTAGAGAAGCCTGCGCACGTAGAGCCGAGTTCTCCATATGTTCCCCATGAAGACCAAAAATTCGTGCGTATTATCCGACTGGGAGATTGGTGATGCATAGAGAAGCCTGCCTGCGCACGTAGAGCCGACTACTCCTTACGAATGTAGATATTCGTAGTATTCCCTGCGCACGTTTGTAGAGCCCTCAGCCGACTTCTCCTCCTTACATACCTACGAAGGTATGCATGCATTCGTACATAGTGTAAGTACCCACTCAGAGCCACTCTACTCCACACGAGCCCGTAAGCCAAGGGTACATACTCTAGATATGTAGGTACATACCATGTACTTTGGCGTCGGGGCTCAGTGACTGACTGCCTGAAGCTCGGAGTTGCCCATGCCATGCCAATGATGCCATGCCAACCGGAACCGAACGGCAAGACGGCCGCACCATGCCACTGCTTTTGGTACCTACCTACATACACATCAGTATGTATGTAAAATTATCTCGCGTAGAGCAGAGCAAGGCTGAACCTGAACTCGACTGTCTTTCCTCTCTCGAACGGGGGCGGCTTTCAGCGAAGGTTCAAACCGGTTGGTGGTGGTGGTGGTCACTGGTGGTGGTGGTGGTGCTGGTGGTTGGGCTCGTGTCGGGCGGAGATCCATACTTACCGCATGCATGCAGAGTGCATGTACGCACGGCGGACGAAAATAGCTTGCGAAGAAGGGAAGGGAAGAAGAAATGCTGTTTCCACGTTGGAATTTACACCTCCCCGGAAACGGGCAGGGAGCGATTGGGGTGTTGTAATTTCGGGCTCTATCCGGCGGTGGGGGAGGAGGCGGGAGGTGAGAGGTGAGGGGTGAAGGTGGGAGGAGAGGCGGGAGTATTTGGAGTTCACGGGCACTTTCCGCGTGCGACAGCACAGACAGGAGCGGGAGCGGATTTGTAGAACAAGTTGAGATCCAGGGAGCCCGGAGGTGTCGGTGGTATGGTTGTGAGACATCCACGTATCTAGCAGGCAAGTCGAACGGAGGGACTGAGTGCAGGTTTCCAGGGATGCCGTGTAGGCATGTACTGCGCAGCGCGACAACTCTAAACAGGCTGCCGTGCAACGAGGCCTGAGAGTGGGTATATAAAGCTTGGTCTCACTCGAGGTCTGCTGTCATCCGTCCTGCCCATTTCAAGAGCAGTAATACAGACTTATTAATTCCATCGTGTTGTCCGTCCGACAATATTCTACTTCCTCCCTCCCTCCCCCGACTTTATCTCCCACCCCACGTTCACTCCTTTGCAACATCTTTACCATCAACAGCACCACCACTCTGCATCAACATCCACAATCATATCGCGACATAATACACCTTTTCCATAAACCTCAACAGACGCACATAATGACGAACCTACTCTCGCTCGTCACCTCGGTGCTTCTGCTGTCGAGCACAGCCAGCGCCCTCTGGCCCATTCCTGCTCACTACGAGACGGGAAACGACACCTTCTGGCTCTCACCCGACGTCAAGCTCGAATTCGGATCCGGCAGCTATAGCGGCGGCCCAAAGGTATGTGCGATCCCGGCACCACCGTCACACCTGGTCTTGGTGCTGGTGAGGTCTGTGTGTCACTCGAACCCTGTGGAAGCTGACTGCGGAATCAGGAAACGAGCTACCCCTCCTCAGACTACTCATACCCGTCCACCGGACGTGGCAACAAGAAGGTCGAGGCTGCCTGGGACCGTACCAAGGCTGCCTTGTTCAAGACCAACATCGTGCCATGGCAGTTCTACCCCAAGGGAGCCAAATTCGAGCCTTCCGTTGGTTCCGGCACCACCATCAACAAGGTCGTGATCACGCAGACCGAGAAGGACATTGATGCGCCCACCTATGAGGAGATGAAGGAGGCGTACAACCTGACCATTCCTAACGGCAGCGGAACCATCTACATCGACGCCGAGTCTTCTCTGGGTGTGATGCACGCCTTGTCGACCCTGCAACAGCTCTTCTACAAGTCGCAGAGCTCCAAGGCCCGCGGTTCCGTCTGGGGCAAGGGACCAGTGACCATCCAGGACAAGCCCCGCTTTGTCCACCGCGGTCTGAACCTCGACGTGGCGAGGCAGTGGTACCCGAAGGAGACTATCCTCAAGACTCTCGATGCTCTCTCGTGGAACAAGATGAACAGACTGCACCTGCACGTGACCGACTCGCAGTCGTGGCCCCTCGAGATCCCGTCCATGCCGGAGCTCGCCGAGAAGGGTGCTTACGCGCCCGGATTGACGTACTCGCCCGAGGATCTGCAGCAGATTCTGGATTACGCCGAGGCGAGAGGTATCCAAGTCATCGTCGAGATCGATATGCCTGGCCACACCACGTCGATTGCCGAGTCGCACCCGGAGCTCATCGTGGGCAGGAATGCTCAGCCGAACTGGGACACGTACGCTGCGCAGCCGCCGAGCGGATCGTTGAAACTGAACAACAAGGAGGTGGAGAACTTCCTGACGAAGCTGTTCAAGGACCTTCTGCCGAGGCTTAACAAGCACACGCCGTACTTCCACACCGGAGGCGACGAGGTCAATGCCAACGTCTACAAGCTGGACCCGGGCGTGGGCTCAAGCAACAAGACCGAGATCCAACCGCACCTCCAGAAGTTCTTCAACCACGTGCAGACCCAGGTCCACAACCAGAACATGCACCCGTTCGTGTGGGAGGAGATGTTGCTCGACTGGAACATAACGCTCCCCGAGAAGACGATCGTGCAGATCTGGCAGACGGATGAGGCAGCCAAGAAGGCGACCGAGAAGGGATACAGGATAATTCAGGGCAACTACAACTACTGGTACCTCGACTGCGGCCAAGGTTGGTTTCTTCCTTCTTTCTTTCAAGGTGATGGTGATTGACAATGCATAGGTCAATGGCTCGATTTCGGCGGTCCCGCGTTCCAGAAGTTCTACCCCTTTGCCGACTACTGCAGCCCGCGCAAGAACTGGAGGTAAATGACATCCCTCGACTCCAATTGCCACAGTACTAACACTACCAGACTGATCTACTCGTACTCGCCGACGCAATTCCTGACGCCTGAGGAGGCCAAACTCGTCCTTGGCGGCGAAGTGCACATCTGGTCCGAACAGATCGACTCGCAGTCGCTAGACGTGATGCTATGGCCGCGCGGATCCGCCGCCGCCGAGGTCCTCTGGAGCGGCCGCGAGGATGCCCAGGGAAACAACCGCACGTTTGCCGATGCTAGCCCGCGATTGGCCGAGATGAGGGAGCGCATGGTGGCCCGCGGTGTCCGCGCCACGCCCGTCATGCAGCTGTGGTGTCTTGCCAACCAGGGGGATTGTGCGCTGAATGTGTAGGGTAGTTACTTACGCACCGCTGTTAGTACAGTGTAGAGTATGATACCTGGTGAAGTGCAGATGCGTGTTTGAATAGTGTCTTTTTCTTTTCCTTCTTGTTCTTTTCTTCTGTTTTTGGGGGTGTTTATGGGGGATGTGCAGGTTTGATAACTACCGTGTAATGGTGCTACGATGTGTATGGTTTTTTTGTATGGGTGAAAAACGGTAGATAGTGAATATCATGTTTGTCACATGTACTATACATACACCTGCTCTCCCGTCCGAGCATAGTGGTAAGTGTAGACAGTCGTACGGGTGGCCACGCACGGGATATCACTCGACGGCCCCCACCTCAGCTGAGCTGAACTTTGAAGTTTAAAGAGTGCTCTTCGTGTTGGGACTTGGGACGCACAGGTAATACGGAGTATACATAGCAGCTGAGTTGCCGGTATATATATACATACCGCATGTCAAAGCTTCGAGACGGGTGGAGTCTTCGTGAATCGTGGAGGACCAATAGACTGTACTCCACCAGACATACTATGAATAGTAAATTCCGCCAGCCCGTGGACAATTGACGTACCTTCCGCCTGCAGTGCAGGCTCGTATACAGAGTTATATCTATCTACCGTACTTCGTGTGCTCTTGCACGACTGGATCATCTGCTCTTCGATGCCGGAACAAAAGCAAAAAAAAATACTGCAGTCTATATTGGTATGCCAGGTATGCCAGGTGTGGTTATATACGGTACTTCACAGTCATCAATTGTCATTCATCAGCCTATCAGCCCCATCAACCAAAACGCATGTAAACTGGTAGGTAGGCATCCCGATTCGGGTGGTAAACAGAACCCGCTGTCCCCCCCTCCCCGTCCCCCCCCATCCACCCCATCCGTCCCCCTCCTCCCCTCCCGGCTCTCTAAACAACCACGAATCTCGCCGAATTACTCACGACGACCAATATTTCCTCCCAGTCGCGATCACGCACAATATGGCTAACATCGAGCTTCGCCCAACCATCCTCGTCGTCGCCGTTGAGCCAATAGGCGCTTTCTGCGACCTCCTCTCGGCCTCCAAGTTTGCAGCGCGCGGTGCTGGGGCGCTTCTTCTCGCGGTCGGGGCGCGAGTACAGTGTATACGACGAGCCCGCGGAAAGCCCGACGAGGAGGGACGCCGGGATGAGTTTTTCGAATACTTGTGGGATGGAGGGGTGCAGCGTGGTGAAGCTGGGGGGCGGGGGTGTTAGCACCAATTCTATGGAGGGGGGGGGGGGGGGGGGGGCGTACTTCTCATCGAATCCCAAAAACCCCTCGCCGTTTCCTTGCGCATGCATTCGTGTGCAGCGCTTCCCACCATCGGCGGCATCAAGCATGACCGGGCGTCGTTGGGAATCAGCAACGCCCCAGAACCCGCCGCGGCCCAGCAGCGGACACGCCGCGTCAAAGATCGTGCCGCGCCGCAGGAAGGAGATGGGCGTGCTGCATGGTCCGAGGAGGGTGGCTGTGAGACATAGCTTGAGGCCCCGGCTGCGCGTGCTGGAGTAGCGCGGGTGTGGTAAAGAGAGTTGGATGCTGATTGTGGGGGAGGTGAAGACCGGGGGCGTGGGGAGCGTGGGTAAAGGACTGCTGATTGCGTGGGTCACTAGGCTGCTGATTTGCCGTGCTGTGGGCGTGCTGCTGCTGTCGCGGGATGTCGAGGCCGCCCGTGGCGGGGTGCGGGCCCCCGGCGGTGTGGAGACCTGCGGCGAGCTGGTGGCTTGCGGCGGTGTGGCGGTGCGGGGCGGCGTGCGCGGTGGCGTGGCGACTCGCGGCGGGTTGGCGGGCGGCGATGACTCATCCACCACAACCTCCCCCATAACGTCAACCTCCACCGTCGCCGCCGCCGCCGGCATCTGGGGAACAACCGGTGCCACCCCCTCCACCTCCGCCTCTGCCACGGGTATTACGGGTGCCGATGTCGGCGTCGGCGGTCTCGTGCTGTCCACATCCGCCACCACATCCGCCACCATATCCGCCACCATCCCCGCCACCATCCCCGCCCCAGTCCCCGTCCCCGCCCCCGCCCCACCCTCCAGCACTCCCCCCGACGTATCTCGCACCGACGGCGCTCTAACCGACGGCGCTCTAACCGACGGCGCTCTAACCGACGGCGCTCTAACCGACGGCGCTCTAACCGACGGCGCTCTCACCGACGGAGCTCTCACCGACGGAGCTCTCACCGACGGAGCTCTAACCGACGGAGCTCTTATGGACGGAACTCTAATGGACGACGCTCGCGATGTAGATGTCGACTCTGGCAGCGGCGGGAAAACTCTTTTCGCATCATCACCGGTGGTCAGAGCGAGGTATTTGTAGGGTGGGGGGACTAACTCCATTGTGTATCGTTTCTGAGGGGTTATGTCTTGGTGCTTCGTTTATGGTGTTCGAGCTTCGAGCTCTTCGAGTTGCTTCGGGTTTTCGTATTTCTTGTCTGGGAACTTCTTCGTATTTCGTTTCGTGCTTCGTGTTTCGTTTCGTGTGTGTAGAAATCGTGTTCGAGCAGGTAAGTATATGGGATTGGAGAGCAAAATCCAGCAGTGGGGGGCAGCGTTTATATCCTCCCACCGTTTTATTCCCGCCCCCTCCCTGCGGATCCTCCCACCGATCCCCCATGCCCGGTGTAACTACGCGCCACGCATTGGACGAGGGGGGAGGTCGACGTGTTAGCTGCGGTCGACGTGGCCAGCTATAGCCAGCCCTTTTTTTGCAAGTTTTTTGCAAGCCCATTCGCCACGGCCTTCCTGGGCTGGCACTGGCAGGCAGCTGGGCAGGTAGGCAGAAGTGGTGCGCTGTATGTATCTTTGTATCTAGAGTACTCTACCCATCCAGAAAGTACAGTATGTACGCTATGGGGCGGGGTGGGGGATTTGCATGTGCTCCGAGCAGCAGATTGGGGCGGTGGGTCAGAGCGTATCGTCGTATCGGCGTATCGTGAATTGGGTATATCATTGGCTACCGTTGCGTTGTGTCCGGCGTCCGTCCGCCCCATCCGGCACGGCATGCACATAAGCCTGCCTGCATGATGTTCGATGGGACTAGTGATCATGAATTCGCACTCGGTATCGTGATTCGTGACTTTCGAGTATCAAATTTCAGCTGTTGAAGGGAGTAGAATGGCCCCGGCAAGGTAGCGAATATGGACGCCGGCGTGTCGTGCCCCTTCCGGTCTCACTGGCAAATCTCAAGAGGTGGATTAGCGATGAAAAGTGGAGAGAGGCGCATCAGTGGTACCTGACCCGGATTGAAAACCGGCGGTACGATAGCAAGCAGCATCTCAAAAAGACCCCGGATCCGTTCCAAGCGAGAGCGCCGAAGAAGCTAGGTGCCCGCTTCTATCAGCCGAAGACAGGGCACGCCCTCACGGCGACGTACATATCTGAAGTGGATAAAGAAGCGGGATGACGATCATTGCTGGTGGTGCAACAGGCCTACCAAGCAGTCCCGCGAGCACCTGTTCAAAAACTGCTCACGGTGGAGAAGCCAACAGAAAGCCTTGTGGGCAAAGGTCGTGAAGGAGACGGAGAGAAGGAAAGAGAGGTGGTCGATAGCGGAGTTGTTCGCTGACGAGCGGTGCAGTGAGGCAATCCTAGAGTTTCCAGGAACGACGGAAGTGGGGAGGAAAGTTCCACCAGACCTGGAGGAGGAGGAGGATGAGGAGGAGGATGAGGAGGAGGATGAGGATGAGGATGAGGATGAGGATGAGGATGAGGAGGAGGAGGAGGAGGAGGAGGAGGAGGCAAGCATCGCATCGGAGGCAGAGCAAGAGTGCCCAGCAGGGTACTGCGTCTGCGGCCGACGCGAGGAAGGAGGAGAGAAGGATACGCGGCGATAGGTTTTGGAGCGGAAGCGGAAGACAGGGGAGAGAGGCGAGGGGCAGCAGGAGGAGCGGGCATGTAGGCATACCGGTCTTTACTGTCAATCTACTTTTTGCTTGTGTCGGCCCGAGGCGGATGGGCAGGGGAAGTGGGGCGCCGTATCGGACTGGTCGGTACCGGGGCTTTCACCTCGACTGGCCAGGGCGGGCAGAAAACGGAGTTCGTGGGTTCCCCATAGTCTAGATAGGCTGCATGCGAAATAAAACAGGAAGCTCTCTCTCTCTCTTTCACCTGTTGAAGGTGCGAAATATGTATGGATTAGACTTTACTTTACATCGAGGTTATCCGTTGCATCCACCCATCCATCCGCCGTCCATCCATAGCATAAACCAAAAAACACAATGGATATATAAGAAGTATCTACATAGACAGGCACTCCAAAAAAACCTAACACCCAATCGAAAAGTCACCCATGAGGCCAACATTGACCTTCGTAGTCTTGGGCCCATTCTTAGTGAGGACCTTGATCTCGACGATCTTGACGGACGTGTGGAAACCGAAGTGACCCTTCGCCTTCAGCTTTCCGTTTGCATAGGTGAACTCGATGTGGGTAGTTCCCTTCTGGACGAGCGAGTCTCCGTCGTCGAGGTAGAGTTCTCCAGCGGCCTTTCCGTTCTTTCCGGGGACGACGAGGAGCTCAAAGTCCTTGGTGCGGACCTCGGCGGTGGTCATGGCGCCCGCAGACTTGCGCTGCGGGATGATGCTACCGCCCTTGAGGAACAGCGGGATCTCGTCGAAGTCGATGTCCGTGAACGTGGTGTTGCCCGGCTTGACGAGCTTGAGCGTGTCGTAGTCGTACCAGATGTCGTTGGGGAGGTAGATCGCGACCGACGTCTTGTTCTCCTCCGTCACGGGGGCGACCATGAGGGACGGGCCGTAGAGGTACTGGAGATCGATGGGCCACGTCTTCTTGTCCTCGGGGTAGGCGAACCACAGGGGGGAGACCGAGGGGGTTCCCTTCTCGTGCTGGCGCCACATGGCGGTGTAGATGTAGTCGAGCAGGGAGTAGCGGATGTTGATGGCCTTGCGGGCGGCAGAGGCCACAATCTCCCAGCGGTATGGCTCCTGGCTGATGGAGGTGTCACCGTTGTGGTTGCGGTAGAAGGGCGCGAAGGCTCCGAGGGTGGTCCAGCGGGCACACAGGGTCGAAGTGGTGTTTCCTCCGAAACCGCAGACGTCGGCACCGACGAGGGGAACCTGGTAGATGGAAGCGAACTGGAGGACTCCGCTGATGGAGTTGCGGTAGTGGTGCCAGGTCGACAGGTTGTCTCCGAGCCACTTTCCAACCTTGCGACCGGCTCCGGCGAAGGTGCTACGAGTGATGATGAAAGGACGCTTGGTGGGGCGGCGGACAAGCATGGCGTCGTAAGTGGCGGTGCTCATCGAGGTTCCGTACAGGTTGTGGACGTCGTACTCGACGTGGCCATCGGCATGCACGATGTCGGTGTGGACGGTGCGGTCCGAAAGCCCGAACGAGACGTCGTTCTGAATGTCGTAGGGAGGGTCGATGAGGTCGACACCGGCCACCTGCCTCTTGGACATCTCGCCTTCGGCCATTCTACCCATCAAGAATCCGGACATCGATCGCGCATCCAAGCCGCCTCCGGGCAACGATCTAGCCATGTGGTAGCGGTACTCGCTTCCACGGGACTGGATCGATCTCTTCTCGGCGCCGGTCTCGGGGAAGCCCCAGACGGCTCCGGTGGGCTGTCTGACGGCCAGACGAGCAGGAGGCATCATTTGGGTGACGGCCTCGCCTTCGGGGTCTTCACAGGGGTACGGGCAGAAACTGGCGGGCTCTGGGAAAAGAACGTTAGTATATTGGTCCACGAGAATTGTAGGGAGGGTACGAACCATTCATGTCGATCCACGATCCATCGATATCAACTCCGGTCTCGGGGTCAAAGAAGATCTTGAACTCGCCGTTGTACCAGTCGGTGGTGTTAGGATGGAACCCTAGTAGACACGTCGAACGTCAGCGATTGCTCGGCCTAGTGAGATGAAAAGTAAAAGTACGTACAGTCGGGGAAAGCAGTGACACCGGGCCAGACGACACCCTTGTGGATATCTCCGTTGGCCTCCTTGAGGAGAACGCCCATATCGACGGCGCGCTGGAAGCTAGGGTATGGCTGGTAGGCAATGGCGGGGTCAATCATCATGATGTAGTGCTGCTTGTTGGCGTGAAGGGCGCGGACGATGGTCTGCATCTTGTCGAGAGGGAACCTATCGGGGTCCAGGGTGAAGATCCAGCGGTTGTACATGTAGTCTGGTCTCTTTGTTAACCACTGTTCCGAGAGGGAAGGGCGCACAAGAACTTACCAATATCAGTCCACATGGTCTCCAGAGGAATTCCAGCGGCGCTGTAGTTTCCAATGACCTACAAAGCCATGTCAGCACATATATCCGGATAAGGGAATCCCCCTGCCCAAAAAAGAAGCCATACCTCAGCAACATCGATCCAGTCACGGTATCCGTAACGGCACTGGTGGCTTCCCAGTCCCCAGTATGCAACCATAGCGGGCAATCCGACGATCTCAGCGTACTGCTCAGCCACGGCGGTGGGTGATGGGCCGGAGATGAACGAGAAATCGATGATACCACCGATGATGTTGTACTGCAGCTTCATGGTTCCCTTCTCGCGTCCCATCTTGATATCCATGCCGTTCGAGTTCGTCAGGAGCACACCGTGGGTTCCCCCAGCGCGGTGCTCAAAGTAGACGGGGTGCACACCGTACAGGTTCGAGTCGGCGGGGACTCCGTACGAGTCTCTGCTCCAGAGCGTGCGGTTGACATTGTGCGGGAGGCGGAAGCTCTCGGTGTGCTCGCCGAGTCCATAGATGTTGGGGTCGTTGCCCAGGTTGGTCGCAACGTGGATGTACTGCTGCTCGAAGACGAGCGGGTTTCCGGTGGTGTCGAAGAGCTTCTCGCCCGTAGACTTGCGCGAGACAGTGAAGGAGAACGGCTTCTCCTTGAAGTTGAAGACCAGGTCCGCCGACTTGGCCTTGACGCTGGACGCGGCCGGCCGAGGAAGCGAGAACTCGGGGACTTCGTAGCGCTCGTTCTTCGGGTCGAAGATCTTGACGTGCAGACGTTCCTCTGTCGAAGAGTCAGCACCCACTCCCATCACAGACAGCAGAATTGAGAGACTCACTCGTATCGTAGTTGACCGTCAGCTTGAGCACGGAAAGGTCCGGCCCGTAGATGGCACAACCGCTTCCGATCAGCTTCAGATCAGCACTCAATCCATTGTCGTGTTTTTCGACGTTGGACGCAGTGTAGCCCTGGCACTGGCTGGTGACATTGAGGGTGAGGTCGGCGAGGACGTGCGCTGACAGCAATGAAGCTGCAAGAAAGAGGTTTCTGACCGGCGAGCTCCACATATCGAGTTACTGGTCCGAGGAGGAGGACAACGGGGGTGCAGGACAGAATCACAACCTGGGACGGGGGGAGGATTTATACTCCTCGACGAAAGACATCCGCAGCCTGCCTGCCCGCCGTACGATACGTTTTCTGCATGACATCACGGCAAGAGGGAGGGGAGGGGTGGTCTCACGAGCAGAGACAGGCCTGAGTGGAAACTGCAGTATGTAGCACCCCGACGACATGCCCACGAGCAGAGTGGAAACTGCAGTAGCACCACCACGGCATCCCCACTCGCGGGGGAGGAGCCAATTGGCAGCGGGCTCTCCTTCCCAGACGAGACATCCACCCTCCGATCCCAACTGTGCAGAGTTCCATGCCCAGCACCAGCAGCACCAGCAGCACCTGCAGGCGGCCCTCCCCATCTCCCACCTCCCACCTCCCACCTCCCACCTCCCACCTCCCACCTCCCACCTCCCACCTCCCCCCCCCATTGCGCGAAGCAGTCTGTAGAGTACTCTACCGGTGCTCTACTCTATGCTCTTCACCGATTCCACCACCGTCACTGACGATCCCACGTTGCGTTCGGTTAGGTTGTCGATGGAGCACAGCCAAGCTCCGAGTGGGGGCTGCTCGATTGCGGTATGTATGCATGTGTGAATGTGTGTATGCAGTGTAGCTACTGGGTATACGGTAACTACTATATCGCGATCCTGGAGCGCCTCCTCGGCATTCTTTTCAATCCCAGCCTCCCTAGTACCTACAGGCTACCCCCTTAGCTCGTGCAACCAACGGTGGGTGGTGGGTAAGTCGTGTGGTGGTGGTGGTGGTGGTGGTGGTGGTGGTGGTGGTGGTGGCTGCTCATCCGCATCCGAGAAATGCGGGGAATTCTCCAGAGGATGTAACCAAGTAACTACGGTGCTTACTACGGTATTCACTCCACCTACCCTGCCCACTGCCAGCCATCGTGCTCCTTCCTCGCGATGTGTGTATGTATGCAACGCCGGCTTGATCGGGCAGCTGGCAGCTGCCACGTTCTTTTCAAGAAGAAGACTTTATTTCTTCCATTTTTTCTTTCTTTTTTCTCTCTTTTTTCTTTCTTTTTTCTCTCTTTTTTCTTTCTTTTTTCTTTCTTTTTTCTTTCTTTTTTCTTTCTTTTTTCTTTCTTTTTTCTTTCTTTTCTTTTCACTATGCTGTAATCAAAAAGAAAGAGAGTGCGGCGCAATATCGTGAGCTTCGATGTTCGATGTCGGAATAGAGTAAGGCTTCCAGGAATTGCGCATTGCTGGTTTTCCTGGTTGGCTGGTTGCCGAGCGGAGTTTGTCCGGCACAGCGGATGGCTGCTCTCGGACTGGACTGGACTGGTCGGTCAGTGGAAGCTCCACCTCCATGGCTCCACCACCACATCCACCACCGGTACATAGAGTACGATTCCACGGCTCACTGACACGCCGATCTTCCGTGGCACGCTGGAAGTCGACAGTTGAGTGTCGGCACTTGTGTGCAAGTTGTGCTGCCATCAAGGGGTAGGTAACTTCCGTGCTGGATGAATTATCAATCAATCAATGCGCAATGGGTATGTACCCAGGTAAGTTCCCAGGTAGGTACTTATGTCTCAGGGTACCTACCCATCACGCATGTTCACGGGCATGATGTCCTACGTACCGAGTAAGTTACATACATTACATACATACCTGTTACACCTCCAGCTGGAGAACGCCCCACGCACTTTGGATGATGGACAGAGGGTAATCTACTCTACTCTACCGCCGCAAGGAATCTCGGCAGGGGAGAGGGGGACGTTGAGGCTTGGTGGGAACCCTTGCCCTCCTGCCCAGTCACCCCAACCCAATTCGTTACTCCGCGCCCAAAAACTCCGAAGATGACAGCCCGCGCAGTGTAGCCTCCCTTACTCCCCGTTCGACAGGAACAGTCTCGGTGTATCCAAACCAGACGGCGGTGGATTGGTCTCTCCACACCGCTGTTAGGTACCCGGACAAGGCGTTGGACGTCTGAGTCCTGACGAGCACGAGCACCATCACGAGCATGGGCATGGCCGTCAGCATGGGCATTGACAGGGGCATTCAGCCCGCCGTTCTTCCATGCATTCACATGCTCTTCCAAGTTCCGACCTCGCTATGTATTCTTCTTCTTCTCGAACCGAGAAGAAGCAATAACAGAATACGCAATAGCGGAAGAAGCAATAACAGAAGCAACAGAAGAAGAATAAGCAACCACAGAAACAGAAACAAAGACATGGACAAAAAATCCGGCGGCCGTCGTCGTGCATATGCGTGTGGTGTTGCATGGGTTCGTTATGATATATAGCATACCGTAACTAATATGTACTCTCCGCATGGCACAACACGTTAACGGGCACTAGTATAAGACATGTCTGGGCGAGAGCCAGATTATCCGGGGGAGGAGGAGGGAGGGGGTGCGGACTCGGGAGTCCGGGGATGCCGAGGGTTGCTTCCTGCGGGCAGGAGGGCTTATGGACCGTCCATACATAGGCGGATATCTCGATTCTCGATTCTTCACCGTTAGGTACTCTAGTCTTGGGCTTGCAGAGACCGGTACCTGTGTAGAGCACCGTACGATGCTCTTGAGTCTCTCGAGTCGACACCCCGCCCGCATTGGGCACAGTCCGCACCCGCCATTAGAGTATTAGAGTCAGCAGAGTGTAGATCAAGCCTTCGCGCCGTGCGCCGTACGTGCGGAGGGCGTTTGCGGGGAGGCAATTCTGACCGCACAACACTACCGCTACGTGCAGCGGAAGCATTCCGGGCAAGCCACCGGTCTATGTACCGCCCATGAACCATGGGTCATCACCGACACCAGTGACCAGTGGCCAACGGCCGCTCCTCTCCTCTCGGCAGACCCGGTGGCTGTCACCCAACCAACCTTGAACCAACGTTGAAGCAGTGACAATCAACTTCCCAAACGACGTCTCAGCACCTCATTAGCCGCCAGCTGTGTGGAATCTGCATAAGTGGCGCCTCTCTCGAAGAGAAGACAGAGAGAGGGTGAGAGAACGGTGAGCTTGCCGTGGATTTTGATTTTATACCCCCCCTGTATTAATCCCTCATGTCCGAGAGACCATGCGAGCATGCGAGCAAGAGAGAGAGAGTGCATGCATGCATGCTGATGCTGATGATGTCGGTGCCGATGTATGTATGTGTGGTATGTGGGGTATGAATGATATGTATGATATGTATGATATGTATGATATGTATGATATGTATGATATGTATGATATGTATGATATGTATGATATGTATGATATGTATGATATGTATGATATGTATGATATGTATGATATGTATGATATGTATGATATGTATGATATGTATGATATGTATGATATGTATGATATGTATGATATGTATGTCGAAACAACGTGGACTCCACATGGGCATGTGTGCGCGTGTGTGCGAGGTGGGTGTGTGGGTGTGTGGGTGTGGGTGTGTGTGGGTGTGTGTGGGCAGCGAACCGAACGAAAGAACGAACGAAAGAACGAACGAAAGAACAAAGAAATGCACGAAATAACGAACGAACGACAGTTACGACATACAGCTGACCCCGGTACCGGTGTTGGAATTGGCATTGGCACCGCCGTCATCGTGATGCTTGCTTGCTTGCGCTGACAGGCGTGAATGAGAAATGAGAAATGTCTGTCTATCTTTTTTGTCTCGACGAGACCAGACGAGACCAGACGAGAAGTGGTGGCTGCGACGATCCTGTGGAGACTCGAGCGGGCTTCTAACCGGCTGGCTGGCTGGCTGGCGAACGAGGGCATGGCGAATACGATGTCGTGAAAGAAGAAGCAAATACGGCATGTACTCTTTAACCAACCTCCCGCCTCCGAATCTCTACTAGGTACCGGTAGAATGCCGTGCCTGCTATCAGCAATTACTACTACACACCAAGAACCCATGTGCTTCCCCATAGATACCGCGGCCCTCCCGAACAAGTCCGTCTGCAAGTCCGTCTACAAGTCCGTCTACACGTCCGTTCGTCTGTTGTGGCTGGTACCGTATGTATCTACCGGTACATATCATAGGGGCTTCTTCTTACCTCCATACCAGGCCTTGAACCCCGCCAATGGCAATCTCCAATCACCAATCCCCCTCCCCCCGGGGCCCCAGGTTAACACCCCCTCACCCCATCCCCCACAACCCCATATTGCACCAAATCCGTACCAAAATCTCACCAGTCCATAGTACGATACCGTACATATGTAGAAGATCAGACATCAAATTCCCTCAGGCACTCCACCCCCACTCCACGCCACCTCCACCTCCATGCAGCCGCCTCCCACACCCCCCCGCAGCACAACCCGAGTCCGGCGTATGGATGTATGTACGGTACGCACAACGTGGCATAGGCACGGTATGTATGGTACTATGCGGCGGGAAAATAGAGTACCTAGGATAGAGTAGGTATCATTCCTGGGTACTGCAAGTTGCAATCACAGACAGACGGGCAGACAGGCAGATAGGCTTCTTCTTCTAGAAGCCGGAGCAATCAGAGCAAGCAGAAGCAAGCAGAGCACACGTGGGCCGGGTAGGTAGGTGGGTATACAGGTGGGTAGACAGGTGGGTAGACAGGTGGGTAGAAAGGTGGGTAGACAGGTGGGTAGACAGGTGGGTATAACTTCGTCGACTGGGTGGTTGCGTACTATACGATACTCTATCCACCTCGGTCTTGGGTACTATCAAGGGAGGAGAAGGCCAAGGGAGGAGGAGAAGGCCAAGGGAAGAGGAGGCAGATCTTCTAGAAGCTCAGTCCCAGCCAGTCCCAGCCAGTCCCAGCCAGTCCCAGCCAGTCCCAGCACGGCAGGTACGGGCAGACGGCGCAGACCGCTGTCACAAGCACGTGGCATGGAGATTCATATGAACATACCCCTCACCCAGTGCCATGTGGCTTTCCCCCGCCGTCAGTCCGTCAGTTTGTCAGTTTGCCAGTTTGTCAGTTTGTCTGCCAGTCTGTTTCGGTCTCTACCCGCAGAAGCTAGAGAAGCTCCAGGGAATCGTTAGGGAATCTCCGCTCTGTCCAGGGAATCGCCAGGGGATCGCCAGGAATCCGTCGCGTGGGTACTATGTTAGAGTCTTAGACTACGGTAGTAGGTAACTGAACAACTCACTTGCTTGTTTGCTATAGCCGAAGGGCGAAGGGAGGGGAGCGGGGGGCGGGCTCACTGCCTCCTGGTCCTTGACCTTCACCTGCTCGTCCTCTCTTCCTTCCCATGCTTCCTTCCATACATCCATACATCCATACATCCGTCTATCCACTCCTTGAATTTTGATTCCCATTCCCACTGGAGGATACACCTAGAGGCCCCTTCGCATCCGGTCTTCGTCGTCCTACCCACCCACCGGACTCTCTTCCTACCGGACTCTCTTCCACATAACTCTCTTCCTATTGGCGTCTCTTCCTACCGTCTCTCTTCCCACCGACTCTCTTCCTACATACCGGCTTCTTTGTCCAGAGGACCAACCACCTATTCCTAGCACTGAGACCGTGGTACGCACACTACCGTCCACCGTCCGCCCTCCCCGTCCGTCCTCACGAAACATTCATCTAGGAGCCTCCGCCCTTCCGATTCTCCGCCATCACAAATTCACAGCCCCATCACGGCAAACGACCACCCGAACACGCAGAAAAGAGCGTCATTATGGTATCTACTCCCTGCATCTCTCCCTCCCTCCATATCTCCCTCCCCCTCTCCCCCTCCCCGTCCAACCCGCGCCGTACCGCACAAACAAGAGACCATTGATCGATACGCAAGCAAGCAAGCAGCACTTCAAATCGAGTCGAGTCGAGTACGGTATACACATCGCCGACATCGCCATCCTATCCCGATCCCATTCGCCAGAAACACGCAATCGTGATACATCCGCCCCACTCATACACCCCCACCCCTGCCCCGCCCCTTAGTAGTTACTCCGCCCGCCCGCTGTCTATAGTATGAGAAGATCCACAAGGAAAAACAGAAAAAAGAAAACAATAAATAAAATAAAAAGAATCCATAAGATCTAGAAGAAAAAAATCATACATGCGAGCTGTACCCGGTGTTCCAATCCCTGCCCTTACGGCCGAGTATCTTCCTGGCCTCGTCGGCGAGGAAGACGGTGCTGGTGAGCAGCACCAGGACGACCAGGTCGCGTACGCTCAGGGCCTCAGTCTGGAAGACGCCCTGCAATCCGGGCACGTAGATGACAGCCATCTGCCCGAGCAAGCTGAGGGCGACCGCGACATTGAACATTTTATTCCCGAGCAGGGGGACCTCGCCCTTGAGGATGGACTTGCCCTCGGAGCGGCAGGCGAGCGCGTTGAACATGTCAAAGAACACGAAGCACGTGAAGGTCATGGTGGTGTCGCGCGCCGTGACGATCCCGTCCGCCGCCATCTCCTTGATGTAGATAAACATGGTGCCGATTACGATTATGGCCGCCGACGTGAAGATTCGCGTGATCACCGGCCGCGTGAGGATTTGTGCGTCGCGGGACCGCGGCGGACGTGTCATTACGATCGGGTCTACGGGCTCGACGCCGAGAGATTGCGCGGGTGGCCCGTCCATTAGGATGTCTGCATCGTCCGTTAGCTAGCTGTGACTACTCTACTCCCTGGGGTGATGCTGGGAAAACGTACTGATCCACAAGATCTGCATGGGGTTCAACGGGTTCTTGAGACCAAAGAACGTGCTGAGGAGAACCAAACTCAGCGCGGCAACACTAGTGCTGAGCTGAAATGTCAAAAAGTTTTGAATGTTGTAGAAGATGCCCTTTCCCTCCTCGATGGCGGCAAGTATGGTCGAGAAGTTGTCGTTGCTAAGGATCATGTCCGACGCTTCCTTGGCAACATCGGTTCCCATGATTCCCATTGCGATACCAATATCCGCCATCTTGAGCGCCGGAGCATCGTTAACACCGTCTCCAGTCATGGCGACGACCTCCTTGTTAGCCTGCAGAGCCCGAACGAGTCTCATCTTGTGCTCCGGACTAGTGCGAGCAAAGATACTGGTGGTTCCCATAACCTGTCGCAACTGCGAGTCCGACATCTGGTCGATGTCTTCCCCACGCAGGACCGATTTGACCATGCCGTTGGGACCTTGCCCGCTGGGAAGCAGCGGCATTCCGAGTTTTCGTCCGATTGCGGTGGCGGTAATCTCCGAGTCGCCGGTGATCATGATGACCTTGACGCTGCCGCGCATGAGCCGGCGGATCGCGTCTTCGACTCCCGGCCGCGGCGGGTCGTACATTCCCACCGAGCCGGTAAACGTCAATCCCGTGTAAGCCTCGTCGTTGTTTGTGTCATTCCTGGCGATTTTGGTTGTTCCCTTTGCGAATCCGAGGACTCGGAGACCCTCCTCGGCCATTGATTCGGCGGCTGCAAGTGCAGTACTCCGACGTGCATCGTCCAACACAACCTCCCGTCCATCTTTGGTCAGGTATGTATCACACTTGGAGAGAACTTGTTCCAATGCGCCCTTGATGTACACCGACGCAACACCAGAGTCCTGAGAATTGTCGCTTGCAACGACACCCATCCACTTCTTTGCCGAGGAGAAGGGTGTCTCCGTGATACGATGGAAGTGATCGCGAGCATCCTCTTCCGAGCCGAAAGCATCCATCATGTCCAATAGTGCTACGTCGGTGGGTTGGCCGACCCATCGAGAGTTGTTGCTGGAGGGGTCTTCGTTGATACCAATAGTGGAAGTCGCGGCAGTAGTCGCGCCGGAGAGTCTTGCGTTGTTGCACATATTGGCCGTGCGTATCAAAGCACGTACCGCCTGATCCGGCGCGCTGGAGGTGAGCGTTGACCGCTCGACGGGGCCTGGAAAGTCAAAGCTCCAAAGCTTTGTCACCGCCATGTGGTTCATGGTGAGCGTGCCGGTCTTGTCACTGCATACAACGGACACGCAGCCCAGAGTCTCAACGCTGGGGAGCTTCCTGACGATTCCGCCTCTCTTGACCATCCTTAGTACACCCAAAGCCAGCGTTACGGTGACGATGATAGGAAGACCTTCGGGGATAGCTGCAACAGCTAACGATACTCCAACCTGAAACATATCCATCCACGCGCGGCCTTGCCACAGTCCAATCAGAATGATCAACCCAATGACACCAAAACTAGCATAACTCAGGTCCTTCCCCAGCTTATCCATGGAGCTCTGCAGCGGGGTCCTCGGCGTCGAGATCTCCGCCAGCATTGCCGATATCGATCCAAACTCGGTCTTCTGTCCGGTAGCAATGACGATTCCCCGGCCATGCCCACTGCGAACTAGAGTTCCCATAAACGCGATGCAGGTGCGTTCCGCCACCGGAATCTCACCGAGTGTAGGGTTCATCGAACGCGGCGCAACAGCTTCCGTCGTCTTTCGCACAGGTTCAGCTTCTCCGGTAAGATTGGATTCGTCGATCTCGAGGTCGGCAGCGTGCGTTATCCGTAAATCGGCTGGGATGCGGTCGCCAGTAGCAAAGACAACTAAATCTCCGGGCACGAGCTGCCCCGCCATAACCACATGTGAGTGTGCTGTTCCTGACACTGCCGACAGGTCATCGTCGCCTGCCGATTGTCCTCGTAGAAGGTGTGCAAAGTGTGGCACGAGCTTATTTAACGCCTCCAAGCTCTTCTCCGACCGGTACTCCTGCACGAACCCCACCGTAACGACGATGAGCACCGCGACCGCTATACTAACCGCGTCGTCATAGTTTTTCATTAAGAACGAGACCACCGCACTGCCGAGTAGGAGGAGGATCAATGGCGACTCGACGAATTGCTTGAAGAACCGCACGTAGATCGAGTCCTGTTCCGGCTGGGGTAGTTCATTGGAGCCGTGTAATGCCCGTCGGTCTTGGACTTCGCGTGAGGACGAGATGCCGTGGGTTAAGCTGGTTTCCAATCGCGAGGCGGTCTCATTGGGGGAGAGTGTAGCGAAGACGGCGGAGGGAGGCTATGGCGATCGCACGAACTCCGTAAGTAAGGGTTTCATCGCAAGCGGGATCGAAGGGCATACAGCGGCGATGAACGCACTACTGGAGCTGGCCACGGATGCTGATCCAACAAAGGGGGAGGAAGAGGAGGAAGGGCCAAGGTTGCGTAACGGAGTGCCGCCGCGAGGAGTGTGTACCCTCGACATGATGGGAACCGATCCACCAAGATACGAGAACCAGACAAAAAGAGCTGATTACCGGCAAAGGAATGACTGCAATCAGTGCATGTAGGACTGGAAACGTTTGGAATGTCGTTCGTAGGAGGCGAGGAATCCTTTGCTGTGGACGTGAGGCGAGGTCGTCGTTGGTATGGGGACTTTTGGGCTTTGCTGGCCTCCAGCAGTTAAGTGGAAAAAGCAATAAAAAGGAGAGTGGAGCAAAGCTATCGGACGGATTAGTCACGAGTGCTACTGCTGCTATTGAGTACTTGAATAAGTACTTCTTGGGACTTCTGTTCTGGCTATGCGATGAGCTGGCAGATGAGGTTCTGCCGAAGTACGTACTTTATATTTCGTCAGCTCTGTCGGTTTTCAGGAGACTCTTTGGATGAGCTGAGATCCCGAATCTTCATTTCCGAGGGGTTCGGGAATCGGAGTTCTCGAATGCTTACGACGACGTTCCTACGTTGAACCCAGTCTTCAGGAACAAAACCTGGCGGCTGATTGCAAGCGGGATAGTGCCATCGGAAGGGCGGAGGAGACGCACAAAGGCCACCGAGATGATCGGATAGCAGAGACGTGTCGTGTTGATAAGATGGCAATATGGCTTGGCATAGGTAGCTGGCTCACAAACAATCAGATATGATCCACCAGCAGCATCTTATCTTATCAGGGTGCATATCACGTGCTCTGTCCGAGTCATTCATTCTTTATCCCAACCTCCCGACTTTTCGTAGTGAACCGCGGAAGCAAGAGAAAAGAGGAGTCGCGACAAAACAACGGAAACTGTAAAGCCGAAGCCACTCCTCTGCTGTACACCTGGACCCTCTACTGCCATTAGTATTTTCACCACCATCGTGTTTACATCATCGTCTCCACCTTCTTTGGCTCGTCCGGTGGTCCGTTTTTGTCCGCTTTCATAAGATTCCTGTCGGGGCAACGCGGCGATACCTCCGTCGCTGGTCACTCGCTCTTCCGTTGCGTTGTTGCCAGCCAAAAACCAAACCAAACCCAACCCCCCTCCCCATCGGCATCACTCCGGCCATCGCCCACATTCCAATTCCCCCTGCAGCAAAGCAACGCAACGCAAGCCCAGCACCACCACTACCATAACCACCATCACCGCTCTACGTACTTTACATACCATCAATAAAACAACGCGCTTCCTCCCTGCCAACCCCAACCCCCCACCTCACCTCCCCTCCACCACTACTACAAAAACCAACAGGTTCATAATCGTCAGCGAAAAAACCATCGTTCTTCGCACAGTATTTGCTAGAAAACAGCTCGCTTCCACACTGACGCGTCGGTCGCGACAGCGCAGCAGCAGCAGCAGCAGTAGCAGCCATGTTCTATTCGGAGACCCTTCTCTCGAAGACGGGTCCGCTCGCGCGAGTATGGCTCAGTGCTAACCTCGAGCGCAAGCTCTCGAAAACTCATATCCTTCAATCAAATATTGAAACCTCGGTCGGCGCAATTGTCGGGCAGGACCAGGCACCGATGGCACTGCGGTTGAGTGGCCAGCTGCTGCTCGGTGTCGTCAGAATTTACTCCCGCAAAGCGCGTTATCTGCTGGAGGACTGCAATGAGGCTCTAATGAAGATTAAGATGGTCGGTCAACCCTCACTCGCACGGATGATATACAGCAGACGTTTAACGACTGATTTCATCAGGCTTTCCGTCCAGGAAATGTGGATCTTCCGGCCGGTGCCATCTCGCATACCTCCGCCCAATTGACCCTTCCCGACGTTATTACCGAGCTCGATCTGCTTCTTCCCGATCCGACTCTCGACCTCGGCGGACTGGGCAATCTCCCATTGCGGTCGGGACACCAGAAGCGCAATGTGGATATCACACTGGATCCCGATTCCTTTGTGAGCTCGCTCGAACAGCCCCGCGGTTATGACCACGACGACGGTCTACAATTGGAGGATGAGATTTTGGACATCGATATCGGAGAGGACCGCGACATGTCGATGGGCGGGCTGGAGGATCTGATCATGGGCTCCGATTCTTTGGAAATCGGCAGAGACGCGCCTCTTGGCCGCGACCTCGACGGCGACCTTTTCGACGAGTCTCGTTTGAGCTTGGACCTTGGAGACCTGACACCCAAGGCGAATCGTGAATCCACGCCCGTTTTTGGGTTCGACGATGGTGGTTTGGATTTGGGTCTGGATGACGACAATACCGGTTTTGCTCGCGGCATGGACATCGATCTGGATTCCGACCTGACGATCCAACCTCTCCCGGATCACGAAGCTACACCTCTACCTGAGGCTCCGGCCTCAGTGGTAGCCGCCGAGGAAGCCGGCCGCGAACGCACCGCATCGGTCGCGCCAGCCGTCGTCGATGCCCCCACCCCCGTTGAGCACGTCAACGAGGAGGCTGAGATGACCACCCTCCCCGAGGAGCTGGAAGTACCTCAAGGCGAAGCCGGAGACAACACCTTCAACCTGAACCGGGAGAGCGAGGATGTCGAGTCAGTACATGCTGCTCACCAGCAGCAGTCTCGCAAGCGTAGCAGGGTTGTTGTTGACGCGGTCACCGAAATCAAAGCCAAGGTCATCAGAGCGCAACAGGCTGATCGCAGTCGTCTGATGAAGGAGCCCAGCTACCTGCCTCGCGACCCCGCCGTTCTTTCTCTCATGAGTTTGACCAAGAGTGGAGGTCTAGCTCGCTCCATCTTCTATCCCAGAAACATTGCTCCAGAGTTGGCGAGCCTGCTTGCACCTGACTTCGTCAAGCGCATGGCGGAAAAGAAGCGCAAGCGCGATGCTGCACAGTCGATTGAGGAGGAGGGTGAGGAGACAAGGCCCAGCCCGTCCAAGCAAGCTAGGCTTGAGATCGAGGAGGAGGAGGAGGAGGAGCACATTGAACGACATTCCGCAGCTCCCGAAGAGGAGGAGGAAGAGGTGGTTATGGAAGAAATGATGGAGCTTCCCGAAGACAGCCATGCTTCGCCAATGCCGTTCATGGGCGAGCAAGTGTGCTTTGATGATCTGCACCAGGGCCGCGGTGGTATGATTGTCTCTTACATTACGTTTCATTTCGTTGCTAATATTCGCAGGGTCTACTTCACCACAACCCGACATTATTCCTCAAGGCGATGTCAGCCAAGAAGAACAGGAGGCCATGGGCGAGCCCATGCTGGAGCAGGACATGCCTTCCGTACCACAGGTCGTGTCCCGTGAAACTCGACATGCCGTGCATGTTCTTCGTGAGCAGTTTGAGGCGAATCCGAAGAAGACGGTTGTCTTCCAGGAGCTCCTCCCCGCGCAGACGACAACCAAGATGGATGCAACCAAGATGTTCTTCGAAGTCCTGGTCCTCGCCACCAAGGACGCTATCAAGGTCAAGCAGTCAAAGGGATTCGGACAGATCGATATCCAGCAGAAGAAAGCCTTGTGGGGCGCCTGGGCAGAGGAGAAGGATGAGCAAGAGATTGCCGAAGAGGAGGAGAGGGCTCGCGATGCGGAGAAGGAAGCCGGCCGATCAATGATCATCGTAGGCACGGGCCGAACTGTTGGAGAAGCTACTGCTGCAGCCTGAGAAATCCATCCACTCGTCGACTCGACTGGCTTTGGGTTGTGTGTGCGGTTGGATCGGGGACTTGGAGTTAGAGGAGTTCTTCTATTTTGGGTCGGGATATCGTCCACGTTTCTTGGTTTTTTATTCCTTTGTTTATTACGGCCTTGTGACGGAGCCCAGTCGGGTTCAGCCGGGGCGGGGAAGTGGGATAATTCCTAAACAATACCCTCCAGATATCCTGTTTAATTGGAGTTCTAAGTTTGTGCACACGACGTTCGCCTGCTTTGGCGGACGGGAAGGCCCGCATGTCTCCTGTTTAAAAAGTTCACCTTTTCTGTACAATAGGTGGCGGGTTCTGGACCTTTTTTTTGTGTTTGTTTTTGGACCTTTCTCATGGACTTTTCTTTTTTTATTTGGCACTGGTTTTGGGGGTTTGTCCCGCGTGTCTCGCACTTTTTTTTCTTCCTTGTCGAATGTTTGCTGGCTTTCCTCGTTGTTTGCTCTTTAAGATTTCAAATACCAAACGTTTCTGCCACGGCCTCTTACTTCTTCGTTTTCCTCACAAGAGATCTTGCCGAACAAAGAAGTGTCTCACTTTTACAATCAACTCTCTGGCACGTGAAAACCGTTCTGAGCTCGCTTATCTGACGGGAACGGGAAGCAAATCGGACGGTAGGTAGATATGGGCTGGGAAGGAAGTCAAATACCAGCAGCAGAACGAGCATGTGTGTGTGTCGTAAGGATGTGACGTGATTTGAATGATGTGATCTGATTGACGGGGCGGAGAGAGGAAGGGAAGGGAAGGAACGAGAGGCAAGGGAAGTGTTGTTGCTGGGGAGGCTTGCTGCATGGGCTAGGCTGGCTGGCATGGCACAGCTGGAACTCCTCACGAGGGTTTCCTGTTTTTTTTTTCCTCTTCACTTCCGTCGATGGGATTGGTCGACTAGCGATTGATTGGGTCTCACCGTGATCCGAATGCGTTTTCGAACAGCGAATTGATTTACACATAGATACTCCTCCCACTAGTCGATTAGTTACAGTGCGAGCTGGTCCCTCATTGCTTACATACTTCTAGACCACTTGCTTGGTTATTCAGTCTCTTCAGATATCGGAACCGAATAGGAAAAAGTCATGGAACTCTCACTCCAAAGTCGGATCAGCCAGAACATTCCATTTTGGGTAATTAGATCGAGAAGGCAGGAAGGGATGACGGGAAGAAGAAGGGAAGAAGAGAAGAAGAAGAAGAGAAGAAGAAGAAGAGAAGAAGAAGAAGAGAAGAAGAATCCCAACGGCCAACAGGCTATCTCCGCTAGTTTATGCTTTTGTCTAGTCCCCTCCCCTCCCCCCCCGCCCCCACCCACCAACAACCCAACCAACACCACCAAAACCCCCCAGCCCTGCCCTGTCTATCGCCTCCTCTCTTTTTCGACATATCACGAATCACGATCCACTCACAACCCTACACCCTCTAATAACACCGCCCTCTGCGCTTGAATCGGCTTCCTCGGCTTCAATCACACTTCGGTGGTTTAATCTGCTTCCCCAGTCGCCCACTTCCACGCTGTCGTTCCTTAATTGCTCCCTGACCCCTCTTCTCCGCTCCATTCGGCCAACCAGAATCCGATCCCCCGCCCCCAACCTCACCACCAGACTCATCCACCCCGCTCCCTGCTGCGCCGATATATCGTCTTCAAGCCCCGCCTTGAGGGGCTCCTCTGGCACAGCGTCGGTCATGAACGGTGTACGCGAGACCAGGCCCGACAGGCCTACTCTGAACGCCCTGGAAACCGACCAAGTCGATACCCCTCTAGCCTCCCCCGACACCGAATCCCAGAAATGCTGCAGCGACTCATACCACAGTAACTCGGATACTTCATCGCCGTCGTCGACGACTACCCCGCCTCTGAACCCATATCGACGCACTGTCCGCACCACGATACAGAAGGTCAACTCGAACTTGATCACCTTCACGCCGGCGTCGACGAAACCGGGAGAGCACCCATACGAGGATCCTACGATTACAATCTCTTCCGATGAGACACGGAGTGCTCTGGAGGCGGCGGCGGCGCTGCTCAGGAATGGGCAGTGCGTGGCATTCCCCACCGAAACAGTCTACGGTCTCGGCGCGGATGCTACCTGCAACACCGCCGTGCGATCGATCTATTCCGCCAAGTCCCGGCCCGCAGATAACCCGCTGATCGTTCACATTGCGTCTTTGAAACAGCTGCGCAGGCTATTACCCCGCCCATTCTCCCCCGCCCGCTTGCCGCTGCCAATGGTCACGCCTGAAGAAGAACCGATCGAGGAGGAAACAATCCCAGCAGTATATCTACCGCTGATCGAAAAGTTTTGGCCAGGTCCTCTTACCATCTTACTGCCCTTGCCGATCCCCAGCCCTCTCAGCCCTTATGTTACCTCCACCCAACCAACTTTTGCCGCGCGTATGCCCCGCCACCCCATCGCGCTTGCGCTTGCGGCGATCTCCGACCTGCCACTCGCCGCACCTTCCGCAAATGCCAGCGGGAGACCCTCCCCAACTACTGCGCAACACGTTTACACAGATTTGAACGGAAAAATCCCCCTGATCATCGACGGTGGTTCAGCGGATGTGGGACTCGAATCGACAGTCGTCGATGGACTCCACGATCCCCCCGTAGTGCTACGCCCCGGCGGTATCAGTGCAGAGGAGCTCCGCGCATGCGGTGGCATCTGGGAGAAGGTGGTGGTCGCAAAACGGGATGCCGACGACGGCGACACGGCACCGCGCGCTCCGGGGATGAAGTACAAGCACTACTCACCTCGCGCGGGCGTAGTCCTCTACGACGTTGGAGCGAACCCGCCCGCCGGCCGCGACATCTTCAGCTCGGCGCGGTACGTCTGCCGCGTCGGCATCGTTCGCACACGCACGTGGAAAGAGGGCTTCGCACAGGCGGAGGTGAAGGCCTACTGCCAGAAGCACGGCCCACTGCAGATCGAAATCTTCGAGCGGAATCTCGGCAGCGACGGGAAGGATATCGGACGAGGCCTGTTCGCTGTGCTCAGAGAGCTCGACGAGATCGGCGTCGATGTCATCCATGTCGAGGGCATCGAGGAGACGGAGGAGGGCCTGGCTGTCATGAACCGCCTTGGCAAGGCCGCTAGTGTCGTCGTTAGAAAGGTTTCGCGGTAGGGGCGGGGTGGTGGCGGGCGGCGAGTGGGAGGCCGGGAGGGCCGTGTACACGGTGCGGACGGGCGGGCGGGCGACAATGTGACGATTGATGGATGCTCTTGTAGCTATGGACTTGGACGATTTGCTCCTCGATTTTTTCTTATCGTTTTATCACCGGTCTACTTCTTCTTCTTCTTCTTCCTCCTCCTCTTGTTCTTATTTCCCCTCCGATTATCATGAGGACTTTCATGGGGTGGTGCTGGGCTGGGTATCTGCTGTTGTTGTAGGGCGCGCGTCTGGGGTGTGCTGTGGTGGGGTGGTGGTGGGGTGGAATAGAGAAAATGCGGGGATGATAGTGGGGCTGGGGCTTGGGCTGGTGGGATTTCTCCGTCTGATCCTGACCTGATCCTGATCCTGATCGTTTGTTTGACTTGTCGATTGGGGGTGTATTTTGGATTTCTTTTTTTTTGCCTTTTTATTATTCTTCTCTTTTCCCATTTCTGCTGTTTTGTTTTTTGTTTTATGGAGTTGTTGGTGGTTGGTTTCTTCTTCGCATTTTGGATTTTTTTTTGTGGTTGACTACGACGCGGACTCGGACTCGGACTCGGACTGCTGCTGGACTGTCTGTGAGGAGTGAGTGAGTGGTGAGTGGTGTAGATGCATACATACTACTATATTGTGTTTCAAGCCCATGATTGAAGGACGGACGGTGCATTGAGTGTGCAGTGTGCAGTGAATTGCACCAACAGGTTGGAAAGACAGTAGACTCCCCATAATGCTCCTAACTATGGTACAAGATGAAAAAAAAATGGAAGGTACGATACAGCGTAAAACCGCTCAATGGGTACATCCCGAGCCCTCGCTCTCACTGCCCTCCTCCTCGGTCTCGACCTTCTTCCTCCTCCCCCTCCACTGCGCCGGCTTCCTCTCCTTCTTGCCAGCCTTCATCTCGACCACCTTCGCCACGCGCTCCCTCTCGCTGCGTCCCAGCTCCTGCAGCTCCTCGACCAACGCCTTGAACTCGGCCTCCTCGCCCGTCATGCCCACCAGGCTCTCGAGCAGCTTAATCTCCTTGGCCCAGACCCCCGGATCCTCGCCGTTCGGCGTCTCGAGCACCATGGGCAGTCCGTGCAGCCTCGCATCGTTAACGATGAGCCGGAACGCCTCGAGCCCCAGGAATCCGTGGCCAATGTTGCAGTGCAGATCCTTCTTGCTGCCCAGCGGGCCCTTGGAGTCGTTCAGGTGCAGCGCGCACAGGTACTGGCGGCCGACGATGTCGTCGAAGTTCTTCATGACCTGGTCGTAGCCCGCGGGCGTGCTGATATCGTGCCCGGCGGCGAACAGGTGGCACGTGTCGAGGCACACGCCGACGCGGCTCTTGTCCGTGACCCCCGCGATGATGTCGCGGAGATCCTCAAAGCTGCTGCCGACGACGTTACCGGCCCCAACCATGTTCTCCACCACCGTCTTGACCATCGTCGTGCCCTTGTGCGCCCTATTGAGGGCGGCGGCGATCCTGCCCAGCGCCTCATCCCTTGGCTCGCCGAGCGTGCTGCCAGGATGGAAGTTGTACAAGCCGATGCCGAGGGTCTCGCAGCGCTGCAGGTCGTCCAGGAAGCACACGTACGCCTGCTCGGCCTTGACGGCGTCGTGCTGCGCAAGGTTGATCAGGTAGCTGCCGTGCGGCAAGATCTGCGTGGCGGGGTTGTAGTTGTGTTCTATGCAGGCGGCGCGGAAGAGGCTGGCGTTGGTCGCCGACAGCGCGGGCGACGCCCACTTGCGCTGCGACTTCAGGAACAGCGCCAGTGAGTTGCCGCCGATAGAGAGGGAGTTCGTGATCGCGTTTTGGACGCCCTTGGCGGCGCTGACGTGCGCGCCGATCAGCAGTCGCGGGTTGAGCAGGCGGGTCGCGAGCATCTCGTTGGCGTTGACTTTGGCTTTCGATGGGGGTGCGCGTGTCTTCGTCTTCGTGGCCGAGGCCGTAGTCGTGGGAGTCGGCTTGGTCGTGGGCTTGGTCGCGGTCTTCGTGGTGGTGGTCGCGGCGGCAGACGTAGTTTTTCGTTTTTTCGCCGTGGCGGTCGCGGCGATCACCGCTGGCTTGACGTCATCCTCGTCGGCGTCGGCGTCCGCATCCTCATCCTCATCCTCATCCTCGTCCTCGTCCGCCGGCTTACGCTTTCTCCTGCCCGCCTCCTTCGGCTTTGCGATTGCCTTTGGCTTCGCCTTCACCTTCACCTTCACCTTTGCCTTTGCCTTTGCCTTTGCCTTTGCCTTCGCTGGCTTCTCGTCCGCCGACTCGTCGCCGTCAGAGTCGTGCGAGGACTCCTGGTACACCACTGCTTTGCGCGTGCGCCGGGTCGTCGTCGCGGTCGAGGTGGAGGTGCGAACGGCGACTACGGCCGCGTGCGGAGGGGGCGTCGACATGCTGGATTAACGGCGGGAGTAGATGGTGGAAGGGCGGGAGGGCGGAAGGCGGGGTGGGGGGACGCGTGAGTTGTCTGTCTATCGCTTGTGGGTTATGGGTTAAGGGCAGAAAGGGGGCGGACGGGGATGGGGTGGGTGTGGAGGTGGAGGTAGGTCCAGGTGCGGGCGGGTGCGTCCCATAGCGGCACTAGATACTTGCTCGTGATGTGGAGTGATTTAACTTGAAAAATGCATAGCTTGCACGGATGGGGAGTGCTCGAACGTTGACGGCGGTGTCTCAACGCGCGTTGCTTGGCCCCTCCATACATACCCAACAGAATAGGATCACTACGTCATTGCCATTGAAGTCTCGCACCCATGCAGTTATACACACAACTCGGATATTGTCTCGTCTCTTGATGAATTTCATTACATGTATTTACCAACATTAACTCATGTTACAGACTCGCAATCATCCGCCATTACTCGCATACATTATACACATTTACCAGCCAGGCCAGTAAGTGAAGTTCCCACTGTTCTCCGGCCCGTCCCAGACCAGTTCGGCGGAGGAGTTGGCTGGTCTCTGCGGGAAAGCATTCCTGAGCTGATCATAAGCAACGATATCGGACCAAGCCGCGCCATTGCCCCAGACAGCGACTCTCTGCGCATCCTCCTTCGAGGGGTAAGCACGAGTAGTCAGCGAGAAGCGGTCGTTGGCGAAGATCTCGATCAGCGAGCCGTCCACGAACACGTCGAGTGTGATCCCCTCGCGCTTTCCGCCTGCAAGGAGCGGCGCGAAGTAGTGGCCGTAGGCGGTGGTGTTGCCGAATTCGGCGATCAGCGAGGACTTGGTGCGGTCGACGGAGATGGTGTGTGCGCTGGGATCGTAGATGATGCGGGTCTCCTCGCCGGAGGTGGGCGAGGAGAGGATGGTGAGACCCGCGGGGGCGGAGGTGGAGAGCGTCACGTGCAGATGGAAGTGGGCGGAGCGCAGGGGGAGGTACGCGGTGCCGTTGGTGATGGCGGGGTGGAAGCGCTGCGGCTTGCATCCGCGCTGGAGACCGGCGACGACATCGGGGAGGGGGCGGACTCCGAGAGTTCGCGCGGTGAACGTGCCGTTGGCGTGCTGGGAGAGGTAGCTGTCGGATTTGGCGGCGATGGGGTTTCCGGGCTCCGAGATAATGTTGTGGGTCTCCTTTACGAAGACTTCACGTGGGAGACCTAAAGCACCCTGGAAGCCTTGGGCTCGGACACCGTAGTTGCCCATGTCTGCTGGGAGTTAGCGGGAGTGTGGACAGAGAAGTTGAAGAGTGGTGAGATAGTTACCTTCTTCGGACCAACCCCACTGCACGCGGCGGTCGTTCTTGGTGTCGTTGAAGGCGGTCAAGGCGTAGAGGTTACCCCAGTCGGCAACGCCGGAGGAGAGGACGTCGAACTCGGCAGAACCGTTTTGGCGGCGGGTGACCTGGCCCTCGCTCCAGAGGGACCAGCGGCCGTGGCTGGGGATGCTGCCTCCCTCGGCACCCATCGTGACGTAGTAGTGGGCCTTGCCAGTGCTGTCCTTCAGGGAAAAGAAGTTGGAGACTTCGAAGTTGAAGCTGTTGTCCGAGTTAGCCGGTATTCGTGGTATTGCTGGGGGTTACCAAGCACACGGAGGTAAGTGGTTACATACCCGAAAGATCCAGTAACCTCAATATCCCCGAACGTCTCGTTCATGTTCGGCTCCCAGAGAGCACCCAGGAATGTCCACTTGGTGAGATCATTCTTCTTTGCCGAGTACAGCGGGATGCGAGGGCCAACGTCCTTGATTCCCGATCCCATGACCATGTAGAAGTGATCCTCCTCCTGTCCGAGCAGCGCATCCATTTCGGGCCACGCCTCAAAGAACGGATCCCTCAGACCGGTGATATTCCAGCCCTCGGGGTGTCCCTCGATGACGGGGTTTCCCTCGTACTTCTGCCACGTCTTTCCGCCATCCACCGAAGTGGCCAAACTCTGGCTCTCGGTTCCGGGAATGTACGGCAGCCTCCAGTTCGTGGGGAGGGCACGGATCGAAGTGTAGAAGGCGAGGAGTGTGCCATCGTTTCCACCGGTGATGTTGACCGGCTGGATGGTACCGGTAAATACGGACAGCTCGTCGTACTCACCTGGGCCGGGAGCGAGAGAGGTGGCCGCGTCTCCGCGCCAGTCGTGCATGTCCGTCCAAGTCACCAAGTCCTTGGATACGGCGTGGCCCCACGAAATGTTACCCCATTGCACGTGGTGAGGGTGCCATTGGTACATCAAGTGGTAGAGGTCACGGCTGGGATCGTAAACAGCTCCGCAGGGGTCCTGTCGATTGCATCAGCATCAGCACCGATCCGTCACCGAAGAGGCAGCTTGAGGGGGGTGCAAACATTCATCCAGCCGGCAGGAGCGAGGAAATGGTACTGGGGACGCCATCGGTTGAAGAGAGTGTTGTTCCCGAAGGAGTTCAAGTCCGCGGTGGGATCGATATCCTGAGCTCCGACGAGCAGGGCGGCCGAGATGAGACCTAGGAAGGAAGAGATATGCATGTTGGCGACGGACGAAGCTCAAGAGCGCTCTGAAGACGGTGTGATATCATTGCGAGTGTGGGGCGATCTGATTGATATACGGATGGGTTGGGGGCTGGGGGCTGGTCGTTGGCGGTATCTCCACTACCGAGTGTTCTCCGCACTGGGGCAGGAGGGGAGCCCCGGGACATGGCCGAGCAGATGCACCTCCCTGTCGTCATGATAGTTCCATCCACCATGCAGATATCCGGGGCGGGTCTTGGCTGGCCATAAATTCCCTCCTTCGGACCGAAGCAGAGATGGTGGTGGAGAAGAGGCGTAAACTGCGGGCCACTGAGACGCGTTATACTCGGTACGTCATAGCGTGCCATTGGGATCTTGCGTAACCGGTCTGCTCTCCGCATTTTTTTATTGTTTTTTCTCCTCGATCGGTTGAACGCCTCTGCACCAATTCGGGGAAGACCCAAATGCCACGGCACTTCCCGGTGCTAACACTCGGGAAAAGCTCGCGTGGACTTCTGGGGAAAATCCGCAGGCCACACAAGGTTTTGACGATGCACTCAACGCAATTGGGAAGCCGCTACAGTGTGTGGTACGAACACCGTGCCACACTTCGAGTGGCATCCCCCACTCCCCTCCCCAGGATCCCCCCAACTCCACCGTGGACCATCCATCTTTGGTTTTGGCTTTTGCCACTGGCTCCGGCAGAAATGCCGTTGAGGTCGTGAACGGTGAAAGGCGAACCGTGCTTCTGCGGAAATAGCGTCCCGGCTAGACAAAGATGGAAGTGCAGTGTGCACAGCAGTTGTCAGAGAGAAAAACCGGGAACAGTGAGGCTTTGCAACTGGGAGTTTTGCTTTTGGTATCGATGTCAGCATCAATCATTGGATATCACTCTTAGAGTTGTCGTCGGAGAGCCGATGAGATTCCCGAAACTTATCGCTCGAAAGCGATCGGCCCGAGCAAGTCTTTTGACGGCCATTCATAGTCCCGAAACTGAGCCCCGCAGGTTTACAACGGCATAGGCAGCTGGCCTATATATCTCTCTGGACGGGCTAGGACATATACCAAGACGGATTTTGTCTCTGGTGGGTCTGGTAAGGCTTAGGGAGGGGCCTGGAACGGTCATATGTACTAATAGTACCATTCACTTTTTGTTCTGAGCACTCTGCCTCTCGTCCGACCCGAGGAGTAAAAGTCCGATGGTTCGTCGAATATCTACCGTATGTCCTCTAAAACGGGAGGTTGCAAAGCATGGCGAGAAGGAACTGATTGAAGTATGCACCTAGATATATCCGCAGCCGTTCAGGATCAACAATGTCAATCTTTCTGGCCGTATATATGTAGAGTACCTACAGCGATCAGAGGATCCCGACACGATTGCGGCCGTCTCTCCCCTGCCGATCGGCGGGAAGTGGCACCTGCTTCCCCGCTCTTGCTTCCCCGCTTCTGGGACATGGACTGCATTCCGGGTGAACAAACGTACCGATAGTTATGCCCATGTCTCTACCACATATAACTCTGTATCCACATCCGTTGTTTCGGTGAGAACATTCCCCTCAGTGCACTAACCAATCCGTGCCAACAGTACGGTACCGGTAGGTACTCTACTCTATATGTACTCTACTCACAGTCACACCCTTTCTGGCCACCCCGCGGGAACCGCCTGGCCATTTTTCTCATGAGACGCGGGTGCCGCAGCTGGCGGTAGAAAGCTCCGGAAGGTATACTCGCCACTATTCTAGCACTAGGTATCACACCGCTCTCGATCCGAATCAGTGGGAATCGTTCTACGAAGGCTCCGGATGCCGTACGTACTTCTACGTGCGAGTTACGACTCCCCGAGTACCGATATCTACATAGTTAGGTATGCCTATGGAGCGGCATCAACACAAGTCCACACATAATACTATACATACTTCATACCATCTACGAATCCTCCGCTCTGTCCGAACTTCAGTTCCGTTCGCTGCGGTGAAATAATGTTCCGACACCTACATACGGAACGGATAACCAAGTAACTAAGGACCAGGTTCTCGGCGCAGACCACCGAACTACTAGCTATATAGTACCTAGTACATAGTCACTTGAATACCCTTCTTCGGGGGTTAATTGACCAGCCGTCATCACTCCACTGTGCAGGGTATCCACATAACGTGGACCACGCGAGTCAAGTGGAAGCTAGCGACCCAGCCTCTTCGAAAGTTATTCCCCGCGGTCTCCCCGGACTTTACATATGGCCGTTCTGTGGGGTTATGTACGAGTACGGCTCGGACATCGGGCCGATGTTTTTCCCCCACATTCAGTCGGATTCGGATCTCTACATGGAGTACGTACTCCTCGTATCGCGATACCGGTATCAAGTACTCTATGCACTGTAGACTTGCATGCGTACATTAGTAAAGTATGAATGGCTCCTCTTTTTGTTTATTTGATTAAGTATTTATTGCTTGCGACCTAGGCAGGTAGAGTATCCCGGATTATGGTAATACCGTATACACATGTCGTTTGCATGTTCACAGTCCACTCGATCTCGATCAAGAATTGCTCGTATTTTGTTTCTGGTGGATCCATCATTGCATTCGACCATATTGCCTGTTCCTCCCCAAGCCTCCGACCGCTGGCCGTGAGCTCTCCGCCCAGCCCTGAGCCCTCTCCCGTTGCTCGTACCAAGGAAGTCACATGTCGAGTACCGTAGACGAAGGAAATGAAATGACAACGGCTCGTCCCCGTCCTTCCTGAGGTTTCCACCACGTTTTATTGCACCTCCCGTCCCGCCCAGCCTCCTGTCGACTCTACCAGGAAGCCCAGGAAGCCCAGTAGAGTACTTCACCCCTACCGCGCTCGTGTGTTCCATGTCCACTTTCTTCCTTCCTTGACGTCATTTGTCTCTTTTTCTCCGCACTTGCTGGCCCTCACATTGTCCCAGTCCAGATGTAGTATGATGTATTTGTCGAGCCTGACGAGCGGTTGAACAGACCCGGTGGCGTGAGGAACCACTCCTCCTACATACCCTCCAAGGACCGCTCCTCGGGGCCCGAAGCCCCGGAGCACCAACCCCGGGACGAGTGATAGTGGAAGCATCTCGTTGCTCGGTCCCTGTGGTCCGTTCTACGGGCCCGCCCGCTCCACAACTGTTCGCGCCCAGGCCTGCCTGGGAGCTCTATGGACCAGACTGAACTCCTAGTATATGCTCGCCTAGCCCTAGGCCAGTTGCCACAGTGAACTACATATGTACAACTAGACGCTGCGAGTAACAGACCACAAATTTGCTGCAGCACTCGTCTGCGAGGAGCCCGGCCATGCTCCAGCGGCGCCGCTCTCGTCCCGTATCTTTCCTCACTCGCGCCCATAAGCCCGCTTGCTGCTCTCCCATCAGGAGCGGTTCTTATATAGGTGCTCCAGGGTTTGCCTGGCCCGACTGCACCAGCAGCACTGGCCCTCCACTCGCTGTTTGAGCAAGTGATGTGGCAATATGCTGTTTGTGTGCTACCTATAGGTATGCGCGAGTGGGATTCCGTGATGCCGCTCCACCATCAACGGACAAGCATAAATACTTCGCACGGGTCGACGCGGCCTCCCATCGACCTTCGCGTGCCGAAGCTTCTTCTTATGAGCGTGGCCAACTCGAAAGCAGGCGGTGCCTTGGTAGTACTACATGAAGACCACAGATAGTCTAGGGGAGAATGTTCCAGTCACATGGACGGGAGGGGGGGGGGACTTCGAGATGACAGGCCAAACCGAGCATCTCCAGCGGACTCGAAAAGGGTGGCCGTTTGTATGAGCGGGCGGCGGTCATATGTGATTTTTCGTGACGCGGATTTTGCTCCGCTGGCTGTTTACCTTTAAAGTTTCCTCTTAGACTCTTAGAGGCGGGAAGCTGCTCCTATATACTCTATTTTACGTCTCGAATTTCCCTCTTCGAGTCGAGGACGGCGTGGTGTGTTCGGCAAATCTGGGTTTGCGGCGGAGAATCTTTTCCAGCATCTGAGGAGCGCCGAGCGCTGTAATTTTCGGACACCCTCACTTCATTGGAACTTTATATTGTAGATAACCTCTCCTTGCCACATGGGTCACTCCAAAAAACCCGCTTCCCCTCGGAGCACATGCAACAAACGAGCGAGCGAGCATTTCAGTCCACAACCGGAGGACTACGCGAGTCCTACCGGTACTTGATCTACTATCATGGGGGGCCATGATGATCTGGCGGAAGCGGAGAATCAGTAGGTAAGAGACGACTTTGCAGTGATAGGTGCCCGTCAAACACGTGGTTCACTGAAGAAGCATGACGTGCTCGCGATGTGTCCTCAGTTCGCCCCAGAGTCGAGCACGGCTTGGAAGGTTTGGCCAACGCGATGCCCTAAGTTCCAACTATTACCCGGTGCGTATGATGTCCCCGCGAGCCGAGGGCGGTGAGCGGCTTGTTTGATAAATCGTGACGATGGGGTTGATGATGGGTGAACGATTGATTGTTGATGATGATCTTGGTCTCGGTACAGATGGTAGGTCAACAAGAGTCCTCCGTCCCGCTCCTCGTGCCTCGTCCCCCACCACTAGCCACCAACCGTTGACTAACAAATGTAACGCTCCACAGCTGAGGAGTGGCAAATGCCATTAGTAAAGGGACCGCGGCGTGGCCATACCGATATACTTCCAGACGCTATTCAAAGTTCCGGGCTATGTAGTGTACTATTATCAAGGGGGATGTGGGGTTGATGCTTGAGGTTAATAGTATTCAACAAGAGCTTGGACTACCTACCGCACGTGGAAACTATAACGTTGAGAAGTCGAGTGGAAAGGTTTGTATTTAGGTACGTGGGGATGGGAGGAACGGTGGTTTGGCTCATTACTTAGTTGGCTGTGCGGGTTAGGCATGTGAGATGGCGAAGGGAATCATCGACTGCTTCTTCCTCTGCTTGCTTATTGAGCTCTTACATACCGGTATTCCAATGCTGGTTTTGCTGAGGCGTTGGTGCCATCGTGTGGTGCCATCGTAGATATCACTCGTACGGGGTGCTCTCACCCGAGGACCACCATACCGCATATCAAGTGATAATACTGTAGGGAGGGCTGAGCGGAGAGCAAAAGGGAACCGGTATCGAGCTCGTGGCCAGCGGTCGGTGACAGCCGGGCGGAAGCGGACATGTAATTCTGCCATGATCTACACTAAGGTCGAATACAATCATGATTCAACAAAAAAAAGAACAAAGTGATAATACTGCAATGCTAAATGCAAAAAGAAAAAGAGCAAAGAAAAAGTTCATGTTGCAACCGTAGCCCCCAACCATCTCTGGTGCTCACTCGCTTCCCGTCGAGTGCCATACCCTATGAAGCATTTGCCCATATCAAGATGGTGACAATATGTCAGAAAACCCCGCGCAAACATCGAAAGCACAACAATCCACCCATCTTATCTCAACTGTCCATCTCAGATGTCCATATGCATCGCCCATACCACTTCTACCTCTTCCTCTGAGGCGGCAACGCAAGGGGATTCGCCTTCTTAGGCTTCATGAAGGGTTCAGCCGCCTTCTTGCCGGGCAGCACCTTCAACCTCGGGCCACCGACGATGGGTCCCCTCTTTTCCTGGGCCTTCTTCCACTTATCCTCCATCTTCAGCCTCTTCTCCTCATCATCTTCGTCGTCCTCTTCGTCGACCACCTCCGCCTTCCTCTTCAGATCCTTCGACGACGCGGAAGCGCCGCTGGCGCGACCGTTGCTCCTGCTAACCTCTGCCATCTTCTTGACCTCCTCAGCGGTACGGATCCTCCTCTGGAGGGTCTCACTGACGCCTCCCCTCCTGAGGGTCGACGTGTCGGCAGCGAGTCGACTCCTCGATCCCGAGTAGATACTGATTTCCTTTGCTTCGCGGCGGGCCTTCTGGATGATATTCTTGGTCTTCGATCCAGCAGCGTGATTCCACGAGTTAGTGCTATTGCCCCATCCGCTTCCACCAGTTTTCGGGCGACGAAGAGGCGGCAGCGACTTCGCCTCGACGAGACGGGTGCGGCCGGACTCCTTGGACGAATTGAGACCCTCGAACTGTGCCTTTAGTAGCTGGGCGGCGCGCTCCTGGGCGGCAGAAGCTTCCTTCTGGTGTTTCTATTACGCACACCCATCAGCACCACACCACACCAAACTCGAATCTGGGGAGGGGTACGTACGTCGTAGACTTTGCTCCAGCTCGAAGGGTTCTTAGGAACCCACTTGTCGACTGCGTCCAGGCCGAAATCGCGGGCGATGAACTTCTTCCAGAGGTCCTCGTCTTCGCCGGCGATCTGCGGCGAGTTTGCTTCCAGTTTTTTCTGGACGGTGTTAGTTGCGTAACCTTGATACCGAGGGGAAGATGGGATATACTAGCTGATGCGGGGAGCTGATCTTCTTGAGGACTGGCTCGAGGATGTGGTAGGGTATGTCTCCGACATCTTCGATAGCTGCACGACGCCGTTAGCGGTGGAGGACAGGAGGGAAGGTGAGAACGTACTGTTGATGTACTTGATGAGCACATTTTTGGCATATGTGTATAAGCTGGCGGGCTCATATGTTTTGTGAGACATAGCTTGTGATGTTGCGTAGGAAGCTATGGAGATGTGGGGGAACCACTAGTAGCTTGAGGTGCGCGTATGTAGTTCGTGGGAATCGCGTAGATGTGGTTGCGGAAATCTGAGTATATCAATAGAGAAAATAGCGTGAAGCTTAAAGGAGGTTTATTGCTGGTGGAGATCAAAGGTGGTGTCGGAATAGCAAGTTACGTTGAATGGTGGAGGTGAGGTTGTGAGTTTGAATGAAGGTTGTCAGGCTGTCGTCGCATAGAACCCGCACCCATTCAACTTAACCCCTGTCGGAAACTACGAGCGGCACCAACACTAGTGAATACACAGATGTGAGCTAGCCCTAACTAAAGACTGACTTAGGCATCAGGATCGTCACGTCGAACATCTTCAAGCCTGAACAAACAACCGCGCCTGCTCCATCTTCACGACCAACAACGCCCTCTTCGACCCACCACCCCCACATATAAGCACATACCAGCACATACAACCACATACAACCACATATACCACAACAATGTCGATCAACGAAGGCACGCTGCTCCTCCCACCATCATGAGCACCACCAGCTAACAACGAAGCAGAGGAATTGATCAAGTCGCGGCCTCTGCTGTTCGAGACGCGCCCCTTCACCCGTTTGAACAAGCGGAACACGACGCTGCAGACGCTCCCCGAGACCGCGTCACCCTCCCAACACCACGGCGAGATCGACCTGGACTTCGCGTACTTCTCCTCTGCGATCACACGTATCCAGCTTCACCTCGCAACCACACAGCGGGAGATAACGCGGTACAGCGTTGAGAAGTCGCACATCGAGGAGACAGCCGCGAGCGCACGGGACACGCTAGTGGAGCTGCGGGCGACGCTTGCCGCGTCGCAGCAAGAGAAGGCGCACCGCCTCGAGTACGATGCGATTGCGTCGGACATCCTCGAGGCCGTGCCGCGGCTCAAGCCCCGCGCTGAGCAGGAGCAGAATCTGGCTCGGCTGAACGATGAGATTGCGGAGCTCCAGAGGGAGCGCGATGAGTACGGTGTTGTGTGGGCTGCGAGGCGCGCACAGTTCGAGCAGATCGTCACGCAGCTCGAGCTCATGAGCGCGCAAATCAAGGAGGATAAGGAGGAGCAGGATAGGAGGGAGGGGATGAGTGAAGAGGAGGAGGAGGGCGAGGAGGTGGAGGGCGCGGCTACTAAGAGTGGTGGCGCGACTCCCGCACAGGGTGGGGCCACGGCCGAGGCGAGACTGGGTCTGCCGGTGGTGGGCACGCCGCGACCGGGTACGCCTGGTGTTGGCGGGGGTGCCACGCCGCAGCCTGTGGTCGATGAGAAGGAGGAAGGAGAGGAGGACGACGATGTGGAGCTGGGTGATGCGCCGCCTTCTCAGGTGATGCCCGCCGTAGACCGGATGGATATGTCGTGAGAGTAGTCTATACTAGTATACTGCACATCTATCCTTCTGTTGGAATACCACATTGGGAGCGAGACATTCTACTTCACTCCTATAATACAAATCCACATGACGGTGCTATTCCTGCAAACCAGCTTCAATTGTCCAATTCAGATCCATGTTGCGGATCATGCCCATTTCATTTAATCCCATCCCATGTACTTATTCACAAGGTGACATCAAGCATTCAAAAGGTGCACCGCATTATCACCTGCCCAAAACAATAAATATTTACAGTCCGCTCCCTTCTCCACTTCTTTCCTCGGATACACATACACAGAGAAAGAGGGGAAGGAGGGGAGGTGAAGTGAGAAGGCCATGTCTATAAAGAGAACACATGAAACTAAACTGAAGAAAACGTAGATGCATATAAAAGGGGGCATCAAAATGCATGCAAAAGGACCACGTAACTCCTCAATACAGTAAAGAGACAAACTGCAAAAAAAAAAAAATGACCTGCCAGCGAATATACTCAACTGCAGAATATGCGGAATCTCCCCCTTCACTCGAGTAAAAAAAGCCTCCCAAGAAAGCATGCCTTAACAAAATCAACAAGCCAGGGGTAAAATTATCATAGCAAAACTCATTCTCATCTCATTACAGTAACTCATCGCAACAAACCTACCAGGCCTCTGGTGGTCGCCGGAAGTGAGTTGGTATCACTTACTCGGCATCGAGCGGAGCGATATCCTCGTGGTCGCCGCCACCCGGGATAATCAACTCCTCGGTGTAGTCGTCTCCGGTCACGAACTTCCTCTCGCTGACGTGCTCGCCGCGTCCCTTAGCGGTCCAGACCTTGTTGCCGAACGGGTTCTCTCCGGGAGTGGGAGCCTGTTGCTGTCCCTCCTCGTGTTTGTAGATGCAGCTCGGATTCAAGCAGGGCTTGAACTTGCAGGCCGTCTCGTTATGGGTGAAGTGACAGTCCGGCCGGGTGCAGCTGGCTCCATTACGGCACATCGGCATAGCGGGACTAGAAACCTATCGTCAGCAAATCCACACGCAATCAATCATTCAAGAGGTTACATACTGCTTGAAGGGGCACACGGGGTTGGTGCAGTTGGGGAAGAACTTGCAGTCCTGCTCAATCTGCTTGGGCCGAGCATGGAAGCTGGACAACGAAGCGGGAGATGGGTGCGATCCGGTGCACTTCCTGTTCTTGCACGCGATTCCAAATGGACACTTCTCGCCACTGACGTAGTGGGTGAGTTTGCCGCCGAGCTGTGCGGGAGTCGGATGTCCGAACGCACACTCCACCTTGGTGCATCCCGTTCCGAACTTGCAAGGCACTTCCTCTAACTTTTCGGCCTTGCCACCCTCCTCCGGACCGTCGTGCATCTCCATCTCGCCCTCGGTGCTGAGATCAGGTGGCGACTGAATCCTCTCGAAAAGGCTGCCACCACTATTCGGACCACCGCCGCCACCACCACCAGGTCCTCCACCAACGCGGTGCGGCTGTGAAAAATTGTTGGAATACGCATCTTCGTTCACTCGCATGGGCGGCATGTTACGGTTGTGGGTGTGGTTATGGTTGTGGTTATTGCGGTGTTGCGGTCCACCCATCTGGCCTTGAGGGAATGGAGGGGCATTGACGGGGCCGGGACCGTTCGCGAAGGGAGCAATGATCTGCGATTGCTGCTGGTACATCTGGTAGAACGCCATCTGCTGCTGAGGGGTGAGATTCGCAAGCATGCTGGGATTCGGACCATTGAATGGACGGCCACCGTTCATACGGTTCTGGTGCATTCCTCCCCTGTGGTTCATATGTCCGCCATTGTGCATTGGACCGTTATTATTGTTGTGGCGGAAGCCGTTCTGACGTATACCGCCGGGGCCCTTTGGAGGCTGCTGATTCTTGAACTTCTCTTGGTTCGGCCGCACCCGGTGCAGAGGGTCGTCTATTTTCCTCTCCATCGACTTGTTGATCTGGCTCATCATCCGCCGGGGATTGGGTTGTCGCATCGCCTTCGGCGCTGTAGGTCTACAACAGTTGTCAGCACGCGCTTCTCCGCAGGAAGACAAGGGGGGGCGAAGGTGAACATACACTCCCTCCTCAGTCGGCTCTCCCATATCCATCATATCAGCATCTTCGTTTCCGTATGTTGCGCTGTCATCCGCCTTGGCACCTTGACCCTCTTCCTCCTCTCTCTTCAGCAGCCTGTCCAGTTCGGCAAAGACCCACTGCGCGAATGAAGCCGGTGTCGCGCCGCCGGGTACCGGAGAAACCAAGTCGGTCGACAACTCCGCCGCGATCTGCTCCTCGTCTTTTCCGTTGGCGATCATAAGGCAAATGTACTCTCCAAGGGGCGACTTCTCGTCACCGTTCGCCCAACCGACCTCGGCGATCTGCATCTGGATGTGCTTGGTGAACGCATCCGAGAACGGAGTATTTAGTACGAGCTTCATTGTGTTGTAGTGTATGGTGTTTAAGTGGTGAGGGTGGGTGTATGTGAGGGAAGTAGAGAGTTGCGAGGGTGAATAGGCTTTTTGTTGGTGATTATCGGGCGCGGTAGAATGTGAGAGGAGGAGGCGGTGTTGTCTGTCACAAGGGTTCCAGCCGGATGAAGTGGTTGTTCGGGAGGCAAAAAAGCAAGCAGGCAGGTGCGGCTCTTTGAAGCGACGCGACACTGTCTGCTGCTGTTAAGAAAAACTGGCGGGGAAGTAGAAATGTGTTGCGTGTTTGTCAGAGTCGGTGCGTGGTTGTCGGTTGTGGTAATAGAATGGTGGGTGTCGTGTGGTTAGAGGGGAGGAGGAGGAGGAGGAGGAGGAGGAGGAGGAGGAGGAGGAGGAGGAGGGATGGAAGAGAGGTTATGTGGTTGGTCGGTCGGACGCTGCAGCAGAGAAGGTGTTGTGGTGTCGGAGTAGTTACGGGAGTTGGTTGGTTGCCGCAGTAGAAAGAGAAGAAGTGGTAGGGAAGGTGGAATAGGTACGACGTAAGTAGCGAAGAGGAGGAGGAGGAAGGTTGCTAAACCAAGTTCAAGATGTCAGTCAGCCGCACTAGTGAAAGCCAAGACTTTCCACGTTCAACGGCGTCTGTGAGCGTGAGGCTATTCAAGTTGATATAGGAGACAACAAACACAAACACAAGATACAATCGATACAAACACAAGATACGACGAGGCGATCAAGCTCCCATTTAAACTGCTGACAAACGCACTAGCCGACTGGAGAAAATTACATGCATAGATTCAGCACGGAAGGCACGAACTTCTAGGGCTCGAGCAGAGGGGCAGCATTCACGGTTGATCACGGCGTGAGGAGTCATCAGAGCCCACTTATCTAATTGCTTGATCACGTGTAGCCCTCATCGGTTTATGGGGTTTCAAGTGGTGACGAGTGAGATCTCATGAATATCTGACTCGAGATGGCGCTCCTTTGACGAGACGAGCAGGTCACCGCAACACCAGACGGTCGGTGACCGGTGCTCAAAGAACTCTGGACGTAGAGTACACGCGTAGGTAGAGGGGAGAATCTTCATCCCGAGCATAAATACATCATGTCATCATCATATGCAACCAAATTAAGGGATACACATTCGAAAAAACAATCCCACAGATCCGTCTGCCACCTTAAGCCCTCAAAAGTTCACGGCAGGAGTGAACGCAACCTTGACTCCCGCTCCGGGACTGATGGTCACCTCGCACCGCTCAAACTGCTTCTGGGTGCTTCTATCCTCCACCTTCTCGAATCTCTGAAAGAGTCTAGCCAAAAACGGTCGGGTCAGTCAACTTGATCGCTCGCTTGCTCGCTCGCAACCATTCATTGAAACGCAACATACCGGCAGAGGATGTATCCCATCTCCGTCAATGCGAACTGCTGGCCGATACAGATCCTCGGGCCACCGTTGAACGGGATGTAGCGCCACGCCTTTGGCGACCATGAATCCCAGCGCTCGGGCTTGAACTCGGCGACGTCCGGGCCGAAGATGTCCGTACGGCGTTGCATGACTAGGGCGGAGTATGCGATTGGCGTTCCGGCGACTACACCTATGGGCTGGAGGCGAACATCATCAGCATCGATGAAATAGGAAGCGGCTGGGAACAGAGTCGTACTTCAAGTCCGTCCGGTCCACCACCCGTGGGAAGAGTTGTATCTGTAAGTGAGACTCTGACATTGAACGGGACTACAAGGATCAGTATCTCTTTTGTCGTAATTTGTTGCGGGAGTACCCACCGGCAGGATACAATCTCAATGTCTCGTTGATGACGTGTTGGAGATACTTCATTCCCTTCAGATCCGAGTAGGTGGGTGGTCCGGCCGGTCCGACAGTATCGAGGATCTCCCTTCTAAGGCGCTCCACGCACTCTGGGCGTTTGGCGAGTTCGTATAGCGCCCAGGCCAAAGTCCCGGCCGTAGTATCCTGCTCCGGATATCAACCACCACAACCACATAATATTGAAATGGATTGGAATATACCCTCGCAGCCAACAACACAGCGACCAGCTGGTCCCTGAGCATCTTGGGATCCCGCGTAAATTCCGCGAGAGCATGGAGGAAATTATAGTCACTCTCGCTCTTTCCCTTAAGCTCCTCCGGCCTCATATGCAGCGTCTTCTCTACGAACGGTTCAACGAAATTATTCAAAATCTTCAGATTCTCCTTGAACTGCTTAGTCTTCAAGAAGTGTCTTAGCGGTCCCGCACGGGAGACGTTATTCATGTGCTCCTGGATCTGCTGAAACGCCAGGGCGAAGGCGTGGCTCCCGTGTTCGATGGAGTTTACACTCTCGCCGAGCAGGAAGTCGGTGGCCGAGTCGAGAGTTACTTTGTACAGCAGGTCCGCGATGTTGATCGTCGACCCGTCGCGAGGGATCACCGACATCATCCGCTGGATGTGCCGCTCGAATATGTGCAGATCCGACACCCGGTCCCGCACGAATTGCGGACGGATCAGGTGTCGTGACGCAGACCATTCCTTGCCGTCCGTGGTGAAGATACTGTCGCCTAGGAAATCTTGCCACTGCGAGTGGCTGGGAAGTCACATGCTGCCGTTAACCCCCGCGAATCGTATCAGTGGGCGGCCAGTGGACACTCACAAGCTCTCTCCCTTGCCTGCAAGCCATCATCAGCGGAGCTTCACAAGAGAGAGGAAGAGAAAAAAAGCTCAGCAATACCCACCAAAATCGTGAAAATGCGTTGCGAGCACGGCCTTGATATTCTCGGGATCTGCCGTCAAGATGACCCTCTTCCACAGTATCTGCGTCTCCAGCGTATGCGATCCCAGCTGCCTGAACCTCATCTCCCAAAACTCTCTATTCATATTTTTCTTCGCATACCTAAACGACTCCAACGTCTCGGAGATACCTATCCAGAGGAATCAGCATTTACTCTAGCCAACGCGAGGGTGGGGGCGGAGTGCCATACCGAACCATGAACCGTTAACACTCTTCCCGCGCTTCCCAAGCTTCATGATCTTCCTGCTCTCGACGATGCGCGCATACGCAAAGGTCAGGATCCCGGCGAGGGTGAGGGCCAACGCCAGCCCTGGAAGAGTAGAGAGCAGCATATCGATATCGACAGATATCCGTACTTATGTAAGTATATACCGTATATATATATTTTTCACGACAGGGCCCGGTGAGCTTTCTCGGTGGTGCGAAATGCCCTTATATATATACGAGCTCCCCCCCTCCCCCCTCCCCCCTCCCCACTACCCCTCGAGCCCCCATCACCAGCGCTACATGCACCGTTACTACCGACGGCCAGGATTCAGGATTGTCACACTATCGGTAGGTAACTAGTGATTCCCGTTGCCGCCATAAATCCGAGTACATAGATTAACAGCCGTCCATCATAGTTAGTGGGTTACGTTTCGTCCCCATCCATAGTTACTCCACCTACTACCAGGTAAGTATTTGTTACACTCTGTCGATTCGTGGCCGCAGCATTCGGATCCGGGAATACCGGTGGCGTCTATATAGTAGTAGTAGCTAACTGTAACCGCAACTCGGCTAGCACGCGATCCGGGGTACTGTTGTATGACATGGTATAATGGTGCTAACCAGAGTGAGTATATATGTGGAGTACTCTACACAGCATGCGCCAGCCAGCGCGCGCATCTCCGTCACACCACCCCACCGGCCTGGCACCTGGCACCTGGCTTCTGCACTCCTGCACTTCTGCACTCTTGTAACTGAGACGTCGGGGAGGCTAGTTGGTTGTCCTTCATCGACCAAACCGAGGAAGGGAGGGAGGGAGGGAGGGAGGGAGGGGTAGACATGTGGTCTGGGATTCTGGGATTTCTGAGATTTATCTACCGGCACCAGTATCCCACCATTGACCCGCAACCCACAAACCACCAGCAGTTGACGGCACGGGAGTCTGGAGATACGAATTCGAAGTTGTTTGTGCTCGCTTGTGTACCAGCAGAGCAGAGCGGTGCAGTGCAGTGCATAGCAGAGTATCGTATATCGTAGAGTGTCGTGGAGTACACGGACTTCACAGAGCAATCCCACCATTCCAGCGAGCACGCCAAGTTCCAACCAATGATCAATCCTGCATATCAACATCAGGTGTGAACATACATACTCTACAACCCACCCCCCTGGCCACGGAACTCCAGATAGATTACCCACCTCCTAGGTAGTAGTTACGCACATACAGCCCAAATAAACGTCTGACACCGCTATCCCAACTTCCCAAGTTCCCAAAAGCAGTGCATCCATTCCCGCCACGAAGAAGCGCAAGAACATGAGCGTTCCAACTTCTAAATAACCTCCGGTGGGAAGTTCCCAGAATAAGTGCTAGGTTTGTACTCCGGGAGTGGGAGGTATGTATGTGCTACGGTTTCAGTATTGGTATTGGTAAGGCATGGTAGGTATGGTACAGTTACCGGTGGAGTATACTACCTACCTGGCAGGTAGTACGGTAGGTAGTATATACATAGAGCTCGGGCTTCATCCTGGATTCTTCACGCAGCGCACAGACGTTACATACCTGCGGCACCCCCGGATCCCGCGGAAACCTACCAGTGATCATCAAGAACTCACATGTGGTGCCGAAACGCGGGGAAAGCATATACCTACTACCGAGTATGGTGGTGGAGGACGGACAGTTTTTTAGCCGTGTTGGCATGTTTGCATGCACTGAGACGAGATGGCGCCGGGCGGCCGGAGTGGAAATATTCCCGGGCCCAGATGTCCAGTGCGATCTGGCTTGTTATTTCTTGATTCATACGTGCAGCACTGTATCTAGACTATGGCGGTATATGTACATGCACGCTTCCTAATCCTGTCTGCAGCCCATATCATCCCATCTCTAACCAGCTCGAGCATCGAGGAGCTGGGACGTCGGTTGCGGAACTCTATGTACTCTATATTGCATTCGATCTAGCTCAAACAGAAAAGGAAAAGCACAACTTATGTAAGCACGCTTAACAACCAGAAGGAACCCAAATAGAACGTCCATACATAAAGTGACTCCACCTCTCAAGATCGTCGTGACAAAGGTGAGAAAAGAAAACACATGCAAATAGAAAGGAATTCCCGTATCGTTCACTACACGAATCTGCACGGCTTGTTCAACAAGATTGACTGGTCAACCTTGTCGCTATCCATCGATACGACAGAAACCTTCTGCAGCCCGGGGACAGTTGCGGTCTCATCATACCGACACACGATGAAGTCTTTGGAACCGACCCGGCCCACCAGCGAGTATTCGCCATCAGGAATTTCAACATGGTGTCTCGCAGAAACGAAAAATTTCAATTTCCGTCCACCGTGCTCCACCGTCACGGCCCACCGTCTCGGACCATCGATCCTATCGCCGGTCGGCTGCGCCACGAGATGGCCTTTCTCGATGAGATGTCCGAAATACGTGTAACTGGTGGCGGAACGACGCACATGGTTTGTCAAGCCCGAGCGCCGATCACTAATATCGTCCAAGCTTCCCGGGCGGTCTTCGGGCAGCACGTACCTTTTGTCCTGAATCTGCTTCCACGATGGAAACCACGAGTGACCTCCATCTCCGGGAGCGGGGAACCGGAACAGAAGCTCGTCCCTCATCGCTGAACTCATGTGATGAACACAGCGAGTCCATGCTTCTTCGGGCGTGGTGCGCTCTGAGAATGCTGGCAGCGACGCGGGCAACATGAGGAAGCCGATCCCAGCAACTTTGTCGACCTCGTTGCTAGCATAGCGTTCCCGCATTTCCTTGAGCAGCCCGAAAAAACCACAACAGGTGGTTCTGATTGCCCGATTTGGGTTTTCATTGAGACCGCTGTGGGGAGTAGTGGGCGTCCGGTACTCCAAGAGCTTCGAGATGCTGTCCCAATGGGCTTCGTATTGTTTCATCGACTGGCCACTGAATCGGCCATCGGCGATCTTGCGTGTAGGAAGTCCCGCCGGATTAGCCACCCCTCCGACAATAGACTCGCTTTTGAACTCTTGGAGAGTCCATGCGCGGTTTGACCAGTGGTGAACGTCGCCCCATCCAGAAGTTTCAAACGGCCTCCCGAGACCGTTGTAATATCGAACCACCTTGCCGTTTCCCAAGTACGCGTTTCCAATGGTCGGCACGTCGATCTCCCATTCCAAACTCCGTAGATGCTCGAATGATTTGGAATCGGATACCTGTCTCAGGCAAAGAATGTCGAGCCAGCAGTACTCGGCGCCGGCATCCAACAGTTCGTCTCGAACGGCTTCGAGAGTTACGTCCTTGGGTAGGGGTACCGGCCACTCGAATCCGTTGACCGACGTCATCACCGTCTCTATGTCGGCCACCCAGCTATGTGATATGGCCCATGGCTTCTTGGTCTTAAAAGCGTCAACCGAGTCGTATGGAACCACCCGATGCGCCAAAAGATCCCAGATCCTTCTCGGTTTAACCGTGACTGGGTCGATGATGGCAAGGTGGCCGTCTTCATCGCTTTTCAGCATGTCCCTGTCCCCTTTTCGTCTCCGGTTATCGATCTCTTCGACCGCGAGTCTATCCGTCAAGCTGCTATGCGCATCGCCGAGCCGTTCCCAACCATTCCGGAGTAGGGCATATGCTGTACCGAAGTCGTAATCGTGGGAAATGCAATAACGAAGGGCTTCCGTAAGACCCTCGATCGTGTTGACGCTGTGTTGAGTATGTAGCGCGATGTTGAGCTTCGATAGGAGTTGCCCTTCTCCAAGCTGCTTGCAAGGCTCCATTGCTTGCTCGACCGTAAGGACCGTTTGTTTTCCATCAGACTGTGGCTGAGTGCGTTTGGTATCCCCGGACTTGTCCTGCACAAAGGTTAACAATTGATCACCAGAAAGGACGCAATTGAGAGGATCGACAAACCTCTCTACCCTGACTCGCAATTCTCGCCCACTCCTTTTTTCGCTCTTCCTCAACCCATTCACGTTGTCTTCTCTTATTCCTCTCTTCGGCTACATCCAGCTCTACTACCACCCTTTCCCTCGTTCTCTGTTCCTCGGCGGCCCTTGACGCGATTTCAACATCTATCTTGTCCTCCGCCTGCTTGCGTTCCGCCGTTTTGATCATCCACTTATTGGCCGCCACCTGGACGTGTACCCTTCTCTTGTTTACCTTCTCTTCCTCGGCGGCCTTTTGTTTCTCGATCAGCATCTTGTTGTTCTCCTCAATCTTCTTTTTCTCGGCGAGTTTCAGTTTCCACTTGTCGGCCACGATATTCTTCAAAAGCCTCTCCCTCTCCTCTCCCCCCACCTCTTTCGTAGCCAAGGTTCTTCTACTCCACACCTCGACCACATTATGCATATTCCTTTTTTTGGCCATCTCTATCTCAAAATTCTCTTGGGCCTCCTTCTCTTCCTCGAACCCGCTCGAGACTTTCGTGGAGGTTGCTCTGATCGTCTCTACTTTCACCAGCTTCTTCTTTCTCTCCTCGATTTCTTCCGAGCGTTTCTCCTGCTGGAGCAGAAGCATCTGAGACTTCTTCCGAGCGTCCTCCCTCTTCTGGGCTTCATTTTCTCTCAAGACCCTCCTGACGATCTCTTCGTAATCCGGCAAGCAGATGTGCCGTTTCAGGAACTTCTCAAACGCCTCCTCCTTCTTCTCTTCGTCGTCATTTGTCACCGGTTCGTTCTCCACCACCGGCATGCTCGGGGCAGTCTCTCCCTCAGACCTGGTGTTTCCGTTTCGATGACCGGCAAGCACATACCGCCGGATGGTAAGGACTGCCAAGGCAGCGGTGGTGACTATCCACATGATTTCATGGCCGAGATACGACCGGAAGTGCTGAGTGGCCTCACACTCTGTATGACGCATGGTGTCGAACGGGTGTCCGAGACTCGGCGGAGCAGTGATTCGAGTAGGGAAGGAAGGAGGGAGGGTAGTGCTGCGCAAGGGTTCGGGCAGAAGGCGTATTCCCGGATTCTATCTGCCTAGGTGGTCGTTGGTATGCTGGATGCCGTTGACTCGTACGTATATCCGTTTGTCTGTTGGGACCATTGGTCAGTGTCTATCGGTCTCGGGAAGACTCTGGAGAAGGGTATGCCGACTATAGTAATAGCTGAGCGGGCCCATATATCCGATACAGTGAGCCAGGAGCCGAGTAGCGAACAGACGGGGAGGAGCTTGGATTTGAATATCCTGTGAGGAAAGAATCGTAAGAACTTGCTCCACTGAGGTTTTCTTATACTAAGACGATCTTTGAGGAGAAGGTTAGTACATACTTACAAGTTACTGGTCGATTGAACACTTACCAGCCATGCACACGCCGACAGCCCCAACCTGCATCGCCAACGTAGACTATCGTCAGGAGTGCGCACTTATCTGTGCTACCGCATTGCGGGCTCGGACCAGAAACATTGATGGAGTCGCTGCCTGGCCGCTGTCTCTTTGCGCATGGATGAGACGAGCTGACCCAACTAACCGCATTCTGCGTCCTGACAGGCCGCAACGGACAGCTGGCAAAGCATCGTTGGATGAGGTGTCAATGAGCATGTCGAATTTCTGAGACGTACTATGTACATCAGACAAAAACCTCAGCGAGTGGTGAAGGAGGGGGCAGATTTGCATGGCCGAAGAGTAGGTACGTGGTGTTGGACGAGTCAACCTGTCTGCCTCGCCTCGAATGTAGAGATGAACGACTGCAGGCTGCATTGACATCGCCCGTGGTGTCTTGCCTAAAGATACCTTCCGTCGTCTATCGGTCCATTCATCAGTAGAGTGGTGGAGTTCGTCGTGGCGCGATATCCTCTTCTCCGTGTCGACACGGCCAATTGAATGGCCCTCTTTTACCGCCCTGCCCGGCCCGCGAAAAGAACATTCCACCGCGCCCCCCCCTCCCGATGGGGCTGGTTCCTGTGCCGGACCCTGCGGACATCACATCAATTATGTAAGTACTTTAAGTACTTACCTATATCTTGACGCAGATATCCCTAACAAAGAGATCCCGAGGGGTGGGAGGCTGGGTGAATCGTGATGACTTTGTTTTTATTTTTGTTGTTTGCTGCCAGCCACCGAATGGGGATGCATATGCGGGCCGAGCTGCGTAGAGTACTCATCGATAGGCTGGACACGTCGAGGGTGCGCACACATTCGCATACCCTTCGTAGAAGCACATCGAGACAACCGGTACTGAGATGCCCTACATACCCGATGTTATTTGCCACCCGAAATACATTATGAGCGGGTTTTCTTTCCAGAGATACTTCCCAAATACAGCCACAGCCACAGCGAATGAGGCGGAGGTGGACACTCATGCAACATCACTCGCTGTAGGTGCAGTGTCTTAGACGCAGATGGCGGGGAAAAGACAGCGGCGCCACATCGTGCTGGATTGTAACGGGATCTCAACCCCCGGCCGGCCAGAGTGGGCAGGAAAGGAGTACGACGGTTTGCTATAGTCTAGATAGGTAGGCTGCATGCGAAATAAACTGAAGACCTCTCTCTCTTTCTCTGGCGGGGAAAAGAAGCCACATCGGGTCGCTCGATGACAGTTGGGCAGAATGGGTTATGGAACTAAGCACCATGTATTTGGGTAAGCAGTGGCCTATCACCGAAATCCGAGGCGGAATGCAGGACAAACGGAAAGGATAATCCCCCACCACGTATCCCCACTGTCGACTGGTGTATGTAGAATCAAGATACTTCTTACTTACCTATGTCAGAACAAGCAAAACACATGCACATGTCGGACTCCCCGCCGTGGCGCAGGACGCAAGATCCAGAGGTCAGCCCCATCCACCAGTCAGCCGTATGTACCAGCCATCGCAAATTCTTTGCGGGTGGATCTAGGATGGATGGATACTCGTGGCCTAGGATGGATGGATACTTGCGGCCGTGTTCTTGAGCGGGTATGAGACCGAGACTGAGGCCGGAGTTGAAAAATGGATTTAATCATGGACCGAACGTTGTGATTTTGCGAGGGCTCCTTGTCAATGGCTCTCCAGCCGGGCAAGCGGCCGGCCGAGAGAAGGAGAACACGCAAGGTCTAAGGAGAAAGATGAGATTGTGGTTGATCGTCTATGCTGTAGATGATGATCGAGTAGGAAGGAGATCACATGAGGTCCAAGGAAAAAGAGGAGATTCTGAGATTGTGGTTGATCGTCTATTCTGTAGATGATGATCGAGCAAGAAGGAGAACACATAAGGCCCAAAAAGAAAGAGGTGATAGGGGTTGATCGTCTATTCTGTAGATGATGATCGAGCAAGAAGAAGATGATGATCAAGAAAGAAGAAGAAGAAGACCCCGCTATGCCCGCCAAAGTTGATTCCCTCCAACGTTGATGCCCACTACTAACCACATTTGTTTCCTCCCGCCGACAGGTCTTCCTCTCGCTCAGTACCATTTCTGCTTCTATGTACCTGGAAATTACACCTCCAAACTCCATACCTCGTCCAAAATCCAAACAACCATTCAACTCCAACCCAGAAAGAAAATGGATACCGAAAATCGAGAAAGAAAAAACAGTCCAGACTGTCACCGACGCCGCCGCTACCAACACCACTACCATCCCAACCGTCCAAATCCGAGTCACGGCTATCCAACAGCAAGCAGACACTCTAAAGTACACAGGCTCTGACTTCCACCTTTTCCCCGACCTTTTCACCCCTGCGGGCCGCGCTCCCGGCCCGTGTATTGATCATCCCCAGCCCGATAGCCCAATCCTCCCTCCCGGTTTCGTGTATGAGCTCCAACGCCATATCCAACCTCCTTTCATACGCCTTCTTTTCCCCAACGATCGAGATCCGACATCCATGCATGTGCATATGTGTTGCAACCTCGTTGCTCAGACCCAGTAACGCGGCCGAACATAACAACAGTCCTAGGAGTATCAAGCTTCCGATTCGAGTGGCGTTGCCGGCGAGGGCCGCCGTGGCGTAGACGATCAGCGTGGCGAGTGCTACCGCGAAGCCCTCCATCGATGTCGTGTTTCGAAGCCAGGAGCCGGCCGTGACGGTCTTGAGGTCGTTCACCAGGCCCTGCATGCGGATCCATCGGTCTTGACTGACAAGCACTAGAAGATCACCGATTTCGCCTGGCTCTTCCAACCCTTTGCATTCGATTATTAGGTCAGCATACCGAGAAAAACAGAAGACTCATCTCCACCCCCGAGCTTCAGCCTTCAGCTCCTGCCCATGGCCGATTCATGTATCCATGAGAACGACACTTTGAGGGTGGAAGCTTCACTGACACCCACAAGCACAACTCGGACTCGAGCGCGAGGAAACAAAGGGCGACAGACTACCTTTCCATCCGAGTTTACTCCTCCTCCGCATCACAACGACATTGATTAGTCGTGCAATGACCAGCGCCGAAACCGATCCCAACCCCCACCAATCACCCAACGCCCCCAGAACCGCCAGCGACACCACCGTCAAGACGGGCCCGAGCAGGTACAGGATCGAGCTCCACACCCCGCCCTTGAAGCAATAACGATCGAAAAGCCTATGCGTCTTATCCCGCTCCACCTTGAGGTTGACGAGGTGTCCCGTCACGCCGACCCGCTGCAGGAAGCTCACGGTGGCCTGGTTCTCGATGCGAAAGACATATTCGGTGGTGAGTGCGGCTGTCGCCGGCTGCTCGCCGTTGTTGATCACTTCGGCGGTAAACTGCTGTCGGTGGATTCCCGGAGCGAGAAATAGCGAGTCGAGAGCGGAGGCCGAGCCGACGATGGCGGTTCGGGTCGCGATGCTGGAAAGGTCGGCTAGGGCGACGAGGCCCGCCGCGTCCAGGGAGACGCCCGAGAAGGTTGCCTGCGTGGTATACACCATCTTTACCGGTTATTTCTGCTGTCGTTTAGGAGCTGCCCGAGAGAAAGTGCTGGATGAGGACTCTATCATCCGTATGTATGTAGGAGACGGACAGGATATGCGAATGCGGGTTATCTATTACTCCACCTACTTAATAACTCCAGCTCCCCAACAATGCGCACTTGAGACATGGTGATGACCCGCCGCCACGCCACGTCAGATATGTACAGAATCTGTGTGCGAGTTGTTTTCCGAGTGTACCCTCCTACAGCCCGCCCGCATGTGCATCTCGTATGTAAAATATAATACGAGTATATATGTAGAAGAATAGGATCGAACATATTACAGCAGTAGCTCGATGTCCCACCTCTCGGGTTGGCGTTTGCAGGCTACGACCTGCGCAATGCGATCTGCGGCGCCTAACTAGCCAATTGGTCGGATGCTAGAAGCACATCTGTAGGCTGTGGGCTGTGGGCTCAGCCACGAGTTTATGGTTGGCCATCGTGTAGAGTGCGTTACGGTGGAATACCGTACACAGAGACCACCAATTGTCAGCGCGGGGTATATTTACGTAGTGTATCTAGTATCGTAACGAGTTGGGGGTGGGAGAGGAAATGGACAACCACCCACTATGCAGATCCTCTGGGAGAAAACATAGATGATAGATCGGAATTCCTGAGTGTGCAGATGCGCTCACCATATTCACACGCTCACGGAAAGAAGGAAAGAAAAAGCATTTCACGGACCTCGATACCACGTAGGTAGTAGGAAATATCACTCGTTTTCGCGCCACGATGAAGGCGGCTCGGAAGGGCTTTCCACGCAATGAATGTTGCGACTGACAAAACGGAAACAAAACAAAAAACCCCCCGAGGCGCACCGCTCCAGACTGTGGCCCTGTGCGGCGAATGAACTCGGTATTTACCCCGAACTGAACTGGCATCTTCATCGCCACTGCTACGTCCCAGTGCTACGGCCCGATATTCTTCGGGTCGGCGAATACCGATAAAAATCACGGCCTGTCCCCGCCCGTCTCTGCCGAACACGACCACTGGAAATAGCCTACCCCCCACATGTCCGGGGCGTGTGTAAATTTGTTACGCTGCAAAGTATGCCGGTTAGGAGGCGGCAGTGCGCCTACACAACCACACTGCTCACTGTCTCAATCAGTCTGGTTGCAGCTGTGCTGGTAGCTGTCACGGTTGCTACCAGTTACGGTTGCCACCAGTCACAGTTGCCACCAGTCACAGTTGCTAGGTACCATAGCAGTCACCGTCGCCGCCTCTGACCCACTGTGCTTCCAACATCTTCGGTTCCAACACTAGAGAAAGGAGCAACAGCGCTGATACAGAGCTTATGGGGCCGGGACTCGAGTCACAAACAGGCACTCAGGTTGCAGGCGGGCCACCAGCGGATACTTCTATACCGGTGGCGGACTCTACTACTACCTACACCACCAAATGTTTAGAAAAGCTTCGGGAGGATGGAAGCGTGAATGTACGCCGTTAGATACACACCGGTAGAGAGCCTGTTTTTATTAACTTACACAGTTGCTCTGCGGAAGAGTCCACTCGCCGAATGCTTTTGATATCACTCGTTGCTAATCTTTCTGCATCGGTCTAGATTGGGCCAACTTGGTTCGGTGCAACAAATTTACAAGTGCCGGCCATGTAGGTAGTAGGTTCGAGCGGTGCAACTTTCGGCGCAACTTTTCCACTCTAGTGTGCCTGCATCGGCATCGGCATCGACAGTCACTCCTCTAGCGTATTGTGGGTTTGAGTTGCGATCGAGTTCAATTGCACGTCAATCAAACCCGTATGTAGAGCACCGTACAGTGCTGCCCCGGTAGACGAAGATGCCACCGCCGCCGCCGCGCGAGTGATATCCAAGATGACATCCTGCCGTCCACAGGACCAAGTTTGTTGCTTGGATCATCACCGAGTGCGCGCCAATGAAGCGCCAAGCCGCGACCCCCCCTCCCCTGCCAGCTCCCATCCCAGCTCCCACCCCGCCTCGAGCTCACGTCTCCCACCACCACCAACCTACTTCACTTCGTCACACCCGCAACCCACGATGTCAATTAAACGCGTATGTACCACTCCCCACCCCCCCCCTCTTCAACCCCACCCCCCCCATTCACTCTACTAATACTGCCCAGATCTTCTTCACTGCCCACGGCGGGCGCGTACAAGGCGTATTCTTCCGGGCGCACACGGTGCAGACAGCGACAGACCTCTCGCTGACGGGGTGGGTGCACAACCTTCCGTCGGGCACGGCGGTGCAGGGCGAAGTCCAGGGCGCCGAGAGCGACGTCGAGGCGTTCCTGAAGGCCGTCGATAAGGGACCGCCGGGCGCCCACGTCGTCAGGCTTGACAGAAAAGAGGTCGCAGTCAAGAACGGCGAGGAGGGGTTTAGGAAGGTCAAGAGTTATGAGGAGCCGCCGGTGCCGAGCGATGTGTGAGGGTAAGGGTGGGTGAGGGTAAGAGGTGGGCTGTTGCGGGGGTACTAAGCGATGGCGAGACGGGATACTTTGCCCCAGATGGGGTTTTATACGATGATTACCGCGGGGATTAGGCGCAGAATACGGAAGAGAAAAAATGAAATTCTTCAGGCTCAAAGCCCTTTCTATGATTCTATCCTAGGAATCGCGCAGACAAAGACAAAGACAAACAACAAAATGGATATAGGAGAGATGTTAGGAAACCAGAGAAAGACAAGACAATATTGACGCCCACTAGGTATTTATCGCCGTCTTCGCAGACAAGGAAAAAGACAAAGAAATTCCCAACCAAAACGCCGCCGCTTCTATCATACCCAAAACGAAAAGGAAAAGGAGAATTAAACTTTGACGACTGCGGCCGGCTTCTCCGCCGCCAACTTCGCCAGCTCCTCACGCTCCCAGCCAGTGCCCTTGATCCACTGGTATCCCTTGCTGGGCGTTGGGACTCCGGCTGGCCACACGGCAGCGTACGGGTTCGGATCCATCTTCTGCTCCAGGTTGGCCAGGGTGTGGTTTACCTCGCGGTGCTTTGCCTCGTCGGCGCGGACTACCAGGAGCAGATCCTTGACGCTATCGTTGCCCGGCGGGAGCTTGAAGTAGTCCTTCGCGATCTGCGGCGCCTCCATGCCCTCCCAGCTCGGGAGCTTGCCGGCGTCGAGGTCCGCGATGATCCGCGTGTAGGTGATCACCGCTTCCTCCTCGAGGTAGCCGACGAAGCGGTGGCACGTGCGCGGCGAGATCAGGTATGCGAGGAAGAAGAAGTTGAAGAAGACTCTGGCGGGGGGGTGTTAGTCTATCGATCACATGACAGCAGACAGGAGGTAGGAGGTAGGTGACTCACCCCTGAGCGCCCAGCAGCATGGTGCGCATGAAGATCCCCGGCTCGCGGAACTTGAGGAACGTGAGCAAATGCATGCGCTCATTCTGGCTCTCCTCGAGCAGCGTCGCGATCCAGCCATTATCTCTCTTGAGGAGCCTCAACGAGTGGAGATGTCGCACCATTCCGCCGACCATACCGGGGACGCCCGCGATGGACTCGAGGAAGATCACCCGCGTCAGCCACTTGGACTCGTTCATGGCGTACTTCTGCACCGCTGCAGCGGGGTCCTTCTTCCCGAGTGCTACCGCCGCGTCGTGCTTGTACCCCGTCGCTAGGTCGAAGCCCCACCGGGCTACGTGCACGGCCGTCAGCGCAACGTAGTCGGACCAGCTTGAGCACTTGCGGTGGGCGATTTTCTACACACACATGTGTTAGCAGCCAACCAACCGGGAGAAGCGGAGCGGGAATGGGTAGCGACTCACGATCTGCTCCATCTCTTCGAACGTGTACACTGGGTGCGGCCACGTCGGCTCGGTGATCGTGTACTCGGACTCGAGCTTGAGCTTGAGCTCGGGCTGGGCTTGGGAGCGCGGGAGGTGGGTCACCGCCGTGGTGGTGAAGGTCGAAGTGTGGCCGTAGGCCGGTGGATGCCGCAGCAGCACCGAGCACGCCGGCCGGAAATGGGTCGTGGCGAGCCGTGAGCAAACGGCTCTGGTCGTCCTGGGGGATACTAGCATCGTGGGTTGTGGAGGATATCGAGTGGTGTTGTGTCAAGTGCTTGTTGTTGTGTGTTTATACTGTTGATGGTGATGATTCAACCTGAGGTCCGAACAATATGTAGTACACAGCTAGGGCGGACCAGTGGTCATCTTTTATACAAAATGATTTTTGACTCGCAAGACAAGACCAGACAAGACCAGACAAGACAAGACAAAACAAAACCAGACAAGCCCCAAAAATTTCCAACCGGCCGAATGAAGCCTCAGTCCCAGAACTGCCAGTCCTGAGTACGTAGGTAAAACACACAGCCATCCAGGACGGACAGGACGACAGAGCTCCGTCCCGCCGTGTCCGACTCTGGCATAGTAATCGGGAGGTATAGGAATAGGTAGGGGCCCACTCTACGGTAGGTAGAATACTCTAGCTATGATGTGAAGCTTTTCTAATCCGCCGGATGCCAGCTCCCTGTTTGGCCAGTCAGCGGCCAGCGGCCAGCATCAGGCACCGGGACGAACCGGGCGCCCCCAAGCCCCATCAGCCCCCATCAGCCTCGCCTTGCCGTCGCGGTGGTGGTTGGTTGGCTGGCAGGACGGACCCGGACTCGGAACGTTTGGATTTAGGCGCGCCTCGACCCGTCACCCGGGGAAATGATTACTCCGATTCTGTTTTTTTACTTTTTTTTTTACGAGCGTTTTTTTTAGGGGGGAGGGAAAGGGAAATGATGTAACGAGTTACGAGTTACGAGAGGGGCCGTTCCGATTTTTGGCCGTGTGGCGGCGTGGCGCGTGCGCGTGTATGTAGGCAACTGGGTGGGTGTGTGTGTGACTCATCGAGGGGTCCGAGGGGTCCGAGTGGTCGGGACTGTCGGGACTGTCGGGTGGCTAGGTTGATCACCATCACCGGGTCACGGGATCCTCAGGATCTACATAGTGACCAGTCAGAGGCTCGGAGCAGTCAGGTACCTGCTCTACATATTTCAGTTTTCGCGTGGACACCGGACAGGTATCTTCCCTGCGCCTTTCGGGTTCTTTCGAGGCTCGAGTGTCGACGACCCTGACGTTACCCGTAGTAGTAATTACTAGCAACTGATACGGCAGTCCCAGTCGCAGTCGCAGTCGTATTCGCAGCTGCTCCGGCTCCGTAGCCGTCGGGTGTGCGCTTGCTGCTCCCCGAAATACCTTTGCCAGTGCCAGTCAGTACTGGACTAGGGCGGTTTAACGTTATCGACACATACTTAAAGTATGTACTTACCGAAGCATGTAGGACGTCGAGTCGTCGACGTTCGCAGCATTTGTAGAGTAGAGTACACACGGCAAAACCGTTACGGCCAGACTATCTACAAATAGTATCCCTGGAGCTTGAGTCTTGAAAGTTGACATGTGGACTAGCATTCGGGAGTTGGCGTTCGGAACCTAACGTGCGGGACCTGGCGCGGGACCTGGCGCGGGAACTGCCCGGGAACTGGTCAGGAGCTGGCCGGGAGCTAGGGCTTGGTGTAGATACCATGTAGTGAAGGACTAAAATTTCGAGCTCGCACATGTGAGTCATGATATGTTTTCAGGGTGAGGAGAAGGACCCTCGCCCCAAGATCTCTGGGTACCGTATGTAGTATGCATACTTTCGGCAATCTGGTGACTCGTGAGACCTGGTGAAGGGACCACCGTACACCCGAGGTATAGGTACCTTGGGTAGGGGAGGGGGGAGGGAGAGATCCAGCCCGCCGCCGCTGGGCGGTCATACCGGTATTCCTGACGTTCTCGTGACTCGTGGGATACAGATACTACCGGTATAGATAGGACTTTCAACTCCAGAGTCCACCCTCGGGCCTCGAGAGTCGACACCCACGGTCCCACATGGAACACCCACAGCTTCGATTACCGGCCAGACACCGTCCGCACACCGGCCACCATCGTCACCACCATCACATGCGAACGCTTCCACTCCAGCAGCTCCAGCAGCCCCACTCCAGCAGCCCCACAGGGGGCAAAGTACTACCGACCGGCGGCAGTTACATAGTGGCGTCGGGTTCCCATCGATAACCTTATCCTTATCTCGACCACCTACCCAGTTACTACCCAGTTACTACCGAGCAGATCCCTCGGCGTATGTAATACCTGCCGTACTACCTACCGTAATATATGTAGTGCAGTGCACATGAGAGCGTGCACGGCCGCGTCGGTGTGTACTACCTGGGTATACGGTAATAGGTAGTAGTAGGTAGTACCCGAGCCGACTCCCGAGCCTGTTTTCGTCCGGCGCTGCGAGGGTGGGATCATAAGGCTGCACTCGGCAGGACTCACAGTCGCGGGTGACAATGGGCGCGGAAGAACATGTGTTTACAAACATTTGGAGGGACAATATGACTGCCTCTGCTGTGGACCAGCTCGAACACTCGTATTGTTCTCGTTGCTCGGATAGGCATTCGCACTCAGCCTTTATTGTTCCAAACCCCATCTATTCACCTTCATTAACCATTGAACACCCCCATTATCTATCCCATATCCCATATCTAAAGAACCCCAGGAAGTCTACGTATGCATATGTAACTACAAAAATCCGATCCAAAACCCCATCCCCCGCTCCCCGTCCCCACGTCCCACCCTCCCTAGCTCCCTCATCCCTCCCCCACCTCAATTCTTCACCTCCCGCCCCCTAACCCTCGCCCAGAGCCTGCTCCACCTATACTCCCTAAACGCCCAGTACAGCGTGTACACGAGTACCAAATTCGTGACCAAAAACACACAAAAGACTCCGAGGTCCCTCCATCTGTTTTCGAACTGGACGTTGATAGTTTTCAAGTACTCATCACCGTTTTCAAAGATGCAGTATTGGCACTCATCAGCCGCGTCGATATCGACGATATATCCCGAGGCCTGTTGTAGCCATTCGCCCGCGAACGCGCCGCACGTGGTGTTAGCGGGGAGCGTGAAGCGCACGAGCTCCGCGGCGGAGCAGCGCACCGGCAGCTCGTGCATGATGCTTGCGAGCAGGCCGCGGGTCAGCCAGGTGAGGGGGTTTGCCCAGTAGAGCCAGGAACGGTAGAATGTTGGCAGGGCGTAGTATGTGACCAGGATCCCCGTGAAGCCGTTGTTGACGATGAAGATGAACGGGTTCACGACGTTGACGATGGTCAGGTCCGGACAGACCGCCGCGATCCACATGGCGATGTGTGGAATCCAGATGTTGAATAGCATGATGAAGAGGAATACGTACCCCGCGATCGACGCGTTGTTGGGCAGGCCGATCATGTAGTACCACGGCAGGAAGAAGAACACGGAGCTCAGGATGGCGTAGGGGATCTCGACTAGTGCCATCGCCGTGATCCAGGCGGGCGCGGAGTAGATCTTGCTGTTTCGCTCGCGCGTCTCGTAGAGCGTGCGGAGCTGCAGGAACTTGGGCTGCACCGCCGTCAGGATCATGGGCGACAGGATCAGCACGAGGAACACCGCGAAGGTGCGCGATTGCATCTCGATGACGCTATTGCCGGACTGCAGGAAGAGCACACCGGCCACGAGGGCCATCGAGAGGCCCGAGAAACACTTGGAGTAGCCGTAGGATGCGTCGCGCCAGTAGTGCAGCCAGACTCGTTCCGTCAAGGCCACTATCTGGGTCGACAGCGGCATGGCGTACTCCTGGGTTCTCAGCTCGCGAGATAGGGGAATGTTCTTTCTGGTGGTGATGATGGTCTTGATCTCCTCCAACAGCGCGCTGTTCTGCGGCGAGGAATCCCAGGTCTCCGTCCAGCCCTGAGGCCCGGCTGGAACCCTGATTGTATCCAGTATGTATTCCGCGGGGTTCGCGTCTGCGGGTGCGGCGGCTGCTCCGTTGCGTTCAAAATAGTCGATTACGGTCTGGCCAGCGTCTCCGATCGGTCCGAAATAGACCTCCTTTCCGCCGCGCGCCAGAAGCAGCAAGTCGTCGAACTCCTGGAACAATACAGCACTCGGCTGGTGGATCGTCACCAAGATTGCGATACCGGACTCATCTGCCAGTTTCCTGAGGAACCGGACGATGGAGAGTGCACCGTTGGCATCCAGCCCAGATGTTGGCTCATCCAGGAATAACAGCTCGGAAGGCGCAGATGCTAGTTCTACTCCAATAGTGACCCGCTTCCTTTCCTCGACCGAGAGTCCGAACCCCGGCGACCCAATGATCGCATCGGCGAGTGATTCGAGCTCGAGGAGCTTGATGATCTCTTCCACGAATTTGTACTTGTCTTCTTTCGAAACGCTCGCCGGTTGCCGTAGGAGGGCACTGAACCTCATTGCTTCTCTTACGGTCGACATCTCTGTGAATAAACGTTAGCTCGGATCAGACCGAAAACATCTGACAGCCATGTACATACCATCATGAACATCCTGCTGCTCCACAAATGCTGTACTCCTCCCAAAGTCCGGCGCCAGTTCCCTTCCATCCATCCTCAGCTCTCCGGAGATGACACCAACACGTTTCCGCATGCCCAGATTATCCAGCAGCGTAGTCTTTCCCGCGCCGCTAGGGCCCATGAGCGCAGTCAGACGGCCAGGCTTGCAGTAGCCGTTGACACCGTGCAGGAGCTGTACATCTCCAACAGAGTAATCGACATTTCTCCACGTGAAGAACGAACCCTTAGCTTTGACGGTGGTGACTCGGCGTGTGATATCCATCGATTTCTCGGTGTCGTTTGCCAGTGCCGACGACTCCTGCTTCTCTTCGACAGTGGGAGGTTCCTCGGCTGCGACAGGCGGTGGCTTCGTAAGGATCTTGATAGACCCTCCGCCAGCACCGAAATCCATGTATTCGACTCCGAGCATGGCCACGATGATGTAGAGAACGGTGAAGGCGATAAGGACGCCGAAGTTGCGCCACAGGTGCGATGGGTCGTAGCCGAAGGTCTTGATGTAGTCCGTTCCGGAGATTGTCAGGGAGCCAGGTCTCGCTCCGGCCAGATTGCAGGCTTGGTTCGCCGTAGATATTCCGGGGATTCCCGGGATGATGTGGGATGGTGAACATTCGAGCTCCATCCCATGGAATTGGTTTACCATCACGGCTTCCATGCTGTACATCAATGGGCTATTCGACACATGCCAGTCAGCTTTCCGATGTTTATAGCATTTGGTTGTGGAGCAAGCACTTACTTGGCCCAGTAGATCCATTTGTACACCCAAGACTTCATGGCCTGATACGGCTGCATGTAACCCGCGAACAGGGCGATGACATTGAGTCCGATGAATGCAAGTCGAATGGAGATGTTGATGTCCCTACTGAACGCACCAACCACGCGATAGAACGCGGTAACACAGATCACGGTAGTCTGTTTCCTTCGTCAGCCATCATCCCAGCAAAGATAGAATGCAGCCAGGTAAAAGAAACTCACAAAGACAAACAACAGATTGGTAAAGAATTTGCCAACATCGGCGACAAGATTAGCCATCCAGTAAAGGATGAGAGTGAAGATCACAGTCTGAACAGCCAACAAGGGCAGATCGGCGAGCGTCCGGGCGAGTATCAAAGCGGCCGGTCGGTAAAACGCAAAGGCTTTCTGTTTCGCCATGATGTTTCTTCCCATGACCATGAAGATAGTCTCCGAGATCTGCATCCAGGAAACAATGATGATATTGAAGAAGAGCACACCGCCGATGAAGAATGCACCTTCCGATGTCCGCTTGATGTTGTAGAAAAGACTGCCGTTCAACAGGCCGAGGATGACGACATTGATCAGTTTACTTCGCAGCGCAATGACATCTTGTCGTTGCAGCTGAAGCTCCCGCTTGGTCAGATACCATACCTGCATGGGGAACGAGACGGTGTAGGGCGATCCCTTGGGCGCACGCCGCGATTTTTCAGCCACCACGGCTTGTCTGAAGTCTCGCGTGTCTGCCGCCGAGGTCTCCTGCCGTTCCCGATCGTATGCCTCCAGTTCGGCCTGCAACTCGGGCCAGAATTTGCTGCTCTTGAATGCTGTTTCGAGGGCCTCGGCTGTGAGCGGTACTCTGCCCTCCATACCCGGGCGGATACGCCGAGTCTTTGCGTCGGTGATGGTGGTGAGGAAATCGCTCGTGGTGATGCGGGCAGTGGCGGCGAATCCCAAATCCTCAAAATAGCGACGAGCCTCCGAGGCTTTACCAAAGAATATCTGACGGCCTTCGTGGATGAGACACACCTTGTCGAACTCCTTGTAGATCTGCTCTCCGGCTTGGTACAAGGTTACGATGGTGGTTGACTGTTGGATGCTGGTCAGGATCCGCAGAGAGCGGATGTAGTCGACGGCAGTGGAGCTGTCGAGTCCTCTCGTGCTGTTATCCCAGGCATTGATGGTCGACCGCGAGGCCAAGGCTTCCATGATCGATACTCGCTTCCGCTCACCGCCACTGACTCCCCGCATGAACTGGTTGCCTACCATGGTGTTGAGGACGTGCTTCATCTTGAACATGGTGGCGAAGAGGTTCAGCATCTCCGAGACGAATTCCTTACGAGAGGTTCCTGGAAGCCTCGTATGTGGTGTTTTTGCCCTCAGCGCAAATCGAAGGGTCTGCTCCACCGATAAGGTTGGCAGATGTGTATCCTCTACCAGAAAAACATGTCAGTCAGTCGTTCAAGACTCGCGTCGAATACACGTAGCGACTCACCTTCGTCATTGTAGAGAATTTCTCCTCTAAACTGTCCCAGAGCCAACTCAAAAGGCAGGCCGGCGTAGTTAATGTCGCCATCGATCTTAGTATAAGCTCTGAGCTGATTCGTCAACGCCCTCAAGAAAGTCGAAGCACCGGACCCAGGTTTCCCCAGAACCAGCAACATCTCCCCGGGCTTGACGACACCACTGAAGCCCTGAATGATGGGCTTTTCCTGTGGCGCCGGAGCCAGCAACCTCTGCGCATACTTGACGATATCCCACCCAAACAGCGAGAGCAGCTTCTGCGGGAACGTCTCGACCAGCACCCAGCCCGCGCCGGCGTACCCTGAGATCGTCAGGTCGCGGAAGGAAACGCCAATCTTCTTGGGTATTATTCCCGCCTCTTTGCCGCGCTCGCGGGATCGGTTCTGGAGATACTCCTCGAGGTCGATCAGCGTGGTGTCGGCGGAGGCCTCGCCCTCTTCTTCGTCCGGCGAGGGCTTCTTGGGGCTGAAGACCGATCCGTGCCGGCCACTCATGGATGGCCGTCGGCCTGTCGTGGGGACTCGGCTGAGCTCTCGTCGGAGGCTGCGCACATCATCAGCACACGTCCCGACTCGAGAATGGGATCGATCAATCAAACGTACTCCTCGTATTCGTGCAGCGCCTCGCCGACATTCACGGGGTCGGTGAAGGCCTCTCCCCAGCGTCCATCCCTCTCCGCCGGCTCTCCATCCTTCTCACTGCTTATCGGCTTCAAGGCACACTCAGTAGACGACGTGGAGGCAGAGATGGACGAGGCCGCCGTGGTGTTGACCTCAGTGGCCTTAGCACCGACGCTCGTCCCGTGGGTCGCCATTGCTGCTGCTGCTGCTGTCGAGACGGTAGGTGAATAGAGTATAGAGTGTCGCGACTCTGAGCAGCGTGCGGCGTGCGGCGTCCAAAGGCAGTAACTATATCGATGATGCAGACAGTTCACAGCAAAGCAAAGACCGGAAGGAACCCGAGGACCGCCTATACATATACACACACGGCCGGCCGGCTCGCCCCTCCCCCACGCCCGCAAGCAAGCAAGCACTAGCTACATAACCATCCCACCCCCCACCCCCTGCATGGGAGGGAGACGATGAAAGTAGGTTTTGGCCCTAGATAGATACCCACATCATGATGGCCTCGTATAGTTATCCACGGGCTAATGCCGCAGGCCCGCAGTGCACTCGGAAACAACGATATCTCCGCCCCAGCATGGCTCCGGCAGCTGCAGAAGCTGCAGCTCCCGGATCATCTCCCTGTCACCGTCGGTCAATCGTCTCGATTGGAAATTGAACTCGCACGCTTCTGACGCAAGCCAGTTAGCAGGTATGAAAAAGGCCCTCGAATGTTCGCCGGACGGATGGACAGGCTGGCTGGCAGGCAGCATGTATGTGAGTGAGTGAGTAAAGTAACTATCAGAAGGCCGTAATCAGTGGGGGGTTGGTTTTTGCCTTGTCCTTGCAGTATGTACATATGGTAGACCGCCCAGTTACGTACGTACGTGTGCTGTGAAGCCACTAACCCGAGTAACTGTGATAGGTACCCGGCCGGCCGCACCTTGCAGCAGTTGGGAGGAGAGGTCCGGGGGGGTGTGTTTTTGCTCCGTAAGCCATATCCATCCATCCATTCCTTCTCCTCGCCTAACATTCCGTTGATGCTGGCTTCCTGCGGGAAGATAAGCTTACTTGGCCGTGCGTGTGCGTGTGCATCCTTACCGTAGTGCGTTGCCGGCTTCTTTCACCTATCCGGGACTAGGCAGCGAGCACAACCTGCCCGCGCAAGCAAGCAATCAATTAAGCAATTTTTAAGCAATCAGTTCGGTCGGTCGGGCTCTCCCGAGTCCCTCCCTCTCTCGCGACTCGCGAGTGGAGTCAAGTTAGTTAGCCGAAGTGATGTGACTCGAAGTGAGTCGAAGGGAAGCGGGTGGATTTGTAATGCTCTTGATAATGGAGGGGATTACTCTTCCATCGAATCCATCCCCCATTGCGATGGCCATAGGTATGTGCAAACATAAGTACAATACCTACATAACGTGGAAACGCACCGCACCGCACCGCACCACACCCTGGCCAGTGGTTGATCTTTCAGCAAGCAAGCAGACGAGCTCGTATCGATCGTCATCCAGGGGGACAGTCACAGCACGAACCGGCGTGAGCACCGTGTCGATTAATAATGTCGTTCTCTGCCTGCTCTGATGAATATGGATTCCCTGATGGTGCCATCCTCCTCCCTCTGACGAACACGAACACGAACCGCCGTATGATGACATAGGTGAGTAAGGGCCCGCTTGGATGGCCTCAGTTTTCAGTTCCAGTTTTAGAGCGAAATTCAGTTCCCCGCCGGGACACCGAATACTGTCCAGTTTCAGTTTCCGGAGAACCGTGAGGTGAACAGAGCGTTTGACAGTTCTCAGATTACTCAGCCATAAGTCTGAATGATAGGCTTCACCAGAACTTCAATAGTGGACACATTGTGGCCCCGCTTTTTTCTCATGGTTGAAGTTAAAATGCGATACTGAGTGGCGGCAAAGAAATGGCCTCTCGAGGTCAGTACCAGTTTCGTCGTTGGAGCCGCACAGTTTCGGTTTTATTTTTTTAAGTTTTTGTGCCATCCAAACGGGGTCTCAGTTTTGTTTCCTCGGTTTCTCGAAAAACTGACAGTTTTCGTTAAAACTGAGGCCATCCAAACGGGCCCTAAGTACTTAAGAACATACATGCCCACCGGCATTCCCCCCTTGCTCCCATGCTCCCACGGGAGCCAGTCCTGTTCGAAGGCTGATTCTGAAATTGAAACCGAGTTGGCCAACGATATTGCTTCCCTCCCTCTCTCTTACCGTAGTCTACCTAGCCTAGAGTGCGTACGCACCTCACACATATCATACCGGTACTTCTCCCGCAGCAGGTCGATATCGGGATCGGCCCGGAGATAATACAAACCCCATGGCGATAGAGTAGCCAGACCCACCAACCAACCACCAAACAAACACCCGCAGCGAAAGAAAAGAAAAGCAAAAGCAACGGCCGTGAGACACGGCGTGCATTGCGCCCCGCCCGGACGCCTAAGAGCAGCTGGCTATGATGTAACTGGCAGTTATATGGTTAAAAATGTCGGTTCCCGGCAGTGTCACTCACGGACAACTCGCCGATGGTTAAAACTGGCCTGTGCAAAATCCACGAGTGACGAATCTAGATTGGCAAGTACTATATCCTGGAGCCATACAGAGCGGAGGCAGGAGCAATTGTAGATAAAAGTTAAAAGTCGATATCGAGAACCGTGCCCGATAGTTAACACGGTTGTGTTGAATATTTCAACCAACCTACCGGACAAACCATTCTGCCGTTCTGGGGTTTGATGGTGGAATTTCTTTGTCAGTGTATTGATACCTCTACCGACCATAACCTTACGGTTCCATGCTGTGCGAATTGGCAATCAATCAAATCGTTCTGCTGGCCGGTGAACCGAGATCGCAGGCTTTCCGCCGAAACATACAAAGCTTGGTCTGGGAGAGTTTAAAGAGTTCAAAGAGATGAATAGATACCGCTATCTTCATCCCCCGAATGCCCTCCAGGCTCCAGAGGTTATGCGGATCGTGTGTTGATTGGTTTAATGGTGACAATCATGGCCCACCACCAGCACCACCACCACTACCAGCATTTCAAATCAAAAAATCCAGTGGACGGTGGTTGGCACATACGTATTTCCAGTTATTTCCAAGATCCTCTGCGCTGTACAGCGATTCCCCTGAAAATCCATCCGGCAGTTATCAATATCAATATCATATTTATTATGCTTTATTATGCGCAGCCCGAGTTTTCCGCCGCCGGCAGCAGTAGCAGCAGCGGCAGCAGCACAAGCTAGAACCCCGCCCCAGAGAAAAAAATGCGAGCCGAGCGTCGGCGCTTCCGGATCTGCATCGCAACGCAATGCAGCGCACGGGCTTTGGAAAAACCACCGAGCCTTTAGCCTTTCGGGCACGAGTGTGCGAATTTCCAATAAAAGAATACAGAGGTAGGTAATCCGGTTTCCATTGCGACATATATGCCCGCTGTGCTCTGAACGACTCACTCGGAAGCATCATTTGGTCCCGTGAGCTCTCAAACTCGGCGTGCGTAGATTTTGACTTCGGCTGCGGTCCCTCCTCCCCCTCCTCCTCCTCCTCCTCCTCCTTCTCCTCCTTCTCCTCCTTCTCCTCCTCCTCCTCCTCCTCCTCCTCCTGCGGACTCGGCAGGCTCGGCTCGGTGGGCGCGATAAACTGCTTTCGCTTACATATGCGCCGTTGGTTATCGGCGGCTTTCCTATATAGCACCTAGTAGAGAGGCATGTGAATCTCAGTTAACAGTAATTTGTCACGGGCTGCGTACGTGGTTATGCCGAATACGTACACACCCATGCCCTATATTGGAGGTTAACCGTAGATTCTGAGTCCGGAGCTATCCGGTGGGTACTTAGTCAAGTAAGTAGGCAGACAAAAGGCATCATAGCTGGATAAATCCCGAAATCAAACGAGTGCGTTGGTGGTGAACGGTGGAACCCGGCTATGTAGGTACATATTCGGACCACAATCTCACGGTGGTCTTGTCTCTTTGGACTGTGAGAGCTGGAGGGAAATGAGCGGATTCGAGATTTATAAGCCTAGGTAGGCATGTATTTCGGTATTCCTCCCGATTCCACATCCCCATCCTTCAGCGTCCCTTCTCATTCCCAACCCACCTGATCTCATCCCCTCCCCCTTCCAGCCCCGTATAGCGTCCCCCGTGCTCTACCAACCCCTTGACCACATCTCTCGCAGACCTGATACAATCATTCATGCCGACGCCTCTATAGCTCGCACCAGCCACACACAGGCGTCCACCGAACGTCTCCAGGAGCGCCTGCTTCACATCCTTCATCCTCGCATCGTGGCCCACGTTATACTGCGGGATACAGTCCCTATTCAGCGCGACGTTCGCCGCAAGCGGCTCCTCGTCGATGTGCAGGTGCTGCCTCAACACGTCACGAGCCATCCGCACGCCCTCCGCGTCTGACGGGAACGAGGTCCGGCCCTGCCAGTAGTGCCCGCCGAGCATAATCGTGACCTTCGTGCCCGTCTCTGATGGCTGTGGCGTAGCGCACGAGTCGAAGATTACGCCGAGCGCCTTGTGCGGATTGGAGGAGGATGGGATGGATTTGGGAAGGAGATAGCCGAATCCCTCTACTGGGAGGAGATTGGACGTCGCGAAGTACAGGTTGACGACGAGGACTGTGACGGCTTCGATTTGTGCGAGCGCGGGAATGCGGTGCGTGGGTGAGAGGAGAGAGTTGGTGACTGAGGCATAGAGAGTCGAGACGACGTGGGAATGTTTTCCGCCGCCGAGTGAGAACGGCAGATTGGCGTCGTCGGGGGAGTATTCGACGCTGCCAAGGTCGGCGGAAGTTTCGATGGTGATGTTGGGGTTTTTCTTGAGCTCTGTGACAAGTGCCCGACTAAGGGTCTCAATACCGCCCTTGAACGAGTACACGCTCGCGTTCTCGAGCTTCTTCATGAGCTCAGCATTGTCCGGAGTAAGTTCAGCCTGCAATGTCACATCGTCGACGATCTCAGCTTTGTTCTTTGTGCGCAACATCCCGAGGATCAAAGATCCATGTGCCGCCTCATTCCGCCACATCGTGGGGAAAAGCGATTTGACGCTGAGACGGTCGATATCGCCGGCGTAGATCCCGTGCAAGACCGCCGAGACCATATTTTGGGCAAGGCTTGGGCCGAAGCGCCGGCTGATGAACGATCCAACCGATTCGTCCTGGAGATCTGGTGATCGGCGCCTCCGGAATGGCTCCTTGAGGATACCGCCGAGGACACCCTTCATCACGGGGAGTCTCGGGGAGAGCATCGCCGAGACTGCACTGTTCGGGAGCTCGTTGAGGCGGTCGGGATAGTAGATGAACCGGTTCCGAGCGGCGGGAGAAGTCTTCGGGATGATCGCCAGCTCGTCTTCGAGCTTCAGCTGTCGAATCTAAAACCGTGTAAGATGTAGTGGACCAACACCCGGTAATCCGCAACGCACCATATCCAGCGTAACCAGCCCAGCGATCGACCAAGGTCGCAGGGTTCTCGGGCCCTGCTCGAACAGCACACTCCCGCCATTATACTCCACACGCTTCGAATTGAGCCATCCGCCCAGCCTCGACGACTTCTCGTACAGCGTGACTGGAACCGCCGGCGCAAGCTTGGATAAGTACCATGCCGCCGACAACCCGGTGATGCCGCCGCCTGCAAGCGATAGTCAGCACGTACGGAAACCCTCCAATCACGGTCGGAGAGTGAAAGCTGAACCGAGAATTGCGACTGACTTGATCTGCTGGGAATCGGCGCGTATCGAGAGCTGTCGTGTAGCTGTGCCCATAAGATTCCGGCATTGAGCTCGGAGAGGGCTGGACATAGCCGTGAGGTGTATGTTTCTCGAAGTATTCCCCAACATGGTGATCGTGTCTTGAGGAAGAAGAGAGGTGGTCCGATCTGAGTTGTTCCCGATGGTCCTCACTGCTCAGACGCAATGGCGTGGTATGGTACAATACATAGCACGGTTACACGGAACCCTGCGGAACCTTAGCACTGACGACGTCAGAATTAGAGTGAATTTACGAGGCTCGGCGTTTCTCTCTGGCGTCCCCCACATCTGCCCCATCAGCCCCATCTCACACACATCGCCGCAAGCATTTTCACCACCACCACCTCGCATATCCACACGTACGCCGCAGATATGGCCGAGACAGCACAGACAGCGCGGTCACTGGTACCTCCCTCCCTCCGTTTCTCCCCCCGGACCGCGCGACGAAACTAACTAACTCGCCACCACCCGGGATGTAACAGTACCGCAACCTCCTCCGCTTCTCGAACCGCTTCGCCGCCTACAACTTCCGCGAATACGCCAAGCGACGCTCGCGCGATGCGTTCCGCGAGCACCGGCTGGAGCATGATCCCCAGCGTGTCCAGGAGCTGATTGCGCGCGGTCAGCGCGATCTCAAAGTGCTGCAGGTGCGTGGAAGCGGGAGAGCAAGAAGGAAGGGTGCTGACAAACATGCGCGGGGACAGAGACAAACCATGTTGAGCCAGTATTTCCAGCTCGATCGGTTGGTCGTTGAGGGCGGCGCTTCGGGAAAGCAGAAGGGCACCAAGGGCGATATTGCTAGACTGAAGGATACTGGGTATGATTCCTCCTTTCCCGTGTTCTCTCTTCAATGACAGCTGACAGAAGGCATACAGTTGGGACTAAATGGCTCGCATCAATTCATCCGTCCAGACTGGAGTTCTTTGCAACGTTGTACTTCATGAATAAGAAATCATTTCCGAATTCCCCGGGCATACATATGTGCACCCGGAATTCCTTGTGCATACATCATATCACCTCTCTCTCTCCGTGATGCAATTTGAAGTTACCGACTTGAAAGGACTGGATTTATTTTCTCACAGTGTACCATCCTGGCTGTGTATCGGAGTTCCGGGCTGGATTGTCGCAGTGGCTACATGGTTAGAGGGGTGAACCCGCCAGCGGAATCAGCTACGCCTAGGTATCACAGAAGGATTGATGGAAGGATCAGGCAGATCTTTGTACAAGCAAGATACTCACCACGTATTCCATCACCTACCGCCCGATTTGTCACTCGTGGAAGGGGTATGAAGATACGATTACGATGCTCATAGTCCGTAGACCTATGGTGCTCAGCGATTACGAGTGGTAAAATCTAAGTAATCAGTTTCTTTGATCACAATTTCTGGCACAGAGTATCACGAGCATATGATCCGAATAATTTGAACCCATCATCGTTTCGTTTGTTCCACAGATTCTCGTAAAACAGAGACACTTGCACACAATGTAGAAAGAAATCGCAAAACAACCAGAAGACACTTTTTATACAAAATCACAGCAGCACTATTAGATTAGGGAAGATGCGCCGATCATTTATTTGACCTCAAGGAGTTTGACTGCTTCATGTTAGCCATATTCGTAGACGACAAAGTAGCCAAGAGCAATGAACTCACCATCGAAGCACAGGGTAGAGTTGGCGGGGATGCCGGGGATCGCCTTGTTTCCGTAGCCCATGCTGGCGGGGATGGTGATGCGACGCTCGCCACCGACCCTCATGCCGACGAGACCGATGTCCCAACCCTTGATGACCTCGCCCTTACCGAGGCGGAAGGTGAAAGGCTTGCCCTGGGTGTTCTTGTCGAAGACCTTGCCGTTCTTATCGTTCAGCTTTCCGATGTAACGCATACCAAGCTTGTTGCCCTTCTTGCAGACAGCTCCGGTACCGACGGTCTTGTCCTCGACAGTGATGCCCTGGACAACCCTGGTGGTAGGAGCAGCAGCCTCGGGCTTCTTCTCGGCAACCTTCTTCTCGGGGGTCTGCTTAGTCGCGGGCTTCTCGGGAGTCTGTTTGGCGTCCTTCTTGCCGTTAGTGGGGCCCTGTTCGATAGGCTTTGCAAACTGGACCTTTTTCTTGGACTCGGGAGTGTCGTTGGTGGCAGCAACGGCCTTTCCGTCATTAGCCTTCAGCTTCTTCAGCTGCTTCTTGGAGAGCTTGGGCTCCTCGGGCTTGGCTAGAATGGAGTTAGCACGCGTCGGCCTGATATGGATGGGTTTTACATACCCTCGTCCTCCTCGGCAGCACGCTTGTTACCCTTCTTCTCGGCCTTGCCGAGCTTCTTCTCGGCTACCTTCTCGGTCGCCTTCTTCTTGGGGGTCTTGTCCTCCTCGGATTCGACCTCGGTGATGCGCGGCTCCTCAACGTCGTCAAGCTCATCCTCAGACTCAGCTCCTCCTCCAATGAGGTTCATGAGCTCTTCCTCATCGGGAGAAAGATCGTAATCCTCCTCGCCCTCGCTCTCCTCCTCGTCCGAGTAGCTCTCCTCGTCATCGTTCTCGTTGAGAGGAATGATGTAGTTTCCGGAAAGGGAGATGTCGTAGTTACCATCAACCTTGAAGAAGACCTCCTCATCCTCGCCGATGATGATGTCGAGGGGCTGCTGGTAAGTCTGAAGAACAGTCAGTGTCGATGCAGATACGTGAGTCGGAAGAACTAGTTGCACAGACTCTCTCGGTGTCCAAGGTGCAGATGACGAACTCCTCAGTCTCGAAACCACCCTCGGAATCCTCATCGTCGTCGCTGTCATCCTCCTTGGCGTCAACCTCCATAGCATTCTGCTCGGCGGCCTTGAGGGCCTTCTTGATGGCCTTGTCGGCCTCCCTCAACTTCTTGGAAGTGTGCTGGAGCTGGGCCTGCTCCTCCTCGTCGTCTTCCTCATCATCTTCTTCGTCCTCCTCGTCCTCATCCTCATAGTCATCGAGGTCAAGAGGACGGCGGATGATCTTCAAGGTGGCGCGCTTGGGCTTGGTCTCGTCAAGTGGCTTCGCACTGGGGTCAATGGCAGCCATTGTAAGACGGAACTGCGAGCAAAGAATAAGATGTCAGTATGGTGCGGCACATAAACCTGGACCCGCGAAGATCACGTACCATGTGAACGCCAGGGATTTCAGACGCGGCGATGGTGGGCTCATCACCGGCGGGGACCTGGAGGCCCCAGAAAGCAACGGACTGAACACCGGCAGACATTGTAGCGATCGTAATTGAGGGGAGTATGAAGTGAAGGGTGGTATTTGGGAATGGAGAGAGGGTGAGGTGCGGAGGGAGGAGGGAGAGGAAGAGGTTGAAGGTGATGGTTGAGTAGGCTGCGAGAAAAAGTTCAGTTAAGCGGATTTTATTTGCAGCCGCGCTAACGCGTACTGAGACAGGGAATGCCAAGATTTTCCCTGCTAACGGGAAGCGGTCGGCCCCTGTCAAACTCAAAGTGGTTGCTCACCGTGGCTCACCGATTCTCACACTCGTGTAGGGCTGCGACGGATGTTTGACAGTTCGGTTCCGTCTCCAAGACATCCGTTTTACAGTTGAAACCTGCGGAGCCTCATCTACAAGAGGGCATTCAAACAGGAGCTCAAAATCACACTCAGAACCACAACCAGATGCCATCCCCTGTGGGCCAGAAAGTCCTCGTCCGCAACCGTTTGCAGTTTTCAAGAGTCAGCAAAAGATACTTGGAATATTCGGGGTATATATGGGATAACTACTGATTCAAATATCCACAGATAAGAACAATCTGTGACCCAGTCGCCGCTGGGCAGTGCCTACCATTGTTCCGAGGCAAAGCCACCAGCAACCAGCATTTTACAGTACCTAGCATAAGGTATAACCGTAATAGATCTCACTGAGAAGGATCATAAGCTGCTGTAGCAAAAAACGAGCGTTTATCGGGAAAGGAGTGTTACTCGACTGGACGGACTGCAGTCGACTGGGCGGACTGGATGGACTGCAGTCGACTTGATGGACTGGTACTTTGAATGGAAAATGTTTGAAATCAGTAATGAACTTTTTGTGAATACACGTCTATAGTACAGCTATTGCAGATCCGCCTCGCACATTGCATTGAGGATATTCCCCATCTCCTTGACATCACCCTTTGTAGCAGCTACAAGACCATCTCGTTACCAGCTTTTGAGACTTTCCAGGGCCCTTCAGTGCGTCCTCACCCATGCTGCAGCGACGATGAGAGAGAGTAGTTTTAGCCCCATTAAAAACTCGTTCCAGCTCTGCTCTCATGGCGGGAAGGCTCAAATACTGGAGGGCCATTTTGGTAAGATCTTTCCAGCGAGGTTCATGTGGTTTATTCAACGAGTACTGTACCACATTGTCCATGGAATCGCATGGAGGCGGTTCCTGCTGGAAAACCTCCATCATATCTTTATTCAGACGACGGTGGGGTAGGAGATAGAGGGCTGGCATGGTACGGAAAGAGAACATTTGATAGGTTGAAAGAGTGATACCCTCTAGCTACATATACCTGGTTCGACCCAAAAATTCCAGAAATTGGCAGTCTGTCAGTCGACTGCAGTCCGAGGCGGCAAATCTCTGGGACAGACTAAATTCAAGCCGTCCTCCAATTTTATGGACTGGACTGGACTGGAATGGACTGGACTATCGGTAGCACCGTGGACCGTCATACGGTTGTACCTATTGATATAGACGTATCATTACCGTGGACTGAGTTACATGCTTCGTGAATTCCTCATGATACGGCCATGGTACAAGGAATAGGAGATCTTGAGACAGATTCATACCAGAGTATAGTATTGAAATTGCTTGTGAAAAGTAGGAGTCTCGGGACTTGATTATTCTCTCTCCCGCTGCGGCAGTAAGTCCTCTACCTATATACGTATGCTATCCAGTGTTCTCCATCGTCCGGTCCGGACGGTCCGGACGGCTCAAATGCCGAACGGTCCGAGCCTGGAACGGATCCAAGGGTCGGTCCCAGTCCAGTCCGACGATGGAGGACGACCGTCCAAGTCACGTAAATATGATTCGGCTGATAGATGATTTCTCAGCACCGATATCGATATCCTTCGCAGCACCACGTCAGTTCATCTCTCACCGCTCGGTGACATCATGATGTAGGTAGGTAGTCTCGAAATATGGTTCACTGTGATTTATTCTTTTAACCCCATAATCCCTCCGTCAGTACTCCATAGTATATGAGTAAGTACCCTCCGCTCGGTGACATCGTGACATGTAGTCCGCAGAGCGAATTGGAAATAGTCCTGCCGTACTTACGAAGAGCTCGAGTGATAGAGTATGATACCGCCCACCACCACCACCACACACACTCGGATGCTCGATATCTGAAACCGTACCGGAGCCCGCTGTCACCGCTCGTAAATGTAGATACATAGGTAAGTAGTACTGCGGCGGATCCGAAACCATAGTGTCCGGAAATAGCACATAGGTGGGTAGGTATCCCTCCAGAAGTCCTAAGTCCCGAGTCCCAAGTCCAGGCTCCTGAGTCCAGTACTTATTATCCAGTATCTAGTATCTACCTATGTACTATGATGTAGGTACCTGATCTTTACCCCTCCTCCCCGCAGCTCCGCTACTGCCCACTGCCCTGTGCCCAGTGCCCAGTGCCCGTGGCCCCCCGCTATACATACTAGGTATATAGCCGCCAAACAGTGAACCCCGTGATACCTAGCTAGGTAGAGCTCCTAGGTGGTAGATCTCCTCGGCGGAACCGACGAGCGATATGCAGCAGCAACAGCAGCAAGATGTATATAGCAGCATGTGTTGTACAGTATGTACGGTATCATACCAGTCATGTTTAGTTACTCACCGTAGTATCATACATCATACATTAGGTATGTAAACAGTGACTCCGCCGCTCTCCGCGACGGACAGCTCGAACTGTTTACCGGAGGACTCTAGGGTCCACTCGCGCTCTGGGAACGCAGGCTGACAGATACTATACGGTACCGAGTATTGCGCTCTTTGGCTGGAGTGGATACGCACGCAAGTCTGCGATGCGCGTGCATGTATAATATGGGTACATATGAGTGTGTATGTTTGTGTATGTGTATGTGTGTGCATGAGTACGTATATGTGTGTGTATGTGTGTGTATGAGTAAGAAGTATATGTGTGCAGGAACATGCACTGCACAACCGTTACCAGCGCCAAATGTACCGGTATCGATGTATCAATATGCGCTGAGACCGAGGGAGGCCATACCATTACTATCGCCATCACCATGTACCTCCAGGTTATGTACGAGTATCGTGGGCGACCGGTGCGGGCGGGCAGAATTCGATAGAGAACTCGCACCTTTCTCGCCCCTCGCCCCACTCGTCTTCACCCCACCGCCCCGGTGCCCCGCTGCCCCCTCACGGCTGCCAGTTCCAATCCAGTTCCAATTCAATCGCCATTCCCCTCTCGGCTCCCACTTACTCCCACTGCCCACTTGCTCCCACTGCCCACTTGCTCCCACTGCCCACTTGCTCCCACTGCCCACTGCCCACTGCCTCCTACTAGCACCCATTGACTCTGAGGCCCCATTCTGCTTTGCTGGAGAGAAGCAGCAGCAGCAGCAGCCAAATTCCCAAATCCCCAGATCCTCAAATTCCCACTCCTCGACGGACCCATCCCCCCTCGCCCCTCCCCATCCCCTGCACAACGACGCCATCGACCCCGCATTTTGTCCCACCACCCCCCGCACCACACCCACATGTCATACACGTACTACACACCCGCAGCACCCACTCATAACACCCGCAGCACCCACACCGGGACCCACAACAAACAATCAACAACGCGCGGAAAGGCAACAAACAACGCGAGCCAAACAACGCGAGTAAACAATAACAACGCGAGCGCACGTGTCGCCCACCGGCCAGTGATGTGAAGTGAGTGGACTCAACTCGACGTTCAATGCTTCGACAACGGCCACCTTCCCACTCCATCTCATTCCCCCCCCCCCAATCCCACAGGCGGAAGTAGGTAGTAATAGAGTATGTAGTAGAGTATTGTATCGGTATCGATTGAACATGAACTCATATACACCCCCGGCCCTCATCTCATGCCCACACCTCATACCCACATCCCATCCCCCATCCTCCATCTCACCCGCACATCTCACCATCCAAAAAGAAAAGAGCTTCCAAATCCATATCCTGTTGTAACAAAAGAAAAAGCCAGCCCATCTCCCATCTCCCATGCCCCACACCGCCCATCCCCCTAACCCGCATCCCCCAATCCCCCATCCACTCTCTCCCATCAACGAGTCGTTAGCAAACGGTTTCCAAAGTTTCCAGTGATAGCAAGCGGTACCTAGTACAGACAAAAAAACACATGGGAAAAACAACGTCCAAAAAAAACAACAAAAAAAAGACAAACAGGAGATCGAATCATACAGAGACGCTTCTTCCTTCTTTTTCCTCACAGGTATGTAGATACTTTCTACTCTCTTCCTTCCTCATATTCGACGTAATGTCTGTAGGGCAAGAGGAGGGCAGGTGGTGGTTTGGTCAGGACCGAGGATGTGGGGATAGACAAAAACTGGTAGGACACAACACCGCACACTGAAACGGGGTGAAGCCCTCCATGGACGGACGGACCGACGGACGGTACAAAAAGAGGAGGATAAACGGAAACAAAAACGATAAAATGTGCATAGAGTACGCCCAAGTACGCCACGCCCATCTCTCCGCCGCCCCAACACAACACACAACACACTCCCTATCGACCACTGCCCCAACCAGAGAAGAACAAACGGTAAGTAAAAGAAAAGAAAAAAAGCATTAGGAAAGAACAGCGGAAAGGAGAAAAACAGCAACCCGTCCCCTAAAGTTGCGGGTATATCGAATACGAGTATGTACTGTAATGAGGGGGTATCAGGATGATGTTCTTGGTGGACTAGAGCACCATCCCATCATTATGAACAAATGTACGAGAGCACATATTGCGCACACACTCAAGACGCCGTCATGTTAATCTTAGTGGAGCACCAGAAACGGTCGGGCGGTCGGTTGGTGGGAGAATCAGAAAATTGACGAGAGTAAAATCCGACACGCTGATGCGAAAAAGGTAATAAAAGACAATGAACGCCGATCCGTGGATGCAGTATGAATGGATGGTTGATCGCCACGATCTAGTAGGTTGCCATTCGTCTCGATCGCGGGGGCGCAATGTCGAGGCCGCCTGATCCGCATGCCGGGCGTTTGCCTGCCAGGCCAGCGCTAGGACTGCCTTCAATTTCGGGGAGGGCGCCGTATGTAAAGCTCTGCGTGCGCGAGAACGATTTGTGGTTGTGGTTGCGGCGGAACTTGCTCATCTCACGTTCACAGGTACGCTTGTGCTTCTCGTCGTCCATCTCGACGTAGTGTTGGGGCTCGCAGCGGATTTTATGCTGGCTGAAGAAGGACGAGTATCCACCCTCGAGAACGAAAATGTCAGGGTAGTTGAGTGCGGGATAACGATGCATGTTCACGAGTCTGTCACGCTTGCGGAGGTGGAGAGCCCTGGGAGATGATTAGCTACGCATGCAAAGCGATGGACGCGGATCGATCTTACATGCGCGGTGCACGATGAGCCGAGTACTCGCAGTGGAAGATGATTAGCTGACGCTTATCTCCCTGCGGCTCGGCAAAGAATTTCTCCTCCAGAATATCAATGCTATTGATATTGGTCGCTCCGGCGATGTGTCCTCCCTCAAACTCGTATTCAAAGCGGCAGTCCACAATCATAAATTCGTCGTAGTGCTCCTCGTATTCTCCATCCATGATTGAGATGAGGGTGGCCCGGTTGATGCGGCGGAGAGGGTCATCCTTTACGTTGAACGAAGGGATGTATGTGTTCTCGCCAGCGTCGGCCATGGGGGACTTGGACACCTCCTCGTTCGCATCTTTAGTGACGACTTCTTGCGGATGCTCAAACATGCTCATAGTACGCCTAATCTTTCCCTTCGGTCTGGCGGCTGGGCGACTCAGGCGAGTGAGCGGTCCAACGGGCGATCCATCTGCATTGGCCATGGCAAAAGGCTTCGGTGGTGGGGGACCGAGAAAGCCGGCAGCGGACCCAATCCTCTTGCCCTCGGGAGATGCTCCTCCAGTGAAGAGTTCCTCCAGGTCCAACTGAGAACTGGCCGACGATCTACCGATATTGATCGAACCGGATCCCTGAGTCTTGAACGACACCGAGTTCCCGGACAATCGACTGCCCTGTCGCAGCAGAGATGGTCTGGAGATTTTACGTCTAAAACCCCTCATTAGCACATACCTTCTTTCGATCATTCAGATAATGTCCCGTACTCAGCAAGTTTGGGCCTTCCGAGTGGCTTCATTCCGGGGGAACCCGATGATGATGGAGGACTCGAGCAAAGACCCATATCCAAACCCATACTCATTTTCATCCTACCGTAATCGGGAGTGAGAGGCATGCGGTTGTGTGCGGCCTTGTGCGGAAGGGGCGAGATGTCCATCTCAATCCCAGGAGACGACGCGGGAATGGGGGGAGTAGTAACCATAGCTGCACGGGGAAAAAATTAGCATTCCAAACATAGGGAATGAATATGATGACCTCGGAAGTACTGACAGCGTGCATTCAAGTTCGAGAATAGCGATCTCCTGGGCGTAGGGTTCAATGGACTGCAGTGTGGAAAAACGGATTAACACCAACACTCGCAAGCACTATTAGAGATGGTTCCGGGTTCCAATGCAAACTCACGTCTGGTCGATATGGAAGTTCTGGGACAGGTCCTTTGCGAGACACGTTGTAGGAGACGATTGCATCCTGCCTTCCTGGTCGAAGAAGTCGCCTTTCGAGCCGGTATTCAACTTGGGTCCGAACAAACCCTTCGTAGGCGTAGACACAGCCGTGGTCGTAGCCGACGGTGTGTCGTGCCACACCGGATTGCGGAACGCATGGGACTGCAATGGCGAAGATGTTTCAACCTCCATTTTCGTTTTTTTGTTTGCGTAGAGAGGCCAAAAAGATAATTATGGGATCCAAAGATTGTGGGAGACTTCGGCAAGTTGGTACGGCAGGATTTCTGACCTAGAGAAGCGGCTCACTGCACAGCAATGCGGTTCTTTTTTGCCGAAATGGTAGTAATTGAAAACAACAACGGCGCTGTTACGAAAGCAGAAACCAACGCAATCAACGAAACCCCGACAGAATTGAGTTTATAGTATCCTGCCAAAATCGGTAATGTGTAGTAGATTAGGATAGTGATAATCCGAGGTGCCGATGAAGCAGTTTGTAGAAGTAGTAGTCGTGGTGTCGGTTCTTCCTGAGCATGCAATGACGAGGCAAGATGTTGGAGACGACTGGTTTGTGTTTCGGTCTGGGTATATTTATCGATATCGGTAACGGTATCGGTATGGGTGTCGGTGTCTCGAATGTGGTATCGTATCGAAGTCGGAATCTGCACGACCGGTATCGGTTGTCGGTAGGAGCTGTCGGGAAGGATAGAGAAGGAGGAGGGGGAGGTGGTGGGAGGAGAGGGAGTAAAGAGGGCGTCGTCGGTAGCGGGTGTCGATGGAGGATAGTTCGGTTTGTTGCTGGGCGGAAGACACGCGACGTGGGGGGGGAGGGGGATGGGAGGGAGTGGAGCGAGCGGAGAAGAGGAGTTGCAGCTGAGGTGGAGCTTTATTATGTATCACCAAGACGGTTACTGGAGCGACGACGGTGAAGCCGACAACGACGGGGGTGGATACGATAGCATAAAGCGGCGCTTGGCGTCGATGGATTGAGTTTGGACTGGTGGACGGGGGGAGGGGAGCGGACTCAGCGAAGTGGATGAAGACGCCTGGAGAGGAGGAGGAGGAGGGAGGGAGGGACTCGGCGGGACTTGCTGGGGGCCGGGATCAGAACAAGTGCACGTTGACCATGCCATGTAGATATCCTGTCCTTGACTTGCTCTCTTTTCACTTTCTCGATTCCTGCCACGGAAAGCCGACGCCATAGTCGACTGCCAGCAGAAGTAACTGAGAACGACCTAGAGCAACCTCCACCGCCCGGCTCCTTGCCTGAGCATGTCCTCCACTTAGTCCATCCCACCCCCAACACCAGCCCCATTCTCTGCATTCCTATTCGCTCGCCGCGATGCTCTGGGGCCTGGATGACCGCTGCTGGGTGCTGTGCATCCGCATGCATGAACGAAGCACACCAGAAAATCAAATCCCGGCCTTTGCCTCCTCCTTCCACCTTGCAAGCAACCGACAAATACCTGAGTGTGTACGGTACATACCTGATAATCTAGAGTACCGTACACATGAAGCAGCAGCGGCCCCAAGGCAGCAATGCGATGGGTCGGATGATGCGGGGGCTCCCATAGTTATATACGAGCTGTGGTTTCGGCGATGAAGGGAGAAAGAGCGTTGAGCGCGGAGGATTGGACGCACGCAGCAGATTTGTTCGTGGGGCAAACAAAGGGCGAGCGGGTGGAGACTCCGGCTGGCCAAAGAATCCAACAGCATCGGCATCGGCAATCGCGATGCGCGGGACGAAGACACAACTCCCACAGTCCCACTGCGAAAACTCACGGAACCAAAATAACCGCAGAACATTTGCACTTTCCTTCGCCGCCCCAAAGTCCGGAAGATGCAACATTGCAACATCCCGTGGCGGACGCGTCCAAACGCCCAAACAACACGACAGCATGTGACTTCGGGTTTGTTTGTGGCTTGGGATCGAGTAGCGTTGCACGAGCAACCACACCCGCAAACCGCAAAACAACACAACAACAACGCGAAACACACGCACGCACACGCTCGGCCGTCTGTTTGGAGTGGAGTGGAGACTCGTCCCCAGTCCCAGACGCTGACCGGAATCCCGCTCGAACGATTCTTTGCAGCCGATAGCCATGCAGCTAACTAACCAAGTACTTAGCTGAGCACTATAACTCCTCTAGGTACTTTAGTGACGAAAAAAGCAAGGAAATCAGCTCGACTTCCTTCCTTCCTCCCGACCTTCCTCCGCCTCTGTTTTATATTCATCACGTCCGTACGTCCTGCAGTCGGCGTCACAGCATTGCGTGCTCCGTGCTGCGTTGCGCGTTGCAGATTATCCGATCGTCAACGCGGTAGGAAGGAAGGAAGCGGGAATTGGAGAGCGCGTTGAGCGTTTTCCTCCCTCCCCTCACGGGTTTCTTTCGTCATCCGAACGCAATCGCGAAGGGTGTGTGCCCACCGGAGGGGGAGCCTACCCTCCTGCCCCCAAGCTTCCGTTAGTTAGGGCACAGACTGTTTCATGCGGTAAAGGCGAAGGGCAGGCTCGTTCCGGACACAAGACGAAGCCCTTGCCAGGTCCCAGAAGTGAGGAATACTAGCGTTGGCCGCCTCGTTTCGAGGGGGGGGTGGAAGGAGACTGCTACATACAAAAGGCCGGCCAGGTGCAGCGGGGCAGGGCACAGCGAAGGGCGAGAAACTTCTTTTTCTTGTTGTTTACACATTCTTCGCTGTGGACTTGGAGTCTTGGAGGCGTAAACAGCCGGTACCGGTATTTCATCTTAATTGGTATTTCGGTATCCGGTTACCTGCATGAGTGCACATTCATTCATATCCATTCATGAATGGGGTCTGCGCTACCTATTGATGGTGAGATAGCCGCCGGGGAAATGACATCCTGCGATTCACATTCATGGCAGCTGGAAAGGGCTGGCTGGCTGGCTTGTCGGTCCCAGTCGCCGGCCGATCGTGCCTCAAACTTCAAATCTTCCGGCCACCGTGACCAATGATCTCGGATGGTGGATCATCCCACGCGAACGCAGCTGGCAGCTGACAGCCGTCAACTGCCAAAGCATAAATTTTCAGGAATGTTGCGACCTGTCTGTAAGGAAAGCCTTTTAAACTGCGGCCCGCCCAGCCAACCACACGCCCCGCCGAAACGAATATATATAACAGCTGGAGCTTCAGGGACAACTGTGACGCCGATCTGGGTCGGTTGCGACGGACGGGCGGGACGGAACAAGACGGCATTCCCATGGCATCACACCTGCACCTGCAACTTAAGGCTGAGCTGAATTGCGCATCAGAATCTCCGTCCCCGACGTCGATCAAGTCTCAACACGGATCATAGATATCTCGACAGGTCTCACTCTTGGTTGGTGGGCAAGTCTGAGGTCACGCTTCCTAGTGCGGGACATAACTAACATCATCATAAGCCTGGAAGTCGGGGAGGGGAGGGGAGGGGGAACCCTCAGCCGGGGCGCTCCGTTCGCTCGCTCGCTCCACTTTTGCTTCCCTTTTCTTTTCTTTCGGCTTTGTGTGTGGTATGTAAGTGGTTAACTGGTTCAGGAGGTTTGTTTTGATTTCTCCTATCCGGGAAAGGTCACTCCGTGGGGCGAAATGGAAACGCGGGTTCCCAGATAAAATATGGTAATATACACGTTCTGAACTTGGCACCTCGACGCGCAGTCACGGGGCTGGTGATTGACGTGTGAGAGAAATTAGGACCCCCCCCCCCTCTCTCTTTCTCTCTCTCGGGCGACGATCCCCCCGCGCTGCTTGTCTTGTCTTGTCCGCGTCACCCCGGAACAGAACAGTCGCCATCTGATCTGATCTGAGAATCCCGTTCCGCGCGCTATAAACATAGCTGATGCTGCTGCTTGCCCGCTTTGCTTTTGCTCTGCCTTGCTTTTGCTTTGCATTGCTTTTGCCTTATCCCTTCTCCCTTCTCCGGAGCGGCCAAACTGAGTTTGAACTTTAGAGATAACATGACATGGACTCAGTGGGTTGCTGTCGTTGTCGCTTGAAGAACCGGAAGCAGAAGAAGAAAGAAAAAAATCTCTTCCCTGTGCACCACTTTTTTTGCAAAAACTAACGCTGGACACTTCAGCAAAGCCGCTCGTGTATGTACGTCCCGCAACCCGGACAGACATGCACTTGGGATTGGCCGACATTTCATTCTTTGATTGAAGTATGGAGCAGCGGCGGCTATGTGGAATGCGGGGAATGGATGATGCGTGTATATAATCTGTAATCGACCATGTATGTAGAAAGGTACGGGATTTAGTTTGATTCATTCATTTCCTCAGCTCGTTCGTTCGTTCAGCTGGATATAGTACTTGCAAGTTGCGGGTTGTTGTAGAGTGTCTACCGGTATGTACTCTATATAGTGGCAACAACCTTCCACCATCCCACCACAGAGTATCTCCAGGACCTGCATCCATTTGGCGAGCAGGTACTCCACATACCTACTCTGTAAACCTCATATAAGCGCTCTCTGCCGACCAGATCAGATGGGCCACCAGTGACCAACCCAACCCAACCCAACCAATCGAGGCTGCAGCCGGGAGTCAGGAGTCAGCCAGTCATACTTACTCTACATATGATACCTAGAGTATTCGCATTGCCTTGCCTCATCTCGGCACTTTGATTGTTGGCAGCGCAGCGCATGCTGTCCAATCTCCTGTGTAAGGTAGGTAGAACCACACTCGTGACTCGGTGGATAGGTGGGTACTCTGCAGATGTAGGTACGGATGTAAAGACATACGTAAACTGCAAATTGCAAACTGGTTACTCTTCATGCTGCCCCCGCGCCGCTGGCCAGCGAAGCAGCAGACGAAAGGCATGTGTGCAGTCACGACTCACCAGTGTGCACTGTGTGTACGGTATATTTGGATTTGGATTTGGGTTTCGGTTAGGACTCCAATAGACTCCGGAGTCCGGATAGAGTACATGGAGTGTATATAGAGTGGTAGAGAATTGCGATTCGGCGAGCGGCGGGCGGCGAGCGGAGGCGGTGGTGCTGGTTGGTGGTGGTGGTGGTGGTGGTGGGCGGGTGAGACGCGGGTCCCTGCATTTCAGAATCCAGCCAGTGAGTGAGGTGAACAAACGTGGGCGACCCACGGAACTGCCACATACTTGAAGAATCCTTCCTTCCTTCCCTCCTCCTTCCGTACGGCGAGCGGCACTCATCATCCTCATCATCATCATCCTCATCATCATCATCCGAATCATCATCATCCGAATCATCATCATCCGAAGAAGAAGATCGACCAGCCAGGGCCCACTTCTAAGAACACCGCACATAGCAAAGAAACTTGCTCGGGCCGTAGGTAGAGTACTTATCCGTGGGGAGCTGCCGACTGGCCTGCGACATCGTTCGACATCGACAGGGAAGAAGGAATCCACAGACAAGCGGCAACAGCAGCAGCAGCATCATCGGACATCCCCACGCCGATCGCCGCCGCCGCCGTCTCCGTCCCCGACTCCGACTAGAAAGAAAAAAGAAAAAGGAACGAGAAAAAAAATCTCACTTCATCGCTTCACCACTTCGCCGACCCCGGCCCCGACCGACCCCGTCGGGTACTGTAGGTACTCTAACTACGGTACTAGTAGCTCCATGTTGGCCGCTGGCTGGCTGGCGCGATCGAACGAACGACGAAAGCCCTTTGTCCTGTGCACGAGTCTGCATGACTGCAACTCGCAACTTACTTACACCTGCAAACGGTGGAGTGGGGAGGTTTGCAGTGGTATGTAGACTACCACCGCCAACTGCAAGTCTGCAACGACTTGCTGCACACAATCAATGCACACAGTCAATGCACGTGTCAGCTCGAATAACGAAAGCAGCAGCGACGAGATGGGGGGCGCAAACTGTAGTATAGTTAGCAGCGCATACTTCCAGCTACGGGACGGCTGTCCGCTTGTTCCATATCTCCCTCAGCTCATCCGCTCAGATTGAGGAGCGCTTCGCTCGAGTGACTGCCAGAGTAGACTTGCGATTGCGTCGTTTAGGCAATGCCATGTCAGTTGCATGTACGCGTCAGGTAACTACGAGTAAAGTACCAACGGTAAATCGTGTCGAGAACCTCTTGACCAACGGAAGGGCTGATGCTTTATGCTCCATGCGAAGTCGAATAACACATAGTAGAGGACGGTATGTAGGTGAATCTAGGCCTACGGGAAGAATATGGACGAGCGTATGCATACATGAGGTGGTTGCATGCATTGGTGTTGCAGCTCTAGTTAAGGGCGGCCGCCAGCATATGACGCCATCTACTGGTAGCTGCACAAATATCACTCGACGAACTTTGGAGAATGTATGTGCAACAGTGTGAGGCGTTTGGATTATTCTTAGCACGGGGAGTGAGAGTGAATTCCTCTGCGGGAATGATGAATCTAGGTCTCGTTTGACTGTTGAATTTCTAATAGCCGGAAATTCAACAGTCCCGGTGCCACCTTTGAATTTCTCCTACTCAGGTACACTCACACTTTCTTTATGCGTAAAACTTCAATGTGTACACAAAGGGAATCGTGCTGAGAATAAGGATATACCTAATAGGCCTCAGTAGACAGAAAAGTTGAAGCTATGCTGATCACTCTATTTACCATATTCTAGGTAGCTTCAGGTTAACTTCGGTTGTTGCCACCAGGCTTCACCGTCGTCTGTACGTGCCAAAGACCGTTGCCAGTGGCCAGCCCTTAGGTGACAGGCGCAACCTTTGTGCATCGCCTGGTGACCATCACGATATGGATTTCTTTTTCGGTCGAATCCGACGACAACGCCTCTCCTTCCGCCTTAGCTTTGGCATTTTGCCTCAGAGAGAGAGAGAGAGAGAGAGAGAGAGAGCTCTTCCTGTTTTATTTCGCATGCAGCCTAGGTACCTAAACTATGGCGGACCAACGAACTCCTTTTTCCTACCCGCCCTGGCCAGTCGAGGTGAAAGCCCTGGTGCGGGCCGGCCGGTCCGGTGTGGCGGGTCACATGCATTTTGCCTCAGGGATACACACAACCGCCGAGCATTGTCGGGACCGAGTGATCTGGCGGCCAAGGCGCCGGCATATACATAGCACTTGGGGTCTATTCTGTCGGGTCGGGGGTCGAGTTCCGAGATGGATGCTATCTATGTGTTCATTGTACAAGATAGCGGAGAAGACTTACCTTACCTGTGTACTACGGATTTCTGGGATGGTTTATGGGCGTTTTCAAAAAATAAATCACAGTGAACCATATACTTGGTGACTAGATCAGTTCATTAACTATCTAATCTCTACTCCCTCTCAAGCACAGTAACGTGAGCTACTGGCCTCCTTGTGGTGGCGACGACGGCGACGACGGCGCGGACTGTCTGTGGCTTCCTGGTCGCTGCGGCGGCGGCACGGACGACGGCGCGGACGACTACCTGTGGCCTCCGCGATGAGTCCTGGGAAACAGAGGGCGTCCACTACCATAGGTGCCGGGAACGGAAGCGCGAGCTTCCAGGACCGCGCCCCCTCTCGGGCTCTGATCGGTTACTATGCGGCGACCGTGGCCGTGAGTCACCAAGCGGCGACCGGGGCTGGGGGGCAGCAAGTGCTGGGCGTCCTGGGCGTCCGGCAATAGGCTGGCCTCGTGCTCGGCCTGCTGAGGCGGATCCCGGAACGACAGTTTGCGGTTCTGCTGCTGCGCGCTCGGCGAGGACAAAGGGGACGACGCGGACAACAAAAACTCAACTGACTTTCGGCGCGGACTGGTGGGCGGGACGGGCGTGGCGGGCGTGGAGTCGGCCTCACTGTCGCTCCTGGAGGGCCTGTTGGCTTGCAGCCAGAGGTACCTCTGGTACCGACGCTTGAGGATCGGCTCCACGAGGTTGACACCGGGGAGCTGGTTGCCGATAGCTATTTGGTGTGTTAGTTGGTATCGTTCGCTGGGGGAGAGGGGAAACATACTCAGCCAACCAGCTCGGAGATTGTGGACCCTTCCGAACAACTCGAGCTTCCTCGCGGCAGGTCCCATCATCCGCTCGATGATGCCGTAGATCTGTTCGCGAAATTAGTAGGTGGGGGTGGAGTAGGAGGAAAGAAACACACCGCATCCGGCTTCTGGCTGGTTCCGCGGACTTCCTCTACGATCGAGTTTTTGTCGAGCATAAAGTTCGCCTTGGGCGATCCCTTGATACCGACCAAGCAAGTCTCCTTGCAGTGGTTCAACCAATGGCCGGTCCTTCCCGTCGCAATTGTGGCATTGATCTGGTTAACCTTGACCCAGGTGATCTGGTCGACGTACTTGTATCTGAAAGGTATTAGTAACCCTTGGACCACGGGAAAAATAAAGGTGTGCAAACGTACCCCCAATCCTTAAGAAACTGAATGCCCTTGTTGTGGACACGACCGGTGACCCACAGGAAGATAATGCCGCAATCTTGCAGCCGACCGATAGGAAGATTCCCGATGTCGTTGTCTGATAGCTGTTGGTATGGCAGCTTCATGTGGATGCTCCACGGAGCTTGGGACTGTCAGCATTGAATACCTCTCACGGGAAGGAAAACACTTACGATCGATCATGATGACATCGTACCTCCCGATGACTCTGAAATTGAACTTCATGATGTCGGTATTGATCCACTGCGCGGGATACTCTCGGCCATCCTTGACCTCAGAGGCGATCTCTCGGACAGCCTCCTCGACGTTCCCGTACTTGTAGGTCATGGCCTGCTCCAATTGCTTGGGCAACTTGATCATGTCCGCAAATGTCTTGGGATTGATCGCTGGCACTCTCGTATAGTGAATATACGGACACGTATCCCAGTTATAGCAGCCCGAAAGGAAAGTACAATCGCCGTACGCGACGTTCGTGTACGCGTTGTAGACGATAGCGAAGTGGTACTTGTCCTTGCAAGCCACTCCGTCGTTGTTCTCCATGCACTTATCCACAGTGACATGCTGGCAGGGAAGCTCGGCGGGAGCTTCAAGACAGACCTTCTGCACGAAGGCCTTCAGACGCTGTAAACGAACCTTCGCGATAGGAATGGGGCCGAGGAACGTCTGGAGATAGTAAGGCCTAGCAGCCATGGCGGACGCAAGAGAGGCCGGAATGGTGAAATTGTGCGCTGCTGGCATTGGTGGTGTGGTAATCGGCGCAGTGGCCGCCATATTTTCCGTTGGCACTGCTGCTGTGACGGATGGGTTAGACGAGTCTGCATCGTTGTCTTCGGAGGGGGAAATCTGGAGATGTGGAGGAGGCACTTACGACGCTCAGTGAGGTGCTGCACTTCTGTAGTGAGCTCTGTATGCGGGCTAACATCCCAAGATCGCACTGGACTATTTCCGGACGCTTCGTTCGTAGTATCTGACAGACTGTCAATATCCAGTTCGGCAGCTGTGATGGCTGGGTCAGCCGAGTCCGCATCGATGTCTTTGGGGGAAGTCTGGAGATGAGGAGGAGTCAGTTGCATGGGGAGGCACCTACTACGCTCAGTGAAGTCCTCCACATCTGTCGTGAGCTCTGTAGGCGCGAAAACATCCGAAAGTCGCACTGGACGATAGCCAGGTGCTTCATTGGTGGCATCGGACGGACTGTTGATCACCAGTTCGGCATATCCCCGAGGATTGGCCTTGCGCATCTCACTCGCGTACCAAGCGACTACCTCCCAATTGATGTTCTCAATGACCAACCTAGACCTTTCGTCCATCTGAACCTTGAAGACATCGTTATTTGCAAACAGCTCGTCGAGTGCCTGAAAGCACTCGCTGATCACGCCTGCGGTTAGTGCGCGTGGGATCTGAATGTTGTCGGAGATGTCGCTCTGTGCAAAGTGATCCACCACGCTTCTAGGAGTCAGCAACACTTTCGTCTTATGTTCGGGGGTCCAAGTATACATACTCGCTCAGTAGATCCACAGATGTGAGAGGAAATGACAAATTGTCTTTTCTTAGAAGTAGGTAGTAGAGAATATCGTCAGCGAACTGGTTGGCGCAGCTCGTGAAATTTATTCTCTGGATGGCGGTGATATTGTCGATGGTGGTGGGGATGAGCGGAGGGAATGGGGCTGGTTCCAGGCGGAAAGCTAGAGCTGGAAGAATAGCCCTCATCTTGTCGATTTTTTGAGCGCCCAATTATCTGAATTAGTCGTCGCCGAGATGAAGCTCTTGGTTGTCACCGAGGATGGATGTATGGATGAAGCTCTTAGTCGTCGCCGAGAATGGATGTATGGATGAAGAGCTTAGTCGTCGCCGAGAATGGATGTATGGATGAAGCAATTAGTCGTCGCCGAGGATGGATGTATGGATGAAGAGCTTAGTCGTCGCCGAGGACGGGTGCTTTTGGATGGATGCAAGTCGTCGGGTATGAAGCAGTTTCGAGTGTGATGGTGGGAGAGAAAGGTCGGCGTCAAGATATCACGCCCACTGATATAGTTGAGTTCACACTCACGCTAGCGGGTTCCGTAACAAAATTACAGGGCTTCACGTGATGTCACTCGGCCCACAGCCCCAACCTAAATTACACATTCCGAAATAGTCGCTGTTCAAACGTCGAATGCAATGATTAAAATGAAAAATGAAAATGAAAAAATGAGAATGAAAAAAATGAAAATGAAAAATGAAAATGAAAAAATGAGAATGAAAAAAATGAAAATGAAAATGAAAAAAGGAAAATGAAAATGAAAAATGAAAAAATCAGTGTAATATCTCAACACCAACCATCGACCCTCTATCATGCTGTCCAATCAATTCCGCTTTCCCCGCCTGCGTCAGCCACTCCACACTCACCTCTTCGTTTTGGATGGATGCCGCAAGATCGGTATTGAGCTGGATCGCCAGATAGATCAACGCAGCCTGGCGCTTTACCTCGCGCATGTAATAAGGCTCACCCCAAGGGAAGCGTTGTCTCAACGACCTGATGATTTTCGCCGCCATCTTCGCGGCCTCGGCATTTCGTTCCACGAGCTCGGCCGCGGCGCTGGGGGTTCCCCAAGCCTTTGCCAATTGGGTTGCGAGTTGTTTCGTCCATGACTTGCCACCGATCAGTCAGCCAACGTTTGCAGGAGAGCGGAGGAAAAACCACCGTACATACCGCATAAAGTTCCACGTCAGTTATGGAGCGCTCCGGGGCTTGCTTTGTCCGCGTCCCCCTGCCTTTGCGACCCACAAGCACCGCGGCTAGGTTGGTCCGTGGGCGGGGCGGACTGTTATCTTGGTTGTTTCCGCGTGTCATCGTGGGCTTTGATTTCGCTGTATCTGGTATCCATTGCCTGTGTAGAGAGCTGTCTGTGGTGAAGTTATCGGCGTTTTATAACCAGAGGTCCAGCACGCACTCCTTGAAACTGCACATCCACCGATGGACATTGAACGGGCGAGCGTGCATCGAATGCTCTACCATCTTTCTCGCCTTGAAATGTGAAGGGCTGGTTCTAGCAGTAGAAGGGTGGGTTTCGGCCATCTACATACCAGAGTGGTGATACGATGGATTGGACTATGGAATACATGATTACCAGATCGATAAACACTTTGGAAGACTTATGTGTCTACTGATTCGCCGCCGACGAAGCTCATAACCCCATCTATTAGCATACGTCTAGGTCTCTTATTGTCTCATCGACAAAACGATACAGACAGGAAATCCAATTACCCAGCGCATAATCCAGATGGTTTGATGAATCAATTTCGAAACAAAACAAAATGTGCATTGATGATCAGTACTCGCGTACTGTACAAAGAGGTATACAAATTAATGATGGGAGAAGAAGGAAAAGGATAGATGACAAAATAATTGCTCGAAAAAAATCATTCCTCCTCCTCCTCGCCGCTGTCGTCCTCCAGTACCATTTTCGCAAATTCACTCTCATACTTTTCCACCTCCTCTTCCACTACCTCATCTATAGCTACAGCATCGGGTTCTAGCTCGACCGCAGGCGTCACAGCAGCCAGGAGAGCATCCCACTGGTCGTCGTACATGCGGCACCTAGTCCCGTCTCCCAAGATCTTGCAATAGATGGCATACCTGACTTCGGAGTCCATACTGGCGGGGCTCTCGTAGCCATTGACCTCGATGATGCGGATCACGTCATCGCAGTACTTGTCCTTTCCTTCGGTGGTGAAGCGTCCGTCGACGCGATTCGACGTCAAGCCCTCAACACGCTTGATATCGAGTCTGCAGTAGGCAACGTACGCCTCGATAGGGTGCGTGATCCTATCCTTGATGCGTTTTCCACATACCTTTCTGGCACGGGTACCGCCGTCCTTAGACTTCTTGACGTGGCCGATCGCGTCCCACACATCCATGGTCTCGGATCCCCAGGACCCGCAGTAACACGGGAGAGCCGCCTCGTGGCAGTATGGGTCGCCCTGGCGGCAGGGAGTCTCGTACCAGTGCTTCTTCTCGCGGGCGACCTCGAGGGGCGTGTTCCAACTGTAGTTGGAGTAGCAGACGGGAACGTTGAAGACACCTGGAGTCGACGCCTTGCCGACCTCCGTGATGTCAGTCCATTTTGACGTCAAGAGGGGCTTGTCGTCCTGGGTAAGGCGGTAGTCCTTGAGATTCTGAAGCTTGGAGCTCACGGACGACTTGATGATATCGCTAACTTTGGTAAGGTGCGGTCCAGCACCCCAGTGCTCGACTCCGGCGGGCTTGTCGCTGTGCGCCCTATACCAAAATTTCCATTTGCTGGTCGGCTCCTTCCATCGGTAGAGGTAGCAGACGTGCTCATTGTCGAGACAAGCCTTCATGTCCTGCGGCCCCGTGCGATCGTGGTAGCATGTAGAACCTTCGACGTATTTGCCGAACAGAGGCTTGTTCTCGTCCTTGTCCAGGATGGTGCAGGTTATGTAGACCTGGTCTTCCGCGAGAGCGTAATTGAGGATCTTGTGGTAGAGGCGTCTGGCAAGCATCCTGTCCGTTTGTCAGTCATACAGATCGTGCAAAAACGGACTCGGGGAACTGACTCGGGGAAAACTTCTCGCAGGTGCTCAACGGTCCAGTTTCTAGCCGACAGCAGATTTCCGTACTCCAACAGCTCAAACAGGCCACCGCTCATGTCCAGCGTTCCGTTGAACAATGCCGCGATCGATTTGCCAACAGAAAGCTCCGCCAGCGACGCCGTGGCACCAAAAAAGTCCAGCACAGACACCGTGTCGAGATGCTTCACCACCTTGGACCTGAGGGTGGTGGGCCTTCCGATGGCCTGGACCATCGAGAATAATGCATTCCAAGTGTCCTCTTGAGCCTTCGCAAACTCTTCGCTGGTGACGATTTTCTCGATCTTCTCCGCCACCTCAACTCCACCGTCGGCAACACGCATGATCTCGACACTATCCCTTCCCATAGTAGGATGGTAGTCCATCGACCGGCGGGCTTCATCCAAGAACTTCAGGTCGATCTGGCTGCCAAACAGCTGGTCCCACTTGTTGAGCGAAGCACTTTTCGCTCCAAGGTCCACATTCGCCACTTTAGAGACATCACGCATCTTCGAAGCCTCGTCGTACACGAGCGCGGCGGTGGAATTCCAAGCCTCGGGCGTCAACCAGGGCATTCCACTAATGAACGAGTCCCGAATGATAGAGATGACGTTCTCCTGGGAAAGCTTGGCCTTCCCCTCCTTTGGGAACTTATCCCACCAGGCCTTCGTGTACGGCAGCTCTTCGATCAAAATCCCAGCGCCGCGGAAGCCTCCATCGATGGAATCGGCGATCAGCTCGAACGTCGAAGCGAAATTGGTGAGGGAGGCGAGGACCATCTCGGCGCGGGCACTGTCGTCGGTTCCCAGCTCGGCGCGCAGGTTCGAACACTGCTCAGCATCGGACGTACTTTTGGAGTGTCCGCGGAGATTGACGAGGCCATAGCAATGAGCCAGGCCCCCGAAACGTCCAAGTATTTCGGTGATTTCGCCGGCCGTGGTCGAGTTGAGGTAGGATTGCAGAAACTGGGGTGTGTTCAGAGTCCACCAATCTGCGATCGTAGGCTGCACAACGGGCTGCGGATCGCGCTTGCCGTGACGGTGGACATTCGTGTCGAAGAACGCTTTATTGTCAGTATTACGACCGTTGAATACCCTGGGGAAGCTACGAAGGACGTGGTCTTCGGGAAGCGCTGGGGGCACGGCGGCATAGGCAGCTGCGGTGGCAGCCAGGAGGAGAAGCGAATGAAGCCTCATTCTCGATTGATTGCCACTTTTCGGAGACAGGACTGGCGAGATTGGAGAACTTTTCGGAATCCTTCAGCAGCGAGGGACATTTGGGGGGAGCCCTTTTAACCTATCGAATGGAAAGTATAAGCAGTCAAATTTTGCGGGAGAGGTTACGGCCACGTACATGTTATTGTTGAAGTATACGTAGTCGATGAGCTCAGGATTTGTCTGGAGGCGTCGCGTACGTCTAGGCAGAGCATAGACTTATGGTAGATTTCATGCCTAAAGCTTTTGTAGATTATATCAGAAGCTTATCTGGTAAACAAACCATGTTCATTGCTGGCTGGAAACCCCTCGTCCACTGGTCCATCGTGGGCTAGGGTGAGGAAAGTAAACTTCTCCACATTTATTTGAGTTAGATTTTGTGTTTCGAAGACGTGTGCATTGAAAAGGAGGGTGGGTCATTAGGTTGCCGGTGGGATGTCATGTCCATTGGATTTACATCGAGTACTCAACAGACATTCTTGTAAACCAAGAGATAGACAAGCCCAACTCGTGGAAGCCCCTCTCGAAGCCTGGAGAAAGAAGACACCATCGAGGGCTGGGTGATAAATTTGTGTAGAATTGGCCGCGGAAAGGAACATGGTTGCCACAGCCGTTGTCGTCGTAGAGATGGAGCTTCATTGATGATGATCATAATACCCTATCACATCTGACCTCAATTCGCTCGCACGTGGTATGGCTGGAATACATGGCCAGTCGAGATGTCCTGGAACCAAAGTTTTCTGGAGCATCTTCATTCCAAAGTACTTGGATACCTTATATCTTGATAACCAATCCATCACTGTGCTCAAGGCCCCACATCCGTCGCGGGCAAGACGAGGCCTTTACACTCCCCCCACCCCACCCTCCTTTCCCCCTCACCACAGTGTCCCTTAATAACGACCACATCCCCATCCTCCAGCCACGTCCTCTCTACTCCCTCCGCAATAGCCACAGACACCTTCCCTCCCTTCGTCGCCTCGAGCAAACACCCGGCTTCCTTCGATCCCGTCCCGGAGATGGTTCCACTCCCGATCAGATCTCCAGGGTTCATGCCACATCCAGTAACGGTATGGTGCGCGAGCATCTGGTCGAAGCTCCAAAGGAGGTTCTTTCCGCTAATTTTCGTAAACGTATGACCGTTGATCTCGGCAGTCAGGGAAATTTCGTAGACGGTCTCCGTACGGGTCTGCTGGAGGTAGGATTGTAGGGGGATTTTAGAGGTGCGTTGCAGAGGGGCGGTGAGGAAGGCGGTAAGAGCACTGGGGAGGACGATCCATGGGGAGATGGAAGTGCCGAAGTTTTTGCCCGTGAAGGGGCCTAGAGGCACGTATTCGAAGGCTTGGATGTCTCGAGCTGTTCATCACATCAGCCTAGGCACTGTTACCACTGGAAAGGCGTGCATACCACTCCAATCGTTCATGAGCACAAAGCCAAAGATATGCTCCCCGGCGGCCTCCGCATTCTTTGAATCCCATGGCCCAACTTCCTTCCCCACAAACGCTGCCAACTCCAGCTCCAAATCCAGGCGTTTACACTTCTCGAACACTCCCTCGGCGGTCTGTCCCCACGGTCTCCTTACTGGAGTCCCTGGTGGCAGCACCGAGCTCGCCCTTCCATGATACCCTATCGGCAGGTGCTCATAGTTCACCTGCAGGGCTTTCTCGGGACTACGGAAGAGGCAGCCAGCATTGTAGGCGTGCACCTTTCCCGCACAGAAATCCGTATAGTCGCCGATCTGCATTGGCAGAAGCATTGTTGGATCCGGGTCCTCGAACAGCGCTTTCTTGCGCAGCTCCTCGTTGTCGCGCAGCACTCCAGGGCCGGAGCTGGTGAATATCGACTGCAGGAACGAGCGCACGCGGTCGGTGGGCTCCCGCCCCAGCCTGGCAAAGGCGTTCAGTGTGGGCTGCTGGAATACATCCGCGAAGTGCGAGAAGCCCTCGAGCTGGTCGAAGCCGCCGGAACTGGAGATGACGTGGAGGTCGAGTACGTGGTTGCCGATCCGGGTTGCGCAGTGGGGCGTCGACGTGGGTGGGTGCAGGAATACGCCGAATGGGATGTTGTGGAGGGAGAAGTCACTGTCGTCGGGGATGGGAAGCCACGACATTGTAAATGTGGCGTTGAGTGTGTTCCTACAATAGTCGCGATATCGGGAGCTCGAGAGCTTACGGCACCTATATGGAGCACGGTGACGGCAATAGCCGGTTACAATCGGATACGTACGTCATCAGTGCAGGTAGCCGAGTCTGGGGTTCCAACTGAACCCTGAGAATTCGGCCCAATGCCCCACTATCCGAACTGACAGAGATGGACGTCGCCGTCAACCCACAACTGAGCACTCGTCGCGAGAATCTAATCTGGATATGCCCATGCAGCGCAGCTTTCAGACAATTTGGATGTCACTCTATCACGTTACATTCGACTAGGTACGCGGGTTAGGCTCAGCTCAGAGCCCTTCATAGTACGTCATTCGCATACTAATAGACGAGTCTTTCGTGCATAGGTGCAATTACACCAGAAATTTAGCGAAGGCAAAGAATCTCTCCAGGCAGAAGAGATTGCAGACATGAGGCAGCCGATCATAATCGTCGATACACCATGATCCCTGGTCGCTTCGATCAACTTTATTTCTACTACATACCTCATATCACAGCCCGAACACAAACCGTGGAAAAATGTTAACGACCTGCCCGTAGGGCCGTAGAAAACAAACGCCCAAGCCTGCTCCGCAAAGCCTTCGGGAAAAGGCACGGGAGGTGGGACGCAATTCTTTGTCCCGAACGAAGGACGTCGGACCGACACGGCGCGGCGTGAACTCAACTTCTTCGGCAAGTCGGAATAAAACAACCCGTGGCGGTGGTGGTGGGAATCGCGGGGTTTGTGAGAACTCTCGCTGCTCAGCGCCCTTGGGGCGCGTTCTCGGTGGGTGGTCAGCACCAGAAGCCCTTACATCTCTCCGCGGCGGATGCGGGGGTGGGACTGTGGGGCTGGGATTCGGGAATCACATGTGACAGAGGACGCGGGGGTGGCCGGATCGGTGGCCGGTGGGATGGTGGCGGCGGCAGGAACAGGAGAGAATGTGGTCCCTCTGAGTGCAGGCGCGGCGATGAGGATGGTGGTAAACACCATCTTGGAGTGTGATTGAGGACTGGACGGTATTGTACTCCAGATCTCAATGTATGGAGAAAAGTGTTCACCGTTGATACCGTACGGCTCGTACTCGCAGAGCACCTTCCTCCGTCTCCGTCAAGCTACTACCTACCATTGAGCAGCCACCTGGTACTCTACCAGTATTAGTCCCCGTGCCCGAAGAAACCTCCGACGGCCAACCCGCCCACAGCCGCACAATCTTGGCCATATATACTGTGCCATAGTTAACGCTAGTCGCATAAACTCAAGCTTGGGCACCTAACGCGCATACCGTCAGGCAAAGGTTTTACGCATAAGCATATCTACGTTACAGGCTAAGAACGTGGTGGTTCGTCTACCTAGGTCCGAGTGACGAAACGATTCTGGGAGCGGGAGATGTGAGCACTGAGAACTCTCAACCTGTCTGTGTTCCTTGGGTGGGTCTCGAATCTCACGGCCGAACAGAAGCCAAAACCAGTCCGTAGGCTACCGTGATTTGATGCGGGTTCGGCCCGCCTTGCTATAATATGATGGCAGATGGTTCTCTCGATCCTAGACGTCCGGCTTCCACCGGTGGTGACTGGTCTTTTGGACGCCGGGGCGACGGGTAAGTTAAGCATACCTAACTGTTGGGCTGAAGATACTCTACATACCTGTCCCATAGCGTTGCTGACGTTGGACTTGGCTACTCAAGAGTGGGCCAGTGAGAGCGTGTCACTTGGTTTACATATAGACTTTATGGTTAAGCTCGAATACCTGTGTACGTGTGTAATGCACCACAGGTTGACGTGGTCTGTCCAGGCGTGCGTAAGTACATGCACAAAAGCCTCAAGACAGGTGTTGAGATCATCGACTACCTACCTCCTACCTGGTAGGCTTGCTCGGCACCCTCTCTCGTCTCGTGCCGACTGTCTGTCTGTGCTTTCTTTGTCCGTGTGCTTGTTTTTCTCCTATGTAAGGCGTTTTTAGTACTGTCGATGGGCATTGGGCTCACGGCTTGGTGGTGTTACATATCATGGCCCATTCAAGGCGGGGGATGAGCCTTGAGGGATTGCCGGGGGATCACGGCATCGACATCTTGTTCCTTTCGGGCTCAATGAGCTCTACTCCACCGGTACCTATGATATGAGGTATTCTACATATTGCATATCTTGTACTTGTAATCCCATCTGTCCGATTGCCTTTACACTCTCGCGGTTTTTGACGATATGTACTGATTACATCATATTGTGCACAACCCGCAAGTAGAGTACCCGGATGCATCATGTGTTGCGATTCTCGTTTCGTTGAAAAGCCACCGTCGTCACTCGTTCAAGATATTGGTAATATTTGCACGCCTGGAGAATCCTGTTTGATTTTCATACTTGCTTCTCCTTCTTTCTGGTAGTTATGTCTAGCTGGTCATCTGCTGTGTTTTGCGAATCAATCAACTGAAACATTCAACAGCATGCGCCCTCAAGGGTCGGGTGAGAAGATATGTTTGAGTCTACCAGTCCCGCCGACCAAACCTCCGACCCCAACCCATCTCCGCTGACTCATACCCACCCGGGTGATATCCTGCTCGGCCATAAAAAGCCTCACTTCCTACCTAGGTCACACGTAACCGTGTAGCTACATGTGTACTTACCTCACATGTACCATTTAAGCTCTCAGCCCTACGACCCGTGGCCACGAGAATTTACTCTAGGTAGCTCGCATGAGATCGCGAGTCGAGAGTCGAGATAGAGCGGAGACTATTCCTGACGGCAGATCAGAGATCTCCATCTCTCCGACACTCACGCGCCATGTACGTAGGAGAATACGAAAAAGCTAATTCCATCGAATCTCCATAAATCCAAGAGTCAAAGGCACTGGGCTGCTATTCCGAGCACCACCATCATCATCATCACCACTATTATGTACACCACCACCTCAGCGACCTCCAGTTACACACTTCACACCAGAGCAGATCAGTCTCGGCCTTCACGCCGTATCCCCAAAAACATCAGCGTCCCGCACCGTCCACGCGACCACTCTCTCCTGCACTCTCCTGCACTCTCATCCACTCTCATCCGCGCACCCACTCAGCAACGATGCGGCGAAGATGCGGTAAGCGGTTCGTTATATACGATACGAGATACGATACGATACCCGCACATGTTCTGTTCTATATGTCTCCCCCCCCCTCCCCATGTCTCCCCCCTCCCCATGTCTCCCCCTCCCCATGTCTCCCCCCTCCCCCCAAATCCCCCCATCCCAGGTCCCACCCAGCCAACCCAGCCAAACCCACCATAACACAACCCACCGTAACACAACCCACTCACCCACGCACCAGTCCCAGTCCCCAATCCCAGTCCCCACTGCGCCTCGCCGTCAGCCCGACGTTGCCAATACGGCGTTGCAACTTGCCGCGTTGGTGTAATGGTGTAATGGTGTAATTACACTCATTTATGCATGTTTTCTTCTGCCATGCTTGCTATTCTTCACACGATGAGCTACGCAGCCTACGCCGTACGCTATGCCCGTACTAAGGTAATCCCGCCAATCAGTGGGCTCCCCCCCCCTCCCCCCTTCAATCGAGAGAGAATCGAGAATCAAAATGAGATGAGGATGTCTCCCCCCTCCCCCCCTCCCCCCCCCACACACACACACCTACACATCCCTTCGTGGATGCGACTGGTTGAACTTTCAAACTTCCAGTTGCGTTGATTCGTATTACTGCGCAGAGCGAGCTGGAGAATCAAATGGGGGCTAATTTTGGGTGCTCTTGTTAACAACATCACGGTCACATTCAGAGTTGGAGGTACTCTACAAAGTGCTAAACACTCGTATCGATGCGATACATCAATAGTAATAAATAAAAGATTCAGCAATAGTAGTAGTAGTAGTAGTAGTAGTGATGATAGCGCCGAAAACGCAACCGCAACCAACTCCCTGTCGCCTCTTTAACGAAGACCAAACAGACGTCGCCGTACCGTACCTAAGATATAGATATACACAAAGAAAAAGATGTTCGAACTCCCCCAAAACAACCACGAAAAATGATATTATAATCTTGATAACTTTGTAATCCAACATGAAAACGTACATCCCCTTTCCCCTCCATAAACCCATCAAACCGTTATAATAAAGTTAAAAAGTACAGTTAACAGCAACGCACACTGAAAGAAATGAACTCGAGCGCGAGGTGGTGAGAGCGTTTAGTTGAAGTAAACGATCGCACCGACCAGGCAGGCGACGAGCGCCAGCGGCGAGCGGACAACGCCGATGGCACCGGAGTCGGCGGGGGTCGAGGGCACGGACGACTCCTCAGCGGAGGAGGTGGAGCTGGGGCGGGCGGAGGAGCTCTTCTTGGTGGAGGTGGCGGTGCTGTTGCTGTAGGGTTTGGTGGAGGTGACGATGGTGCCGTTGGAGGCCATGGTGGTGTGGTGGGGGGCGTCGGTGGTCATGGTCTTGGAGGCGTCGTGGTGGGTGGACTTGGGAGCCTCCTCGGAGGCGGAGGCGGACGGGGAGGCGGACTCCGATACGGGCTTCGCCTTCACGTCGCTCTTGATAGACAGCAGCGACGTGTAGTTGATCTCGTCGTCCTCGGACACGATCTGGATCGCGTAGTCGTCGCCGCCGGGGAGCTCCTTCTCGGGAACCCACTCGTAGACACCGGAGTTCTCAACGCCCTCTGGAGAATTGTCAGTTGACTGTTTGCAAGGAAATGCTGTGTGAAGTGGAATACTAACCGGCAATGGGGCCGACGGTGCCCAAGTTCTTGCTGTCACCCTGGCGGAGGTACAAGCTGATTGTTCCCTCAGAGGTGGGGTTCCACTTGATCATGCAAGGCTTGCCCGCGATAATCTCGGTGGCCTGGGTAGGCTCGCTGATGGGGTTCTGCTGGGCAAAGACGGCAACGGCGAAGGCACCGACGGCGCAGAAGACAGTTGAGAAACGCATTCTGATTATGTGGTTGGGTTGGTGGTGATTGAGTATTATCGAGTGTTGTAGGTGTGTAAAGAGTGAATGTGGGTGAGAAACGAACACGTTTTTCTACCGGATTGACGAGGACTGGGCTTTTTTATTTTTTTCTTGAAAGAGAGTGGATGGCAGTAAAGACGGCTGGAGGTGTGAATGGCAGCGGGCTGTGCGGAGGTTTTAAGGCATAGCTGAGGGCTGAGATTTTGGGGGAGGGGTGGTGAGTGAGTGAGTGAGGATGAGATGATCTATGCGGAAAGGGGTTGTCATTCCCTTGGAGCAAAGCGCGCGCCGATATGCAGGACACCATCCACCATCACCAACTAAGCTCAACCCCCTGCACCCCACAAGTCGACACCAATGAGATCCTTGAAGACATCTGCGAAGGGAGATTGCACGCCCCCAGTCCTTTCCCTTTCTCCAGGCATTGCGAGAGACAGAGACAAAGAGAGAGAGCGAGTGGGAAAGAGATCAGCCGGTGAGAGATTCGACGTTGCAGGGCTGTCAGCTGATAACGAGGACCACAGGCCGTTCCACCCAGAGGACATCGTCCAAGCCGAGATAGCCATACGAACGGTCGTCGTCCTATCGCGAACCGAGGCGAGCACGGGATTCCGTCGCTCAGAAAAGGGAGACACGGACAGAGGGCAGAGGGCAAAGGGCAGAGGGCAGACGCCCGCGCCGGAGGAAATGATCATGCATCCTGGGTTATCCCACCCGCCTATCTAGGCTCAGCCAACAAGCGAGAAATGAGCTCGAGCGAGCGAGATGGGATTCTGGCTAGACGGGCTTGGGATGGGCTCGTCTCCCTCTCTGGTGCTAGATCTGGATGGCTCGTCTCCCCCTCTGTTGGAGTCTGGATGTCTCACTTTTCTTCTCCTGAAGTCAAGTCGAACATCACCTCTCCCCCGACTCCCCGACTCCCCGACTCTCCCCCCCCTCCCCGCCCCCGCTGAAAAGCGAACAAAAAAGGCGTTCCGACACTAATCCCAAACAAAACAACGGCGATCGTTCGACCGCACATCCCAATCTAGATGGCAATAGCCGGGTGGCTTTCCCCCTGAACCGAAACTGAGCTGGAGCCGCCGCGCCGGGGGCGGGCCCCGTGGGGGGAGGGAGGAAAGGAAGAACGAGATGCCGCACGCGATCGCGATGCCTCCTCCTCGTCGCCTCAACTTCGACTTCAACTCCCCATACCGGTATCCATCGAGCGGAAATCAGTGCAAACCTCCCAGTCCACCCGCGGGCATCTCACCGTCTTCCAAATAGAGTGCCTAGCCACCGAACTGCCGTTGCCAAGATATCGCCACAGATAGAGTACATACATACCTTTCTACGTTTGTAGGCAAAGAGTCGATGGTCAATTAAGCTCATGCCAAAACAGGTTGACCCTTGTGTTCGTTGTTGGTTCCTGCATTTTTCACTAACCAAGTGGCTAGCCACTAGTACTAGTACGTATCTAGTCGTGCCCCCCAGCAAAATTGACTGCAGACTCCAGAGGTGGCGGCGACGGTCCGGGCGAACCTCGTGCTCGTGCAGCACTGGTGGTGGCGGCGGAATCGCCGAGGAACCTTCGAGGAAAGGCCGGTGAAGGAACGATCCCTTTTCGGTCCAGGAGAATACCTCCCTAGGGCGAGTCTTGCGGGGCGGCGAGTGTTCTCAGGGGGAGAGGGGGGGATTGCTCTGCGTCCCCGCAAGAGCAAAACAGCTTCGGACGACTTCGGCTTTTGTTTTGTGGATGCGACCAAGGCATGGCAAGGCATGGCATGAAGCATCCTCTCTCAATCCCGCACCGCCTGCCGCGTTACTCAAGAGTACATACTCTACTCTACTCCACATATCTACGAACAAGAATATAGTACTCTACCTACCTACCGATCACTCTAATCGCTACAATCGCTTGAGGTGATATTCAGTGCCCACACGCACGCACGCGGCAGGGAACGAGCCCTCAACCAGGTCGGGATGGCCCTGCAAGGCTGCCATGCTGCCACAGTGCCCACCGGAGTTCAAGCGCGACCACGCGGTCACGCGGCTATGTAAGCTGCTAGGGACATGCCATGGTGCAGTAACCGCTGAGGTTGCCAACACAATAATCCCACGCATTGAGCTCAATCACCGTGAATCATAATGCAAATGTTTCGAGGCCGCTGGGCGGCAAGCACGTATACGAACTAGGGCGGCGGGCCAATCTGATTAGTGGGAGCTTGGGGTGCCCGTGAGACAACTGGTATGGTGTTCATGTGTCGTGAGTTACCGGTGCATACGTTGCGAAGAAGTGATCCGTCTTCTGGTGGGAGTCGAGTGATATATACATACGGTACGCAGGAGGCGAGGCGCGGCCTAGAATACTCGCGGCTTCGGCTAGCCAGGGTGAATGTAGAGTACAGCTGCATGCCACTGAATACAATTATACAATCTCCTTAGGCTTGGAACGGTAGTGCGCCTGGCTGTCGGGCCACCTATCCACACCCGATCGATCACTCGACATCTTCCCCACTCGAGCGAATTTTTTTACATACATACAGGCTGCAGTCTTCCACTGCACTGTATGAGTCGGTTCCACACAGCAATAAAACCTCGCTTTGTATGTAGGTGATCACTGATCAAGGAAACCCGTACAAGAAGCTTGTCAGTCGCAATGGCGGTTTAGGCAGTCAAGGTACTCTATGTGTATACCCACTGAAATGCAATGCTTTAGCCTGAGTAGTACCTATGAAAACTCTGGTTCTTCTGATTTCAACCTTCTGGATTCGTGGCCGGCCGTGATAAACAAGTTATAATGTACATACACGCTCCGTTTCCTGGCACCAACGGATACTGAGCTAGCCGGGCAGACGGGGGTTTCTCTTCTTCCCACTGGTAGCCGCCTGAGTATAAACGTCAAAGCAACGCGGATAGATTTGAAGGGGTTGATATTGGAAGATTTCTCTTCGGGTATGTGGAAGTATGGTAGAGATTTGGTCGGCAGAAAGACTCGACATTGGTATAGTAGAACGATAAACAGTGGATCGATAGAATCAATGAGGGTAGAAGGAATAAGTATCGAGAACATTGATGGCGCTGTACCGGGCTCACAACCTATGGCACACATGGATGGAGATGGTGGCTGCCGCTGTATCGATCAATGTATCATATTGAAGTGCAAGGCTTCAGCCAAAGCGGTATGAGTCTCAAATACATGGCTCCATTCTGTGAACAAAGAAAACAATCAAGGTCCGCGACTGAACGAACCGAGTGATATTACTGTATGGTAGATCACCAGGAAACCGAGTGATATATCACAGCACTCTACGTCGAGTGACAATGCACCTTCATCGATATAGCCTAAACCCAACCCGCCAAGCTCAGCCGGCACGTGTCTTGTGTCGCCGCCCTCGTCGCGTTTCCCCACCAAACAGCCACCATCACCAACCCGACCCGCAATCTCCACCCGCAAACCGCAATTCTCGGCGTCATTTCGCGTCACTCAAACATGTCGGCCGGCCCCTCAAATCTCCCGTCAAACCACGCGCCCTCCACACTAGAATACGGCGGTGGTACGTGACTATCTATGCGAGCTTGCCCTTAGCTGCTGCTGCTGCTGTCAGCTCATTGAGATCTAACACGAACTCTTTCGCTCTCTGATCTAGATGAAATCTCAGCCCTCGTACTTGATCCCGGCCAATGCTGGACACGCGCCGGATTCGCCGGCGAAGATACCCCCAAGTCCGTGATCCCCACCCACTACGGCTACGTCGAGGGCGCTGGCCCCGACGGCGCCCGCAAGCTCTACTTCGGCGATAACGACGTGCACACGGTGCGCGCGGGGATGGAGATCGCGAATCCCATGAGCGACGGCATCGGTGCGTTCTCCTCCCCTCCCACCTCTACGAATCCAGCTCCTTCGTCTGAGCTAATACCGATCGATTGATAGTGGCGGATTGGGACGTGGCGCCAGCTCTGTGGCGGACCGCGCTCATGTCGCGATTGGCGCAGGACCTACGTGAGCACCCGCTGCTCGTGACAGAGCCGGTGTGGAACCCGACCAAGAACCGTGAAAAGACGATTGAGGTTGCGTTCGAGGACTTCGAGGTGCCCGCCTTCTACCTAGCCAAGAATGCCGTGTGCGCTGGGTTCGCGTCCGGAAAGTCGTCGGGCCTGGTCATCGACTTTGGCGCCGCCAACGTCGCCGTCACTCCCATCCACGACGGCTTCGTCCTCAAGAAAGGCAGCGCGCGCACCCCGCTCGGCGGCGACTTCCTGAGCAACCAGATCCGCGCGTACCTCGTCTCGCAGAACATCCCGCTGAGCGCGCACTACCAAGTAGTGGCCAAGATCCCAGTGGAAGTCGGCAAGCCGGCAGAAGCGACGCTGCGCACGACGTGGCCGGAAGGCAAGGCGCCGACGTCCAGCTTCAAGAGCTTCGAGGAGGAGCGCGTCCTCACCGAGTTCAAAGAGTGCACCGCCCAGATGTGGATCAACGGGGGCGCGATACCGCCCAACAACCCCGACGGCTCCCCGCCAAACGGCGTCGGCGTGCGCACCTTCGAGTTCCCCGACGGCTACAACCTTGTCTTCGGCTCCGAGCGCTTCCGCATCGCAGAGGGCATCTTCAATCCCCGCGCCATGCTCACCGCCCCCGATATCCCCCACCCCGACCCCGAGACTACCCTGGGCGTAGGCCACCTCGTCGCCGCCGCTATGCGCGACGTCGATATCGAGATCAAGGCTCACATCCTTAATAATGTTGTGGTCACCGGCGCGGGAAGCTTGCTGTACGGCTTCCACGACCGTGTAAGCCTTGAGCTTAGCACTGCGTTCCCCGGTCCCCGTGTTAGGCTTGCGGCGCCTGGAAATACTATGGAGAGGAAGTATGCCAATTGGCTGGGTGGAAGTATCCTGGCGAGTCTGGGAAGCTTCCATCAGCTGTGGATCAGTAAGAAGGAATACGATGAACATGGTACACTCCCCACATCTTTCTGGCCTTTTTTTACGGACAATGATCTGACTCGTTTCGTCGCACAGGTGTCAACATTGTTGAGAAGCGGTGTAAGTAGTGTAGTAGTGTAGTGTAGCGGTGGAAAAATCGGGGATACCTGCCTAGTATGTGGTAGAGAATGTGGTGGAGAATGTGGTGGGTGGGTGGAGAGGAGGGAGGGAGGGAGATAGTGAGGGAGTATGGCGTTTCCCCGTAGGTGGTGCTGCTCCTCGGAGATTGATATGAAGAGTCCTTTTGCATATACAGTCACCCCCAAAGATCGAGTTTTTTTGAAAGGAAATTGGAATACCCCCACCGTTAGTATAAAACCGAGCCGCATTGCATTGAATCTCACTGGTGACCATGTGATTGTCCCCGGATTGAAGTCCAGTGTTCTCCAATAACCAATAGAGTATCGGAGCATTTCCATCACGCCAGTGACCAGTGACCAGGTAGGTGTCGCGGAATCCAATCCAATCCAATCCGTCAAATCATTGTCTCCCAATGTAGAGTAAGTACAAACTTAAACAGCATACCTACAAAACAATAATCAAATATCCAAAACTCCCCTTCCGGCCTCCGCCTAAGTTTAATATGAAGAAAAAACAGAAGAAAAACAGAAGAAAAACAGAAGAAGAAAGAAAAAAAGAATACTATACACTAATACCCAAGTAGAGTACCTCCCTTCGCGATGACACGGCCACGGCCACGGCCACGGCCACGAGGCCAGTAATGATAAATGAAATGAAAAGGAGAATCGTCAGGAAAACAAGGGAAGGGGCAAAAAAGAAAACGTGTTGTTGGTTGGGGAAGCCAAAACCTTATCACCACAACGCCTTCGGACCCGCACCACCTCTCGAACCACCGCCTCCACGCGAAGCCGCACCACCACCTCCTCTTGCACCGCCCCTCTTCTTTGCGAACCCCCTCGCCCCGCCACTCTGCCTCCTGCCACCGCCAGACTCTGCGCCACTAGCCCGACTGCCATACGGCTTCTTCAAGCCACGGGCCCTACCGCCGCGGCCGCCTCCCCGCGCACCTACCGCTGCTTTCTTCGGCCGGGCCTGGCTCGCTCCAGCCTCCCATTGGCTGATCATGTCCTTCTGCCTGTCGGCAACGTCTTTGCGGAAGTACTCGCTTGTGTCGCCGTCTTCGAAGTCCTCGTCCGCCATGCCGCCGCTGTAGTCCTCATCCTCGTCCGCATCGTCGTCGTCGTCGTCGTCGAGAGCGATGAAGGAACCCGCGGTCGGTGGCTGCGAAAAGTTGCGGAAGATGGGGGTTTCGCCTATGTCCGCGTCTGCAAAGTTCTCTTCCTTCTCTTTGGCGAACTTGCGACAGAGGGCGAGGAACTGGGCGCCAAAGTCTTCGACTCTGTCTGCGTTCCCGACGATTGCTGCCATCGCCTCCTTGGTTGTCGGTAGGAATATTCCGAACTTCTGGAGCATTCCATCCACGAAGACGGATTGGATGCGGCTGAATCCATTATCTTCCATTATTTTACCCCGGATTTTCCTGGCCTCCTTGATGAATCGATCGAGCATTTCCATTTCCAAAGGGTTGAGAGTGGCCATAACATCCTCTGCCGTTATGGGTTGTCCGAGCTGCTGGGGTGGATTGCGGTCTGCCCTGCGTGCTCGTGCGGAAGGCTCTTTACGAGAGGGACCAATTCGTATCGGCGGCATCCCCAAGCTATCATATTCCCCATCCGACACGACAAACCCACCGAGGTCAGATTCTCTCGCTCTTGTAGACTGCAGCTCAAGCTCGCCCCTAGAGGATGCTGTGGAAGAGGCGGGTTTCCTCGCGACGACGGGCCTCTTCGCATTCGTTTGCCCCTCCTTCATGAAAGACATGAACACCCTTTCTCTCCCATTCAGGATCTTGTTGGCATTGGTTTTGTTCAACTGTTCTAAAGGTTAGATATGTTGAGATGAGTATGTTATCGAGAAACGGGAAGGCCTACCTTGACATAGCTGTTGTGCCATCCGCTGCGCGACGCTACGTGCAGCTCTCCAATGAACTCCTCGGACGAGAGTTTATTGAAGAGCCTCTCACAGTCTGACTTTGTCCAATGCTTCCCAGCCCCGAATCCCTCGATATGGCCATCGGTATCCTGAGCCTTCTTGCCAGCTCCTTTGAAGACGTCCGCCGCATAGAGGAGCGTCTTTTTCTGCCCGTCTAATGCCTGGATGATCTTGAGGGCTATTTTGGCATAATCGGTGACATCACGCCGCTCGAACTCGACTCCGGAGGAGCAATTATCACAGGAGGCATTGCATTCATCTGCCGTAAACTTCGTGTCGCCAAAGTACCGAAGCACCTGTACTCTCCGGCACTCTGCCTCGTTGTCGCAGTATTGGATGACTTGTCGAATCATCTCCTTCTGTCGCTTCTTCTGGTCGTGCGGACCTTCGCCACTGTCCACCATCCGGAAGAGAGAGTTTGCGTCGCTATAGTTGTAGAACAAGGTACAGATACTGGGTTTGCCATCTCTGCCGGCCCTGCCCGTTTCCTGATAGTATCCTTCCAAGCTCTTCGGTATGCTGTAATGAACAACGAAACGCACGTCCGACTTGTCGATTCCCATGCCGAACGCGATCGTTGCGACGATTACATGGCACCGTCCCGCCTGCCAGGCTTTCTGCAGCTTGCTCTTTTCGTCGGACGCCATTCCGGCGTGGAAATGTTCAGCGTTGATGCCACGGTCCCGCAACACCTTTGCCACCTTTTCGCAAGTCTGCCGACTCAGGCAGTAAACGATACCCGCCTTGTTCCGGTTCTCCTGGCAGATTTCCGCGATATCGGCCAGAACTTTGGGTCCTTTGTTCCTTGACCGCACGACGTAGCTCAGGTTGGGACGATTGAAGCTTTGGGTGAACACCTTGCAGCCGGTCATTCCCAGACAGCGTTGAACATCCAGTTGCACCTTCGATGTGGCTGTAGCCGTCAGAGCGATCCAGGGGGTGCCTGGAAAGTTGGGTCTGATAGTCCCGAGCTCCTTGTAATCCGGTCGAAAGTCGTGGCCCCATTGCGATACACAATGAGCTTCGTCAACCACTATTCTGGCGAGTTTCCCCCGACGGTGTAAATCGCGGAGTGTGTCGATTAGGTAGTTGCTCTTTCCGATCATCTCAGGGGTTACGTAAAGCAAGGATATCATGTTTTCGACATCGGGGTCTCGCAACCATTGAAATATCAACTTCTTCCTCGCCTCCTCGATCTCTCCGTTGAGCAAGAACGCCATAACATTGTTCGCGTGAAGATGATCCACCTGATCGGTCATCAGAGAGAGTAATGGCGAGACAACGATAGTCACGCCTCGGGTCTTTCCCGACTTAACCACAGCAGGAAGCTGGTAGATCAGACTCTTTCCGCCTCCCGTGGGCATGATCACAAAGACGTCTTTTCCAGAAAGAGTTTCGTTGATGGCCTCGAGCTGATTGCTTCGGAACCCTTTCAGTTTGAACTGGTGGCGCAAGGCAGCGGCGACTTCTTTTGACCATGGGTACTGCATGGTAGGACTATTCAGATCGACCGTCGCGGCACGCTGGGTATGGTGTTTCCCCTGGAGGAGCTCAATGTGTGGATTTGCGAGCTGCGTTGACTGGGGCTTCTTTCCGAGAACCTGGTCGATGGTCCTGCGGGTTGGTGAATTCCCGGTTGAAGGACCGAGGGGTGCTCTCTTTCTAGTTGGTGGTGGATCGATTATCCGAATGTCATCATCCTCGATTTCTTCCAGATCCTCGACTTCGAAATCACTGCCAAAGTTTTCGTCTTCACTTTGTAAAGCGGGCCGAGGAACATTCTGAGGAACATTCCGAGGAACTGGATCAACCTCCTCGAAATCAAAATCGTCCGGATCGAACGGCGGTGGAGAGTCGGGAGGACGTAGGCCCTCGAGAGTTCGCTGGGGAAAGCCTCGTCGAACAGACGGAGATGGTTGACGGTTTGGCGGGGGAGGAGGAGGATGCAAATGTCTCCTGGACGGAGGTTTGAGCGGAGATCGTATTGTCCGGGTGATGGGGCTAGCCGTGGTTTCATCCCCGTACTTATTGCGTTTCGATGGCGTTGACGGTATAGGATTAGTATGCGTGGGAGGTTCATTGAACGGCTGCAGTTGAGGATACTGAGTAGCTTCTACCATGCCGCTGCGCTTCTTGATGGGGCTAGAGATCAACGAAGGATTACTGCTGGCAGTGGGTATTGAGACACCACTGGCAATTCTTTTCGTAACGAGATCAATTTTCGCTTTCAGCTTCTTCTTCTCGGTAATCAGCTTCATTGGGGGTGCTTCTCCCGCATCGTAGTACTGATCCTGGAGGACATCTAGCAACTCGTAATTCTGTTGCTTGAGACTTGAAAGCATCGTCTTCAACTGTGTTTCGGACATCCCTGCAAACTCGTCATCGTCCTCCACGTTGGGTGGAACTGGCTCTGGAAGATCTTTAGCCTTGCGGGGTGACCGTCTGACCTTAGCAGGCGAAATTCGTGGTACTGGCGTGGCGTATGCTTTGCCCTTATCGCTGGCCCTCTGGATTGGGTTGTGGTTACTGGCAGCTTCTTCGTCCTCCAGCAAGCTCAGAAGGTCAGCATCATCCCCCATACCGTAGCTTTCCTCCATTTCGTGATCGCCGCTATCGGAGAAGTCCTCTTCATCGTCTGAATCTTTGACCACTCCTTGTGTGAACCACTGAGATCGAGAACGTTGACTGTCCTGGCTTTCTTGTAGTTGCCGGGGTACGTGCATTGGCGTAGTTTCCTCCTTTACGCCTGCAGTTCGCGATGTCGCCCGCTTTTTTCTTTGTCGCGTGAACATTTCCGCCTCTTCCTCTTCCTCTTCCTTCTTCTCCTCATCGGACTGCCACGTGGTACACTGATTCTGGACCTTTCTCCTCTTGTTCTGTATGGTATTGGGTGATTCAACAACCGTACTGGAAGACCTAGTAGGCTGAGGAGGGCGATAAGACCGAGCAGCAGGGAGATCGGCATCCGGAGTTGGAGGGGCCTGTGACGAAGCTGGCGGTAAAGACTCATCGATCCCGCGGTTGATCCGCCGCTGTCTCTGCGGGCTCCGCAAAGTAGCAGACAAAGCGCGCGCATTATACAGCCGTGGCGACTTTGACGAAGGTGGTCCATCGGAGCATGAGGCCGACACATCGTAATCGTCTACCATGAAATCGCCGCTGAATCGTTTCTTTCCCCTGACAGCCCTACTATTGCTCAACCCATGTGGCGGAACCATTGGCATGGCGGAATTCGCCCTGGGATTTGTCGGTACCGGCGGTAGATCTTGGTCCGAGTCCATATAGCGGCTTGTGCCCCGCTTCGTATGGGCATCCGTTCGAGCGGAGTGCGCAGCTGAGCGCGGGGTAGCGTACACGGGTGGTCTCGCACCATTGTCGTCGTCGTCACCCGTGAGGTCGATCGTGTCGATTTGCATAATATCTGACGGCGGACGTTTGGTAGTAGTAGTAGACGCAACGAGTCGTGAGCTTCCACCTGTTTGAGCAGGCGTCATCAATCCTGTTACTTGGGTGGAACATCAGCAACGTCCGAAGCCGAGAGACAACAGTACAGAAGCCCATACCGGTGTGCAGCCCAGTCCTTGACTCCTCCCTGCTAAGCGATCCAACTGCTGGTGTTCTTGGGACTGGCTTGGCTGTATTCGAGGTCGGAATTGATCGTTCGAAGTTCGGATGTGAATCGAGAGGAAGACTTCCAAGCTTCGGTCTCTTGGCTCGAACCGACGAGCTTAGTTTCAATGCGCCCACCATCTCTTCCGCGTCTGGGTCTTCTTCTTCTCGGTTTGCCGACTGTGGTGGCAGCCGTGACGGTGGCAGTGATTGAACGGGTTTCCAAGAGGGAATCGAGAAGGATGTAGCGGGGGGATTCGTTGGCGGCGCAGTTTGCGGTGGCGGGGGAGATGGAGGCGGCGGCGAAAGCGAAGGAGCGGACGCACGCGGTATGGCTACAGGAGGCAGTGCCGCATTGCTCGGACGCGGTTCTTTCAGCGGCGGTGGAATGAACGGCTTCTCTCGCTGTAGCCAGGGAAGGTGCAGAGCGAGGTTGTTTCGTGTGGACATGAGAGTAGAGCGGGTATAAAGTATCTAGCGATTGTTAAGCCGACGTAGTAAGCGGGGCCGCCGGCATATCTTTCTTTTTTTTTTCTTTTCTCCAGTCGTGTGAACACAGTATCGGAGTCTACGCGTTCGGCTGGAGGCAAGGCGTGAGACCCCCAGTAATGTGGTGTTTCGGTAGGGCTGAGTGCTTCGATGGCTGCAGAATTCGTCGGTAGGATGAGATGGAGATGAAGGTGCACACGTGTAGTCGACGACCGCGTTGATCGCGTTATGTGTTGGCTTGGCAACGACAACAACACCAGTCCAATCTTTGCAATCCATATTTGACGCGCTAAAGATCTTAAAGGTGTTTCTCTAAAACCTTTAGGACAAAGGCGGAAATGGATTGGGCATGTGTTTGAGGTGAGTTCCGCTTCATGCCTGGAATCAGACAGTGCACACATTGACGATGAATTCTAAAGCTTGAAGTATCGGATTTAGGCGTGTAGACAGCTGAAATGATAAATTTCAGCGGCGTGCAACACAATTGGGAGGGTCTGTGAAAGAAAGAAAGAGAAAAAAAAGTCAAGTGACACTGGCCCGCTTTCACGTGCCGGGTGCACACTGCACTGGGGCCAAATCTTTGGGCCCGGCCCGACTGTTCTGCGGGCTTCCTCAGCCGCATCGCCGCCCCCGCCGCCCCCGCCGCCCCAGTCACCGCCACCCAACCAGCAACCAGCAGCAGACGTCCTCCAGATACTCGGGGGTGGATCGGATGCGCGCTCATCGATTCTCCGGATACGGAATATCAAGTGGATTTTGGGCCCATGGAATCTTGGATTCATGATCGGCCGCATGCCAATCCTAGCGTCGCACGCTTTTTGTGAAGGCATTGATGATTGGAGGCATGGGATATTCCTGGACCATGACGATGACCATGCCCATGTGAATATCGAATTGTTATCCAGGTGTAAGGCTGCTACTACCTGTATAGGTAGTAGTATGTACAACTCAGAGCACGCGAATAGTACGGTGGACTGACTTCAACTGCATGGCCACTGGCCAGAACTCCTCAGCTCGTCGTTACACTGTTATATACAGCCCTAGTCTTGGCCTCCCAAGGGCAGTTATCCAGATTCTGTTGGGACGTCGGTGGGCTTCTTCATCGATCACCATCCAAAGTGCTTTTCCATGGCCAATTAATTGTTTCCAGGTGTCTGGGCGAGCGGCGGAGTGGGTAGAGGAAACATCCACTTCGTCACCACCAATCGGACCACACATCCTCGCTTCCATCACGGTAGCAATAGTTACCGATGTCTACATACTTGCTCGTGAACATCGATATACACTCTATCTTGTACCCAAACCGTCTCAAGAAGGTCCCGCTTCTGTTCCCCACAATCCCCAAACAGGAAGGCCACATCGCTTAGCCAACTTCCCCGCATTCACACCAGTGGCTAGCTCAGCGGCCGAGGTCATGATGGAGTTCATTGGGCGGACGGGTCGGATAGGTAGTTATGTCTTCCATGTGAACCAAGCCCACGAGTAGAGATCGATCATAAAGGGCAGGAATGGGCTTCCTGTTTTCCGAGAGAACTCGAATTCCTTTTTTGCGGTTCACCAGCTTATCACTCGAAAAAATCCTCACGAACATACGATCGATATCGAAATTCCCACCTCACGATGGCGCCCTTCTTCCCGCGTGAAGGTATCTTCACGCTCGACGCACTCACCATCCTACTTAAAAGGACCCTGCTCAACCCAACATTAACCCTCCCGATATTCCTCGCGCTCCAGTACACCCCTCGCGGGCAAGCTCTCCTCAAGTCACTCGGACCACGCGGAGCCAAGCTATTCTCGAAGTTCAAAATCCTCCTTGCGCTCGGCCTCGTGGGCAGAATCAATGGGTTTCTGTCGCAGATGAGTTCGAATAACTGGCGGCGGGATAAGTTCAGCCCATCATCCGAGATCGTGGTGGTTACCGGTGGCAGCAGTGGTATTGGCGCGGCGATGGTGAGAGAGCTCACAAAGCCGGGTCTGGGCATCAAGGCGGTGGTCGTTCTGGATGTGCAGCCGTTGCTGTACGAAGCTGGTATGGCTCCGATGGGAATTTGTGGCTCACGTGGTGCCACCCACTGACTGACGACCGCCTCCAGCCAAAAACGTCCACTTCTTCGCCGTGGACCTCTCCTCGTCCGACAACATCGGCGAAGTCTGCAAACGCGTGCGCGAGGAGGTCGGCAACCCTACCGTCCTCATCAACAACGCCGGCGTATGCCGCGGCAAGACGATCCTCGACTCCTCCGCAAAGGACAACGAGCTCACCTTCGCCGTCAACACGCTCAGCCACTTCAACCTTGCGCGGGAATTCCTGCCCGCGATGATTTCGGCGAACCACGGACATGTCGTTACCGTCGCTAGCATCGGCGCATACATGGCTGCCCCGCAGATGGTCGACTATAATTCCTCCAAGGCGGCGGCTCACTGCTTCCATGAAGGCCTGGGCCTCGAGTTGGTGCATCGGTATAATGCACCGAAGGTCAGGACTACGCTCGTTAGCCAGGGATATGTCAAGACTCCGCTATTCCAGGGGTTTAAGAATACTAACTGGTTCATGCTCCCGGGTTTGGAGACGGAGACGGTGGCCGACGCCGTGGTGGAGAAGGTCCTCAGGCATCAGAGCGGACATATAGTCCTACCAAGGATGTATAATCTCTACACTGGTATCCGTGGCTGGCCGATATGGTATCAGAACAGGGTGCGGGGGCAAACAAAGAACCATATGAGCAAATGGAATGGGAAGCAGGTGTTGAAGTAAGGAGATGTGGTCGGAGCTGGGTGGGGGGTGGGGTCGATGGAGGTGGATAATGATGATGTTGATATGCTGTCTTCAAGCCTTCCTTTTTTGTATGCTATTTCCACAACTCAAGTAAACATTAATCCATCTCGAAAAGACCAAAACAAACCTCCCCATCACATCCCAACTCAGCACTTCTTACAGCCCTCCTCGCCTGCCTCCTCCCCACTCTTCCCCTTCAACTCGCCTTTACTCGCCAACCATGCCGCTCCGGTGTCCGCCCAAACCTGATACCTCCTGACCTTGATCTCGCCGTCACCACCCTCATGGACAAAATCGAGGGTATACGTGAACACCTCATCCCAGCCCTGCCCGGTCTCCTTCCAAGTGAAACTCGCATGGCCCTTACACGAGACCTTCATGGTGTCTGTGTCGACGATATATTCGCAGAAGCACATCTTATCGAACGTCACGTACTTCTGCAGGAGTTTAAAGTACTCTGTTATCTCGGCCCGGCCAAAGAATTGCCGCCCTATGAACGGCGCCAGCGATTGCAGCCCGTGCTCGATCGCCACTGGCGGGACCGCGTGCGTGAAGTGTGCGAGAAGCACCTCTGGAGAACAGCCGTTCGAGAAATCGGTGCACAGGCCGAGCGCCGCCGTGAGCAGCGTCTCGCGTGATGGCGGGTGATCGGGACGCATGCTGTTGCTATGCTATGCTCGATTGTGGTGATGAATTGTCGATGGCGAAGTCGATAGCGGATGTGGGATGTGAGTCCGGCAATTGTGGAGGAGAGGGGTGTGGACACTGGATTGGCGTTCTAGTGGGGGGAGGAGTGTATACCTAATAGAGTATGACAGTGACATCACGATCGAGGCAAGCCACACCCCTGCCTGGAAATGGCCTGTGCCCGGTCCCCCACCACTGACCCCGTTCCTCGCCATCTCATCCTCCAAGACAAACTTTACATATATCGCCAGGATAGCTATACCACCACAACCCCACCACCAAAGCTTCACAACGTATCATTGGCCACCGTGCAAAGTGCATCCCTTCACACACCAGTCCCAAACAACACAAACTGCCGAACCAACCATGAATGCAGTTTCTCCACCGTGGGGCGCCACGCATCGACTCGCCCACGGATAAGAAACAAATTGATTGCTAAGTCTAGAGATAAGTACCCTTACGTATGACGATGGCCGATACAGTGGCCATGATCTACGATCTGCCTGTTTAGCTCTCCGTGGGATCTATCAAACCAAGATACCACTCGGTCACCTCGCCATCCCTTCACCACGGGGCAGGAAACAAAGAAAGCAATTGCTATTTAAGCCTCCCCCTTCATCGCCATCAATGTTGCCTTCCAATCCGGACCCATTATCAACTCCATCCGCAAACCCTCCAGATACCTAAACGAAGAAAATACCCTCCAGCGCAAACATGTGTGACGACCTAATCGCAAAGCACTACCTCCACAGCTCGCCCTCGCACGTCGTGCACCCGTCGCCCGAGGAATACACGCACTTCACCCTGCACCCCACGAAGCGCACCTGGCTCTTCCTCCACGACTGCGTACCGGACGCCGTGGTCTCCTCGCTGCGGCCCAAATGGCACACACTGAACACGTACGACCCATTCCTCGCATCATGGGCGCGGTCCGAAGGCCACGAAGTGTCGCAGCTACGGGAGATGAAGCTCGGAGTGGCGGCGCCCTACACGACGAACACGACGAGCGGGTACCCGACGCCGTCGGCGTCGCCGACTACCTCGTCGTTCCCGACGTCGTTCTACAGCTCCTCGCCGCTCCCGCCAAAGGGCTACAAGGCCGCTGCGCCGCTGCCGACAAAAGCCTGGTTTTTGGCGAAACATCCCCACCTGGCGAACACAGTCCACGCCGCCGGTGAGCAGGTCTTCAGCGTCATGGATACCTCAAGGTCGATTCCGCAGCGCGCGGGCTGGATCACCGTGCTACCCGATGCGGAGTCGCGCCGCCTGTACATCTCGAACTTGGAGATCATGGAGCCGCATAGACGGCGTGGCCTGGCTAGGTGGTTGGTCGGCGAGGTGGTCAGGTGGTGGGCGAAGGCGGGACAGGGCGAGGTGTGGTTGACGGTGTTTGAAGATAATGCCCCCGCGCGGGACCTGTATGAGCTGCTGGGGTTTGTGACGGTCAGGAATTTGTACGTCGTCGATAGACGAGACGAGAGACGGGTGGTCGATGAGTAAAGGATGGGGTGGTGTAATACTGTAGCTATCATAGTAATTGTACATATTTGAATTTTGGGAAGCAAGGAGCGTCAATGATCACGGGGAGCTTCGTGCAGAGAGATCCCTACACTAACTGATGCGTGGAATGGGTTTTGAGTCAAAGTAATTGCCACCCACCCACCCACCACATCCGCATAACTTCCCGGTGCCGCCCAGGGCAGCGGCCCGTATTTCAAGTGCCGCAGGGTACCAAGCTATCTGGTTCTAGATCTGCAAATGTGCATGCGCAGTCCAGCCTGTTTATCTAGACCAGAACACGTGCGATGAATGCGGGGTACGATTAGCAGGACCAGATGCGAGTGAGATCCCAAGTTATGTATGTACCAGTGCGAACGACCTCGATAGCGAGAGATGGTTGAGAATTCACGTAGAGCAACACTACCACCACGTCCATAGTTCTTCCGACGCGCCCACCTTCTAACAAGTAAGGTACCAGCACCACCTGTAGAATATATCCGCACCACCACCGCCGATTACCACCTCTCCAGCTCCTGTATCCCCTAAACAAAACCCGAGTGTAGTAAGAAGAAGATAAAGTAGAACTCCAAACCCCATAACGCCATTCCGCCTCCCCTCCCCCTCGCCGTAGTCCTCGTCCTAATCCTCGACCATACCCCTCAGCACCTGCAGCACCCTCTTGACCATCTCGACCTTGACAGCCTCAGGGACCGTCTCCCTGGCCTCCTGATCGACAGCGACGCGCAGCTCCTCGTAGTTCCCGACGGCGGCGTTCGGATCGCGCAGCCGGTCTTGACACAGCGCGCGCAGCTTCTCGGTCCATCCCGATTCCTGCAGTAGCTGGAGGAGGAGAGTTTCTAGCCTTTTTTACACTCCCCCCTCACACCTTGCCGTCAGCCCCTCCCTCGCCCGCTCGATCCCCCCCCCCACTCCCCCTCAGAGGTGATTGAGTGTGCAACAACGTACTTGTGGAGCTCGCCGGACTCGAGTATGCGCCGGTTGATCTCGGCGACGGTGTCGGCGGGCACGCCGGAGGCGGTCGCGGACTGCGGCGGCATGGCGAGTCAGCGGAGCACGGAATAGTCGCTTTCTGTTGCTTTCGTTTGCTTCGGCGGGCGGGCGTGAGTGTGTGGAGTGGGAAGGAGACGTGTAAGTGCGAGCGAGGAGGAAGAGGGAGACGAGAGGAGAGGGTTTCGCGCCGGAGCCACGCTGCTGCTGCTGCACGACAACTGTGGAACGGTGAACCGTACTAACGTACTAACTGGTACTCTATTTAGCCGGCGCCCGTGGACGGAAGTTGCCGGCTTTAGCCGCGATCCGAGCGGAGCCGGTCATGATTGTGCACTCGGTTTCCGAGGTTGCGCGTTGCGGGGGGCGAGATGTTGGGGACTGGATGGGTGATTGGTTGTTGTGCTGCTCGAGCAATGATACTTGTTGGCTGTTATATGGAGGGGCTGGCTACGGCCGTAAGAAAAAGACCTCTTGTACATATCAATTGGCCACCTATGCAACTATGCGTACCCAAGTACATACATACGGCGAAGAGGGAGCTGATGAAGCTCGTCGGACTATCCCCTACATGCCCTGCGCTTGTAAGTTTGTTTCAGTGCATGAAGTTGGCCAAATCTGGACCGGTGAAAATACCTAGGTTCGAAACGAGTGATATCAAAGCATTCGAGTAGATTCCGCAGAGCAACTTGTGTAATTGCATAAGTTAGTAAACCTCCCTACCATTACGGATCTAGCGGCGTAAATGTCCATTTCCCTCCCCCCTAAACTTTTGGCTCCTGTTTGTGACTCGAGTCATGGCCTCATAACCTCCGTATCAGCCCTGTTGCTCATTGTCTCTGGTATTGGCACCGAGTATGTTTGAAGTACAAGTGGGTTATAGTAGAGGCAGCGGCAGCTGTAACAAAACTAACCTGCATATTGCATATCTTATTGCCTCGAAGTCTCTTGAAGCAAATGTGGTGTGTTCTCTAATGTCGAGTGAACACCTGTGATTTTGTTATTGCGTCACAGAATCTCACTGCTATCTTACCGCCACGGGCACCGATTGGGGAGCATGAGCCCGCCGAGACCTCCTATGTACCCGACTGTACCGTCTTTCTCGGATATATGTAATTTATTTCGAGTTTCGTTATTTCCTTCGTCTATCTGTCCATCTGTCTTTCGGGGTTTCGGCTTCATGGCACGGAACTCGGGAGAGGGCTGGACGGGGAGCAATAGGTAGGAAACCCACACCGAGCGTTCGCCATAGTCTGGATAGACTGCATGTGAAATAAACTGAAGATCTCTATCTCTCTCCTATACTGAGTATTCGCCATGGTCTAGATAGGCTGCATGCGAAATAAACTGAAGATCTCTCCCACACCGAGCTTAGTCACGGCCAGTGGTCGGAGACGGTGGCGAGGAACCGGACATGTGTGTACCTACCTATGCAGCCATGGTCTAGGTTTCTGGTCAAATGCAATGATGATTGAATAAAAAAAAACATCCTATCCAACCTTCCCTGCCCTGATCTTCTTTCTCTCCCTCCCGCCGAGACCCGACTTGGCAGATAAACGCAACCGTAATTCACGCACCAAATGGCCTAGGTACCCGTTTTGCACGTTCCCGTTTTCATTCTTGCTTTGAAGCTACTCCGTAATACCTCGATTTACCTTGTGCTTTTATCATTCGACTACTTTAAATGTACATCTTGTAATCCTCCACCTGCGGCCGCTGCTCCCACGCCTTCCTCCAGCTCTCTTTCCAGCCCGGTACACACTCGGGCACGGCAAACACCGCCGTGACAAAGACCTTCTCCTCGCCGCTCTCAAAGTCGGCATGGAGCGTCGGCAGCACCGTCCTGCTCTCCATCAGATTCGAGTTCGGATCGACGCGGAGGACTTCACCCCTCCTCGGCGCTGCCGTTAACTCAACGATGCCCACCGCGCCGGCTCTGGAGACCGCAAAGACAGAGCCCTCGGCTTCATCGTATCCCTCGGAGCCATTGAACGGTGGGAGGTGCCGCCCACTCGCTTCCTGCCCGTAGATGGCGAACGCTCCCTCGGCGCTCTGGAATTTGCGCCCGGCTTTGACGCGGTGGATGCGGACGTGCCAGTTGGGGTGTTTATCTGTCGGCGGAACAAGCCTGTTCTCGATCTCGACGTCGGGCCACGGGAACCACTTGCTAACGAGGTGGTAACCAGCCGGGCCTTCGGCCGCTTCGATCCTGGCCTCGGGTGCCAGCCGCCGGGTCTTCCACGTCTCGCCGTCGTCGTCGGATAGGCCGATCATGCTGTCGATGGCATGCTGCTCGAGGCTGAAGCTTCCCGTCGGCACCGAGAAGCCGAACGCGGAGGAGTACGCGAATTTGCCGTATTTTGCCTGCGTCGCTTTGAGTGCGTAGTGGCACGCCTGCCCCGACGAGAGGATGAACGTGTGGCCGCCCAGATGGCTCGCGATGTGCAGCGGCGTTGTGAGCGCCGCGACGCTCTCCAGATCCGTTGGGTACGCCTCTTCCTCCGCGGACCAGAATGGATGCGATTCTGGGAGCGCGAGCGGGAAGAATGCTTTCATGCACCAGTACGGCGACGCCGGCGAATTGTAGTTCTCGGTGAAGTACATGTTCGGGTACGCATATCCGATCGTCAACGTCCCTGAAGGAGTGAAGATGGGCTGTTGCGCCCACCAGCGGAGGTTTCGGAGCAGGAAGCCCTTGATTACGCCCCATCCGTACGTGTGTGGGAGTTCGTACCGGCCGGGGTCGCTGAAGGCAAATGCTAAGGCACCCCAGAAAGCGGCCATGGCGAATCGATAGGTTGTTGAGCGTCCGAAGGGGATCGCACGACCTGATGAGATCAGTTGGGGGTATGCCCATACTTTTTGCACGATGGCGGACACGCTTACCTTGCGGATCGAAATAGTGGATGTGGCTTTCCAGATACATCAAGGCGCGCTGGCGGTACTCCTTACACCTTTCTGGGTCGTCATCTGCCGCCAGTTTAGAGTAGATCAACTGCGAAGTCTGGATCGCGAACGGTCCAGAATAATAGTCCATCTGTAAAGTATCCGGAGGGCCGTCGTTCGACCATCCTTGGGAGTCGTAGAACGTATCCAGATGGTCCAGATCAGCAACCAGCTTCTCGGCGCTGTGAACTGCTCCTAGCTTTTTGAGAGCCAGGTTGGCGAAGACACGGAACCAGAGCCTTCAAGAGGAGAAGTTCCATCAGCCTTTCATGCAGGATTTTTTGGTTTCTTTTTGACTGCCGCGGGCTTGCTCACCAATTGGTGTTCGGCATCTATACGTACCAACACATGAGAATCTCAATCACTTGTGGGGCATAGGCATATATTCATGGAACCCACCTCACGAGTATTGACACTTCCGAACCAGGCCACAACATTGCTCTTCTCCTTACCCGAGAAGTCCTTCCAGAAGCCATTCTCGCCTGGGCCACAGAGGGCCAACCAATAGCCCATGGGACACATCTCGACCATTCTCTGATCGCGATCTCTAACTTCGCCCCAGTACTCGTCGCTCTCGGGATCGGTTCCAGCCTTCAGACCGTCGACCCACTTTTGCTGGCCGTCGAAATCGGCGCCGCCTCCCAGCAAGGACGCAAGTCCCCACAGCGGCCGCGCGAAGCCTTCGAGATTCGCAGCAGTCTCATCGTAGTGCACGGCTGTCTCGCCCAGACGCACCTGCGCGCCGCCCGGAGACGTGAATGCGGCGAGCGGAGTGAGGATGGCCCTCAGCGCTTCCTGGAGGTTGCCGCGGGTGCGCAGGGGATTGCCCGAGAGTGGGTTTGTGGGGGGTGGTGGCGGAGGCATTTTTTTTCCGTTAAGGGTTTTTTCTTTTCTTTTCTTTTTCTCCTTGGGAGATGGGGGGGATTGTTTGGGACAGGTAATAAGAAAATACTGTAGGTACGCGAGTGGATTTTCCGAGCGTGTGTACCGTTTGCACGGCTCTATATCTACGGGATCGTTGAGGTCTACCCAGTGCCCACTCGCTCGTAGTCACCCACCTAGTGGAGGACGGAATCTGAACGGTTGATGTTCGGTGGAGAAACGACAAGATCCCGCCGCGCCTAAATGGCTGATACATACCCCACATGCAGCTAACCATTAGTAACTACCACGGATCTGCTGCTTCGTTCAGCCTTAATGCTGAATATAGCAACTATGTATAGCTCGGTGTATTGAGATTCGCCTTAGCCGACTGCGGGGTGCTATGGCGTCAAAATTCCCCTCGATTGTTCCTTCCCATCGTCGGATTCTCGCTGCGTGCGTTTCGCCTCGTCGGGGGATGGATGCTACGCTTGATTGCTGCACTGCACTGCACCTCGGAAAACCGGCGACCGAGAGATGGTCCGGAGCAGGCGTACGGACATTCGCGCCTTGCTTCGTGCTGCCAGCTGGGAATATAGATTCGTCAGGGTCCGCTCGTTAAAGAAGAGCTTTGTTCCATTGTAGTTGACGAAAATCCGCTTCGAAAACCTTTCCTTTGGCAGCAGTGCAGACTTGTATTGAAAACACCGGGCCTACACATATACATACGAATTCTGATACATACACACATACCAATCGCAGATATGGCTCCTGTCAACGTTCTCATGGTATGTACACACATACACATATACATACACACTCTCTGTCGACCAGCACAACTAATGGTTTGCCGCAACTAGGTGGGGACTGGCGAGTACACGACCGGCTGGACCGGCTCGGGGGGTTCGAAATCAGACAAGAAGGTCCGTCTCCCAACTCTTTCCCTCCGTTAAACCATTCGTACACTGACACGCAGTAATCAGGTCGGTGTAGTGGGCCTGACATTCTTCGACCTGCGTCGGCGGGGCAAGGTGGGAGACCTCTCGATGGTCGGCGTCAACGGCAAGAAGTACCCCGACATTCGCAAGCATCTGGAGACAAACATCAAGGGCGTCTACAATGGCCTCGATGTCGGTTTCAAGTCGTTCCCCGCAGACGATAAGATCGATCCCGAATCGTACAAGACGGCTATCGATGCGTTGAGCCCTGGAGATGCTATCACTATCTTGTTTGTTTCCCCACCCCCGGTGTGAGCGATGGCGGGCGAGCGAGCGAGCTGGTGACTGACGTCTTCTTTTCCGCAGTACTCCCGACACCACACATTTCGACATCGCACTGTACGCCATTGAGCGCAAGATCCACGTCCTGATCACCAAGCCCGCAACCAAGACGCTGACGGACCACTACGCACTCCTCGACGCGGCCGCCAAACACGGCGTGTTCGTGTACATCGAGCACCACAAGCGCTACGATCCCGTCTACTCGGATGCGCGGGCCAAGGCCAAGACGCTCGGCGACTTCAACTACTTCTACTCGTACATGTCGCAGCCCAAGTCGCAGCTCGAGACGTTCAAGGCGTGGGCCGGCAAGGACAGCGACATCAGCTACTACCTCAACTCGCACCACGTCGACATCAACGAGTCGATGGTTCCCGACTGGGTGCCTACGCAAGTGACAGCCTCCGGCTCGCGCGGCTGCGCCACCGACCTCGGCTGCGTCGCCGGCACCGAAGACACCATCACGCTGCTGACGGACTGGGCGAAGCGGGACGACCGGGCGCGGGTCGCGACGGGCGTGTACACGGCGTCGTGGACGGCGCCGCAGAAGGCCGGCGTGCACTCCAACCAGTACTTCCACTACATGGCGTCGCAGGGCGAGATCCGCGCGAACCAGGCGAAGCGCGGCTACGACGTTACCGACGACAATGTCGGCGCCATCGCTTGGTACAATCCGTTCTACATGCGCTACGCGCCCGACGAGGACGGAAACTTCGGCGGTCAGACCGGCTACGGCTACGTCAGCTTTGAGAAGTTTGTCGACGCCTGCAACCGTGTCAATGCCGGCACCGCCACCGTCGAGGATTTCGACAAGAAGGGCCTGCCGACGCTGAGGAACACAGTGATTACTACGGCTATCCTGCATGCCGGCAGGGTCTCGCTCGATGAGAAGAGGACCGTCAAGATTGTGGAGAAGGATGGAAGGCTGGTTCTGGAGTAGAATACTTTTTTTTCTTCTTTTTTTTCTTCTTTTTTTCTCGATGTAGAATACCTAAGTAAGTATTATGCAATGCAATACTGAGACATCCGGAAAAACGTTTGAGCGGGAGCGGGTCCGCCGGAGAGACCGGCGGCCAGACCAAAGGGCGGGGATTGACACATGCAAAGGCAAGGCGCACCCAGATCTCAATGACAGTATGACACACTTATCGGGCCCATCCACTGGTGCTATCACATTTAGGTGCCTAAGTAAGCATCCACAGTCCACAGTCCACATGTGTTTTTTCTTCGCAATCAACCGAGCCAGCAGCACTCATGGGCCATCCACATTGCACCACACCTCGGATCAAAGGCGCCCACCGTACCACGCCCAGTGCCCAGTGCCCAGTGCCCACGCCTAAACAAGGTATGTATATCATAGATACAGTATAGAGTAGAGTGTCCCCCTACCCCCCTCCCCACCTCCGGCCCGCCTCCCGAGCATCCAAGCCCTCGCTTGCGGGGGGGCTGGGGCATATCCGGAAGGTGTCGGAGAAACACCAACCCCGCACGCTTCCGTTTAAGCTTTTGTCGTGCGCGGAGCGCCAGCTGTGCCAGGGGTGGCTCGGGCTTTCGGCTGAAATACGCCGACCCCCGACTCCGAGGAGTGCATGCGGAAGGTGTGCTGGTGGTGCTGGTCAATTGGCACATGGAGAATTGGGGGCGGGATGGGGTTGGCAGATGGGGGATCACGGGGCTGTGGGTAGTGGGCTGTGGGTAATGGGCAGTGGGTGCGGAGGTTGGTACTTGTGTCTTGGTATGATACCGGTGTGTGTGCTGCGCTGTGAGTGGAGGATGAGTGGAGGATGGGTGGCTGGTGTGGATGGTGTACTGGATTGTACTGGGCTGGATTGGACTGGATTGGACTGGATTGGACTGGATGGGATTGGTACACAACTGCTATTGAGTGCGAGAGATCTAGTAATCAGGCAGAGAACTGCTTCTTTAGGCACTCAACTCTACTCTACTCTACTCTATGACTTGAACGACTTGCCTGAAAGACCTGCTTCCCCTCCACCCCAAAAGTGCGTCGGTGATACCCAAGTACTCGCACCTGACGTCCCGGTGGAACTGTGGAATACTGGAAGGTGCAACGGCGAACGTGGACTCGTGAGCTCGTGGGGCCCGCCGCCCAAATATCGTAAACAGTTTCCTGCACCTGCCACGCAGGCTGGCTGCGGACCACGCACCGGCTCTCTGGTAAATACTAAAGACTGTGCAGTGCAGTGTGAAGAGGTTGCGCCGAAATCACGATTCACGAAAGCAGACCAATCATCAATGTCTGTACAATGTACAATGTGGACTGCAGTCCTCATTCGTCCACCCAGAGGAGAGGAGAGTACCCCTCAGTTTTTTTTTTCGTTTAATGCCAGAGTTCATGATTCGAAACGGTAGGTACTTACTGAACTCTGGTTTCTTCTTCTGTGAATCTGTGATCCTCCACCAACTCCAGTGTCCATAGGTCTCGTGCTGTGATTCCGCGTCGAGCGTGGGGTCGGACCAAAGTGCATTTGCACTGTCGATATGGAGACCAAATCGACCGTCTTCATACCGTCTAGGCAGTAGGTACCGTCCGAAATAACGGATGCGGGGAGCGGGGAGCGAATACCTATGTACCTAGGGTATCGATTGCTGCTGCAATAAGATCTTCAGGAAGGGGCTCGAGTGCTACATATGACTGGAACTGGGACTGGTCACTGGAACTTCTATCATACTGGGTGCATTCGGCTCGATGACGATTCGACTCGACGAGCCCAGGCTTTCAGGCCGCCAGCGTATGTAGGAGAAGATATTGCCTGGATGCCTATGTGTACCGTAGATCTGTCGTTAAAACCTGTCAGTGAAGTCTCACTACGGTATGGTATGCATGTATGTTACATGCAAGACACGATAATCCCCATCCCATCTAACCCGCGAGCCTACATACCTTCACGAATAACTCTTCGATTATGCATCTCTGTCAGACATGCTTCCCCGAGAAAGGAGGCTAACATCTTCGGCGACCCTATATACTAGTTAGTACGGTACCGGTGCATCGATATTCCGCCGCATCTTCGAGCCCGAAGCCAACAGCTAGCTAAGTAGTGTTTGCCGCCGAAAGGTTGGTATTCTACTGCAGCTGGTCCCGTGCCATCCATCCAGCCATCCAACCTGTCAACCAGCCCGATGTCGGTGGCGCAGAACTCAAGTTCCAGAACGCATGACATCGCATGATACCGCATGTATGTACGGTAGTGGCGATGACAATTGCTCACCCACCACCGACCACCCACCACCCAACCCGCCGAGCCAGCGGACTAGCCGCTAAAATCCACAATCCACCATCTGCTGGTCCCGTCCCGGTGCAAATTATCACGATCGGCCGGCCGGAGTTCACTCGTATGTACCAAGCATGTACCAAGTATGTATTTCGCCCCCCTCCCCGTGGCGGTTGTTGTGGTGATAGAGTAGAGTAGGTAAAATCTCTACAATGCCCATGCAACCGAGCCGAGATCGAGATCCACAACATGCCTTTTTACTCTTGTTTACTCATTCGCACTCCACTCCACTCCACTCCCTCCCGAAGAAAAAGCTTGAAGTGCTCTCGCCGCGCCGTGCCGTGCTCCACATCTGACAGCTGGCCTGGCGGTTGGCAGATACGGTTGGCAGATACGGTTGGAGATACGGTTGGAGATAAATATGGTAGAGCAGACCCCCCCCTCCCCTCCGCTTCCCCGGCTAAACTTGCCACCTTGCCTGTAGACACTGGGCACTGGGGATCGGGGGGATTGGTGGGTGCTGGGTGTTGGGTGCCAAGGGAAGTCAGCACGGAATCGCCTCTTTTCAGGAAATCCAGCTTTTGCAGAACGGAATGGGGGGAATGGGGGGGGGGGATGGGGGCGGAGATGTAATGTACTGTCTACATACATGTGTAATTTGCAGGAATCTAGATGTAGATACTTATGAAGTATGTATGTAGAGTGCTCTATGCATGTGGGGTCCGCTCACAACTAACTGCCCCCAAACAACTTGCCGGTCTGGCAATGGTCATGCTTTGGTCATTGGTCATTGGTCATTCATGATGTTTTTTTCCCTCCTTCACCTGCCTGCTGGCGTGCAGATCCAAGACTTACCAATACGGTACCATTGGGGGCTACGGACGGACAAACGACATACCCACGTAGCCAACGAGATATGGCGCAAGTCGGGAAGAAGGAGGAGGTGGAGGAGGAGGTGGAGAAGGAAGTGGAGGAGGTGGAGGAGGAGGTGGTGGAAACGTGGACTGACACTCTGGGAAGTGCCTGTTTACCCACCTGCCATCATCTATCGAGCTCGCAATTCCCTCAACGGAAGGAGCGGCCACTGCCCATCCTTTCCTATCCATGGTTCGAAATGTTTCTTCCGTATGCACAAGTCCGCTGCCGTCCTGCAACGTAGGTACATACATACCCAGATAGATAGACAGATAGATAGATAGTTTCTCCGATCCGGATCCTTACGGTACGATCACGGAAAAACCTCCAGATCCATACAGGCTACATGTAAAGTGAATCATAGGTAGGGTCGTATGTATGTATGTATGTATGTACATACAGATGATCCTGAAGATCCGGATCAAACAGCCTCCGTCGTCCGTGATTGCGGTGCCTGTCGTTGTGCTCCTCCTCGTAAAATAATCCATACACCCGCGTCTTCCGGGTGGATCTCCTGCGTTCTCGTGCCGGCTGTTATTCCGGGGATGCGTAGGCAGCTGAATCTGCCTATCTATCGAACTGAATTAACGCCCGTGGCCTGGTAAGTGAGAAGAGTAAGTAAACATGACATGCAATGCCACGTACATACACTCATTCCCTCCCTCCCCCTTCCGAGACTTCCTCGTTCACTCTCCCCCAGGTTTGAGGGGGCGGGAGAGTGCTCGGCGGAAGCGCCCATGACGTTTACCCCACTAGGTTGGTTTTCTCCTCGTCCACCACTATGGGGCCTGGACTGGCCATGTGTGCTTGCTTGCTTTTACTGCTCGCACGCTCGTTCGTTCGGATTCGATCCAGACCGGTAGTAACGGAAGAACTACCTGGTAGGCAGCGAAGCGAGCGAGCGGCCGAGGGAGGCCGACGCCCGCGCCGGGCTGATGGTCCGAAACACCGATAAGCTTGCGCGAGGTTTGACGTCTATTTACTAGTAGCAAGCGCATGTTCCCCGGATTTGGTGCGTTTCTTGGTATGATTCGGCGTATCCGCCGCGTGCCCAGACGAACGTATGAGACAGCAGTAGCAGCCCCAACACTGGCAGCGAATCGCAGTCCGATCTGGGGCTCCCAAAAGAATTGTCGCGATGCGTGTGTCGCGGACCCGGATTTTCCCCAGCCCGTTCGCTGCAGGGTGGGTGGCCACTTTGTCGTCGGATCCGGAAACGTGGAGACGTGTGTGTCCTCGTCGTCGTCGTTCTCGCTGCACAATCTGACCGATACTCTGCATCGGCGGCGGCGGGTGGGTGTGGTCTCTGCAGTCTGCGGTGTGTTCGGTGTGTGCGGTCTGCATCATGTCGAGTGATACACCGACTTCACTGACAATTCGGGGCCAGCGCTAGATCTGCAATCCATTAATATGGGGTTTAGCCGGCGCGGTGTGGGGAAAGACATGGGTGCCGCCCGACTGTGGAGTTGACAGGCTTGTTTCTCCACAAAGACGGGCAAGATTGGCTGGAGGCGGACCGTCGAGGAAGGAGAGAATACCCATTGCCTGTCCACCTGCCTGCCCACGGTAATTAGCCCAGCTTTCTTTCGTCCACACAAGCGTTTCACATTTCACCCGACTAGGGTAAATTTACTGGCGGGCCATAGGATTGCAGCCGGTGGTGGTGGTGGAGGTTTATGGTGGTGGAGGTTTATGGTGGTGGTGGTGGTGGTGGTGAAGGTGGTGGTGGCGACTGAGCCCACCGTCCAACCACCACGCGTGCCACTGGGGACAGGACCCAGGCGCGGATGCCGGGGTCTTCGGCGGGCAAAATCGACAACACAATTCGTGAGCCATACGTACTCCCTCCTCCCCGTCCATCTACATACAGATTGGCTGGGCAAGCTAGAGCACCGATGGCCCCAAGCGAGGACCTTTCTCAACCACCGCAAAAAGTACCACCGCAAAAAGTGCCATACACCCACCGTAAATTGGCCCGAATCCCGAGCTCCAGAAGAGTCCGCTTTGGGTGTGCGGATTTGATGCGAATACTCACCCCTTCCGCCGGACATCGCATGTAGTGGTACCGAGGAAGCAGTGTGCTCTGTTCCCACGTCGGTGGATGCATCAATCTGCACCCGGCATACACGCCTCGCGACCGACCTCCCTCCCCACCCCCCCACTCGGGCAGGAGACACTGGACACCGGCATGTGCTGGGCGGATCGAGCATAGGTATATATACTGTTATATTGTCCCCCGTTCTCCCTCGAACTGGAAGAAGCCCTTGATTGAACTTCCTCACCCATCACTGCCCGACACAATCCGGGAATACAGAACTTTGTACTCGAGGGACGAGACGACACTGATCACACATTTCCACCATGGGAGGTTTACTTACAAAAGTCGTCAAGAACGATGCCATGAAAAATGATCCCCCAGGTTCGTTGCTCCCTGACGCCCTGAGGCCACAACTATGCTGACCCATCTACCATCATAGAGATCTACAACTGGAGGGTCTACGTTCTTTCGTGCTCAGCTTGTTTTGCTGGTGCGTTGTTCGGTATGGACACCGGTATCATCGGAGGTGTCCTGAAGATGGACACCTTCCGGAAGAAATTCGGGTTACAGGACCTCAGTCCAGTTGCTGGTACGTTGTTGATCTATTCCTCCCCGATTTCCCTGACCACGGAGTTTTGACATGTCTTGTTTGCAGGGGCCGATCTGGAAGCCAATATCGTCTCGACTCTACAAGCCGGATGTTTCTTTGGAGCTCTCGTGGCCTATTGGTTCGCCGATAAGTATGGTCGAAGGGCCTCTCTTTTCGGCTGTGCCTGTATCGCCATCATCGGAACAACTATGCAAGCTGCATCGAACGGAATCCTCTCAGTCATGTATATCGGCCGTCTCATCACCGGATTCGCTGTCGGTGCTGCATCCATGTTGAACCCTCTGTACACTTCCGAGAATGCCCCTCGAGCCATCCGTGGTGCTTTGACCGGAATGTACCAGTTCTTTGTAAGTCATGTCTTTCCCCCGGGAATCGCGAGCAAGGCTAACTAGCGGACTACAGATCGTCAGTGGTATCTGTATCGCCTTCTGGATCAACTACGGCAACCTCCTGCACCAAACCGGTGACAGGCAGTTCGTCATTTCCCTCGCGCTTCAAGGCCTTCCCGCCGTCTGTCTCGGTGTCGGCATGTTGGTTAGCAACGAGTCACCTCGATGGCTTGCACGCAGCGACCAATGGGAGAAGGCGGCCACCACTCTGGCCAGGGTCCGCAACCTCCCCGTCGACCACCCCTACGTCCAGAGCGAGTTGGCCGAGATCCGTGAGCACCTCGAGATGGAGCAGCGCCTCGTCGCCGGCGCCGGCTTCTGGGACCTGCAGAAGGAGATGTGGGGTGTCCGTGGAAACCGAAACCGTGCCCTCCTATCGATCGGTCTCATGATCTGCCAGCAGATGACTGGAACCAACGCCATCAACTACTACGCTCCTCAGATCTTTGTGAGCCCCCCCCTTCCTTTGAGTTTTAATGAACCGCACTAACGGACGTAGGCCAATCTCGGACTCAACTCTACCGAAACCGGTCTCTTCGCCACGGGTATCTACGGTATCGTCAAGATGGTAACCTGCGCAACATTCCTGATCTTCGTCGCGGACACTCTCGGTCGCCGGAAGTCGCTCCTCTGGACCTCGATCGCGCAGGGCCTGTCCATGTACTACATTGGCTTCTACGTGCGCTTCGACCCGCCAGTCAAGGGTGCCGATGTGCCTCCTGCCGGTTACATCGCCATCGTCATGATCTTCCTCTTCGCCTCGTTCTTCCAGTTCGGATGGGGCCCTGTCTGCTGGATCTACGTGTCTGAAATCCCCAGCGCCCGCCTCAGAGCTATGAACGTCGGTATTGCCGCCGCTACCCAATGGCTCTTCAACTTCGTTGTCGCCAGGGCTACGCCGAACATGATGGTCAGCGTTGGAAAGGGCGGTTACGGTACCTACTTCATATACGGGTTTGTCTTCCCCTCTTCCCCCACTTTCTCGCTCCCGACTAACCTGTTTGTTTTTTCTCTCTAGGTCCTTCTGTTTCGGCATGTTCTTCTTCGCCTACTTCTTCGTTCCTGAGACCAAGGGCATGTCGCTCGAGGAGATGGACAACATCTTCGGCGTGATCGAGCAAGGAAAGTTCATGGACGAGGAGGCGACGCCGAACTCGCCACGGGTTGCGGCGGTCGAGCTCGGCGAGGACGGAAAGACCGCTACTGGTACCACCGTACTGCAGGCCGCGGAAAAGAACTAGGATGCGTTATGTACGCACGCACGTGGGGATTTATGTATAGGGCTGGCTGTATTTACTTACTTAGTTTTTGCATTTTGGCGGCGGTGGGGGCTTTGGAATTCTACCGCGATAGTTTGATGTCAAACGATGTGCTGCTCGAGACTCGAGTGCGCCCATTTGATCATTGATACATGTGCCCATACGTGTGCTGCGGAAATGGTCCGGTTGAACGATCTGTGTGGACGTGTGGACCGTCGGCGCAATTCCCCCTCTCGTATGTAAAACTGTAAATACCGTCGTACGTCAATCAGCCCTGCACCGCGTATGTCGGAAGCCTGCTACCCACAACTTCCCAACCTTCCAACGCCATGAAGTGTTCGAGCGTGGTTCTCCGGTGAGTCCAACGTAATATGCATACGTCTAACGACTTCCCACAGCACTGGTGGAATGACATGTGATAATCTAGTGCTAACTATTGCATTACCCCAATACCCCAATACCCCATACCCCGGATTAACTACTAGCCCCACCCATACTTTTAGTTTCACTACTCCACCGTTCCACTCCACCCCACTCCCGCTCCCGCAACCGGTCCCAACACATTAGGTACATACATACATAAAATCACACCACCGCCGTCTCAGCCCACATACCCACAAACCCATGCTCCTCCCCATGGAAAACATCACGCTCCTCGGCTGCGGGACCATCGGGCTCTCCTTCGCCGCGGTGCACCTACGCTCCTCCAGCAGCAGCATCGTAACCATCCTTGACCCGCGCCCCGACCTCGCTACCATCCTCGCGCCGCTGCTCGCCGTCTACGGCGCCTCCCGCGTCCTCATCGCTCCGACACTCTCGGACGCCTGCACGTCCCGCACACACCTCGTGCAAGAATCCGGGCCGGAGTCCGTGTCCTGGAAGACGTCATTATGGGCGGAGGTGGAGGGCCTCGTCAGCGCGCAATGCCAGCTCTGGAGCTCGACATCGGGGATCCCCGCGAGCGTGCAGGGCGCGCGCATGCAGCGTCCCGCGCGGCTGATCGTCGTCCACCCGTTTAATCCGCCGGCGGTGATGCCGCTGATCGAGATTGTGCCCGGCCCGGGGGCAGAGGAGGTGGTGGTCGAGAGGGCGAGAGAGTACTGGGAGCGCGTGGGGTATAGACCCGTCGTGATCAGGGAGGAGCGGAAGGGGTTTGTTGCTAATAGGCTCGCGTTTGTAATGTTGAGGGAAGCGGTGGGTCTAGTGCAGCAGGGTGTCGTGGGAGTAAGGGAGGTGGATGCGATTGTCGAGAATAGTGTGGGTCTGAGGTGGGGCGTTAGAGGCCCATTTAGAAGTTATCATGATGGTGGTGGGGAACTGGAGAATGGCGGGTTGAGGGGGTTTTTGGAAAAGGTGGGCGGGACGGTCAGGGAAGTGTGGGCGGAGGGCGAGGGGGATCTCCCGGCGGGGTGGGAGGAGACGGTGATTGCGCAGACGGAGGAGGCGTATGGGAGTGTGACACAGGAGAGTCTGGACGAGAGAGATAGGATTACGAGAAGGGTGCTGCAGGCGATACGGGAGGAGAAGGAGGCTATTGAACTGGAGAAGGTGGAGAGGGGACGGGCTCAGAACGCAGTTGTTGAGTAGGAGCAAACGAGGAAAAACTGATGATGAATTGACCACTGTAATGCAACGCCTAACGCCGGCCACGACTGTAATCGGGATATCGTACAAATCCCTTCCACCAATAACTACACCCATCCCATTCATTGCTCAGCTCTCGTCCACCCAGATCTTGATGGTCATGTCCAATCCGCAGCTCGCGACAATGTTCTCCGTCGGATGCGTCGCAATCCCCAACACTACATCCTCATGTCCGACCAGAATCTGCACCACCGCTTTACTCTGTACGTCCCACACGTACACATCTGAATCCTCGCTTCCTGCAATCCTTCATTCCGTCAATACCCACCAATCAGTGAGGAAAGGGGAGGGAGACATACACCAAATTCCCTTTCGTGATCGCAAACGCCGAAAAGATACTATACTTCTCATTCTGATGTCCCATGTAGGTTTTCAGGCACTTCCCCCTGTGGTAATCCCACAGCCTAACACAGGAATCCAGCGTGCCAGCCAGGAGGAACTTCCCGTTCGGACTGAACCTCACCGCGGTAACCGGCTTATTATCCTCCTCGACCAGGGTCCTGAGACACTGTCCGGTGGTGACATCCCAAATCCTGATCAATCCATCATGCGAGCAGCTCACGATCATGGTCCCGTCGCGGTTGAACCCCACTCCCGACACAGGATCACTGTGCGCAGGTAAGGTCTTCATGCAGTTCCCCGAGCGCACATCCCACAGCCGCACCGCTTCGTCGTAGGAGCCCGACGCAATAATCGTCCCCCGCGGGCTGTATGCTACCGTGTACACGGCGTTGTGGTGCCCTTTGAGGATCTTCCACATTTTCCCCTACCGCCCCGCGCACGCATCAGCTCCCATCCCCAATCCCCCAACAACCCCGGAAACAAACCGAAAGCGCATCCCAAATCCTCACGGTCTTATCATCGCTGCCACTGACGAGCGTCAGACTATCGGGAGCCCAATCGACATCCGAGACGCCAGCGATGTGTCCTTCGAGTGTATGTTCATGTTCGCCCGTTCTCGCATGCCAAACCTTAATCGTCATATCCGCGGCTGTCGCCCACCCGCAGCACCTCGCATCAGCAACAAACCCCCAGTAAAGCATGGGAGCAACGGGGGAAGCGAAGCAAAGTAGGAACACACACAACAGCTAGCGAGCCACTTCCCGTCGGGACTGAACTTGACCGAGGACACGCCCAGCGTGTGGCCCTTGAGCGTGCTCTTGAGCGCGTACTCTGGGCGCGAGAATGGCGGCGGCGTTTCGGCGCTCCGTGCGCGCTCCGAGGAGGTCGAGTGAGCTGCTGCGGCAACGTCCATTGTGTGCGAGGGGTGAGGTTGACGCGCCTAGTTATGTAGAGGGAGGACGCGATTTGTGCTGGGGCTTTGGCTGGGATCTGGGACGCGACGGACTGGGTTAGGGGTTAGGGGTGGTGGGGCGGCATGGAATGGTGTGAAGTACCAGGTATGTGCGGAAAAGAGCAGTTTTTGATGAACATGGGATGGCCGATTCTGGGTGGGGATTCTGTACACAGGTATCCATACAGATTTTTGTTCACTGTTCACCTGGCTAAGCCGGACCTAATTGGACTGTCTTGGATCCAGAGCAGTTTAGACATATCTGATCACTCGCCGCAGATGGTCCAGCACGGGGAATAGAGCCATTCGAAATACATCTGGAGTCAGGTGGAAGACTGGGGTAAGCAAGGTTGCTGTTCCGAGCCCATTAACTATTGGGAATGCACACAGGACCAGGAAGATTGCGTGCATTACAAAATCTACAGACCTGCCTAGTATCATACCAGCAACGCTGCGTCGTCACCTTCATGCAGTGCGCCGATCACACTCGTACTTCCCGCAACCATTTTACCACCGATGACACGCCGCGGAGCTTTTTTTCTTGTGATTCATGTCGCCTTATGATTTTTTGCCGGTTTTGGCAGTCGACTGCAGTCGACTACAGTCCGTCCCGTCCGATTTTACTGGTGAGCTAGTCCGTCCAACACACCTCCGGACGGACTGGACGAACGTAGTCCAGTCCCGTCCATGGGTCCGGACGAACTGGGCCGGACTTTGTAGATCACTGCCTTGCTGCCCCACTGCGCCGCTGCCTTGCTACCCGCTGATCATCATTGTATTTGACCTTATTGGATCATAGCAGTTACACAACCCATTCCGATTTATTTCACGCTTCAAAAATGTTTCTAGAGGCAGTAGATGTTGTAATATCTCACTCGTTATCATCGTGGGCATGGACCTTCGCTCCCTTTCCTAGACTCGAGGCCACAGCCTCGCTTCTCTGGACATAATACGCATAATTTAATTCATCCGTTCAGTCACTATTCACAACAGTAGGTGATCTTCAATGATCGAGTGACTTGTCATGCTTTGATGTACCGTACCGTACTTGGTAGTGTTTAGAAACGACGACCATCTACTAGTACAGTGCTGCACAGAGGGACTCGACTTGATTCAATCGGAACAGAAGAACTGGATGGCCTATAGTAGGTATATGATTGGCCGAGGATAGAATGAGAGAACACAAGGAGAGGACGGCCCAGACAACGGCGATTTTAATTCCCAGTTTCCACTCGATCACTGTTATTTTTTTATACAGGGCTGCGATGTGTATCACCTGGCGAGACCGTGAGAGACTACCTATAGTAAGGGAGTATCGAGGGCGAGCATGTCTCGGCTACCGTAAGAGTCCTGTCCTGACTCCTACGTATATATCTAGATCTCATCGCTCTGGCTTCGTTTCCCCGCTCTGCTTCGTCCCGTCGCTCCCACGGAAGACAAGAGCATCGAAAATCCGCTGATTCAGCCATCGCTCCGATATTTACGCTGTGGATTTTGACACCATCCCTCTCAGTCTCGTCAGCGTCCGAACCCAGGCGCGGCTGTACCGTCTCGGGAAATCCCTGTGTCATATGTGCGATGTGACGGTGGCTGCCTAACCTAACGATCCCACCGGGCAAACCGTTAACGGTGTGATCCCTGATGCCAATGTTAGTTACATACCACCTGCCACCAATGATCATGGAGGGATTCGATACATAGATCTGGGCAGTTTTTCGGAGCTCTAGATGACTCTAGGGCCTAACTACGAAACTAGCATCTTCCTACCATACATACTTGAGTGGGCAGTGGGCACTAGGAAACCTAGATATATGTACCGGTACATGTACCATGACTTGCAGTAGGGTCTATATGTAACTACCATGCCAACCGCCGCTCGCCACTCGTGCAAGCAACAGACCAGACCTCAATAATTAAGATAGAAGCCGAAAAAACCCCCATATGGGAATAGGTACCAAACCGACAGAATTTATCGCCGGAGATACTTTCAATAGTCATATATAAGTAACCAGAACTTATATTTGGGTTGTCGAGGCAATAAACGTGCCTACTTGGGTGTGGACTCAATAAATTCAATGTCCCGAGCCAGTCTTGTGTGTGCACTCATACATAATCTCGGCCGGGAACTGGTAGTATGTATAAATGACCCTCATGGTATAGAAGGTTCTCTCCTCCATGTACTTGATTCGGCTCGACGCGACCCTAGACCGTACCACTCGTTGTGGATACCATGGTTGTGTAGATAAAGATGAGACCAAACCCGGATGAATAACTAGCCGAGGTCGGTTGGACAACTCTGCCGTTTCGTGCCTGATCGTGCTAGTTATATGTGCCGGACGTTTGATCATCGGTGTTAGTGGAAATAATAGTATACGAATACGAGAGATAGTAGATACCAATACGGCAAGAACGAATACGGTACTAGAGTTCAAGGAATTCGATATGGAAAGTAGGAGGGTCCGAGAGTCCGAGAGTCTGGAAGTCCGAAAGACTACTGGTGTATATTAGGGCGAAATTTCTCACCTCGGCCGGTTCTCAACTTGAGTCTTGACTCCCAGCTTCGAATACCTACTGTCGACTCTCAGGTTGCCGATTGTTCCATCCCACGACGGCACGTACAGTGGACTCGAACATGTGATCTGTAATGCCTTCAGTGACACCGTAACAACTGATACTGTACACTAACCCTGTGATCATCTCCAAATGCCTTCATCAACAATGGCGGCTATACCTCCTCCAGAACGACAGATCCTCTCAGCCTCTGGGTCCCTTTAGATTCCACTCCGCTGAACCGCAATGCACGTCGTCCGCCTTCTCTCTCCGTAGCTCTCCCTGCGTGGTCTGCCCGCCACCAAAGCCCAGCCCTCCTTCCCACCGCCGGCTGCGTAATCACCCTACCAGCACTGCCCACATCACTCAAGCCCGCACTCTCGCCCACGCGCACCCGCGCCTCGCGTAGCTCCATCTCGTACTTGCTTCCCAGCATCCACCTCCGCCTGCACCTGCTGAAGATGTGCCAGGAAGCGTATGCTCCAAGGTACACGACCACCATGACGAAGAGCAGGAACACGCCGACAAGGAAGACGTTGGCGTACGTGCCGGCCGCCGGGTCTAGCTTTGGCACCGCTAGGTCCGGAAGCGAGGCTATCGCTGGCCTCGGCGTATTCGTAGACGAGGCTATCGCTGGCCTCGGCGTATTCGTAGACGAGGCTATCGCTGGCCTCGGCGTATTCGTAGACAAGATAGACTGAATTACCGTGACGGTTACGGTTTGATGGATTGTCATCCACTCTTCGACAACGACCGGACGAAACGACGGGCCGGGAACGGCAAGATGCCAGGGCGGGCTTGGAGGGATATGCTGAGCATTGGAACCGGAGAGATTGTAGGAAACCAATAGAAGAGTGCATACGGAAAGGAACATCATTTCGTTGAGTGCGGGAGGGGTTGTTGTATAGTATCGTGGAGGAGGTGAGTGCTCTACGTATAGGCCGCACTTTAGCTCCGTGTAACAAACAGATTATCGAGGTCTATCAAAAACCAAACAAAGCCGGTCGGGCGGCGAGGCGAGGCAACCCACAACCAGCCAAATCGACGACCAACAATCCACCGTGATGCCGTGACATCCTGTTCACAACGTGTCGAGCCCTCGACGCTCTGCTTAACATAAATCCCTACACCCGCCCCTGCATCACCCCTGCAACCCTCCGTTGCTCTGACGACGATCAGTAAGACGGAGTTGCAGAACCTCGATGAATGGAATCGATCATACGCTTGCCATATAAGGCAGTTATGGAGCTTACAATATACTCTAATTCACCGCCACCCCTTTTCTCACCGCGATATCACCAACATGCACATGGACCATGACTACGTGCCCTAGTGGTGCACGATCAGGGAGAGTATTGGAAAAGCCAGTAGGGATTATCCACTGGAATCCCTCCACTCCGTAGTTAAGGCCGACGTCCACTGGTTATGGCAGCTCGTGCAATGGACGAGTATATGTATACCACCAGCGCACTCTTCACGAGGAGACCCATTTTCTTTCAGCATCTTAGCTATCTCCAGAATGGCGAACTATACAGCATCACCGGAAGCCGTCGTCAGCTTCGTAACGCAGCTCGGCCTATCCCCGTCCGATGTTTCTCAAGTCTCTACCGCTCTTGCAAATGCTGCTGCCTTCGGGTCAATCGGACTGCTGGCACTGTCTCTCTTATTCCCCCACCTAACCTTCTGGCCCGACAGTGCAAACTACACGGCGATTCAACAAGTGAACTGGTGGGTGTTCTTCCTCCTTAGGTCTCGCTTCCAGTGGCTGATGAATTCTACAGGTCAACGAGAGCATGGCTCCCGGCAGCGCTGATATTCACCCCGGACACCACCGACGCGGTTTCGAAAGGTGTAAAAGTTACGTCCTATTTCGGCATTGAGTTCTCTGTTCGGGGCGGTGGCCACATGCATTTCCCCGGAGCTGCCAGCTCCGATGGTGGCCTCCTGATAGCCATGGAAAAGCTCTCGTCTCTTTCACTCGACGAGGCAAAGAAGGTCGTGTCCATCGGCGCCGGCAACCGATGGATCAGCGTTTACCAGTTCCTTGAGCCCTACGGCCTCGCTGCAGTCGGCGGCCGTGTACCCGTAGTCGGTGTTGCGGGATTGCTCACCGGCGGCGGAAACTCGTTCTACACCACCTCGCACGGCATGGCGTGCGACACCATCAAGAGCCTCGAGGTCGTCCTCGCCAGCGGCAAGGTCGTCACCGCATCGGCGAAGCAGAACTGGGATCTCTTCAAGGCGCTGAAGGGTGGAGGAAACAACTTCGGCATCGTCACCCGCTTCGATCTCCACACCGTTCCGCAGCCAAAGGGTGTCTGGGCCGGTTTGACGACGTACACTCCCGACAAGTTCGGATCTGTCATCGATACCCTGGTGACGTATCAGGACAAGCACCAGGTCGAGGATCCGAAAGCGGCTATGATTCAGAACGCCATCTTCACCGGCGGCAGTACCCAGATCTGGATGTCGTTCCTTTTCCACGCCGAGACCGACAATCCCGCGTCTCTGCAAGACTGGAAGACCCTGGGCCCTATGTCCGATACCACCAACAGAACGACACTGGCAAAATTCGTCAACGCCGCATACTCGGGCCAGGGAGTACCTGCTCCCGGAAGGTATATTCCCCCGCATGTCTTTTTTTTTCTCCCTGTCTAGAATGCTAATCTGGATTTCAAACATACAGACAGCACATGAGTACCATCTCCATCGGGGTCGATGCCGAGCTGTACAAAGAGGTTCTCGCACAATTCAACGCGACCTTCACGGCCGCCAACGTCCCGGGGCTTCAAGTAACACTCACCTACCAGCCCATGGCCGTCTCCACCGTCCGCCACGGTAAGAAGATGGGCGGCAACGTCCTCGGCGTCAAGGAGGAAGCGCAGACGTGGCTCGACATCACAAGCTCGTGGAGCGACGCTGCATATGACGAGACGGTGATCGGTTCTACGACTAAGCTCATTGCGGATATCGAGGTCATGGCCAAGAAGAGGGGCCTTTACTATGACTACATGTTCCTCAATGATGCGGGCGAGGGCCAGAAGATCATTGAGAGCTACGGCGAGGCGAACGTTAAGTTCTTGAAGGTCGTGGCGAAGAAGTACGACCCCACCGGCGTCTTCCAGAAGTTGTCAAAGGGTGGATTCAAGCTGCCGTGATTTTTTGGATAGAAGGGTTGGCGGGGCAGCTCTGGCCTTGGAGGAGGGAAACCGTGGAGGGAGAACTCTGGACATGTAAAGTACTATATAGGAGAAAACCATTGTAACGGAAGGTGTTTTTCAACAAGCTACATGACCGCTCCACCGTCTTGGTGACCAAAATTCATGTGTGTGTGTATGTGTGTGTACTATATGCGCACGAAGCAACCCCGTCCTGGTAAAAATCTCAAGATCGCTGCATCACGGAGCTCGGTATAATCCATTCTTCATAGCACATCATCCAGGCATCATCGTAGCCGGATCTGCTGTCCACCGCAGAAATCGGTGTCGCCGGTGCGAGCAGTTGCTTCCGGTTCACTGTGCGCATGCCCGCTCCATTACTGTTCCATTATTCGTGATCCGTGACTGGTTGCTGTTCTCCACCTGCATGGAAGTGCGGGGAAAGCTCTCTTCCACGATGCGAGGCGCAAGGCACCTGGTTTCCTTACTTTCCAAGTGAAGCAATCGTGTCTAACAAGAAGTGAATGGGGTCTCAATTCCCGCCTCCGCGTCTTTGCTCATATTGCATCACTGGCCAGCCCATCTTTCTCGCCACCGATCCGACTCGGACACGACGGGGACCTAATCTCCTATCTATATCATTTAGACACATTCTACCGCTTCCCAAAGCAGCCATATTAAGGCTTCACTTACACCACAACCTTTGGCGACAGCCCTATCTGAACGGGCTGCTCGATCTCCAACCTGATCTACTAAAGAGCCCATCACAGGCGTTCACCAATACAATCTTTCTGCGTACGAACATACTTGCTCTAGGACACCAATCTAGCCACTTTTAAAGCTTTAGTTAAGCTTGTCCCGAGCATCTACAAAGTATCTTGGTATCGCCAACCTAAGTACCTAGGTTTCTTGAGAGTCCGCTTCACCAAGAATTTAGACCCTTGCTTTCATTGTTTCTTCATATCTCATACATACGACCGAGATGATGGTTGAGGGATGACATCTCACTCGGTTTTTGAACAAGCTCGGGCTAAGAAATACTTGGGAAGTACCGTATGTAAGTCCGACATGAAAACGGTGTGTGTATATTGCCATGATCTAAGTACCGGTATTGAGGGTTGAACTGGGTGCACGGTTGGTTCTAAAGTGATTTCGACTCATTGACACACACAAGTCATCACTCGTATTTCTAGCCAAGCCACAACCGTCACATACGAAATACCAGTACTAGTGCACGCGACCGGAACTAACTAACAACCCTCTACTAGGAACAACCGCGTTTACTCTTTCAAAACTTGACGCGCTCCCGGGCTGACAACCTTCCCCGACACCTTCCCCGACACCTTCCCCGACACCTCCCGCTACCACCGCCAACCATCACCCTCGCTACCGACCATCATTTGCCTGCCACCTTTACCTAAAAAGGCCGGAACGAAGAAAGTTGCCATCATGGCGTCCGGCAATCCCTACGGAGTACTAGCCAACTCCCAGCCGGTCGGGGATATACAGATTCAACTCGAAGATCTAGATCTCACGACTAATGGCGGTGAGATCGAGGTATGTCACTGCTCGACGATTTGTGGGTGGCACTGACCTGTCTAACTGTCTGGTGCGCAGAACTTCGGGTTCAAGGGTCTCACGAAGGAGCCGAGACTCAAGCTCCTTCCTGAGGGTTTCTCTCCAGACTCGCTGCCACGCTCGTGCTCGTCGCTTTTCACCATCGCAAACCGACGCGGTCTCTTTGCGGCGGCGGGCCCAAAGAGTAAGTCGCTCGTTATCCAAGTAAGATATGGAGAGTAATGGGGTTTCTAGGTTTCGTCATAGGATCGACGGCATCTCTGCGGGAAGCGCTCGCACAAGATGGAGGAGACTACACACCACAGCTCACCATGCCCTCGCCCATCAGCATATCGCACATCGCGTTTAATGCTGATGAATCGCATCTCATCCTCGGAGCTTCTCAGGGAGGACTGGCCGTATACTCGATAGATGCGCTCGCGGGCGGCGGTGATGCGAAGGCTACATTCGAAGTGGGGACCGATGGGTTGGAGCTGCGAGAAGTCAAGCCGAACCCCACAGTGCCGGAGATGGTGGCTATTGTCACGATGAAAGGAGACGTCCGGATCCTGGATCTAAACACTAGGAGTTTCAAGACAACGCGAGATGGAAACATCATCCTCAAGGAGGGAGTCGGAACGATTGCGTGGAGCAAGCAGGGAAAACAGCTTATCTGCGGAATGGGCAACGGAACCGGATATCAGATGACCCCCGACGGCGAAGGCAAGGCGGAGCTTCCGGCACCACCTGGCGTGGAGAACTGTTTCGTGTCATCCATCCTTTGGATTGAGAACAACGTATTCATAATCACACACACGCCTTTACCGACGGATGGAGTACCGGGCGATGACGAATCCGTCTTTCACCTCCTTACGCGTTCTTCAGGCTTATTTCATTTTAAGAAGCTTGCTGCTCCGGCACCCCCGTTCGGAATGAGGGAGCGATCCCCGCCATATTTCTTCACAGCACAACTGCAGCAATACGAACCAGCACTCAAGAATGCCATCATTTATTCTGGAACATGCTCCGGCGACGTTGGTGTTATCATGAGATTCAAAGAGGATACTAAGGATATCAAGGCAGATACCTTTGTGACGGTTGCGATCCTGGATGAGACACGGCAGGCGCAGTTGCCGTTGTCAAAACCGACTTTCATGGATACATCCCCAATCGGGATGGCCCTCGACCTCAGCAGCAAGGACAATGTAACCCGCCCCACGGAAGGCGGCGAAACCGAGTCACCAGGGCCACTCCCAATCCTAATGGTGTTGAACCATGAGGGTACTCTGTGTGCATGGCACGTGGTCTACAACGATGCCATCAAAAAAGGAGAGAAGTACACCGGGATGATGATTTACGATACCGAGCAGACTCCAGCACAACAGCCACCACAAGCAGCTATCCCGGCACCACAGACTGCAAGCGCATTTTCAACAGTTCCTAAGCCTGCTTTCGGGCAGAGCTCGTTCGGAGCGAAACCTACACCAAGCCCGTTTGCTGCGGCGACATCAGCGTTTGGACCCTCAGCGCCGGCAGCCTCACCATTCTCACAGTCGATACCCTCAACGACCTCCGGAACTGCTTTTGGTCAAGCCTCCCCATTCGCACAAGCCTCCCCATGGGGTAGCGCGCAACAACCCCCAAGTGCTCCGAAATCAATAGCCACTACTACTGCCCCGGCTTTCGGCCAACCATCAGCGTTGGGTGCCACTACTACCGGCCCGGCGTTCGGTCAACCATCAGCGTTGGGTGCTAATAGTTCCGCTCCAGCATTTGGCAGTCCTGCTCCAGCATTTGGAGCAAAGCCTTCCCCATGGGGAACTACACCACAGCCTCCCAGTACCCCAAAATCCACTGCTTCCGCTGCTCCGGCGTTTGGGCAACCATCTGCGTTGGGTGTCAATAGCCCTGCACCCGCATTTGGCAGACCGGCATTCGGACAAGCTTCGGCATTTGGCTCACCCAGTCCTGCGTCACCCTTTGGAAAGGCACCGGTAATGGGATCTGCGTCACCGGCAACATTCGGCAGTGGCAGCGCATTTGCATCTTTTGCGAATAAGGGCGGCTTTGCCGCTGCTGCGCAGGCATCCAACGTCCCGCAAGGCGGAAGCCCCTTTGGCAGCGGTAAACCTATTGTAACCAGCGGCAATACCGACTCAGCTTTTGGAGCAGCCAAGACCACCCAACCCGCGACGCCCACGGCAAGCGGATTCAAATTGGGGAGTGTATTCAAAGACCAAGCAACTCCATCTGCCGATGATGGCAAGTCTGGCAATCCAGACAACGGTGGCTCTTTGGGAAGCTTTGGCTCTGCCCTTGGAGGTGCACTTGGAGGCGGTAGCGGTTCTAACGTATCCGCATCCGGTAATGCTTTCGATACGTCAGCCTTTAGAGGTACAGGTTCGCCATTTACTACACCAAGCAAGCCATCGGCCTTTGGCAACGCATCAATTTCTTCGGCATTTGCTAATGCTGGGCAATCCTCGCCCTCCCCCTTCGCTGGGATGGGAGCGTCAAAGCCCGCTGCTGGAAATCCATTCGGCTCTGCTGCTCCCGCCTCGCCTTCACCCTTCGCTTCTTTCGGCAGCAGTTCCACCGCATCACCTTTCGCTAGCTTGAAGCCTGCCAGTACGGGTAATACCAGTACGAATCCATTTGGAGGCAAGCCTGCTGGTGCAAGTTCATCCGGAGCCAATCCGTTTGCGCAGAAGTCGATTACTGTTCCCGACTCCGATGATGATTCGGACGACAGCTCAGAACCGGGATCTCTAGCTGCTGAGGAGGCACCGCTTCCGCCAGACTTCTCGGCACCATCCCAGATAACTCCGCCAGAGCTGCCACCCGCTCTGCCTGAAGACAATGACTCAGATGGTGCAGACGATGAAGGACAGGAAGAGGAGGAAGGCGACGAGGAGGAAGAGGACGAAGAAGAAGAGGAGTACGAGGACGAAGGCGACGAAGAGGAGGGAGAAGGTGAAGAGGAAGAAGGAGAGTATGAAGACGAGGAAAATGAGGAGGAGGCAGGAAAAGAGAACGAGGCACCCAAAACTCCGATCAAGGAAGAGTTCAAGAAAGAAGAGGAGAAGTCTTCTGCCGAGACCCCTAAGGCGGCCGTTCCTTCTGGGGCCGCCCCTAAAACGCCTGTTCCTTCTGAGGCCACCCCTAAGGCGACCGGTCTTTTTGGCACCGCCTCCAAAACGCCCGCTGCTTTTGGCGCCACCCCACCTGCTGCAAAAGCGACAACGCCTGGATCTGGATCTGGCTCGATCTTTAGCAACTCTGGAAGCTTTAAGCCTTTCTCATCCAGCAATTTCTCAAAAGATGCTCCTTTCAGCAGCTTGTTTAGCAAGAAGCAGGAAGACATTCAGAGTGAGAATGACGACGATGAGGAAGACGAAGATGAGGAGGACGAGGAAGAGGAGGCCCCTCTTCCGGCGAGGCAGTTACGCGGTAAAGTGCCGCTACAGTCCAAGGGCATGGGCGGTATGGGCGGTTTGGGAAGCCATGGAAGCCTGGGAAGTCTGGGAAGTCTGGGAAGTCTGGGAAGTCTGGGAAGTCTGGGAAGTCTGGGAAGTCTGGGAAGTCTGGGAAGTTTGGCGCACAAGAATGTCAAGTCATCGAGACCTGTCAACCCAAAGCCTATCAACTCGGCGGCGATCGCCTCGCTATTGAACGCATCAATATCGAAGGAGGAAGAGCCAGAGCCAGAGGAGGAAGAGGACGACGCAGAGAGTGTCGTGGACTTCGATGCGGAATACAGCGACCATGAGGACGAAAAGATCCGTGAGCAGCTGTGCAATGGTCCAGTCAAGCCGTCAGTCACAATCCCGGAAATAAAGAAGCTCACCAAGTTCAATGATGTCAACGTGAGTTTATGTTCCTGTCGTTTTTTAATTGGGCTCTAATTACTGTCGTGAAGGATTTCACTACTGCTTTTGACGCACTCTTGATTTCTGGCAATATGATGGTCAATAAACTCGGTCAGATGGCTCGTGGTCTTCAGTCTTACCACCTCGCACAGCAGACCCCGGCCGAGGGTGTCACACACGAGAAACCTGAGGACATGAAGCCTACCGACAACTGGCGCTTGGGCGAGTTGGCGATAGTGACCAAGACTATTGCCGACTTGGAATTGGAGGTGCAGAAGATCGCTAGTACGACCCCCAAGCTGGAGGAGAGGCGACAGTGTGCTACCAGGGGATTCATCAAGCGTAAGATTTCGCCATCCTATTACATTATGTTCTTGCTGACCTTTCTGCAGTCAATACCAAAGAGTCTGAGATCAAACGTCTGTTCTCCGTCCACAACGATCCAACCGCTGCCGCTCACGCCAGAGCCCGCCTCCTCGCCCCCGAGCAGCAGATTCAGCAGCGTACCCTGCGCAAGTCGTTTAGCCGCGTCGAAAAGGCGCTCAAGGACGCTGAGTACAAGGCGACGCTCTTCAAAGCGAAGATTGCTGCGCGTGACCGTCACCGAACCCGGGCCAAATACCAGCCTCCCACCGTCGAAGGCGTCCGCACCACAATCCTCAAGCTCACGGCGATGGCGGAGAAGAAGAACAGGGATGTCGAATACCTCGAGGAGAAGCTTAGACGCAGGAGACAGGGCAGCAGGGCCAGGAGTTCGTCGTCTACTCCTGGACGCAGCTTCAGTACCAGTACTCCGGAGAGGGAGGTGGAGACTCCGGTTAGGAGGATGGCCTATGGTGTTTCCGCACCCACTCCGGTGATGGTTCTCGTCGAAGAGGATGATCTCGAGGAGGTTGTCGAGGACCGCAGAAGGCGTAAGCAGGCGGGAAGGAAGCTGGGAGGTGCTCTGCGTAAGGTTGGTGGTAGAGTTACCGACGCGTAGGCTGGCATTGGTTTTGTTGTAATTTCTTTCTGTTTGATTTCGATAACCGCAAGTGTACATTACACCCATGGAAGGGAGTGCGAAGAGATGCGGTTCTGGGATGATATTGAATGCTCAATGACATCATGAATGTTTTTTTTCTCTGAGAAATGTGACGGCGAAGCGTGGCGAGAGTAATAGAAGCTGGAGTGTCTGAAATGCTCCCGACCTTGAAGTCTGGGTCGACGACACGTGATCTGGCTTACGGAAGCGTAGATGACCATAGATTCTTGATGGTCTGTACAATGAGTAATTTCACATGATACCATATCAAGCTGTCCGGTCAACGCATTTCTTCAGATTTTAAGCCTACATGCCTGCAGAATGCACCTCCTAATCATGTATTGCAATGCGATGTACCATTAAATCATTCGTATCGTTACAATCGGCACTCAAAAAGAAAGCAGTTAAACTAAAAAGCCGCAACAAAATCCAACCATAAAACCCAAGTGATGAGAAACCAATAAAAAGACTAAGTCACCAATTCCACCAACATATATTACACCCACACCCACCCGTCCACCTACAATATGGCACTGCAGTCAACCGTCCTGGATCAACTCGTCAGATCCACACCCACCAGAACAGCACCACCAGAGCCGCAAAGAAAGCGATCCACGCCTTCCAGCCCACTCCGGTCCTCCGCGCCATGCGCAGCATATTCTTCATGGTCCCCTGCAGCTTCTCACGCGTGCCCTCGAAGCTCTCATTCATCGCCTCCATAAGCGTAGTCGAGCTACGCACCTCCTCGCCAATCGCCACCGTAATCTACCCCGCCACCACCACCATTAGCCCCTTCCCCTTCCCCTTCCCCTTCCCCTCCTTCCCACAATGTAGAGTAGAGTAGAGTAGAGTAGAGTATACTTACATCCTTCAGCATGCGCACCTTCTTGCTGAGGCCCTCGACGGCATCATCATTCTGCGCCTCGAGCTCCTCCATGACCGAGGCCGAGTACTGGCCCTTACGGTTCGGCGTCGCCGCGCGGTACGCTGGGCTGGGAACACGGTCGCTGGTGCTCGCGTAGCCGTACCCGCCTCCTCCGCCCACGCCCCCGCCGATGGCGGGCGAGTACCGCCCGTACGCCTGCTGCTGCGCCGCCGGCTGCTGCCCCAGGAGCTCCGAGCGCTGCCGGTCGTAGGGGTCGCGCTCGCGCGCGTGGAGGGTGGGGCCGTAGCTGGGGGTGTTAGCTGGGGGGTACAAAAGGTAAGTGGGGAGCGGCGGAGGAGGGGCGAACCGTGATGACATTGTGCTCGTGCTCGTTGAATCGTGGGATCGTGGGTGCAAGTGCGAGTGAGGTGTGAGGTGTGAGGTAGGTGGGTTCCTGGAGCTAACTAGAGCGATACGGTAGTTAGGTAGCTCGGCCGGCAAAAAGTTACCTAGTGAGAGAGCAACTGTCCCGAATTCCGGACACCTTGCAGGTTGCAAGGTCACGTGGCCCAGCCGGGTAGCGTGAAGTTTGGGTTAACTGGGTGCGACGCATGCGGTCGGCGTTGTGAGGTAACCCAGCCAGCGTGAACACATCATCATCATCATCGCCATCGCCATTCAAACGAACAGCTACAGCTACAGCACATTGCACAATAATACACACACCACGACACGTCCCGTTAGTTAGTTACCATCGGCCAAGCTATCGACTATCACCACGACGACCACAGTCTTTACGAACGCCCATCAACAACGCGCAACCAGCTAGCTACAGGCGCCACATCACAGCACATCACCGTACGCCGACAAACACAACACATGGCGCAGTTCTTCTCCCCGCCGCCACAACAAAGCGGCTACGGCGCACCGCAGTCGCCACAAAACCTGCAATTCTACCAATCCTCGTATGGCGGACACGGCGGGGTGAGCGGGCACACAACCCCAGCTCAGGGATACGGCGGGTTTGGGGGGATGGGGAGCATGGGCAGCATGGGCAGCATTGGGACCACGACCACGACCGGAGGTGTCGCGGGTGAACGTGGTGGTTTGACGATGGGCTGGTTGGCAGCGTTCGGGACTGGTGGCTACGATGATGAACCGCCGCTGCTGGAGGAGCTCGGTGTCAATTTTCGGCACATCAAGGGAAAGGTTGGTTCCACCCCCCACCTCCCGCTATTGGACCCCCCACCTCCCCCTTCCCCCTCGGCGCTGACACCACGGAATTATAGACGCTGGCAGTTCTCAACCCCCTCCAGACCGTGGACCAGCACATGATGGACGACAGCGACGTAGCGGGACCGATCATGTTCTGCCTCGCGTTCGGCACGTTCCTGCTACTATCGGGCAAGGTGCACTTCGGGTACATCTACGGGGTGGCATTGATGGGCTCGGTGTCACTGCACCTGCTACTCAACCTGATGTCGCCGCCCACGCACTCGCTCAACTACATCCGGTCCGCGTCGGTGCTGGGCTACTGTCTGCTCCCGCTCGTTTTCACCAGCGGTCTCGGCGTCGCTTACCCGCTCGACGGTTTAGTCGGCTACACCGTCAGCGTCGCCGCGATCGCTTGGAGCACCTATGCCGCCAGCAATATGTTTGTCGGCGTCCTGGGCGTGCGCGAGATGAGGTGGCTGGTCGCCTACCCGCTCGCGCTGTTCTACAGCGTGTTTGGCATCATGAGCATCTTTGGTAGTAAGGCGAGCGGAGGGATCCCAACGAAGGTGTAAAACGGGCGAACGGGGGCGCGTAGCTAGGGTGCTGGGGGGCGGGGGATGGGGGATGGGGGATGGGGTGTAATTGGGTGTAGGATACGTATATACTTGTACGGGCGGTGATAATTGGCGTTTTTTTAGTTCTGTTCTTCTTTGGGGTTTGGTTGAACTTGAGCGTGCTTTGTTGTCTTGTGAGGATACAAGTGGTTGCGATTCGGCTCGTGGGTGTGAGTGAGTTCGAGTGATCTGAGACTCGTTTGCTTATTGAGATTCGGCTGTCCGAGTGACTTGAGACTCATTTGCTTGTTTCGCTGGCACGCTCGCACGCACATACTCTCTCGCCCTCCCGGAAACCTCTGTCAATCGCTCGCATAGGTACAGCCCGAGTGCCCGCTGCACGCCCTCTAAACCCTCCAAACCCTCTAAACTCTCTAAACGGCAGTCAATCGTCCGGGAAAATCCGGTCACGGCCGGGTGGGGAATAACTACTATGTAGAGTATAAGTACTCTACCTACCCCTCTCACTTCTCGCCTCGCCCTCCACAGCCCGGGCCATTATACATATAAGAAGTATGTACCTTGCAATCGCCAACTAGGTATGAGATCGGCCACTATCCCGAACGTGCCGTAGGCCTACATACGTACGCACGCACGTCTCGACCAGAGCTGCGGTACCGCGGTGCCGGCATCGGCACCGATCCCCCCGGGCGCCGGGCGCCGGTTTGCAAATACTTGTTACGCCGCATGGTCAACTGTGGATTTTGGAACCGGGCGTGGTTCAGGACGGGTTTTTGCGGCCTACGGCCAAGGAACCATGGTGGAGTATGGAGGAGCATGGAGGAGGGAACCATGGTGGAGTATGGAGGAGCATGGAGGAGTATGGAGGAGTACATACGTAGCGGTCGGTTTCAACGCGACGTGGGAATGTCTCATCTTGCGTGTATTGGGGGTGTGTATGGGGCGGGAGGGGGCTTGTATGTATAGTATGTATGGGCGGGGGGGCATTGAGTGCGTGGAGTTCTTCAGCACTCGGAAGGTGGACATCGGGAGTCGGGACATATTGGTTTGTTTACAGCAGCCAGCTGGACCTTGCTGCTATCCATCCATCCTCCCTGCCTTCCATCCATCCTCCATTCCTTGCCATTGGTAAACGGCTGTCCACATACCCACCTACCACACCTACCGTATCGCAGCGCCTACATACCTGTCACAACTCCCACCATCACTCCCACCCATACCCCATAACTCCTATGTACAGACCACAGTAGCCGTCTGCACTGCACTGACCCTTAAGCTTTCCGCGGTTACTCCCCGATCCTCCACTCCGATCCTCCTCGAGTCCCCGCAGGCAGGGCTGTCGTGTTGTGTTGCCCCCGGCTGCCCGCATCTCTTTTCCCGAAACTCAAAAGTGCCCGGGTTCGGGTCCGACTTTCCCTATTTGTCTCTTCGTCTCTTCGGGGATCGATGGAGCTTACATATGATCGTGCTGGGTGGGCAGGAGAAGAGGTGGAGAAGAGGAGAGGAATCCTTGTGGGTGATTGAGTCTGGGAGGGGAAGGGGAAGGGATGGGGAGGGAGGCCTTGTGGATATAAATTTGCACACGCTGTATGCAAGAGGATTCAGGCCCCAACCCGCATCGGCCTGTGCTCTGTGTCACGAGCGAGCTGAGAGTGAACGATTCGCATTCTGCATATCTACTTCTTTCTTTTTTCCTTGCGATCCACCGAGCGTGAATCTACACAAGCAAAAAGTAAGCATGATATTTAGGCATGTCGTTCATGTCGTTAATCCCCGGGGCCTAGAGGGGAGGAAAACAAGCGCCGTGCGGACCGCGCGCTGCCATTCGTCAATCGCTGCCACCGCGAAATGCGCACGCCCCAGGCCGCGCCCGACAGACCAGTAATGCGGGCTGTAAGGCATGGTCAATAATGGGTCAAATTCGCCATCGCCATCTCCTCCCCCAAGAAATTATCTACCCGTCGATCCAGTCAATCCACCCACACCCAATAAACTTCATGATCGGGGATGGGTGTATGTAGAGTGTCGATGGGTAAAGTGAATCTCGAGCTGTAATACCGTTAATATTAGCCCACCCACCTACCACCTACTACAACCACCCAGCACCCATCCAGCACCACCCAAGCACCAAGCACCACATGGCGTCCCATCTCGTCCCCGTCCCTGTCCCCATCCCGTCGCCGTCCCCTTACCCGAAGCTTAAGGAGGAGGAGGAGGAGGAGGAGGAGCGCCCTGTGGTGGTAGTGGTGGAGGGGTACTTTCCACAATTTACATATATAAATTCCCACGCCCGTCGGGTCGCAGATCTGCCCTGGTTGATGGAGGGTTTTGCTGACCCGACTGATCAACCTCAACCACGCAAACATCCCATCCCACCAGCGCAGCCGAAACAAAAATCCAATCCCTTCGTCTGTTACTTTTTTGGCACGCTCCTGAATAAAGCGTGATCCGTCCACTCTCTTGTTTGTTTTATTTATTTTATTGGCCATGTGGTTCTGGAAATATGTTACGAAGGCCTTGGTGTTGGCCGCGGTGGTGGTGGTGTCGGTGCATGCGCAGGAGACGGATGTGGTGTTTACTTTCCCAACGCCCGGCGCAATAGTGCAGCCTGGGAGGGATATAACCATTACTTGGACTGTGAGTCCCACTCCCCCACACATACCCCTCGGCGTCCGCTGGAAGATGTAGCTGACGGATTGTTTTTTTGGCCAGTCGAATTCCCCAGGGCCAGTATCGTTGGTGCTTCAAGCCCCAGATGCAGAGATATCAATCGCTAGTATGTTCCCTCCTCCTCCTCCTCCTCTTCCTCCTGCTACTCCACATTCACCTCGTCCTCCCCATTCACCTCGTCCTCCCCATTCACCTCGTCCTCCCCATTCACCTCCCCTCTCCTCGAGCCATCACTCACACTCCACGCAGCCGACATCCCCAACACTGGCTCCCACACCTGGCGGATCCCACCGAGCACCTCGGGAGTATTCGCCCTATCCCTCCACACCTCCAACGGGATCACAACGATCAGCGAGCCATTCAACATATCCCCCAGCCCACCCGGGCCGCCAGGCCCCCCTTCACCAGCACCGACTCCACCACCAGGAGTCCTAACAACCCTCCTAATAATCACGACCTCGACCCTAACCAACGTCACGCACACCGCCACCGCAACGCAAAAGCCGCCGTCAATAACCGACACGACCCTCCTGCTAGACACGGCCTCGCCCACATCGACCGGCAACCCGACCTCTGCGCCCCCACCACTAATAACAACCGACACGGTAGTGGGTGGAGATGGCAGCGCGCCGCCAGCCGCAGTAATCGCTGGCGCGACTATTGGCGCCGCGGCGGGCGCCGCAGTGCTGCTGGGTGCGTTTTTCTGGTTGTGGAGGAGGAGGGAGAAGAATAGGGAGGGAGAGGTCAGTGATGGCGAGGAACAGAGGAATCGCGAGATGATCACCCGCGGCATGGGTGCGTATCCGGGGAGGCAGTTTGGTGGTCCTAGCAGTGGCGGCGGGGGGAATCTGGGCGGTGGTGCTGGGGGTGCGGGCGGTGCGGGCGGTGGGGTCGGGAGTCAGTACGCCGCCAGCAGTCTGGGTGCGGCCAGTCAGTACGCTGCCAGCTTTAGGACCGGTGGGAGCTTGAATGGCATGGAGCAGTATGCGGGCACCGGGGGCGGTGGGAGGGGCACGCTCGATGAGTATGGCCGCACCAAGGGGATGGTTAATAGGTTTTAGTGCAGATGTGGAAGGATGGGCGGGTGAGGGTAATGGTGGTCTTTGTCTTTATTGGACATGATTAATGTATACACGAATTACTTCTCTCCTGCTCCTGCTCCTGCGAGTTGGATCGTGGTGGTGGTGGTGGTGGTGGTGGTGGTAGTGGTGGTGTACCGTGTGAGGTGGAGGTGTCGACGACTCGGTACTCAATCTTTACGGTGCCACTACCTAGTTTGCAGGGCTCGTCGAGGGATGAGTGGGGTCGATGCTGGGTGTTGCGTGAGCTTGGAAGTAGAGTAGAAAGGGATGGTGATGTGGGTCAATTACACACCTAGGTTAAGTCAGTAGCAGAATGGGCCTCACGAGTGGCCATTCACTTCAACACATATCGAGGAACTCGTTGGCACCAGGCATCCAAGACTCAAATTCACTCGGACGGCAACCGACTGAGACGACAAAAAAGAAGAGATCGGTTGATATCATATGAATCATGTGAATCAGCAAGTCTTAATGCGCCGTTGGTAATGCCGTACTCGGACTCGACTCTATTGACACAAAGGAAAGCCCTTTCCCACTGATAATCCACAATCCACGGTCCACCACTGCCCACTCACTCACAGCAAGCGCTCTCCCACTGATAATCCACAATCCACCACCACCACTACTCACTCACAGCAAGCTCTCTCCCAGCGCACACCGCACCAGTGAGCAACCGGCCCTAACAGTCTCTCCCACAGCGTACGGGCTCCCCTGTTCGTTGATATGTGGGTTGACCTCGACCTGCGATCCCGATTATCAGCATCAATCCTCACATCCCAAGAAAAAGAAAACGACAAAGAAGCAACATACTAGATCCATCGCCACCAGCGCGCCAGACTCATGCACGCACTCGCAGATAAAGTCGCCCTCACGCAGCGTCAATCCGCCTCTAACGGGCGTCCCCGTACTCGGCGCCCACATTGGATCCAACGCATCCACGTCAAAGCTCAGGTGTATCGGGGAGTCGCCGACATACTCGAGTGCCATCTCCATGACCTTTCCGATACCATGTCGATCCACGTCGTGCATGCTAAACGCCTTGATGCCATTCTCCCTGAGGATCTTCTTCTCGCCGAGATCAACGTCTCTGAGGCCGATATAGACAAGCTTCTTGGGGTTGATCCTATGCTCCTCAGTGAGCCACCCGAAGACATCCGGGTTCTCCCGTGGGGCTTCTGCGAACCCCGCGAGAAACGCCACGGGCATGCCGTGAATATTCCCGCTTCCGGAGGAATGTGGCGTGTTGATATCGGCGTGGGCGTCAACCCATATCACGGCGATCTCCTTCCCGAGCCGCTCCCGAACCGCCTTCGCAGTCCCGCTGATGCTTCCAACCGCAATGCTGTGGTCCCCACCGAGCGTGAGCACTAGCCTCCCCTCCCGCGCGTGCTCGTACACTTGCATGGACAACGCCTGCGTCACGTTGGAAACTGTGACGGGTCGCAGCATGGGCTTGCTGGCCCCCGCTACGTGCAGTGGCGGGTCGGAGGAGGGCATGTATTCGGTGTACGAGTGCACGACCCCGTCGTGGTGGATCGTGTACGAGAGGTCGTCGTGCAGTGCCGTCAAAAGCCCCGCGTCGATTAGGGCTTGCGGTGCGGCGTCGACGCCGGATTTGCCCTAGAGGCGTCAGTACTACGAGCGGAGGAGGGGAGCGAGGAAGGCGAACCTGTCCGCCGGAGAAGCCGACGGCTACCACGCCCAGGTGGTGCTCCTTCCCTAGGTAGCGGTTGAAGATTGAGGACATGGTGGAGGATGGATGGATGGACGGGAGGTTTATTTGGAAGGAGAAAGAGAAAGAGAAAGCAGCTGCTGCCAAAAATAAAAAAATAAAAAAAACGGTGCGGCGGAGGAGGCAATGGAGTACGGTATGTGTGTAGGACCCTTTATCGTTGAAGGTTCCTGAGCACTATATGTATGTGGGGTGCGGGTAGGGAGGAGGACAGATAGCCAATCCCTGGACTGTATGACGTCCGTGGTAGTGGTGGTAGTGGTGGTGGTGATGAGGATAAAGGCGATAGGTATGATATGTGTCTCAGCTTGGGGCGTCAAAGAAGAAATTCCAATCGCCCACTCGAGGAGGAGGAGAGTGGGCATTCTTATACTCGAGCAGAGTGTCTTCCCGAAGCCCATCACGATCCCGCACAGCTCTAGCTAGGTGTCCGTAGCTAGAGTAGCTTTCGCGCAGCCAGCCAGCTATCTGAAACCCCACCACACGTTTACCTATCGGAGCTCGCCGCATCTACCCGCCCCGCAACGCAGTGCAACGCAGCGAAAAGCCTGAAAGCCTCCCGACCGATCTAACACTTAACGGCAGGCCGCAGGCCGCGCATGCCACGAGACCCGGTGTCGGCATCGGGTCTAACACTTAGAGGTAGGTGGGGCGTCCCGGTGTCCCCCGTTCGGCTCCGCTGTCACTTAGAGGTAATCGAAGCCGCGCCTCTTTACGTACGTCTGACACCCCCCCTCTCCGCCGTCCGGGTCTGGGCGGGCCCTATCGTCGCCCCGAATTCCGAAGCAAATATAATAGGTAATGGGAATGGGAATGGGCTTGGGATTGGGGGTCATCGTCGTGCCCGCCGAGAGTAAGCGTTGGAGATTTTGTTTCGGGAGTTCTTTAGGAATTATTTTGCTCGGTTGGAGGTGGAGAATATTGGCACGTGATAGTGGGACATGAGATGTCACCCATGGAACATCATCAGTCGTTGTGTTTCGTGACAGGACAAATACCAGCTTCTCCCTTCTAGTTAATGTAATTTATCCTACAGTCATCAATCCCACCAGTCCTCCCAATAATCCACCCATAATAAAACAGTTATCAAAAGCCTTGTCGGTATGATCATAAAGCAAGCCATCAATCCCACCAGTCCTCTCAATAATCCACTCATAATAAACAGTTATCAAAAGCCTCGTCGGTATCATAATCCATCAATCGCCGGTCTGAAACAATGAACTTTCCCGGGCTACGACTCCTTCCCAGGCTACTCATCCTCTTCGCTAACTCTCGCCCTGACGAACTCCAGGGCCTCCTCCAAATCCAAGAAACAGTCCCGGACCAGATCAAGCTGTTGTAACCCCTAGGTATATCAGCTACTGCCACCACTACTAATCACAAACACACAACTTACCGGAACCTTCACCTTCTCCGCCGCACGATCAGTTGTCTCAGCAGCCGCACGAGTATAAGTAACGCCCTCCACAACAATCGTCGGCTGCGGCCCCTCCGTGAGAGACCTCTTCTCGAGTGTCATAAACGGCGTCGGCGTGACCATCGTTGGCAGATCCACGCCCAGATCCTCGACCAGCGCCGTTCTATACTTCTCCGCGTCCGTAAACTGTGTGGAAAGTCCCTTGACCCCCAAAAAGAAGTCTCGGAACTCGGCGAGGAGCTCTTGCTTGTCGTCTGCTTCCCCCTGCTCTCCCGACTCGTCTTCGACTCCTTCGTCGACTTCGACAACTTCGTCTCCCTCGCCGCGAGTGCGGTTGCAACGCTTAGCTTTTCCCCCGCAACGTGTGCAGCTGCAATTCGTGCAGTTGCATTGTGTACAGCTGCAACGCGTATCTCCTCCCCCGGCACCAGCGCAGTCGCAACGCTTAACTGCGGGAGCAGGAGCAATGGTGGTGAGCTTATCTCCTCCCCGTGCACCAGCGCAGTCGCAACGCTTGACTGCGGGAGCAGGAGCAACGGTAGTGAGCGGGACGGCAGCATCGGCAGCAGCAGTGGCAGCAGTGGCAGCTGGGCCATCGACGGGAACAGGAACAGGATGAGACTGAGGAGTGGCGGCGGGGGTACAGACCCACGCCTGCGTCCCGCCAGCGAGGGTAGTGGTGGCGATACTCACACCTGCAAGCTCCTCTGCACGAGGGACGACGAAAGCGCCGGCGTTCGTGGTGGGGACGGACATGCTGCTGTAGGCTAGGATGAAGTTATCGTCCTGTCCAGCGAGGAGCTCGGGGACGACGGGGGAGGTGTCTGAGTCCGGGATCGCAATGGAGTTGATCAAGGCTGGGAACAGTAGCGGGAGGAGGAGGAGGTGCATTTTGGAATCTGGCAGTGGTGGTGGTGAGGGAGAGCAAAAACTTCACGAACTGAAGATTGAGGAGCAAAAGCCTGGATGATCAGGAGCAAAAGCCTGGATGATCAGGTGCAAAATCGTAGTGGAAGGAGGAGTAGTGGGGAGTGTGAAGGGTGATGGGAGTATGGACAGAGAGACAGTGGGAGAGAGAGAGACGAGAGAAGGGCCAGGCTACTCTGATATGTAAACCTGCAGGCGGCCGCTTTTGGGTATTTCCCACTAAGCTCGCCCATCTGTCAGCCTTTCTCTATGGCACTCGTAACCCACCTGTCAACACAAGTCGGGCTCGAACTGCTATGTTCAGTAGCATTTCTTCAGAGTCTCAGCTTCCAGTGAGAAGAGCCTACTATAGAGCTGTTGATGGAAAGCATTTACCACGCCGCGAGTGCCCTCGCAGTGAAACGAACGTTTTTTCTGCGGACCTTTACTTCTGCATGAGCGGTAAGTGGTGAAGAAAGTTACGTCGTCACAGCCTGGCGAACTCAAAAGCCAGGACAAGTAATGTGGGAAAAGTGAATTACCTAGGACACGCAATGACCATTCGCAATGGACATTCGCAATGAATATCGCAACGGTTATGCGCAATGAGGGAAGGGAAGAGCTCGGGATTTTGGGAGGGTAGCTGTCGTCCAATAGTACATCATTTCTTGTTTTTCTCGTCGTATATAAACTGTCCACCTATGTTGTCCGCTCTTTTTGTTTCTCAACCAAGTACTCGGTCAATTCAATCTCTTGTTTCCTTCTCTCTCTCCACATCCCGTCCGTACGATCATACTTCCGCACCGCCCATCGACAAGTGGCGTGTTGGTACATACCTACGTCGTGGCGGAGAAGGGGAGGGAGGAAGGGATGGAGCGTTATACGGTTATGGTCGAAGTTAAGCATGGTGGGTCACTCGGTCATCACTTTGATGCTGTAACTTGTGTCACCTTCGATTCGGCAAGGGCATGCGACAATAAATTGATGTTCTCTCTCTCTCTCTCTCTCTTGATTCGGCAAGGCAGACCGTCCCATCCTTATTGGTGCCTACGGTTGTGTTTCATTCCGCACATGTGGAGCGTAGCTAGGAATCGATTTGGCTGGTTCACCCCGAGTAGGCAGTAGGTACATATCTTACGAAAGAAAACCTCCACGGCAACTATATACAGTTTTGCAGCACCGAGCCGTGTGCAAGAAGCTCTTTCAACCGCCTGCACCTAAACAACTCCCCATACCTAGTTTGAAGAAGCCCTGGAATGGACTTCTCTGATGATCAAAGGGTTAGTTGGAGGCATGTGTAGACGGATCCAGGTGGGTGCCGTTCAGTTCATCGTAACTGCGAATTCCATCGTCCAAGACACCAGTTTCACTGCAGACGATCGCCTGATTGCTTGAAGCTTCGGCCGCACCTGGACTAAACAACGCGTGGCCCTATGATGAACTTTGAAGTGACATTCGGTGAGAAGAACGGCTTTAGCTGCCTTCTCCCTAGGAAATACAACAAGAGGAAAGCTTCTTCTCGTCTTCTCTGCGTCCCTTCGCTGCATAGCAGCCCAGTTCTCGACGGTTGTCCTAAACCTTCGCGATGCTTGTGTACCGTAACGGTCCGGCAGTAGCTTTCTGTCCGTCCAATGCCGATTCCGCCCCCAGCTCCGTCCCGAACCGTCGCCGTGAAGTCTTCGCCCCTCGGCATTCAGACCGACGTGCGCAGGAGCTTCGTTCTCCTCACGGTCGTCCTGAATGGAACTTTTGTTATCGCATACGGCCTTGCTCAACTATGGCAACCACAAACCCGACCTTTCCTGCCATCATGGAAGGTGATGTGTGCGGTCAAGTTCACGTCATCGACTAGCAACATCAAGGAGTGAGTATCTAATCGAATCAGATCATCTTATCTACCATCTACAGTCAATCAAATCAATCGCAGCCGTGCGATTTAGATGATCCGATAACCACGGGTGGCTACGAACAACAGAACGCAACACGCGTACGCCGTACGGCAACCAACTATCCATCCATCCGTTATCCAGACCATGGCGAGAACCTGGAGTCTGGAGAAAAGAACAGGTATCCTCCTTGTCCGTCCGTACTCATACCCAGTAGAGTACTAATAGTTGCGACGCATATGTAGATCGCCATCGATGCTTCCCAAGTTCCCAAGCTGTCCCAAGTTCCCATCCATCCTTCCATCCATACATCATACATCACACAAGCAAGAAGGAGTTACGAAACAGGGCTGACGTCTTACCCCCGTCCCCTCCCTGAGCCACCCTTCCACCCTCCCCGCCCTGCCCCCGGTCCGTCCGGCCCCCACGAAAGAGAGAACGGGGGTTTCACATCTCGCCCCACAACAAAACGAACCGGGCCGAAACGAACGAAGCGAAACGGGAAGCCCGTGAATGGAAAGCCACAGAGAAAGAAAGAATTGGAGGCTCGGAGCCGCAACTTGCTTGTCAAAATTTGAGATTCGTCCTTGCATCGGACGGCCGATGTACGCATGCTAACAGCCGCACCGGCGCATCGTCATCCTGCAGTGCGTACAGGAGTCGCCGTCGTCGTGACAGTCCGCTAACTACCTAGAGTACTGTACTATGGAGTGGAGTGGGGTGGAGTACATATCATACCATAGCTAAGGCAGGGCAACCGAAGACTGGCTCGTAGTTGCTATTCTCTAGCGAGTGAGGCAGAGGGAGGAGGGAGAAGTTCATTTCCGCACCTACATACGTCTGCTGGAGCAGTTATGTTATGTAGAGTAGTTGCATAGAAGGACCAGGAGGATCTGCTAGTGAAGTTTGTTCGGGGAATCAGGGGGAAGGGGGGAGATTATTCTTGGGGGGCGGGTTGGAGTCAAAGCGGTCGCTTTATTCCAGCAGCCTCCGTCGCAACTCAACTCAACTCACGAGCCGTTCGCTGTTCTGTTGGAGATGGCTGGTAGTTTATGTAAGTAGAGTGAGTACTGGTATGATACTTGTGTGATGTGCGTAGAGATGTGCAGAGAGAGGAACGAGTAGAGGAGGTATCCATCGTTGGTTATGGGTGGTGATGGGCACATGCGGGATTTTGGAGAGGTTGGGCTGGGCTGGGACTCTGGCAGCGGCAAGCCAGTCCTGCAGAGCTGCAGAGAAGGATGGATGGATGGACGGACCAACGCCCAACGAAGGGAATGGCCAGCCAAGTCCAACTTCACCCTAGAACGCGAATCTGGCGATTCTGGCGAACGAGGAAACAGGAAGGAGCAGGAGGGAGTTCTAACTTCTCAGTCAACTTGGGAGAAGCAAAGAGGCTTCGTTTTTTCTCTCTCTTTCTTTCTTTCGGCTGGGGAATTCCGGTTCAGGAGAGTGTGGATGGCTGCTCTGGATTTTATCTGACAACACATCACCAACCACCACCTCCACTTCCTCCACTTCCTCCACCACACCCTTCTTCTTGTTCTCACCCTTCTGTCGTGCTTCTCTGCAGAATTTTGTTTTGTTTCCTCCCCTCGATCCTCCGACTGACGACGTTTCCTCAACAAACAAAGCGCCATAATAAGAAATAATAATAGTAATACTGATCCACACCACCACCTCACTGAACACTTCTCTACTATCGACGTCGAACAGCATTCCATTTCTTCCCGAAACACGGAGAGAAAGGGAAGAAGCGGAACATCATATTTATCGGAAGCAGCAGCGCCACAGAGTCGCTTCCTAGACAAACAAGGGAACGGACGTGCAGAAACAGCAGGAAAACAAAAACAAAAAGACCGAAGGAGAAAAGAAGAACATGTTGCAGATACTCTCGTAGCATCTCCGATAGAGTTACTCCGTCTCCGTACCGTATTCGATCGCAGTTATTCTTTTCCAAAACACCCTCCGATCTCTCTCCTTCTCCTCTTCCACCCTCTTCTCCGCCTCGCGAGTCGCGCTCCTCCTCTTCTAAAACAAAACAACTCACAAGATCAACACAACCCACACCTCAAAAAAAAAAAACCATTGACATCAACACGTTCCGGTGCCCACGTAACCCACACCCATCCCACTCCCATCCACATCCCTCCCTTCCTCCAACTCCCCCCCTCCCCCTAGTTTCCCGCCCAATCCGCTCCTCGAAACCTCCATCCAGCGCCAGCATCGAACCAACCAACTCCTCTCGCGCCCAACCTCCCTCTCCATCCTCCATCCAACCCTCTCTCACCACCACCTTCTTGCTCAGCGCATCCCATTCTCAATCATAGTACTCGACGAACCCACGATCCCTAGTCCAGCCCAGCTGCTTACTCCCGCCTACTGCGCGACCCTACCAAAAACCCCCGTCGACCGGTAAACTCAACTGTACTGAGACCGTACTCTAGAGCAAACTAGTAGGAGGCAACTTTACCCCTACGAGTGGAAAGTCGCCCTACCCACACTCTCCCTACATACGAACGCACGTACCGACCCCCCCAACATCCCTATCATGAGCGAGGAGGAAAACACACGCGGCCGGATCTCGGACCCAAGGCCAACTCCCTTAACAACAATCAACACAACCTCGACGAACGGAGTCAGAACGCGAAAGCCGTCGCCGTCCCTCGCCGCAAGAATCAAGATGCTCGAAGCCGACGCCGAGAAACGGAACTACCACAGCAGACTCTCGCCCAGCCCATCGCCGCACCGCCGCCATCGCTCGCGCTCCAGGGGCTCGGATGCCTCGGGCGTGTCGTCCGCCATCGAAGTGCCGACGAGTATCCCGACCTCCAATCTCGACGTCCGATCGATGCCGCCGGCCAAAGACCTGCCGCCCACTCCCATTGAAGACGAACGTGGCGGAGATCATCCGCTGTTGGACGATGCGGTTGCAGCTGCAGCATGCGGAGTGGGTGCTGGTGGTGGTGGTGGTATTTGTGGCGCCAATGAGGGGTTCGCAACGCAGCAACAGCCACTGACAACGCCTACTACTCCTCCGGCCGACACGTCAGTCGCGTTTCCGGGTCTCGAGGATGATGATATTAATGTGTATATGTCTGGCGGCGGCGGCGGGTCGTGGGGAGGAGAAGGCCTGAAGCGTCGTTCGAGTGTGCATTCGCTTTCGAGGATCTCTTTTTTCCGCCCAACTCAGCCGACTTACGAGCTTATCACTACCGTTGAGTGAGGATCTCAAGGACCGTATCTGCAAGCTGGCTACCTCGGCAGACATGTGTGACGCGCTCATGAGCGCGGGGAGCCAGATCGGCCGATGGATCGATACCGCGAAAAAGGTACTGACGGGTCTCGACGCCGAGGATGATGTCGAATGGGCAGCTCAGGGACGGGAATCGCTCAACGAGGTCGATATCGCCGTACGGAAGTTTTCGGGTCTCATCAACGTCTACGTCGAGCTTATCGATGAGCTACAACGTCGGCCCGATAGCGATGAACTCGACTCTCAGACCCTTGTGGATCTCGTCAGCACCACCGAGGCCACCGTCGACGGATGGCGATCGATCGAGGAACTGCTCAAGGGCGTTAAGGACCAGGTGGAGACCGCCATGGAGTGGACCGAGTTGTGGACGACCATACTTCAGGACATACAAGCCGAACTGGATGCGTGCCAGACTTTGGTGTTCGAGCTCGAGGAGAAGCGACATCGGTCGATGATGGGTGAGAACGGGGCGCCAGCAGCAGGAGGGTCGGTGGATATCGACACGCTGGAGACCATCATGGAGGAGAACCCCGGAATGTTCCCCGTAGCCAACGGCAAGACGGCCACAGAGATCGAGGACAGCTCGCTGCTCGGCCTGTTCGCCAGGATGCAGCCGTTGCGCGCCAGCTTGGACTTTCTACCCATGAGACTGCAGAGCTTCCAGTCGAGGGCACAGGATATCTTCCCCACGGCAATGCGACGAGCTGGAATCGAGGCGGAAGCAGTTGGAACGGAAGTGGAAGAAGCTGAACGGCGACGCCGATAGCCTTAAGAAGGAATTGGGCGAGGATAGGTGGGTCGCCATCTTCCGCAATGCTGGCAAGCAGGCGACACAGATGCTCGATTCGATAGACAGGAGCATGCACAAACTCAAGGAATCGGTGATTGCGTGGGAAGAGAGCGGTGGTCGGGCCGAGCGGGATCTTCAGAAGAAGATGGAAAACTACGAGGCGAAGAAGATGCATTAACGGTTCGTTGGCGCGCGCGCGGCTCTGAGCTTTTTCGCGACCGCAGGAATTTTTTCTGACGGTGCGTTTTTCTTATAGGAAGTGCAATCCAACGGACGTTCTCGATCATCGGCAAGGGAATCAATGATCGATTTACCGTCAACGGCGAGATCATCCGACTCGATGCGTCGCTGCGGATGCGCTGGCGATACCTCGAGGACCAGATGGGAGAGCTCGATCAGACGCTCTTGGACCTACAATTGGACACGCAAGCGTTGCGCGACTCCATCTCCTCGCTTGCGTCCCTCGATATCACTTCGGGCAGAAACACCCCCGGTAGCTCTCCGGCAAGTTCGGTCCAGCTCAATCCTTCAAAACCTCGAGGCCAAGAACGCAAACGGTCTCCCGCTCCGATACGACGTCCCGGGAGCTCTATCGGTGGAAGCCCTGCTAGGCGCAGTGGCCGCCACTCGTCCGCCTCGTCTACGCCACCAACATCGCCGTGGGGAAATTCAAATCCCTACTCCTCAATGTCGATGGGCCGCTCCATCTCGAGTCCCAGCGCTGCTGGCTCATACGCTTCGTATGCGTCGTACGCCTCGTCTCGTACGTCCGACATCAAACCGTCGCGACCCTCGGTGGAACGTGAGCAACAAAGTGGAGGACGGCTCGATCGGCCACAACTTCAAGCCGCTGACGCTCACGACACCCTCTCCGTACCGCAAGGTGGCACCTCCTACGGCCGCCAGCCGTCGCAACTCGTCGTCGCTCGGATCACGAATCCCGATGCCGAGCCCACTCAGTCAGGAAAACACGCCATCGCCTGGGTCGCCCAGTCACCTCCGCAACGGCCTCTACTCCCCGGCATCGAGCAGACGCACCAACGGCTACCCTCGTCTCACCGAGCCCGACCACTAGACCCCCGCCTACGACACCAAGCTAGCTCCGGCAGACTTCGCCAGGGAACGCCCACGCCGTTCGATTCGAACGACCACCACCACCCTAGCACGCCGGGAAGTCCAAGCATAAATGTGCGTCCCGCTAGCGCCATGGCTAGCGGTCGTCTCAGCAGTGCCAGCGGCCGCAGGAGCAGCATGTTGCCGAGACCAACGTCACCCGGGAGCAAGAGGATGAGCCTGCCGTTCGGAGCGATCATGGGACCGGATGGGAAGCCGAGGTGGAGACATTAATTCAGTGAAAGCTTTTTTATTCTTTTTCATTTTTTTTCTTTTCGATATATTCCTTTTCTGCGATACCATTTCACGGGGTTTTTGTATTTTTTCTTTTTTATGCTGTTCCACTCCGTTTTTTTTTTACCGGAAGACCAAACTCATTTTTTCTTGTAACATTAACTTTTTTTTTCTCTCCCCCCTCCTATCTAACTATAGCTGGCTTCGGGTGTGGCGGGGGAGTTTCATCTCCATCTTTTTAACTATTTGCTTTCTAGGGATTCATGTTTTTTTTTTGCTTGCTTGCTTGCTTGCTTGCTTGTGAGGATGGCGGGCGGTGCGGGTGCGGGGCGGGGCAAGGCGGCGGGGTGGTGAATGGCGTTGGCATATTTTTCAGTTTTTGCGTTTTCCTTGCCTGTTGTTTTTGATATCGCATATCCTTCTTACTTCTTTCTCTTCTTTCTTCTTTTTCTTCTCTTCTTCTTTCTTCTTTCTTCTTCTTTCTTCTTTTCTTCTTTTTCTTTCTCTTTCTTTCTTCTGTTCTTCTTCTTTTCTTTCTTTTCTTCTTCGTCTTCTTTTCTTTCTTCTTTCTTCTCTTTCTCTTTCGTTCTTCTTTTCTTTCTTCTTCTTTCTTCTTTCTTCTTCTTCTCTTCTTTCTGTCTTTTCTTCTTTTTCTTTTTCTTTCTTCTTCTTTTCTTCTTTTCTTTCTTTTCTTTTTCGTTCTTCTTTCTTCTTTTCTTTCTTCTTTTCTTTTCTTTTTCTTTTCTTCTTCTTTTCTTCTTTCTTTTCTTCTTTCTTTCTTTCTTTTCTTCTTTCTTCTTCTTTTTCTTTCTTCTTTTTCTTTCTTCTTTTCTTCTTTCTTCTTCTTTCTTCTTTCTTCTTTCTTCTTTCTTCTTTCTCTTTCTTTTCTTCTTTCTTCTTCTTTCTTCTTCTTCTTCTTTCTTCTTCTTCTTTCTTTCTCTTTCTTCTTCTCTTCTTTCTTCTTCTCTTCTACCTTGGTTCTGATATGAAACCTCAAACCTGAAACCCCCCTGTATGTGTGTGCGTTTACTTCTTTTTATTGGGTTGGGATTGGTGGAACGAGGGGGGGCTTTGTTTGCGGGATTGAATGGGATGGAGGGATACTCGGGATGAAAGGGAACGCTGGGAGGACTTGGGAGGATGTTTGTGCTTTCTGCTTTTCCGAAAAGGGAGAGGTGTGTAGATAGGAGGATCTGATCTATGGCTACGGTTTACCATGGTTTATAAGAGTTATGGATGATTGCGAATCGGGAATCGGAAATCGGGATGAGTGATGGGTTTTAGTATCATAGGCAACTTGGGCACTTACTTGGGCACTTGTTTTTATGGATGGGGAATGTTGGATCATATTTTATACAGCCATGGTTAATTGCATACAAACGCTGTCTGATTAATGTTTCGTGATTCAAAGTCAACCGTCATTCTCTCGTTTCCAAGCACAAGACTCTCGAGACATGTACAAGATCTACAAGATGTATCGCCAGCCACCGGTTGGATAGGTTCCACGATAACTGGAATAAACCAGACTATCCACGAATATCCTCCGCCACCGCCGCCGCAGTTCGTGCGTGGTTCGCACGGGGATCGTACGAGGATCGTACATACGGGTATCCTGACTATTCGACGATTGATGAGTTCCGGCTCTCCTTGGATGGGGAGACTTGGGCTTGGGCTTGGGCTTAGGCTTGGACTTGGACTTGGAATATCCAACATCGACTGTTGCTGTTGCTGTTGTTGTTGCTATTGCTATTGCTATTGCTATTGCTATTGCTATTGCTGTTGCTAGTGCTGTTGCTAGTGCTGTTGCTATGTTTCTGTTTCTGTTTCTGTTCGACGGCCGTTGAGTATACTATACATACCAACCTAGGTACCTACTATGGCTATGATAAAGTCCGCTAGATATACTACGTCGCCGTGGTGTGAAGGTTTGGATATTTGGTACCTTCTCGTTGGCAACGACCTCACCTCACCGAGTGATTATCTAACGATGCTCTACCAAAGTGACGAGTGACGACTCATTCACACCAAAAACGACAGAACTACAAAGTACACAAAACAGCAGACAAAACTCCCCAAGAAAGACACAAAAGGAGAACCCCACCCCAAGAAAAACAGATACTAAGGTAACGCGACCCGTCAGCCGTCCCGGAACACCAAACTCGTACAGAACACACAAAGAAAGAAAGCACGCTCGCAGGCAGAGACAAAAGTTGGCCAAGTAACTACTAGGTAACTAACTATGTGGTAGATAGTCCGCTGAAATCAAGCGCAAAAACACCAGAATCAGAATCAGTAGTATCCACCGCCCACCGCCCCTCCGTACGCCCTCAGTTCTCATCATCATCATCCTCAGAATCGACCACCGTGCGTCCCATGGGTCCCATTCTAGAGTCCTTCTTGCGCTTCAATAGCGGTTGCTGGAGGGTGGTGGGGGTGGGATCATTGACCGAGCTCCACGTCCTATCCGCCGCCTTGCCCTTTCCCTTGTCATTCTCCTTCTTGGTGGCTGCGCCTTCCGCAACCTCATCGTCATCATCATCAGAGAGCACGACGACGCGCCTCGCCGTCGAGGCCGCCGAGGCCGCCGAGTTGCGCTTGGGTTTCTTCTGCTTCTTCCTAGCGATCCTCTCGTTCCTGGCGATCCTCTCTTCCCTAGCGATCCTCTCTTCGTCGGAGCCGACAGCACCTGCTATGGACCGCCGGCTAATCGCGGCTAGGTCGTAGCTACCGGGGCTGATGGCGCTGGCGCGGCGAGTACTACGGTTGAGGCGGGCGGTGGGCGTGGCTTTGGGCGCGGAACGCGGGGCCGTGGTAGGTGCTTTCGGGAAATGGATGGCGTTGTGGTCGGCTGCCTGGTGTTCTATGCCGGGGGTGCGAGCGGCGATGGGTGAACTGGAGGGGAGGCGCAGAGGAGACTCGTCGCCGGCCGGCTGCGCGGGCATCATGCGTGCGATGGGGGCTTGGAGGGCGGGGGATTGGTCTGGGTCTGGGTCCGAGACACGCAGGCGCTTGGTCGACGGGCTGGAGGCGCCGCCGTTGGTGTCGTTGGTGGACGTGCGAGGCGGCTTCTCCGTCGGTGTGGGCGTCTTCTGGAGTCTCATCCGCTTCTTCCCTTTACCCGTATGCGTCGCATTCTTGTCTGTGGGATTTGGTCCCGTCGCCTCGTCGCCGTTCATCCTCTTGGCCATCTCCAGCAGCGTCTCAAACACCTCCTTGCTGTCGACGTGAGCCACCGGCAGAAGCTGCGCATGGTTGAATCGTATTTGTCCATTATCGAACGCGGCTCTCACCTGACGCTCGGTGTAAAACTGGCCAAAGATGTTGCGGCACATTGCTTTTCCGGCGGAAGAGGTGAGTACATACGCGACCCATGCGTTCTTCTGCGCATCACTGAGACCGAGCCCATGACTTGCCCACTCGGCCACATCCCATTCGCCCCAACGGTATATACCGCAGTATGAGTACTTCTCCGAGTCCGGTTTCATTCGGCAGAATACCGGGAATGGAGCGTCAATGTCCACGTGTAGCTCCATGGCAGCTTCAAAATCCAAGAGATCGAGATTCTTACATGGACTCTGGGGCGAGGTGGGAAGGGCGACGCAGAGTGATGGGTCTAGGAGCAGCGCATAGGTCCAGGGGGAGGAGAATCTGTTTTTGATCTTTCCATTGGCCCGCGAAAAGGTCGCAATCGCTCCTGAGCGTCGACCGGAGCCGAAGGTTGCGCGGATGATTCGCTCGGTTACATTGAGGGATGGTGGAAGGGGAGAGGGAGAGCGCTGTGGAGAGGGGGGGAGGGAGCGGGAAGGCGTGATCGTACTGGAGGGCACTGAGGGTGTTAGCAGAGAACGTCTTACTAGAAGAATGGCCTTACCTGGTTCCGGTTCCGGTTCCGATTCTGAGAGTTGTTCTAGCTCCGGTCTGTTCGCCTGCGCTGTCCTCGCGTTCTGCATCCTCTCTGGCTCCTTTCCCTTCCCTTTCCCATTCGCCTTCACCGTCTTCCTGGTGCCATTCTTAGTCGCGGTGTCCATGTTTTCCATCAGCTGATTCAACTCAAACTCAGTCTCGTCATGCACATCCGCAACCTGGTCAGACTCCATCAACACGTCCTCATCCTCCTCCAGGACCCGCTCCTCAACAACCTCCTGCTTTCTCAGCGCATCTCGCTCCCCCCGCGCTGTCTTCGCCTTCAACTTGAGCCTATCAACATCCTTCGCCAGTGCTTTGATCGTCTTTTTGACCTGCTTCCTCAGCGCATCATGGTCAGCCACAAGTAGCTTTTGGTTAGCTTCCAACTGCTTCTGGTTTTCTTCCAGCCGGGCTTTTTCATTTTTCCATTCCTCCAGATCTTTGACCCGAGCGCGAAGGGCTGTAACTTCGGCGCGGAGCGAGAGTTCCGAGTCGGAGTCTAGAGGGATGGTTAGAGCGAGAGCGGGGGCGGTAGGGGTACGGAAATAGAGTTACCGCTGTCGCCAGAAGCGGGGGCAGAGTCAGAGCCCGACACGGACGCGGAGACTCGGCGCAACAGCGGCATCTTGCTTTCACTCTTGTCTTCTACTTTCGCAGTGGGCTAGAGAAACGTTGTTGCAATTGATGGTGCCCCACGATCACCAGTGGCAGGTGAGGGAGGGAGGGCGGAGTGATTGAGCGTTGAGATGAAGGGTGCAGCGAGGGTAGGGTTATTGCCCCAGTCATCCCTTGCCTTCTAAATATTGTTCGGGGGGTGACGTGAAAGGAACAGGGTCACGACTCAGACTCGCGAGCGCGTCTGGACGGCAGTAGTGGTAGCTACCTGTAGTCCCGTGACTACCCCGCACTAGGGAGCTCTTTGGTAACTATAGTACTATACCGTGGCAAAACACAGGTAGAAACTGACATCAAATTTACACCATGTCTACAAGGGATATATTTTTTTTCTTGCAGTTAGAGTAAACCTAGTACTAATCCTGTGCATATGAAGATTCCAATTTAATCAGATTCCGCATCTATTTTCGATACCACTTGCAAGAAGCTCTTTGTGGGTTCATATCTCGAGGGAAGGTAACCCGTGTCACGGTTCAGAAATCCTTGCCTTAAGTAGCTACTGGGATGATGGCCTTCAGCCATCCAAATACCTTTTGGTCGAGTGGTATAGTACTTTCCCAGTGTACTTTATTACAATAGTAACGGTTGATGATAACCAACAGCGATACCAATGTATTCCCATATGCCTGAGGTATGTTGCCTGCTTGCTGGGTGTAACAGTCCGGCCTTACTGGTGGACTAGTCCGTCCGACAGACACGTCCGCACGGACTGGATGTATGTAGTCCAGTCCAGTCCAAGGTTCAGGACGGACGGAGTGGACTATGGAGAACACTGGGCTGTGGCAAAGAAAATTTGGCCGGCGCCGCTGCCACTAAAGTTCGGTTCACGGTTCCGTTCACAAGCACAGAATTGCAAGCACAGAATTCACAGAACCTCCGTTTTTCGGTGCACCTGCGACCACCCACTAGCACCAGCTAGCCTGCTGTTTACCTCTGTTACGTTGACGTTGGCGAGCAGAAGATTTTACAGAACCTCCCTATTTGGGAGACATGACAACGTGCTCTCTGCACTACGTTGTTGTGCATACAAGGTAGTAGTACTGGTATGTCTCTGGTATTCCCAACACCACGTAAGATTTTGCGTCTGGAAGAACTGCAGTGGTTCTTCCCACTTTTTAGTATGCATATCTTAACAACCCTACGTAAAGACTTTTGATACTGTAGAGTTGGGACTACGGGAAGAAAGAAATCTCAAAATAAATCTGCAGTTGCGGAGAACTGCTGGGTTTCTACCTACCTATACGGTGGTTCTACTCATGACCTGCGGAAGAAGTCGCACCCCACTTTTTGCTACTGTATCCATTGCCTGCGCATAGCACGTAATCCTGTCTTGTCTGTTGACGAGTAGAAAATCCCATTTGGTTACTGTATCGATCTACCTAGTAAGGTTGTGCGAGTTGTGCGAAGACGCATTCATTTGAATGCCAACATGCTGCCATACTACATAGGGCGACCAAGATCAAACAACAGGATGATTCAATTCACATCTGTCGCTATCATACCGACATGGCAATGGGAATTACTTTTCACAGTACACTCATTTAAATGCTCCTCGTAAAGATTTCGCCGTTTTTGGATTGGGATTACCGGGATTTATTCTACTGCCGCAGGGCTCTAGTCCTGGCTCTGGTCCTGCCTCCATACTTACCGATAAACCCCCACTTTTTTTACTACTGCACTGTACATACTCCAGCCAAGATGGAGGAGGACGACGTAAGGAGCGTGATCCGCTATGATCGCAAGGTGCAGACGATCAGGCTCCAGCGATACGGTAGTACGGTAGTACGGTAGGTACTTAGGCATCGGGTTTCCCCTACTATAATCACCCAGATCACCCAGCCGCACCCTCCGCTTGTCGGGGCTCCCCGCATCCACTGCGCTTTCAACCTTCCCCCAGTGCCATACTCCCCCCCGCGAAGCCCTTACTGCTGTAGCCTGGCGAACCGAATCCACAAAGTTCAAACGAATACCAGGTATCCCATCGCTCTATCCGTCGCCCTATTGTACAGCCCAATGCATCCGGGCACGAGTTTGGACTTTGATGTCCACGTGTGTGAACCTGCGCTCCGTGTGCATACAATAGACTACAGAAGCCCGGCGACAACCGGAACGTGATGAAGGTAGGCAAGTTGGTAATTCCGCAGTATTGATCTCAGTCGCTCACGATCACTCGGGCTCGACTCTTCTCCACGACTTTCGAGACGGCATCGAGACGGCATCGAGACGATCGACGCATCGAGACGGCATCGAGACGGCATCGAGACGGCATCGAGACGGCATCGAGACGGCATCGAGACGGCATCGAGACGGCATCGAGACGGCATCGAATCCCGGGCTATATATAATCGGATGCTTAGGGTTTGATCGAGTACGAGAACATGCCCGGGCGAGGTGGTTCTGCTCGGTATCCTCGGGCGTCCTCGGGCTACCGACCAGGTAGCACGTGTACGGTGTGAACACACTGCATGTTATCGTAGGCAGTGTGTGACGGGTGATGGACGATGGATGAATACTCTACAGCTGACGTCAACGGGAGCTTCGCAGGAGACACGATGCCCAGTAGCATCCTTCACCCATCCTAGCCAGAACCGGGATCAATTAGCGGGCCTGCCGAGTGATCCACCATGACCGCGCGGCGACCGTTCACCGCGATCGGTGGCAACTAGAGTAAAGTATCCCCGCAGTCCGCACCGCACCGCACACCCCCCCACCACCCCGCCGCAAATCAGTACCCCCCTCCCGCACACCCCCCTCCCTCCCTCTCTCTCGCACCCCACCCCGTCTGTCTGTCCCTACCTCTCTCTCGCTAAGAGCCGTCGGTCCCAAACGTTAGAGTGTGTAGGTGTGTAGGTAACATCAAACTCGACGCACTGCCAACGCATCACGCATAAAGACCACCACCACCATGACCTACACCACAAAATTCACACCACCACCACTACGAACACCCACCAACACCACCACCCACGAACAAAACGCCGGCGCCCAATCACCACGCCGTCCGCTGCCCAGTGCCCAGGCTGTCGGAAAATAATCTAAAATTTAAATCAATCTACACATGTACAAGTTAGAGTAGCGTGGCATACCCGTTCCTGCAGCCCTACGATACATACATACCCAATGTGCTATGTGAAGGAAGGAGGCTCTGTGCACGTCATACTGGGAGACGCGGACGCGGACACAGGCGCGGGTGCGGGTTACGAACGAAACAACAGCACGGCAAGAGTTGAAGTTGAAGTTTGAGTTGGCAACGCGAAAAAAAAAGCTTTGAAGGTATCATAATCATAATCATACGTCGACGTCGGAAAGTAAAAGCCAGCACAAACAATACAAGAAAGGTCCCCATAAATCTCCCCTCGCTCCCCCCGCCTTCGCCGCCGCTACCGCCGCCACTACCACCACCGAAACCCCACGGATTTTGTTTCTCATCGAGAGCTTGTGTGTGTGTGTGTGTCTGTGTGTGAAAAAAGAACAAAAGTTGAAAAAGTTTGAAAAGAAGGGAAGTGAACAGAAGAAGAAGAAGAAGAAGAAGAAGAGGAAGAAGAAGAAAAAGAACGGAACGGAAAATAAAAGCTTATTAACATGGTCTTATGCACGCAAGATTTCGTCAGAGTCGTTAACTTGGTCGCCCACTGTTTGGTATACCTCCACCTCCGTTCCTCACCCCGGCTCCCTCTCAGTCCGTCCAAGTCTACGGCGTTACGTTCATCTCTTTGCGCGCGCGATCAACCACTGTAACACAGCATCCAGATTCGTCTCCTCCTTGGCGGATATGCTATAGCAGCTGACCTCGCGATTAGTGATGTCCTGCAGGTTCATCGTCTCGATGAGTTCGTCGACGCCGAGCTTGTTGGGCAGATCGCTCTTGTTGCCGAGGACTAGCAGCGGGATGCCTTCGAGTATTGGCTTCTGCAGGAGACTGTGCAGCTCTTCGCGAGCGATCGGGTGCGAGGGTTTGTCGGCCGAGTCCACAATAAAGCTGCGGCAGTAGTCAGTATCGGTATGCCGGATGTCGGCGAAGGGGCGGAAGGAGCTTACACGATGGCGTTAACGCCGCGACAGTAGCGCTCCCACATGGAACGGAACCGCGGTTGTCCTCCTAGATCCCAGCTGCGCACGCACAATACCGCGATTAGTCTTTCCTTTCCTCCCGGTCCCAACTATGGACGGAGCAAAGACGGACGCATGGTGACGTACCACTTGAGCGTGACGTGCCCCTTCTGTACTCGTTTCATGTTGAACCCCACGGTGGGTATAGAGCTACGCTTCGAGTCAGTTCTGCGTTCATCTATTTCTGGCGGACTGCGGCATACTCGATCGTAAATTCACCGCCCTACGTAGATAGTCAGTTTAGCTTGGGCCGTTTCCTTGCACTTCGCCGGGTAGTAGCGAGCGAGCGACTTACCGCTAGCACCCGTAATAACGAGGTCTTGCCGGCGTTCTGGAGGCCGATCATGGTGATGTCCATCTCTGTCGCCCTGTCGCACACATCAGCCACGACGAACAGAACTGCGCTCGTAGCGTGCAAAGTTGCATACCAGAACAGGCTAAGAAGCCAATCGTATATACGGCGGAAGAAACCCGACATGATGGTGTTTCGGGTTGGGGGGCGGGGGTGGTGTGGTTGTGGGTGTGGAGGTTGTGATAGGTAGATGCTCGGGCTCGCGATGGGGTGTTGTCGCGGGTTGTGGGAGGAAACCTGGTGGTGGTGATGGTGGTGATAGGCGTTGTTGGTGTTTCGGAGACGTTGAGTCGGGTTAAGTTGGTTGGGAGTAGGGGTGGGAGGGGGCGAAGGCGAGTAGGGTTGAGTAAAGGTGACGGCAGCGGTTACACTAGTCTAGAAGTCCAACGAACGCGGTTGTCGAGTTCGCTGTCTCCGTCGACGCGGAGGGTGGACGGGGGAGAAGGCGCGGTCAGGCGGGCTCGTGGCGGCGGCGGCGGCGATAGTCGTGTTGTTGTTGTTATTGTTGCTCAGCGGGCTGGGTGGTCGAGGTAGTTGGAATGTAGGTTGGGGTCGTAGAGTAGGCGAGGCAAGATGGTTGGTTGGTTGGGTGGAGATGAGCGAAGAGATGGGAGCCAAGCATGCTGCATATGCCAGTTGCAGCAACAGCAGCAGCAGCGAGCGACGGAAGGAGATAGCGAACTCGCCCGTCCCATTCATTCACTCATTCATCCTCCCTCCACTCCACTCCACTCTGTTCTCCCCCACTCTTCCTGAAGATAAAAAAAAGAAGCAACTCCCGAGAAGTATCTCATGTGTGTAACCAACCACAGATAATATCCTGCAAGCGAGCAGAGCGAAGGCATCTGCTTCTGCCTCTGCATCTGCAGCTCGGTTCGCGGCGTGGTCTCTCTTCTTTCCTTTTCCTTTCCTTCACGGCAGCGGAGCGATGTGCGAATGACATCCGCAGCAGCGAGCGAATGACATTCGCAGAGAGCGCAGGACAAGTTAGGTACCTATTCCAGAATCCAGAGTGGGATCGATCGGAATCTCCCACGTCCGCAGGTAGGTTGGTAACTAACTGGAGTTGAGGGTGATAATCCTCATGTGAGGCCTGGATCCGCCCGAACGAACGCCACGTGATTGGCACAACCCCCAACTGCAGATACCTAGGTCCTACTCTACTCATGGAAGGCATCGACTACTCGCATACATATCCGGACACAACTGGGCGAGTGTGGGTGGACATCAAAACGAGGACAGAAACACGCTATCCGGATCCTTTATGCCTGCCATGGCCCACGAGCACACTACGGTAGTTGGTGCACAGTGCTACGGTACTCCACACTGGTCACTGGCTACTTCCAACCCCACTTCAAGCTTCACACTCAAGTTTCACGCTCGGAGGTCCTCTTGCCGCAGCCTTATATCGATGGCGGACTCGTCGCCGCCGCTGTGCTGTGCAGCCGACAGCCCGCTCACTCTTGCTGATGATGCCCTCGTACGAATGTTCGGATCTATTGCTTCTGCGACTCCTCTACGCCACGGCGCTTGGAATACCTATGCTACATACGCTGCGCGAAAGTGTGGAATCGCACCGCAGAACTGGAGAAGCGAATGATGGAGGATGGGATGGTGCATACAGTCGAGATAGACAGGCCTCATATCTGGCGTCTGTGCGATGTGCATAGCGCGACATTCCATGCATCCTCGCACCGACAAGCACCACACTCATCCCTCCACCACCACCACCACCACCACCACAGAAACAGAAACAGAAACAGCTTCTCCATCTCAGCCTCGGCAGCATGCTTTCCCTTCCTTTCTGGACCCCCTCCGTTCGCGCTCTGGCTCATGATCGGAATTCCAGAGTACTACTATCATAGTACATACGATGGAGTCGGCCCACCGTATGTATGTACTACATACCCACCACATCCTTGGCAATCAACTGCAATTCTCTCTCGATAGTTAATGTCAGCCCTCACAGGCTCACCCGAGTGCTCCTCCTTCCGCAAGTTTCAATACTCGTCACGCTCTCAACCATATCCCTATCCATGGTCCTTCCGGAGCAAATGTTCTTCCGGGCTTAACCAGAGTACCACTGCTTCCGGCAACCGATCAGGGGATCAAGGGATCAAAGGAAGAAGCGATTCGAGTCTCGGGAACTTTCTTCCGCCGCCGTCTTCTGGTATTAACCCAAGCCATGTGTACATATCTCGCTGCCCTCGGCTTAATACGAGTAATGCGAGCAACACAGGCGTTAGAACTTACATGGTAGGGAGCAAGTAACGGCTCCGACAATGGCGACGGTGACGGTGACGACCGCAACGCTCTCATGGGTACTGGGAATACACACCGGCGCCGGAAAGGCCGAAAACGATTACGGTACATCTGTGTCCTCCAACCAACAGATCGGGAACCACGGCTCAGCGTTGTGGAAGGTGTGGGATCCTCCTTCCCGGATTTACGAATCACTGAATCACAGAATCGCCGGGAAGCTGGTGAGGTAATCGGGGCGGTCGAAGGTGGAGCGATTGTACTTTGTAGTGGACCGGTCGAGTGCCCTGGACGAGGAGTTTTACCTACCGTGGTGACGGCGTTGTGACGAGTACTACGGTAATGTGCAAGTGGTGAATGTTGGGATCATCCACCTCTGGGGATACGATATCACAATAAAGTGAGTATACAGAGAGAGATTCGGAGTAAGGGAGTGATCGCTAAACGCGGTTTTGGCTTGTGTCGGGATACCAATGGTTCTGGGAGTGACATTTCGTGATTTGTGCTTGATGCAAACTTGTGCCATATATACCTCATAGAGGATACCCGTTCCCCCAGACCGAAGAGAAGTGAAATGTAAGGAAATTCATCAGTCATTGATATACACATCTACCATACCTTGTAATTATATACAAGCCTCTGCAGCCCCTCTACTCTACAAGCAGCACTACAAAACAAACACAATTCCTCTAAACAACGCCCTCCTTCTCCACCGCCGCCACGCGTGAAAAGAAGAACGGCTTATCATTCCTGCCTTCAAACTTGCCCAGGTCATCCGTGAGCTTATTCCAGCTCCAGAACCCCTCCCAGTTAAGTTTCGCGCCTCCCCTGACGGTATTCATGCGGCCGCGGGCCTCCCTGATGCGCAGCTGCATGCGGAAGAGGTATCTCGGGAGATTCTGCGCCTCAGTTTCGATATCGACCTGTCCGGCTGAATCGACCCTCCACCTGCCGCGGGCGACATGCGGCGCCCAGTCGTGCAGCGACGTGGGCAAAGCGAGCTTGCTGAACGTGTAGACGACGTCGGCGGGCTCGTGTGTGCTCAGCAGCGAGAGCAGCGTGCCGTCCGGGTAGAAGCGCAGGTAGCGGTAGTACGTGACGATGTGCACGGGCGTGCCCCACGACAGGCTGGTCCCACTGTGCCCGCCACTCCGGTGGTAGTTGCACGTGCTGATGTATACGCCGTTGTAGCGCAGCCGAGGGCGCAGGTGGAACATTTCCCGCCAGGAGGAGTGGTACAGTGGGAGTTGCTCTTCGTCCACCGGGGCGGTCCGCTGAGCCTCCTCCTCTTCGTTGTTGTCGTCTTGCTCGTTGGATACCGCGAAGTCGTTACCGCCTAGGAGCTCGTCGATCAGAGGGTGTCCGCCCACGCTCACTTTCCAGTCCCAGACTTGCCGCGGGAACGTGGCCTTGCACACGTCGCGCCATATGCGGTCCTCGGTGACAACGACGTAGCAGAGGCTCTTGCAGACCTGTGCTAGCCGCGCGAACGAGGCGATATCGGCCAGCGCGGTGAAGCGGAGGATGTGCAGCAGGAGCTCGGACGGGACTTCGGCAAAGAGACAGAATTTCTTTTTCTCGGCCTCCTCGTCCTCCTCCTCCGCCTGGGTAGTGGTGGTGGCGGCACCGTCGTCGGCAGCGAGAGCCGTTTCGGCGATCGGCGCGATTGCCAACCCGGCGAACGAAGCCACTAGTTCCGAGGTCCCCGGCGGAATCGGGAGGTGGACGACGGCCTCCGGAACGTGCGGGGTGCGGGCGGCAACCGCCTTCCCCTTGCCATGGGCCGGCACGTTCGCTGCTGCTGCTGCTGCTGCTGCTGCTGCCGGGACACGTGGGAAGTGTTTATCCTTGTAGGCCTTATCGACAGCGTCGTCCATGCGGAATGCCTGGCGGTAGAGCCGCAGACTCTCGCCTAGATTTCCCTCTCCCTCTTTCTCGACCGCTTTCTCGTAGTGCTCGAGCGCGCTCTTGGGTACGCCCGTGGTGGCGGAGAACGAGGGCTGCCGCGCGGCGCGAGGCGGAGACGTCGGTATGTGTTTACTCGATACTGGGAGCTCGTCCACAATGTCGTCGTCATCGACGTTGGTGTCCTTTGCGGTGGGCCGGGCGTGCGAGAATGATGGCAGTCGTGGCTTGTGGGATCGCGCTGCGGCGGCGGACGCGGACGCGGAAGACGACGCCGCCTGTGGGTGCGTGCGTGCTGTTACTTCTTCCTTCCATTGCTCGCGGAAGCGGGAAAGCTCGAACTCGTCGGCCATTGTGGATTATATTGTGGTGAGTGGCGGTAGCTGGAAGGGATGTGGGAGTCGTGGTCTGGCTGGATGGAAGGCGGTCCTTGTGGAGAGTGGCGGGCTCGGGAATGGCCTTTGAATGTATTTTGTGTAGAATTGGCACTTATAAGTTACAAGGCCCGTTGAAGCTGAAGCTGAAGCTGAAGCTGAAGCTGTGGAAGGTACATGGAAGGTGTGTTGGACCACCGTGAGTCTTGATGAGTGCTGTGTGTCTGTCTCAGCTTTATCGCCGTACCGCCGAGCCACTATGTCACTGACCAGTGTCCAGGCCAACGCCCATGCGCGTTATCAACTCTAACCGTGTCCCCACCCCCGCTTACCTAAACCCGAGGCTAATAAGAATGCCCCTCCCGGCACGGATAGCGATAGTTAGGCCTTTAGAGACACTCATTTTTTTCTTATCAGATCCTGAACGTCATCTGAACTTCGTCGGCCTACCTCATCTCGTGTATCAGCGCCACCGAGCCAAAAAGTCCTGTTTCCCTCCACCTTCTCGTTGTATTCCCTCAACTACAGGATCTCATATCCTCCCCTCAACGCGCCCTCCTTCAGCCCTTAATACCCCCCAATCCCACACGCCCAATGGACGACGGAACAGCCGGCTCCGCTTCCACTGCGGCCAACTACCACAACCATCGCAAAGATAACCACAGTCAGTCAGCCATGGTCCGGAACAGCACTTTAGAGCTCGAGGACATCCCCGGCGCGCGGATACGTGGCGATGGACACATCTCTGCCACGCAGCGCATGCTGGCTGCATGTTCGGGAAGCTTACTTACAAGCTTACTTGGTGTGTAGATCTTGCCTCCCCCGTCCGACTGTCCGTGCGGGCATGGTGATATGTAACTAACCTAGGAAACAGTAACGCCTCTAGATGTGGTGCGAGTTCGGCTTCAAGCTCAGCACCCGGCTCCTGCCCAATCGTCGTCGTCGTTAGCTCCACACATTTCCTCTGATACCCTCGGTCGTGCTAGGAGCCTACCGCTTTCTCCCATTCGGTTCCAGTCGACGGCGGCACTCTCGACTCCAGAGTTGGGCGTTACGGCGTGCTGTAGGGAAGTGTTCTGGGTGGGCAACACTGCCGAGGCATGCCTTGCATCACCGACGATCCCGACGGCGCTTACCGACAGCTGCATCGTCGAGCAAACGTCGAGCCGACGGTTCTCGGGCACCTGGGAGGGACTCGTCAAGATTGCACGTTATGAGGGGTTGTCGTCGCTGTGGCGCGGCCTATCGCCGACGCTCCTCATGTCCGTCCCTTCCAACGTCATCTACTTCACCGGCTACGACTGGCTACGCACCTCGGATGTATCGCCGTTCTCATCGCTCGGTGGTGTCACAGCGCCCCTGTTGGCTGGCTCCGCCGCGCGCGCTATCGCCGCCTCGGTGATTTCGCCGCTGGAACTGTTCAAGACTCGTCTCCAAGCCACAAGCAACTTCGGATTCCAAGACACACTCCACGGGATCCGCACGATGGTGCACACCGAGGGCGCGCTGACGCTCTGGCGCGGCCTCGGCCTGACGCTCTGGCGCGACGTCCCCTTCTCAGGTATATACTGGCTCGGCTACGAGCGGATCAAGGAGCGTCTGCGCACGCGTCGCGAAGCGCAGTGGTCACTCCTGCACGACCACCCGACCGGCATACTGCTCCCGTCGGCGCAGTCGAAGCGGAAGGAGGACCTCCATGCCGAGAGCACGTTCCTGGACGCATTTATTGCCGGAGCTTCGAGCGGCGCTGTGGCGGCATTCCTCACTACCCCATATGATGTCGGAAAAACGAGACGCCAGATCGCCCATGCCCGCGGCCAGGAGATCGGTGCGAAGGCTATGAGCATGCCGAAGGTCCTGTTCGAGATCTGGAGGGAGGGCGGGCTCCAGGGCTTGTGGAAAGGATGCACCCCGAGGATGTTGAAGGTTGCGCCTGCTTGTGCAATCATGGTTTGCCACCCTGCGGCTATTCGTTCCCGGAAATTGAAGTGGTCGGTTACTAACAGAATACAGATCTCGAGCTACGAGGTGTGCAAGAAGGCGGCGATGCGCGTGAACCACAAGAACAACCGCGAGCTGTAGGCTGTAGGCTCTACACGTCAGATCTGATCAGTTACTAGGTTTCTTAGGTAGCTGATAGGTAGCTGATAGCTGAGAGAGAGAGAGAGAGTTGTATGATACTAGTATACCGCGGCGCACCTAATCTTTCGCACTTATGGGTCTGGTTGAGGGGCGCCCCGGTTGCTTTACATTTTCTTTCCTTTTCTTTTCCTTTTCTTTTTTTCTGTTTTTTTTCTGTTTTTTTTCCTGTTTTTTTTTTCGTGGAGTTCTTTGATTTCGATGCATGCTTGCATTCTACTGCGTTCGCGATTGATTTAGAGGGATGCAGTGAAAAGGGCGGGGCGCGGCGGGACGGAAAGTGGTTGTGTATAGTATGAAACGCTGGCGGCGGAGGACTCAGGGGCTGGAGGAGCTGGAATTTGGGGGGTTGTATGATATTTTTAGCGGGTTATGGATGGATGTATGTACGTAGGTATTATGGCAATGGCAATGGCGGTGTATTATACATCACGATGTTGGTATAGTTGGTATAGGTAGTAGGTATGGTAGGTGGTGAAATTGAAAGAAGAATTTGACTTGACTTGATGAGATGAATGGGAATGACGAGTAGAAGAGACGGCTTTTAAAGGGAAACAACGAGCTCGTGTACTGCATGTTAGTAGACGAAGGGATGAAGTGAAGCCTCAGACAGAAAATGCTACGATATCTGGGCAGTGCCGGACTGGGCTAGAGGAGAGTAAGGAGACTATTTCTGGTGACCTCTAGGGATCATGCCAAGGACAATGCTGAGAAGCTACAAAGGCTCTTTACAGCGACGACGAAAAGAAAGGGAGTATTGCAAAGAACCAGTGGTCGGAATAGGCAAGTAGACGTAAATAATCGATAGTAGCCTGTGGGTGGTTGTCGATATTCGAGTGCTGGCTTGTGTAGATCCCGCGGATATACGAGTGATACCACATGTGGCCGCCCCTCTCCTCAGGCACATGCTTGGAATCTAGATACTGCCCAACTCCGACAAGCCAAAATAAGCACCCGTCGTCAACACTCCCTACCCCACGCTTCGCTTACATTCGAACTCCCATTCATTCCCACCAGTCATGCAACCCAACCTACCTACATACCTACACACCTACACCCTCTTCTTCCCCGCCGCCCTCTCCCTCAACCGTCCCTCCCTCCACCTCCAGCACTCCGCCACAACCACGCCCGGACTAATCATTACGGCCGCTGCCACCACCGCACCCATCACCGCCAACTTCCGCCCCCACCCCTTCCCCCCCTCCATCTGACCCCACACCCCCCCCACCCCCCACGCCACCGTGGCCAGAAGACTAATCCACCAATCCCCGCCCAACATAATCGCGGACGCCTGTGCCACAGTCTCCACTTCCCACCGCGGCCAAAAAACCGCCTTGACCCTTTCCCACGGGTTCGGATCCGCGAGTACGTACCGCAGCAGGTACAAATGCGCGCCCGCGGAGACGAGGGAGACGAGCGTGTACACCCTGTCAACATACGCGCGCTCGCGGCGGGGGTCCTCGGTGCCCGCGCGGGAGTAGAAGTGGGCCAGGTGGGTTAGGTGGGTTAGGTTGGTTAGGGCACTGTGCGAAAGTGTAAACCAGAGGGGGAAGGCTTGCCAGACCGCGATGGCGGCTTGGAGATGGGGAGGGGAAAGGGGGAGGAACATCAGTAGTGTGGGGAGGACGTAGGATAGGAACAGGGCTGGGGCGAGCGCGCGGGCGCGGGAGGGGGGGAGGGAGGGGGAGGAAGGGGAGGAAGGGGAGGAAGGGGAGCTGGGGGATGTGCGGGATGAGTGCAGGAAGTAAAATAGTGGTGCGGCGGTGCAGCAGCCCGTTAGTTGCATTGCCAGGGTCCAGGGCAGGAGGCTGGCCTGGTGTTAGTACCAGTACTTCGTGGAGAGGAGGGGAGGGGCGGGGGACTTACAGCCTTCCGCTGCCGCGACTAGTCTCGACCGCCCATATGCCAAATACCGGCGCAATGACGAGGAGGAAGTAGATAGCGAAGACGCGGGAGTCGGGGTTGCTGCCGTCGACGAACTCGTAGAAAAACGAGACGAGGTATTGCAGCACTGCGTCTACCACCGGGATGTGCAGGTATGTGTAGCGCACTGGCGCGCCTTCGGGGAAGAAGCCCGCTTTGTGCAGAGCATCGAGACGCACGCCTTGCTCGGCGCATAGGCTCGAGAAGAGGAACATGTAGCCGCCCAGCAAGGCGAGGGGAAGGTACAAGTAGCGCATTGATGGTGGGTGGTGTTGTAGTGCACGGAGATGGTGGGGCAGAGTGAGGGCGCTTTGTTGACGTGCTGGCTGGACTTGGGGGCCGTATTTATAATAGAAACCCCGGGAATTCATGTCCCTCCGTCACCGGTGGTCCCATGCCAATTAGGTGCAGATCCTCAATTCACGCACTTCAACCAACGGTTGGGCTCGTACTCGTACAAGTAACGGTACTGTGAAAAAGTCACGCAGAGGCTATCCAATTGCAAAGAAGAACTATATACACCCTTTCGTACGCACAAAAGCCCATAAACGACATTACCAGTCATCATCAGACCCTACCCCATTTTTATACCCCCATAACAACTCAAGGTGATATATTAAATTTCATGGCAATACCCATGGCCGTCAACTCGACGTCCAAGTACTTGAGTACGTAGGGCACTGCAACGGTGGTGGTATCGACACCGCCAACGAACCGCCCACCCAGACCGTCCTCCCAAACCACACCATCGTCCTCAAATCCAGTCGCCGGCTTCGCACACCGTCTGCAGCGTATCCGGCTCTCGAAACCGAGCTTGCGGATCGTGCTCATGGTACTCAGGAAGCTGCCGCACTGCCGACAGATGCTCGTCTGTGTGTAGTCGGAGCAATTGAAGAGACGATCCTGCAGCAGGAATGCGGATCCGTGGGCGAGCAGCGAGTCACGCTCCATCTCTCCGACACGGATACCTCCTCCCTTCTTCCTTCCCTTGATGGGCTGATGTGTCAACTCGGAGATCTTTCCGGTCGTTCGCACCTGGTACTTGTCGTTGACCATGTGACGCAGACGCTGGTAGTAGACGACTCCGACGTAGATATCCGCAGCGAGCTCCTCACCCGTGATACCGGAGTACATGGGCTCGTTTCCGTGGAAGTTGTATCCGGCGGCCTTGAGCTGCTCGCCAAAGTAGTCGCCGGCGGTGTTCTCCTCGCTGAATTTGAACGGAGTACAGTCCTGGGCGATACCGTGGAGTGCACCGGACTTTCCAGCGAGTGACTCGATAAACATACCGATCGTCATTCGCGACGGGAATGCGTGGGGGTTGATGATAATGTCAGGCTGCATTCCCGTCTCTGTGAAGGGCATGTCTGTGGAGGGCCACTTCTGAGACAAGACACCCTTCTGTCCGTGACGCGACGAAAACTTATCACCGATGTTGGGGCTTCGTGGGATACGGTACTTGACGGAGAACTGCTGCATCGGCCTGTCGGCAGATTCGTTGGCTGTTCAAAATCATCAGTGACAGGTATTTTGGGACCAGATACGGAGAACTCACGCAACAATCGCACTTCCTCAACATACGCTTCCTCATCTCCCTTGTAGATGAAGGCCTTGTGCTCGACAGGTGCAGTAGGATCGCTGGGGATTTCGTGGTAGACTGCAATAGCATCACCCTTCTTCACCTTCTTTCCAACCACAGGCATACCGTCCTCGTCGACGGTCTGCAGCCACTCTCCCTTCATCCCCATCTTGCGGAACGCCTTGCGGCGCTCCTCCTCGGGCCAATCCGCCGGGCTATGAGTGACCTCATTCACCAGGTCTGCAACTGCAGCGGCGTTCTGGAACCCAAAGACGAAATCCGACTTCGTACCACCACGCGACTTGCTCGCTGACTCCCATCCAATCTTCTCCACCTTGTAGACGGTTCCGTGTCCGAAACCACGTTCGTGGGCCGACTTGTTCATTATCATGGCGTCGTCCATGTCGTAACCGGTGTATGAAATGACAGCGACGACGGCGTTGGTACCATTGGGAAAGTTATCCAGCCCGTATTCGTTGTACAAGGGCGAGCGTACCACGGGTGTCTGGCCGGTCTGGAGTCTGTACGACTTGTTGTCAGTGCGGTGACGGATGGCTGTTCCAGGAGTTCCCATAGTCTGCTTGCTCATCTGGCACTGGTACATGTTTCTGGGGGACTGGTTGAAGTCCGAAAACGGCGTCATGTTGGCAACGATGGAAAGGATATTGGTAGGGTCGAACTCCACGTGCGAGCTTTCTCCAGGGACAACCTCAGAGTCCCGGACCGCAATGGACATGTAGGGCTGTTCGAAAGGTCCGACAAAGTCCTCCTTTTCCAAGGGAAGGTATTTCACTGGTCGGATCATTCTCGCCTGCTGAGAGAAAAGGAAGAGACCAGGATATTGGCCGCCAACAGACTCGGGAATGTAGCCAATTTCCAAATCCACGGGAATATCGTGTGATCCCTCAACTTTCCAGTACCGCAGAGTCTCGGCAACCACACGGGCCTGCTTGGGAGAGCACCAACCGACGATACATCCGTCGAGCTGGATACAGTACGTGGCGGACGCGGGCTTGGGGACGGCTGCGGGTGAAACGACACCGAGAGAGGCGAGGGCTGGCCTGAGGGCTGACGTGTCGGAGATAGTGGTTGTAATTCGGCATTTGTGCGCGAAGTGGTTTAGCAGTCCACAAGGACTTCCATCAGGAGTGTGGACGGGGCAAAGAAAACCTATATATCTTCAGTCAACATCCTATTGATGGTAGCTTATCTAGGAAGGAGACCTACCCCAACTCTCCGGTAGTAGTTTTCGGACCGTTGTAGTCTTCAACTGAGCGAAGAAACTACCTCTGTGCACCATCCGGAAGTGCGACAAGAACCGGTAGAAGTTGATCTTTTCAGCGACGACAGTGAATCCAGACACCTGCTGCAAATCCAAACCACTGGGAGATGCCAAGTTTCCGGTAGACAAGAAGTATTCCAGAGCATTGCCGATATTCTCATTGGTTTTGGACAATATCCGCACGCGGTGGTCTTTGTTGTTGAAATCGACGAGCATACCCCTGGTGACTTGCCTCCGGAGCTCCGACATGATGTTGTCCAGATATTCTTCAACACGTTCCTTCATGATCATACCATACAAGAAGCCGCCGAGAAGGATTTCCTGGTGCTGGACCGCATCAGGGTTGTCGGGCTGGCAGCTCCCTTCAACCAAAGCGTAGAGTTTCCGGATCATGAATAGAAGCATCCGGAACTTGTCCTTGGGGTCCTCCAGGTTCACCAGAACTATCTTGCGCAAAAACTCCTTTCCAACCTCAACATCGGTCATGTCGGCCGACACCCGCATCACAATCCTGAACTTCTCTCCCAAGTACTGTAGAGTCTCCGTCCGTGTGTAGAGCTGGTACGCTTTGTAGGTTCTCAACAGCAATTCCACGCGATCCGTGAGGAATGTGTTCTCTCGGTCGGGGATCGTCAACAGTCCATCGAAGATCTCCCGGTCGTTCGTCTCGCACAGCGCCTTGAGGATCATGACCGCCGGCACCAAGTACTCGTTCTTCCTCCACGAAAATCGGAAGGTGACATTTCCATCGTTCAAGTAGTGGAGAACGTTGGTCTGCGACGTCTGATCGGGCCGTACAGCTCGGATCTGCACACCATACTGCGAGTAGGATTTTCCTCGTTTCGCGAACGACGGACGGATGATCGCCATAGGGTGATTCCGTCGCTGGACGATCAGCAACCGGATGATCTTCTCGATACCGTTGACGACGAAGTATCCACCGAGCTCCTCCGACTCCTCCTTGCGTTCAATCAGGTCGTACGGCGACATGTTCTCCAGATGGCACCGGTTGGACTAGTGCGCCCCGTTAGCTAACGCGCTCATTCGAGTCGCGACTCGGCGGCGAATGACATACTCGAAGCATGATCGGGAGGTTTCCACACTCGCGATCGATCCATCCCCAGGGTCCATTATTGACTTTGTATCCAACACGGACCGTGAGCCTCCCTCGATATGTGACATGTCTCTCTCTGGCCTATCCTCCGTCAGCGCCCCGCCCACACACTCGGCACCGGACAGACAGACAAACCTCGGAGGGGTAGATCTCTCTTTTCAATGTAGTCTTATCGCGAGAGCTAATCGCCGGCTTTCCAACGTAAACCTTGTCGATGCGCACTGTTCCCGCGCAGTCAGCGACCCGCGCGGCGATCCAACAGCGGGGTCGAACCTACACGAGATCTTGTTTCCTCTGTTGCCGTCCTTGCCGTCGAACACACACTTGACGCCGATATCCTTCCTCGCCAGGTCCAGAAAGCCACCCTCCTCGGTCACGGCATTGAACGAGTCGATGTGGGGCTGGACCGCAGCGATGAGCGCCGGGAAAGCCGATTTGTCTTTTGGCGGGTTTCGAAAGAGGGACTCCCGCTTCAGAGTGTCGAACGAGGTGTTCGGCTTGACAGTGGTAGCGGCCGGCATGTTGGCGATGCTGTGCTGTGCTGTGCCGTGGATCGATCAATTCAATTGAAGGTGGTCGCGAAGTGCTCCCTGCCGCCTTTGTAGGTACAGGAGTTTTTTTTTTCAAGCTCGGAAGTTGCCATTGCGCATGATCACGTGGCGGCTAACGTGATCCAGTTAACCTTAGCTGACTAGCGGCCAACTCCCTGTCTGGCATAGATACTCACTCGCGATATCACGTGCAAGGCGACAGGCGAAGAACGGTCTGGGTGGGTACATAGAGTAGTCGATCTCTCTGCAGGTCATCGCCAGTTGGTATTATATCCACTACAAGTTTCTTTTCTATTGGAGAAAGACGCTGAGTGTAAGCTGTCATACTCTAATCGGCCTCATCGTCTCCTTAAACTGGGTACATACCTAAATTTGCCTCTGAGGTCTCTTTCCGCCCAACCGGTGTATCCTTCCTCTCATAGCCGGTGTGATCTTTATCTCCTTGGATCCTTTCACCATGCAGAAAACACGAGACTGAGACCGGAGGCTGTGCGCGGGATATTCTGATTGCCCTGGGACCTGGCCGTTGTCAGTTAGCCGATTCCCGGGTGGCAGCTGCCACAAGGAGCTGCTGCGTGGAAGCTGCAAGACGGGGGCCGCCAATCGAGGGACCAGGACCCTTGGACACGGTCTCAAATCCCAACGTGTCGGCGCGCCATGTACGCGGTACTCTGGAAGTCTCTTCCTCTTCTCTCGTCCGAGAGACATCAAAGACATGGGTGATCTCATGGGCTTGACTTCAGAACGAATAAAACCACGTTCAAAACCGAATCTTTCCGAAACTTGCATTCTTTCCCTCCCGCCGGATACGTCATAGCAAGTTTTCGGGTGGCTCGTTCCATTCTGGAAGCAGAACGGCCATCGAACGATACGACTCACGACTCACGACACAGGAACTTAATCCCTGCTGAAACCGAGCACAAGCTCCCCCACTTCCGAAGACCGACTTCCGAAGCTTGCTCGACTCTTCTGTTTACCGGGATCCCTGCGCTCCGCTGCATGCACTGCATACCGAAGGATTTTCCGAGACCGTGTTGCGCTTGTTTTTGGTGGCGTTCAATTCGAAATGAATTGAAGATCTGAAGATGGACGATGGACGATTATTGCTTCCTTCAACAGCTGGGCTTGAAGAATTTCTTCTGAAGGAAGAAACTCGGTATGGTGATTTAGAGCCAAAGGAAGAATGGAGAGACTCACGCCACAAACAGAACGTGAAGTCAAATCTAGACACCTTCGCCCCCAAACTCGACGGCCCAAGACCACAACGGGACGCCTGGAATAACCGCTCTCGTCAACGGCTTCTCTCGGCGGAGGAGCTACATAAATGTTCTACATACAGCACTACTTTCGGCTGTAAAAGCTTCTTTGGCACACCCGTGGGCACGGCAAACTCGGCATTGCCAGCCATAGGTACACACAAGGCAGGAAGTCTGTAACGAGCGGCCCATCAGGTTTTCTTTCTGCTGGGCTCGAGGTCAGAACTGAATTGGAGACGTCTCACCGGGTTTTCTTTTGCTATATATATGGCTTCTCCCTGTGCTCCGAAGGGATGAGAAGGCTGGTAGTTCAGACATACATTTGCACTCGGACACTTCCGCTGGTCCGTTCTTTCTTTATTTCCTATTGATTTGCCTTCCATTGCGAGCTCGAGAGGAATGGCGTCGACTTCAGCCATGGTTTCGACCGCTCCTTCTACCGCACCCTCTCTTGGAGATGAGCCTGGTGGAATGTATGCACAATACAGTCCTCCCCAATCGCTTGGCCCGGGTTGGTGTTGACACCCATGCAGACAAGACATCCACCGAACTATCAGCCACCTCCCGAACGACCCATATCTAGCGTACCGCACATTAAGCAACACCGCCAACACCGGGGAATACACCACGGAAACCGCTACTGGCGAGATCATCAAGCGCACCATCTCTGCGCGTGGCGAAAAGGTCTCGTACAAACTCGTGACTTTCACCATCGACGACCCGGACAACCCCAAGAACTGGAGCAAAGCCTACAAATGGTGGATCACGATGGTTATTGCCGTGATGTGCTTCATCGTCGCCCTGTGTTCGTCGGTTATCACTCCCGGAATCAAGGGTGTCCAGGAGGAGTTTGGCGTTTCGAGAGAGGTCGCGTTGCTGAGCGTCACACTGTTCGTGGTTGGCTTTGGGATCGGCCCCATGGCGTTCGCGCCCATGAGTGAGATCCTCGGACGAAGGATCATCTATGTTACGACTTTGGGCGTGTCGGTGCTGTTTATCATCCCGTGCGCCTTGGCTAAGAATATCCAGACTTTGCTGGTTTGCAGAGCCCTCTGCGGAATCGCTATGTCAGCGCCCATGACATTGGTGTGTATATCTTCCGTTTGGCGCGAAAGGCAGTGTGTTGACTGGGTGATTAGGTCGGTGGAAGTCTGGCAGATCTGTGGAAAAACGAAGAACGTGGTGTTCCCATGGCAGTCTTCAGCGCCGCTCCGTTCATCGGTCCCGCGATTGGTATGTCCCCGTTCGTATGAACCATCATTTCACCTAGATCTAATACCCGCTGCAGGTCCTCTCATCGGCGGCTACCTGGACATGTCCAATGGCTGGCGCTGGCTCTACTGGATCCAGCTGATCCTCGCCGGCACAATCTACCTGGTCCTGACCTTCACCGTGTCCGAGACGTACGCGCCCAAGATCCTCACGGACCGCGCCAAAAAGCTGCGCAAAGAAACCGGCGACCAAATGCACGTCACCGAGGACGAGATTGACCGCCGCCCGTTCAAGGAAACACTTACGCTTTTCGTTGCTCGGCCGTTCCAGCTGCTGTTCGGAGAGCTCATCGTGCTTCTGCTGAGTCTGTACATGAGTGTGCTTTACGGCCTGCTGTACATGTTCTTTGTATGCGTTCCACCCTCGCTTTCACCACCATCCACACGTCCGCTAACACCCTACCCCGCAGGTTGCCTACCCCATCGTCTACGAAGAGGGCAAACACTGGCGTCCGGGAGTAACAGGGCTGATGTTCCTCCCGATCGCGGTGGGGGTCCTCGCCAGCGCCGCGTGCGCACCGCTCGTAAACAAGCACTACCTCAAGATCCACGCAAAGTTCAACGGCAATCCCCCGCCGGAAATGCGGTTGATCCCGATGATGTACTCCTGCTTCCTGATCCCCATCGGCCTGTTCATCTTTGCCTGGTGCAGCTATCCGAACGTCCACTGGGCAGGCAGCATGCTGGGCGGCTTCCCAGTCGGGTTCGGGTTCATCTTCTTGTACAACTCGTGCAATAACTACCTGGGTACGTACCCCTTCCCTTCCCCTCGCCCACCCCACTTATCTAACACCCCCCGCAGTGGACACGTACCAATCCCAAGCAGCCTCCGCGCTCGCGGCCAAAACATTTCTCCGGTCCATGTGGGGCGCAAGCACAGTCCTGTTCACGAGCCAGATGTACCACAAGATGGGATACCAGTGGGCAAGCACGTTCCTGGCTTTCCTGGCTCTCGCCTGCTGCGCTATCCCGTTTTGCTTTTACTTTTATGGCGCCAGGATTAGGAAACATTCGAGATTTGCCGCGCCGGAAAAGGAGGGGGGTGTGAAGGAGGTGGAGACTGGGGGTCACTAGGTGCAGAGGGAGAGAGGGAGAGAGGGAGAGAGGGAGAGAGGGAGAGAGGGAGAGAGGGAGAGAGGGAGAGAGGGAGAGGGAGAGGGAGAGGGAGAGGGAGAGGAGAGGAAGAGGGAGAGGGAGAGGGAGAGGGGAGAGAGGAGAGGGGAGAGAGGAGAGGGGGGATAGGAAGGGACTGTGGGGCGGTGGGGATAGATGGGGTCGGTCAGGCGCTAGGTTTTTGTCTTTTTGGATACCGTACTTTTCGTTTTCTTTTCCTACATGAACTTTCCAAGTTCCCATAGATCTATAATCACACCTCTAAATTATATCTTGTAAATTCCTAGATCGATTCTTGCTGTTCCTATTGATCCTTCACAGTATTTAGCGCGGCGGAGGTGAATGGCTGCGGAGGTGAATGGAGACAGAGGTGAATCGGAGGTGAATGGAGACGGAGGTGAATGGAGACGGAGGTGAATGGAGACGGAGGTCAATGGCTGCAGAGGTGAATGGCGCACGAGCTATCATTCGCCCAATGCACCATGACAGCATCAATGCAGCCTAGCGCGAACCCCATCACCCCACCACTCTACCACCCCACCAAGCATCGCGACACAAAAAATCCTCACTCCAGCCTCACCCAACAGCCCACAACGATGTCTCCGCTTACAGCCACCTACTTGCAGCGCTCTTCGACGCACCCGACAGCGCTCGGGCGGACGCTACTCTCTTTGATGTCGCGCAAGCGCACCAACCTGTGCATCAGCCTAGATCTGCCCTCACCTTCGGAGATCCTCCGTCTCTTAGACATCCTGGGACCCTCAATCTGCGTCGCGAAAACACACATCGACATCCTGCCGTTCTCGGGGGCAGGTGATATCGCGGCGTTTACTGGTGCGCTCGCCGCGCTCGCCGCGAAGCACGACTTTCTGATCTTCGAGGACCGGAAGTTTGCCGACATCGGCAGCACGGTTAAGGCGCAGTACGGCGGGGGCGTGTACCGTATCGCGCAGTGGGCGCATATCACCAATGCCCATACCGTGCCCGGACCGGGGATTATCGACGGCTTGAAGGAGGTTGCCGCTACGGTGGCACACCCCCGCGCGCTATTGCTGCTCGCCGAGATGTCGAGTAAAGGCAGTCTGGGCGGTGGGGAGTATGCGGCGAAAACGCTCGAGATGGCGAGGGGGGAGAAGGAGTTTGTCATGGGCTTCATCGCGCAGGGCGCTATGGAGAACAGGGAGGGCGAGGATTGGATTGTGATGACTCCCGGGGTGGATTTGGGACGGAAGGGCGATGGGCTGGGTCAGCAGTATAATACGCCCGAGAGGATTGTGGGCGAGAAGGGGAGCGATATTATCATTGTTGGAAGGGGGATCATCGGCGCTGCGGACCCGGTCACGACCGCGGAGGAGTACAGGAAGGCGGGTTGGGAGGCGTATGAGAAGAGGGTTGCGGGGGGTAATTAAGGGAGTGGATTGGGACACAAGCTTGCTCCGCAACGAAGGATGCCTCCTCTCATTCGCGCAACATCCGAGAATTGACTACGATCGTGATAGTGAACCGTCTCAGGTGCATAGAAGATCACTCATCCGACTTTTCATCTGACATATATCCCATTCAACATCTCCGTTCAATTACCAGTGCCGTGAGATGATTTCAAAGTATTATACAGGTAAACAGTGTGATAGAAAACCCGCCACAGCCCGGCATAAATAGAGGCCCTCCGATCCGTCCACTCCACTCCCTCATCAACACACCTTGACCACATCCACATCCTCATATATCAACAAAGATCCTCACAGCCTAAACACAACCACCCGTCTGCTACAATCAAATACACACTCAAAACACAATGCCACACCGTCGCCAAGCCCACGGATCCAGCCGCTCGAACAGCCCGGAGCGGGCACACGGGCCGCGCCGCCAACCGCCAACGATGCCCAAAGAGTACGGCGCAGCCGCAGGAGCCCCAGCACAGCACTTTCCCAGCAGGATCCCCCGCCCAGCTACCAATGGCCATCACCACACCTACCACCCCTATACCCACACCCGCACCCACGTCACCTACGCCTCATCCCACAGCTCCGACGAAGCCCCCTCCGACGACGACAGCCTAGCCGAGTTCGTCCGCGCGGTGCGCGCGGGGAAACACGCGTACACACCGCCGCCGCCCCCTAGGCGCGCGACCCCGAGGCCCGGGAATCACCATAGCCCTGGTGGCCCTGGTGGAGACTGCATACCGCCGGGGGTCCAGCAACGTCCCGCTGCCGCTGTGGGGCACGGGTATCCGCCTGATATGCCGGAGGCGCTTAGGCGCTGGTTGGAGGGAGGGAGGCGGGGTGGGGCGGATGGCGGGGATGGGAGAGGTGGGAGGAACGGCGAGGGCGAAACCGCAGAGAGTGAAGAGACCATGGATAGTGAGCGTGGCGGTGCTCGTGGTGCTCGCGGTGGTCATGGGCGTGCTCCGGCGATGCGGGATCCGCAGCGGGGAGGGGGCCGGCATCAGAGATACTAAAGGGATACTAGGTAGATGACTGGTGAAATGCGGGCTGATTGAGGGGGGTTTCTTTGATTTTTTATACATACAACCCATTTGATGTGATCGAGATTCTGTATTCTTAGGAAGTTGTATGATTTGAACTTGGTTTTGGTTTTGGTTTTGGTTTTCTGGCGCTTTCTAGTTAGTTAGCCACTGTATAGAGAATTCGAACTTCAATAGTACGCATGTTCCATGGTGGTGGTGGTGGTGGTGGTGCAGGCGTAGCTGGCACCTGTGACTTCTCACTCGCACTCTACATACAAACTCCGTGAGATGATCTGCTAGGTAGATGGTTCGATTAGACACTCTCACCGCGGAAGAGTACAGGAAGGCTGGATGGGAGGAATATGAGAAAAGGGTTGCTGGCGGTAATTAATGGAGTGGACTGGGAAACAAGTTTGCTCCTCCACGAAGAATGCCTCCTCTCATTCGCGCCATATCAGTGCATTGACTACGATCGTGATGGGTGGATCGTGTTAGCTGCAGCATAGAAGATCACTCAGCATCTGACTTCGCACCTGACATATATCTCGTTCAACATCTCCGTTCAATTACCAGTGCCGTGAGATGATTTCAAAGTATTATACAGGTAAACAGTGTGATAGAAAACCCGCCACAGCCCGGCATAAATAGAGGCCCTCAGATCCGTCCAGTCCATTTCCCTCATCAACACACCTTGATTCCACAACCTCATCCTCATACATCAACGACACAGATCCCCAAAACCTGAATACAACCACTCCTCCGCTACAATCACATACATACACAGAACACAATGGCTCACCGTCGTCAACCCTACGGATCCGACGGATCCAGCCGCGACAGCAGCCCAGACCGCGCACACCCGCCCCGCCGCGTACCGCCAATGATCCCGATCCAGTACGGCGGAGCCCCAGCACAACACATGCCCGGCCGAGTCCTGCACCTGCCCGGCTACGGCCCACCCCAGCTGATTCGAGGGGGCGCCTTCCCGCCGCCTCGGCCCGCTCCCAACAGCCATCACCACCACCACCACGCGCACACGCACCACGACCACCCCCATAACCACGCACACCACGACCACCACCACCACCACGCGCACCACCCGCACGCCACCTACGCCTCGTCCGGCAGCTCCGACGAAGGCTCCTCCTCCGATGACGGCAGCTTAGACGGGTTCGTCCGCGGGCGGGGCGCTTCGAACCTCGAGTACGCTCCTCCCGGCCCTGGGCGCGCAATCCCTATGCCCGGCCGTCGGCAGCCCGGCGTGCCCATGGCATACCCGTCGATCCCCGGGGGTCACATGGGACACTACCCGCTCCGATCCCCTCCTCGCGCGGGTGATGCGCATGGCACTGGTGGGAGGTGGGTTCAGGTGCGGGGTTATGGTGGGAATGGCGGCAGGGAGAGCGACGAGGGCGATAGCACGGAGAGCTACGAGACTGATAGTGAGCGTGATGACGCTAACGGGCGTGGTCCGCCGAGGCGGGGTCCGCATCAGCATTCGCATCATTGCGCTGAAGGGGCTTGCCAGCGGGGAGGGGGCCGGGATAGATACTAGATACTAACTACTAGATAACTGGTCAAATGCGGACTGCTTGATGGGAGTTTCTTTGCTTTTTATACAGCCCTTTTTCATGCGATCGAGTATTCTGTATTAGGGAATTGTATGATTTGAACTTGGTTTTGGTTTTGGTTTTCTGGCATTTTCTAGGTATGGTAATCGGTCGTTCTACATAGTATTCGAATTTTAATGGTGGTGCCAACGTGGCGGGCGTCTGTGAGTTCTCACTCGTATGATGTAAACTTCGTGTGAAATGAATAAACAGAAAAGTAGATGGTCTGATCAGAATCTCTCTCTCTCGCTCTCTCTCTCTCTCCCTCGCTGGATTAGAATCGGTAGGTATTCTCCATGATGGTTTCCTCTGAAGGATGGGATGGTCGTGTGGTCGGAGGGAATTTATTTGTTTCATTACATGTACATACTCGCTTTGAATCTGTGTAGACTACTTACCTATGGTGGTTATGGTCGGGTAACATGCAAAGGTGAAGTCGTCTCTTTGTCGTTGCCGAGTGTGGTGACGGTTGATGATGTTATTCAAGTCACCACCCAAGGCCCCTCACAGCCGTGGGAAAATTCCCGCCATGGATAGAATACAGTAGTAATGCCTCGCTATAATCTCGAGTGTAGACCGTTTTCAAGGGCGAAATTTGGTCATGACAGGTTCCATTCCTTAAGCATACAAAAGACCCCTCCGTCACAGTTCATAATCGTACACAGCCCAACCATTCCGACCAGCGGAACCCCGCGCCCACCAGTTGCGTACTATCCATAGCAAGTACACACCTCCGGCTCCGTCCTGACCAATGGCTTCTTCTTCTCTCCCACCTTCTCCGCGCCCGCGTCCAACTTCGCCATGCGCATCTTCGGCGGAGACATCCACGGCTGCCAACGCATGGTCGTGCCCATAAAAACCCCATTCACCGTCGGCATAAACTTCCCGAACCTGGTGAACCCCAAGCGAACAAAAAGCTCCTCGCAATGCGTACCGAGGGGGGTAGTCTCCGCTTCGACGGCGACATCGTCCTCGCGCGCCTTATCCAAACCCCACGAGATGAGCTTCTTCCCGACCCCCCACGAGCTCCAGCGCGGATTCACAACCACCGCGTGCAGCCGCCAGTGCTCCGCGTGGTATATCGAGAACTCTGCGTCCTGCATCTCGCGAGCGGCGACGTACGCCTCGTACTCCTCGTGGTTGACTGCGAGGTTGAACGCTAGCGGGGCGGTGACGGTGGCGGCAATGATGCGTACCAGCCGCGTGAGCCAGCCGTAGCCGGAGATCTTCTCTATGATCTCGAGTTGTTTCCCGCGGCCCACGCGCTCCCACAGTGCGAAGCCGACGACCAGCGTGCCGGGCCTTTCGACGGGGCAGCCGCACCGCGGATCTTGCCCGTCAATGTGGATTACCGCCGAGAGGAGGTGGTATTGCGGGGATTCGAAGAATTCGGTTAGCCGCTCCGTGATGAATTGCCGGAAGTCGCCGGGAAATCGCGTGCGCCGTGGGAAGATACCGTCGAAGCGTGGGTCGATCTTCGGGGCGTACCGGCAAATGATGGATACGATAGAGGGGATGTCGGCTGCGATGGCGGGCTCGACCGTCAGCGCGTGCGGAACCCAGTGGCCTACTCCGCGTCTCGGTCTCCTCGGGGGGTAGTAAGTCGTGGGGTATTTTGGGGTACGGTTATCCATGCTGCCTGCAGATGGAGATAGGAAAGTGGAAAGAGAAGCTGGAGTGTGGAGACGGAGTAATGTATGTAGGGTGCTGCGGATAACAGACTGGATGGATAGAGAAAGGCGGATGGTAGCAATGTACGTGCACAAGAGTGAATAGTGTGATGCCTGGCCAGGCCAGGAGACAAGCAAAAAAGCTTCTGGTAGCGTCGGGCCCGACATGGATAACGGAATAGGACCAAAGTGGACGAGTGCAGAAGGATGATTCGTGGAACATGGGCATAGCACTGGTCGAATGCTGCCAGAACGAATGACAGACTGGAGAAGCAAAGAAACCGGATGGCAGTTGATGGGCCAATCAAGGCCCAAAGGCCCTCAGCCCTGTCCCACAGCCCGGCCAATCCCCCCCTCTCCCCCACAAGCGAAGAGGTCATGCCGCCAGCGCGCTTAGTGCGTAACTGACACCACATCCGCATCTGGCTAACCTAACTAGCGCCTTATGAGGCGGGCCCATGGCTGCGGGTGCTGCCGGTTGGCTTTGACAAGGATTGCCGGCGGTATGTAGTGCGGGGTGCTTCCAGGGAAGGTGCAGTTGTAGATTCGGTAACGAGCGATTCCCGGATACCGGTATACAGCTGTTGATGGATTTATGCACAAAAAGTATGAGTCAATTTTGACTTCACCGGAGGGGAAATGGATTATGGGGCCGGGCTTCCGAAATTTGCGGAGCTTATTGGGATTTCACAGATTACATACGTCGCCACTCTACCCATCCAGGTAGTTACATCTAGTAGGTAATAGTAAATATACGCTTGCTATGTGGTCGTACCTCACTTATAAAACTGCTCAAGCCTCACAGTAACGAAGAGGAAGGAGCCCATATATATCATTCACAACTCCGGTAACCGGTTGGACATTCGCGGTCAGGTATCACCTTGCATCGCCAAGTCCCAAAACCCCGAACCTCCCCAGCCTCATCCCCACGAGAGCGCAGCCTCATCGCCATCGAAGCAACGCTGTGCTCCCCCTATAGCCTAGATCTATCGTCGAGAATAATCGGTCTCCGATGTTTAGGGCCTGTGAGTCGAAGGATATCTTGTTTTATCTAGGTTTACGTATTAGCAATGCTGGGATTCGCCCTGGGAGAGAATAATCTACCGTTCACCAACACGGGCACTGACATGACATTATCTCCACCGCTCGTCAACCGTACCTGCCGTCGTATAGCGCGCTCTAGCGGTCCCTCGAGTAGTATCCTTGCCAGCGCGTCTCCAGCCATCGGGCCGGACTCATCGACCGCCTTCGAGATATCCGCATAAGCATCGATGAAGTCTGGCAGCTTCGCCAGCACTTTCGGTCCCAGTGCGTCCGAATCTGCCTTGGAGAGGTCCAGGAGAGGGTCGATGTGGAGCTGACTGTATTCTTGCCGTGGCTGGCTGCCGTGCTCAACGGAGGGGTTCGGTAGCGGCGGCGGAGGCGGAGGGATCGCAGGAGGCACGACGATAGGCAGAAGTGTTGCACGTGACGGGATGCTCATCCAATATGCATACGGTGGGGCTTGGGACGCGGGGACCTACGCGGGAGACGGAGGAGGAATTAGTGGTGGACTCGCTGCGAGAAAAGAAAAAAACCCTCCCCCCCAGTCCCTCGAGAGAAGTTACCTGCGCATTGCTATCCATCCCTACACTACACACTGTCTCTTGGCTATTCCCTGAAGCCGAAAAAGACGGTTTTCGGGAAGCCCCGGGCTTTTGTATCCTCGAAGGTTTTGGGCGCTGGTCCTCTGGCGCCGGGTATGTACACACGCGGCCGACCTTCTGACATCCTGTGGATCACGCGTGTCAGCCGGAAAGCAAGCAAGCCGGAAGTCACAGCGAGCGGGCTCGGGGAATTGTTACGTGAGCAGATGGGATGCACTTCGTCGCACTGGGGAGGGGTGGGCCGACTGCGTCAGCAAAAGGCATGTAGTTATGTACGTGGGGGAGCGCGTAGTTGGCGGCGGGGGAGATATACCTTGACCTTGCGTAATCTGCAAGTTAGGCAGCCGGTCTTGGTGCGCCGGTGGATGGGCTCCGCGTTAACTAGACGGACCTTGAAAGCTTTGGAGGCCTTGCTGGAGCCGGAGCTGGGAGATGAGTTCGCCATCGAGAGAGTGCGGAGTGTGTCGTGAGACTTGACCCTGTTGGTCCGGCAACTCGGGGAGTCCGGGTGCGGGTGACTGGAGTCGCACAATGGTTAACTAATAACCAGGGCGCCGAGCCAGTAACTATAAATAGCACATGGATGATGGAAGCTCCGAAGCTGTGTCCAGTGTCCACTGTTTAAAGTATTCAAACCTCGATAACTACTCGGGTATTCTCATAGGTCGTATTTGAGCATGGTGATGATATCAACATCGAAATTTGAAAGTTGCCGGCGAGCAGCACCATCGCCCATCGGTAGTTACGCATCCGGTGCTCGCAAGCGGGATCAACAACTCATCCTTGAGTCGCTCTATTGGAATCAGTTTGATATGTACCTATCTACATCCTAAGATAATCTCCCCTCCCCCCCCCCCCCCCCCCCCCCCCCCCCCTGAACGTGCTGAAGAAAGAGGGCCTCGAAAGTTGTAGATAGTCGTCGGCCATTGAATAGCTATGTAGAGCTCCGGGTCAGTTCCCAGCAAGGCGAACCGAGATCCGGCACTAGCTGCGCTCGGCTCGAGGGTCCCGTGCCTCTGGCCAGTTCGTCGGAGATCTGGTCCAGTCCGACCTCTTGGACGGACCGCGTAAAAGTATGTAGTTCGTCAAGTCCATGGAATACGTGGATTGGGTGCGGACTCCAGTCAACTGCAGTTCGTCTGGCCTCGATTTTCTTTGGACTAGTCCGTCCGAACACCGCTCCCGGACGGACCACCAAAATACGGTCCAGTCCTGTCCGTGGCTTAGGACGGACGGACTGGACTACCTGTGTCGAACACTGGCACTCACTTCATCAACTTTGTCTTGCAGAAGATATTCTGGATCAACACACCACATCTGAGTTCATATCGTCCGTTGGTCAAAAGAATCTTCTCCTCACAAACGGGACAGCAGTTTTCCCAATGGGAGTGCACGAGATGTTGCCTGCAGGAGTCCTAGCGCAGTTTTTGCTTGCCGTACGGAAGTTGTTATCTCCGCTGTATTCCCGTATGCCACAGCTATCGAGAATGAAAGCTAAACCGATTGCATACCGAGTCCGATCGAGCTCTCGGCCATGGCGTTCCCCTGCTACCGGCTTCGCGGGTTTCCGGAAGTACTGGGCGCCTACAAGCCCGTGCTTCCGTACTCTACCGCCACGTGACCTTGCGGCGCCAACCGACATACATGCTGCTCCGCAAGCCTTCCAACTGGCAATCAGCCGCCGGCGTGTGTGACGTGAGGGGAGGGAACATCAAGATCCACACCGAACACGAACTACGCAGAGTATGCCGATGCAATTCACCAGTTAACAGTAATCCGGTGGGTTAATGAAAAGACATCATGCGGAAGATGAGGGCAGAGCTGCCCGGGCTGGGCCGGTGTGTGGTTGGGCCTCGCCTGCTGAGGCGGGTCGTCGATCTTTTGGCCATGCGCAAATTCCTCAACACAGTCTGTCTGTGCTTCGATACGGCAAACAACCTAGTCTCGTGGCTTTTGAGAGGGCTCTACAACACACCGCGCACATCGTGCACATTGGGCACATAGGACACATCGACACATCGGCGGGTCGGCGCGCGATGCGCGTTCGGCACATTCGGCACATTCGGCACATTCGGCACATTCGGCACATTCGACACAATTGGCAGATCGAAGTTGAACAGTCGAAATCAGTCACACCGAGCACCACTTACACGAGGTAACTGTGAGTGAACGGTTGTCTTCGGGCCTTATCAATATGTAATGACTCGACCCATGGAGATTTTGATGACGCCCATTTCAGAATATGTAACTTAGGATCATAGCACCGAGGGGATGTCCAAGGGTTTATTGAACTTATCAGGGACCTGGATAACGTTAATCCGGGAGGCCCACCACGGATTTGGATTTTGACGAGTGCTACGCGATGATGAAGCACCCCGGCGACCCGCTGCCCGCAGAACCAAGAAGGAAGAGCACGGCCTGCGGTTTAGGTTCCGTCCTACCGAGGTGCCTTCCCATGACACTCACGGTTGTTTTACTTCCTCCCAATCCTCTGTGACAGGCAGAACCAAGATGCAATAAGCAAGCACCAGCCCCGCAAAAATCTCCCGCTGTGTGGTGTTCCGGCCCCCTCGTTGGTACCGGTCGGCGGGTACTATCCGACCTCTCATTACTCGCCAATCTGTGGATAATGGTCGGCTTGTGAATAATGATCCGCCTGTGGATGCTGGTCGGCTTGTCCAAGCTGGCCGGCCTGCGGATGCTGGCCAGCCCGTGAATGGTGGCGGGCCTGTAAATGCTGGCTACTGTATGTATGCTGGCCAATCTGTGTATGCTGGCCAGCCTGTGCAAGTGGGTCGACCTGTGGTTACTGACGGGAATGATGATATCCGGGGGTTCTGCTGTTCCTCTTCGACTTTGCGATTCCACTATCGTGAGACGAGGAAGGGACCGGGGACGAGTAGGCGGGCAAGATCATGATGCCACTCTCCTGGATGTACCGCAAAACCCCTGCAAAGATATCCGGGCTCGTTTGGTGAAACGTTTTCGCGAGATTATATCCAGTCGTGTTCGAAGAAATCGCCTCAAGAGGTTGCTCCTGCGGGACAATAGCTGGAGATCTGGGAGATTGTGTTGCTTGATCTGTGTATGGAGAAGCTGCTGGCTGGTCACGGATGTGGTCCTGGCTGTTTTCTGCTGGGACTTCTATCTCGTTCGGGTAATGCAGGAAACATAGCATCTTCTGATCGTCATAATCCTGTTGTGGCTCGGCATGGTCTGTTTGGGGAGGGGTTGGCGATACCGGATAATCGTCGGTGTATTGCGAGACCCGTAGTTGGAGAGCCGCATTCAAGACGGAGGATTCATTGATATTATCCATTAGATGAGTGGAAATGTGGGGTTGAGTGTATCCGGCAGACTCTTGCCCCATGGAATTGAACTCGATATTATCGTTCTGAAAGTCTCGGTGTAAATCTTGCGGTGCAACCGTGCCTAATAAAAATAAACCGGGGGCTCCTGCTTCTGTGGACGACATGGAGACAGACGACAACTGTAGTGATGAATGGTTCGAGTCGAATAATGGTGAGGCCACACTCGAGTCTGGTACTATTCCCGTTGCTCGTTGACGCGATGCGGGTGTCTCGACGGATTCCGAAACCTGCGCACCCCACCGCCTTTTGAGGTTCTTAGTTGCAGAGGAACGGGTGTCAAGGGAGACGTTGTCGTTGCCATTGGTGTTTGCCTGAGTATTCTTCTGCGTCTGAGCCGTACCATTGGAAGGACCGGGCTCATCTCCTCGCCGCGGTGACTCAATCCCCGGACTTTCAACCACATAAACATCGGGATGCTCTATGATCGGCGGCGGATTTTCGGAAAGGACTGGCTGTATATTCCAGAACTCATCTAGTCCTAACCAATTGATTAGAATTCTGCTCAAATTGTCTGTACGAGAGCCACCTACTATCCACGACGCCTGCAGAATCATCACAGTCATATATCTTCTGTCCGTTCCGATACAGGTACGCCTTCATCTGTGCCTTGCTCTGGCATCCCTTGAACAACCCAACCAAAGCATGAAGCCTTGGAAATTGCAGATTTGAGCCCAAGTCACCCCACTTCTTAAATTCTGATGTACCCCCGACCTGGTCGATAGCATCCCGGATATCCTGTTTGTCGTGAGGGCTTTTTGAAAGCTCCCCGCAACACCCCAGGTGCTTTTTGAGTCCACGAGAATCGAATCTCTTGCCGCACCCAGTGATAAGACATATGTAGGGCCTTATATGAATCCTAATGACATGGGGTCTACGAAAACATTAGCATTATGCTCTATGGGCTGGTCTCGAGTACGGAAATAGATGTGTGCACTCACTTCATCAACTTTAATTTGAAGAAGATATTCTTGATCAGCACGCCGGATCTGAGTTGATATCGTCCGTTGGTCAAAGTAATCTTCTCCTCACAAATGGGACAACAGTTTTCCGAATGGAATTGCACGAGATGTTGCCTGCAAGACAGCTATGGTTAATGATGTACATATTAACTGGATTAGACTATAGCGAGTACTTACAATAAACTGTCAGAGTCCAAAAAATGATCCTGGCATAAGAAGCATTCCATAAGATCATCCCCAGGAGGTAGGCTCGCGGTAGGAGATCTGCCGTCGTCGTCATCGTCGTCGTCATCGTCGTCATCGTCGTACCCGTAGTCGTTGCAATCGCCGTCTTCATCAACATCTCTGTTACCAGAGAATGATGTCCTGGGTCTCTTAATCCGCCCCGCATCTCCTCCATTACCAGTAGTGCTCCCGGCATGGTTTTTGCTTGGCGTGCGGGCATGCTGTTGCTTCATCATGGCTTTCATTTGGTTCCAGGGGCTGGTTTCCTCAAGCGGATACTCTTGTTTCGTCAACTACTCGCACGTAAGTACTTGGTCAGTGTTATTCCGCAAGCGTCGTTTACGCAAGGATCAACAGCAGCCTTTCAACTTACACTGAAGTGGCCGAAAGCAATCCATGGATGAATTCGCTCGGCATATTCGATGGTGGGGATGGTCTCCAGATCTTTGAGCATCTGGTTTCTTGAAGTCATTCTGGCAGGGTATCGGGCTCCGGAAGCCTCGGAAGCCTCAGAATCACTGGCATATGCGCCGGAGCTCGCGCTGGCCTATCAATGACCCGCTATTAGTCCCATACGAGAAGTTTATTGACATCTTCCAACGTACAGTTCCGTAGACAGAACCCAAGGGCCCACGCTCTGGATTGCCATCCCATTCATCCCCCTTTGGTGCCGTTCGAAGGCAGTGGCCGATACCCTTAGGGTCGGTATAGGTCACCGGAGGGAGGGCAGAGATAACCGATACCGTCTCCAATACGTGGCAGAACCGAAGGCAGGCAATAACCCGACTCGATTGGAATAGCATTCCTTTCAGCCCAAGTAATTCGTAGTCGCTTATGGATGGAGGCAGGATCTCTTCGGAGTTGACGACTACTGCTGCGTCCAGCAGGGCGATGTAGAGAGAAGGAGAGAAGGACTGTGTGAGGCTGACGAACGCCTAGAAAGAAACGGTCAGTACCGTATCGACGGCAAGCTACCGCTCATCTTGCACCTGGCAGTCAACTCGACGGGAAAGTGAGACTGTGGCTTACCTGGAGTTCAAGGGGGAGTTCAGAACGTTTTGACATCAATAGTGTTGATACAGGAGGAATGCACAAGCCTTCGACGACTATGAAACAAGAACGGTAATCGCGAATTCAAGCTGGCGGTAATGAGAGAAGGAATGGAGGGTCAGGGGGGGTGGGGGTACGAATTCCATGCCCCTTATGTTCTTATAAAACTGCCGGTCCATCACTGGACTTCACTCTTCTCTCGAGCGAACGAGGCACATCGCTCTCACATCTCTGCCATTGGGCACATCGCTCACAACTGCGCACATTGCACACATCCCGGGGGGGATCTGCTATGGTTTATATAGGAAACTGGCCGCCCTTAATCCTTTGCCGGGCACATTTGCTGCGGCCGGGCACATCTGCTGCGGCCGGGCACATCTGCTGCGGCCGGGCACATCTGCTGCGGCCGGGCACATCTGCTGCGGCCGGGCACATCTGCTGCGGCCGGGCACATCTGCTGCGGCCGGGCACATCTGCTGCGGCCGGGCACATCTGCTGCGGCCGGGCACATCCTCCGCTTGGAGTACCCCGTGATCAGCGACCGAGCCGTAGTCTGGGGCGAAGCCGAGAGCGATAGGTAGACACGTGGCGCCAGATACTTACCAGGGGAGTTTGAGGGAGAGAAAATGTGCCGAAGCATTCGGATGTTTTTTTCCTATCGTCTGTCAACACAATGGGACGAAAACCTGGCCATAGTTAGAATGATTCCCAGTACATACCGGTACTGCGCCATTCTTCGACGGCAGAGACAGTGGGTGGCCAAGCTGTTTCCCCGCTTCTGCTCAGCTCGATCCTGGACAATTCGGCAGTGTATCTGTGTACTCTAGAGTCGAGCTGACATCACCTGCAACACTTTTTCAAAATGTGATATATTCATTGATTCTCACCCTTGGATTAACTACCCCCATCTGATTTCGTGACTGCTCACAGTGTGCTCATCGGGATCTTTGGGATGCGAGTGAGACCCGCTAGGATAGACTTCGGCAGAAGAAAGTGGCGTGGTTACTGGCGAAGACTGAGACAGTCAAGTGGTGTGGAGGGGGGATGGAGGAGGGAGGAGATGAGTCGCCGCCGTTGTCGTGGAGACGGACCTTCATGGAATGATATGACGATGCAACTAGGTACCCCGCCGTTGGATAGCTTCGACGGGATACCCACAATATAGTATACTGCATCACGGTCAAGAGCTTTCCAAACACTCGACGGATGCGGATCTGGAGAAACAAAAGGACCTTCACAACACCACATCTTCGCTCCGTGCAAACCGAGGATCCACCCCTCCGTGCAGGGGCTTCTCGCTTGGCTCTGCATGTCGCACAGCCCGCAGCGCAGCAGCTGCGGCTAGATAGATGTGCTGAATCTCTGATAGGCGCTCATGCAAGCCACTGATCGACCTATTTCGGGAGCTGGCGTAGCGCATAACTAATTCATATCACGAAAGTGTAGTGGGTGGGCTTGGGCAGGAGCTCGTGCGTCATCAGATGTTCTGCCGCTCAAGTTATGTCGTGAAAAGCCACGGGATGGGATTTAGGCGGGAGAACATGATAGAGGATCAAAAGGGCGAGTGATCACGGGTGCTGCGTTTGGTGACCGATTAAGCGGTATGTGAAAGGCAAACGAACATTTTCAGGAAACATACTGCTCGCTCACAGTCAGCAGAGGAACGATTGGATAAGGATGACACCAACCAGAGTAGAAAGCGGACCATAGGCTAGGTGAAGTCGGAGCCCCAAGGCGAGTGATATCCCTCCCTCCCTCTTCCCTCTTCCCTCTCACGTCTCATCAACAGTCCACTCCAGGCTCTTCGTCTTCCTGGATGACTTCCAACCGCAGCGCTCCAGACGCCTCCACCGCTGTATTGTCGAGCCAGGCCCACCCTTCCAGATAGGGCTGTGCGACCTCCCACTGGATGGGCAGGAATTCGATATTGGTGAGAAATAGCTGGCGCTCGTTCGAGTACTGGTCCTCGACGACTCTGAGCCGCACGCCAAGTCGCTGAAGATGCGCCGAGAGCATCCGTCTGGTTGCCTCGTCGGCAGCGCGGGTGAGCCGGCTCTCAGCAGTGTCTATCGCAGCCTCGATACGCGCGCTGGCGGAGGCGTACCGGAGACGGGCGGCAGCGATCTGTCGGAGTGCCCTCTGCGTAGCTCGTTCAATACGGTAGTGCGCTTGGTTCGAACCCCGGCGTTGGGCCTGGTGGCGATGGATGGTCGCCGTACTCATTCTGTTGTCTGGAAGTGATAGTTGTTAATGACTGCGAGGCAAGGTGGGAAGGGGAGGTCACCTTGGGAAGGTTGTTGGCGTGTCTGCGCAAGAACATGAAGAAGTTTGTCGGTAGTGGTGGTGGTGGTGGTGGTGGTGGCGGCGGTAGTGGTGGTGGAGGTGTTCATGACGGTGGTGGAGGAGGTATTCATGATGAACGAGGGTGGTCGTCTACTTCCGGTCGGTTTCGTAGAGCCTCGTGCATGCATGAGGAGCATTGAAGCTTGAGATGGCATCTACTTGTCGAGTACGGGCGTCTGAAGTGAAAGAGGAAAATCCGAGCGTGCTGGTACGGACCGTGTTTGTGCGGACCGAGTTGGTGCGGACCGAGTTCTATTAGCTTGGGGCGACTTTTTTTAACAGAGCAAACACATACGAGTATTGAATCTCATTTGGGATACCGAGGCTACTCCTATGCGGCGAGTCAAGAGGTATATGCAGTGCTATTTACTATCCGTCCACTCTTTCAAGCTGGGCCTCAAGGGAGAACCTTCTATTCGAGCGGATTGTCTGATATGCGATGTTTTGCCGGTCACTGGCGATGTTGAAATATCACTCGGTATTAATCGACCAGAATTTGCATACAATAGTTTCTCTATTCGTGCCCGTTCAAATAACGGTCGTGTTACGGGTGACGTCCTGCGAGTGTAAAATTTTAAATGGCGCCCCATCGGCCGACGAATACTTCCCATTTTTGGTTTGGGCTCGAGTGAGAGCACTGTACGTAGGTAGCCGTCGGCACGACTAGTCTACCGGCACTGGGCTGGCTGGACTTCCTCTCTGATGTATCGTAGCTTAATCGGCCCCTTATTCGGGCCCAGGAATATTCGTTTAAGTCTCAAAGGGGTGAGGATCCATAATCGTGCGAAACGCCACATGACTACTATATCCCGAACTTGCTCAGTACGCGCTTGTGGCGCTTCAGGTGGTGGCGGTACCTATTATCCGCCGAACGGGGGAGAATCTTTAGCAGTGCGAGAATCACGATTCACCATCACCATCGGCGATCGCATGAGAAACTGAAGATAGTCAGCATAGAGCCATTGAGATTTCTACGTCTCCGACGAGCAGCAGCGGAGGATGTTCTTAGATAGCCTGACCCGCATAACACCCCACCACGCACACCACCACACCGCCCATTCTATCACCAGGAATCCCAGAGGCGAGCTAGATTTATTCTAGCTCAGTCAGTGTGCAAAGAATGATGGCCTTCAGGTTTCACCGGTCCAACTTCCAAGTAAATATGCACATCACCACTTCGAGTCCCAGGCGCCCAGTTATCATGTATGTACCAGATCCAATCCAGACGCACCTCTAGGCTCTCATCCATGCGTCTCCGCTGTTTGCTACTCAAGGCGTCACTGGCGCATGATTCCGCCGCGGTCTTCCGGCAAAACCAAAGACCAGGACCCCCCCAGGCCGGTCGTTCTATTGTTATCGGATAATAGATATGCTAGGCATCTATTTGGCATCCAGACGCATCCCTCAACGAATCTGACTGGTAGTCTGTATCCGGCAACGCCTGTACCAGCCCACCCCTCCCACCTCCGTCGGCGCCATTCCCAGCCCGAAGTTTCCGTCGACACGACCACCCACACCACAGCAGGCGCCGTTCCGCCCTCTTACTTCTTGTTAGTAAGCCTGGTCACGCCTAATCTCCAGTACCGCACTGCCCTGCCGTGGGAAACCACTCTCCACAGACTGGCGAGGCTCAAAAGCTCTATAACCCCCGATGCCCGTTTCAGAAAATCACAAGATATCACTCGACCGCCGGTACTGCCCGCGGCTTCTTTTTTCTTCGAAAAGGCATCATTGCTACATACCTCGACCCGTGGCGCACCTGCTCTCCGTCTCCACGTTCTGGGGTTTTGGGGTTATGGGGCCGGCGAGGGAGCACGTGGACGCCATGCGGTCAGCGAGCGGGACGATCAAACAGCTTCCCCCCTTGGCAAGCCCAGCAGCGGGCGTACATAGCTGTCACCGCAATAGCGGGACAGCACACCGGCGGTGACACACTGTACTGTGGTTACGGGCGGCTCACGAAAGAAAAAAAGGCTTCAATTCTAGATTTCCATTCCAACACAATACGGTAAAAGTTCATCGAGAATAAGAAAACCCCCGACAACACGCAAGGTCCCTAGGTACAGGGTACGGCGGATATACACACACTGTCTCAAAAGCGTCACTGCAGCCAACGAAAACAATCCCCCGAATACAATCCTCCGAATACCGACCCCAGATTTTACCCCCCCTCCCCCTCCCTCCCTGCATGCCGGAAACCCTCGTTACGCTGCATTCCGGCATCCGCGTCCTGCTCCCGCCGCAGGTGCCAAAAGTGCAAAAAGGCGAAATCAGCAGCCGATTCCATCGAAATATGGGGAGAAAGAGGACCTCCCCCGGAGGAGGCAAAGGCGAGTAACTAGGATGGGAAGGTTATCGCGGCGGTAGGTTCGACGTGGATTTGGCGATGGACTTCCAGTCCCACCGGCCACCCGATTCGGACGTGACCATGTACATACCCGCCGGTTGGGCAGTATTGCATCGGCAGAGATAAGTCCTGGTCGATCCCAGTACCCAGGGACAGTGTTGGAGACCGGTACCCACGGCACCCGGATAGTTCTCGATAGCGGAGCTTGGGGACGGTCGGTTGTACATGGGACCTTTCTTCGCGATTGATGCTGCTGGTGGTTGCGATGTGAAGTATGTATGTGTGCATGTACCTATTTCAACAAAAACAAGTTCCGTTAGCCGTTGATCGACACATGATCGGAGTGGCACGGTGGATTTGCCTCCGCAGCCCACTCTAGACTGTTTAATGCTTGGTATCGCCGCTGGCTGTGCAACGACGGTCCCGGCAGTCCGCCTCGCCGTTACTCCGTCCGCTCTGAGTAGTAGTCTTATCGCGCTGGGGAAACGAGGAGCTGCCTACCTAACTACCCTGGGGAGGCTAACTATCCGGCACACACGCTTTCGCTCATCGCGCCGTCACTCGCTTATGCCGCTCGATTGGCTGTGGACGGCCGCGGTGTTCCGCCCTAGGTATGCTGCGCGGACTGGTTGCCGAACCCAACGCGCAACCTCCATGGACGAGAGTCTCTCGGTGCGCATAACTACGCGAAACGCCACTTCTCGACAGACCTACCCGACGAGAGACGGGATCGCGATGGCCGTACATATGAAATGCACGCAAGCAGAGGCAGTCATTGCATCCAGCAATACGGCAACGAAGAGAGAAGAGAGACCGAGCTAAATTCCCTTCACACCTGCCCCCCCAGCTGCTGGCGGCGGCGGCGAGAGCAATGATGGCCCCACAATGTGGAACATCTTCAGACTCCGGTGGTTTCCCGCGACGACGGGCAACCAAAGATAGTTAAATGTTATGTCACATTCCCCTCGGATTTGAAATCAACCATGCAGAATTCCCGAAACGTTGGAGCATCATGCAGAAGACTCGGTCTTTGTACGGGTACGGACCCGTCGAGCACCGTATGCACCGTACTTCCTATCCTGATGCTGGTTGGGCGGGGAGTGAGGACGGATCTCACCACCATCAGGAATTTTCAGTTCGGGTTGCCGGCGGGCGCCGTGTTTCTCTGGACTTCACTAATGGGTATCCGCATAGTTGGAGTCCTCATGTTATATTCTCGGCTTTATTTGATAGTCGTGGGGAAGGCGTTGTGCATCACACTTCGATCGCAGGATTTCTTTGCTTAGCCCGCTTTACTTCGTTGTGGACAATGGTAACCCTAACCCAAGCGTGTCCCACCAAAGTCCGGCGGTAACGGTGAGGCAGTTAAAAATCAACCAGCGCAGCGGATAGTTCGATCCCCCACCAGCACAACCCCTCGGTAGAAATTCCTCCAGAGTAAAGAGCTGGCCGATCCTCGTAGCTGCAGGATCAAGGTGTTCGGTCCGGACACGATTCAGTGAAATTATTCGTTGCGAGATGTTTGCCGAGGCGACGACGAGACGATGTTGTTTTGGGTGGACCATGGGCGTGTGGGAGAGGGTCTCCAGGTGTCCACAGGATTTGGTGGTGCTTGCTAGAGAGTACGTACACGCGGACGCAAACCTGCGAACACACACATAATGAAAAAAAGAATCCAGGCAGTCAGCTGTAGCAACGATGAAGGGGCCATGGTTCACTCCCGTCCGTTGAAGCGTTCGTCGAACAAAATTGCGCATCTCTGTCTCATATCGCATGGCGCGGCACCTGTTTGTCCGATGTGTGTGGTCCTGCAGCGCACGAAACTGCGACCAGAAATCTTTGGTTGGTTTTGGTTTTGCCAGCTGGCTCGAACTTGTGCCAGGATCGTAGGAATGGCTCCGTTGCCGGTAAAAAAAAATAGCAATGAGAGAGACCAGGAGGCTTCGAGTCTTGCGTCTTTCTGGTTGTTTTGTACATACATATGTCCGACAGCGGCGTTAACGGTCCGTCCGTTGAAGATACCCACTGGCTGCAGTATAATGACACCCCGCAATTACCCCGAACACATACCAGCAACTTTTCCTATTATCATGTTGTGTCGTGTCGTGTCGGGCACTGTTCTTGCCGATGCATGCCGCTTTGTATTCTGAGCTTTCTTTCCATCAGCATCGGGAAGCTTGAGTACGGATGACACCTTACTCGTAGCTATCGGACTTCCTCTGTGGCACATTGCCCGGCCCCGCACTAGCAATGGAAAATAGGTTTGTGGGATTTAGCTGAACGTCTTTAATTCTCCATTTCGATTCCCAAGTAGATTAATCTCGCCAGCACATATTTGCAGCTGACCTGGTTGCTGGACACGCCATCAAGGGGGGAGGGGGGAAGGTGGGGAGGTGACAAAGGGCAGAAGGTGACCCAGCCCACCAACCCCCCTCCGAACCTCCACCTCCATCTTCTCCTCCTCATGGGCTTACTGTTGCTGTCAACCCGATTGTCGGGATTGTGGGGGAAAGTTTGCCACCAAACAGATGATGCGGTAGCCGGAGTACCTACTTCGTTACCCGCCCATCAGGTACATGCCTTCGAGGTCTCTGCGGATCGTTGGATGGATACGTTGTCCGGTATCGAGTTATAGAGTGTTCGATTACCCAACCCTTTACTCCCACCACTTACACGTCACTTGCAGCCAAAGAGGTAGTTAATGGGTTTGCGCCGGATTCACTGGAACTTCGATTGGGTATGCCATGCCCCTCGCCAAGACGTCACCGTCGAGGGATCGGGAACACCTCGAAGATAGCGCCTGTGCACCGTCTGCACTTACGCAGCCGAATGCATTTGCAAACTTGGAGATTTCGATATAATCACCTACTCCGGATATCTTCCCTTTACCCCCCCTGCTACAGAATATGCAAAAAACTAAAGATTCAATTCATCCCAAACTATGGCAGATATCAACACCGAGACACGAGCGAGCGAGCGGGGAGATGCTGAGTTTGGTCCATAGGAGGACCATCAGTCGGATCCTCGTCGGCCCGGCCAGTGCACAGTGCCGTTCTGTAGGAGATTGGATTTGGGGCTACACACCTGCAATGCAGTCTCAGCATGCCCACTCGCCGTTGATCGGACTCACGAGTCACGATCCGATGCACTCCCGCTGCATCCCATGGAGTTTTCATGACTCCAAGCCTCCCTGGAACAGCTTGGTCATATGGCCACTTTTTTTTTCGAATAGCCAGCCGTGGTCCAGTTCGAATTGCCTCACTGCTCGGTCTGGACCACCGTTCATCTGACACCGCCCGCGAATATTTCCCCTCCCCTTCCACCTCCCACCATGGCTAGCGATGACTGATGTGACGTGTATTTGCACGGACCGAGTGGACGATTGCAGATGAATATGTCGAAAGCCAGCTGGCCGGTTGTGAGTAATAATGGCATACAATCGTAAACCTGTTTTGTTTTTTCCTTTTTTCTTGGAGAGGGGGGGAGGGTTGGAGCGCCACATACACCGGTGCCCGCTGCACCTCGGGCCTTCAATCCGCCGCCTAGAACCGAACCACCGCACAGCAATCGCTCCCGGTTACGCGCTACCCACGCCGCAGGTCCTAAATGGATGAAAACTAGAAGTTTTGGAACATAAGGTTGCAAAAAAACCCCCACCAGGGAATAAGGTGACTAGTGTATAACTGAAGGGTAGAGAGGTGCTGCCTAGTCTTGGGCGTGTAATAGTGCCGAGCTTGAGTGCCACGCCGGGAGAGGTCCCAGGCTAGATAGTCTAGAAAGTAATAGAGACTCGATCCACGATCGTCGAGGTGGTGTGGCGCGAAAGCGTGCGTACACCAACAGCCGGTTGGATGTTTGAAGGATTGGGGACAATCAGAGTCGGCCTCTGGTCAAAACATATGCCGACTGGCTAGCCGATTCAGTGTCACGGGCTTTCGATGGTCCGCTGTAGCGTTTCCCCGTGATCACTCCGCAACCGGCCTTGCGGGCCAGTTCCAATTCCACTCAAGCTCGGCTGAAGGAAAGGTGAAACGGCACCCCACGTCGACAATCCCCACATAAGCTCGGTCGTGACTGGCCGTCTCGCAAGGCGAGCCAGTATGATTTTTCGGCAGTAACTCCTCATCCAGCCGTGGGTGCCTTCAGATCGGAATGCACAGTCAGAGCACGATCGGAGAGATTGGTATGTACGGAATTGCCGGTGCTGTGCTTGTATCTAGCTATCCCTAATTTTCCGCCGTTTCGTCACTGATTCGCTTGGCTGTGGTGGTGTGGCTGGACGATGTGTGGCAGTGTGCATGTGTGGCTGCAGCCAAAAACACTTGTCCCCCCAAAACCATCGGTTTTTTTCGATCCATCACCACAGCAGCCACAGGAGCGATGGATTATTCGGGAGAACACCATGGCCAAGAGCACTGCCTTCCTTTGTTGTTGCGAAATTCGCAGGCATTTTCCGTGTTCTCGCGATCGCCGCATACTTCGCTAGTATTCAACCCAGTGGCAGCGGACTGGTCCATGTGTGCATGATCGTTTGAAGTTGTGCTTTACTATCAGCATCACCGGAAGATACCTGGTCGGTGGCGTCCCCATCGCGCGATGATACGTATTAGCCCTGCCCCTGCGAATATCAAATGCCATCAGCAGAATTCCTGGAAAAACGTGCGATCCAATCAGAGGGTCAATGTGGCACTTAGTCATCGCATTCGAAGAAGGTGGAACTATTCTGAGCCAATCCCTCTTTTTCCATGAGAACGGACAACGAGCATATGTACTTAAGGATCTTCGTTCGTCGAATAGTCCCGCCCGTTCTGCAGTTGCTGCCTGCATGGTCCGGAGTGGACAACGATTCCACCTATTTATTTCGTTTCTCGCCGCCCAAAGCCGAATGTTGTTGAAGGCAACACCATAGCACAGATAGAGCTGGACGTATCATCAATGATGAGGCCTTCATCGTCCATCGGCCCGGCGGATGACGGCATCGTGGGAAAAGAACCACGGCGTAATATTCCTCGCGCCTGTGAGCCTTGTAGGCAGCGCAAAGTAAAAGTAAGTGTCACCTGCGTACCATGGTACGGAGTTTTCCCCCGTGATTAGCATTTCGGGTTAGCTGACATGACCTGTACCAAGTGTGATGGGAAAAGGTCTGAACGCCCGGTTTTTTCCTGGCAACTCTGCCGTACCCTTCGACAACTCTGCCGTACCCTCCGATAACCAGATCCACCCCAGACTCAGGAGTCACGATCCCCGCGTCTGAAGGTTTCTGATGCGCGGTCGGAAAAGGAGGAAAGATCAAAAACGATTACTGACTTTATGGAGCAGACCGATATGTGGACACTGTACGGACTACAAAGTAGACTGCTTCTATGGCGGAACAAAGAAGGAAGCGATCGCGAAGTATACCGACCTCCGCCAACCCATCGCTTTCGAATCTCCGGTTGCTGGACTTGGGTTGCTGGCCGTCGGCCTACGAGCGGAAGGCTGATATTTTTCGTAGGAGACTGCATGACCTTGAGATCCGGGTCAAAACATATACGACACTCCTTCAAGGCCTTCATCGGTTTGCGGACACCAGTAGTCAGCTTGCCATCCAAAACGCTCTGGCTTCGGTACTTACTCCCCTCGGTCTTGTAAATTCTTCATACAATTCAACGACTGCTGATACCTTCAGAATCTCGATTGTTCGATTTCACCAGCGTTGGCCGCCTATTCCGTTCCACCTGGACTCCGTGGCCCCGCTTCCGTTTCTGATACCGAGTCGGAAACGTCGCCCGAGTTTATCGCATCCCCTTCTCGAGACGCCGTCGCGGACGGTTATGACGGCAATGCTAACGACCTACTCGGCTATATGGGGAAAGGAAGCGGGATCGCGCTGCTTCGCCGAGTAGAGTGGGAACTCAGCAATGATAAACAGACTAGTGAGAACTTGGACCTCAAAATGCACCATCGATGTAAGTAATTAGACCGACCACAAGAGAGAAGAGGTCGTTTCTCACCCCACGTCAAGGCAGCGCATATCATCTTGACACCGATGTTTCCCAATGGACGGATCAGATCGACCCTTTCTTCGTCCCGAGCAAACCAACAGCCCATAAACTAATCTCGGTTTACCTCACGACCGTCCATCCCCTGTTTCCCATCATATGGAAGCAGTCCCTCGTCGATGATGTCGAAAAGATCTATGGATTTATCATGAATCCAACCATCTCGATGGCAAACTGCAATTGGACCACGCTCAACCTAGTATTCGCCATCGGTCAGACCTTCGTAAGCCTTTTAGGAGAAGACGAGCCAGGGGACATCGACCATACCAACTATTTCATGAGAGCTCGGGTCCTGGGAGCCTTGGATGGAGTTTCTGGGATCGCAACAGCCACTTTGGAGCAGTTGCAAGCTTGGGCCTTGACCAGTATGTATTTACTGGCGAGCCAACATACGAACAAGTATGTTTCCCCTCCTCGATCATCGTTGCTAACGGTCGCCATGCTGATGCAAACCCAGAGCCTGGAACATCACTGGTCTGGCTGTTCGAATGGCGTACGGAATAGGACTGGTAAGTATCCCCGGATGGCGCACGTGGTTCCGACCGAAAGATAACCCAGGTGCAGCATGTTAAGCTAGATTCTCCGGACGTAGCCATCTTCGAACAAGAGTTGCGTCTGCGTGTATGGCACTCCCTCTGCTATCTCGACTCGGTGCTGTACCTGGCCACAGGACGGCCGTCCGCCATCCAGGAACGTGCGTGCAACGCTCCAGTCCCGCGAATGCTCCGAACAACTACCGTCGGAGGGCCAGAAGAGATCGATCCTACAACACCAGATCCATACATGGTGGCTTGCACGAGCCTGTCGGCAATCACGGCGGAGACCATGGCACGCCTGTACTCGCCCCGATCAGAGTTCCAAGGAGGCGACAATCTGGAAAACCTGCGTAGGGATATCGAACTGCTCGATTGCTTCCTCCAGAGGTGGAAAAAGGATCTCCCCGAGTCGCTCGATTTCCAGAAATCGCAAACGGATCAGGTTTTCATCCATCAGGTATGCCACACTCTTGGAACAGAGGAAGACTGAACGGCTTGACTGATTCCCAAAACTTCCTGGAACAGAGAATCGACCTTGCACTTCGCTACCACAACACGATGATGGTCCTGAATCGCCCGTGTCTTCGTCGGCCAGATCACGATCGATACCTGGGAATCCCACCGACGTTCAAGGAATTCGTCAAAGAATCAGCCGTCAGCTGCCTCGAGTCGGCTCACCAGATAATCACCCTAATCGTGCACGGACTTGCAGCCGATCCGACCAATCCGATGAGATTGGGCCCCTGGTGGTGTATCCTACACACTGCGGTGTCCGCCGCAGCGGTGATCCTGTTGGAGTTGGCGTACCGCGCCGCACACGTCCCCGAGCATTGCGATGCCATGTTCGACGACGCCTCCAACCTGATCTCGTGGCTAGATGCCATATCGTTTCAGGGGAAGAACGAAGGTGCAGAAAGGTGTTGCGACGAGTTATCGGAACTCTTGAGACAGATTGCTCCTCGGGTGAACCGCCGGTTCGAAGGTCCAGTGAACGGTCAACGCCGAAGAAGTAAGGCTGCTGCTGCCTCTTCGCAGGGTTCGCAACTGCAGGATGGCCGCATCGGTGACAGTGATGTGCTGAAGCAATACTTTCCCGCGCCGAATTTCCTGCATGAGCCGGGAAGCTCGGGCTATCTGCCGCCATTTACTAAAGGTTGAGGTGAACGGAGGGGTGGTGATGCCGGAGGGTGTTTTGAGTGGGGGGTGGGGCTGTTTGCATTTCGCCTGTCGTGTTTCTGGAGCTCTTGTCATTCTTCCAGTTAAGTTCCTTGCGAGTCGTTCTTCTTTCTTTTGATGCTTGTTGCCTTCTTTCTGCAGTGTCGATGTCAAAAAATTAGTCAGCGGACTGTTCCTCAGCTGTTTCTCCCTCCCCCATTCCCCCCCCCTTTACACGAGAACGTGCATCAGTGGCTCCCAACCCGTAGCGGTCGCCTAAACGTCTTCAGACTTGCGTTTGCATGAGTGCCCTTTGCCAAGGTAAAGGATCCGGGTGTTGCTCAGGTCGCTAGGGGAAAGGCCAGATTTGCAACGGACACTCGCATATATACTTTAGTTGACGCATCGGCTTCGCGAACAAAGTCTCTCCCTAGGCTTCTAGCGCTCGCGGCTTCCGGAGTTTCTCAAGAACCATGAGAACCCAACCAACTCGAGGCGTTCGTCAAGCTGCCGGTAGCCGGTTGCCGGTTGGTATTAGCTCCCAGTAAATGGCTGTGCTGCATGGTGGCCATCATACACCATACCACCGATTGCGAGAATCGGCAACCGGCTTCAAGCTTCCATCAGTCTCTTTACACCCCGAACGATACCATAGCGGTGAGGTATGTACCTGAAGACGGTCCAGTACAGCTTGTTGACATTCCATATGGCCACCCGGCAGCCTTTCTCCAGCCTGCGAGGCAACTGGACGGTGGAGGGTGGGAACCCAGGACCGGATATGACGACAGATGGGCAATGTGGTATCGACCACCGACAGCATCGGAGAACCGCCAGATCGACATACACCGTCAAGCAGCATTCGTTCCTTGTGAGGTCTCGAGCGGGCGGGTCGGCGGGCGGGTGGGCGGGTGGGTCGGACGGGACGATCACGGAACGGTTTGACGATGGTTAGGCGATGGCTTCCAGGAAAAAAGACTGAAATGCCCAGCAAGCGGTTTGGCAAGCAGGCAGTCGCTCCCAAAGGAACCCTGGTTAGACGTTTAGCAGGGCACCGCCTCGCTAAAGTAACAGATGTGGCTTTCTCATCGTTTTCCGCCGCAGGTGGCTAAAGGACGCTGAAATGAGTAAGAGTCTCCGCCCCCAAATTATTAATTTTTTTTTGCTGAAATGGCTGAGCGAGGCCAAGCAGGCTTTGGGTTGTAGGTTGACGGCGGGGCTCCGACGACCGGCTTCGGTTTTCTTTTCGCTGCCACTACCGACACAACGCCGACGATAAGCCATTCAGGGATGCCCTCCCTCTTTGCGAAGAACAAGAGAGGTGGGTGGTGGGGGGAAGATGGGGGTGGGGGGAGATGGGGGGCGGAAGGGAGAGAGAGACAGTGGTTGCTGGCGAAGGGTAGGAGCTGGGGGAGCATTTGTTTATTAAGTAAGTGCCCATGTGGGTGGCCAATTGCTGGATTATTCCGCTCACTTTGTTGCTTTGGGTCACGCTCCCCCCCAGCCCTGGCCCGCCAGTGCAAACGCAAAGTTCGCAGATGGCTAGGTGCAGTGGCGCCTAACGTATCGCGATCGACGCTGGACACTTACGGGAAGTCCCTAGTCCTCTCCTATTTGTGGCTTGCAGCAATCGCAGACTCCGGAGTGCCCACTGCTCCGGAGTCCGCAGAAAGGTCACGGCTTCGCGGTTGGTTGGCCGTGCTTTCTGCAGGACTTTCGGTGAGAGGCAATACAACTCCCCTGATGCCACAGCAATCTGCCCCCCTCGCTAGGGTGACCTCGACTGACCGGTAGCACAGACGTCGGCACGTCGGAGAAGCTTTGGCTTCGTTGAGGGGGGAGCTCTCACGAGATTTCACACGAACGGATGGGACTGTAGGGTGCATTTCGGCGAACTCCAGAGACGTCTCTTCTCCACCAACTCGCCTCCCTATGTCGACGTGGCAGGGCCGCTTCAGCCACCACCACCTCCACCTCCTCCGGTCACCCCGCTTCCTCGCAGCGCGCGCGCTCGGAACCTGTGACTCCTCCGCATATGTGGTTAATTTGAGCCAAGACACCCAAGAGATACATAGGTCGTTATTGTTGTTGTTGTTGCGTGGGGGCTTAGGTGTGCCATCGCAAGGGTGCCGAGTGTCCAAAATCTGCAATACGAATAGCAATCAGTTCTCAATATCCGATGGAATTCCGTAGCATGCGGGGTCTCTGCTTACCTCATATGCAAAGTGACAACTTTTCCCGCCTGCAAAGTATCTTACCATCACTCGGCGATTCACCGAGATGATAGACACAAAAAAATGGCGTGCGCCATGAACAGATTGGAGCAGTAAATCCAACTCAGTATTTAGAGCTCATTCCGAGCAGCCGGTTGGCTACGCGCAGGGCCTTTAACTGGCATATGTATTAGCAACCACTTCCTTACACTCCGGATTACTCTTAGATGACCCCCTCTCGCTGTCGTGAAAGAGTGGTAGGTATTCGACCTACCATACAGCTCAGGTTGCGTATGTACTTCGGGAGAATTCTTGTGACTTGACGGAGAGCTGGGTCTCAATTCCTGCATTCCGCATGAACGGAAAACCAATCCTTAGAACAACAATGTGGCGTGCATTTGACCCAAAGACCCTTCCCACTCCGATTGCAGGTTCCAAAAAAAAATGTCTCTGGTGTCGAAGGGCTGCAGTAATAGTTGTGGGTATGGGGAATGGGAACGGAGACGGAGACGGTTACCGGAAGAACGAATCAGCTCGCGGATGTGAAATGGCATGGTAGATATTCATGTGGGATGGGGCTGTAAAGGACGCTGCCCTGTCTGTGATGAGGAAACGATGCGGATGCGTATGCGTACGCGCTCTCCCACTCTGCTGCTGGCTGGCTAGCTGTGGCTGGCGGTCTGTCTGGCTGGCGGTCTGTCTGGCTGGCGGTCTGGCTGGTTCGGCTGGCTGGGCTAGCTGGGCTGGGCTGACGGATGTGTGCGTGCACGGTCTCCACTTGGGCTGGTGCGCTGCAGGCTTCTGCCTGTTGGAGCGCGGATTAGTAAGGCAAGTTCTACGGAAGACCCTCGCTCTCGCCAACCTTACGTCGGCATCCTGGGTGTCATTGTGGCGAGTGAAGCCTCCCTCCCCCCCTCGCCAACATCAGGCTCGAATCCAGGGCCAGGATAAGGTCCAGGCAAATAGCTGGCAGGCGGACTGGAACGGAATGCGCGCTGGGAACCGTAAGAGAGAGTGACGTAGGGAGGACACGGACAAGGCTGACTATCGGCGATGCTAGACGTGTGCGTGTATGCCCCGCGTGCATGGAGAGAGCAAGCAAACAAGCAAGCTGTGGCTGCCGTCAATCGGGCTGTGTAAAGGAATTCGGGCATCCAGTATTATTATTTTCATCACCGGCGTAGATACCGTATACATGGAGCCCGCCCGAGAGAGATGGACTGATTATCCACTGGCACCAGAGGCGTGGCAAGGCAAAACATAAAGGCATAGTACGGCGGTAGTATTCAACTATACCTACATGGGCGGGAGGAAAGTGCAAAGGCCACGATAACCCCGCACCACACCATGCCGGTGGTACAGGCTCCACAAGGCGGCAGATCAAAGTTAAGCCTTTTCCCGCGATATCTTAGGCGTGAATTGCTCGCGACAGTTACTCGGCGATAGTTAGAGCGGTTAACGGGAATAGGGGTCACTTCCGGTATCCGACTAAGTGTGTTCGGCTGTGCGAAAGGTCCATATATATTTTTTGCGCCGATCTGATGGATGCCCTGCGAAGCGGTGAACAGCCGCCGGCACGGTAGAGACCATGTATAGTAAAAGCCCTAGGTTAGGTATCGATTCCAGATCGCGATTTCCCAACTTTTCGAAGTCACAGTGACGAGAAATGGGATCAAAACAATCGGAGCAATGCCACTCCCATGTGCAATAACCTCCGTAATACGTCGGCAACGGTTTGGGATGTGGCGTTGGAGCCACAACAATCCCCTAAATACCAACCACCTTATCACCGCGTATTGTGGGAGTGTGGTAACCATCCCGTCTCCACTCCCCCCTCCCCCCTTTTCTACCACTGTACTTATCCACGTGGAGCCGTGTCGAACAGAGGGAAATTACAAGACTTCTCCCAAGGAACTCTCCCATCTGTTTGTTTTTATCAGGCGCGGTCCGTTTCTCCGCAACTGCCGCTTTCACTTCGGTGAGCCGCAGTGTCATTCTACGTCACAACCCCAACCCTCCCTTCCCGACGGGACGGTAAAACCAGGCTGATATCCTCCCAATGGTAGCAGGGCAGCATGAGATATTTCCTAGCACTGAATTACTACCATTTGACGACCGAAAACTTGCACATGAGAATCGATTTGGCGAATGAGATACCACCACCTCTGACTCCCTCTCTCTCTCTTCGCACTGGCCCCACATACCAAAGAAGCAGCAGCGACTACCAAACTTTCGGCTGGAGCCCACGCCAAAATCTTATTTGCGAAGCAAATTTACGATCCATTTACATAAATCCTGACGCCGATAGCCATCCAACGGTCAACTTTTTTTTTCGCAAAAACTCCATCCCAAACAATCAGACCATCCGTCAGAGAATAGAATCAGCCCACGTTTCTTCACAAAAAGTCACTCGCTACTTTTTCGACAGCCTTCCCGCCTTCCCGCCGAGTTATGGCGGCTCGGGTTGATCGACATCCACGACTGTCGATCTTCTAGCACGGCCTCTGCCGGGATACATATAGGATGGAAATCGGTCGGCTGGTGCATTCGCTTCCTCTCCAAGACCGAACTGGCAGAACGGGAGCGATCGATGAGGCCGTGAGCTCATGTGAGACCAGGCTCCGAAAGCGGATGTACACACACGGGGAATAACTCTCGGTCGGTCCCTAAGCAACGCCCACCAGGGCCAACACCACGGTTCATAGCAGCTCGGAACGCCTCTCGGCTCAAACGAGGGTACACCATTGTAGCAAAAAAGAGAAATCCGAGACCGACTTCCGACTTCCATCATCCCTACAGTCGCTTGCTCGGGGGGGTCTCGGAGGGGTTGCCATGGATACACACGCGAGCAGCCACTATCGCATGGAACGAGATGACGCAATGGTGCGATAACTGTACTCTATATACCGACGGCATCGCCAACAATTCCTCTCAAAACGACACGCTGACCGTGATTATGATACTACTGATCGGATATCACCAGATACTTACGGAGCACCAGTGCAACAGACGCTATCTCGCCACCTGCAATTGCTGAAATCTTCGACCACGTCTACATCTACATCGCCCACAGTCCTCGGCCAAAGTAGCCATATCCTGAACGTGCACCACTTCAATCTGCTGGAAGTTAAAACAGAGGCTTTTCAACTGCCAAATATCGATTCTCCTGCTTAATGCACTGTGCCTAACAGTGTTCCAGACTGCGATAGAGAAGGAGCCTCATAGTTCACCTCGGAAGCTGGAGGTGATAGGTACGGTACCCCTTCAACGTCTGCATCAGGGACGGCGAACCCGGCATCGCAGCGGCCCTCCGTCCACTGTGTTTCATTGATACACTTTACCCCACAATCTCTAATACCAAATCATACCATTAGATCTTCTCGAGCCGAAACCTCTAGACACGTTCAGCAAGGCCAAAAGCCGCATCCCGGATGTACTATTCTCTGCGGTTTTTCACCTCGTACACCTCACTAGTACAGCTCCTCTACATACGAGCTTCGAGTCCTCAACCAATAGTCGCACCGTCCCCATGTGGCTCCAGTAATCCGGACTCCGCTGCGCCCCGGACACCTGCTCCCGAATCTACTCCGCCACCATACCGGCACACGATGACGCCGCTAATGACTGAGCGTCTGGCGTGCGGCGACGATGACGACGAAGACGTACGTTTCCCTTGCCTGCCAAAGATCAAAGTCCAAAGATCCCAGTCTCGATGACGTAAACACGATTCCGAGTCCGAGTGCGAGTTCGAGTGCGAGTCCAAGTCCAACTACGAGTCGCAAGGGCATTAATAGTTAGGAGATGAGACATTCAATCCACGGATCGCTGGGAGACTTGGATAGCTACTTTCTTCCCGAATACGAACGCTATGCAAAGCACATAGATACTTGGCCTTCCTTTCTCTCGGAGTGCGAACATCACGAACCATCATCCCCAACTCCTTCCAAGTTCCAAGCAACTAAAGTGCCGTCCATGCGCTGCACTCCAGCTCGAATGAATGAACAGTAACCACCCGCCAAATGCAATGCTCCGTGTATGACCGTTGGAACTTGGAGGAACAATCCTGCCACTATCTACATACCGCGGGAAAACCCCGAGCTGCACCAATCCCGATGAACTTCGACGTGCCACTAGTTATGTATTGTACGCCGAATAAACTCCCACATGCGGCTTTTAAGTCACTTTGTTCGAGATCAGAGGTTTGTTGGAATCGAGAGAGTGTGATAGTGAGAGGGAGAGGGAACCCCAGTCTGTTGCAGGACTGCACGTGACGTCGCCCATTTGCCGGGTGAGTTTTCGTGATCCAGGGCGCAATGTGCACGTGGCAGAGCGGGGGTAAGGAAGAGTGAGCACGGATGAGTGGGCTTCCAAGAGCGGGATTGAAAAGAGTGAAGTACGGGCTTGGCTGACGGGGTGTCTTTGACTGGCGGGCCTTGCGGACTGGGGAGATCTTGGAATAGCGCTCTTCTAAGTTCTGGGAGGCGCAAGCTTGGGAAGAGAGGGCGGGCGTGTATGTGATGATGCATTCACACTTGATCTCGTCTTTTTTCCCGAGTACATACTATGCGCTATCGCTTTGATATACCTACCATGCTATCCTTAGAGAATGGTTCCATCCTGATCGCTCAGGGAAGAGCGGGTCTCCCAATCATAAGAAAACGTGAAGGAGCACGCTGATTCGCTGCAGCGTAGGAACATCTGGAATCACATGTTATGGGTGAGGCGGTGGTTGCTCTGTCCGTGAGGCGGCCCAAGGTCCACCTTCCAAGCGGTTCAACGTCCACTTTCCAAGCCCTCCCGAAGTAGGTTTCCACTTTGGCAGAGTGATGGAGGAGCTGTCGGTGGGAAGAACCAAAAGCGGTTAGTAGTGGCCATCAACGTTGGAGGACATAGTGGGGTTTTCTTCTTCTTCTTCTTCTTCTTCTTCTTCTTCTTCTTCTTCTTCTTCTTCTTCTTCTTCTTCTTCTTCTTCTTCTTCTTCTTCTTCTTCTTCTCCTTCTTCTTCTTTCTCAATCATCATCTATCGAATAGGCGGTCAACCCCTCATTTCCGCTCTCTCCTCTGTGTGTGCTCCCTTCCTCGTCACGCCTTTCGGCCCGAAGAGGCGCAAACCCACTCTACAGTATAGTTTTCGTGTTCCCATCCTTTGTCCTCGCGGCACGGGGCGCTGATGATTCGTCGGACACACGTCGCCGAGGCTGAGACAGTGACGGTGACACAAAACCATCTGTTCGCATCATGCGTGGCGGTGGGGCGAAAGCAATGACTACCGCTGCTGTGGTTGCGGGATCGACTACACGGAGCGCGGTACCAACGGTCACCTACATC